TTAAATTTTTTATTTTCACTTTTTATATAAGAATAGATATTGCTTTAATTACTTATTATATTCTTAAACTAGTTTAAGTATATTTTATAAAAGTTATAGTTTTATATAAGTTTGCTCTATAATAAATTAGCATTTAGTCTAAATATAATAAATATTAAATATATACTTAATATCTGCTAAGTCTCTATAAGAATTATATTAATATATTTAGACAAGAATATTATATAGCTATTAATTAAAAATACTATTAATTTAGCTATTAATTATAATTACTTAATTCTTAGCTATTTTTAAGTATTTAGAGAAAAAGTAATAGTACTTAGCTTTATATTAGCTATTATATATATATATATTATAAATTCTAAAGAGTTTTATTATATAAATATTATTATTAATCTTTAAATAAGTTAATCTTATATTAATTATATAATTAGTTTATGCTAAGCTTATACTTAATCTGTATATAAGATAGGTTAAGCTTAACCTAACTAAGAATAAGCTCTAGGGTAGGCTAAGCTCCTAGGGTAAGCTGAGCTTAGCCCTAGCTAAGCCGAGGTATATGCCCTTAATAATATTTATAATTTAAGGGCTAACTATATAATAATATTTTTTAAAATTTTTAGCTAATAATTTGCTTTAGTAAAATAAATAATATTCTTTTAAATATTTCTCTTTTTAGTGCTAGGCGCTAAAATTTAATAAAAAAAAATTCTAAATTTTTTATTAATCTAATAAAGGTTAAATAATTTATTATATATATTATTTATATAATTAAAGTTATTAAATATATACTCTAAAATATTTAAAATCTTTTAATAATTATTAAAAATATAGGTTCTATCTCTAATATATAGCAATATTTAGGCATAAAGCGCACCCTTTAAATAATTAATTATATAAGCTATATAGCTCTAGGAGGTTAGGAATCTGTTTTAATTAATTATTATCTTCCCTTAGATCTAGGCTATAAAGTATTAAAGATCCTTTTAATTGCCTTTAAACTTATTTAAATTAAAGAATCTCTTTAAAAGTCTAAGGGTAAAGGAAAATATAATAATAAGTATTTTAAATATTTCTATTAAAATAGCTATAGGCCTCTTAATATTAAGCTTAAATTTAAATATAAATAGAGATATATTTATAATAGATATAATTATATAATAGGCCTAATCCCTCTTAAGAATAGCTTAAATATACTATTATTCTTTTTCTTAAAACTAAATCTTTTAATATTACTAAATAGCCTTAAGTTTAATAATTTTTTATTTAAGTCTCTATTAAATAGCAGTAAATTCTTGCTAAAACTTTTAAAAATATATTTTAGCCTAATAATTTATTTTATTTACAGCAGTTTTAGCTTTATTAATATATTTATATGCTAGATAATAATATTTATATTATTCTAGCCTATAGCTAGCAGTAATATATTTAATAAATTTATTTAGGGCAATTAGCAGGAATAAGAGAATTAGGGCAGGTATTATTAATAATATTAACTCTTAGATAGAAACTATATAATATTAAGATATAGGCTCTAGAAGCAGGTTAGAATAAATAGAATAAGATAATTAATATTAGAACTAGCTATAAGATCTCTATCTAGCTAATTCAGACTAAAATAAGCTATTATAGGCAGGCTTAATAAATAAGATATAGCTTAAGGAGCTTGAATTCAGATTAAGCTATATACTGAAAATATTTTCGCGAGATTATATAACTCCTTACATAATCCCCTATGCTGGCACTGTGATAGTAATATTTAGTATAAAATATAAAAATTACAATCTTACTACCCCGCGAGATTTAAAAATTTTAGATTTTATTCTCTATTAGTATATATTAGTATAATTTTAATATAAAATAATAATTTACCAGTAACCTACTGGTAACAAAAACCTCGCGACCTCGCGAGACGCCACCTCGCGACCTCGCGACCCATATAACCGAGGTTCTTGACGATCAACGTCCGGACCTGTCTAATCGGAAGGTTCATAGTGGCTTTATGAAGCAGTTTGTCGCGCCCGCAGCCAACGTTCCTAGCTTATCGAGTCAGGAAGATGTAGAACAAGCCATTCACAAGGCTGAATTGAGGTGACATAACTATGTCAAGTCAGCTTGTGTAACCAGATTGATTGTAGACATAGCAGACAGCGACATTACAGCTCCATGAAGTGCTGGGGTCTGTGACTGAACTAGTGCGATGCTGCAACATGATGAGCCGCAGAGTTTCTGCGGAGAATAATGACGAAGCAGGGATGCTAATTACATAGACACAAACCATGTCATTGAAGATCTCGCGGCACAATCCTGTGGTTATAGCAGCTGGAACGCAAGGTGACTTTTGGTTTATTTGGCATGGATGAAATGGCTAGTTACCTACCTAGCTATCATTGGCGATAAGTAAGGTGAACCTCCATCTATGCACTAGATATGTCGAAATGTCAACGGGTGCCGATGAGCCTCCATGATTCCCACTCAATCGAGGTTATACCATGCCCTTAATTTATCCAATAAACTTAGCTTTTTGCAGCTCAGAGACATATCATCAGAAAATGGTCCAAAACTCGTCCACGATGTGACGCTGCTTCTTACCGCCATAATGGAGCGACATCGTACCTGCAAGTACAGATAGGACGCCTAGAAAACAGCATTCTCTCCGCATTCTTTATCAGCCACTTACTATGCTTCTGCGACGTCGAAGTATATAGGAATTTCGCGTGCGGCAGTGCCTTGCTGTCCTATATTAGCTGTCCAAGCACACAGCTTCGTCCGCTCAAAGATCATGCCAATGCTTACAGTTGCTTCCCTCCGAGTTGGCAAATACTGGTGCTCAGCTTGACCGGTAGAATCTACTAAATCCCTGTGGTCTAGTTTCCTGACTGTCCAGCCGCTAGATGGGAACCAACTGGTCCTAAGGTCGCATTGTTTGAGGCGGATAAGCACAGAACTGGCCAGCCAGGGGCGTTTTGCATATCTACCGTTGCTTTTTTTTTTTTTTTTTCAAAGTCGGATGCTGTTGTATTACTTGAGTGATTGGATATCAGATACATCAGTGCTGCCATGGCGTCTTCTATCTGGCTGTGTGAGAGCTTGACTGGTTGTCATACACACCTCTTCCCCTGCTGTTCATCTCACCAAGAATCACGCTACGCAAGTATTAAAACACCGACTCTGATATGCAGCTAGCAGGCCTGGTAGAGATAGAATCACCGGACGCAATCAATAAGCGCTCAGAGGACTGGATCCCGGTCCCTCTATGAGGCTACTTTTTCGGCACCGGCAAGATACAAGCGCAGATGGTGAGAGTCAATCGGAAAACCGACGCGATTCCATTAGGCTCGTGGATATTGAGTAGCAACTGTGCGCTTTAACTAGCCTCGACTTAACCCGTTAAGAAGCGATACTGGTCGAAGTTAATGATCGTCGTCGACGAAGCCGTCTAGAGACAAAAAGGAACAGCTGGATCTCTGGGTTGAGGGGGATGCAATGTGGCTGCATAACCTCTCGATTGGCGTGTTTCAGTTGTTGACGATGGGCGCTTCGTGACGCGAGATCATTGGGCGGTTCGTGCACATCCGGATACCTGGGAACATCGCCGATGAGAGAGAGACGAGATGAGATGAGAGCACTCACCGAGATTCCGATATCCCTCGACGGCTCATATTTCCTCTGTCTGCTGCGTTAGAATCACTGCTGGGACTATCTACCTATATTCTATCCTCAGGATAGAGAAATACCGACTCGAGGACAGAACCTGGCGGCACAGCGATAATCTGCAGGTCATTCGAGAGATCAAGCATCGTTCGTCCCAATTCCCAAATGTGGGATAAACTACGACACTACTAACGCTAAGTTACAGACTGGCGGATTGAAGCGATAGATAAGCAGACGTCTTGTTTCAGATGCTGGTCGATCAAATTCCCTTGCGCCCACATCGCTGATCAGACCATTCATGATTACCTACCCCACGTCAACTTCGTTCCTTTACCGATCGCTCTCGTTCTCCCGGACAGAATACTCAGTAGGGACCCTAACATTATAATTATATTGTCGACTACGGTTGACAGTCATATCCTGGTCTGATCAGGGCGTCTGATCCACTCGGATCTCCGATTCCACACATCCACCGTTGGAAGCCGTATCACTCGGTGATTAGGTGCCACCATGAAGCTGTTCAACCGTCTACACCGTCGCGCCCATAGCAAGGGGAAACAGCAGCAATCCGACCAAGGTTTGTTTCATGCATCTCCGTTCCTGGCCCACTATGTTTCCTTAGATGCCTCTCGTCGCTATGATTGATCCGATTGTTGTTTGGTTCCTGGTCCCTTTATTTCTTATCCTGGAAGAACCCGAACGGCGCTATGATCTTGCCCTACCAAGTGATCATCCTGCGGCTAAAACACTCTTCTTTTGCCGCACGTTCATGGCATCTGCTCATTTGGCCCCCTTTGGCTATCTTAGTTTCATCCCAGCCACGGCCATGAAGTCGTTTAATCGGCTGGTGGGTGGTCCTTTATTAACTGCCTCGAGTTCCCCTCTTCTTTTTCCCTCCCCTCGTTAGCGAAGGCCTCTGTTTTTTTACTTGTCTTCGGACTATACACTTCTCAGGTCGAGCAAGCTCGACCGTCCTTTCTTTTCGTCACACTGTGACTTGATTTTGTCGTCCAGTTCTTCCGGCAAGACGCTCTTTTTGGCCAACGAGTTCAGGGACGGAGCGGAGCTCTGTAGCTACAAAATTTACCCTAAGAGCCGATACACCATTTACTCGCGGCGTCGATTGAGTCGACGGCGTACACATTCCTTCTGCAAGACAGAATCCACAGTCACATTGTTCACTCTGAGGCCTAGATCCGCCAAAACTTCCTGTCCTTTATACTTCCCCCGCAACATTGCCCCACCAAAACAGTACCTTCATTGATTTATCTTGCTCAATTCGCGCGCATAAAGGCATTTTCCGTGCCTTCTGTTCGTCGTACTGCGATCACATCGAGGCAGACAATATGTATCTCAAATATTTACTTTCTTTGGCTGCTGCAGTCACCTCCGTGATAGCGTCTTCCGAACCAAAATATGTGTTCGCACATTTCATCGTAAGTCTTCCTGGATATCTAGATCTTGTGAATCTGTGTTACTAACTTGCGGTAGGTGGGAAATGCCGCAGGCATGTCATCAGATGACTGGGTGTCAGACATCACCGCGGCCAAGGACGCTCACATCGACGGATTTGTGATGAATATTGCTCCGCAAGATTCGTACACTGATTCCGTCCTTCAGAAAGCATATGACGCTGCTGAGGCTGTTGGCAATTTCTCGATGTTTCTCTCTTTTGATTACGAATCTGGTGGTCCCTGGGCCGCCAGTGATGTGATCACAAAAATCAACACCTACAAGGACAAGCCCGCTCAGTTTTACTACAAAGGAAGGCCCCTGGTCACCACGTTCGAAGGTACCGGCAATGTTGGTGACTGGCCTGGTATCAAAGCCGCTACAGACAGTTTCGTCATGCCGACCTGGACCAGTTTAGGAGTCACCGGCCTTGCCTCTGTTCTCGGCGTGATCGACGGCTTTGCCAGCTGGGACGCTTGGCCAGAGGGTACCCAAGACATGACGGATGCCCCTGACAGAGCGTTCATGAGCGCCATCACTGGAAAACCATACATGATGCCTGTTTCCCCATGGTTCTACACCAACCTACCCCAGTGGAACAAGAACTGGCTGTGGCGAGGTGATTCCCTGTGGCATGATCGCTGGGCTCAGGCCATCGAGCTTCGACCGGCCATCGTTGAGGTGGGTCTCTTTGTTCTGAGCACCTTCTCGGTTGTTGATTGCTAATTTCAATCTAGATTATTACCTGGAATGATTACGGAGAATCCCACTATATTGGCCCTATCCACGAATCTGGAATTCCAGAGGGTGCGTCTGACTACGTCTCAAAGAACCCCCATGACGGCTGGAGAACGCTGCTTCCATACTACATCGATGCCTACAAGACTGGAAATACCACAGTCCATACTCCGCACGGGAACTCCACTTTCTACCGGAGCAACCACACTGCAGAAGACGAGATAACTTACTGGTATCGACCGAATCCTAGCACCGCCGGCAGCACTGGAGGCACGACCGGTAACAACCCTGCCCAAGGCCAGCCGACATTGCCCCCTGGCATTGTCTCCCAAGACAAGGTTTTCTTTACAGTCCTAGTCCAGAAGCCCAGTGTCGTCACTGCTCAAATCGGCAACGGTAGCGTGAGCACATTCCGTGCCAACACTGTTGGACTCAACCACTTTTCCATCCCGATGAACAACCAGACTGGCGCTGTGAAATTGGCTATTATCCGCAACGGCAAGCCGGTCAAATCTGCCACCGGACCCGCTATCACAGATGACTGCGCCGACGGTAAGGTCAACTGGAACGCTGTCGTCGGCTCTAGCAATACTCAGAAAACTGCTTGAAAGGTATGAGTAGGAGAGAGCGGTACGGTTTAGGTTCTCATTGGACATAGTTTTTATCTTTTTTGGCTGTCTTGGTATTGGAGATAGAATACCTAGTCTTGCCTTTGTCACATTTCGCTTCTATTTGCTTCGACAGCTTGATCCGCTGTGCTGTTGGCAATGCTTTCTGTTTTATTACCATAGATTCTGGATTTTTAGGCTATATCATAGAAAGTTTTGTTTGGGATGCTGATCACCGCTAGAGTCAATCTGCCTCCTTGCTTCTACCCCTATGCGATCCGGCTGGCTCTTGAATCTGAGGGATCGATGTCAAGAAAAACAAAAAACAAATACATGTTTATGAACATGCCATCTAGAATGTCTTGAATGGCCGTGTTTTTCCTGGATTGGCATATTGTATATCCTGGAGGTATACAGCATACCCGGCACTGCAGACTGGACTATTCCGGCCACAAACAATGGCAGGGGTCTCAGCCAGATCAGGGTCTCAAGGATTCTTCTGTGAGACAATGTAATTATATTCCCCGCTGTCAATTTACAGTGACGGCTCGTGGTTAATTTGCGGCACATTCCCACGTGAGACATGTGGCACATCGTGATGACGATGTCTATCCCAATCGTCCTTCGAACATTCCGGACGGCGGAGACCAGCACCACTCTGGCGGGAAAAGCACGGATATCTTCACCATGTGGCTGTGGAGATGACAGATCGCGTCCAGAAAATTGTGAAGAGTGCGTCTATAAGATAAACTATTGAACTTCAGGATTGTGGTCCCTGAGATTTACTGGCAATCTCTTGGAGCAACAGGGTATGCCGCGCAATCAGGTGGTCCACATAAGTTTCCTTCCAGCCTGTTTTGGATACACGATGTTCTCCCAGGCAATTATTGTGTTTGGAATCCAGTAGTTAAACCCATTGTGAGTATGTGCTAACTAGGTAAACAGAGAGATAATTAGACGGTGAACCGTGCTCGAGATGTGTCTTGTTCTGGAAACGACAATTGGACTTCGATGTCCGACTAAAACGGAACTAGGGACATTCCGGCCAGGAACGCCGACGCTGCCCGAGCTTAGCAACGGACTCAGCTCATCTCAACACATCCTCACTCTCTTCTGCTCGTTCGTTTCCCCTCATTCCTCCTCTGGTACTCTGTGTCTTACATCCTGTCCTTTCTGACTTCCGAATACATTCTCTAATACAGCCATGACCAAGAAGAGAGTTGCTGATCTGCAGGCGTCCGTCTCAACACTGCGTCTTGACAGTGACCAGTTGTCCCAGGCTCGATACATCCCTGTCTCCGTACAATCTTCGCAGGTACTGCCACCCAGACCGTCACAGCCTCGTGCTGCGACGGACACCGTCTCTCCTGATGCCTACTCAAAACCGTTCTGCGAGTTTATGTCCTCGAACCCCACCATCTTCCATGCCGTCGAGCACTTCTCCAAGCAACTAGAAGAGCATGGCTACAAGCGTCTCTCCGAGCGTGATGTCTGGACATCGGAACTGAAGCGTGGTGGAAAGTACTACACTACCCGCAATGGAAGTGCCCTGATCGCTTTCGCTGTCGGGAAGGACTATAAGAGCGGAAATGGTATCGGTATCGTCGCCGGCCACATTGATGCGCTTACCGCCAAGCTGAAGCCTATCCCTACGCTGCCCAACAAGGCTGGCTTCCGTCAGTTGGGCGTGGCCCCCTATGCGGGTGCGCTCAACTCCACCTGGTGGGATCGTGACCTGTCGCTGGGTGGACGAGTCCTGGTACGCGATCCGAACACAGACAAGGTCGAGACCAAGCTGGTCAAGTTGGACTGGCCCATTGCAAGGATCCCAACCCTCGCACCACACTTTGGTGCTCCCTCGCAAGGGCCATTCAACCAGGAGACGCAGATGGTGCCCATAATTGGAGTGGACAACTCGGACATCTTTGGTGAATCCAATGCCGAAACGCGAAGCGATATCCCGTCCGGTACCTTTGCCGCGACGCAGCCTGAGAAGCTGGTCAAGGTCATCTCCAAAGAGCTAGGTATCACAGACTATACCAGCATTGTCAACTGGGAGCTTGAGCTGTTTGACAGCCAACCGGCGCAGCTCGGTGGACTGGAGAAGGATCTCATTTTCGCTGGCAGGATCGATGACAAGCTCTGCTGCTACGCTGCGCAGGAGGCCCTGCTCGCTTCTCCCGATGAGAGTTCCCCGGGAATTGTGAAGATGGTCGGCATGTTCGATGACGAGGAGGTTGGATCTCTTCTCCGTCAAGGTGCACGCTCCAACTTTATGTCCAGTGTGATCGAGCGTATTGCGGAAGCTTTTGCTCCTGCGAACACCTATGGACCCAATCTACTCTCCCAGACTGTTGCCAACAGCTTCCTGGTCTCCTCAGACGTCATCCACGCCGTCAACCCCAACTTCCTCAATGTCTATCTCGAGAACCACTCTCCCAGACTCAACGTTGGTGTTGCAGTGAGCGCCGATCCCAACGGCCACATGACGACCGACAGCGTCAGCTCCGCCATCCTCAAGCGCGTTGCCGACAAGTGCGGTTCCACCCTGCAAGTCTTCCAGATTCGCAACGACTCTCGTTCTGGCGGCACTATCGGACCCATGACCAGTGCTCGCATTGGCATGAGAGCCATCGACGCGGGTATTCCGCAGTTGAGCATGCACAGCATCCGCGCCACGACCGGGAGTCTCGATCCTGGTCTTGGCGTCAAGATCTTCAAGGGCTTCTTCGATTACTACGAAGAAGTGGACGCGGAGTTTCAGGGGTTTTAGATTCGTAGACGAGACGTAGACTCGCAAGAGTTTCATTCTGCTTGGCCTTTCAGCATTCTTTACGTTTGATATCCGGGGAAGAGCGTTCGTTTTCCCTTGTTAGTTTTGCATCGCATGTGATCTAGGCGCGTTGTAATAGCATCCCGGTTGCATTAGTGTTTTCAGTTTAAAAGTATATGAACATTATGAATATATTTGGACTCAAAATCTATTTGATTCATTAGATAAAGTAGACTGGATAGGCGTAGTACGTGTACATGCATTTACGCGTAAGTGGAACAAGCCGTCACGTAGAAAAAATATATATATTGGACGGAAGCCATAACAACCAGAGTAAACCGAATAAATACATCATCGAAAAAGTCCAACCGTAACCTATCATCGCGCAGTCGATAACCGCGGGATAAAGGATAAAGTATTATCATTAAGTACTCCTCCTGCTCATCTATATAGTCTAAGAAAAACGATTTACCACTACATCCACATTACCTAATTTCACTCAAACGACCCAATTTCAAGAGCTAGCGATTACAGAACTCCGCGGAGTTTCGAGAACTAGACATGGGATGGATATACGAGATCTATGGTGGTTTATTTATTTATTGGACCTTTGGTCTATTAGAAATTTAGGATGGGGTAACTATAGTTATAACTTCTCGTGGATAAGGAGGTCCACAGGATGGGTAGATGCTGACCCTCCCATGGCATGCAAGCAAGCGAATATCGATGGTCTATCCTGATACAGGTATAAAAGCAAATGCCTTCGTTGATGGGTTGATATGTATACTCGCGGGCGGTTAGGCTCGAGAGTCGGGATTCGGATCAGACAAGGCTGCGGTCGTCGCATTATGATAATAACAGACTGAAGAACGAACAGTGTCTACCATATATTGCGAAGAATTACCTTATATTACTTGCTGGACGAAAGACCCATTCATGAAATGTAAACTGTTCATTGCACACACATAACAGGCAAATCAAAGCTATAAAGGCCAAAAATGCCACCAGATAGGATAGATATTGTTTTTACATGGCTGGTTGGAAAATCAAAATCGGACTCACTGATACTTTGATGAGTAACAGAGATATTAAGTTGACAAATAATGAATATGAGACGTAGAAAGAAAGGTGAAATGGGAGGGAAAGAAGGAGGACTATATATGTAAGGGGTATTTCGGCCGCCGGGCCTAGTTAAAAACTGACCAACAATAAATAACCCTAAACGCGCAACGCGCACGCGACGTATATGCATACACAGGGCTTAAAGGTAAATTAACTAAGCAAGAGGATAAACATTCAGATTGGAGAGAGAAAAGAACCAGTTCTTGAAAATCAGGGAGAACCTGCGTTTGCATGCTAGGCCGGTCTATTGGATTCGCAGTGCGTATATTCGAGGGTATTGTTGCTCTTGCGTTATACCACTTTTCATTCCTGCCTTTTTCTTATTATCCCCCCCCCCTTTTTTTTTGCTTTGTTCACATGTATTAGTGATGATTTACATGATTATTAACCCGAGCGAATCCTGAGAGTGGATAGACATGGACAACAAAAGTACACAAGACTCTTCCTTCCATCTTTCATTGTGCGCTAGACACAAAATTTGGGGAATATCAGACCATAGAAGAAGAAAAATAAAAGTCGGTACAATAGTACAGATTGAGAAAATGAAGAATATATAGCCAGGTCAAGGCAACCGAATGTCCAAAAGGAGAAGGAAAGATAGGGTAATTAGGACATAGCCATGTTAAACATGACCTTTCTATCGGATTGGTCTTGGTAGTGCCACTACTCTACCTTGACGACCCCGATGCTGACGAAGGCGACTCCGAACCGTTGAACTCCTTCTCTTTCGCTAGCAGAACGCTGTCTTTCTCTTCCTTCCTGACCTCTCGACCGGTTCTGTGACTGTTCGCAGGATGTGGCAAGGGGATTCCTGCCAACACACGGTCCATGTCGACGCTGCACATACCGTACTCGAGGTCGTCGCCTGGGGTTCCAGCAGTGGATGAAGTAGTTCCGCCGCGGTAGGTGGGAGCACGTCCCCGAGAGAAAGTATTTCGCTTGGCTGGTCTGCTCCCACCGCTGCGTGTTGAAAGGAAGCGCGGGAGGATGCGGGAGATGAGGGGGCGAAGGGTAGGCAGACAGGCGCAAATGATTCCAACGTTGCATTCGATAGCGGACCAGGTGGCTGCGCCTACGTTATCATCTGTAGGGTCAAGGTCAGCCGGGGCAGTTATGGAATTTAAGTCTTATAGAGCTTACATGTTGGGTCTGAGGACTGAGCGATCACCTTCAAGCTGATAAGACGGAAGATACTGGTGATACAGACGCTAGAGATCGACTATTAGCTGCTGATGTTCGACCTATAGCCATCTTGATAGACAGAAAGATAGGAGGTCAAACTTACAATCCACCGACCGCGAAGATTCCCATGAGTGCTAACCTCTGTCGTTGAGGAAGATCCAAGGACCGCAAGGCAGGCAGAGGCATGACCAGAATCACAATATCGGTAAAAATGTGCATGCTGGCGTTGGAGAACCAAAGTGCCTTCATATCTATACAGTATCCAGGAATAGTGGGATCCCAAAATTTTGCCACAGGGATGCAGTTCAGATATCCGCTCAGGACGGCCCAGGTGCCATATATGGCCAGGACGGTGATCATAATCGAGCAAGCAATCCGCATGCCCCTTGTCGGAAAGACATGGAAGTACTGCATCAGGATCGATGCCTTCGCACAGATAACGGCAGTGTTGTACATTGGGACGGTGATCCAGAAATTCTGTATATATGTCGAACATAAGAGGGCATCCTCAAAAGTAATATGCCGGCATCTCTCACCTGCATCTGCATTTTCAGCGTTGACGGCGGGATCTGAGGCCCGGGCACGCCCATCCCGTACACCGTCTCTCCTATGAAGAAGCCCAGGAAAAGGTATGAGAATAGCTATGTCAACATCAGTATTTATCTAGAGGCATGGCAGTATATCTGGAAATATACCAAGGCAACCAGAACCATCCAATCGTTCGGCTCAATCCTGCGAATGATCTTCATCCTGGTGTAGAGACGGGCAGCAACGGCACATGTCGCAAGAAAAGTGAAAGTAATGCTGGCAGCCAAGGCTCTCCCCCCGCGAGCAGACACAATGGTCCGTGTGTGCTCCCGAGGGAGAAGGATACCACCGCTGCTGCTCATCTTGCCTGGGAAGACTGCTGCTGGTCAGAAGTCCTTAGAGTCGTCGACGGCAGTTTGCCTTCGCCCATCGACGCTTGTCATGGAAAGCAATCTTGACAGAAGGTGAATGAGGCTGAAGAGATAGCAAGGGCACCTGCGTGATATAAATCATGACATGCATAAAACAGTTCTGAATTGGGCTAGACATTGATGCAACCTCTCTGTCAGTGAGAGCTCCAAGGTCCCTCCTCGCACCAGGCTCAGTACCCCTCCAGCTTGGCGGGATAAGCTGGGGACAGACAGTATAGACTCAGATGAGCAGCAAGGGAGGGGCGAATAACCTGCTTCGACACCATTTGACAGGCATAGGAAAAATGATGCCCTACTCAATTAGGTTGTGACAGCTCAGCCCAGAGAGATCCGGTTTAAGATTCGTAACTGCGGCCACCTCCCAATCGGAGAGAGTCCTCCAGAAAGGGAACTCATTCGCAAGCCATGATATGCCAATCAGGATAGCCATATCTAACCTGAACAAGTGCCTTACGGCTGCCCTCGCTTGGTCCACGGAGCGGAACGCCCGTACGGAAACTAAGAGAACCGCCCGTGTCAACCTAGTTGGCGTAAACATCCAGACAAATAGACTTTTATCATACTACTGACGCACTTCTCAAATGGACCTGCAGTGCTCCATTGGAAAATTGGATCCAGATTCGCGTAGACTCATAGAGCATTGGCCAATATATTCCGAGATGTTGCAGTTCAAATCAGCGGCATCCCTACAACCGAGAACTTACATAAGTCAGATCATTTCCAGAGTAAGGGAAAGGTACAAAGCCCTGGCTAAATCAAGAGAATAATGTCTCTTTTGAGTCTGTGGAGAGACCGCCACTTTGGTTATATAGAATTGTGGCGTGGTTTAAGCTATCGTGCACCGACGCCACGCAGCAAGGGGGAGGAGCAATCGAGACGTTAAGCTGAACTATCCTGCTTGTCGGTGCAGATCTCCAGAACTATTCGCTCCTGGCCTAAACTCTTTGACGAACCATTGGGGCAGTCAGTGTGGACTCGAAGTCCAATGTCTTGGATTTTCTGTTCCGTCCATGTTGATGATCAATTCAGGGTTCACAGAGTGAACGTCGGGACGTCGGCTAGGGGGAGGGGGTCCAGCTTGTGACAATGCGGCTGTCTTCTAGACCCCTCACCGCGGGGCAGTATGAAGTATAGACGATAGTTTTCTTTTATTCTCGCGAAATTGATATCGGAAGGGCCGAGCGTTGGCGATAGGGTTGAATTTGTCAAGTTGCTGTGTTGGTGTTGAGGTGCGCAGAGAAGCGCGGAAAGTCCAAGTCTGTTTTCCCCACCAGACGGGTCTCTCGACCAAGCTGTACTCCGTACTCGACCTTGACGATCACTTTAGGATCAGTCATATCCAGTGACAGGATCTGTTTCGGAAGATCGGAACACAGCAGATAAGATTTCGATGTCACCCTGATCCATATTAGTTTGTTACATAAATATTCCCATGTCCCTTGCGAGACTCATGACTGGAGGAGTTGAGTTATTGGCGCAAGTATATATGCAGCATCAAGCCAGTACGCAGGACGAAATTCCCCGAATCGCAGAACGGGGAAGTAAGGTTATGCGCCTTGTGTTTAATCTAGATGATCCTCAGAACTTTATAGACCATTATCGAAGGGAGATATACATGTCCCTGACCTGATTGGGTGGACTGAAGTCAAAACAATGGCGATAGCAAGAGCGAGGGGGATTGTTGCGGGAGCAACATGGCAACGAGAAAGCTTCATGTCCCAATCAGTCTGATGATCTTCAACAGGATAATTTTAGACCTTTTCTTTTTCTTCTTAAGCTTTCTATAGTTTGATATGATAGCAACGAGCTGCTGTAAGGGTCTGTGCACGCATAGTAATGGCAGACTTCTGAGCAGCACAATATGCCAACAAGGACGATGGAAGACCATCAAAGAATATAATGATTCTCAAAAACTTTCAGTCTTTCCAGAGCCAAGAATTCAGTGAGACACCGGGATACGAAAGGGCCGATCTCATTATGCATGGAGCTTTGGTGTGGCAGAGTACTATATGTCTCTCCGCTACAGCAAGGAGCACACTAAACATAAGGGTGACTGGAGAAGAAGTCCTTGTACTCGTTCCGTGCAAGAACTGAAAATAAAATCGTTGGTATCAACTGCATGTGTACATAGGTATTCTGGAGTCATTAGTATGCACAGACTATGAGTTGGATAGCTCTATTGCCTTATGAAAAGAAACTTCTTGTTTCCTGGTAAATTTACCTAATTCCATTGAAATAGCTGAGAGATAGATTCAAATGGAATTCCCTTAGTGTCTACTCATTACCACGAAGCCTACATTATTTTTGGAATAAGCAGACATCCGGGAAGGGTAGAGGGTTCGATATTGTCAGAAATATCATGCACACTAGCCATGCGAGAGAAGGGTGGCTGCAAGTAGAACTGAATAAACATAATGACACAGCCAATATCGCCATTTTCTGTTCATTTGGCTTAGGATCCGTCTCCAGGCACTCTGTTTCTCGAGTTTCTCGAGAGTCGAGACTGGGAGAAGCGATAGCGCTAAGATAAGCTTAACGCACAGACCATCTCACTGAAAATTCCAGGCGAGAAATCATCACCACCAGCGGAGGGGCACAAACATACCCAACTTACGGATCGCGCTTCGTTGGGTTCCTCTTTCTCTCTCTTTATTATTACTTTCAGAGCCAGATTTGGCAACTGTCGCCATCATGTCCGGTTCAACCCCGGCGACGAAGCCGGTGCACACAATCGTTCTCGATGCCGGACCCCTCCTCAAGAACATCCCTCCACTGTCCACGCTCCTTGCGCAGTCAGAAGAACTCGCCACGACCCCTTCTGTCATTAATGAAATCCGTGATCCCGATGCCAGGGCGCGAGTCGAAACGCTATACCTTCCGTTCCTCAAACAGAGGACGCCTACACCGAAAAGTATTAGTGTCATCAGTGAATTTGCACGAAAGACTGGAGACAGGGCCGTTCTGAGTAAAGTCGATATCGAAATACTTGCGCTGGCGTATGAACTCGAATGCGAGAGGAATGGAGGTGACTGGAGATTGAGGAGCGTCCCAGGACAGAAGAGAGTTAATGGAAAACCGCCCGTGAAGGAGGAGACTAAGGTAGAGGAGCTCACAAAGGAATTGGAGAATACCACTCTCCAGAGTGCAGAGACTCCCGTCCCAGAGACTCCCGTCCTGGAAGAAAATGAAGAAAATGGGAGCCCCGCTACGGAAGAACAGACATCTCCAGAACAGATCATCGAGCCTCAATCGGCAGAAGAGGCAGAAGAGGCAGAAGATGACGAAGAGTCCGATGGTGGAGAGTGGATTACGCCCTCAAATCTCAAGAAGAAGCAGGCCCGCGATGAGGGCAGCGCAGCAATCACAGCTACTGAACCTAAGGTCATGCAGGTCGCAACAATGACCACAGACTTTGCGGTATGTAAAAATCAGACATTCCAGACATCTGTACCGATTTAGTTGACTTTCAACAGTGTCAAAACGTACTGCTTCAGATGAACTTGAACCTATTATCTACGACCACTCTACAAAGGATTCAACACCTCAAGACATACATCAAACGCTGCCATGCATGCTTTGCTACCACGAAGGACATGACAAAGCAGTTCTGTCCCCGATGTGGAAAGGACACTCTCACCAGAGTCTCGTGCTCGACGAATGCGAGTGGAGAGTTCAAGATGCATCTGAAGAAAAACATGCAATGGAACACTCGAGGAGACAAATACAGTATCCCGAAACCGGTGCATGGAAGCGCTAGCGGAAAGTGGAAGGGCGGTGGTGGCCAGGGAGGATGGGGAACCGGCCTTATTCTCGCGGAAGATCAGAAAGAGTATGTGAAGGCCAGAACAGAAGAACAGAGACGGCTCAGGAAGGAGCGAGATCTCATGGATGAGGATTACCTGCCTGGTATTCTCACTGGCGAGCGCCATAGGACTGGCGGTCGGATCAAGGTGGGAGCTGGACGCAGCGTGAATTCTAGAAAGCGCTAGTTCTATTTGCATCTGCATGAGGGATGACCGGAGTTCTGGTAGGAAAAAAGTGTATTTAAGAGATCTAAAATAGAACTGGACTACGCTAGGGATACCGATGATGATGATGCCATGTACATATCACCAGCATGCAGACCATATCCGCAGATATAGACACCACACGCAAACTCGTACATAAATTTCAGATGTATCTCTCCATTAAGCCATCCTCGAAGTACTATACTGATGCTTTCCGCATTCCGCATCCAGTATTCGTGGAAGGTAGCTTTGAACCGTTGAATACACGAAGCAAATACTGGCAAACCACTATATCCTGATCAAGGCAGAGAGAAATATTCTCTCACCAAATCAAACTCCACATTAAACACCATTCGCCATTATAACCGTTTATCACTTTTATTGTCCGTTCAGAGCTTGGCAGCAGTCTTGTCTAGATCTCAGGTATTAGAATCGTGTTTGAACAAGGTATATGTAGAAGTAAACCTACCAGGCTGTTGAGTGAGAAGAAGACCGTATCTCTTCTTGAGAGTCACTCGGTGTCTATTTTACCAGTCAGAACCGATACGTTGTCTCTCATCTTGCTTGCGGAGCTCTCTGTGCAAGCGGCTTCAGGCCGAAATGCGCCCTCGGTTTGCCAAAACTTACCTCGAGTACTTGTCATCAGGAGAGAATCTCGCAGGGTGAGCACTCTTGGTAACCTCACCGTTGAGGACCTTCTTGAGAGTGTAGACGCGCTTGCCAGAGGCATCGAGAGTGTACTGACATGAGTTAGACAATAGATGGAGCACGGATCGGGCTTGACGGCGTACCATAAGATGCATTTTGGAAAATTATTGAATCTGCTAGAGAGATAAAATGGACTAACGTTCCTCTGATGGAGATACTGGTTAAGTTGACCGTGAAGACTTTTGCTCTCGTGCTATCTCGGGGATCTCGAAATCATGCGCAGGAAATTTTCGGCGTGCGGCGGCGGTAGCGCTCGGACCATCCCGGTACGGCGCTTAGGCGCTCTTTAGCGCCCTTCCCACTTCCGCCCATAAAACTAACTGCTCGCAAGCGAACCATCGCAGAAATTTCCTACTCTGCACTGTTCGCTTCATTGCGCACGAAGGAAAAATGTGTCCTTCCTGAGTAAATGTGGTTGATCTGACCGGCTATAGTGGCATTCAGTCTTTGCATCTGTATGCGATATCTGTCTTGGAACTGATGACGTCCGGATGCCGGAGGTGTACAGGGAAAAGCTTTTTCGGTGAGTTATAACTGGCTTTCCATAGCAATGCGTGAATCTCTCTACCCCTCCCCCTCCTATGATGACACCTTTAAAGCAAGTCTAGACAAATGGCACCTTGATTTCTAGCTGTTTGTCGATGATGGCGCTTTTAATAGACTACAACGGTATCTGAGGAACAATACATGGTATCTTCTTGTTCAAAGACGGTCTTGGAACCATTATTTTCTTTGAATATTAGGCTAATCGAGCCACAGAATAGAACAGTTCTATCGCCTACACCAATAATGGCCTGTTGACAATGCCATCTCAAAATACTACAGTAACAATATCCGAGTCCTTGCCAGCAGCGCCGGATGGCCACGCTGAGCCGGGACGGGATGAAAAACCTCGTCCACCTCGGGCTCGTCCGCAGCGGCCTAATTACGGACATATTCACCGCTTTCCTCTCCCTCTAGAAGTCCATCCTCTACCGCCTCTTATTCCTCATAATCCCCTCTCTATTATAAGCGTGGTCCTCTCGTATCTCACCTACCTTATATCTCCCCCTCATCATGCCGTATATCCTGCGTACTTCGACTCAGCCACATCGTCAGTCCATGTCACTGACGAGAAAGCAATACGAGCATTGTGGGAGATGGGCTTCTTTGGAAGAGGTAGTCTGAGTAGAAGTGAACCCAGCTGGCTGGAGCGCGAAAAGAAGCGGAGGGGATTACTGGGCGACAACACCAGTGAAGAGGCAACGGGTAAGAGGAGGGTTGAAAGACGTGAATTCAAACTGGAGCGAGCGCGAAAAGAAAGGGAAGCTATAGCTGAACGGCTAAAGCAGGAGGCGGCCGCCAGGCAAGGCATCGCTTCTTCGCCTGATGCAGCACATCCGCTCTCTCTCGACGGTGTCAATGGTTCTACTTCGGCTGCAGAGAAGTTCTCTGTCAACCAGGCCAAGAAGTCCAGGGCTGCTAATCCGAGCCAACCTGCTGCAGAGGAAGTGAAGGATGGCACGGCCGACAAGGCTGAGAATGTTAGCGGAAAGACAGAGAACGGGGCGAAGACTGTCCGTTTCTCTCCAGTCGTCGAGCAAAAGGAGTTCGTTGTGGATTCTCAAGTCTCTACTCGTCTTCGCGAGCCAGAAATGGGTATCCGCGAGGAAGACGAGGAGGAGCTGTTGAGAAATGAAGAGCATTTGCAGCTTTCAAACGAGGAGACTTTTTTCCTTGTATATGGCCTGGGAGTGCTTCAAGTATTTGACGAGCAGAAGTCAGTCATGTCGGCGGGTTCCCTTCTAACGCTGTTTCGCCGTCACTCGTATTTCCCGCCTAGGGATCCTTCCACTGTCCTTGAACCCGACGACCCATTCATGCTTTCCTACGTGGTGTACCATCATTACCGTTCCCTGGGCTGGGTTGTGCGTTCCGGTGTGAAATTTGGGGTTGACTACCTCCTCTACAACCGCGGCCCAGTTTTCTCCCATGCAGAATTCGCTCTGGTCATCTTGCCTTCCTATGGAAACCGCTATTGGTCGGAAACAGAATCAAGGAGAGACTATATCTCCAGGAAGCAGGCCCGCAGCTGGTGGTGGCTACATTGCGTAAATCGCGTCCAGGCTCAAGTTAAAAAAAGTCTGGTGCTTTGTTATGTGGACATTCCACCGCCGCAAAGCCATCATGATGACATTGGAAACCATCTTCGACGCTACAAGATTCGGGACTTCGCTCTTAAGCGTTGGGTCCCTAACCGGAGTCGTGATTGATAAAGCGACTCATTATACTATGATAGGCGGACTAGACGTCAGGCCATTGAAAATCTCCATTAGCAGATACCATGTACTATTATATGACACGCAGTGTAAATGAATGACCGTAATGACTTGAATGCCCTATATCTTGTGTTGTTGTATGTACATACAAACATAATAGCCTAGTAAATGCCTCTAATCTCATTACCTGCTGGAGTCATGATGGTGCAGGATTCTTCATTAACTGCATCGATAAAATAACCGTCATTGCCCGTCCTAGGCGAAGCGTTGGCCCTAAGCTAATCAATAATAATGATACCAAGCATAATCATAATAATGTCGAATTTCTGGCAAGCCAAAAGGAAGTCGAGACTGAAGTACGCTATACCAAATGTGGGACAATTATTACGCGACTCAGATCACGTGCAAACACGCGTTATCGCGTCGTGTCGCATTTCTCAAGTGCCATTCTTGAATGTGCATAATACTGCAACCTCGTGCAACCAAGATTGTGTGGCCCAGGAGGCCATGGCATGTTGCGTGTTATTGTGCCTGACTTGAGGTCCAAATCAGCTATGGAGTCTCAGGGAGACAGCATCGATATTTCGCAGCTGAAGCGAGCTGCCTTGGGGTTGGTTGTAAGTTAACTTACCACCATGTCGTCGTTGCGATATCCTTGGGCTATGCTAACTCGTATTTTCCTACGCTTGATCAGGAGAATGAGAAATCTCAGACACATTTAGACGCAGTGGAAAATACTGAGGAACTTCTTCAAGAGGATAAGAGGGGAGATATCCGGGGCGAAAAGTATGATGAAAAATATCCTCGATCGGATGAATACGAGGACGGTGTTGCAAAGCCACGATCAACATCCGACATTACTGATAAGAGAACCTTGTCCGGCGCAGAGCCCGCAGAGAGTGACAGCGCAGGCCCAGCAGCGCATTCACAGATTTTGGACCAAAGTGGTTCTTCAACTGCTGCACCGGAACCGTCCAAAATGAGCTCAGCAGACAGTGCACCAGGAGATACGCAGCCCGTGTCCCAATCTGTCTTTGACAGTATTCTGAAGCAGAGCAGATACTCCCAAAGACAAAGTGATGGAGATGCAATGGATATCGACACAGGAGCAGACGGAGCTACACTAGCCACTTTGCACGAAGGAGACACCGGCCATGTGGATCTGCTGTCAGGGTTTGGAGAAACTCAAGTCGCCAACAATACTTCCGACCATGAAGAAGAAACAGGCTCGAAGGTCGGAGTGTCGTCGCCGTTGCATTATCAACCTAATCTCTTCCCGGAGTCACAGCGGTTTCTAACCTCAACACCGGCGACGGCGAAGAAACAGGCAGACCAGCCACGTCTATCCGCTACGACACCGTCCTTGCCGCGGAATCCGATCGCGCCAGATGTTGAATCTAGCGGTGGTATCATGGCTCTTAGTCAAGTGTTTCAAGCAACCCAAGCTCCATCGTCGCCCTTCGTCAACGATCTGCCGTCAGGCCCCATGTCCGACAGACCGTCACCGAATATCCCCATCCAGAACCGTCCAGTAGTGGGATCTACCTCGTCGCCATTCAAAGCCCCTCGGTCGTCCCTTCGTCGTGGATATACAGAGCCGCAGTTGAATTATATCTCGATGAAAGAGTCACAGGAAAAGCGAGACAAACTCCTAGAGGAGCGAAGGACGAAGTCGGCTGAAAATATCTTCTCCGGTGACCAGAGTGACGATGATTTCGATAAAGAACCCAGCTTCGTTGAACGTCTAAATCGTCAAAGGAGAATTGATGAGGAAACCATGGTGCAATTAGCCAATCTTACTGCTCCTGCACGACCAGCTCCTAACAAGCGAGGCCAGCAGTCATTTGTGCCTAGGTCACCTGTCAGTGGGGGTACAGCGAAGCGAAGTATCGACGTTACGGGATACATCCAGGATGGTGAGACTCAAGGTTCTACAATGGTCTTTCAGCATGGAGCCACCAGTGAAGAGGAAACTGAACAAGAAGATGATCACCGTCCGACTCCAGCTGTATCCTGTCAGCCGCCTACGACTGAGGAAGACAAGGAAAACTATGATGCTCTTCCACCGAACTCCTCCATCACACCGTCTAGTGCTCATGACCGTCTCTCGCAAGCCCTTCAGTCTGATAACGGAACTCTGCTTCACAGAACGACGACCCCTCTTCATAAAAGGTCGAGCAGCCGGGAGGTTATCGACGTGCATGCATCCGGGGTAATCTCCTCTCAACAGATCGTCAGGGATTCCCAGCCGTCCCCCGACACATATGAACATGGAAAGAGCGAAAGGAGTGCAGGAGTGCAACCGGGGCCGCAGAGATCTCCGGTTTCCAACATCCCAGCGCAAGGCCATGTTGCATCACCAACCGAAGATGCTTTTGATGTCGAAAAAGTAGCCTCTTCTCCTGTGGGCGGACAGACTTTCCTTTCGTCTCCCCCGCCATCAAAAGACGATAAGTCTCGACGGGCACTTCATCGCCGCCAGGTCGAATTGAAAAGCCCGGTTCCTCGAAGGGCTGTCTCAATAAGCTCAGAAGGTTCCCCGACACCTCTGCCTTTCAAGAGGTCGCTTAACTTTGTCCCCAAAATCAGTAGCCAAGATGGGACCGCTGATACGACCGGCAACATCGCTGGTACAGATACGAAAGAAAAGTCTTCCTCAATGCCTTCCCGTGTCGCAGAAACTCCCATGCATAGACCTGCAGGGCTTTCTGATCACGCGGTTCCTGGGACGCGAATACTGGAGACTAGTCCTCGACGCATAGTGAATGACACCCTCACTAGTGAGGCTGCAGATGCTGTCAGTGTAGGTGAAGAGGACGACGAGCTGCCTCCCATGTATCAAGAACATCGCGAAGGCATGGACTGTTCTGGTACAGCAAGTCAACGAAGCCACCTCACAGAGAGACCACATCTCAACGCGAAGATCCTGTCTAGTCCAAGCGGCAGACAACGGAGAGCACTGACTGAAATCGCTTCTGACCTGTCACCGTTTACCCCTACTGGGTTTCTCGATGTGGACATCAATCTTCTTACTGCTGATGACAAAGAGTTCACCTCAGTGGTCGGCTTCTCACCGATCCCACACAGAAAGAAGCGACGCGGCAATGATGGCAAGAATATCTATGCCTCCGACCCTATAGTCCCTCTCACACCGCGGCCATTGGCGCCCAGAGTCAACACCTCTCTTGTCGCCACAAATGAAGTACAGGCTCCTGACCTTCCCGCAGCCAATCCTCAACAAGCTGACGAGGCCCAGCAAGTCGAAGCACAGCAGGACGAGCCTGAGTCATCAGAGCCTATCGTGGGTATTAATGCCATACAGCGTCGGCGACCGGCCTCATGGAGACGTGCTGAAACTGTTTGGGAGGTCGATGCATCTCCTGAGAAAAATGTACAGAAAGCGCTGGACATAAGGAAGTCGAGACTCTCTTCACGATCTGAAACTCGGACAGCACAGGAGAAAGGATTGCGGAAATCTCTAGTAGCGAAGGCAGTTGTGATTCATAATCAAAGCCCTACATCAACTCCTACTATACCGGAAAGTTCCGACCCCCTACATGGAGGACACTCTTCCCGGGCCCCGAGTAATTCCCAGTCCTCCATGCCTGAGATTTCTGTACTCGCTCCCAATCAGGTCTTTGCCTGCTTCAACGGATTCAAGCGAGCCTATTATCCTGCTACATGCCTGGGAATGTCAAACCTGAGTGCCCAGTCCAAGTACATGGTTAAGTTCGAAGATGATACCACTGATCATGTCTTGGCCGGCACACTGAAAAGATTGGAATTGCGTATAGGAGACTCCGTGAAGGTGGATATGCCAAACGTTCAGAAAGTCACTCATATCGTACGTGGCTTTGGCGACCTCTTGAGCCCAGAAGAACTTGATCGACAAGAGAACGGATCGAGACCGATGACAGATGTATACGGGTACTCTTCCATGATACTAGCACCCAAGCAACGCAGGAGTCCCCGCAAGGGCAGTTCAGGCGCCGCTGGGAACCTTATCAAGGTTCCTATTTCGCGGATTTATCTAGACACTATCCTCTGGAACCAGCTAAAAGACAGACAATTCTCCTTCACACCGGGAAAAGATGGACTTACAGCAGACACACCAGACGTCAACTCTGCTCCTGCAACACCAAACTCCAGACTCTCTCGGAGTATCATTGTCCAAGCTGGTCTCTTCGCAGGAATGGTATTTGCGGTCTCTTACGTGGAGAATGAACATTCAAAGTCCCACATTATGAAGTTGATAGTAGAGAACGGCGGTCGGCTACTGAGAGACGGATTTAATGAGCTGTTTGAGTTACCCTCCAGCGCAGCAGCAGCTAGCCCGGTCAAGTCACCCGGCTCGAACTCGATTGACCATTCAGAAAAACAATTCCGCCTGGTCGCAGGTGCAGAGGCCGTCGGTTTCGCCTGTCTACTCGCCGACAAACACTCCCGCCGTGAGAAGTATATGCAAGCCTTGGCACTCGGTCTCCCTTGTCTTTCAGGACGGTGGATAGAAGATTGTGTGAAGCAAAACCGTATTCTAGACTGGGACATGTATCTTCTTCCCGCGGGAGAGTCGATGTACCTCAATGGGGCCACGAAGTCCAGAATCCTTACACCAACTTCTGCGTCTACGGCACGATTAACAGACACCATCGCCGCGAGACCTAAGTTACTGGAGGGACAGTCTGTGCTCATTGTCATGGGTCGCGGAAAAGCGGAGGAAAGGAAGAAAGCATATATCTTTCTAACATACGCTCTAGGTGCCTCTCGGGTCGAGCGGGTCCTCGATCTGAATGCAGCCAAGGCAATGCTTATGGATCAACAAAAGGAATCCTCCCCAGCTTGGGATTGGATCTACGTCGACGATCACGAAGAAGCTGCTGCCAAGACCATGATTCTCGGTAGTTCCGAGGGTGCACCTCTGAAGCCGCATTCAGGACGAGGGAGAAAGCGAAAGAGACCTCTTCCTGTACAGGCAGTCAGCGGAAGCGGTATTAGGCTCAACACGAACAATATCCGGATAGTGGGCAACGAGTTCGTCTGCCAGAGTCTGATACTGGGTAGATTATTTGATGCATAGTTGTGTGCTGCTTTTTGGGGCGCCTGCTAGACACGGACGGTTACCATGATGATGTACCGTGTGTTTTTTTTTATTTTTCTGGTTTTTTTGTTAAAGGATACCTGCTCTGTATCTGAGCTATGTTTATTGTCGAAGAGGCAAAAGTAGGATACCCCTTTGGTCTCCAGTGGCGGCCAAGATGTCATAAATGTCACTAAAGAGAATATTGCCAGCTATGGCTGAATATGAAGTTCGAATTGGTCAAAGAAGTCGAATAATCACAATGAGAACAGTAAAGAGTTTTCATAATTTGCCCGATTTCTTTCTATAATACATAGATCACAACACCTGAAGACATCCCATATCGCCGGGTACATAAAAGGACATGTTCAAGAAGAGTAATTAACGACCGCCTTTGCCTTTCTTGGAGGTCTTCTTCTTGTTCTTCAAGCTCTTCATCTGAGCAGCACGCTCAGCCCTAGCCTTTCTCTTTCTCCACGCCATCCAGCGGTTCTTGCGGTCGAATTCCTTAGCAGTAATACCAGCTTTCTCAGCAGCACGACCGATCTGCCAATTGGCCTCACGGTACATGTAACCTGGACGCAGCTGCAGCTCCGTCTTCGCAGCAGGCAGATTGGCTCTCTCGGTAGCATCAACATGGGCAACCATCGTACCGTCTTGAACGGTAACCAGGTCAGACTCGACAGCCATCTCGGAGACCTCCACTCGGGGAGCCACAACCATATTCAACCGTCTCTTCGTCGGAGCGTTTCGCGGTGTTGGCAGAATTCCATCTCTCTCAAACGAAACACCAATGTACTTCCGTTTCGGATGCCGCTCCGGATCGAGGTAGTATTTCACATAACCGGCCTCCGTCGCATAGATCGTGTGGTCTCGTCCCATCGCACAGTTCTCGCCGGGGAACCATTTCGTACCACGCTGTCGAAAGATGATGTTTCCCGGAATCACATATTGTTCACCGGCCTTCTTCGCGCCGAGACGTTTTCCAGCGGGATCGCGAGCTTTGGCGTTTGCACGACCCTGCGTCGCGTGCGAGGCATTTCGGAAAATAGAGAGAGGGAGAAAAGGAAGAGAGGAAGTCGGCTTGAGGATGGATGATGGAGAAGCCGAGGTCGTCCGTGACAGGAAAGATTGTGAAGATTGAAGCGAAGAGGAGGACAAGAGCGAGGGTGCGAATGCTCGCTCGAGCACCCGGAAGGGTGCCCGTAATCTTGGCTGAAGCATTGTTGGGTGTAGTCGGATCCCTCCGGTCGAGAAAACAAGAGGGATTCCCTTGCGCTGCTTTTCCAACCAAGTTCGCTTTGATGCCGGACGGAACTTTTTCGAGATGATCGGAGTTGCGCGTGCCTTAGCGTAGTCACGTGATGGCCGTCGCGATATCTGGCTTCAGGCCGGCGAGCAACGATGGACGAAACATACTGTGGACACCGGGCCGTGTTCAAAAGATAATCTTTCCTGTTTTACGTGATGGCTCGCAATATCATTGTCTCTCTTTGGGCTGTTCTGCTACTCGTTGCGACTGCCCAGGCCCAGTTCCAATTCTTCGAGCAGATGTTCGGCGGTGCCCGTCAGGAGCACCATCAGCAAGAGCAGCAGAATGTGCCTAGCGACAGCTCATGGTATCAGCGTCACTGGGAGGGAGGTATGTGTTCATAAATTCAAACATTTAAATAGCTGCGACCTTTTGTTTCCGTCTCTCGTAGTCGACCAGAGCTTGCTAACTCACGTCCTTCTGAACAGCACGCTGCTCCAACTACCTCTGTCCCGATACGCTTGCCTGCGTCCACTTCCCACATCACTGTCCGTGTCCGCACCCAGCAGTCGAGGATAAGACCGAGCTCGGTGAGGGAAGTGCAGTTTGCATCTCCAGGGGCGGGTACAAAGCTGGTGAAGCTCAGAGGAAAATCGAGTTGGCAAGAAAGGGTCTATTGTGATTCGGCTGATGGACATGGTTGTACTATACGTGGACTATAAAATTATATGATGATTGATGTGCTATTAATACAGAGGATTCCTATAGATTGTTCAAATGCACTTTCAGGAGACGTTTGTTTCTATACCTCCCTTGTTCTAATCGGTCCTGATTTTAGGGCCGATTAGTAGAAAACCAATATTATTATCTGTCGAATCTTTCAGCACGGAAGCAAGGTCTGACATGAACAACTTGAATTGCTTGCTTGCTTGCTTGCTTCTGAGTCTAGGGGGGATTCGATCCCATGTTTGGCTTTAGCATACAAATAATCTAGATCCTAGTAATCAATCCTATAATCAGGATTCAAAGAATTTGCCGCGAACGGATGATTGACAGATCACCTGGCGTTCGCTTTGTCCGCCGACATTATCGTTCATACTATTGTTGAAGAGCATAAATGCATAAATACAAGTCCTACAACATGCAGATTTGACTTATATATGTAGAATACGACCAGAATTGGATTTATTTGAGAAAGAGAAACAGTTATGCTCCCCAGCTATCTATGGATTTCCATGAGGCTTTCGATGACATAGGTATGTACAGTACGTGGGATTTTATCTCCGCCTAACCCCGCGACAAGCTTGCGATCGTTCGACGTGAGCTCGGAACATCCACGCCACGCTCTGACATCAGCCATAGTTTCCCATTATCGCGCACTGCTTTGTGATATAATTGCAATATTCGCTTATATACCTGAAATCGCAGTACTAAGCAACTCATATCCAGAATCCAGACGCTTCGTTCAATGTGGAGCAGGAGCTTCCGCGCGCCCGCCTTGCGATGGGTGACGGCGAGAACAATAAGAACCAGACCAGCTCCTCGTGGGCCTCGAAATACATTACGACGAAATGAGTTTCCGCCGCCGATTTCAGAAAGCAAGAAAAGACCTTCGAATGAAGGGGAGAAACCAGGTTCCCAGTCAAATGCAGAGGCCTTGTCTTCCGCACTGCGCGACACGAATCCGAGCGACAACAACCTCCTCTCTCCAGTTTATGTGCCGGAAGATCCAAATGGAGTCCTCAAAGAAAAGCATCCGGCCGCGGGATTACTGGCAAACTCAGCATTGGTCGTGCAGCGGCAGCTGGAGGTAATGAACGTGATGCTGTAAGTACTTGGCTGCGATTTTTGAGATTCTTGTCCGTTATGAACCTGCGGACTGACATCTTCTCTTGCGCCACAGGGGCTTCGAACAGGCGAATCGATATGTGATAATGGATGCAAGTGGGAATCATGTCGGATACATGGCTGAACAAGAGAGAGGAATGGGCAATATGATGGCTCGACAGTGGTTTCGCACGCATCGAAGTTTCGTTACACATGTATTCGACAAGTATGAGAATGAGGTTCTACGGGTATGCCATCATACGCACCTACTATAGATGGGTCCACTGACAGGGTGTAGTTCCATCGGCCGTTTTCATGGATCAACTCGCATATTCGAGTCTACGACCCGCTCGAACTTGCAGATGCGGCATATTCATCTTCCACTGCCCTCCAGAATAATCAGCCAGGTTCTCTAGCACCAGTGACCGGGGGTTCAAATGCGAGGGTGTCGCCGCTAGGAGTAGATGAGATGCGCATCATCGGAGAGGCCCAGCAGCAGTGGGCACCTCTAAGGCGGAAATACAACCTTTTCCTCTACCATCAGACGCCAAACAGGGAACTGGATCTAGGATTGCGAAAGTTTAATATACCAGACGCGAATATCTCGAAGGCGCAGCAGATGCAGCTGACCCAGGCTGCGGGTCAGCAACCCGAGGGCGAATTCGTACAATTTGCCTATGTTGACGAGCCCTTCCTTTCATGGGATTTTTCACTTCGAGCGGCGGATTCTCAACTTATTGGCTCAGTCAACCGTAACTTTGCTGGTTTCGCTCGAGAGCTGTTCACGGATACCGGTGTATATGCTCTACGCATGGATGCTGCAGCCTTGGCGGAGCAGACAAACGAGCAACAGCTTGCCGCTGACAAGCCGACTGGCATGACACTTGATCAGCGTGCAGTTATGCTGGCTACTGCGGTAAGCATTGATTTTGACTACTTCAGTCGCCATAGTGGCACGGGAGTCGGTTTCATGCCGTTTTGGTTCCCCATAGGCGGAGCCGGAGAGGCTGCTGCAGGCGGTGCTGCTGCTGGAGAAGCGGGAGCGGCGGGAACGGCAGTTGGTGAAGCTGCTACTGGTGCTGTTGGTAGAGCAGGGGCAGCTGGAACTATGGCGGAGGGTGCAGCTGCTGGTGCTGCTGGCGCTGGAACTATTGCGGGATATGAGGCGATGCAAAGAGGAATGGGTGAGCGCGGAACTGCTCCAGCGGAACAACAACCATATGAGCAGTCGCAGGTACCACCAGGTGAGCAGCCAGGCGCAGGCCAAGAACTGTGGGACGAGGATGAGGATCCCTGGGGCCATGGGAATGACCCGTGGGGAGGGGGTTCGGGAGATGAAGGTGGTGATGGAGGTGATGGAGACTGGTTTTGATGAACCATTGTATTGTTGGCATTTTGTATAAAATCTTACGTGTCCAGGGGACATAACTACGTGGATGGTGTCCTGAGATCTAGCGTCATGTTGGCGATCTTATTTACGCGCCTTTGGGTGGTACACTCTCTTATCTGCACAAATACGACCGTTTAATATCAACTAGTTATGTAGACTTACGCGGGTAAGAAGTTACATCTTTCCCGCTCTTTCTATGTTGCAATGAGTCGGATGTCATGCCTCTTGCAACACTTCCCATGTCTATATCCCTGCACTTAGAAAGAGGGAACATTAAGACTCCTGATGGTGGTGGGTTAACTACCAGTCTTTCTATCATCCACGCCTGATTAGTGAAGCTCTATAATCCTGCATACAGTTGTTCACCAAAGTCCGAACTTCTGTAGAAAGGCGTTAAGACTACCTATCGGAGTCCTCGAACGTTTTATCTTGGGTCACACTATTCTCTGACAAACTTGTGAGACCAAACATGCGGAGAATTATATAAGATCTTAGTTTCAAGGGATGGCAGTTTTGAAACGGGCTCCATCAACATGAAAAACGCCCACTACCACGACGCGCTGCCTGAGGATGCTCATAGGACACAGACCCATGTTCGTGGCCATCGCGATCGGCACTTTGATCTCCCCGAGAACGAGTCTCGGTTCCTCTTGGACTTTTCTCTAGACACAGTGATCTCCGATTGCCCAATGGAGGTTGGAAATGACACAAGCCACCGTCAGACATGCCAAGGGCCTAAAACCATAGCTAATCCTAAAATCATCCCAACGCCAAACGCTCTATGCTACGTCGCTTTACCACTTCTTGCAGTGTCGAGGGTGTGATTGTGCCACGGAAGGCAGTTGTAGGAGAGAAACGTGTCTCGTCTGAAGCGTTGCTTGTCTGGAGCGGGCTGGAACGAAGTCACGATGGCAATTACGTGGTCTACATACCAACAAAGGGTTCAGCTGTTCGAGGGCCATGACTCGTGAACGACTTGCTGATGGTGATGGTCCACCCACATTCTCCGATAAGGCTTCTAGATATCCGCTGACTGTTTCTGCTGCAGAAATATGTCCTAAGGGGTCCTTCTGCGCCCAATGTGAAGGCCTAGAGTTGCTAAGCTTCATGGCTTAAATTTAACTTCCTCTTGGGGCGTTACAAACTTCTTGATTGCCAAGCATCATGTTCGCATTATTCGTCGACATGGGACTCCTGGCCGTAAAACGATATCCAGTGTGTACCTGCATGCCACGAGTGTGGAGAAACATTGTTAGCTCACATACCCCCGACCTTAGTGGTGTTCCTGGCCGACAGGCAACTGGGATGTTAAGTCTTGCCTTGGTATCATCATGGGGCTTTGGAGCCGCCTTTTGACTCTGTTCCTTGTTGGCAAGACGAGTCTTTTGCCAAAATCCTGCCACTTATTTTACGGCTTGCCGCGCCCAATGTGACTAACAGCATGGATGCAAAAAGTCTAGCTCCCAGGGGGAGTATGTCAGACACGGCCCGATTTCCTGGACATGGCTAGCCAGCCCTATATAGGATGACGGAACTACATAGGAGGCTTACTATTATCAGATTCTTTCTGATCAGTGATTTTTCTCTTGTTCCCTAATTGCAACGTGCAATTAGTCCATTCTTTCTTTATTTTTTGTCACTCATTTATTTGGAGCGTTGCATGCTCCAGCCATTCATTTACCATGCGTATCTTTTCGAAGCTGGCCGTTGCGATAGCAGGTGTGCTCGCTGCTTGTTCATGGGCACATCCGGTCACTAGATTGCACGGAAGAAGCATTGTCATCGGTCCCTCGAACAGTATCAATGGCACGTACAATGCACATCCTCATTCGGGGAAGGGTCCTTCGACGACCAACGGTCCTTTGCAGACCCAAGGAACTGCACAGCTGCCATTGTCGATTGTCAATAATTTCAGCGGAAGCTCAGTCAACCTCTATGTCACTGGCCTTGACGACAACAACCAACTTGTAATGCTTCAGCCTGATGGTAGCTGGTTCTACCCGGCTGGAACCAATGGAACCACAATTCCTCTGCCTATTACAGGAAATGTCGCTATTCCGATCAGTGGTTTTGGAACCGTCACCAATCTCACCTTACCGAGCTACATATCATCCGCTCGTGTCTGGTTCGCTGAAGGTAACCTCGAGTTTTATACCGTTACGGTCGACAATATTCTGTCTCTGGTCGAGCCCTCCGCTGTCAACCCTGACGATGCCAGTGCAGACGTCAACTGGGGGTTCGTCGAGTTGACTAACACCGAAGACGCCGGAATATACGCAAACATTAGCTACGTCGACTTTGTCGGCCTCGTGTTGGGAATGGAACTCCTTACTGGGAATGGGAGCATCAAAAGTGCGGACGGCCTTGAATCCGATGCAGTCGCCCAAATATGTTCCGACTTGCAGGCCCAAGCCGCCTCGGATGGCCAGCCATGGGATAAGCTCTGCGTGACGGACACCACTGGCAATCCTCTCCGCGTGATGGCGCCGACAGACTATATTGGCTCAGATGCCACGGCCTTCAGCGACTACTGGTCCGACTATGTTGACAAAGTCTGGACACGGTACACCAATTCCACACTCACCATCAACACGCAATCGGGTGCGGGAAATGTCAACTGCACTGTCAGAGGCGACCAGCTCACCTGTGCTGGCGACAATCGAGGCTACTCGAAGCCCGTTGCCAGCGACATATTCGGTTGCAACAGCGGTCCATTCTTGATTCAGGCCAGTGACAACGATATTCACAAAGCTGTGGTACCCCGTCTCTGCGCAGCCTTTAATCGTTCTACCCTCCTTCTATCCGGCGGCAACGTTCAGCCCAGTCTGGGCTCTAACTACTACTACACCGTATCTCCGACAAACTACTACAGCAAGATTGTGCACAAGTACGAGAGCGATGGCAAGGGGTATGCATTCTCATACGATGATGTCAATCCGACTGGCGGAGACGACCAGTCTGGTTCTGTCACTGATGCGGATCCCCAACTGCTTACTGTCTATGTTGGTGGGCCCCCGTCGTCTTAGATGCTGTGCATCGATCTTCGTGTACATGATTTGATTTCTCTTGTGCCGTATCATATTTCATTGTATCTTGTAGTCTTGTGTCAGTATATGAGTTGTCTGTCGGAGGATTGTCTGTTATATATATTGGATTTCGTTTCTTTTTTTTCTTTTTTTTTATATATATATTTCAACTTGATGTAGTTACCATTCTGTGAAGCAGTTTATCTGTTCTATAAGGAAGACTTGATGCCAAAATGATATTCTCTCTTTTCGGGCAACCTTCGTCCAATAACGCTATTCGGAAACATTGCACGGTATATGAATATTTTGTTATAAGATAGAGAAATCTCCGTTCCGTCCGCGTATGGGCTATACATTTGATTACGTGATCTACATAAATCGAGGAGGAATAGTCTCATCCTAAGATTTTGTCCATTCAGAACAAGATTGTTGTTTGCCATGGTTTAAAGTTGTGGGAAATATAAATCATATCTAGATTGTGGGGTTATTATCTTTGGTTGTATTGTACAGAGAATAAGAGGAGCTGTTTGTTGGAAATTTATACATAGCGAGCTTGAGGCAATAAAAGTGCAGGAGTTATTGATTGGAAGATGACTGAATGATATGTCTACCATAAGTTAATTATGCTGCGCCACTGAATAATTATTATTTCTGGGTGGTAGAGATCGGTAAGTTTTGGATACGGCGATGAGGTCCCTTGGACGTCGATCGATGCCGGCCATCCGCTTATGGAACACTACTGCCGATACGGCCTCCGCGGACGGAGGTCGCCAAGGTCTCAGGAACTGTCCTCTCTGCTCATCTCTGACCTTTCTACCTCTCTTATAAGAGTGCTATCATTCCTACATACCCTTCTCTTTAAATACATCTATACACCCCCTCGCTGACATTCCTTTTCGCCACTGCTCTTCCTGCGAGTACCTTCAACCAGACCAATACCCCACTTCCGCAGTCGGCGCGCTGAGTACTTAACCGCCAGAGCATCCGCAACACGAGATCACTTTCCCTCTCGCGTCCACTTTAGAACGAGACACAATCGCAATCTCATTATGGCGTCCTCAGTAGCGCAGAAGCGACTCTTCCATGAGTACCGCAACCTATCCGTGAACCCTCCCGAGGGCATCACTGCCGGTCCCGTCAACGAGGATGACATGTTTCTCTGGGAGGCGCTTATTCAAGGACCGGAGGGCACTCCCTTTGAAGGAGGAGTGTTTGCTGCAGAGCTCAAGTTCCCGAAGGATTATCCGCTCAGTCCCCCTACGATGAAGTTTGTTGGTGGTGGAGTGTGGCATCCGAATGGTGAGCATACCTAGCCCTATTTGCTTTGACCGGCTTTGTGGATGGTTTATAGCGATGAGAATTGAGAAACTGACATCGTTGTGCCTTGATTTAGTATATCCCAATGGAACTGTGTGTATCTCCATCCTCCACCCGCCTGGCGATGACCCCAACCACTACGAGCACGCCTCCGAGCGATGGTCGCCTATTCAGAGTGTTGAGAAGATTTTGATTTCTGTTATGAGTATGCTTGCGGAGCCGAATGATGAGAGTCCCGCCAACGTAGAGGCCGCGAAGATGTGGAGAGAGAGGAGGGATGAGTATGAAAAGAAGGTTAGGGAGGAGGTGAGGAGGGGACTGGGGCTGTGATACGTCTTCATGAGTGACATTCGATCATGCGCTTTGGCCAGCGTGATGCTGTCGCATGTCATGAGTTGGTCGAGCATTCATTGCGGGCGTTATGTGGCGTTCTTCGATTATCCTGATGCTCTGCTGTTCTCGGTAGGGTGCTGTTAGACTTGATACCTCCTATCATTATTATACAGCGAGGAGTTATGAGAGGTGGTTCTCTACCGTTATCTATTATATTGATATTATACGACAGTGAGAATATAGACTTAGAGATACTTCCGAATCTGCTGGTCGATCCACCCTTCGAGACCTTGGTCTCGGTCATACAGCACTTCCGTTTCAGCCTTCAAATTGAGCATGAGCATTTGCTGCAGTTCAGTCCGCCACTGCGGCTCTGGTCCGTCCTCCGCAAAAACAGGGTTATTTCTAAGTATAGCAACTGCCTTCTGCCTGTCTCTTACGCTTAGTGGCATCAGCGCCTCGTCTCCTTGCGGGTCAGCGCCGGCTACTACGTCTGATGTCCGCAGACCAAGCCAGCAGATACCAGACACGTTGAGCCTGGCATTCTCGTGCGCCTGTGTCATTGAGCCGTACTTGTATGTGGACATGATTGCCATTCCGTCAGGATCGCTGTCCACAAGAGCATACAAATGCGGAGTGTCTTGCATGAAGGACTTGGTTTCTGAAAGGAGACGGATGAATGCGCGAGTGTTGATGTCGGGATAGCCTTTTCCCTGTCATTCGATGAGCTTCGAAAACAGCAAGTTTTGTTTGCAGTCTTACGGTTATGATGATTCCTTTTCCGGCCCTTGAGGAAATATGATAGCGGCTTCGTGTCAATCTGTGAAAGATAGCCTGTCGTATTGATTAGACGCCAGCATGTATTGTATACCTGAGTCCGAACAACTTGCCTCTTTTTCAACTATTAGCACCCATCGTATATCGAATATTATGATCTCGTCAACACCTTCTGCGTCGGGGATGAGAAAATCCTTCTCGATTTCAGTACCAGTCATCGGAGGATCATCTTGCATAAGCTAACCTCGGATGCTGCACCAATATCTAGGATGTTCCCCAATTTTAAGGCCAGAGAGAAGTCACCTGCCATTAGTCCTTTCGCTGCTGCTGTCTTTGATTCCGCATTAGATTTCCAGACCTGAGTTTTCCCTTTACACAAACTTACCACGTGAAGAGCAGCACGGTCGACCCCAATAGTATACGCTATGTCGTCTACAAGGGTATCGACAACTCGCTGGGAACCGAAGTAGATGGGGTCACTATAGTATATATCTCTTGAAGAGTGATAATTAGACAAGTCGCCATCAAGCATGTATATGGGTCATGGCGGTACCTCTTCGACGTCGTGATGTTGTTGCGAAGTGCGTCTGCAATGACTCCTAGTACTCGAATCGACACAGCTATTGAAGTATTAACGTCAAAAATCTTAGCGTGTATACTTATCCATCGCGAGCTGAGTCCGTACTGAATCTCCACGCTTCATAAGCACTGTCTCCAGGCCACGAGTACATTATTGCTTTATCCTCTTCGCGGGCTTCGAGAGCTGCATTGTGAGGATTGATAAAGTAATCTCCGCGGTTAGATCGTCGTTTAAGGAGGATAAATGGTCGTCCGTTGGGTTTCATAAGCTCGTCAACTGTGGTTTCGAGGAGTTGGCTGATGAAGTTTCGGACACGGTCTTCTGGTCGTTGCTCTGCATTGCTGGAGGGAGGGGGGCCTGAGTTTGGGGATAGAACAACAGGATAGCGACTACTGGGGAAAGCCATATTGAATGGAGGATATCCGAGGACAGTTTGAGTACTGTACTAAGCTCCGTCTCTTTGTGAATAAGATGATGTCGGGAAGTTTGGCATTGACACACAGCAGTATTGCCGCCCACCCATCTATGAATGCTTTTCGCGGTCCTTACCTCCAGACATGCTACTACAGCAATAATGAAAATTAAAAACAAATGATTTACAAAGAAAATGTTAGAGCATTCACATAATTGTAAATACGTCAAATAAAAAGAGTCCCAGGTCCATGTAGATTGTACCCCTAACTGCACAAGGGAGTGAGCATCAATGTGCTCAACAGACAAACTATTGTCTGAAAACAAACTATCATATATCGTCTGATCATAACATTTTGTCTCATATAAGCGCTGCTCGTCTGAAGATTGTACGGTTGTTGATGGTGAATTAGCGCCATCTGCTATCTAAGCGCGGGCGTGGGAGGATTTAGACCAATCACAAGCCACAACCCCTGATGACTCAGCTGAAGAAGGACAATTGTGGATCTGAAGCTTCATCTTCCCCCCGGAAACCAGGCAGTTGTATTAATTCCAGGGACCTCCCAGAGCCGACTCAATTGCTTTGCTTCCGTCGAGATACTTGGAAACGAGCATCCTTGGAGAGTAGGTCGCCGCGGAATGAGTCTTGCTGTCCATTTCTGAGTACAACAAGGGGCTTCATATTCCAAAATGTCTCAAGAAACCCAACAGATTGCCAACAGCCATATCGGTCCTTGGAGGACCGAGGCCCAGGGCCATCTGACCACCGATGAGAACGGCGATCCCAAAACAGACTATTCGCGTTGGAGACTTCGTGATGACAGTGGCCGTCAGACATGGCATTATCTCGAGTCTGACGATGAGAACAATGCATGGCCTCAAACAGTGGCCGACAAGTATCATCTTGGGCTTCCTACGGTATGCATCACTTTCTCCATGCATTTGATTGGTTCAAGGAGAATCTGAGACTGAATCTACCACAGGGATTGCCCGAGCTACCCCGGGCGACTACTCCGCTGCAGGCAGCCGAGAATGGCTTGTCTTTCTTCTCTCAGTTGCAGCTAGAGCCGGGAAACTGGGCGTGTGAGTATGGTGGTCCAATGTTCCTGCTGCCAGGTATCATCATCACTTACTATGTCACAAACACCCCAATCCCGCCGGAGTATGCAATTGAGATCAGACGATATCTGTTCCATCGGCAGCATCCCGTGGATGGTGGCTGGGGTCTGCATATTGAGGCTCACAGTTCGGTCTTCGGCACGGCAATGAACTACGTCACCTTGCGTCTCCTTGGCGTGAGTGAGGAAGACCCCCGTATGGTGAAGGCGCGTGGTCTGCTGCACAGCTTTGGAGGTGCCATCTATGGACCTCACTGGGCCAAATTCTGGCTCAGCGTGCTTGGTGTCATGGACTGGGAGTGTGTGAACCCTGTTCCTCCTGAGCTCTGGTATGTTTAGTTATCTTTGATGATGCTTCGCTGTTCTTTAAACTCATTTCATGTCTAGGCTCCTTCCAGACTGGGTTCCTTTTGCTCCTTGGAGATGGTGGATTCATATGCGCCAGGTTTTCCTCCCTATGGGTTACCTGTGGTCGAAGAGATTCACCCATCCTCTGGACCCGCTCACCAAGCAGCTTCGGGAAGAGCTCTATACGCAGCCCTATGATAGCATCGATTTTGCTGCCCATCGTTGCTCCATCGCTGAAGCCGACAATTATTACCCAAAGACTTGGATCCTCAACGCGGCTAACTGGTTCCTCGTGAAGCTCTGGAACCCTTATCTTCGACCATCCTTCGTGAAAAAGCGTGCAGAGGACTGGACTTGGGAGCTCATCCGGATGGAGGATGAGAATACTGATTATGCGGGACTCGGGCCAGTCAACAACCCGATGAACATGGTAGCCTGTTACCTGCATGATGGTCCAGATAGTTACTCTGTCCGTCGCCACCGTGAGCGTCTGAACGACTATATGTGGGTGAAAAACGAGGGTATGCTGGCCAATGGCACCAACGGAGTGCAAATCTGGGATACTGCCTTCATAACGCAGGCCATTGTCGTGGCCGGGTTTGCAGATGATCCGAAATGGAGACCGATGCTTACCAAGGCCCTGGAATTCTTCGAAGATCATCAGATTCGCGAGAACGTCCCAGATCAGGATAAGTGTTACCGCCAGCACCGTAAGGGCGCCTGGCCATTCAGCACAAAGACTCAGGGATACGTAGTCACCGACTGCACGGCGGAAGGGCTGAGGTCTACAATTCAGCTTCAGGAAATGCACGGCTATGAGAAGATCATCTCCGCTGAACGTTTGAAGGACGCCGTTGACTGCCTGTTGCTCATGCAGAATCCGTCTGGAGGCTTCAGTGAATACGAAAACGCGCGTGGTTCAGAGAAGCTGGAGATGTTGAATGCTGCCGAGGTTTTTGGTGGTATCATGGTTAGCCATGACTACCCCGAATGCACAACTGCCACTGTGACGGCTCTGTCCTTGTTCAGCCAGTTCTACCCAGATTATCGCGCTGACGAGATCAGGGCCGTGAAGGAAAAGGCCGTGAAGTTTATCAAACGCGTGCAGAGAGCTGATGGTAGCTGGTACGGATCGTGGGGCATTTGCTTCACTTATGCTGCCATGTTCGCCCTCGAGAGTCTCACCAGCATTGGAGAGACGTACGCTACTAGCGACTATTCGCGTCGTGGTTGCGAGTTTCTGCTGTCGAAGCAGAAGGAGGACGGAGGTTGGGGCGAATCCTATCTTAGTTCTGAGAGGCACGTTTACGTTCAGCACCAGACCTCTCAGGTCGTGCAGACTGCCTGGGCCTGTCTTGCTCTCATGGAGGCCGAGTACCCCAACCCAGAGCCCATCCGCAGAGGTATCAAATTGATAATGTCGCGACAGCAGATGAATGGTGAATGGCTGCAGGAGGCTATCGAAGGTGTTTTTAACCAGTCTTGGTATGTATAACGCTGTGCTTCTCGAGATTCGTCGGATGCTAATCAACACTAGCATGATTTCATACCCGAATTACAAGTTGTACTGGCCCATCAGAGCCTTGGGTCTTTATGCCAAGACATTTGGCAATGAAAGCATCTGACCGAAAATGTTGCCGGTTTGATATGAAAAGTCTCTGCTTTCCTACACTATTGCCCCTCTCATGTCTATGGGGAGATGTAACAATAGCTCTTTATTAATTTCTAATATGTTCATAACGAGATCTTCCATCTGGAATCTTTTTTCCCCAGAGTTTCTTCTATTCAACTACTAGTGTCTTGTTAGTGATATCTCTTAAGCATATTATCTGCTAATGATAACTAGGATACTACGGGACGTCTATAACTGCTCAATTACTGACAATCTCTCTCAATTATTATGGCCCAATATTTATTGTTTGATGGCTCTATCGATAAGATACCGTTGGTTAATCCAATCACGTGCAGAGCTTGGAGCTTCCCCGCAAGCTCCGAGCTCCGAAGAAAGCGGTAGAACAGAGCTCCAGACTGCGGACGATTCTCTTTGTTTTCACAAAAACATGAATTCTGGAAGCCTCCAAGCTCTGAGAAATATCTCCTAACTTTTCTGTTGTCTCTTATTACGCTAGGTTTGTCTCTCTTCCTCGGACTACTGTCTGGCTCAACAGTGCCAGAAGATACACAGACCCCTCATCAGCAGAATCACCGCCGCGTCTGTGATAGTGATAGTCGCGTGAGACACGAACCGTGAGATATGAATTTCGCAGGGAAGGGCGATGACGCCCTAGCGAAATCTGACTGGGCTTCTGCTATACAGAACTTCACTCGCGCCCTCCTCGAACTACCCCGCGCTCCGACCTATTACATCAAACGATCCACTGCTTACTCGCGTCTCAAGCCTGCGGATGGAGGTCCAAAGTACGAGGCTGCTCTTGGAGATGCTGACATTGCTCTTGTGCTTGCTCGTGAGCGTGGAAAGCGTGAACTGATCCTGTCTGCCCAGATGAGGCGTGCTGTTGCGCTGTACCAGCTTGAGAGGTACGGCGATGCAGCATATATTTTTGGTCTCGTTCAGGACAAGATCAATGCGAGCAAGCCGCCACCAAGCAAGGAGAATGATGTGAAGGAGGCTATGGCTCAAGGTGGTCCGGGACGTTCTTCGAAGAACTCATTTGAGCAGGAGTTGCCGATCTGGACGATGAAGGTCAATGGCAAGCTGAAGAGCTTGGCGGAGGGGGATGAGAAGAGGGCCGTTACAGTCAAGGAATATCCTGAAAATGTGCACATCCCTACTGCTGAGGAGATCAAAAAGAGCTTGGAGGGAATCGGTGAGGGGACGTCGAAGAGTGCAGTGGATGACAAGAAGGCAGCCGCAGGAAAAGAGAGAGCTGAAACTCCTGTCGGAGCGGACCGTACCAAAGAGACCCTCCTTGATCCTGTTCCTGGATCCTCTGCTCCTTTCACTGCAGGACCGGCTGCTCCAAGCCCTGCTGCGTCGACACCCATTGTGCCCCAAAGCAAGGTCCGCCATGAATGGTATCAGAGCAACGATTCCGTGGTCCTCACACTGTACGTGAAGGGTGTGCCGAAAGATAAAGTGGAGGTCGAGTTTAAGGATGATTCGGTACGTGACTCGCAAAAATCACCCGTCTACTCAATGACTTATGAGCATACTAACAAAGGGCCTGAATAGATATCTATCGAATTCCCACAGCCATCTGGCGCCCAGTTTACCTTCTCCCTCGACCCTCTCTTCGCGGCGATTGACCCTTCTGCCTCTAAATACACTGTCATGTCCACCAAGATCGAAGTCGTCCTGCGCAAGAAAGTCGCTGGTCAGAAATGGAGCGTCCTCGAGGCCACCTCCACTGAGAAGCTCGCTGATCGCTCCTCTATCGCATCTGCCGCACCCAGTACCTCGACCACTGCTTCTAGCTCTACCGCCCAGGGTCCCGCATACCCGACCTCCTCCCGTCACGGCGTTAAGGACTGGGACAAACTAGCTACCGATCTCACTTCCAAGAAGAAAGAAAAGTCCAAGGACAAGGATAACGGCAAAGGCAAAGCCAAAGACGACGCCACTGGCGATTCTGACGCGGAGTCCATCGATTCCGACTACGGTTCCGGCGACCCTGTCGATGGTTTCTTCAAGAAGCTATACGCGAACGCGGACCCCGACACCCGTCGTGCGATGGTGAAGAGCTATTACGAGAGCCAGGGCACCGCGCTCAGCACGAACTGGTCTGAGGTCGGCAAGGGGAAAGTCGAGCCCAAGCCTCCTACTGATTAAATTACATCAAATCCAACAACCAACGGAAGTTTGCTTTTTCTTCGAGATATCATGACGTGCCATGAGACAGCGAGACGAGACGAGAAAAGATAATGAGATGACCTGAAAAGCGAAATTCCCCACTTTGCATGCACATGGAGTAATGGTAATGGAGGCTGCTGGTTCTTGCTATGTCAAGACTATTTCTTTTTCTTAGCAGCAGCGGGGTTATTGTGACACGCGTTACTTATCAGGAAGCTGGCCTATGGTGCAGATCCTAATATGGAAGTGAGCGTGTTTGATATTCGACTTCAATTTCTTGTCTTTAATAGCTTTTTGATATTCGTATGTACGAGTATTTCAGACCATAAGGGGGTAAAAAAATACAAATCTTAGCTAGTGAAAGCACCATATCCATATCCAACTCCAGTAATAACAGTATAGATGATCCTGATTATCATCGCCACGTAAACGCCTTGAGCCCGTATAGATAGCTTCTTTATATCCCCGAGATTTCAAGTAAGATCGAAACATTAACCATCACATCCACCGTCTATTATGAACATGGTTTTCCTTTTCTCTCAATGACTCATTGAGACCCCCTTGTGAAAACAGCGGTCAGGCTACCACATGTTGATCTCCGTTCTTTCTATAGAGGAAGAACTGCACGAAGATGCCCAAGTCTAGTAGTAAGGTTCCAAGACTACCGAGCAACCAGGATAGATTGACCAGGATATATTTACCGTAGAGGGAAGCTGCCTCTCCAGGTTCGCAATGGTGTTTTCCATGCTCGCAGGGAGGCGAGTATGCGAAGATCGAGAGCACGTAGGTCAAGTTTCCAATGCAGGCGAATAGGAAAAATAGCATAGACACTCCCTCAGTGGACTTCCGACGGAAGTTCAGCAGCAGTTGGGGAAGGCGCGAACCAAGGTAGAGGGCTGCGCAGAGGTATCCGAATACCTGGCCCAGAGTATCGAACGTCAAGGGCTCGTGGGATGCATGGCCCTTGTGCTTCTTGGTATGCTGACTAGTCGAACGGGAGCTGACGTACCATCCGAGAATACCGGCAGCGCAGACGAGGACTATGGCAGAGCTGTTGAAGAAAAATGCTTGGAGAGTAGAAGGCTTTTTGGATGGAGCCTGAGATGGAGATGGTTCGATGAAGGGGGTCGCGGGGGATAGATGAGCTGCGTCGGTGGTAGAGAGCCGGCGCTGCACTTGCGGGTGCAATAGTGAAGATGTATCCTCATGGCGTCCATTCGCACGGCCATTACCGTTCTCAAGGTTATTTCCCAGCAGCGCTGATCGCTCCGTCGGCGTTGCGTTCTCTCGATCTCTCTGGTGATCCTTCACGGGGATATTATCAGATAACGTAAAACCACGGTAGTAGAAGCACTGCCCAAGCAGTACGATATCCGCCAGTGTATAATATACGGCGAGGATGGTCATCGTAGGCAGGACGCCCTGCAGCACTGCGCCTAGAATATTGAATACATCTCCGGCGAGCCAGACGACGACGAAGAGCACCGATAGTCCATCTGCGGAGCTGCGGCGGAAGTTTTCGATGATCTGTGGGGAGAAGACGACGACCCAGCAGGCAATGGAGATGGAACTATGGGACAAGCAATACAATACGTTAACCGTTTGCACGCATGCTATGACTCAAAAGAATATGGGTGGGAGTGGTTATGGGAAAAGGTATGCTGAACGAATATAGACCTGCAGAAACATACCCACAGATACCACTGAGGGCTTCAATGTCAATATTGCCCGCCTGCGGGGGGAACATTGTGGGATTGCGAGGATAGTAGAGCTCTATGCGATGCGATTCCGACAGACGTTCCAGTTAATCCCACTAGAATGCTCGCGCTAGGACAACATGGGAGGGAGGGAGAGAGGAGAGAGAAAGGTCCACGGAAGGAAATAAGATAAATGCGGCAACAATATGGGATGAACCATCCACGTCTATTCTCCTGATGATCAATTGAGTGTCTAGATGGAAGATAGGATGGAGAATTGGAATCCCCGCGGTGCGATGACGTCCAGGAACAAATTTCTGTCGTACCCACGTGACGAAAATCTGGGGTAGATCGGCGGCCGAGATTTGACTCCGATACTTAAGTAGGGCCGGACTTAGTTGTATATTTTTTTTTCTGTTCATCATAGACATCAGCTAACTCCTTCAACTATTTCGGGCATTCTGATACATTAAATTAAAATGTGTCCCTATGGAAAAGAGAATATGATTCACTCTAGACCTACAATTACTAACATGAATGCTCCCTTCTCTGCCGTAGGTGATGCAGGATTGAGAACCACGCAATTCTATAAGCATCGAACCAATGAGCAGCTTCAAAAGAAGGACTCTAATCGAAAATGCATGCGTTTCATCTGGACTGTTCCTACAGGTAAAAAGCGTTGCTCTGAGACAGTTTTACTCTTCAAGGAAAGGAGTCACGAGCTGTTCTAATTTATCCTGCATGTCGCAGAATATACTGATTGCCTTCAATTCCTAGCCTTAGCCTAAGCAATGCACATGGATTGATTCTAGGACTTACCTGGGCAAGCTTTCCCGCACTTTCACCATTGAGATCTCTCGCAAACGCCAAACGATACGCAGCGGGATCATTAAGGTAAGACATCTTTGCTTTCGGTACGGGTTCGATCGCACTTCCATCCTGGTCGAAGAGAGAAGGGGTAGTCGGTGCTGAGCCAGGGCTTGCTAACTGCTCAAGAAGACCAGGCGCAATAGTAATGTGGTCGACTCCCTTTAGTGCAAATATCTCCTCGGTCGACGTCAGACTAGCTGGCAGAACTTTAGTTTTCGTGACTGCGACAGCCTTGTAGTAGCGTTGAACGGAGACACAGAATGATAAGAGTTTAGCAGGATCCACGAATCTGAAATATGGAGGTCAGTGTTATTACAGCGTTGTTTGAGGAATACACACAACTCACCCTGGTTGGAAATGTACTTTTAGCTGATTGACATATGGAGCGATGTATGTGCAGCCGACTTCTGCTGCTAGAGCAGCTTGGCATAGGGCGAATAAAGTGGTGGCCAGTGTCGGGATTCCCTCCAGTTCAAGTGCGCGGCAAGCCATCAAGCCCTCCCAGGTACTGGGGATCTTGATGCAAATCCGAGACGGGTCGAAGCTTGGGTTTAGGTAGAGGAAAATACGAACAATCCCTGTAAGTTCGATTAGTGACCAGAACGGTATAGATTTTTCAGATAGAAAATTTCTACTCTGTGAATTCAAGATCGTCTTTTCCGTGGAGTAAGAATAATACGGATTCGTTTGTATGTGAACACGACCGGTGAGGTGTGGTGCAATCTTCAAAGCTAACCGGACCATCTAAAGTAGGAAAATCAGCCATAAATGCGCCTAAATTCACTAGGAGCACAGAGAAATACCGCAATTTCGATTGTCAATTCTGCCAGACTAATACTCGGAGAGTGTTCTGAGTTGGTGAGATCCTTTGCGTCCTTCACTGAAGCACGAAGCAGGTCCGCATGCTTCGGTTTCGAAAGTTCGCCATATGCAATTGCCTATATTGATCTGATGTCAATATCCCATATCTACTATCAAGAACATGCATATAAGGGATTCTGACCTGGTTGGAGGTACAATCCTGGAATTTTCCCAGTTTCTTTGCCACTATCCGTGATATCAGCTTCTCTAGACTTCGGCTGATCTTGGATGGCTGTTATCAGATCTGCCTACCTTCTTCATCCATTGTGTCGCAATCAACGATGGTTGCTTCCCGGAGAACCTCCAGCCCGGTTCGTTCTGAGGCCATTTTGTCTGATGTGAGTAAGGTTGGCAACTTTAGTTGCAGTGCAGTGACAAAAAGACAGGATAGCAAGAGAGAGATCTCTGAGAAATCCTGGTAGAAATAAAGAAACGTCGGAGATAGAATAGGCTAAATTCGCAGATTGGGGAACCCCGCTATTATTCTAGTCATCTGATACCGTATGCATGGAAGTCCCGAAATGGTAAGTCTACCGGACGACGACAACAACATGGGTAAGCCAGAATGCGCCTTTGAAGCTTTATTGAAGATTTAGCGAGGAGTACTTTTGTTCTTTTGAGGCGAGAACATTACAGTGTAGTTATGAATGGGTTCCTCATTCAATACTTAACTGCCAGTTCTTGACCTCAAGTTCTACATTTTTAGAGTAAGATGGGTTGTAACTAAATCGAGTAAAGTAAAATGGGAATATCGACTGACAATAACAATATCCAAGGTGAAACCCCTTACAGGTTTCCAGCTACATCATCATGGTTGGTAGGAGTTGAGATATCCTTCCACCCATCCAAGAGGGTGATCGTCTCCTGGCACTTGGCCCTGATGAGCTCGTACGAATCCGCACCCAATGCCAGCCTGATCGGGATGTCCTTCCCAGCTGCGGTACTACATTGTGTAAGAACATCGATGATGACCTTACAGCCCTTGGCAATATCTCCCGGCTGCTTCTGGTCCAGGGCTTCTAGCATCTGCATTCCCTTTCGTGCAGCGGCACCATCATAGTCTGCAATGTAGTTCTGGATAACAGATCGATTGCCTCCGTCCAGAAGCTTGGATCTGAAAAATCCAGGTTCGATGCTGATGGTCCTTATTCCGAATTCGGCAAGTTCACTGCTCATAGCCTCTGAGATTCCAGCGACTGCCCATTTCGATGCGCAGTATATACCTACTCCAGCAGGACCTGTCCAGGCGCCAATGCTGGAGAAGTTTGCAATGACTCCGGATTTCTGGGCCCGTAGGTAAGGCAGGAATGCTCTATTGATATTGAGGAGACCGAAGACGTTGGCGTTGAATTGAGAGTACGTCTCTTCTGGGCTATTGCGAAGATTAGCTTTTTATCCTGCAAATTTCCCAATATTAGGATGAACTTCCCTTGTCTCTTCAATAGATCCTGAGCAAAGGTACCCGGCGTTGTTAACCAAGATATCGATTCTGTCATAAACGGCATACGCCGTAGCCGCAGATTGCTTCAAAGATCCCAAATCTGCCGTAACATCGAGGGGCAAGATCTTCGCTCCTTCGGCCTCGAGGTCTGCCAGCTTGGAAACATTGCGGGCTGTCGCAATGACCTTGTCGCCTCTCTTCAGGGCTTGAAGTACGAGCTCTCGGCCAAAACCAGTTGAGCACCCGGTGATAAACCAAACGCGAGGAGACATCGTTAACGATGAACAGAATTAGAGTATATATAGAACAAGAGAGAGTCTGGAAAGGGCGGAGATTAGAGAAGCAGAACAGATATAAATATGCCCAAACCTCATACAAAGACACGGCCGCTGGGCTGATCCAGAAAAAAGTAGTCGCATCGGCCGCATCCCCGCATCAAGTATTATCTTACATTACATTAAAATCTTACACGGTCTTGCTAGCCATCAAATTATCCATTGGGAAAGATGCATGAATAACTTCTACTTGTTCTATGCAGCCGATGACTCCGTCAAAGGCCGTTCAGAGTCCAATCGATGCGGAAGTATCAGAGACCGGAAGAGGATTCGGTCCTTTCCATCCTTGTAATTATAATTGATAAGGCGTTCAGCATAAGCGCTAGAGGAAGGAAACTATGGTCACTTGTCTTTAGGTATTTGACATTACTCATAACCTGAAAATGTAACATCTACAGACGACGCCACATGTGCGAATAGCGAGGTGGAAAAACAACGTATCTTTTTTATGGTTCGAGATCGAGTCTCCGTATAACGCCTGAAATGCAACGATCGAAATCATACAAGACAGTAAACATGCCACGGCTGAGGCACAAGCCTGCCGGTAGGTATCTATTTTGCGCCCTGCGCACTCGCTAACCAAGCCTCATGCGCCTTCTTCTGTCGTTCCCAATCTTTCCGCAGCTTCTTAGCACGGCTCTTGTTAATCTCCTCGCCGGCTGCGTCATGGGTTGGGATACCCTCTGCATCCCACGCGCTGTATTCATTTGTTCGGAACATCTCCAGGTGACTCAGCTTGCCTTTCTCCAACTTTTCACGCGCTTCTCTTTCCTTCTTCTCCTTTTCGAGCTGCTTCTGGCGAGCCCGCGCGGCCTTTTCCTCGCGAGCTTGAATGAGCTCCTTGCTGACAGGGCGGACCAATGCTGGCTTGTTGTCGCGATCCTCCAGGTAAATGCCAAGATCGAAGAGGTCAACATCTCGCACACGATCGCAGAGGCTTAAGATTTCCTTCTCGATATTACTAGACTGCTCAAGAGAAGACACTTTCGTCTTGAACTCAGACAAAACAGTAGCATAAGGCTTAGCATTTTCAGGGACCTCTTGTTCTGTCACCGACCCACGCGACACTATCTCCTGTATCTTCTCAGGGGTTAGTCCGGTCTTTGCCTTCGCGGCCTGACGGAGGGTGTCGCGCATCTCAGAAAGGGGATAGAGATAAGGCTTCGCTTCTTCTGGAACATCAATCCCAGACCAGCCGATCTCCGCACTGTCCGGTGAAGCAGTACCATTGAGACCAAAGGTATTCACCATGGAAGTGATCCAGCGCGCAACAGCTTCCACATCCTTAGCCTTCAATGTCTCCTTGTCTGCGCTATTGTACTTCGTAATGAGCTCCGAGATGGCATACATGGCTCCAGGAGTGTTAAACGAATCGCACAGATGTTCGCGAACAGTGGCCTTGGTAGACTCGAGAGCGGCAGCGAGAGTCTCGTCTGTGGCGGAGCCAGATTCCTCAAGAGCAGATGGGTCCTTCACCTTCAGGAAAAAGTTGTTCACCTTGTCCTCCCATGCGTTTCCAGCATTGATAAGGTCCTCCGTAATCTCAATGCCTTCCCTCCAACCGCCTAGCAAGAACACAATGCGCAGACTCCTTGGGGTCCAAGCTTTCTGTTCTAGTGCTTCACGGATTGTGGTGAAGTTCTTCAAACTCTTACTCATCTTGCTTCCTTGAATCGACAGATGACCCATGTGGAGGAAGTAGTTCACCCATTGCTCATGCGAATGGTCTTCGCACGACCAGAAGGCCTCACTTTGAGCGATCTCGTTGTCGTGGTGTGGGAAGGCAAGGTCAATGCCTCCAGAATGGATATCCATCTTTTTGCCGAATTTCGCAGACGCCATGGCGGAGCACTCAATATGCCACCCAGGACGACCCTTACCCCAGGGGCTGGGCCAGCTTGGCTCTCCTGGTTTAGAAGACTTCCACAAAGCAAAATCGGAAGGTGAGCGCTTCTCCGTAGTCTTGCTAGTCAATGCGCCTTCCCCTTCTGCGAGGAGCTTGTTATCGGTGCGGCTCCAAGGCTCCAACCTAGCATAGGGATTACCCGCAGCCTCAAAGGCATTGATGTCGAAGTAAACTGAACCATCCGCCGTCACGTAACCGAAGTTATTCTGAACGATCTTCTCGACGAAATTGGCAATCTCGTTGCCGTATTCCGTTACTCGAGTCAACTCGTCGGGGTCCAAAACATTCAAGTCTCTCATATCCTGCATAAACCTTTCTTCGTACTTCTTTGTAAGCTTGGTGAATATTGCATGATCTTCTCCGTTTATCATCGACCCTTTCAGCGAATCCAAGTAGGGAAGCAGGACGTCTTGAATGCTGTCGTAGAAGCTTTCGGCAAGAACCGTCTTTCCCGAGCCCTGGGCCTGCGCAATAGCCTTGGCCGCGGATGCAACAGTCTTGATGTGCATCTTGACCTTAGCTTCGTCGTCACCTGGCTTCTCGTTTCCAGGTAGGGGACCACCATTGAGCACGACTGCATATGCCTTCTCCACTTCTTCCTGGTATTTCTCCGGTGAGAGCTGCGGGTCGAGCAACGGGAGGTTCTTTTTGATGTAGGCCGTGTATGCAGATCTGGCGGTCTGGAGGACTTCCTCGTCGACAGTTGGGTGTGCAGAGACGAACTCAGAGAACAGATGCTGCTGTCGGCCTCGTAGGATAATCTAGAGGCGTTTAGTTCTTGCTGCGCCAATTCTCTGTTCGTTGTGAAGAAAAGCGTACCTTGTCATCCACATCCGTGATGTTCATAACGAACTTCACGTCGAACTTGAAATAGTCGCGCATTAACCGCCGAATAATATCAGTGCTCACATAATTGCGCGCATGCCCCAAATGCGCATCATCATATCTAGATGCAGAAGTTAGATACTCTGATATGGGACCAAGCCAGCAACTCCAAGGCGCCACTTTCGCCTGCAATACTCACACCGTCGGTCCGCAAGCATACCAAGTCACCCTCTTGCCCTCCGGATCCAAAGGAATGAACGGCGTCTTTGTCCTTGTTAACGTATTGTAGATCTTCAGCGGCGGCAGACGCGCACCGGCTTCCGCAGGGAGAGCCGGTTGCTGCCACGGCGGCTGCTGGCGCGAGGTACTCATGGTCCTCGGGAGAATAAACAAGGCAGTAGTCGAGGGTGGCCGCTGTCTGAAAACAGAGGTAAAGAAAAGAGCGCAGGGACGAGAGGAGAAACGCATAAAGGAACGGAGGGAATCAAGGAGGGGCTAAAGAGGGAGGGGTGACTCAAGGACAAACAGAATGCCGCCATCTTCAGCTCCGCCTGAACCAAACAACTGCGGAAGCTGATACGGAGAAGCACTGAGCCCTAAGCCCTATCTAGCCCGTTTTGGGCCATCTCCGTAGAAATCTTGCAAGACGTCAACTTTTGCGGGGGAAAAAGCGTGTACAGAACGAATTATTCTCCTGCCAGGGCCGTTGCGAGTTTCGAATAGAGGGAGATAATACCGGTTTCGCATCGGCCTATTTTCCGTCATCATGCCCTCTCCTTTCCTGACTCCTGGCAGGTCTTCGCAGCCAGATACGCTCGCTGTTCTTCATCTACGCAGAGATCAGCTTGTCACGACCGTTCTCAGGACATACGACGATGAAAATCTAGGATACGATGAAGGAAAAGTCACCAATACTCGCTTTGGATCTTATCCGCATAGTACCTTGCTCGATCAGCCATGGGGTTCGCAAATCGTCGCTTCGAAGGTCGATACCGGATCTCGCGGCCGGAGACAGCAAAAGCGCAAAGCAGATGATATTGATTCTTCAGGGGCGGCAGACGGAGTGAGGACAGCCAAAACTCCAGTCGCAGCAGCGAGTGGTTTCATCCACCTGCTTCCACCGACTCCAGAATCGTGGACTGCATCGCTGCCTCACCGAACCCAGGTTGTCTACACGCCCGACTACAGTTACGTTCTACATAGATTGCGCGCGCGACCCGGCAGCAGAATTATTGAGGCTGGAGCGGGCAGTGGTTCCTTTACACATGCCTCAGTTCGTGCAGTGTTCAACGGATACCCTGCCGAGGCACCTCCTGCGAAGCGAAGACGACTGGGCAAAGTTTGCAGTTTCGAGTTTCACGCTCAGCGCGTTGAGCGGATACAACAGGAAATAAAGGAGCATGGACTGGAAGGTTTGGTGGAAGTGACACACCGTGATGTTTACAAAGATGGTTTCTTGGTGGGAGACCCAAAGACGGGAGCATCACCCAAAGCCAATGCTATCTTTTTGGACCTACCGGCTCCTTGGCTTGCTCTCCCGCATCTCGTCCGCTCGCCTAGTAATGGAACAGAGTCCCCTCTCGATCCGTCATCAGCTGTGCATATATGTACATTCTCGCCCTGCCTGGAACAGGTGCAAAGGACAATCACAACTATGAGGCAACTTGGGTGGCTAAACATTTCGATGGTCGAGGTGCAACAGCGACGAATCGAAGTCCACAGGGAGTACATCGGACTGGAATATGAGGGTGTCCGCTCTGCAACAGTCTTCCCTAACTCAGTGGAAGAGTCGGTTGCGAGACTGCGTACCGTTGAAGAGCACGCCAAGCGCTATCGCGTGACAGCAGAACAGGGCGAATCTAGTGAGACACCCCTTCGACGACAAACGACGACCGGAGACGGTGAGACGGACAAGGGAGCGGCCGATCGGTCTAAGCAGCGGCCCCCTCCATACAACTCTGGTCGTCTGATCCATCGCACTGAACCTGAGATCAAAACTCATACCTCATATCTTCTTTTCGCAGTACTTCCACGTGCGTGGTCGGAAGAAGATGAAGAGAAATGTCGTCAGACTTGGCCCTCGCGCAAGAGTGACGCTGAAGCTGGGAAACCCAAGAGCAGAAGGCAGTTGAAGAGGGAAGAACGAGCCCAATATAAACAGCAGAAGGCCGCCGAGACTGAAAAGGCCTCGCAAGATGCTACTATAAAGGAGAAAGCCGACGACAAGACGAAAGACGTCGAAATGACGCAGTCATAGGAGCTGTCATAGCCAAGGACGATTTTGTATACTGAACAACATAATTATTTGCATATCTGGGTGTTCTGAGAGATCAAATTTCTTATATTAGACGGTTGTATGACGGCCCAAAAGCATTATTGGAATATATATGAGCTACTTCAGCTCATTGTGGCTTAATCCCAGTATGCAAGTACGTACGCGCAAATGGAAAAACGCGTATCACGCGACACTATATTATCATTTAGTGGAGGTATCAATGCTGTCGTATGATTATTATCTCTCTTAATTTATCTTTATCCTCCGCGATGGTTATTTGCCGACCCCGCCTCTAGAAATTGATGAGCCAGCATGATACCAGTCAAATATGCCCACCATTGCGTGTGCAGCCTTCTCCTAATAGTATAATCATGTATAATAACTCATAAGTTCTAGCAATTGCATAAACAATGCCCTGTGGTAGCTCTGCTGAGTAAGGCCCCCCCATTCCCCATAACTAGTTAATCAGTTACTATACGTCATGGTTCTCGCTTGCGTCCCGCGTAGAACTAAAGATCAAGAGTCGTCATGTAGTCCCTTCAAAAGTGTTTCACCTAATCATTTCCTCACTGATCTGTTTGAATTGAGTCAGTATCGATTCAATTCCATTCCAATTACTACGAAGCATGTCTCACACAGCACTTGTCACCGGTGCGACGGGCCTGCTGGGCCGTCAGGTCTTCAAGATTTTCAAACATGCTGGCTGGCTTACTGTCGGCCAAGGGCACACGCGAGCTGTCCCGCCTACGATCATGAAGGCCAATCTAGAAAATCCAGAGGAAGCGAGGATGCTGCTGGACGAGGCAAAGTAAGTAGTATGTTTTGAAAATTGGCGGTTCAATGGCGTGGTTGTTCGATTTGTATAGGTGCGGGGTAGATTGGGTTGTTATCATTATTTTGGTGCTGACAGTTACGTGTCTTAGGCCACTGGTCGTTGTTCATTGTACGTGCTCTTTCTAGATGAAATATATACTCGTCTATGCCGGAGTAGTTGCTCTCTTGTTTGATCACGTTTCTGACAAGCCCAAATACAGGCGCCGCAAACCGCTCTCCTGACCTGTGCGAGAACGACCCGGAAAGAGCTTCCAAGATCAATGTCGAGGCTACCCGTGCACTCGCTCAGGCTACGTCGTCACGGGGGATCTTCCTCATCTATATCTCGACGGACTATGTCTTCCCTGGTCGGCCAGGCGAAGCCCCTTACGAAGCTTCAGCGAAACCCGAACCTACGAACAGATACGGGCAGATGAAAAGGGATGGCGAAATTGCCGTATTAGAGGAGACTAGCGAAAACGGCATGGGGGTGGTCCTGAGGGTACCTGTCCTCTACGGCTCCGCTCAGAAGAACGAAGAGAGCGCGGTGAATGTGTTGGTAGACGCGGTATGGAAGGCTCAGGACGAGAACGCTGGCGTGAAGATGGATGACTGGGCCCAGCGATACCCGACCAACACGGAGGATGTAGCAAGGGTGTGCCTTCATACAGCGGTCAAGTATCTCACTAACCGAGATAAGCTCAAGGAGATGCCAAGAATCCTGCAGTTCTCGTCCGAGGACCGAATGACAAAATACGAGATGTGCGAGAAGTTTGCGGAGATCCTAAATCTGCCATTGCCCGGCATGATCAGGAACAAAGAGGGAAATGATCCGAACGCTCCTGTCCAGAGGCCGTACGATACCCATCTGTCGACCAAGGAGCTAAAGGACCTTGAAATCGATACGAGGACGGTGGACTTTGTAGCCTGGTGGTATGTATCTCCTATCCGTAAGAGAAACTGGGAATATTGAGACTGACTTGTTGCAGGAGGAGAGAACTAGGCGCATACCGCAAGTAGAGAGAGAGCATCAAGCCATTGGTCAGCTCTCAAGCCTGTCGGGAGCAATATCCCTAGAGCAATCGGAATCTTCAGTCCTCTGGAGGAGCGAACGCACATTCCAGAAAAAAATCCTGTACATACCTACCTACCTATCATGATTCAGCTGCAATGCTCAGCAAACAGAGTGTTGACGCCCAAGCACGACTGTCCACGAATGAAGTCAAAAATATTTTCTGAGAATTGACCCTTCCAAGGTAACCAGTTCTCATTTCCGCAAATTTCACAAGAATGGTGTAGAAACAGCCCGGTAGAAATTAGGACGGGTGAATATGATATGTTCTGAGACCATTGAAGATCTCCATTTGCCGCGGTGGAGATCTTTAAAGCCTCACGACTAGTGGCAAACTGGACATCCAATGTTGTATCAGCGTGTGTGCTAAGGTCAACAGCAGGGAAGAATGAATAAGTAGAGGCTGGTACCAGCCTTGTCGGCACATTTGTCCAGGAACTGAATGGCGGAAGTTGAACTGCTTGAACCGACTATTCGACAGCGTTGTATGCCTCGTGAGTTGGAAACCGGCTGACTGTGTGACGTTAGAAGAAAACACAAAGTGTTAAGTGATATGATCAGCAGCTAAACAATTAACTGCCGATAGTAGAAGGGGACAACAGCCTATAATAGAAAAAATGAAGTAATAATAGTAAACGCTAGATGCTTCAGCCTCAAATAGTCTTAACTCGCTTCTCCGGCCATGAGCCATCCAACTGTCTAAAATTCCGCAGCAAATGATGTGGTATTGCTGGCAAGCTAACCTCTGTCAATCGCTACTTGGGGAATAGTTGTCCCTTGCAGAGCAATGTGTGCTGTTCCTGTTCCTCTGCGGCTTTACATCACATTTGATGATCTGGGCCGAGTAACATCATGTGCAAAAAGGAAAAGGAAAAAAAAAAAAAAACCTCGCGAGGAGCCGTCCGTTTCATCAGAACGTCCGTGCATGGCACAAAGCACGGTCCTTGATGGATCTCGTTCATCTGCGCATCTCTTCCGTCCTTAAATAGCAGCATGCACTACTTTAGAAGAATACTGAAATCCAGAGAAGCTATCACACCCCTGCTGTTGCAGGGTTCTATGATTCTATCCTATCTGAATTGATCAAATTGCAGACCTACGTCAGCGCCCGGCCGATTCCAACTTAGCGTGATAAAAGGCCTCTATTGTCCACTAAAGTGAACTTCCAAAGCCTAAAGAGCGCTGGATGGAGGCAGAAATACTGTGTATAGGGTGACTGTGATCATTCCGCGTTATCTTTCATGCAATGTCTCGCGTCGCAGCGCGTTGATAAGGGACGATCATCACTGCTAAAACTGCAGCCATGGAGCCTCAACCAGGCGTTATAGGCTCACCAGGGCAAGGGCCCCTGAAGTTCTCACGGTATCGCTCGGTAAGACAGGCTGCTGCGAAAAAGCAGCAAGAGGCTAGTAAGACACTTGGATTGCAGGTCAATCAAAGTTATCTTACCTCCACCGCAATCACAGACGATCCGAGATCTGAGTCAGCTCAGAAGAAGCCCCACAATGAAACCATTGCTCAGAGCATGTCTCGATACAGACGAGCAAGGTTGCCAGCAGTTACTCATCCGCCTCCTCCTGAGCCTCAGCCTCCATTGCCGCAGCTCGTTGATCGGTCGCGAGTGGATGCAAGCAAAGCCGATCGATGCGAGATTGGCACTCCGCGGAACGTTTCTAACTCTTACACTCGTATCGGAGGACAACTTGATAGTTCTCAGGAAAGCGAGAGCGAGGACGATGAGGAAGATGATGCTATACGAGAGCGGAATAGAAGGGAAGCTATGGAAAGGTTGACCTCTGAAGAACGACAAATGACACCAGAGAAAGTGAGGGCCACAAGGGAACATAGGGAAAGAAGGGACCACGACAGACACAGAGAAATGAAGGAGCCAGGATTTATCACGGAACATGCCACTAGGCGTGATGTTTCTGATAGCACGGTATCGCCAAGGATGTCATGGAAGGCCCGAATTACGCGTTCGAAGAGCCGTGGACGTTCTCAGCGAGAAGCGAGTGAAACCAAACAAACCGCCACAGACGACGGATCCTCAGGCAAGAATATCGAGCCTGGTGGAGGAGGAATCGTCCCAGGCTTCGACGCTCCCGTCTCCGCTGTGAATGCTGGCGAGAGAAAGGTCACTGTGAAATGCAATGAGTCTGGCATCGTGGTGCCAGTGACCCCTACCACTTGTTCCCAGGATATCATTACTTTCGCGTGCAATGTCCTTTCTGAACCGATTGATCCCCAGAGATCTATCCTGCTTGAATCATTCCATCAACTTGGGCTTGAGCGACCATTGCGGAGATATGAGCATATTCGCGATGTACTGAACTCTTGGGATTCTGATAATCAAAATTCTCTGGTTATTATACCTGCTTCTAGTTCGTCCGCGATAGATGAACTCGATGTCAAGGCCGTTCCGGAACAACAGCCCGAAGAACAAACCTTCCATATATACCATTCTCAACGACCAGGGAAATGGGATAAGCGCTATGTGACGCTTCGCGCAGATGGCCAAGTCGTAATGGCCAAGAAACTGGGGCATGAACAAACGAATGTTTGTCACCTGTCAGATTTCGATATCTACTCGCCAACTCCACGTCAATTAGCGAAGAAGATAAAGGCCCCCAAGAAAATATGCTTCGCGGTCAAGAGCCAGCAAAAGTCGAGCATGTTCTTGAGCACCGAGAACTTTGTCCATTTCTTCTCCACTAATCACCGCGACATCGCTACTCAATGGCATAAAGCCGTCCAGGGATGGCGGAGCTGGTATTTGGTAAACGTTTTGGGTCAGGCTCAGAAGGATCAAGGCCCTATTCAGACTACCCACCCAACACGATATCAGCAGCATATGCACCAGAAAAACAACCAGTCACATGCTCCTGCATCCTTTCCGAAGAAGCTCAGTCTTGATACTCAGCACCTCGATTCGCGCCACCTCAAGGACGTACCGCCGAGATCAGACTCTTCTCAGAATGTTGAGGATGCGACCTTTTCACCAACAGGACTTCTCGGAAGGACATACAGCCAGCGGCAGCGATTAATGCGTGAAAGAGAGCGTGAAAGAGAGCGGAAGGAAGCCGAAGAGGGGCCGTTCTCTCCTCATGGTTTACTCAATGCGCTCAGTCCGACTGTTTCTCCACCATGCTCCCATCCATTCAGCAATCCGTCAAGTCGTGTCAATAGCCGCACAAATACTATGCGCTCCACCCACGATCCGGACACTGGCAATTCTGATCTCAATCGGTCTACTTCGACTCGTCAAAAACCTCTCGTTGATCTCACGCCAGTTTACCGGGAACCGCCACAACATGCGCGCAAGGGTCATGGAGTAACGGTCGCTCCTGGTGTTCCTCTTGTCGATGCTGCAACTGGTCCTGAGCTAGCACCGGGAGCCATCGTAGTTCCTAGCGCGACAACTTGGAGACGGCCAGCCCAGCATGGCGTTCCTGCGCTTCCTGATGAACCCGCAGACATGTCTAATACTGGTGCTGGCATACCCAAACGCTCCAATACTACTCGTAGCCGCAAGCATGGGAGCGGCCATGAGCATGGGACAAACGGAGCTTCGTCGACCTTGGTGGATTACAGTATAACATCCCCTGACAGTCAGTTTGCACCGAACAGTCTTCTGGCCCGTGCCGACAAACTTGCAACTGCTCAGGGAGGCGTAGGAACTGGGCATGGTGTTGCCTCCGGCGACCGCAACGCTACGAAGCCACTACTGGACCTCACCCCGCAAAGTCAGTTTGCTGAGGGTAGTCTCTTGGGCAAACTGGAGTCCTCGTAAGCTCCTCATACGCGGTTTTATCCGGCTGTATCTCTGATGGCCGTGACGAATTTCATTTTGTTCACTATGAGGGAAATCTTATGGCGAGTATCGCATTCTCGGGGATTTTCTAACTCCACTAATATCTTCCTTTTTTTCGGGATGCCCAAGGCTCTTTCGTCATGCTTTTTAAACATGATAAAAGCTGTGATTTCCTTTGCTCCACGTACAGTGTTCTCTTGATTTCTGGATGAGGATACCCTTTTACGGTTATGACTATGTAGTCTTGCTCACGCTCCCACCCAAGAAATTCTTCCAGAAATTCATTTGAAAGTTCAATACCCTGAGGCATCTTCAGGCATTCGACTATTCCCTAGTCCTTTTCGGGGTCTGTATGTATGAATAAAAATGAACCACAGAAATCAGATAACTAGGTTCATCAACCATAGTTTGAGGAAAGTCCGTAGCTACTACATTCGTACGCCGCAAATCAATTTCACAGCCGACTTCTTGTCCACCTAGGAGGTCTCTTCCCGGTAAATGCATTCAACCCCTCTCGAATATTGGAACCCTTCTGTAGTTCAGCAAATTCCCTTTCCAATGTGATATCCACAGCTCGTTCCACAGCTGCAGTTTCCCATCCCTGTCTGAGACCAGCCCTGGTGCAGATTACAGCATCAGGGCTATTTTCAGCAATCATACTTGCATATTTGACCGCTTCATTGACAACCTCCGACTGCGGGACAACTTTGTTAACAAGCCCCCATGTCAAAGCCTCCTGTGCGCTCACATTGCGTCCAGTTAACGCGAACTCAGATGCTCGTTGGAGCCCAATGATCCGTATAAGTCGCGGAAGACATCCCCCGATGGGTGCCACACCTCTCTTGACCTCAGGAAGGCCAAAGTATGCTGTATCAGCTGCAACAACAAGATCGCAGTTAACTACAAACTCCGCACCTGCACCCAGCGCGAGCCCGTTTACCGCCGCAATGATGGGTTTCTTTCCTAGTCGTCGACTGAGGGGTTTGAAAGCCGGTGCATTGCCAATGCGATTTCGGACGTCGGAATCTTCTCCCATGGAATTGTTCCATTCTTTGAGATCAGCCCCGGCTGAAAATGCTTTCTTGCCTGCCCCGGTGATAACGGCTACCGATAGGGAAGGCTCGTCATCAAGCCATTTCCAAACAGCGTCCATCTCCCACTGGGCCGCTGTGTTCATGCAGTTCAGGCTCTCTTCGCGCGCCATGACCACTAATAAGATGCGGGGGGCAGGATAAGAAAGCTGGAGAAAGTTGGGGGTTGGTGGAGGTGGGATCACTGTTGGTGCCATGGTTGATAAGTCGTTCATACCATTCTAGACTCTCCACGTATGTTTTCTTCTGTTGGTATACAGACAATTTAAGAAGACACGATAATACCAAATTGCAGCTGGGAATGGAAGGCCAAGTCTCCTTTTCCCCCTCGAGATGTCACAGATCAGTTGCGGGACACATCTATTAGCGCTAGGCCATTCGACAAAAAAGGAAAGTCCTCCAGTTCGGTCTGCCTGGGTCTGAAATCATCTACTTGCGTTAAATGGGAAACCATGAATGAAATTACTGTCCGTGCCAATATTCGTGCATTGGTAGCGTGACAGTTGCGGTTCGGATGCCAGCACCGCGCCGCAATAATACAGAATGAGAACCTCCACGGATATGCATCTGACCCTAGCAACAAACATCCTAGGATCGGCGTGGGATAGGAATATAGTAATGTATTGGCTCTAGGCCATTCGAACAAAAAGGAGAATCTTCCAGTTTGGTCTGTCTAGATCTAACAGAATATGCGTCAATATTAATAACGGAAAAGACACAAACTTCTATTGGCGAGACTACCAGGGCCGCATCACACAGCTTGTGGCACTGTTGGAAAGTCAAAACATCTGGGTGGGCTAGATTTGAATGATACCACAAGCGGCTTATCTAGTTCAATACCCTGCCAGCTGATGTTGAATTTCCGGTGCCAGCGTTGGAATGAAGTAGGTTCTGTAGTACTATAGATCATCATCAGCAGCAGCTATCGGCGCTATTCGACCAAAGAGCAGAATCCTCCAGTTTGGTTTTCCTGGATGTGACACCAGCGAAGTATGCGGCTATCATCCATAAACGAGCAGACACGGAAGATATCCCCGCTGATAGGATAATGATTTATCAGGCGTGCTGCGTGAAGGACCGACTGTGCGGTCTAATATAGTATCTGTTTCTATCGGGGAATTCTTCTGCGAATATCGGACAGGAAAGGTCTGTTTCCAGAATCGCTAGTTGCATTAATCCCTGCTTTAATCCAGGGGTTGATATCACCGAAGCGAACCTTCGATCCTTTCACATGGGGTTTTCAAGTCGCACTGCCGGCTTCCTTTCAAAGATAACGCAGCCAGGAATCGATAGTGGCGTGTATATGCTCGATTCTAAACTTCATGGAAGGACCCGGTCTTCGCAATACATCGGACGGCTTCAGTACAGGCACAACAGACTTATTAGTTGCTATGCCGTTGCGTATACAGCCTTCCAGTACTAATAAGAACTCTATCTAGTGATAGCATATTCTGCGGAACTAATTACCTAATTACTTATGTGCAACTTCTGCGGTTCAGAAGGAGATAATTTCCATCTTCTTCGCTGCAACGAGCCATAGATTGTGACAATGCCCATCTGACGACCAGCAGGAGACGACCCCGCCCTATACCCTAGACCTGTCTAGATTTCACAGGGATAATCTGGTTCCATGCCTGTCACCATGTGCTGGAAGGCATGTTGTTAGGATATCAACGAATCGGTCATATCGATACCGACCGGCTCGTGCCCAGCACATCCACCAAACCTTAAGAGGAGCGATGTCACAAACATTGAATTGTTAGTTCAGTATCACCTTCAACAGGATGAATTCTGACCCCCTTCTACTCCGTATTCCGTGGACTCCCATCATCTTTGTGGGTCGTGGTCTCTGAAGTTGCAACCCGCCGTAAAGGATAAGTAGCCGTTTGGGAAATGATGTGAGCGACGATGGCCCGGAAACCGGGAGCGTCTAAACAACGGCGCAATAATATCGTACTTTTGTATAAGCCTGCATGGCAATCCCTGTCAAGATCTAGAGGAGAACGTGGGACCCTTGCCTTTAGACCAGGTGGTCTAGATACATACATCTTCGGTAACGCTGTTGTTATCACTATCACACTGTAGGGAGTACAACCGAGACCGAGTCATTAGGTTACAACGACGATGCATTATTTTACTGTGCTAGAACACTCCATGAAGACTTCTCACAAATCAATCTATTTGGATGTGCATAAGTGGATCTAGTTGGCTTACGGGCCAACATGCCTTTCTTACCGAGTGTCGATTGAAAGCGACCTTTAAGCCATTCTTTATTCAGCATTATGGTAAAATAGAAGCAGAGTTACCTCGCAGTGCCATACAAGATACTCGAGCTTTTCTTCGTGTTGAGATCTACAGACTATTTGTCCCTATCCCTACATCATTACCTATACCTTGATCTGCATGTTGCTCGATAAAGCCATGTACACCAAGGAGCCTCAACATGTGTATCGCTCCTCAGTTAAAATTACCATTCCTCGCAACATCAACCTCACGGAGTTGCTTCATACAAGCGCATGCACACCTCCTCTGCCTCCATCACATTTGATCGCCAAGGACAACCTCACAAATCGCAGTTTGACCCTTGGAGAACTTCGCTCGCGGGCTGGGCGACTAGCAAAAGGCCTGCGATGCGTGTTAGATGCGCAAGACGGCCATCGACACGCTATTATTATTCCAAATTCAGTAGACTATATAGAGACTTTCCATGCAGTGCTCTGGACTGGAGGTGTAGCCTGCCCGATCAACCACGCATTGAAGCCAGCTGAGATCGCTCATGGACTCTGTGTCTCACGACCTCACATTGTTATCGTCTATGGAGAAGTATTGCCGAAAGTTGAGCAAGCTATCGAAATCGCAAGGAATGCATTACAGAAAGAGGGTACTGTCTGGAAAAGACCGCAAGTTATAACCGCAGGCAAGAAAGTCAAGGGATACAAGCACTTGCCACAAGATTTGATGGCAGAAACAAGTCTACCGATTCCGCATTGGGAGGATACGTCCACACGTCTAGCATCCATACACTTGTCTTCTGGAACGACCGGTCTGCCTAAGGGTGCACAGCTGACACACTACAACTTCGTCGCCAACTGTCATCAATTATACGCGCACGATCCCAAACAATTCCATAAGGCGAGTAGAACAGTCGCCTTCACACCATTTGTGCACATAGGCATGACCACAATGCCGCTCTTCTTCGGGCCATGGACGGGCATGATGCACCATGCAATGCCAAGTTTTGATCTAGAGACTTTCGGACAACTTGTACAGTCGAACTCCGCAACGAGTTTCCAAGGTGTGCCGTCTATTGTGTTAGCTCTCGCTCATACAGACATATGCGAGAAATATGACTTCTCGAGCGCGCAAATCATTAACTGTGGTGGTGCGCCGTTCAAGCAAGATCTAATGGACAGACTTCTGAGTCGTGCACCTTGGAAACCAATTCAGCTCTATGGCATGACAGAAGCAGCGCCTTTTATCGCATACCAGAGGCTTGATGAAGATCTTCCAGATGGAGTTGTTGGGCACCTACTTCCCAACATTGAAGCGGTATTGAAGCAAGAGAACTCAACTCATGACGCAAACAAAGGTGGACCGGGAGAGCTTTGGATCCGCGGTCCCAACCTCTTTCAAGGATACGCATTTAATGAAGAGGCGAACCGAAAAGCATTTCCGATTCCAGGATGGTACAACACGGGGGATATCTGTACTATTACGGAAACTGGCTTAATATCCATTGTTGGACGTACGAAGGAGCTGATAAAATACAAGAATTTCCAAATTAGCCCGACAGAACTCGAAGCATATCTCAACTCGCACCCATATGTCGCTGAAGCAGGTGTCGCAGCAGTATGGGAAGAAGATCAGCTTACGGAGCTGCCTATCGCGTACGTTGTTCTGAAGAAGCTGTTCACAACGCTCTCCGAGAAGGTGTGCGCACTTCGTCAAATTCATAAAGATATCAATGACCAAGTTAGTGGCTACAAGAAGCTTCGAGGTGGTGTCTGGGAAGTTACGCGCATCATTAGAAACCCGACGGGAAAGATACTACGGAATCGATTACGGGAGTATAGGACTGGACTATCGTCTTTGGAAGACGCGGATGTAAAGGCAAGACTGTAAGGGTTGACAAGTCTTATGTATCTCCCAAAAACAACATGACTATAGAAGAACATTCATTGGTGATTGGAACTTGCAAGTTGTATTGATCTTTGGTATGATGAAAAACGTATATCTGTCTCTGTATACGACATAAACCCTGGCGTAGAGCCTATATCGATAAGGATCCCCACGGAAAGTGTCTGTGCTATTGTTGCCCTCGAACGAGGCGTCGTGTCCAGAGCTGCTGAGGAACTCCCGGATGCTTGATCCTTCTGTTGACTAACTATAAGCTTCAAATACCGTCTGATCAATCATCCTGCATGTTCATCCAAGCTCATATATGGCAGTATTACAACACAGTACTGGTAAACATTCTGTATACTCTACGTTAATGCAACATTCCCTATCCCTACCCTCACTATATGATTCCCTTGAAGTAAAGAACTATCACATACGACCATAGGGTGTGGAAAACAGGGCTTCCCGTCCGCTCAGCCGTACTTAAGCCCATTGTAGAACATGGTCAATCGCCGGAAAGCCCTTTTTGCCTCTAAGGCGGCGGCATGATGTTTTAGTATGAGTGCTGGTGATAAGGGCTCCAGAGGGGTGATGAAGGCCAACTCAGCAGTCGACCGTAGAGATTTAATGAGTTCTGCGCCCTGAGGGATAAATATAATTTTATCCTTACTGAATTCATTCATACTGACTTAATCTTACGACTTCCCCAGCACACATGACTTTTTATGACTATGGCTTTCTAAGACACTAAATTTCAAAAAATGCTAGAGAAGGCAAATAGGGTTATGGATAGGCTATTATAAGATTATTGAATTTAGCTTTAGTGATAGTGGAATCAGACATGCCTTGCAGGTCATGCATATAGAGTACGCGCCCTAAAAGCAAATACCAACGCTAACTTAAACACTCATAACAGTAACCTAGCTATCTCCATATTGTCGGACAATCCTATAGGACAACTATTTATTATTACCGGATATTTTTTTTTTATTACTGGAAGAGATTTTTATATAATTATAGATTTAGGCCGCAGAACTCCTAAAAAAGATATATATATAAAATTTTTATAAAGCCCTTAGCGAAGTAAATCGTGCGGTAGAAAACTATAACCTTATAAGGAATACTTTCTTTATACACCTATAGTGCATGGGCAAAGACACCCTCGGGGCCGATTTCGCGAAGATAAAGAAGAAGAACCGACACATATGGTCTAAGGCTGAACAGGCTGAAGCTGCCGGGTTCCTCATGCCAAGACGGGGGCTACTACCGTAAGTGCGTGGATACACCTGCGAATAGAAGCCATGGGGGTGCCGTGCCACTCTCTGGGTTTTGAAAATGCTTCGGTTATATTGAAATCAAATCGACCAACATGCAGATAGGATTTAATGAATATAGGTAGATACTTCCCGCCAATAGCATCGGCGGTGATAATACCCTGCTCAACTTAATATTGCTTATAGTCTTTAAAAATAGGGGCCATTTACTTTAAAGGAAACCACTCCTTAGCTGCTTTCTTACAGCGGTCTCTGTCTATTATCTTAAACTTGATGAAGAAATCGAGGTCTAGTGGCATAAAAACCAAACCCATTCGTTGTATATAGGTATGAATATTGAAATTTTCGAATAAAATTTCCCTAATTAGGGAATTTTTGATAAGGTAATTACTGATAAATAAGGTAAATTTGTGGGTACCTTCATATAATGAATTGTATAAGCAAGGCCTGAAAAAGAAATGAACGATTTTTGTAGTAAGGAGGGATAACGAATTTTGTATAGAATTTTGATTTTGACACGGTGTCAAATTCATTATGTCGAGGTATTCGTTATACGCGGGTTCGTTATAGCCAGGTTGTTACTGTAGTTCGATGCATCACTTATGATCTGGAAGAAATATGCGTGAGGTGAGCTGCAAATTTTGCCCAAATTTCTTCTTTTAATACATGAAAGTGGAGGAGGATAATAGGAGTAAGAAGGAATAATATATGGAGAGAGAATGCGCTGAATAGATATTCCTCACTCCTCTCCTTCACTTATCCTTTCCCCGCCCAGGGCAATGAATGCATAAGTTAACAGTCAAAATGGACTGTTCTTCCCGCAGTAAAGAGTGAATATTCTGATTGCTACAGGTGGAGGAACAGAGAATAAGACACGAATAATCAGACATTAGTTAATGTATTGTCGTTTATAGCTAGCTATCCACATGTTGTGACGGCATCAACCGGAAACCAAACCATTAGACCCATTAAACGCCGTCATTATACTTATTATCGTACATTTTCGTGAACTCAAAAAAGAATGGCGAGAAACCCCCAAACGAAACTTCTCGAGAACTTTTAGGAAGCCTGGTAGACCTTGAAGCTCTTGAACTCCCAGTACGCGTTTGTAAAGGCTGTTGGATTGTTCGCCACATAATCCGTGCAGGTTCCTGGGCAACCAGACTGCACAGTGTAAAATTTCTCCAAGCCAGCCAGTTGACCGCAGAGATCTATATTAGCAATAATACTCTGATTGCGGAAGTGCGAACTGATATCGCAGTCGGTGCTGGGGAAGTCAGCCAATGCAGTTCCCCACGTAGAGGGGTCCGGAGTGGAATTCGCATCGGAGATATCGTTAGGGATGGAAGAACGCGGGAAGAACCAGACACGGATACCAGCATCTCTCAACTCCGTTGCGTAGATCTGTAGAATTGATTAGCAAGACGGAATCCAGACGAGCTGTCGGAGATCTTTACCCCTCCACCGTTGTTGTTCAGCGCTTCGCCATAGGTAGCGGGCTTTCCCTGAACGCCGCAACCCTCGTTGCTGTTGGTTTCGTTCCAGCAGTTCGTGGCAAGCACCTTTCCTGTCTCCTTCCGCTTGACATTCATCTTACAACCATTGGTTGTGTGCAATGTCATCTGGTTCCCCGTCGTTGCAGCGTTATTCGCTTCGAGGACATCAATCTCCCCGTTCGTGGGCCAGTTGTCTGGATCGGAAAGCCAGAGCGCTGGCCAGGTGCCACAGCCGTAGGGAGAGTGCAGGATGTCAAAGATGAACAGACCGCTATTGTAGGTGTTCTTCGACGTGATCCGGACTGATCTTCGACCGGTAGACGCATCGACATTCGATGTGTCTACTTTGATCACAGCAGAGTCCTCCGACGCATAAGTCAGATTCAGATACTCCGATCCGGCCTGGTCCACATAGCTATGTATTGTCAGTGATCATGGTCAAACCAAAAGAACTTTGTAGAGGACATACTGGACGAAACCTGCCGCTGGGTCATATCCCGAATAGTAGTTGAATTGATCAAAGAAACTTGTTCCCGAATACGTCTCTTTCAGGGTATAATTTAACTTGGAATAATTCGGGTACCGATTCGCTTTTGTACCCTCCACGGATCCTACCACAATCACGATGATGGCAACGACCACTGCAGCAGCCACAGCAAGTTTGGTCTTCAGACCCCATGAACGAGGGTCCCATCTCGACCTTGGCGTCGCGCCCTGGGATTCTAGGCCCGCGGCTCCCGGCGTGCTGGCGTAGGCGGGCGGCTGGGCGATGTGATCCAGCTCCGTCTTGGGGATCTGGGAACCTGCCCCGCCATAGCGACCATAGTCATCTCCGCCGCTGAAGTCGTTCCCGTATACCATGATGGGCGAAGAGCGATGTTTGTGTGGCACAGTCGAAGATGTACCAGTCCGCGGATTGAAGCTACCAGGAGGCCCTGCAGCTCAAGTGCTGCGGCAAGCAGAGAGGCCCGAGGGCACCGTAAGGGGGAAAAATAGTAAATCACTGTATGTTGGAATGTAATGATATATGTGTGCAGGCAAGCGAGTGACCGATGAAGCAATAATTCTCCAGCTTAAACGAAGGAGGAAGCAAAGTCAGATGAAAGAGAAAAAGGCTCTGGAAGGAGGAGAGGGGGGAACACGGAAGGTCAAATAGAGACAGCAGCTACCCACCCATCAATCGCATCAGCGTGTCTCGACAATCTTGGAGATACGCATCAGGTACGTATACAATCTGTGAATTAGAGTCTTAGTCTGCAAGCTAATTCTAGAGCAGCATAGTCAATTTAATGAAAGCGATCCACGTCTTAAACCAAGTGGTAGAGGAGATCCATAAGTTTTTTTTTTCTATCGAGCTACTCTATGTACGGAGCATTTATCCTACACGCCAAAGCAAGAGAAATCGCTGCACGGTCGCATGGCTATCTGCTATTTGTTACTATCTTGAGTTGCAGAGCGGTATGCTGATCTATTTGGCTGGGGCAGACGCCCGATGTGCAATCTTCGTCTTACCGCATTCGTGCTGCGTTGTAACTCCAGCAACTACAGTACTTAACTATAAGGCTACACTTGCACTTCGATAGAACAGGTTCTACGAGTCTGGACACCGGCGCTTGTTACAGTTAGCCCGCGGTCAATGGAGCATCTCCAAGCCAGACAGTTACCGTTCGCATCAAGAATTAGGCTCCAAGGTGCCTGGTCCCTGGATGGATGACACATTAAGCGATTGACAGCCTTTCGACCTAAGAGGAGAGACATTCTTAACTGGCTCTGGTTAAGTCTGGTTAAGCCGCCCTCATCTTATCCAGGAAGACCTCCACTAATAATTACTCGCTCTCGCATCACTTCAGAATTCATAACCAGCGAACACTCACTGGATCATTATTATTTGCAACTGATGAGGCAGATACCGCTGCATTATCGCAAGGCACTGAAGCCTCATCCATTCACTCCAACCATCGGTGCTCCTCGTCCTCTATGTAACAGGCTGAACTGATAAGCATTCCGCGGGATAATTAAGTACCCCCAGCCGATCACACCATCAACCAGCAATAAGCAACAAGCTTCTCTACACCCTTGTGCGAAAAGCACTGCAACTTGATTTCGCATCCAGACATGCTCTACTGCGCCAGAAACATGGTTCAAGCTCAGACCAACCACCAGAAAATTCGATCGAGCCAATTGCCATCAACGATGCATTGTGTTCGTCCCGTCTGGATCGTCTGTTGACGCGTTCCCGCTCCCGCTGCTAACGTCATGCTCCATAAGTGACTTAGCTGGCCCGTGTTCGCCTAAAATAACCAGATTACTCTAGAGGATTGAATCAGAATCGAATCAGTCTGATCATGGATGAGAGACAGAAAAGGTCTCTACACCTCCTACTGAGAGTAGAGTACAGCAGTACGGAGACTCCGTACTCAGTAGGTGGCAGGTCGATACCCACCTGAGATAACTACTCAGTAAGGTAACAGGTTGGACCACAGTCGATCAAACCGTTTCCGTATCAACGGCTAAAGACATCAGGAGTTCGTAGCTTCCTGTGGGGACTATTATTTGACAACTGTAGCCTAAGTGCCATAAGAGACTGGACTGTACTACTGTAGTAACATGAGATACTACAAATCAGGTTGATAATGGACTGTTTTACGCCGTGTCGATCAATAGAATCTCAAGTAAATAAAACAGAAACACATCATTACTATATGAGGATATCATGGTCATATCTATGTACATACCATCCATACTTCAATTATATCTGTCTTCTGAAATGGGGCCTCTTCTTTTTTGCCGATTCCTTATGCCTTCCTTGGTCGCAGTCTGTAAACGCCCGCCATCGTATCTTGCTCCTGCCAATGATGAGATTAAACACCTCATCCCGGGTAGCCTTATCCATATCTAGAATTTCTACCGAGACATTTTTCTCCGACCTGGCCCCCGACGCAATATCGCCTTCATCATCGCTCTTCTGCGTATAAGTAGGTGCAACGTCGGAGAGAAATACCAAGGAAAGTGCCGCCAGGTGAGGACCCAACCTCGTCAGCCTGGACTTATTGTCACTGTGGATCTTGCTCATCTCGAGCAGACTAGAGAAAGGATAAGACCATATCTTATGTTGGCGATGCTTCTTGGGATGGAGAGTTAATGGGCGAGTCTGCGTGAATCGCAGACCATTCGAAGAAATCAACAGATATCCAGTGTGGCCTCCACGATATGCATGGAAGGAAATAATATCCCGTCTGGAGTTTCCCATGCTATCTGTTGTCTCTTTTTCAGCGTCATTCGAGTCAGACTCTTGCTGTGACATTTCGATAGCGTCAAGATAGTCTGCTGCACTATCATCAGGACTCTCCGGTAGGCCGCTCTCTGGTGCCGCAGAAGACGGGGCCTGGCCATCCAGTTCTGCAACTTGTTCCCTGCGCAGGATTTCATGCTTCTGGAGATATTGGATTGCCCATTCAGCTGCATTACACATTAGCATGCGCTTCTCCTCCTAGCCCGTCTCCTTCTACGGCCTCACATGACAGGAAGGATACCACCGCACTTACCGTTTGTGGGAATATCCCAGACTGGCCATCTCAGTGGACTGACCACAATGCGATACTGCGGCCATCGACTCGATACTGGGAAGCTCACAAAGAACATTAAGATGGCGACCAGCCAAAAGATCTTCATGCAGAATGCGGTATCTGCAAATAGTGACACTGTCGCGCATGAAGCGAAGAAGAAAAGGGTCGCCGCTGTCTTGCTGGGGTTTCTCCATCTATAGAAGCTATTCGGGTTTAGTATTTTGTTTGAACAATATGTATATGTCACCTAGTCACTCACTTTCTCAAGATCTCGAAGAAGTCTGCAATGTCTCCAACTTGAAGCTGGATGAACGGTGCTACCTCGTCAAGAAGCGGCTCGATCCACTTCTCTCGTCCATGTCGGTCGACAATCTCGCCCCAACGTAGCGCTTGTTCACTTTTATTGATAGATCTGTCCAGTGACTCGCGAACCGATTCCGCCGTGGACGGAAAGTAACGGCTCTTGAGGACGATGTATATCACATACATATGCTGTTCGATCAATTAGTCCCTCTGTGAACAAGAGTCTTCAGGATCACGGCATGAGAAGAACTGACACAGAAACCCACAATGTGCTCTGTATACCAAAGGAGCAGAAATACAGCAAACCACTTCCCAGTTTTCTTTGGATTTTCCCACCGGTACAGCCGTCTCATTTCCATGGCCCACTGCTGCCATGGTTCCGTCGCCATGACGAGACGCTCGATGTAATATGCCAGGATCTCTGTGTCAAAATCTAATTCGTGCAAAGTGTCATCGACATACCTGGCCGTAAACGGCTGCGAGTGATAAAGCAGAAGCTACAGGTTGTAACGTTTTAGCGGGGGGTTCTATGAAGGAAGAACAGTATATATGGTACGTACTTTGCCGATATATCTCTCCCATTTGAAACGGACAACATTCCCGGCCTCGTCCTTCTCCAGGAACTCTTCATCGTCCCATCGCGGATAGCCTACAACGTGGGTTGGCGCGACCCGTACCCGTTTGATATGTCGACCAGTGATCCAAGCAATTGCAAGACTCTCACGATGAGCCTCCAACTTCTCGAGTTTCCGCCTCTGGATGGTGCAGGCGTTGCCCTCTCGGACGCTCCCGGTCTCCGTTCCATCGATCTCTGATTTTCGACATTCATCTTGATTAAGTGACACCCAACTGCCTCCGCTCCGTCGTCGTTCTCTTTCTTCTTTTCCCTGTTTACGGTCTGCTTCCGCCTTGAACAGTTCGTCGTGAGCCTCGAGATACTCACGATCCGACTCCTTAGAGATGTACGGCCGCGTCGCCTTGGACAGTTTCACTGCCGTCTTTGATTGAAACCGCTGCTTTGCTGCTCGTTTCGGATGTGCGATTGCTGCGACCTTGCGCTTCGCGGAATTGCCGATTCTGTTACTGGAGCCCCGGAGCCCTGGAGTAGTCACTTTTGGCGCTCCTGGGAGCCGACCATGAGCGACTTCATTCGGATTGAATGCCGGATCAGTTTTGAGGTATCTGTCCGACAAAGCCGGTTCCAGCGAGTCTTCATCTTCTGATGCGGAACTCTCCGCAGATTGGTCTGTAGTCGACGTGAAGAGAAATTCGGCTCCTTTCTGCGCGGCTTTCTGGGGAATTTTGAGAATCCCCGCGGGATTCAGGGTCTCGAAAGACAACAGTCCCTGTTCCTGATCACCCTCATGTCCGGTCTTTTGCGCAGTCAGCTCTTTCGCTGGAGCCGATGGCCTATCATCCACATCATCTCCATTTTCAGACCTCATCTATTAATCCGATGCGTGCTGGAGTACATAGAAGCTGTTCAGACGGCAAAGAACTACCTCTTGAGGAACCTGGGGAAGATCGCGCAGTGGTGAAACGTAAGATCGGCGTGGAGCAAGGGTTCTAAGTAGATCAGACTGAAATGATACAGCTGGCTAACCATCTCAGTTTATCTGGGCTCATGATCGAATATAATGGCATTCTATATTAAGAAGATGAAGAAGAAGATGGAAACAACCACGTGCGATTCGACTAGATACTGCCGTCCTCCGCCAGCAGCTTAGCATAACTATTGTCTTTACCCTCCCAAGTGACATCTGCCCAGCCTTCGCGTCGTCGCCTTAGCGAAAGAGCTTCTCCATGGACAGCTGGTGGGTTCAAGCCATTCTCCAACAGGGCTGACATGCGCATGTTTCCGTGCGGGCCTATCTACTAAGTGGGAATGCGCCACGCCCGCGATCCAGCTAGATCAGTCACAGAGAGAATGATCGCCACGGACCACCTTGGGGCCTTTACTCTCTCTTTCTCCATTTCTCTCTTAACTTATGGCACGTACATAGGTATTGTCGATAATCGTTCTGCCATGAATAATCAATTTCATCTTGATATTCTAATCATGCCACAATCACAAGAAAAAAAAAAATCGAACTTTGCATGTAAAAAAAATCCTGGGATAAGTAAGTCGACCCAGCCGCCTCGGGCCGAGAACAGTAACCCGATGATGTCGATATCAAGGCAGAGCAGAAAGCTTATCTATCGGTTTTCCTCCGCATGCAATCTGAAGCGAAAGGCTGTGGAATCGTAAACGTCTTGTTGTGGAACTAACTCGCTCATTGGTAAGCGAGAGATCTCCAACCTGGATCTTGCAATCTCGATCAGCTTGTTCCATCAGCTTGCGCGCTGAGGCAGGGTTTAGGTACTCCACCTGTCATGTCTGCGTGGAGTACCATAGTTATACCATACAACGCAACCTACTACTACCATACCATATGGTACTAGGCACTCCAGAAGGTTCTGTGTATTAATTATTAAGTTACTCTATGGTAGAGATTTATTATTGGGTGCCAGTTGCGTATCATTATACTGTAGAGTACCATAGTATGCACCATAGTACCGCGCGATCGGGGATATCTCGGAGGGCAGCATCAATAAGTAAGTATACGGTAGATAGATAACGTCAAAAGTTCTCGACGCGCCGCTTCCAGCGCCTACCTAGTAAGAAAGAAAATATATACTACCTATTCAACGCCTAGAAGTCCTAGGACATATAGGATATATCAAAGCGATGCGTATTCAATTACCTAGCTAGAATTAGTGTCTAGTGATTAGTATATACTTCCCCTTTGACAGCAAACTTACGTCTTACCCTCGATTAGTTTCTATAAATCCTATCGAATTTGCTCAAAGTCATATCATAGTGTTAAAGCTTCAGTTCAGACTAGTCCAACTCCACGTCGTCTATCACCTCGAATGCTATAGAGTAAGTAGTTATTAGTATATGATTATCAAACTCAGCAGCGATAATAGAAACATAGTTATACCTAGATACTTCAACTAGACAGAGAAGCACCGAACGACTTTCCGCTCAAGGAATTCCACTCATCGTAGTGAATAACTACTCTCTCCTCCTTCCTCATGGTCTCGCAGCGCAGTAGACGCGGTGAAGGTCTTCTGAAAACGAGGTCGATTCTAATACGGGGAGTAAGCGCGTGGAGACGTTTCTACGAAGTGGGATGGATGGATGTACTTTTGTTTATGGCCAGAATCCGAACGTAAATTTTAGCGTGGAGAATAATAATGATTCTAGTTATGGCGATATACCGTAACCGACTTGCTGAAGGGTCTCTTTCTCAAGAAAGGTCGCTACTTTCACGGAAGATGAGTGGTATGTCCGACGATTCTGCGCCAATATATATATCCTTTATGGATCAGCAGCTTAGCTTCTATGCCGGGATAGAAAACTTGCTGTATCTGCCAAGGCGATCCAATATTATGTATGATATATGCTACCTCTTCCTGCTCTAGCGGATGCTTCATCTTTCCTGCTGATTGCTCCCTCCATCTGGAGTAGAACCAGAGATTTTGGATTCACCTCCCTGTCGGTATCTGAGGGTCTAGCCTGCGGGCGCGAGCCATCATCCAGCCGACCCAGGAAACTGCTAATGTCTTCCACTGTCCAAAGACTGGGTAATTCAACTTGGAGCGAAAGGGGGAATTTGCAGGGCGTTCATAAGCTTCCCGCCAAGAGTCTGGGGATGCGGGGGAGCTCCACGAGATCGTGACGAGACCTCGAGGTTTCCTGCAGGTAAATTATTTCATTATTAACAAGTCTTTGTAATATCATGTCTGCTGGATGCGCGCTTGTCCATTTTGGAGCAGTCCTTTATGTTGCATGAGCACGGGGAGAGGTAATAGAATTATGCGAATGTCCTGCATGTTTTGGTATGCAAAATCCCAATCAAGAAGACCTACACAGTCAATTGGCAAAAATGGACCACCAAAAGACGAAAATATAGAAACAAGATCAAAACATTGTAACACGATTATAATCGTAAAATCGCTTGCTTATCAACAAGATGCATAGTGTATATGAACTTTCCAGGAACCACCTGGTATGCAACGCCAAGAGTAATACTCGAGTCAACGCCAATCCGTCTATCAGTGTAGAAATTGTATATATATAGAAACACCGTGAAGAGTGACAGCTCAGGTGGTCGGTTGCTCCCCCACATTACGCTGCTGAAGTGACTGACTATCTATGTCTCTAGACGTGGACACGGCAGTACTGTTTCGCATGGGGACGCCAGACATGCGACTAACATTAGAAGGACGCCGACGTAGTCGCTTCTCCGCTTCTGTAGCATCCTTCTTGTGGAGAGATTCGGAGGGCAGCAGAATAGCACGGTCAAGAGCATACGGCAATCCTCGGTGCCGTCCACGGATCTGCATCGCAATAATGACCAGCTTTGAAATCACTCTGAACTGGCTGGAGAAAGACGCATTGACGTTTGGATATCCGAGAGACAATCCAACCGTGCCATAGGCAGAGATGATCTCGAACAGGACCGAGAAAAGGGTGAATGCGTACTCGTTGGTATTCTGCAGACGGTCTCCTTCCACAATCGCGATTATGAACATTCCCAAGAACACATACCAGAGGTCGAAACTCAGCTGTCTCCGCAAGTGAGCACCAATGTAGCTTGGTTCTTTAGTATTATCGTCCTCGTCATCCTCTTCATCGACCGCTGAATAGATTCCGAGACTCCTCTCTTCGTAGACGTTTGTTCGTCTCATGGAAATGGCGATGGGGAAGACGGAGATATACATCATGATCAGGTAGGAGACCTGGATAGCCGGGTGGAGATCAGACAAACTGATGACACCAAATCCTGCCGTTCTCGTCGAGACAGCTTGAAAGAGGCCGTCAAGAAATCGGATACCGCCTGGGATGGATGTGACAGAGGGGTCGTCAAGCTAGAAACGGAACGTCAGATGGAGCGCAGAATGAACTAGAACCGATGTACTCACATCCAGAACGATGAAGAAGATCACATCCAGCGCATTGAGTATCACCAGGATAGCAAACAGCCACCAGGTGGCATTTCTAGGAAATAGAAGTGTAAAGCAACGGCGCGGATGATCCAGAAGGAACACGAGCTCTTCCCATATGGGACTTCCCTTGGACACAATTTTCGTCATGAGCCATATAACAAGTCGCAACATGCATGGGAAGCCGGTGTTTCCAATGACGATCAAGAACGACATTATCAGGAGAGGATATATCGCACGAGCAAAAGAATTCATCGAATCCGGGGTCAGTGTGTATCCCACATCGTTGAAAGCGGAGGCAGCTGTGAAAATACCCCACCAGGGACGTCCCTGGCCATCGCCTGTCACGACGTCTCCGTATGTCTTGGTATTCATGATCCAAGGAACCAGGAATATTATGCCAAGAACGTGGAAGAAGACGTAGAATGATATCAAGATAACTGCCAGAGTTTTCAGTGCCCGATATTCTATACCTCCGAGTTCATTCCGCTGTTCTTCAGTTAGAGCGACAAAGTTGGAGTTGCGGCCAATTGTTGCATTCCAACTTAGATAAGGGATTGTATCTCTTTCTCGCTCCTGCGTAAAGGATCGCATCAGACTGTTGAATCGGCCTCTCCTTGTCCGAGATTGTTCGAGCTCCATATCGTCACCCTCCTCGTCACGCATAGTACGGCGCGTTTCGAGACGCGGGAACGTTGTAGTTCGGCTCCGTTGGCGCAGGAAGTCGGGCTCGTTGATAGTAATATGCGGGCTGATGTGCGATGGGCCGTGAGTATTTTCGCGGTCCTCTTCTTTGGAACTCCGCCCAGATCGACGAGTGTCGATTCTGGTAAGATCAGCGGGGTCATCTTCGAGAGCCTGCGGCACGCCACCACGATCGTATTCACGGGGACTCGGAATACGCAGGGCTCCCTTGTCCCTTCGTTGATTCTCTAGAAACGCGATATGGTGTTCCGGACTGAGCTGGGTTGGGACACGCAGACTACTGACGCGGCGAGAGCGGGATCGGGTCCCTGATTGACTACGGGGATTGTCCTCTCCACTGTCCGTATCCTTCTCATTTCCGGCGTCTTCGTCGCGCTGCCGTGTACCGTGAGGCGACTCAGAGGACTCCGAAGGCGACTCGCGATCCGGCTTTATGACATGCTCATTTTCTATACTTCGGCCGCCTTCACTTGAACGGTTACGCAGGACAATAATTGGGCGGCCACGGACACCTCTTTCCGCCTCGTCACCGTCTCGATCCTTGTCCGTCGTCATTGTTCTCGACCTTGACTTGGTACGACGCATAGCTCGAGCGTCCTGTACGACATGCTGAAAGCGCTTTTCGAACCAGTAAAGTCGAATAAATACGACGAAGGAGTGGATAAAAATCGGGGTCGTGAACATGGACATCCAGTAGAAAGTAATCTGCTGGAAGGTGTTGAGCTTGTTGATATCGACAGTGTTCAAGCCGCTCTGGGTCGCGGCGCCCGATGCGAGGAAAAGTGCATCGATGTAGGCAAGTCCTCCTCCACCATAGACAATGACCGATCCGATGATCGCCCATAGAATAATATAGACATAGTGGATGGTAATAAAGTTGAGGCGTATCTGTTTCAAGAAGGGCACCTTCTCCTTCATGGAATTAAATTTTGGCAGGACGGCAGAGAACATCCTGCTTGTTCTTGACACCAGAGGCGCTGGGGAAGACCCCGCGCTCAGTTCGAGAGAGCGCTGACACTGTCTGTGGGATTTTTATATAGGTGACGCTTTATCGGACGAAAACGACGATCAGGGACGGATATGGAGATTGTGTGTTGGAGGTACTCTGGTCGCAAGAGCAGACGGTTACAGTGCGACCGGAAAAATCCCGCGACGATGTTCGTTGAAGCTATGAGGGAGTTTTTTTTTTTTTTTTTGTGCAGTTATCGCCATAGATCGATCGCTGTTAGCCCTTAGGAGCGGAGAATCCGCGCTTTTGACGAGACGAAATGTAGCTGCGAGGTAAATCTCATGATGACAAGGGACCGGTACACTGAGCGATCGGCACACGAATTTCAAGGAAAACGTCGACTAACTAACTAGAACTTGAGACAGAGCAAGAGTAAGCAGCCAGGATTATTTTGAATTGAGCAGTGGAGGGATGCAATCATACCAAGAGCAACAGTCTAAACTTGGCGGTTCAGCTAAGGGGGCAGGCTGTGGCTAGAACTTCTGGTGTTGCTCAAGTCGGAGCAACTGAGATCGAAGTAGCGCAGCGACGGTGCTGGCCAAGACCGCCCGAGTCGACGCAAGCCCGGATCGATCGATGCCCGTTAACCACTGCGCCACGCACACCCCGAGAGACGCAATAATACGGGCTGTTTGAGGCCAATAATGGATGGCAGGGACAGAAGATGGGATGAATCTGGTCTTTTGAATGTGTCCCTCTGGCCGTTGAGAGGGAGGTTTAGGGGATGTCGTCTTGGCAAGCTTTTTCCGGCCAGAGTTTTCCCATAGTCTAATAATAATAATGTATGTATGTGCTAACTCGACGGCAGGGTAGATAGGTGATATCTTAATATGATTTAATATTATTGAAGGACCGCCACCAAGAGGGTCGAATTGCGACGATGTGCTCTTTCTGTGTCGAAAACTTTCCACTGCTCATTCGCGCACTGGCCATGGCGCAGTGCAACGCCCCGCCTGGCTCCATGAGACATTTATTTTTTTATCGGATTGACTATGCCATAGCCAGATGGGGAAATTGGCCGCCGCAGTTCATTTTGGCTCTCGGCAACGGATTTGCATGGTTCTCTGCTTAGCAGCTCGTTTCAGGGCGGACACTGATAAGATCAAAGCAGCCCAAATCGCAATTTCAGACGTCAAAAGCCCCTGATGGGACAATTGTTTCCAACGGCGGATCATCTGTGCTAAGAAGGCCCACGAAGACTTCTATTCAGATACTCCTACTATTCAATAAGTAGGGGTTTCTGGTCTGATATCATATTATTGGCAGTACAGAGAGTGCTCCGTATTTTCCTTTGTTCTCTTCACCATGTATTACTCTACATCTGCGGATGTACAGTACATACATACATTCCAGTCAACCCAATCGGGAAAATTCATCTGTGTCGGCTGCATTCGGGGTCTGGCAGATCGCACTTGATTGATAAAGCCATTCTTGGCTACATGCAGCATATAGCACATGTTCGCACACCAGTTGCAGTGCTGATCCACGGCATATCGCACGTACTCACTTCCCCACGAGCTCCTCTGCCAGATTTCTAGATACATTTTTGCCTCTAGAGTAGAGTTTGTTTGATGGCGCACCGGGCTGTCGCCATTTCAAGGCAATTCTTGATCATCTGTTACCTAGCCAGCCCCCACAAACGACTCTAATACCCCGCAGCATCTGCAAGACGCGAGTCTATCAACATTAGAGGTGGTCGACTAGTACTTACAGAGCAAGTGGTCAGCACGCTCTGAACCCCGCGCTGCGCATCATCTCCTCTCACATGAGTCTGCATATATGCGAGATGCCGGCTGATGACCGAAATCGGGGTCTCCATTGGCACCCCAGGCCAATTGATGACTTTGGCGGGGCTGGGAGCTAATGTCGTCTGCGATAAACAGACATCTAGATCCTGTGGCGGAGATAAATGCACGAGTCCTGTTTTAGAACTACGCTTCACTTTATTAACCATAAATAACTCGCCTATCATACACGCTAACTTCCAAACTTCGTGTAACCTCGTGTGCCACGGACGCTTGTATGTCCGCTCTGGTGGCATACATTCACAGTTTCTTGAGTAGGTGTCGATCTGTCTTAAGCCGCACGAACCCAACGAGGCTTGTTGCCCCGAGAGCCATGGAACCAGCGTAGAAGATAGCGGGGTGATAGGCCTCTATCCCTTTCTGCTGTCCACCGGAAGCGCTCAGTATGTAACCGGCAATAGGGGCACCCTACAAAAGGTCAATATAACAACACAGAGAAACTGCTAATTTCTTTTTTGAGAGATTGGACATAACTCACCAAGAGATATCCTCCAGCCCACCCAGTCACGATCATGCCCATAGCGACCGAGACTCTGGCAGATCCGAAAACGTTTCCGATGACTGTTGGCATGGTGGCGAAAAACCCACCGTTGGCCATACCGTTGATAATGACAAACGCGACCAGAGGACCAAGTGACTCTGATACAGGCCACAGAACCAGCATGCTGATAGCACTCAACAGGAGGGAGACAAACAGTGTATTGAGCGGCCCAACACTGTCGCTTCCGAACCCACAGATCAACCGTCCTATTGCAGAGGAGAAATTGAAAGCGGCGACTAGACCTGCCCCAATGCTGGAGGACAACTTGAGAGAGTTGGCATACAATGGTAAGAAGAACGGCGGGACGAAGAGGGGAAAGGTCGCAACGGCCCCGGCAGCAAAGAGAACTGCAAACCGAACATCCCGGAATAATCTCCTGAGGCGTTGTGAGAAAGAGATTTTCGTCATCGAGCGGAAGGGGATAGACAGACCATTCAATGAAGGCACTTGGACGAATGGTGGTGCGCTCCTTAATGAGATAAGCTGCAGGAAGGCCTGTGCCTAGTGTAATGAACCCAATGACTCTAAATGCCCAGGCTGGTCCGAGTTTTGTTAACAGGCTATTCATGATAAAACTGATGACCGCTCCTCCAAGTCCACCGCCCGCGTAAACAATGCCATTGGCCACTCCGCGTTTCTTTTTGAAGTACTGAGCTGGCGTCACGGAGACAACCTGAAAGCATTAGTTCTCCGCATGTCGATATCATCTAGTTATCGTAGTGGATTTACCATAAAACATAGGCTGAAAGACAGTCAGAAGGATCTTACACTTGGATATTAAGAGTACGTCTCTTACCTGGTTCCAATTCCCGTAATGACACCAGAAGTCATGAATAGTCCGCCAATATTCTCCGTAGCAAATCCGCTGAGAATCTCTCCAAGGCCCACAAGCAACACCCCGAGAAGGGCTGTGATCCTAGATCCCAATTTCCTAATGACTCTCGCATTGAGGACGGCAAGGAACGATATACAAGCGGTAGTCAGTGACCCCACGAATGACAGTGTCGACGGAGACGACAGTCCCCGTTCGACAAGAGCAGCCTGTGTCACTCCCCAGCAATAAGATGTGCCGACAAACCACCAAGTGACCACTGCGCAACCGAAGATGACGACCCAGCCGTAACCTCCATCCGGAACCTGAGAGTCTGCGATGAGAGATGCTTGGATTACTTCATCTTGGTCTGTAGTAGCAGAATGGGCATGTCGAGTCTGTCGTTCTTCAAGAGCGATGCCGTTGGGTTGAAGCTCGATAGCGGTAGTATGAGTGACAGTCGACATTATGCCGTTGCAACTCGTGCGATGGACCTGGGAAATCCTATTTGGAGTGACCCGTGCCTAATTATCTAGGAAAACCTTGTAATATAGATTTTTTTTTGTCCATCCATAGATGAAAAATTGGATGTACGGCAAATAGAAACCATGTCATAGTTAGGGCGCAGTTGCAATACCATATGTAATCAGAGTGGGGACATTTGTAACTAGTTACTCGACGGTTCATTTGTTGTCACCTTTCATCGCGATACTTAACCGGTGAGCATATTTAGTGCTCTGTTTTATAGGATTCGCTATTCTATACAGGTCATTTTTGTGAAGAATCTTGAGTACTACTAGACAACTACAGTCACAATTTCTTAGTTTTGGCACTCTGGGACGGGTCTAGATTTGCATTTATGAATATATATATATATACGATGCTTTGGCCTCCTATGAATATAAACAGCTCGTAAAAGCGGGGTGCAGTACGATAAACATGGGACGGTTAACGTAACGGTATTACCACTCCTCTTCCCCTCCTATCATCATCGCTTTCAATTCCATATGTATCAATTAGTCATATTCCTGATATCTCAGCCTTGATTAGACTACTCCAGTGACATTGCCTCGTCTCAGCGAACATTTTTTTTCTACTTTTTTGTATCCTTCACCCCGAGGAAGCGTTGAAATTTCGAAGATACACACTACCTGCGAAATGGCCCCGACTCACAAGGTGGCCGTCATTCAATGGCACATAAAGGTCCGTGCGGAATTGCCCGCATACTTCTCATCTTGCATGTTTTGCATACTTACAACTTAACTAACTCGCGGTGCAGGATCTTGCGCCTGAAGAGAACCATGTCAAAGCATGTAATTATATACGACAGGCCGCTGCTCAAGGTGCAGAACTGGCTGTGCTCCCAGAGTATGTTCACCATCTAGAATATTTAATCATGATCCTTCTTAGAATCAGGAGGGAGGACCTGCTTATATCTTTTATCTAACTGTTTCCATTTCTTCTACCGGCTGAAAGTAATTACACAAAGCTAATGTCTATAACAGATACCACCTCGTCGGCTGGGTCCCAGAAGATCCCCTCTACGTAACTCTAGCAAACGACTATCTCAAATATCTCGAATCCTACCAATCACTAGCCAAAGAGCTCAACATCTGCATCGTCCCCGGCACCCTGGTCGAGCGCCACATCGTCAAATCTGACAACAATGGTGAAGAAACCGCACGGCTGTACAACACGGCTCACTTCATCGGCAATGATGGCCAAATCCTAGGCTCGTACCGCAAGAAGAATATCTGGATCCCCGAACGAGACCATCTGAGCTCATCGGCTCATGATCCGCATGAAGTGATTGATACGCCGATTGGAAAAGTCGGCTTGTTGATCTGTTGGGATTTGGCGTTTCCGGAGGCTTTTAGAGAACTGATCGCTAAGGGTGCGGAGGTTATTATTGTGCCGACTTATTGTAAGTTTAATCCCATCTCCATTTTATTTTATTTTTTTATCACCCTCGTGTTTTCTATGAATATCGTCTCTCGAGAAAATACAATATTTCATCCCTTCTAAGAATTGGCTTCCAATCCACCCCTACTAACACAATACCTACTCAAGGGACGAAATACGACGCCCTCCCCGAGGCTCTAGCCCTGAACCCCGAAACAGAAGTCCTCTTCATCGACTCCACCCTCACTTCCCGCTGTTTCGAAAATACCTGCGCGATCATCTTCGCAAACGCCGCGGGCCCCGCGAATAAGTTCATGGGCACGTCACGCGTCTCTCTACCTTTCGTAGGCGCAGTGGGGAAGATGGGAAGTGAAGAGGGCGTTTCTGTAGTGGATATGGATTTGGGGATTTTGGATCTTGCGGAGAGTTGTTATAAGGTTAGGCAGGATATTAATAGTGAAGGGTGGCATTATGTGTATAGGCATAATAGCGCGGCGGGGTTGTGAGGAGAGTTTAAAGATGGAATATAAAATAGGTAGGGTGGCGATGGTCGTGAAGATGGTTATCATGTATGTATAGCATAGTATAGCTATACATGTACACTCATGAAACAACAATTCATAGACCCGAGAGTTATATCCTACAACTCTAGCACCGCAATTCGAAACAGCAAAGTGCGCCACAGTTCGACCGTGGTGGCTGTGCTCCACTTGTGCCGAATCTGCCACGTGTTCCATCAACTACCAATCGGCGTCCATATCAGTTACGGATATAGATAGTAGGGGAATCGAAGTTAAACACCCGATCGATGAACAACATTGGCCAATGGGCATGATCAGATCATAATAATATATGTACTCGTCTCATTGCATATGCTGTCAGAGGGCACCCTGCAACTACTAGGTACTTCCCGTCCCGCTAGATTTTATTTTGCCAAACCGAAAGCAATATACTATGAGCGCTATGCCGAGGACAGAAATACGGTCACAGATATACAGTAGGAACGAAGACAGAATCAAGAAAAAGGACACCATTAATCTTATCTAAAAAATCAGGCAAGGAGGATAGAAGGGCTAGGGTAAAGGTCAGAACGTAGTGGTCACAAAAAGAAGACATCGTCAGGCAGGCCAATAGAAACAGCTCATGATAAGGGAGACAGCAACAATCTTCATGTCTGAAATGGAAACATAACCATGCTAGCTCCTAGACAGACAGACCCAAAATGAAATTCATTCAACGGCCACCGATCAATCAAATAGGGGAACAATGGTCACGGACCCGCAGGTAAAGGCAAACTGGTATAACGGAACATGTGCATATCACTCTCCGGGCAGGCACCCGGAGACGCCAAGCTGAATACTTCCTGTCTACTGTACTTGACTGACGATTTCGCTGGCGCGCGACAGACTCTCCACCATCTGCTGGCACTCTTTCCGGCGGCGGATCGTGTAGTCGCTCTCCTTGAGCAGATCATCCAGTTCCTGGGTGCGGTACATGTTCTCAAGCAGCTCGCGCTGCATTTCTTCCTTACTGTACCTGTTGACAGAGTTAGAATACATCAGCACAGCGAGTGTATGATCAAATACGTACTGGACGAGGGTGTACATGATAGCCTTGGGGACCATGTCGATCATGGTCCGCTTGACAATGTTGAAGTAAGATTGGATCAGCAGCTCTGTTATGTGGTCAGCATCTGCTAGAATAATGTGCGCGGAATAGTAATATCCTTACTGATAACTTCAACTTCGCTGTTCTCTCGTTCGGAGAGAGTCCCGGATGCTCTCAGGGTTGGTGGCGGGGGTTCCATGGCAGCCATCTTCTTCTTATTCTTGGACGCGAAGAAGCTGCCGAAGAATCCGCCGTTGGTCTCGGTATCTCCCCTCATAGTGTCCAAGGATGGACTACCTGAACGGGGAGGTGGCAACGGCTTTCCTGTCTTGGGGTCCACTGGGGTAGGCTTCCCAGCATTCTGGCGCTCATTGACAATAGCCATAGCCTGTGGTAAAGTTAGTGCTGACCTTTACGACGTTCTCGAATGATATCACTCACCCTGTGGCCGTTAAGAAAATCAGGGTGACCAGTGTTGATGTAACACGCTTCCATGGCAATCAGATCTTTCACAAGCTTGTTGGTAGGTTCCATGGCCTTCTTGAAGAATTGAATCACCACAGTATGGAACTTCTCCTTGAGCATGGGGTACCTCCGGAAGAGTTGCTTGGTGAGCAGCTGACCCAGAATCCGAACCAGTTCGTCATAGACCAAAGAAACACATTTCAAACTGGGGTCCTCCAGTCGCTTGATTTGTTGTTTGACGATCAGTTCGAAAGCAGTGGTGCCAACGAACAGTGCAGGCGATGAACCAGAAGAGTTGTAAAGAATAGTCCTGATGTCGATGTCCTTGACCTGGTCAAACGGATCGACGGCCTTGATACCGTTCGAGTACAGTTCGTGGAAGACGAAACTGATACGGGCACCACCGGAAAGTTCAACGCTTGACAGCTCTTGGTTGTTTCCATCCAACACTGTCCGGTACTCGTTGCTAAATTCCGTGATGATGTTGAGGACGATGTTTGCAGCGTTACCAAGCATGGAATCTCCCAGTTGAGAAAGCTCAGAGGTATACTTCTGTAGAGAGGAGGAAATTCTAGCCTTGATATCAGGAAGCGTCTGTTTTATGTGCATCATGAGGATCTAGAAGGAATGGCTCGGTCAGTAATTTTGCAAGAGCTATCACAGAGTACATGGTACGAACCAAGTTGAGTTTTCTCGCGAGGTAAGGAGTTCCACAGTACGAGGCCTTGTTCCGGTAGGCCTTGTGGCTCTCAAAGAAATTCTTCTCGTGCTCGAGCGCATAGGAGATGGCGCGCTTGTTCTCAATATCACGCTGACCACGGTTGACCACCGGAACGTAACCAAGTCGCAGAGGGATGATCCTGCCCGCAAGGATATCCACGACGTCCGTACCCTCGTCCATCAGATCAACCTTTGTCAAGACACCGATCGTGCGCTGACCCTCGGGATCGACTTCGCGCGCCAGCTTCAATCCGTCCGAGTTGGCCAAGTCCTGGTTCGCAGCAGTAACGGCGAGGATGATCGCGTTTGGCTTGCTGATCTGCTTCAACACCATATCCTTAATCTGCTTTTCGATATCCTTTGGCTGGTCGCCAACTGGAACCTTTGTGAGACCTGGCAGATCGACCAGGGTGAGGGTCAGGACGTTCGGAGAATAGATGCGCAGGTTGATCGGAGCGGGTGAGATGCCTGCATTGCGGCCAACTTTGGCTTCTGTCTCGCGCACAATCTCGTCTCTGATCTTGTTGAAGTCGTAGAATTTCTGGCCCGGGAGATGTAGGAACTCGCCATACTCGTCCAGGTTTGCTTCAGCGTCCGTAGAGTCTTTGAGGGTGTCGTCCTTCACTCCGTTAAGCTGCTTTCCCGCGGGCTTGTTGATCAACTGAAGAATAAGAGGTCGTCGAGTCACGATTCCTGAACCTCGAGGGAGACTGACGCCGCGCAACGGCGGTTGTTAGCGATGACGCGGACACAGGAAGGGTGGTGCGACAGGATCATGCAGATACTCACAAGTCTCTCCCTACAATGTTTTCCAACACGGAACTCTTTCCACTCGATTGCGATCCCACGACGGCTATCTGTGGCAAGTCGATCGGGTTTTGGACCTGGAGGAGGGGTCAGTCTGGCAATCTGAGGACAACAAACAAGACAGCGTAACGTACGCCCACAGTCGTGAAGACATCCTGTAGCTTGTTAACAAGGTTGATAAGGTTGGGATCATTAACGTTTATCCTGAGGCAGACTATCGTTAGCTATACACTGTGGGGAGAGCTGGCTGAAGGGGAACGGGGTTGCGCACGAGGTCGGCGTTGCCATGGCTGGCAAAGTCCACGGACACGAATCCGCTCAACAAGGAGATAATTGAAGAAAGCACCGTAGTATACCCTGCCGCTGCAGCGGAGAGGTCTAAAGTCTTTGAGCAGGGAAACGGTCGTAGTGAGGGAAGAAACGGTGGTGATGTATGGTATACAGCAGGTATGTTGCTAGTCAAGCGGCGAAGTGTGAGTTCGCTTCCGCTCCGATAAGTAGGGAAGTCCTGAGGCTGCCGCGAGCTTAATCCCTGGTCCGCCCCCGAGATATAAACGAACTCTAGAACAGCGAAAGCAGCGTCCAGTCAGATCTCGCTCTCAGACAGTAGTTTAACGGCTCTTTGGGTCTTCTTCTTCTTCTACTCCCTTCTTCTCCTCCTCTGCCCCCTTTTTCTTATCCCCCGCTTGCACATGGACTGTGCCACGGGATGCCGTCGCTTGGCCACCGGAGGCGAAATACTGCTGCCTGACCTGCTACGAGTACACAACAAACACGTGGAACGGCACAATGCAATGATATCTATACTGTTTAATCGACGTGATTTCAAACCAAAGACATGATATATAGCTACGATGGAACTTGGTATGCTACAGCTTCTGGAACCCAACGTCTCCTCCAACAAGCGGCACGACCGCCTTACAAGTCGGACACCGATGCGAATCTCTCCGACATATCCTGCAGGAGTTTCTCGTACTGCGAAAGAATCAGCAATAAATTCCACATAAAAGAGCAGAGACGAATCTCTCACCTTCGCTGTCACGGCCTTCTCGTCGTCTGGGACCTCGAACTTCATACTGCGCAGCGCCGTCTGAATGTCCGCCGTAGCCTCTCTGACCTTGGCCCAACTCTGACCCTGCGCGATTGCCTTCTGAGCCTCATCATGGAAGCCCATGAAGGCCTTCATCATGTATTCAGTCTTCCATAAAGGACAGAACTGGTCGTAGTCACTGTAACCGTTCTGTTGGAGGAAGTCGTCCTTTAGGAGGGCAGCTACATCCAGTGTGATCTTGTCGGAATCACCAAGTGCGGATTTACCAACCAGCTGCACGACCTGATCAAGATCCTCAGAGGTCGACAGAATCTCCTTTATGTGGTCTCGAAGGCGAGGGAATTCGGGGTGCTCCTTCTCGTAGTATTTGTCGAGGATGTTGGTGTACTTGCTGTATGACACCGACGTGTTGACTGAAGGGAAGTGCTTTCGCTGAGCCAACTTCTTGTCCAAACCCCAGAACACCTGCACGATACCAAGGGTACTGCTGGTAACTGGATCTGAGAAATCACCACCAGGGGGACTGACGGCACCGACAATACTGACACTGCCCTGTCTCTCTGGGCTACCGAGTGCGGTACTCTTTCCGGCACGCTCATAGAACGAGGCGAGCTTAGCTCCCAGGTACGCGGGGAAACCCTGATCAGCAGGCATCTCTCCCAGACGACCCGAAATCTCACGCAGAGCCTCGGCCCAACGAGAACTGGAATCCGCCATCATCGCAACGTTCTTTCCCTGGTCACGGAAGTACTCAGCGACGGTAATACCGGTGTAGATAGAGGCTTCACGAGCGGCGACAGGCATGTTCGAGGTGTTCGCAATCAGACAAGTACGCTTCATGATGGGCTCTCTGCGGCCGCCAACATCGATCGACAGCTATTAAGTATTTAATTCGTTAGCAATAGCAACCTGCGCAGCGATGTCGAGTATTCCACCCACCTCTGGGAAATCCATAAGCACTTCAGCCATCTCGTTACCACGCTCACCACAACCGACGTAGACGATGATATCACTGTTGGAGAATTTGGAGACACTCTGGGAAATGACGGTCTTGCCGCATCCAAAGGCACCAGGGATACAGACGGTACCACCCTGGACACTGGGGAAGAGAGCATCCAGCACTCTCTGTCCGACGATGAAGGGCGAATCGGCCGTCAGCTTCTCATTGACTGGTCTGGGCACACGGACGGGCCAGCTGTGCATCATGCTGTACTCGGTCTTCTTGCCGTCAAACTCAACCTCCAACAGCTTCTCATCGACAGTGTAGCTTCCAGCCTCAGCTATCCGAGTGATAGTACCACGCGCGCGGGGCGGCAGCAGGATCTTGTGGTCATCCAACAAGCTGTTCTCGAAAACGCTACCCCAGATGTCACCTCCGGTGATGTGGTCGCCCACTTTGAGGCTACCGGGCTTGAAGTCCCATTTCTTTTCGCGATCCAGAGCAGGCACAGCGATACCGCGGGGAATGTAGATACTGTCGGACTTGGACGAGATGGCCTTGAGGGGTCGCTGGATACCGTCATAGATAGTCTCCATCAAACCAGGGCCCAGCTCGACGGACAAGGGCTTTCCTGTTCTCACGACGGGGTCTCCGACAGTAACACCGGCTGCAATTTGGAAGAAGGGTTCCCATGTCAGCTTCATGCAACCAGCAGAGACAGCTCAAGCCAGTCTGTTTTGTACCTGTTTCCTCGTAGACCTGGATGGTCGCCTTGTCTCCCTCGATCCTGATAACCTCTCCGACGAGCTGATCATGGCCAACACGGCACTGGAAAGAACCCTCTGGTTAGTATCCATGACCGAGATTGTCGAGGGGGTGACAGCAGCGTACCAGTTCGTACATGGCGCATCCAATCATGTTCTCTGCCACGACGACAGGACCGGCGACCGAGAAGATGGAGCCATATTCATCCTCAGAGGCTTCAAGGCGCTTTCTCTCCTTGGTAGAAGGCGCCATCTTGCGTATGCTCCAGGCGTCGCTGACCGGGTATGTAGGTGGTGGAGGGGGCTGCTCGATACTACTGCTCGAGCTGTTGTTGGAGGTGGGCGAGTCGGGGAGCGGTGGCAGGTCGTCTAGTCTGGGCGGCGGAGGCGGAGGAGCTTCCTGTGACGACGAACTCGATCCGGCCTCAGCAGCAGCAGCAATGCCGGACGACGGGTCAACAACACCACCGCTGGCGATCAGATCCAGCAGAGAAGGGCGTGCCTTGAGTCGAATGGTCCTCAAGCCCAACATACACTTTCCATTGAGCGCTGGCCAAAGTGTCTGTGGTCTCGAGTTACCTGCTGAAGTTGGGTGTGGTTTACTCCAGCTCCGCCCAGAACGCCGAACCACGGCCTAAGATAAGTAATAGTCGGAGCTCCACGCGGCTCATTCTACTGAGGAGGGATCAACTGATCCCTGTTCTGCTTATTCACTCTTCAGTTGTCTTGGTGTTGTGATCTGTGCGGTTCCTGAAACCATCCAATTATGCCTACAGGTGTGGTAAATAAAGATGTCCTGCGCTCATGGGGATCTCGATCAAAATTATCATCCATCAAGCCCCCAAAGTGGATCCATGGGTGAGGACTTACATACTTTACGCTGCTAACTAACTAGTAAACTGGTTAATTATTAATGCTGATCTGAAGTGACACCGCGAGTATAGGTTTCCTGATAACAACCATATCATATGGGAGCATGTGTAAATCTATCAAAAGCCGTTCTTTGCCGAGCTCAAATTGCAGCAAACATTGGTTTTCCCATTGACATAATTTCAGAATGAAAAACAATTACAGCAGAGAAACCAAGGTAGTTATTGACTTACACGAGCGCTGTAAGTAGGAGACCAGACTAATGAACTAACTAGACTCTCTGTTCTCTTAGCCAATCAAGTTGAGCCTGGCATAGTCTGCATCACTTATCTATGAGCATCTCAGAGTTGTGTTTCGAGATGATCCTAGTCTCTGAATGACATTTCAGAACCCAATGAAGAAGGTTTTGGCCGGTGATTGAAATATGCTGGAGACTTTGATCTTGTTTGCCTCGAAAACAATATTTGTCTTTCGAATCCGTACTTCACGACGCCTTTGGCAGAGAGACTGATAGAGTTGTCCACCTCGTCCCATCAACTATCAGTCCTTGTGTATATTTTCAGAAGGTAATAACGGATCTTAGACCGGTGTAGCTAAACAGGCAATTGAAGAAAAGCGCGTTTTTCCTAGCAGTCTTTGGGTATCGTTCTATCTCATAAATCTATGCGTTGAGAACTTCTGGATACACCACAACAACGCCCAACACATTCTTAAGCCTATTGATTAAGATATTATGGTTGTAGTGCAGGCTTCCTGTGTAGACACGTCCGCCTAAACGTCTTAAAGCGCTTGGTTCTGATTTTACTTATCCTTGATAGGGTCTGAAGCTGTAGCCCAACAACTTTCCTTTCTAAGCGCGCTGCACTTTCTGTTGGAATAGTCTCGTTGTATGGCTAAACACTGCCTCTGGGCAATCCCTGTTCTGGATCATAATTCTGCCACGCATGCGTTGCGGTGCAGGGAAGGCAGCGGTAGCGAATATTTCAACAAAGAAAACCTGACGTCAGATTCCGTTTGTTTTATCACCAGATTATATATCAGGTTGATTGATCAACTTGTCATAGCTAACTCCATTCTCTTGAACAAAACACAATACTACTTACTACACTACAATATCTGCAACTATGGGTCTTTTCTCGACTCTGCTGTTTCTTGTGAAACTCCTACCCTCCTTGCTCCTGAGAGTAGGCGGATTCGGTCCCTTGTGGCCCGTTGCAGGTATATTTACGACTAGTTCATATGTTTGCTAAAAGGAAACGGAACCAATCTAACTGCTTATCTGGCTTTAGGAACTCTCGCTGCCGCTTACCAGTCGTGGCGTTTTGGCGCATTTATACCTGCTGGGTCTACGTTCTCCGTCCTTCAATCCTTAGCAATGAAGTTGGCTTAAGAAGCCATGTTCCACTTGGGACCTCAGTGCCATGGGTATAGCCACAGATGATGGAAGTGTTAATTACGGTGAAGGAGGACTCGGGCTTTTTAGATCAGGTTCATCGCCAATCTACATTACATATGTCTTCCATGCCATGGGGTGCTGGAATGAGAAAATGGCGTCGCGAGCAGACATACTTCTTGAACTTTTCTTATTATCACGATGTACCTAATTCCACGATCCAGTAGGTGTGAGCAGCTACCTGTTTGCCATTATGCTTGCTGCACTTATAACCTTTCCCATGGAGTCAGAGAGATTGAATGATCGCTCCTTGTACTCTTTCCTTCTCAATGTGGTAATTGCTAGATACTTAGGTACTCGGGTGGTATAATCTCCTGAGGTGGGCTGAGCTCGCCCTTGAAAGCAGGAGTCACAGCTGCGCCGCCGGTTTCTTCTTTTGAGTCGTTAGATACGGTACAAAGTCTATTTTCGAGTTCAAGTGATACGGCTGGTATCGCAGAGTGAAGACCAACGGTTCCGTAGACACAATATCTGTATCCTTCCGGAACAGGCTACCGTCCTTCGCCCCCCGATCAACCACCACGGCTCCCTCTTCTCCCTCTGCACCTCGTACCTCGCCAAGCAACACACTGCCTGCGTACACGTCGATTACGACTTCGGTCCCCTGGGGAAGACCGTCCTCTGTCTGAGAATTGACAGCTCTGAAATGGAATGTGACAGGCGTCTCAATCTTCTTTGTAGGGATTTCTTGCAGTTGCGTTCTCCTGTATGGGAAATACGCCTGCCTAGGAACGCAGCCCGTGTAGTTGTCAATGTCAGCGTTCCAAGCGGTGTACGCATAATCCGCCATAACCTGATAGTGTGTGCTCAGCAAAGTCTCCAAAATCGGCTCACAGACCAAAGACACAGGAGGTCGGCTTACCCTAGCGCGTTGCTTGACATCGTTTATCATGGTCCCATGCAGCGAAAATACTTGTGCATTTCCATCTTTCGACTTACTCAAAGATACTGTCTTCCTTGGCCCTCTCTCTGTGACGTGTGGATATGCGTCAGGCGTAAACCCTCTCTTATTGAAGTCTTTAAGCAAGATGGGCGCTGGTCTCGTGAGTCAGCTTAGATCCGCTGGTCTAATGTGTGTATACGGGTGCATGGGGAGCGCTTACGCAGAGGATCCTCCTCTGTGTTGAATCCGAGATACTTTCCACTCGGCTTGTGCAAGAAGCAGATATCGACCTTGGAATTGACTGGCTTCCCTTCAAACCTCTTAAGCTTCTCACCAACATCCTTCTCAACATCACAGATCATGTCAGTAATAGACACAAGGTTATCTTGCTGGTCATTATTAGCAAACATATTCCGCAAAGCACCCTTAATGTTCTCACCTTCACCACGCGCTAGTTATAATACGATGAAACAGTCTTGCACCATGCGGGGGGACTGCGTCTCATTGTCAGCATATGTTGGATCGCGGAAACTGGAAGCTGGGCAGTACTTATTGCAGAGGAGAGTGTCACCTCCTTTGGCATCCCACGTCATCTGGCTATCAAACGCAGCGGAAGATGTCTCGTTTCTTTTATTAGTATCACTCCCATAGCCACCTTTGAGGGTCGCCTGAACACCGGGCCCGGCGAAGGATATACCGGCCGAGATTTTCAACCTCTTTGTCTTTTCTCCGATGTTGCTGCCCGTCACGGCAGCAGACTCTTGCGTGGAGTGCAGTCGGCCTCCAAGCTGGACCTTGGTGGAAAAGAAGGAACCTAGATCATTAAATACCAATCAAAAAGCGGAGCTGTATCACACGAACCAAATTTCCTCTTAAAGCTTCCAGCGTCCTCTCTCGAATTGATCTTCCTGAGATGTTCCCTGCATTCTTCGGTAAGCTCGAGACTGTCTTTGTCGAGGCTAACAATGACACGCGGAAACTAGACTTCTGCATTAGCTTGAGTCTTAGAAGGGGAAGCCTGGTTGAACACCGACGTTGTATGTAACGACCATATGGTTGGTCTCCGTCTGGTTTCTTTGCTGGCTGCGTTCGCTGGTTTCGTATTCGTGCCCTCCAGAGACGCCTAAACTATATCCGTAGGCACCCCCTCCGCTACTTTTCTTAGCAATGGCCCATAACAACTAAAACAATAAGAAAGCAGCAACGTACATAGCAACTTCGGATGAACTCTTGGACAAGGAGCTGGAAGCTATAGCCGACGCCACGGAGGATTTATGCTCGGAGACGTCGACGTAGGAGTCGTCCGTGACAATGAACCGAGGTATCCGGAGCATTTCTGTCTGTGGACTTGGTCAGTAATGTCAACTCATCTGGCTCATTCGACGTACTGTCTCTGTAGCCGACATTGTCCCAGCATTCTCGACGGGTTCATTCTTGTTGTCTTTATCATCGAAATAATACTCGATGGCGCGCTGCTTGAGTCGGAAGGCTGATCGCGTAAGCTCTTCTTTCCATACAATTGCGTAAGCTGAACACTCTTACTAGGATAAATGGCCCGTTCTACGCTCGCCGGAGACTCGATTGTTGCTCTCCAGATAGTGTTGCCATGTAGAAGAGCGTTTGTCTCGGTCACAGCATGCCACTGCTCCTCAGACATATCAACTGGGTGACTGGTGCAAAGTCAGTGATTCTCGGGTGACTATTGAAGGAAATGGGAGTCGGGGCTCACATGATGTTTCCGTTTCCAACCTCGGCCATAAAGTCTCGATGACTATAGGATCCCTTGAGTGATTCACGCGCGTTATCAGGCAGGAGTTCGGCTTTCTGTGATGATGTGAGCTCTCGATTTCAATGTCTCAATCTATTAATGCTGGGTGTACCTTTAATTCAAAATCAAACTTCTGCTTGAGAAACTCCTTTGTGCCTTCATCCATCTCGGTGAAGCGTTTACGCGACCGGAGATAGATCCTGATATTTTCTTTCCCATTCTTGGGATGTTCCAAGACATCTAGCTGCTGATCTTTGTTAACACCGGGCTCCTTGTCCTTGTTAGCGACCAGGTCAATATAGTCCGAGAAAGAAAGTGTATCTTTGAGCTCAGCACAAGAAGTGGTGCAGAATTTACATGTCTTCCTGCAAATATTTAAGACGTATTCATTGCTTACTATTGGTGGGAGAACTTACTCGCGAAGAGTCAGGGCCTTGTTCGTCCGCAAATGGTCGCGGACCTCGGACAAGGTTTTCTCCTTCTCGATTTCCGGCACTGAGACGATTTTCTCGAGTTCAGCAGCCTTTGTGGCTTGATCCACAAAGTAGATGTCGAGGAGCAACTTCTTGGCTTCCGGGGTTGTCATTTTGGCGTTGTAGTAGTAGGTATTGAGTGTGGACTGCAGCTTCAGGAAAGATGGAAGTGATGATGGGGAACACGATGAAGAGAGAGCTCCAAGGCATATATATACCCAAAATAAGGTCCCAAAAGTACCATTACTCCCATGACAAGAGTCCAATCACTCTTTCACGATCTATAGGTGGCTGCGTGGCCGCTCAACTGAACAGTCCATCAGGATTGAGAAGTCGGCGTAGGATATTCCACCGGACAGGGCCAATCGATCCTAAACCAACGAGGTTCAGCAATGTGCCTGTTACAGAATTTAACCTTATCACAATCTTGCATTCTACCTTGACTAGCGTTTGATTGATTCCTTAACGGGAACATGAATAGGCTCTATACAACATTGGTGGCGTTAAGCGTTTCTGTGACAACCACGCAGGATCATCACATTCCTTGCCACTGTTTCCCCGAAGAAGCTTCGGAGATGCGATGTGGAGGGCGGCAGCTATCATCGCGTGCGAACGTGCCGTCTTTCAGCTCTGTGAAAGTGTGTCAGTGATGTAGATCACACACTGCATGTTAACTACCTGGTTTGTGGGGAGTCAAATTAGAAGGATTTGGAATCGATTCCCCGTGCTTCTGCGTCATCGACGAGTACAAATATCATAAACCTTGCCGATATACGTATTTCAGTAATTGACTGCCTATTACTCCGTATAATACATGCGAGAGAATGGGAACCTCCCGCAGCGATCTGCTTCAACTGCAGCACATCACCGTCATTATGTTTACCTGGTGGGTTATTGCAAATAGGGATCTGCAGGGCAACGAAGATGTAATTATACTCCGTATGGTGCACATTATATGATCCATCAATCTTGCCACTCACATCATCTTCCAAGTTCAGCTGGCGCAGAATTGGAAGAATAGATTTACAAGGAAGCGAATGCTACCCCTCTGCCGATCTGAGAAGATATATGCAGGTATTCTGAATTTCCGATCCAGCCAGCCACAACCCGATTTTGAACGCTTTAATCACTAGTTTAGTCACACCGTATTGCTGTAACTAACTATATGTAACTCTATACATTCTGCCTTATACAGGACCACGGTTGGCTGGAAGGCTGGCGGGTCCATCCGGCTATGGGTGAACTTTCCACTTCATTGGACGACTCAACGTACACTATATGTATATGGATGAATCCACATATTATCGTATAATCAATGTTCAATTGATATCCAAGCTGCTGGTTGCCTCGTGGCCTTTATCTTCAGCTGGACCCACATTGCGGTGAACTGCCCCACCGTTTGGCAACTAAATACTAGGGCTACGGGTATCTATGTATGTACTTAGTAGCATGCAGCCATATGCAACAGGCTATTGTTGGAGGTGAATAGGTAGTTCGTCTCCTACTTTTAACTCTCGCGGGTGCCAGCTGGGACCTTACTGATTTCAGCATTGAATGAGATTATGAGGGGGTTTTTTGCCCGAAATTTAAGTCATAAATGTATTTTGTCGGAGAAATGGAGCCATCCTTTACTATCACCCTCTTCCTTTGCTATTTCTCATACTTGTAGCAATTTGCTCAATAGCAACTGAATGTAAGCAGATGTTGTACCCGATCATGAGCGCCAGTACTAATAAAATTCGCAGTATTCGACTCGTCTCAAGCTATGACACCAGACCTCCTGGGTGTCCAAATGTAGCTGGAGAAGAGAGAGCTTCTGGAATTCACTTTTAAGGCAGAAATTCCCTTGTGCCACTTCAATGTAATCAAGTATAGGTACTGCATGCCCTGAAGTCCTTTCCATACCTTTCTGAAGGATGAACAACCATCCCACAAAGACTAAAGAAATGTAAGTGCCCATTTTACTACCATGTATCGAATTCAAAGATCTCTATGTCAGAGAATCGGTACTTACGTAGGTGATTTTATCGTCTGTGTTCTTTTTCCTTCTGTCTTTGTTGTTGTTGTGACCGCATAGATCGCCCGAAATGCGTCAGGTTTCCCGCCTTTATACGGTACCGTAGTGTGGTGATCAGGAACCGGATACTCAGATAACGCATTACCACAGCCATCTGGTAAGCCGGTGAGTACAGGCCCATGATTGTAAAATCTCTTTGGATAATATGCAGTCGACGTTTCTTTTGATATTCTGTTGTCAATGGTTTTGGTGACTGTCCAAACATAGCCTAGGTATTTAATCAGCTTCATTTTTTTTTAATCCTTCATTCTATATTTACTCACTTGCTGGATTTGAAGTAGGCAGAGAAAAGGCGTAGTTAATTCCGCTTGTAGCCCTGGATCCAGGTATCGTAGCAACCCTTTTGCCAGCTAGAAGCTATGAGAGGTCTTTTCCTATGTGACATGTAAGAGGAAAAAAGAATATGTCTTACAATTACAACGGAAACTCTCAAATGAGACTGCTGCCGCCGGCGCTGCTTCGGCTGGCATAGACTCGAGAATCATTTGTTGTGCCATTGTAGTCAAACCAGCAAATAAGGGAAGACAATAAAAGAGAAAGAACCTCATAATGGAAGTCTTGTGTGAGTTTGATTTTCCTTGGTAAGTTTGATGTGAAGCCGATAATCTGGGATCTTCTAAGTAGAAAATCTAGTAAATTGAATAATGTAAAAGTCGTGGATGGAAGCCAATTTTATATCAAGCCTAATACACTGTTCGAATTGCGGTAGTCTCTCTCTGACCCATCCGAGATCCCTGCCACCTGGGCAGCTCTATATCCATATTACATCACGATGTAACTACTATTTCTTTATACATGCTCTTAGAATTTCAAATACATCTTCTCAGGGCTCCACCTACAAGTCCCCCGAAGCCTTCCGAGAGGCACCGGCCGAGCCACTGTTAAAAGGTACCTAATCACAGCATTAAAAGACCACTGGCTTTCCCTATTGGCTATATTTACTTTATGTGATATTCGAATAGTTAAAGATACGCAGAGAATAGTTATAAATTAAAAAAGAAGCTTGGATTCAAATTAAGGACAGGCGAACAGTGCTAGGAAAGATGAACCGTATAGGATCCCACAGTATGCGTATATACCAATCCAAGCTAGGTAGAAGTATTCACTTACAAAAATGCCGCACAAGGTTTCTGAGCCAAGGAATTATTGAGAGGATGTACATACGATGGCTTAGCTGAAAGTGTGCCAGTGGAGTGCAAGATTCGATCTGCAAAGGTTAATACAAGTACTGATGCTAATGCCGCTGATCCCGATTCACAGACCCCAAATAATACATGTCATACCCACAGTTTAGCTATGCTCCAAAGAGCCTTACTATATATTAGGTAGTACAGGTACCATCTCCGGATAAGTTCAAGTTAGGCCTAGGTTTTCAGTGCCAGCTGAAAGTGAACCCCCAATAATATTATTGGTGTGAAGATCTTGTATGGATCCACGGATGCGAACAATGATTTGACATCAATAAGTTTGCGTAGAAAACCTGATTCTGCTCTGCTGCTCGATTATTCAAAGCGCGGCCTTGACATGTTCGTTCTGCTTCGTCACTTCCAACGAGAACGATCTTGGAATAAATATTCTGGTATCAAACTCATTCTTACTTCTTCAACATGTCTTGCTATCAGTCAATGCCCCTTATATTCTCAGAATACGCCCACCACTATAAAGCAGAGGAATGGTGGAAGCGCATTTAAGAGCATAGTAAAGACTATGAATGGCTACGCGTCATTAGATTGACTTGAGTCAAAGACCTTAATTCACCATGGGCTCATGAATATGTCCAATTCATTGTCGAAGATTTGTTGGTTATACATTATTTCTTGGGTAGGTAATCGCTAGATACTGTCCATACCCAGTTAGAGAACCCTATATAGTATATAGGGTCATTGGATCACGTGACACTAGTAAACAGGGCGGCCAAGAGTGTTCAACAATGCCCGACCGGAGCACCGCTTAAGAGGTATTGTTTCTCAGCATCTATCTGAACCCCAGAAGTCAACGAGTTACCTTTCCAAAAACCGAAATATCTCATTGTCCACTTGTTGTCAAACTGTGACAAATATGCCTGCAAGTGATTGTCTTCGTAAGTGCTCTTTCTAATTAGCCTCTACGGCAATAAACTCACATAGGAGCAGAGCCACCCCTCACCCCGGCGGAGCGAGCTATCGTCAAGAGCTATGGCGGCTGGACTTTTTTCCTGGCTAACTATGGATTGAAACCTTGGAATACGGACGACGCCAAAGAAGGAAAGCAGATATTAGAAGGCTTGGTTGCTACGCAGCAGGATGACGAAGAAGAATAGCCTTAACCAGGGTACCTCGGTTGCGTAAGTATCTGCTGGCTATCGGAGTGTTGAATTAAACTGACAATGATACATGGTAATAGGTTAATGGCTTTCACGATATGGTTACTAGAAACGTATGATGGGATATCCTCACAGTGGCAGAGGCTTATGGGCTGGGCTAGTACCTTTTAACTAAAGAATAAGTCCAATTATTTTCTTAAGACAAATTCACTACCGGAGCAGCAAATATCCAAAGAGGAGTAGTGCCTGTCTAAGGCAGGAAGTAAAGTGGATAGTTAGTAGTTAGTGTAAGTAGAGCGTTGGAGACCAGACACTAAGTAAACGGCCAAGTGCTGATCGAAGCTTAGACGGATGTAAGTACCTAGGTACCTACCTACATCTTAGCATCTCCAGTGGCGCTGGCTTGCTTCCAGATCTTGATATTTCTATACCCTTGAGTCGTTTGAGTCGTATCATGACAAGCAGTTGTGCTGATAAGTGTTCCAGTGACCAGGTTCTTGTTCCTGATCTTCGTGTGGTCCCTTGGCGTAATTATGATGACATGTCTGGGGATCTTTACCTGGAGCCAGGGAACATGAACCGACCGCCAAGATCTGAATCCTCCAGAGTTTTTCGAATAAAAAGTGCACTGCTGCTCATTTATGGCGGGCACAGAAAAACTGCACGCTTCAATTGCACCCGTCGATTATGACTTCCTCTGACGGTATCCTTGAGCCCTTTCTGGGCGCCTTACAGGCATGCGTTTCCGTTCTGTTTACTCTCTTTTGGGGACTTGTTGCAAGGAGGATGAAGTTACTGAAGGAGCAGTCGATCAAAGATCTGTCTGGACTAGGTGTGAGGGTCTTCCTGCCGGCTTTGATAGTTGTCAATCTGGGTTCTCAGCTGCATCTCGACACTGCACTCGATTATATCCCAGTATTAGGTAGGGAGGATCGGACTATACATGCTGTACAGAAACTACTAACACTACTCTATTACAGTTTGGTCGACTGCATACACCGTACTGTCCATTCTGATGTCTCATTTTATCACTAAACTATTGAGACTACCACCCTGGGTCACTCCGGCATGTGCCTTCAATAACACCACTTCTCTACCATTGTTTCTGATGCAGTCGCTAGAGAGTGCTGGAAGTCTAAAGCTGATTCTTCCGGACGGGAAATCAATGTCTGACGCAGTTGAACAGGCACAGAGTTATTTCCTGGTCTGTGCTGTCATCAGTAAGGTGATAGCTTATGCGACGGGCCCTAGGATGCTCCAAAATGGACGCGGTGGAGATGACCAGGACGAAGAAAATCAGCAGAACGGGGGACAAAACAATCAGGATACTGAGCCAAGCGAGGAGCAGTTGGATGAAGAGACCCCCTTGTTACCCGAATCCGTACACAAGGCCGGCCATAAGATGGTCTCCCCATTCAAGCACGGAGCAAACTACGTCTTCTCTCTCTTCCCCAGACGCGTCAAACAGGAACTAGTGTCCGTTGATTCTCCATTTGTGGACACGGCTATCCTCTGTGCTCTGACGGGTACCATTCTCGGGTTGGTGCCTCCCCTCCACAAGGCCTTTTTCGACCCATATGACGAAGGAGGAATCTTCAACGCTTGGTTGACAGCCAGTGTGAAGAATGTTGGGAAACTGTTCACAACATCGCAAGTGTTTGTCGTGGGAGCAAAGCTAGGTGTCAGCTTTGAAAGAATGAAGCGCAGCGAAGGCTCGGGGAAAGTCCCAAAGCGAGCGATCCTTACAATCTTCCTTATCCGTCTAGTTATCTGGCCAGCGTAAGTTAGACAGGATTATGCTTTGATTTTTTATTTCTACAATTACTGATGGCACTTTATACAGAATAAGCATTTCTCTCATCTATGCCCTTGCTCTCAAAACAGGCCTGGTGCGCAATAACCCAATCTTGTGGTTCACAATGATGCTTATGCCAGCTGGTCCTCCCGCGTTGATTATCTCAGGTCTGGCAGAATTTGCCAAGGTGTCGGAGGTTGAGAAGTTTGCGGTTGCCAAAGTCCTTGCGGTATGTAGAAAAATGCACACATCGATTAGATCATTGCTGACTTCTGCAGATAATGTACGGCCTGTCTCCATTTTTCTGTCTCACTATTACCGGTGCTTTGAAGGCCACTCAAGCGGTACTTGAACATAAGTCATGAGAAATACGAAATCGCGTCGCGACGAAAAGTACATTACAAACGGCGATATAGTTATTAGGCAACTGAACATTGAATTTGCCTAAGTTATACCAGTTCTTCTCATGCACTGCGGATGGCGTTCGGATGGTCGAGTAAACTTTATCTACATATATTCCTCCCATTTACCTGGATGCTTTACCTGGATTGCGCCTTTATTTGGAATTAAAACTTTCGCTACACTCTTTCAATATCGATAACTCAGTATACAGTAGTCGACGGCGATTCTAAGGCTTCCATCTCTCTCATTGAGCGCCGAAGTTTCAGACCTTGAACATATCAACCACCAATAAGATGGTCCCCGATATGTACGCGGTGTCCAAAGGGAACTCGTCCAGATATTGCGTAGATCATTGAGTGAATCGTTATGGACTATTATCTGCAAGTTGTCATCTGATATCTCTAACCAATGCCAGATGGTATGTAATATAGTTATATACTGTTCCCAACCCTCCCGATTCCTACCTCCGAAAGGATCTCTCTTGGGACCGAACTCCTCGTCATACCAACATCGCAAAACTTCATTTATCTAATATATTATATGTGGGAAACCTCTTTATTTTCTTGCATGACTCGCTGACCAAGATCAAAGTATGTGTCAAACTTAGGTTACGACAATTATATATGCCTGTAGGCATATTGTTGTAGGTCGAGATCCGCATCGTTGTCCCGAGAATCATCCGGAGCCCTGGCCGGAGGTATGTACATATGGCGAGTTCGCACAATCGTCGACGGACATGTCCAACATGTTCAGGGGTGCCAAATGGGAACTAGACATGGGATGGTGAGCCACGCTACTTGAATCATGACCATCTACGCTGCTGACTTGTAAGGGAGATCTGCAAGTGACGTTTATCCTTGAAATCGAATTCCGAATAGTATATGATTAATACACTACCCTTTTTTCACGATGTCTGGTGCAGCTCATGATCATGATGATTATATTAAACATTGTGTATAGTCGTCTTTTCCCCCTAGTTCCAGTCAAATGATTTGCTTTTCGCGCCACTGTAGTGTCCTGGTTACAGTATGGAATCGCGATAGTTCAAGGATGAGTCACTTGATCGCCAGACTTGGACTTCTTCACAGCATATGAAGTTTTCCCGAAAGTGTTACGTTTTTCAATTCCATCCGAGACAAGAGGCATTTAATAGATCCGAGCCTTTTTCGCCTGTGTCAGAAAATATATGCTGAGAACTCAGACTAAGACGTGATCGTTATAGCAAGGTATTCATCAAAGATATCTACTGTAAGATAATCTACTGCGACATGTCTAATTGGCCTTGATTTTCCAGACGACGTTTTCGTGGGCTATACACAGAGAAAGTGGAGTCCTCTAGTTATTATGTCCAATGCCTCCAATTTGTCTTTACTGACCCGATATATAGAAGTCAAACAACAGTGAGATCAGTTATCGGTCTGGCGTATTCCACTACTGAAAATACTAGGTAGATAATCGCAAAGCAGGCTCAATCATGGTTCCTTCTACTAAGGGGCTGCCACGGTCAGGTCCATTCGGCCATATCGACTCATTGCATCGCATTCCACAATTTAGTTCCTATAATCTGTGGAAACCATACGGCTCTCCTCTTACAGAAAGATTCTTGATCAGGTATCTAATCTTTGCCCTCTGCGTTGTTCATCGTTCCAGTACTAATAATAACGGCGTCGTCTGAGCATAATATTGAAAGGATTGGTGATAAACAATGGCGAGCCACACGAACTGCAAAAATAACATAATACAGAGTGTCCAGCATCTGTCTCAGTGTCCTCAGAAGTTCGTAGAATTTATTCTCCTTGGAGAATGCGGAGTTGCTAAGTACGACTTGTAAATTAGTATCTAATAAGCTCTTTTGCTGACGCCCGTCGCGGGAGTTAACAGGCGGGGAAAAGAGAGTAAAGCAAAACAGAGCGCAACACCATACCGTACAGACTTCCGATAGAAATTATTTGCCATGAAGATAGATCCAGTTGCACGGCAACAATTATCACAATGACAGAGAACCTTCTTCGTCAATGGTTGTCCGACGACTTCGTATTCGACTTTTCTGCAGAGGCAGCTTCCAGAAGTAATGCGAGAATCAGTCATGGTAGGCACAACCGATAATGCCATTGAGTCTTTTCTTATAACGATTCCTCCAGTTCGTAGTCACGTATCATATCATAGGAAGAAAGCTTATCTGAAACCACTTGATTGATGGCCAAAGTAAATCGTCGAGATCCAGAGGCAAACTCAAGGCGACTATCTGCGTACTTGTTTCTGTCGCAAGCACAACATAGGGTTTCTTCGTTGGTCCTGCCTTGCGGAACTTCTCTTATCAACATAGGACGTCGCCTTCTTTGGGGGGGATGTTTTCAATGTCGGATCCGGGCAACGGGGCAACATACTGGTGGGTCTGGGCTGCTGTGTCTTCTTCTTCGCTCCAGAACTCGTACTCTGGACCATCCTGAGGTTCAGAGACATAGTAGCGAAGAAAAAGCTCGGAGGGTGCGTCGGTCCTAGATAGAAAGCTGTAGATAGGCGAAACCAGAACTTTTAATATACCAGACTTGTCGAAATGGGCTTGCAGGAGACGGCCATGTCGCGGCCCAAAAAGAGATATAGCCAGTACCTATTGAGATTAGAATGGGTTAGCGCAGTTAAATATCAGACTTGGGCAAGATAGCAGGGCAAAAAGAAAGGTTAAATATACTTACTGGAAAAAGCGATGTTTTTTCAAATTCCTTCTGCTGCAGACGGTTTTCAATTGCTTGTGCAATAGGTCCTAATTCGCCAAGCAATAATTCATTATCTTTGGCTTCTGCTCCAGTGCAAATAAGGAGTATAATATGCGGGCGAAGTGTTTCTGGGTTATCGTCGTCGTCCTGCCACTCCCTCTGGGCATATGTATCCCAATGTAGAAAGTCTCCACGATGGCCATACATTAGTCTCTGTCCATTATCCCAGAACGAATTGTCATGTCTGCATTATCGAAATTATATATTAGAACCAAAATTTCATTGATAATATATTCGAAAACTTACTCGATTTAGGACTACTTACTTGATTTGGGACCATCCAGTGATTTCTTCAAGATATTCATCATCTCGCCCAATCTGCTTGCGCAAGTAGACGTAACAGACTTGCAAATAGTTGTAGGTTTGAAATGCTCTTTCCCTCATGATAATTGAAGGAGAAACATTTTTCATATTTGCAGGTTCATCATAGCTTGCGTCAAAGTCGATATAATAATCAATACCGCCCCCGTCGAGTTCAGACTCGGGAAAAGAATATTTTCTAAACTCCTCCAAGGTCATAGGTCTAAAGAGGCAGGCTTTAGAATTGAGGAAATTCCTGTCATAAGGATCAAAAGATCTAAGAGAAATGCCGAGGCTAGTAAGTTCGTCCTGTCCATAAGCTGCCTGGGCTTGGGAATCTAGTCTTTCGACCAAACCCGATAGTGCTTGGTTGTATTTGTCTCTTAGGAGAGCTCGTTCATAAATGGACGTCATAGTGGCACAAAAGAGAGACACAAGAACCTCACTTTGGTTGAGAGACGAAGGCTAAATCCCAGAGAAATGAATAGCGGAGTAGATATAGTCTCTTACGTCGGTAGTTGTTGGATGTTGGACCCTTCGGGTGTTCCTCTTGGCCGCTCTGTTCACTGGTGTCGCGTGACCTAGGCGAACCCATACTTATAAGTTATAAGTATGTACATATGTACCTAGGGTTCGCCCAGGCTCTAGTTCAATCAAGCAAGCTTTCTATATCTGCGATCAGGAGGGGAAACAAGTGCAGTGAACCGTCGGAAATCTATCATTGGTGGAAATTCAAATATAGTACTCCGTATATCGTCCGAACACTCTGACAGCACAATAAGTATATTTAGCCATGACGTCCCGCTTCAGCTTGGGGATTAGAGATGGTCGGTCCACGGAGAACATATATGTATATTGCATCCTTGTATAAAGTGTTGCTTATACATGAAGAGGGATGCGACGCTCTTACACGAGGTTAGGATTGAGGTTATCAGGCTGATTCTATAGTTGGAATAGGGCGCAAGCTTTCTATCCATTCACAATGCTTCAACTCAATCTCCCCCTCATCCTCCTACTATACACCTCCCTATCCCAAGGAACAATCGTCCGACAACCCATCATCACCCGTTTCAACCCAACCCGACGCACTGTATCATCCAACTACACAACTCCCATCCAGATCGGAAACGGAAATTTCGCTTTCGGAGCCGACATCACCGGTCTCCAGACCCTTCAACCTTTCAACACGCTGTCATCATGGGGTTGGCACAATACCTCACTGCCAAACAATACGACGCCTGCAAACTTCACGGGGCTCGATTGGTGGACGCACGGCAGGCTGGTGAATTATGACCAGCCGAATCCTGCAGAGCCGGAGATTTCGCAGTGGTTGATCGCGAATCCGCATAGGGTCAATCTGGGGAGGGTAGGGTTTGCTTTTTTCGAGGGAGATGTGGCAATCAACGTGTTGATGGAGAGAGATGTCTCTTCTGCAATGCAGGAATTGGATCTCTATTCTGGATCTGTCAGGTCTGTTTTTACGGTCAATGGGTCAGAGGTCGAAGTCACTACCGTGGTAGATCCACACACAGACACTTTGGCCGTCAAGACATCCTCGATGCTGCTGAATGAGGGCCGACTAGGGTTCTTTGTGGATTATCCATATGCGACGGACGTGAATAAATTCGAGGCTCCGTACGTTGGTGATTGGGATGCAGTCAACAAGCATAAGACCGATCTCGAGAATGAGAATGGAAATGGAGCGCATGGTGCTGCGAAGATTACGCACCAGATGGATAACACCGTCTATTACACCTATTTGAGATGGAATGAGAAGTCTCGAATGAGACCAGTGACGGGCACTCATCGGTATATACTCCAGCCGCAGACGCACAACAACAGCGTTGGCAACGAGGTTTTCGAATTAACAGTGACATTCTCACCGTCAGCCTCGTCTCCGTTAAATGCAAGTGTGGACACAATCCAATCCACAGCTGCGCACTGGTGGAAGGACTACTGGGAGACCGGAGCGTTCATCGATCTGACCGCAACTCAGAACGCCACCGCCATTGAACTTCAACGACGGATTATTCTGTCACAATATCTCCTTGCTGTCAATGAGGCAGGGGGAGATCCGCCACAGGAATCTGGCCTCGTGAACAATGGCTGGTATGGAAAGTTCCATATGGAAATGTACCTGTGGCACTCGGTGCATTGGCTAACATGGGGTAAATCGCATCTGCTTGAGAGAAGTATAGATGTATACAACCGATTTTTGCAATCCGCAATCCAGCGCGCAGCGAATCAAGGCTACGACGGAGCACGATGGGGAAAGATGACCGATCCTACAGGACGGTCGGCTCCAGGAGAAATAAATTCGCTGTTAATATGGCAGCAGCCGCATGTGTTTTATTTCGCTGAGACAGAGTATCAGCACCAGCGACCATCGCAGCGCGAAGCCGTTCTGCTGAAATGGGATCATATCTTAACGGAGTCTGCAGACTTCATGGCCTCATTTGCGTTCTGGAACGAATCAACCCAAGTCTATGACCTAGGTCCGCCCATGTACCCAGCGTCAGAAAATACTCCTCCAAACAGCACGACAAACCCTACGTTTGAACTCGCATACTGGCGATTCGGCCTGGATACAGCCATCACTTGGAAACAGCGCTTGAATGAGACCGTTCCAGAGACATGGAATACTGTCGCAGCACATCTCGCACCGCTTCCCACCACCAAGTCCCCAACGGGAGAGGAAACCTACACTCTCTACGAAGGAATCTCTAACATGTGGAGGGACCCCCAGACCGTGATGGATCATCCAGCCTTGACAGCTATCTACGGCCTGCTTCCCGCACCGTCCTGCGCACCAGACATTCTGAACCGCACCATTCTCACTGCCACTGCGGTCGAGGTTGCCCGTGCTTGGAATTTCACTGATTGTTGGGGTTGGGACTTTCCCATGCTTGCCATGAATTCAGTGCGTTTAGGCGATGTAGATGCGGCCGTGAGGTATCTGGTTGACGAGTACTTCCAGTTTGACGACGTCGGCATGCCCATAGGATCAGAGGGAAAGGCACCCACGCCGTATTTTCCCGGAAGTGGAGGGTTATTGCAGGCTGTGGCAATGATGGCTGGCGGGTGGGGAGAAGAAGACAAAGAATTTGTGCCGGCTTTTCCAAGAGATTGGATGGCCAGGGTAGACAATTTTGAGCGAGTCCTATGAATAAAGATATTGGTGTACGCAACCGGGTAAAAGGATGCGAGTAAAATATTAAAATATGGATTCTGTGATGAATTTCCGCGGCACTTTTCTATGCATATGCCGTTTCCTGCGTCATGCTATTTTCACGCCTGGACGAACAACAACTGTATGGGGAATATCTCACAGAGAATGGAATGCTTTGCCGGCAGGGATATCTTTCTGAAAAGTGAAATATCAAACATAGAAGATAAATTGATGCCAGGCAGAATGTATAATTTAGCAAGCATTGACAGCAACCGCTTACTTGCTGCGCTTGTAGATCTTGGCGAGGAATGCCTCAAAAACTTCCTTCTTGAGGCCTTGAGTCTCGTCCACGGCGGCGATCTTGGCCCGCAGGTCGCCAACAGTCTTCTCCTCATAGTCCTTGTACACCTGCTCCAGCTGCAGCTCATTGAAGATGGTCTTGACTTTGGCTTCGAGCTCACGGTCCTTGCGACCGTAGGCGGCGTCGAGCGTCTTGCGCTGCTCGGGTGTGGCTCTCTGCAGTGCCTGATTGATCAGCCACGAGCACTTGTTATCCTGAATATCAGTACCGATCTTTCCAATGACTGCTGGGTCACCGAAGGCATCCAGGTAGTCGTCCTGGATCTGGAAATACTGGCCAAGAGGGATGAGGATATCGTGAGCCTGGCGGAGGTTCTCCTCCGTCGCAAGTTGGAGGTAGTGCAAAGCCAGGGCCACGGGAAGGTAGAAGCTGTAATAAGCAGTCTTGTAGGTCACGATGAACATGTACTTCTCCATGGAGAAGTTGTCCAGGTTGACATTGTCCTCTGGGGCGGTGATCAGGTCGCACAGCTGACCCAGCTCGGTCTGCCAGGTGGTCTCATGGAAGAGCTCCACAAGATCGACGTACGCGGGGTGCGAACGGAAATGTTTCTTGAGAATGATGTAGATACCGGATTCCAGCATGAAAGCGTCGTTGATTGCGATCATGCCCACGCCCTCCTGGCGGTACCAACAGGGCTGGCCACGTCGAGTGATGGAGCTGTCCATGATGTCGTCACTAACGAGGAAGAAGGCCTGCAGAAGCTCCGTGAGCCAGCCCAGCATGCTGAGGTGCTTGAACTGCTCGTCTGTCAGGGGCTTCTTGAGAAGAGCCAGGCCGGTATCCGGAACGGAGAGACCACGGTTCAGCTTGCCGCCAGGAGTGTTGACATTGAGGGACTGCGCAATTAAGATATCTCGTTAGCATAAACAGTTGACATAGAAAGCAACTGAACTACTAGCTAACCTTCTCAAACCACTGGAGAGCGTTCTCCGGCACATTGTACTTCTTCGCAGCCTCCTTGAGGTCCTCCACCAACGAGGGGAAGACCGCCTCGAAGTCCGCACGCTTGACGGTAGTCGCCATATTTGAGAAGCACAGTCGAACCGGGCTGGGAAGAATGGAAAAGAGAAGTAAACCTCCGTTGATGACGGTTAATGACGGACAGAAAAGGGGGCGAGGCAGCACAATTCTAAGTAAGATTCTCTAGTTACACCAAGTCGATAACCCCGCGTCGAGTGTTTGCTTTGTTTGCCCGCGGATTTGGTTCGCGCTTCACAGTATCTAGGTGAGCAGTTACTGCGAAGCCGACGGTCTCTTGACGCTTCTCCATTTATTGTTCTAAAAGTGCTTCCGGGGCTCAATTGACTGTGGATAATTGATATGGCTGGTATGTCGACTGACGCTCACCCCGTGACTGCTTTCTAAGTATTCTGCTGTCGCGTCCAACTGCATGGCTCCGGAGACACGCGTGGACTGGATATTAACGCAATCTAGATCCTGTTTCCTGCGAATAAGAAGCTCGCACCATATACAATTACGATCACTGACATATTGCTTATTTTTGAGCCTAGGATGTTGACGAATTGTTCCAGCCTGGATTCCCCAATTGCTGAGTCCTAAGTTCGACAGTCGACAGCTCCGATTGACGACCAGTCCAGTCCGTCCGGTCATCAGAGAAAGAAAGTCCCACAGACCGATTCGCGTGTATCCTGGGTAAGAGAGCCAGTTTGGTTCTCAGAAACGATTATGGCAGTCACCTTTACGGAGGATAACATCAGGGATCTACGGCATCGCCTGGAGGATGCGGCCATCAAGTGTTCGGAGCGCTGCTTGTATCAGTCAGCCAAATGGTAATATGTCACGGTTCTTGAGCGGCTGTGCAATATTGATGGCATATTCTAGGGCTGCTGAGATGCTAGATTCTCTATTACCCGTCGACGATTCCGAGACTGACCCCGATTCGCCCATGGACCTTGCGGAGCCTCCCACAGCTCCCAGTAACCCATTTCTTCGCAACCAAGATCCTCTAGAAGCTACACTCGAAGCTCAGGAAGCACATAAATACCTTCTCGCAAAGTCCTACTTTGACACTCGTGAATACGACCGCTGCGCGGCCGTCTTCCTTCCTCCGACGATACCTACTGTACCTCTCTCATCTGTCTCTCCAAACACGAAATCGCGAACGTCCCTGACACCGCAGAAAGGGAAGACAAAGGCGTCTCCGTTTGCTGGTCTGAAGGCAAATACCAACACCAGGAATCCGTATCCCCGCTTGAGTCAAAAGTCGCTGTTCCTCGCCTTGTACGCGAAATACCTCGCAGGAGAAAAGCGCAAAGATGAAGAGACGGAAATGGTACTAGGGCCCGCAGATGGCGGCATGACTGTCAACCGTGAACTGCCAGAGCTCGCTAGGGGTCTGGAGGGGTGGTTTGCAGAAAGAAGGGAAGGGGGTTTGGAAGACCGTGGCCAAGGGTGGCTGGAATACCTCTACGGCGTCATTTTATTGAAAGGCAAAAACGAAGAGGAGGCCAAAAAATGGTTGATACGCAGTGTTCATCTATATCCTTTCCACTGGGGAGCCTGGCAGGAATTGAATGATTTGCTGTCCAAGACGGAAGATGTATGTTTCTTGGATACTTTCATGCCTATCTGGGTGCTAACTGTCCAACAGCTCAGGCAGGTAGCTGATCTGCTGCCGCAAAATATCATGACCCTCATATTCCACTGCTACTGCAGCCAAGAGCTGTATCAAGCAACGGAAGACACTCACCAGACATTAACAGAACTCGAATCTATTTTCCCCAACAGCTCGTTTCTAAAGACTCAAAGAGCTCTCCTTTATTATCACTCTAAAGGTACGTCTGTTCGCTTACATTCAAATTCCTGCGCTTATTCGAAGCAGACTTCGAGGAAGCATCACACCTATTTTCCGACATTCTCATAGCAGAACCCCATCGTCTTGACAGTCTAGATCACTATTCGAATATCCTTTACGTTATGGGAGCTCGACCACAGCTTGCTTTCATTGCTCAACTCGCAACCGCAACGGACAAGTTCCGTCCAGAGACATGCTGCGTTGTGGGCAACTACTATTCCCTTAAATCTGAACACGAGAAAGCGGTCATGTATTTCCGTCGTGCCCTAACCTTAGACCGCAACTTCTTGTCAGCGTGGACGCTTATGGGCCACGAATACATCGAAATGAAGAACACCCACGCCGCCATCGAGTCATACCGCCGCGCTGTGGATGTCAATCGCAAGGACTACCGCGCTTGGTATGGTCTGGGCCAGGCATATGAAGTCCTGGATATGTCTTTCTACGCTCTCTTCTACTACCAACGCGCTGCAGCTCTCCGACCATACGATCCTAAGATGTGGCAGGCGGTGGGATCATGCTACGCCAAGATGGGCCGTGTCGAGCAGAGCATAAAAGCACTTAAACGCGCTCTCGTCGCCGGCTCGTACTATGAACCAGGTGACTCACAAGGCGGACCGGGTCGAAAGATCCTGGATCCAGAAACCCTATATCAGATCGCAACCCTCTACGAACGCCTAGAGGACGAGGAAGAAGCTGCTGCATACATGGAGCTCACGCTGCAGCAAGAGAGCGGTGAAGTCATCCATCAGGATGCTGATGACGACTCCGACGCGGAAACTGAATCGGGAGATGAAACTGGGCGCAGCCGTCGCCGTCGCGGAAAGCTCTACGACGACGAAGACGAGGAAAATGAAGCTGTTGGTGGCACTGGCGTTACGGCTACGACTTCCAAAGCTCGACTGTGGCTCGCGCGCTGGGCACTCAGACACGGCGACCTCGACCGCGCCGATCAGTTGGCCGGAGAATTATGTCAGGACGGAGTAGAGGTCGAGGAAGCAAAAGCCTTAATGAGAGATGTCAGAGCAAGGCGTGAAGGAGGGGGTTAAGGACAGAATGCACTGGCACTACTTTCATTGTATGATATCCTGGGCATATGGTCAAGGGCGTTTTACTCGCTAGGGTTTCAATAAGCGGTTCAAATAGGATATTCTCAGATGTGCTAAGACCTTTCCAACGGTGTAAAATGTATACACCACATCATTCGCTCATATGCTGAACAGTCCTCTTACTTTTAAGAAAAGTAGAAGCTCTGGAGAAAGCATGGCGCATTTTGTATGCAAATACAAAGCTCAGGAACCAATTGAAGAACCAAATCTGGAAGAGTTTGGTAATGGGTATAACAAATGGATGAAAGGGTACGTGGATAAAGGCACAATGGAGGGGTATATGGATGCTTTCTGGTGGAAAAGCAATGATGGACACTGCTGGACGACTTTGCAATTTAAGGTCTCAGACAGAGGCCTTGGTGTCCACATAGAGGTCACCATTTACATGGACTAGAGGCTCAATGGAGAGGAACTCCCCGAGACCTTGTAGCATAGTGCAATCCCACGCCATGTGGATAGTAGTGCTAACCTTGTTATCGCCTCCGGGAGCCATGCCTGTTTGCCCGGCCAATGAGTATCTCGGTTCCGCCGGGCCCTGTGCTTCAACCTGGAGTCTATCTACATTCCCTGGGCTGAGATTGTGGTCCCATGTGATGCATGAATGGAAGTGATCCATAGCTATTTGTTTCCATGTCTGTCTGAGACAAAATCTGCTGGATTCGATGTCTGTTCTGTCTTTCAGAAGTCGCCAATCTAGCACAAAGAGATGACCTTTGGAAGGTACCTCCTGCTGGGTGGTCGATATGCGGGTCGCAAGCTCGGTGCTTATAGTCGATATCTCATCAAGAAGCCTTTTCCGGCGGTTGATGTCGACAAAAACGACCCCTAGCGCAACATTCGCAGAAGCTGCAGCAGGGTTCGATCTAGTCAAAGCTTGTCGGGTCTTCGTATTGACTAGTTCGTCAATGAAGTGGCACGCATCGGAGGTGACTCGGCATTCTCGTGTTTCTGGTATATGGTTCCTCCCATCTAAGTTTGAAGAGAGGGATCGACCAATATAAATAGGAATCGTAGTGAGCGGTGATCTGAGGCAAATCTTGACGGGAATCGCTTTATCAGGATTCTGTGGGACACTGACTGTTCCTGTTTCCTGTACGACAGTGGATCTATTCCGTTCGATTACTTCCGTCTTGTCATGAAGTTGATGTGAAGTAGCCCGCTGTGAAACTGAATTCTCATCCTGAACCGATGCCATCATGATTGAACCACGGCTCCCTAAATCTGCACTGTCCTTCCGTGGCTGTATGTTATCAAGGGAAGTCAAAGCGCAACTTGATAGAGGAGTTGTCTGCTGGGCCTGTAGAGAGACTTGACTATTGTCTGTGAAAATGACGATATCCTGTTCGGAGGCATGAGATATTTTTTGGTTCTTCCGCTGATGACCCTCTTCAGAAACATCTTGGAAAGCACTGGAAAGACGGCGCTTTATAACAGGCCGCGCGCGTGAGCGCTCCCATGTTGTTTGTATCTTTTGACACAGAGGACTAGTGCCTGGGCTGTGTGTAACTAATGAATGGCGGGGGAAGCTTGGACTAGTGCTCAATACCTGCCTGGAAGACGGTGAGACGGAAGATGGTGAGATAGAAGCCGCGGAAGGCGTTGAGCAGCGTGACACAGTCGTATCCTGAGACCTGTCAACTATGTACTCTGACCTGTTATCTTTATGCTCCACCCGTTTCCTCCAGGTGGCCGTCTCCTGCAATAGCTCATCAGTTGGGACAGAGCGGGCCTTTTCTGCCAGCTCCTGTAGCTCTGCAAAAGAAACCGTCTCCTCAAAGGCCCTATCAACGTGAATCTTTAGGACCCGTGGAAAGCGAAGCGTGAAATATGAAGCATTCGAGGGCTTATCAAACCCACTTCCCAGCAATTCCACTACAAACGGGACCTTAAAGGCGGCATCCATGTCGGGCAGGTCTGTACGGCCTTTTTGCACAATAAATGCAGAATTCGAGTCCGGTTCGCAAGCACGAAATCGGCCGATAGAATTCAGAAGATGCATAAACTTTTGACTCAAGGAGTGATGATCGATCACATCAACGATCCTGAACTTAGGGAGTGCGTTAAATTGAGAGACGGCATTCTTATTTTCAAGACATCCGACATGGAAATGAGTCCATAGTAAACCTTGAATGCCCTTCAGAGCACTAGCATCTCGGGAATTGTACCCCCCACCGATAAGCACAAGATCAACGGTGTCACCAAGTCCTGGTATATAGTCTTTCTTGAGTTTAATCCAGCGTCCAAACGTCTGGTCCATGTCTGTTGCAAGTATCGGAAAGTAGGGCTCGTCGCAACATTTGAGCACAAAACCCTCCCATCGCTGCGCTATCCCTCGAGCGAAGGTCCTTTCAAGGCAGCTTTTGCTGTCGCTACGAGAGAAGTCTATGACTTCCTGCTCTGCAATTCCGGCCCGGCCTGGTATCTGTGCAATAAGCTTCTTAAGAAGAAGTCTCCGTTCCCGATGGGGCCACGCCAGACAGATATCATTGTCATATAATAGGACATCGTAAAACATGATCATTAAGTGTTCGTAAGGTCGTGGCCTAAATCGGTTAATCGGGACTCAAACGTCTTGCGGCGAAGCACGACTCACTGTGAATCGCTATCCGTTCCAATAAACGCTCCAGAACGTGTTATGTGTTTTCTTAGTTTATGAAACTCCAATATTTTTTCTTCCCTGTCACTCCAGACAAGTAATTCTCCTTCTAGAATGCATCGCCGCGAGAAAATGCAATCGCGCTGTCCCATCCGTAAACATTGCTTGATCACGTTATGAATACCAATTCGGTCAATCGTCGAGTCCTTGCCACTCTTAGAAAATATTTGTATGCAGTCTGGCTGCTGGGAAAGATCAACATGGATTTGGCAATACTCTCCATCGTATTTTCGCTCGACGCTCATTCTTCGTCGGCCGACCATCTGGCAACAGTGTTTGATGCTTCTTGCTTTATAAAAGTCAGGCCGGCCAACCTTGATCCCGATCCGTGGAATTAGATACTGGATTGCGTTTTCACACAGTAACCTAGCGACTCCAGGTTCTGGGCATGGCTGGAAGCAATTGAGTGGACTGGTGCTTAGCATACCCGCAGCGGCTTCGAACGAATCCTGTAGGAGAAGGAGGTGAGGCAGGAGGAAATGGATCTTATGCAGGATGAATTTTCCAGGTAACATGACCGGACAATAAGACTTAAGTATCAGGCGAGTAAGCCATTTTGCATCCCTACTGCTCACCCTCCGATAGAGGGGTCCAAGTGTGTCCTCAACGTCGACTGCTGTGTGCTGTCTGCGTAGTCGGGGCCCAGAAAACCGACATCTGGAGGCAAGCTTGTCCATAGCAGCATCGATTTCTTCCAGTGTGAGTTCCCGGCCATTTGGGACATAATTTTCAGCTTGCCGCATCACGTTCTCAACACATTGGCCGAGGTCACTGCCTCCGCTGGCTCTCCAGCTGTCGAGCTCTTCTTTTCTCGAGACACCTAATAGAAGGCATCGAGCAATGACTCTCGCCAGCGAGGCATCTTGGAGCCAGTAGACTCTGTCCGTTCGTTTCTCTGGAAAGAAACAGGAAAGGAGGGCCAAAAGATCCGTGTCCTTCTCAGCGATCTGTCTACGGTGAAGCTTGAACCAGGAATCTATAGTCGAAATATCGGGGTCTCTGCTTCGTGCTGCAGTGGACGCCTTCACTATCCTGTTAGCTTCGAGGTCGGAGAGTAAGTCGCACAAGAAAGAGAATTTGAATCCCATTCCATGCTCTCGGCACGACCAATGTATGCTCTGCGGCTGTTCTAGCTGCGTGACCTGACGAATACAATATGTTGATTCAAATGAGGTGCACACAACACCCAAGGCTGGAACAAGATATATATATAGACACTAAGAGAACTTAGGAAGGCCTTGGACACTTGATATTTTCTGTTAACAGTGAGGGTTTCCAGGAGAATGGTGCGGGACACGGCAGACGCGAGACTTTATTAGGGCCAGACGGAGACGCGTCCATGGAACGCCTGGTCACGTGCGCTCATTTACACTTATATAGCGGTAATATCAATATTCACGCCGGTCTAGATCATTTTTGTAGCTGTCTAATTTCGGGATAGCAGCATTTCTGCATTCATGTAAGTAGATAGAATACATTACTGAAAAGGCGACTGCGTTGGTCGCAATCGTAACATGCTTTCAGTGCGCAGCATGACAAGCGCCACCTTGTCCAAAGACCATGATCGCCAAACTCCGTCCCAGTGCCTAAGATCCATATCCGCCAACAGTAAACACAGCTTACACGGTTGAAAGCGGAGAGGGAGTCGTCTCTCAAAGAATACCTTGCTTCTGAAGACTGCAATCTAGTTAGCATGACACGTGGCAAAAGATATAAGGTAAGAAAGAGGACAACATACTCAAGATAGATTCTTTCAGGCATGACATTGCCTTCAGCATCTTCCATTTGTACCACATTCTCACGGGAGTCTCTTTCTTTCTTTCGATTCTGTTCTAGCTTCTCCCACAACTGAATAGCATCTTCGATCCTAGTAATCTCGCGGAAAAGATTGGTCTGCGATGTGATTCCAAGACATTTGAGCCCATAGATGTGTCGAGCTTCTGAGAAATGCTTGTCGAAGGCACGTCGACCCATGTATACGAAATTTCCACAAATCTCGCAGGGAAACTCGACCCCAAGACCATGGAGCTTATAGAGCCAGTAAGGAATGGGTTTGCCATCCCAAGCCAGCGGTAACTTCAGGGGGTTATAAATCTTCTCATCAGCTTCCTCGTCTGACTCGTCTTCTCGACGCCCAGTTTGCTCCGACTCTGCGAACAAAGCTTCGAGTTCCATCTGGCGCTCACGCTCGGTCATACCTTGCTTCCGCTCCACATTGACTCGTGTCGCTTGTCGCTCCGAGTCGAGAGCCTGGGCCAAGGACCGGATACGGTGCTCACGCTCCGCAATTGCCCTCTCTTTCAATCTCTGCGCGGCAGAGTTTACAACACCACTAGAGACAACCTTTGCGTCGCCGGGTCCTTGAGACTTTCGAGCCTCTGCTGCTCGAATGTGTTTCTTGCCAGTGAGGTGATTTCTGTAGACGTTCTCGTTCTTAAACTCCTTTTCGCAATCTGCGCACCATATTCCTTCTCCAGTGCCTTCGGTCTTCGGTCCCTGGGCGCCATCCGCTGGCTTCTCTTCGCCCCAACCAGGAATCTCGTTGGCATTCCATTGCTTGTCAAACTCCTCATCAAAGCTGGCAAAAAGCTTGTCGAGGTCCTGAAGGGGGCGCACTCGCTTAATAAAACTCTCCAAGTAACTTGCCAGGCCGCCCACGTACTTAAAGTACCTATCTGACACTTTGTTGCTTCGTTTGACGGGGAGCTTCGGCGGAGTAAAAGCATCGAACACGTCGAGGTATTGTATATAAGTAAGACGCTTAACGCCCGGCAAATTTAGGTATTCCTCGTGGTTTTCAGTCAGATCCAGAAACTGACCAAAGGCTTCTTCTCCAGTGAACATGTTCTCAACCCCAGACCCGAACCCATTTTCTTCTCCTGGTTGCCGCCTCTTGTAAGCCCGTTCCAAATTTTCCACTGGCTCGTTCGGGTATCGTCTGTGGAAGTCCTTGATCTCGTCCAGACGCTTGTAGAACTCTTCGAATGGATCACCCGTTGAGATAGCCTGTATCTCTTTCTCTCTCAGTCCTTCTGCATCTTTGTAGATGTCGAGGAGTCTTTGCGACTGCTCCTCAATGCGCGTTAAAAAGCCGGCGATTTCGTGGTCGCGATTCAAGCGTTCCCGAATCTATTGCTCAGAAACTGTTAGCAAATTTGAAGGTTATGTTGAGGTTGATGTTAAGCAACAACGTACGTTTCGGGGTTCTTCAGAAACGCGATCGCTGATCCCCTGCTCGAGCCTCTCCAAATCCTCGTGGATGAATCTTTGATCTTCCAGTAACATGATGAACAATAGGCCAGTTGAGATCTTGCTGCGCAACTGGATTGTTCGTGCTTAGAGATCGCAAGTAGCCACTTACCGGGCGACCTGCGCGACAGCTTTTCCGAGAAAGCTTCTCACGTGACGATAGCGGGTGGCGCTCGGACCAGACAAAAAGTCGTCGCGAGGAGTTCTGGAGAAACGAACAGCTCACTTGATACCATTATCTCATTAACAGATCTTTTCTCCTCCTCTTTACCGTTACTTAAGCACTTTCAAGATGGCGGACGGTATTGATCGCAAGGCTGATGGTAAGCTACTGGTGGTCGTGCCCATTTGCAGTTCAAGGCTGACATTTGGTATAGATAGGATGGAGTTTACGACCTCCAAGGAGGTCACGGTTGCTCCGACCTTCGAGGACATGCACTTGAAGGAGAACCTACTACGCGGTATCTATGCGTATGGTTATGAATCGCCATCCGCTGTCCAGTCTCGCGCAATCGTTCAGATTTGCAAGGGTCGCGATACTATTGCGCAAGCACAGTCTGGTACCGGTAAAACGGCGACTTTCTCAATTAGTATCCTGCAAGTCATTGACACCGTTGTCCGTGAGACTCAAGGTAAGAGATATCTTGCGACTCTGCATGTATAGTGTATACTTATCGAAACTGTAGCTCTCGTCTTATCTCCTACCCGCGAACTTGCTACCCAGATTCAGTCCGTCGTGATGGCTTTGGGAGACTACATGAACGTCCAATGCCACGCCTGTATCGGTGGAACTAATGTCGGTGAGGATATTCGAAAGCTTGAATATGGACAACATGTCGTCTCTGGAACCCCCGGAAGAGTTGCAGATATGATCCGTCGCCGCCACCTGCGCACTCGCAACATCAAGATGCTAGTCCTCGATGAGGCAGACGAACTCTTGAACCGTGGTTTCCGTGAGCAGATCTATGATGTGTACCGTTACCTGCCTCCTGCAACTCAGGTTGTCGTTGTCTCCGCTACTTTACCTTACGACGTCCTTGATATGACGACCAAATTCATGACGGATCCAGTGCGCATTCTGGTCAAGCGTGATGAGTTGACACTCGAAGGTCTCAAGCAGTACTTCATTGCTGTCGAGAAGGAGGAGTGGAAGTTTGATACTCTTTGTGATCTTTACGACACTTTGACGATCACTCAAGCCGTTATTTTCTGCAACACTCGCCGCAAGGTCGACTGGCTTACCGACAAGATGCGCGAGGCAAACTTCACTGTCTCCAGCATGCACGGAGAGATGCCGCAGAAGGAACGTGACAGTATTATGCAGGACTTCAGACAGGGCAACTCTCGAGTGCTCATTTCGACCGACGTCTGGGCCCGTGGTATCGACGTGCAACAGGTATCGCTTGTCATCAACTACGACCTACCCAGCAACCGTGAGAACTACATCCACAGAATTGGTCGAAGCGGTCGATTCGGCCGGAAGGGTGTTGCCATCAACTTCGTCACTAGCGAGGATGTCAGAATCCTCCGAGACATCGAGTTGTACTACTCTACTCAGATTGATGAGATGCCTATGAATGGTCAGTCATCCTCATTAAACGTGCAGCTACCCCGTACATTCTTAACTAACATATCCATAGTCGCGGATCTGCTGTCTTAATGGAGGACTCTTATTGCACGGAATGTTCTTTCTCCTCACCTGTTACAAGACCTTTTCTTAGTCTCCCGTGTCGAAAGCGGGATCCTCCTGGGCAACTAGCATCAAGCGGGCAATGGATAAAATCCATCTTAGGGCCAGAGATGGTTACATTGCGTTCTCTGGCTGCATCATAGCATAGCCAGAAACAAGAAACAACAGGGAAGGCCGGTACAAGCGTGGAGGAAATGGGAAAAATACCAAATTGGTGAGTCTCCCCGTTCCTATCATCACAACTCATTCCAAATCCAAACCAGCAAAGCTAACATCCACCTTTTCGCTTTCTTGCCGCAACAGCTATAGCTTTTCAATATCCATCAAACAGCAAAACCGAAGGGCCTTTCGGCCTTTTCTTCAAATTATCTAGTGGGATATTGTTAATTTTCACTTTCCAAATAATGGCATGAACTATGGACATCAGTCGTCCACTTGGCGTGTTTCTGAGAGCCTAATCAGAGCTCCATTATGAGTTACCGTATGAATGAGAGAAATGATATATTGAGACTTTTGTTTTATTTTCATCCTGTTCGGCGTGGAAGATAACTGAAGTGGTAATGAATCATGCAGACTTCTTCTCGCCGTGATACCATTTCCAGTTAATATCGTACGTATACCTGAACGACGATGCATTACTCGATTTTATCTTCGATGAAAGACCGGAGGTTAAAAGAAAAAGACATACGAACAGACGTAATTGCTGGTAAATACTCAGAGTAAATGGAGTAAGGGAAAAGCAAGACACAGGACCGCACTCCGCCACCGTAAGTTAGCCTCGCAACCAGTTTCACCACGACCCGATGATGAACAATTCGCATAACAAACAACATGAAAAATGGTGAGACTTGTTCAATGACCAGTGATGCAAGGACCTAGAAATGGGTGTGATATGTTTGTGTGCCAAAATGAGAGAGGGTCCACTCCGCTGTCTTTCTCAAAAATGCGCATGAACATTGCAAGGGGCCAAGTCACAGATGAGGAAAATATGTCTAAAATGCAGAAGAGACCCGATGTTTTCAGGGAAAAAGAAGAAATCTTGGGTATGATTCTCTCCGGATGATGCAAGACGGCAGAACGAAGCTACATGGAATGACTTGATTATGAGTGTTTCCGGGTTAAAGACTCGTCGTCGATCGCAACGCGCTTGTACGCGCAAACCCGTTTGACGAAGGTATTCTGCGTTTCCCTGCTGCTGCGTCACTCGGAGGTTCCCGTGTCCAGCTAAATCGTGTTAATACTGAAGGATCGTTAGATGGAGACATGGCTAACATACATTCGAACTATTCGGTCGTCGCCGGCGGAGGCAAACATGCCGGGATCGGCGGGGTTCCACGAGATTGCATTGACACAACCGGACAAGTGACCCTCTAATGTCTCCACGAGGGTACTATTTTCTTTGTGCCAAATGTATATTCGAGCGTCTGCACCAAGTTAGAACATGGAGAAACTGGAAGATTAAATATTTTACCTTCACTACCACTGACAACGAAATTTTCCGCCGCACCGCCGAAAGTACTTCGGATAACATACTCGCCTTGCTTCTGCCCTCGGAACCGTCGTATAACGTCCGTGGTCTCAATATCGATAAGTTGTATCTGCCCCTCCGCGAGGTTGACCAGCATATACCTCGAGTCATGACTAACAGTGACAGATGTTGGCTTGCTCTTCAAAGATAAGCAATAGTCTTCTTCGTGTGTTGAGAAGTTGTAAACATGGACTCTCTTATCGACATCAGCCGCAATTAACCGTCTCCCATCTGGCGTTATGGCACAGTCTTGGACTCGGAAAGCCCCAGGCCACCTGTACAATGGATCACCTCCAATACTCCAGTGACAAAGCGACGACGTGAGATCAAGAGATGCTGTTACAAAAGACTGTCCATCTGCAGCCCAAGCTGCCGCTGTTACTGGCTCGCTGTGGTGGTCGATGGTGAGAAGAAGGAGTCCCGTCTACAAAGGAACCGTAAGCTTTGCGTTCAGAAATAGGGGCAATGGTGACACCTACCTCTACATTCCATACTCGAGCCTTTTTGTCCTGAGAGCACGCAATTAATTTTGTGTCATCTGGACTCCAACTCACATGAGCTACCGGCCCTTCGTGCTCCACGAATCTGTGCAAAACAGTAAATGTAGCAGTATCGTAGATTATGACGCTGTGATCTCGACTTGCTGTTGCTAGTTTCGTGCCATCATGAGAAAATTCACAGTACCAGACTTCGTTGGAATGCTGGCTCAGCTCAATAGTAGCGCGGAGCGGGAAATCATTCCTGTCACACATATGATCGGAATAAAGTGAGGGAGCCGCAGCAGTATTGTGATAGAGACACTGGTTGATCTGGCTCTGCTTTACATGGTTCAACAACACAGCGAGACGGTGGTCCGGTATCATAACCGATGGTGATATGGACTCTGGTGCTGCTTAGCATTTATGCGATGAAACACTTGACTTTGAAGGTATAAAACTCACTTGATAATTCCGACAATAATCGTTCTCGAGAGGGACCCAAAGGTCCGTCCCAACCGGCTTGTTCATGCAAATGCTCGGCGGGGCACATGAGGAGACTATATGAAAAGACCGCTTAGTATACGCTCCTAAGGCAAGAGTGACGACAGACCCATCGAATCTAATCTCACCTTGAAAGAGCGTGGAGCTGGGGGATATTATAATTGAGTGGTGTCAGCTCTTGACGAAGGACCATTAATGCTGCACCAAGATCCCGCGCTTCCAATAGCTCGAGAAACTTTTGTTGCCGGAGGCAAAACAACATTTCGTTCTTGTCTGCATTCTCCGCCAAGACTAGTCTTGGTTCATTCTGAATCTGGCCATCACTATCACCTACAGCACCACTGCTACCGTCACGGCGGAAAGAGCGGATCAATATGTTCTCGGCGTCTGTCCACTGTCCATCCAGAATTGCACTCCTGAAGGCAGCTACAGCAGGACTTTCCAGTTGATAACCACTTTCTCGAGTCAATGTATCGGCAGATTCATTGTAGCCCAGATCGTATAAACTCTGAATTAGAATTCTTGTCACCTCCTCCCGATCATGACCAAAATATGACGGTGCACTTGAAGACTTTTTAGATGATCCGTTCGCTTGCGGTTGTCCGTTCGATGTGTTTCGAGACAGTGAGCGGCCATTCAGAGAGCTCGAGATGGAGGACTTGCTTAGTGGTGATGCTGCGAGGCCGTTGGACGTCTGTGAGAAGCCATTCGAATTTGTCGATACTTCACCATCGGGTCGCATATTTGCCAAACGCCTGCGCTTGGGAGACCGCGAACGCCCCTCTTCACGGGAATATTGTTGATTGATATTGTATTCTTCAGAAGCAGCCCCGCTTCTGTCTTGCTCCCACTGTAAGCTTCCTTCCCCCGCAGTGGTATTGTCCGAGGGGTCGGGTGATGAACGGCGGCGACGGCGGCGGTTGGAAGTTCGTAACGACCGTGAATCAGATGAAACAGTATATCTACTGTCGACAGTAGTTCGTAGAGACTCAGACTCGACACCACGTTCCGTTGAAGAAGCGGGAGCTGCAGCTGAGTCCTGGGCGTCTCTTTGACGAGGAGACGCAGCAGAATCTATGGTGATAGGAAGATGAGGGCGGTCGGAGGCGGCTGAGGTGGGTATATACGGGGAAGAGTTTGCCAGATCGAAGACGGAGACCTGCCCTTCGTCCTGGCTCTGTGAGAGAACCAGGTGAGCAGGCCTGAAGCAGTCGTGGGATGTCTGCTAACGCCGCAGCGATGTCCCACGTGCGGGATCCAGTCACAGTTCAAGAATCGGTCAATTCTCGATGAGGTCCAAAGAGATAACAGCACTCCCTGAGGTAACTATCCAGGATTCTCCCTCCCAGCTGAAGCTCTGTATGCAGTTTTGGTCGTGCTCGTTTCGCGGCTTATCTCCCTGGAGATCTGACGCAAGTTGAGCTGTCGTCTGGGCGTAGGAAGCTGGCGGGCGATGACGGACGGGATTTAGTGGCAACAACGACACAAACGGCTCGAAAGAGAGGCCAGAAGCTCCAATGCGGTACACTATCAAAGGAATGGAGCTGAGCGTAGGGGTAGGATACGGTAGTGAGCAGGACGAGGGGGTCGATAAAGGTGTGTTAAGCAGCGAAAGTCGAGCACCGAAGTCGTCGGTGGTTGGCCTAGAGTACGGCCGCCCAGCGTAACTTATTATTACTCCCCCGTGGCCGTGGGGCGAAACTGTAAGTAATAATCCTCTCTGCGACACCCGGGAGACTTCTAACATCCTGAATCTACGAAATCTCCCACAGAAAATATTTATATAATCCCAGTTGCTTCAGCTGGATGAATATCCTTCCTCATATTGTACACTATCACTTCTGCCTGGGGCAAGCAGTTTCTTCTCCAGAGTACTATTAAATAAAAGCAGACCAAACACCGCCAACCTACGGCACCAGATCGTCAGCGATAACATGGCCGTGACGCCAACCATCCGCTTATCGTTATCAAGGAAACCGTCTTCTTTTGAGGAGTACAATAAAGGAACACATCGCTGGCGCATTCCAGGTACAACAAGATAGCAGTCCATCTCTGACTGACATGCCCCGTGAATGGATGACTTGTCGGGAAGATCCGCGTCTTAAAAGGTCTCATCCACGAATGTTAATTTAATCATCTGATCAGCAGTCGATAAATTGTTGACTAAAGTGCCTTGGTACGCTGCTGATTACCCTTTTGAGTACAGTAATAATATTCCGGTCAGCCGGTGACTTCTTTTGACACACATATCCCATTCTACTGCGATGACAAGAATGCTAAGTACCCAGGGAGCCCCAGAACATGTTTTGTCCACGGTGACTACTTATCCTATCCTGTCCAACCAACCGGCCCGTTCCAACACATCATCTGAGAGCAACCGGTATCAAATCTAAGGTTGGGTGGTGACCTTGCCTGAAACGGCCAAGGCCAGCTGGACATCATCTCCCGAGGGTGTCCGCCGAAAAGGAAAGCCACTTGCAGATGACTTGCTGTTTTCCTAGCATGACTGTTGGGCCCCCGCAATATGTGGCATACTCCAGGTTGAACAACTTGTACCCACCCAGTGTTGTCCAACTTTACTGCAGAGTTGGGTATCAATTAACGGGGATGTCGCTGTTCCGGCTCTTGCAGATCTTATATGGGAAACCTCGAGGATGAAAAATATTTTACGCAGCAAATCCGGTCCAAATAGAGTTATATGTAGAATCGATACCACGGATATGTTATTGATTTATGATGGCTTTCTGCCACTCGACCAAAAAGGAGAACTCCTGGTTTGTCGAGACTCTACCTGGACCTCTAACAATTTATATATTATTTCGAGGGGGTGGGTCCATGGAGTGAAATGTTTAGATATAATCCTGATGGGGAAGGGGTGATGCTAATTTATAATCTACTGATATACTAACTACCTAACTAGCTATAGGTATTAATGTAAATATTCTAACCCAGCAAGGCCCATTTGGGATGAAGGCGGGTAATTCGGAGGAATATGAGTCTGGATTCATTCATACTACACGATAACTTTATTGACACGAGCCACTAGTATCGATTGTCTTCGAACTACGCAAAATACAAGGCCTTTAGACGTGTCTTGAAGATAAGATAGGAGTATTTTCTTTAAATAAATGGCATCACAAACACTGTCTTCATCCACTGGGTTGAAAAGATGTGATTATGAACTATTCTTGGGTACATGGTCCTATTGAACGAACATCGCCAGAAATGCTCAGATACTTGGTTCAGTCCAATTTAATGCCCGAAATACTTAGATCGCTGATATCCACAATTGCAATCGAGACACTTATTGCAAAGCAGTTGTCGGCTATCCCCATAACTGTCTCGGTCGCAAACGGAACGCAAGGTCCTTTCGTCGGTCCTGCCTTGTGGAACTTCTTCTTATCAGCATAGGAACATGTCGGTTTTATGGTTCTTCAGCAGATGAAGTATCGCTTTCCTTGGGGGGGTATGTTTTCAATGTCGGATCCGGGTTGTGGGGAAACATACTGATGGGTCTGGGTATCGTCGCTGAACTCATACTCTGGACCATCCAGAGGTTCACAGGCATAGTAGCGAAGAAAAAGCTCGAATGGTGCGCTGTCTTTGCGTATGAAGCTGTAGATAGGCGAGGAACGGACTTCTAGGATACTGGAATTGTTGAAATTGGCTTGTAGGAGACGCCCATGTCGTGGCCCAAAAAGCGAAACGGCCAGCACCTATCGAGTTTAGAGTAGATGATTAGCATATATGCTGGTCTGAAGAAGGAAAATTAGTTAAAATATACCGGGAAGAGGGATGTCTTCTCAAATTCCTTCTGCCTTAGACGGTTTCGGATTGCTTGCGCGATAGGCCCTAGCTCGCCAAAAAGTAATTCATTATCTTTGGCCTCCGCTCCAGTGCAAATGATGAGCATTATATGTGGGCGAATTGTCCTTGGGTCTTCATAGTCTTCCTGCCATTCGCGCTCAGCCTTACAACCCCATCTTGGAATATCTCTGCCCTCGCGAAGGCCAAGCAATAGTCCCTTTCCTCCATCGAGAAACGAATTATCATGTCTGCGTTATTAAACCTGTGTATCAGTATAATATATCTATCTTGCAGATAATTCGATTCTAGCTTACTTGATCTGGTCCCATCCAGAGACTTCGTCGAAAAAGTCAAGATTGTCAACGCTCTTCTTACGCAAGCTGGTGTAACCGGTATCTAAGTATTCGAAAATTTGATTTGCTCTATCCCACATAATACTGGAAGAGGATGCATTTTTTTCCTTCGCGGGGTCGTCTATATCTTATCAAATCGCAAGTAATAGTATCTACAAGCGCCTTGATTCAATTCGGATTCGAGAAGAGAGTACTCTTTGAACTCCTTCAAGGACAGAGGCTTGAAAAGGCACGCTTTGGAATCGAGGAATATATGATCGGACGGGTCGAAGCATCCAAGAGAAACCCCAAGATTAGTGAGCTCATCATGTGCATAAGCTGTCTTTGCCTGGGAGTTCAGTTCCTTGAGTAGGTTTGACACCACCTGGGTGTACTTGTCCCTTAGGAGAGCTCGTTTTAGTATCTGGTCATCATGAATAGACTCCATAGTGGAGTCAAATCGAGATGGATGGGCGTGACTGAAGAAGAAAATGGTTCAGTTAAGAGATAAGAAAGTGGATGAATGTAAGTGGGTGTACTGTGTTGTAGATATGTCGTATTATCCAGTACCAGTTTGTGGTAGACTAAGCTAGTTAATTTTAGGACTGCTGTTAGTTATATCAGCTTCATTTCCATCACTTGGTCTCAAAGGCATCATTAGGATAGTTGTCTAGATACCAAGCATTATTAATGATTATAGACTTGACATTGACATATATAGAACATATAAAGTATCTATTCACAATAAGACTCTTATTATGTACTGTAACTGAATTCAGGATCACGTAACTTCTCTTAACTACCTAACACAACATGATATTTTAGGCCTGTGGACCTAGTAGGATACCTAGATACTTAAGTAGGTACCTACCTACCATGGAATCTTGGATAGGAACCTTCACGGCTTAGCCTCACGCACAGTCAGTTAGAAAGACTTCGAGCTTCTCCTAGTGACTAGGAAGTAGGATGTGCTGAGTCGGCAGGCCGCTTCCTATTTAGGCAAAGAGTCTAGGAGACAAAGGGCTCCAATCGATAATTCAAGGGTCTAAGCGTTACTGGCGAGACGGTTCAATAGGTTCCAGTACGCAGAAATAACTCATAATAACAGTGGATGAAGACGGCGTTGATGATGCTATATAGCGGAAGAACATGTGCTCATGCTCCTTACTTAACCAAGAAAGCAAGTGCAGATACCTCTGGCACGACATCCTAATCACCTTTTCTTATATTCGAGACGCATCCAAAGGCTTTGTCTTGTATTATGCGCAATTCAAAGACAACAGCATGTAATCTCTCAAAACGACAGGAAATGGAGTGAAGTATCCGTTCATTCGGAAGATATCTATCCAATACGCAAGACATCAATAATAGACGGCAAAGAGTAACATTCTCCGCATACCTATTAATATGAAGAAATAGCGACTTTCTTACTGTTTATGCGTAGCGAAGAGGATAGATATGAAGCTAAAGTCCCCAGCCAATAGGAAACAATTTCCTCGACTGCTAGAGTCGCCTCCAATGAATACAAAATACGCCATAATAAATCTAAAAGTGAAGACCACATAGAAAAATCCATGGCATCCGCGTTCGTTCTCTCTGTATCCACGCCACGTAGGGATGACAACTTCTACGGTCCTGACGCCATGGTGATGCCGCCGAGCCAAGCAAAGCGTCTGAAGTGGCGCTCCCGGTCGAATATAAATAAGGGCTCTCAGAAGGTCCTCGCTGATCTAACATTCAGCTTCAAGCACGCAATACTCGAGCTACCAAACCATCATCGATCTCAAAGATTCTATATATATCTTGATCATTTGAACTCCCAATCCCACCATGGCTTGCGGTTGCGGACAACAGTGTAACTGCAGCGGTCCCCAGAATTGCTCGTGTGGCAATAACTGTACCTGCAAGAGCTGCGGAGTACGTATCTCCTCCGGACAGGATTGAAAGCTGGTCCTCGTTAAAGGCCGCAGATATGATGGCTGACCTGCGCTCTGTTCTTATAGAAGTAAATGCAGTTGCCACTGACAAACGAAGTCGACTATATGCCGTCATGAGTTCCTTCCGCGTCAACCCAGGACAACCTTTCGCTCTATTGTCGGTTCAACTTGGCAAAAATATCTACCTAATATTATAATACAATTCAGAAAATTTCATCTTCTTGCATCCTCAATGAGTATCCCAGCTATAGTACCCGAGTATCCCAGTTATAGTACCTGTTTAATTACCCGTAGCACCCGTAGCAGATTGCCATGACGTCACACTAGTGCTACGACATTCCGAGTATGAAAACGAGGTATGATACTGGCAGTTCTCCGCATGAAAAAGCACATGTTAGTAAAAGAAGCAGAGATATGATCCGGGGCTCTTGTTACTGTTTAGCCGGCATGCGCCTTATACTGCAAATTGATCTGGTGCCTGCTATATTGTATATTGGAGAACAGATGGACCAGAGATTTTGTAGAATCATAAAAACGCAAGATGCAATAACTCAGGCGAAGAAAAAATAAAAACAAAAATAAAAATAAAATCACCCATAATAATATTACTCGAGGTAAGAGTAGAATGGAAATCACTATTAAATAATTGTCTTGTTAACAACAACACCGAAAGACAAAACAAACATCTCACTCGTCCACATCCCGCGGCTCGTGAGTCCTCCAATACTCCTCATATTCCTCCGGAGTCTGGCTCTGGATGATTTCATAGCGTGTGAGTGGTGCCAGAGGGATCCCCAACTGATCATACTTGTCCAGACGCTTCCTTGTGAGCGGTCTGCTCTTGTTCACGCTATAAACACTGATCCGATGCGCAGAATGCGTGACATGCAGACCCCAATTCCAGGCTGCTCGCACATTCAACGGCTGCGTGTTCAGCGCGTTGTCCCAGCATCTGCACACGATTTCGATCCAGCCCTCCGCGTCGCAGGGGAGGTCGATCTCCCAGGTGCGCCACAGCCATTTACCCTTCTTGGAGAGTTTCTCGGGTGGCACATCGTACCAGGTGAATCCGCCATCTGCTGATAACTCGACACGCTCCGGCCAGCGGCCACCACCCGAATAGGCCCAGCCTTTGCATCGGATCTTACCATTGTGAATAACAACCTGTTTGGTGATGGGCGACATGATGGCTGAACTGACGGGCATCTCTTGGATCTGGATGCCGTCCGTAGGCCGTAGGTTGTACTTTCCAACCTGCTGGTTGAAGTACAGATACTCCCTGCTCTGGACAGGAGCTCGGGATGGATTCTCAATGGCCTTGATGCGATACAGCCACTTCACGCTCCGCGCGCCAATGTATCCCAACACCACGACTCGCAGGGGATATCCATGGATCTTGGGCAATGGCTCACCGTTCATCTCCCAGGCGAGCATGACCTCGTTAGCTTTGACCTTGGACCACGGGACGCTGACGACGTAATTCATGACTTCCAAGTCCTTGACATAGGTCTCTGCGCCGTAAAATTCCAGGTGCTTCGCAGGCTTGATCAGGCCACCGCAGTCCTTGATTACTTTCTTCAAGCTAATACCCACATAGCGCGCCGTGCCAATGGCTCCTTCAGCCCACGGAGCCTGCGGCACTTCATCTCCCTGACCCCCATACAGGGAAATCTGCTCAATACGCCTCGTCCCTGAACACTGCATCGTGACCAGCTTCTCCATGCGCGGGAACTTGCGCTCATCCTTAAGGTCCTCCAGGGTATACGTCTGGGGATGACTGACCAATCCATCCAGTGTCAGATTCCACTTATCCTTGTCGATAATTGGGATACCGCCGTGATTTCGGACGAAATGCAACGGATTCGGCGTGATGACCTTGGACGTGACAAGGCGTTTGGGCGGCTCGCCGTTATACGGAAACTGGAGCAGATGCAGCATATCAGGGTGTTTTTCACGGAGGACAGTGTTCCATGAATCCTCTGGAACGCTGGCGAGCTCTCCACCGATGGCATGATGCCATTGTTTGAAATCCTCGCCCGTGAGCACGGGGTTCGTGTCGGGGATGGGACCGAACATGTACTCTGGACTCGGGGTGAAGGTCTGAGACGTCAAGATCTTGTGTGCTTTGGCCTTCTTTTCGGGGTACTTTTCCCATTCGACATATCTAGAAAGGGATTCATAGAATCGTCAGCTTGAGAGAATTGCAACTTCCAATCCCATCCGGTTTTTCTTTTCTTTCTACGAGGATCAATCAGATAAGTCAGTCATATAACGTACCCCTTCCATCCCTCCAACTCCCTCGCGAACACCTTATCTCTATCCCCCACGGATTTAATCGCTTCTTCATCCTTGACCCTCCTCGGCGGATGGGTCGGATAGATATGAATCGTATCACTCCCCGTCTGATCGAGAATCGGCAGCTTATGCCCCGCCATTCCTTGCTCGATTTTCCATTCATCAGGGCGATTACTCGTATCGAAGGCCTCTGGGACGTCTATTTTGGGTAAGTAGTAGTTGTCGATAGGCCTGGTGTCCTGGCGCATGACGTTTGAGGGACCGGCGACGGTAGCTTCGCTGAAGGAGGGGGGATAGCTGGAGGGTGCCATTTTGCCAGGCTCCTTTTTCTTTTCTCTGTTGTGTTTTTTAATGTCATATGTATGTATGGATGTGTATATGGAGCGATCGAGTCTTATAAGGTAGATAGGTAGGTAGGTAGTTAAGCAGGTCCACACGCACGACAGCAGCTCCTGGGTGATTTTAATTCAAATCCAAGAATCCAAGGAATGTTTTCGAAAACGAAGAGGGTAATAATTAGCAAGCGATCAAAAAATTCAACATAAATCCTGCATTCTTTAGGCTTCGTGTGGCTTGGATTATTGTCTTATCGCCAAAGAATGAATGAATGAAATCTGCCGCATGCGGAATCACATCTCCTCTCTGCTCGTATCCCTGATCTGGCCTGGCTTGCGTAGAACCCTTGGGAGATACCTAATCCATTGGTAAATCACAAGTGACATCATGACTTTTGACCGGGATAGGTGATGTTTAGAGTGTTAGTTAACTAACTGTAATTAATTATGTAACTTCCATGTTTGGGCGCTGGAACAAATCCAACTAGGCCAATCAATGTATACTAGTATACTAACTTTGGCGAAATTTCCGTGGTTCCCCGAATGGCTAGACAATTATTACAAGAGAATTGAATGGATGAATGTTTTTAAGAATTCGTCTTTCCTTTAATGGAATATATTTATGAGTAATGTAGCCGATGTCATTGGACATTGCATTGCCATGGTCGTAACGAATAAATCGAGCTCGATTAAATCAAACACAGCCGAAAGGCTTGGTTTGGCCTGGTTTGGTTTTCCAGGAAACCCAAAGAATGTATGATTCGATACGACACGATGTGGCTGACAGCTTTCATACTTGCTCGTCTAACCTATACCGCCTTGTTTCTCCGGAGACAGTGTGCAGGGATTTAGTCAAGTTCCTAGCCAGTTATACGGAAGCAGTGACATGAATTGCTAACTCATCCAAGTAAGTAAGGAACCAGCGTTATGGCACGACCACCCTTGCTTACCATTCAAGTTCCAGATCTCTCGTATTCGCGATAGATACCTAGCTTATGGTATGTTTGTTCCCCCGGAACATCGGCATGGAAGTTGTCTTTCTCCAAGTATCGTAGATTGGAATAGCTAGTTACCTACTCCTCGCGGAATTAACTGATATCCTGTCCTGGCTGTTTGTTGTTTCGGCCAAGAGGAAGGAAGGGGGGAAGGAAGGAAAATCCCAAATTCTTGATTTTGCAATGTTGCCTTGGGGCGGGTCCTTGCGGAAGGAGATTACATTAGTTTGTTTGTTTTCTTCGTGTTGATTGCAAGTTGAGGGCTTTGCGAATTTTAGATTTAGTCGGTGGAGTAAGTAAGTAGTGACGTTTCGATGGGGTACAGTACATACTGCTGTCAAGATAAGGAGTGGAGGTGTCGGTTGGTGGTTATCTGGGATAAAAGTAAGTACTGCCAGTCTTATTGTTGCTTGCTAGCCCGACCAGCTAGCTACCTACGCAGTCGTAGCAAATGATCGACCACGTTTAATAATAATACATCATAACACTACGAGAGGAATGAATGCATGAAAAGACACGGGTGACATTTCTCCGAATTAAATTAAAGGATTTCTCCAGGCCTGATTCGACCAACTAGTTCCTCGACATTTCAATCAATCCTGCCTGCGGATACACCGGCAACCGACCACCTATTTCTTAGAGCGAAGAGCTTCAGTTGCCTTTTTGATACCAGCTCCCAACTCTGGGTTAACGCGTGCGAATAGACCTGGAACAGAGACATTAGCTTCTACACAAATAAAAACGTTAACCTCTCGATTATTGTGTTCAAACACGTACTGTAGACGTCATTGCGAAGTCGATCACTGTGGACCTGATTCAAATGAGCAGCGACATTTCCAAAGAACCGCTCCTGATGTCCGGGCTCTCTTCCGATGACTTCCCACAGAGCAGCGGGCTGTTCGTAATCATCGTCTGTCATATGCATCTCGAAATTAGTCACTTCTCCGACCCACTTCTCGTGCTCGGTCAATGTGCTAATGGAATTGGGTCCGAGGCCCTTGATGTCCTGGTAGAACTTGGTCGGTTTGAGAGAAGATCCCGTGTAGTTGGGGTCAGCTCCGTAGTTGTCGGAGAAGTTCATCTTGCCGTCGCGCTGGAACGGGCAGTAGACAGGTGCTTTGGCGGCGTTCGTGGGGAGTTGTTGGTAGTTGACTCCGAGGCGATACCGGGCTGCGTCGGGGTAGGCGAACATTCGCGCTTGGAGCACTGGGATATAAATTAGGACTTGATTCACGCTACCGGATGGACTGTTTCTTACTTGGATCCGCTGAGGGTGCGAAACCTGGCACCATGGTCGAAGGCGAAAAGGCAGCTTGCTCGATATCCGTAAAGTAGTTGCTGGGCTATGATAGATAATCAGTCAGCACTCGCGTGACATCCAGGTTTGAACTTTGGGCACATACGTTGCGATTCAAGGTTATCTTTCCAATCTGCCTCAATGGAAAGTCCTTGTGCGACCAGACTTTGGTCATATCAAAGATATTCCATCGGTATTTTTCCGCCTGTTCAGGTTCCATGACCTGGACATAGACGTTCCAAACGGGATAATCGCCCCTTTCGATAGCTTCAAACAGATCCTGAATGAAGAAGTCGGGGTTCTCGCCACCGACTTTGACGGATTCTTCTCTGGTGAAGTTGCGAACGCCAATGGTGGTCTTGATGTGTATTTTGATATATTTGAAGTTACCGTCCTGGATGGCGCAACATGTTAGTCTACAGTACCATGTGGAGGGGGATCGATTCTCAAGCTTGCCTTGGTGGTGAATTTGTACGTATGTCCGCTATAGGCGTTCATGTGACGAAGAGACGCCGGGGTTCCTCGATCGCTGAAAAGATGCATGAGTTGGTGAATGCCTTCGGGGTTTCCGACATGGAAGCTGGGAATTGGTTAGTTTCGAAGAGAAGAGGACCACTGAAGGTGGTAAATAGACTCTCTACATACTCCCAGAACTAGACAGAATTAGCTTTTGCTGAGGATAATAATTAGGGGATCTATAACTTACCATATTCGGGTCCGGCAGATGGGTCTGCGGATGCCGCTTATGGGACCGATTCATAGATGGGAATTTCAACGGGTCTCGCACGAAGAAGACGGGCTTTTGCACAGAGTCTAGTTAGCAGATGCTAGCTAGGCACATCTTGAGAGGACAGACTGACGGTGTTGTTAAAGACCCAATCCAGATTGCCCTCGTCGGTGTACATTTTCATGGCCCAGCCGTGCACATCGCGAGCCGTGTCTGAGGAGCCGGCTTCCTGTGCAACCGTGGATACGCGCAGAAGCAGCGGGGTCTTTTTACCGACTTGGCTCAGAAAGCTGGCAGATGTAAGGTCGGAGCAGTCATGAGTGCATGTGAACTCGCCGTAAGCTCTATGAAAGAATGTTAAAAAGTGATGATCAGGATATGAAACTGGAAACCACCACTTACCCTGCAGCTTTGGCGTGGACGACTCTGAGAAAGCAGAAAAGACATTAGGTTTTGACGGTCATACTAATGTCTAGATTTCTTACCGTTCAGGAATTCTTTCTCGGTTGAAATGGGCCAGAGTCTCAAGGAGTTGAGTATCCTGCATCAGTACAAGACCGCCGCGACCAGTACTGCTGCGGAGCTGCACTGATGAGGCATTGTTGGCGTAGGGACATCCTAGCAAATTGTTAACAGGCTGATAGATAAAAAACAGCTTCAATTGGGAATTACCTTCGGCGAGAGTATAGTATTGCTCCATTGTGATCCGTGATGCCGAAACTTTGTAGTGTAGTCGGTTTCAGGCAAAGTTCTCTGAGTTAACTTGTCTGCAATGAGGTCAAACTACTTGGAAGAGACAATCCTGGGGATTCGAAAACTTATATTCACAAACATTTCCTTCTTTAAATAACCCTGCCGTCTGTTTCCGGCAGTGTCTGAGTTAAGCGTTACATCGGATGACGATTTCGATTACCTACCTACTTAGGTACACGCAAACTCAGAAGGTGCATATACTATCACGCCGGGACCAGTTAGGTCAATCAGAATTACTCTGTTACAAAGAAAAGCCACTGACTTCATGATCCACAGTCAGTTATTCATGAAATACGCCGTTAAGCTAAGAAGTTCACATGTTCTTCTCAAGACGTGCTATGGCTGGCCAGATGCCTATTTTGGATAATCGTCTTAACAATGTAGACGTAACAGACCCTTGAGACTTACAATTTGGTTTACTCTTCGATAGTAGATGATACATGTCTGATCGAGTTTATCCTCCATTAGAAGAGTGTACCATACGACCTGTCCTGGCACGCATAGTTAGAACAAGCCTCAAGATACGTCATACAATCAAGTGCAGATTGACAATCCGTTCAACAGCATTGGTTCAATCATCAATGGAAGCTTTCTCTTACCAGCCACACTAGCAATAGCATTCCGGAAGCTTGCTACCAAATACCTGTCATACCTGTCATACCTGTCAATGAACGATCGCGGTATTGGATCGATACTCTAACCTAATCCGGGAAATCTAGACTGGCGGGTTTCCGTCTCCGATTCTCCTTGTTCGAATGAGGAACTAACTTACTCTATGCGAAACCGCTTAGGGTCTAGTAGCGCTTAGGGTCCAGTTAGGATCTGCGTTGGTAGATCTTGTTTTTGTTCTGTTGGACCGGGTGCTCCTGCTGGCCGCCCTGGCCACCAGTGGTCATGTGACTTAGCATAGGATACAGGCTGGTAGCCCTCAGCTAGATAGGCTTGTTACTATCAGAATGGAGTCAAGTCTTTTTCCTGGGTCGAAATATATGGAGATCATAATAGTTATCCTTGTATTTTTATTTCTAATTACCCTAGCGGTAGTTAGTAATAGTTAGTTATAACTTGCTAGAGTCTCTCCCTAGATTCGTTCCTTAATTACCTAGCATTCAGGTTTTCAGCTGCTAGTCCAAGATCTAATTTCCTATTTTAAGCTTTGTCAAGGTCGAACATCTTGATGAATGTGGAGTCCTATATGCTATACTGAGTTAACGAATCTCATTATTGAATGTGGATACATCCGCTCTCTGCTCCGCGCGTTACAATAGTAGTAGTATCGTACTGTATTCTCCCCAACGCCTCGCTCGGTGCTGATTTCTGCATAAGATAAACTATGGTCAAACAGATTCGAACCTCCAATGGGAGATTGTAGGAACTAAAAAGCAAAGAGAAGTCTGCCAATATCCGTAGTGCCGTCACTGGAGAGACAACGAATGCCTTCTCGCTCGTCTAAGATCTTCTCAATGTACTCTGCCATTCCCGACGCGTGTAAAATCTTGGCGAGCGCTGCATGAGTCTCAAGTAACACTGGACTTGGAAGATCAACATCATCTGCATATTTTTGAAACCTCACAATGCGGTCACCCCGAGAATTCGGGGGAGGGAGGAAAATATTCAGAGCAGTGGACTGCTTCTTGAACCTGAGGATCTTGTACTCGTGTGGAGCCTCCTACAGAGAGTTAGTTATCAGCATTACCATGTCAAGGCGGAAATCAACATACAGTTGGTTCCAAGGCAAGTGTAAACTTCCCGAAGTCAGTGTGCACAAGTTCAAATAATGTCATAAGATTGTCATCGTTGTTCACATCGGCCGGTTCCATGCTGATGCTTGGGAAAACCTTTCTCAGAGTGGCCCATATCTGAGCTACCTTGTGATCCTGATGTAGTTAGCAAATGAGATTTAATTTTTACAGATAGGACCAAAAGAAAGGGTAACTTGCTGTCTTTTTATCTTTCCAACTGCCTATCGATAGGGGAATAATATGAGAAAGTTCTGTGGGACCAGTATACACAGATGGCGGTGCACCTTGTGCCGCACTGCTTTCATCTTCAATTACACCAGTGACCATACAGCGGTCGTTGTCGCGACGCAGGCAGCGTTTCTTGAGCCACTTTTGCACATCTCTGCTTGGAGAGCGGTCCATGAATTCAGCAACCTCCTGCACCGTCTCGTCATTATCAGGGAAGGGCGAAGGCGTGATTGTAGGAGTTGGAGCTCTCGCCTTCACTATAAGCAATGAAGTTAGTCTGTACAGAAACATAATGCGGATTGACTGAACTCACTGGGGAGAAGAATACATGTGACAAGGTGACTGGATAAAACTCGAAGTGTTTCGTTATCGAAGGTAGTTATAGCCTCTGCCAAAACGCGCTTTCCGTTAGGTGGTAGAAACTGGAGAAAACTTGACAAGACCCTCTTCGTAGGATCATTCCTCTTCAGAGGCTGATAACTGTTGATGATGGCTTCGGCATCCTCTTCGACGAAATCAGATGGGACGCTGCTCAAGGTTCCACTGCTCTCGCTGAAAAAGCTAGCCACCATTTCTTCAGGTGTCTCTTCAGGACTGGTCGTCATGGCTGATTCGAGTGAGATTATTGTGAGGGAATAATCGATGCTTGGTCGCGGATAGTAAGCATTTGCTAAGGTGATTTGTATCCTGGCAAGCAGCGGTTGAAATCCCGAGGAAAGAGAGTTGATAGCGATAATCGTTGCTGCCTCCGATGTGACGCCCCCAAGCGGTGTGGGTATGTCCGGCAGAATTTGGATTTGGCCAATTGGATTTTGGGAGTCTACGAAATGTAAATGTTGGCCATAGCAGCACTAGCTATTACAGTAAACCCTGGCTATAACGACCCTAGCTATAACGAATTTTCCTCTATAACAAACTAAACAGCGTGTCTAATTCAAAACCCCATACAAAATTTGTTAAATTTGGGCTATAACGAAATTCGGAACAAATCCCTAGCTGGCCGTCATTTTTGTATGGGGGATCGTTATAACAAGGAATTGGTCATAGCCGATAACCAATCAAATCCCTTTATTTTCAGGTATCTATTACATCATATTAAAAAATGTCTCACCTTTACCATGATCACATGACATAAATTACCTTTTGCTAATATTTGATATAACAAATACCACGCTATAACGAACAAAAGTGCTGGTCTGATTCAATTTGTTATAGCTAGGGTTTACTGTAATCGAATCATGAATTGAAACGAACTTTAATTTCTCTTCTTTTTAACTGCTGCTTGTGCGATAGATAAGTACGTTTGAAAGACTTTCCTATCCTTTTTTCAATCCTCCACTCTATATGAAGGGTAGTATCGGAAAATGATAGTATTGTAACAATCATGATAGTACCTGACTAACTAGTTAACTAGTTAATTCCAGTACCTAGGTAAGTAACTAGATAGTTAACTACGGAGTAGTTAAGTTACTATACTATGTAAGCAAGTGGCCCGAGCATAACTATCAATCCTATTTACGCGAAGTAAAACTACGCGTCTGAGTTGACGCGTCAAACAGTAAACTCAATCAAACCTGTTCTGTTATCCCACAATCAGTCCACCCAGTACTTTGAGTCCTGTTTAACACGTCATAAGAAATATTTATATCTCTGGTGCAGATTCAGAAAATGAGGTCCACCACGCAGAATAATGAGATTTACCAGAACGGATTATCGCCGCGACTCAACGATGCCATTGAATCCCTGTCTAAGCCCCTCTTGAGGGCAATTGTCAGAGACATCTGTATCAATGTTCCAGGAGCTCGTGACTATGCTACGAATAAACTTTTTGTAGCTTACGATGATTCCAAGGATGATGATGATGATCAAAGCTCCACAGCTTCTTCATCCGAGGGCGAGGACGGGGAAAGGGAAAACACCAAGCCTGAAAAGAAGCCAGGTGCAGCTCCCGCTCCCATAGCTGGTACTAAGAGGTTAAGATTGCGATACGTTCGCTGCGAGAATTGTGAGCAGCAATTTGACATCGTTACCAATACTGCCACGAGCTGTCGTTATCATCCAGGTTCGTTGCGGAGAGATATCCCGAAGACCTATTTCCATATTCCTCCGAAAGAAAGCTGATGCCGTTTCAAATTCTATAGAGTACTCAGAGCCGGATTATGACTTATTCGTTGATCACGACGAAGATTGCCATGGTACTATCGACTCGTCTGAGATGAGAGAACAATTCCCCGAAAAATTCATATATCCGTGTTGTGATCGGACCGGAGTGGAGGAACCGTGCACAGTTGACTGGCACCGAGAAAGCGACTATGCGAAGAAGTTTAGAAGATAGATAATGAGATATTTGAAGATAAAGAACTATGAGGGCCCCTTGGTCACATTGAAGATCTAGTAGAGGTACCTGTAATAATTTCTCCGCACTACGCATATACAAGGGACAATAATGGCCATATAGCACTTGTATTCGTTTCATGTTACTTAGCTATCAAAAGAGCGTCCGTATTATTGTGCTACTGCTCACATGACCGGATGGTCCGGAGACCAAAATCATGTCGTCATTTCAACATCTAAGCGGAAGTGGTGACCTCCTTGCTGGTGATCTCAAGTCTCTTGAAGCCACCCTCAGCAGCGACCTTCTTCTGGAGCTCGGCCATGCGCTTCTGGTCGCCAGTCGGGTCGGCAGAGTCACCGTCCAGGGTCCAGCTGAGGAAGCTGTTGGTGTAGTTGGGCTTGAAGTCAGCGTCCAAGATTTCGAGACGCTTGCCGTAGTTGGTGACCTTGGTCCAGTCACGCTGGACGTTCTTCAGGTCACGGCTGAAGTAGGCGTAGGAGCGCTCGAAGATCTTGCGGTTGACGGGAGTGCCCATGATCGGCTTGATGTCAATGTACTCTTCATAGGCCTTGGCGGGCTCCGCGATGACATAGTCAGTGGCACGCTTGACGGCACGCATGAACTTCTCGATCTTGTCCTTGTTGCCAGCGATGAAAGCGTCGTTGGCAATGTACAGGATGGAGCAGAAGCAGCAGCAGCCCAGCTCAGCGAGCTGGTCGATGCGCAGCATCTGGACGTCGTCGCGGGGACGGCCCTGGGAGGCCAGCCACTCCTCGAGCTCGACCATCTGGACGTTCTCGAGACCAATACCGGCGTCAATGTCGCCGCGGATGATGGCCTTGGTGACGTTCATACCGCAGCGGACGGCAGTGTAGTCGTCAGGGGTCATGCCGTAGTATTTGGTGAGCTCATCGATTTGAATCTACTTCGGTTAGTGGGAGTTGAGAGTTTAGTACACCGCGATCACACATACCTTGCCGAACTCGCCAACGTATCCGATTCTCTTGCCCTTGAGAGACTTGAAGTCGGTGGTGATGCCACTGCTCTTGAGGTAGACAACACCAGTGAAGGGCTCGTCGAGGAGGGAACCGATCGAGGTAACGGGGAAGCCGCGGGCCTTGGCCTATGGAGGAGTCAGTGGCTGATGCATGACATGACACACGAGGGTTTCGACAACACGCACAGCCAGGGTGTGGATCATGGCCTTGAAGCCCATGTCGACCTTGCCGCTACCGATGATCTCGGTGACATCGGACGGGTCGTTGGGCTCCAGGAGAGCAACCTTCAGGTCCTCATCCTTGAAGTAACCCTTGGCCTGGGCCAGATACAGGGGAGCGTGGTATGGCGTCGCGTGCCTTGACAGAAAACTCTCAGTATCCAGTAGCAGAGAACGCAGTCCAGTTTCAAACAGAAACTATATACTACGCCACAGAGAAGCGTATAAATCCTACCAGTTGGTGAGAAAAGTGATCTTATCGGTAGACATTTTGATCAGACACCAAGTTCAAATTGAACTTCTCTGGAGATTGTTAGCACCACACAGCCATTACCTCTCCGCCCAGAGACAAGAGAGATAACAGGGGAAGGGGATCAAAGCCACGCATGTCCTTTCGCTAGCATTATCTAGAGCAAGTGTTGACAGTATAATCTCAGAACAACCGGCCTACTGCAAAGCACACTGGACATCCGCTGCTCTCGTCTCGTGCAAGCTCCCACTTGTTCAAGCATCGATTGCCTGGACAGATGGGAGACTTTCACAGAGGCGAGAGGAGACAAGAGGTCCAGCTGCCTACAGCGGTTTCGATCGAACACCTGTCATGGTGGCTTGATGTATACTATACAATACCTTGACCCTTGAATGAACCCATTGCGAAAGAACCCAGCCCGCGCAGCCTCGTTGGAGAACCGTACCAAAAGCGATTTCGTGGATTGATGGGGTTAGAAGGATAGAAGGATACAAGAAACAATGGAGAGTCGGAATAATGGGAGGGAGAAAAAGCGCAGGAGGGGAGGAGGGGTAATTAGCAGAAGATATAGCTGTAAGCGGGGACCCCCGCCGACCCGAGGTCACGATCCGTTGTCAAGCTCCCCCACTGCGCAAAAACACTCCCAAGCGAATTGGAACGCGCGCAAAAAAGAGGTTCACGACAACACACGCTGGCCGATGTCGGCTCACATCCCCTAACAACTCTGAAAAGTGGACTTTTTTCTCTGCAAACCGCGTTGATTGGGGTGGACTACAGCCGGCCGATGTATCCAAACCTGTTCGGATCAGCATGTTTTACCTCTTTCACCCTGCGGTGGGACAATTCGGATATCCGGACATATTCTCTGCCCACTAACTGTTCAGACAGCTGCTGAGGTTATAATCTATTTGCCTGGATAGGTTGCTGCGGGATGACGGATTTGGACGTGCAGATCTTCCGGATTTAACAATGGAGATGGATGGCAGACTGGATGAACTAGAGCAGTCTCGACTTGATGATACACATGCGCTAACGAAGTGGACTTTCACGAAAGTAATTCAGCATTCAAGACGAACATATCAATGCTGAAATTGCCCGAATGCGTATGGGACGTGAAAACACAAGACAGAAGATCGAGACGCTTCAACAGCACGAGGAAACTAAAAGTACACAAGGACAACTCGCTAGACACGGGCGTCATGCACTCTTCGGCCAAGGCGGCCTAGATAAAAAAGATATCACAACATGAGGTAGAACCGTTGCGCTAATCGAGGCTCCCGAAGAGAATCGAAGCACACTTGGAAGAGAGTATGATTGTAGCGGAAAGCCGAAAACCGAAAAAAATAAAATCCGATCTCACTTCGCTGCCCCTCTAATGACGTCCATTCAGAGTGACATTGTCAAGCGGGGATCCGGGGCGATCAGCGGGCTTCTTCGTGCGAAGCGTAAGCGGGAATGCGTAGTCGTCTGGCTCTTCCTCCTCTCTGTGGTCACGGCTGCAGTTAGTCTCCAGTGCGTAAGAGATAATAATAATCCGAGTCGATCATATCGGATTCGTCTGCAAGCGAAATAAATAATACTCACGGCAGTTTCCATGCAATGTAGTCCTCCGTGCTGAGCCCCTCCAGGCCTTCCTGGAGCGACGCGAAATCCCCGGGCGTCATCATCCCGGAGCGGTCTCGTGGTGACCCGGGCACGGACAGAGGTCGGGAGATCTTCTGTTCGGTTCCGCCGATAATATCATCAAAGTTCTCGTTGGAGTCAAAGGAGGCCGGGTATGCTGTTCGCTCATCTTAGCAAGAGTTATCTGATGGGATGAAAAGAGAAAACCGAGAACGTACCTCTTCGGAGGGCCAGCTGACGGGCCTTCACATACTCCAAGCCCATGCGTTTCCAGTCCAAGAGATCGCTCAATCGCTCGGTTCTGTTACGCTGGTTGATTCGCTGGCGGCGGCTCTTCATGGCGAAGTCGTACATGCAGGTTGTCAAATGGTTGACGGAGTCATCCACACCCTTCATCCGTCGGTCCACGATGTAGATGCCATAGTCAGACGAGTTCTCGATCAGCTCTTCCATGTAACAGCCGAACCCAGAGAGATTGGTCGTGATACTGGGAACGCCCATGACGGTACATTCGGCAGGGGTGTATCCCCATGGCTCATAGTAAGACGGGAAGACGCCCAGATGCGTTCCCCGGACAAAATCATCGTAGTCCAATGGCAACACCGGGTTAGATGAATTGAGGAACTCGGGGTGGAAGACGACCTTGACCCGGTCCTCAGGGTGATTGAAGAGCTGGACCCGTCGCAGCTGGTTCAGGATCGGGTCCTCTGCATCGTTGATCATGTTGTGGGTGACAATCGGAGGCAACGTGTGGCGCTTCATGGCAAACAGTCTGCGACGGAGCAGCACACGATCCTGCGCCGTGATGAGGTCTTTCTCATCGGGCATGTTGTCGCCCTCTCTCCAGGACAGACAACGTTCAAACAGTCGCTTGCCAATGCCCTTCTCCACCATCTCCAGGGTGTCCCGCAACGACTTGACCACCGCCTGTCCCTTGAGGGCCTCGACGGTGAGAGACGACGTCTGCGCCGGCATAATGATGAAGGCCACGATGGTTGTCTTGGAACCCGCTGTCTTGAGACGGTGGTTCAGACGAGCCAGGGATTCGATAAACATGTCCACGCCTTTGTTCCGGAACTCATAACGACCAGCGATGAAGAAGTACAAGGTGTTGTCGAGATCAAAGTCATTGTATCCATAGAAATGCCCGCGGACGAAGTCGTGGATCTTCTCCTTGGCCTGCGAGTGCAGGTTCTGGAACTCGTGCACCGCTGAAAACTTCTTCACGTTGAGGCCATTGGGCAACACGCCGTCGGGTTTCCGCTTCAGCAAGTGCTCGCTCTCGAATGCCGTGATGTGCGAGACAGTGGTAAAGACGTCGGCGGAGTGAGCAGCTGCTCTCTCGATGCAATAGCGGTGGTAGATGCCGCGCTTGCCCGCCTCAGCGTCGACGTCGAAATACTGCAGGTTGTTGTAAAAGTCGACCGAGCCTGCACACAGGTATCGTCCCAGCAAAGTAGCATGCGTGGTGAAGATGGTGGTTAGGTCCATGTGTCGCTTCTTGGTCAAAGGGAGGGCGACTCCCGCGAGCCATTCATGGAAATGGGCGATCACAGCTCGCCGACGTTCGTGGGCGATGAACTGAGAAGATCCGTCAGCAGTCGTTTCCTGATGGATCGCATCCTACTCACCTCTCCTAGAAACCAGGCTACCAGGTAACCAAAGACGATGGCCTCGTTGGTCTCATGATCACCTTCTGGCGATGGAATGCCCGACGAGTTCCATAGATCTCCCTTCCACTCGTTCAGATATTTGTATCCGGTTCCCGTCTCGATCAGGATCACGCGGGGAGCGCCTTCAATCAACCATCGCCCGTAGACAATATGGATTCCCCGTTGCTTCATGGACGCAATCGTCTCGACCAGGTGCGGGTTCGACGGGGTCAACTCTTCCACCTCCACAGCAGCCTAGGAGGAAGTCAGCAGCTATCACGTATGTACAATGCATCTCGCTAGTCCGGGGACCTACGGAAGCTTTATTGAGGGGCCCGATGAGGGTGTAACGATCGCCATACTCTGCCGTCGTCACGGGCGCCTTGGACTTGAGGACGGAGTAGATCCCACCGACTATCAGGAACCATTAGCTGATACTGCATCGCATTTGATTTCCCATCTCTATCTAGAGCGTGCTCACCTCGATTGGCAACCTCCGTAGCCACCTCAAACAGCATATGGTTCCTAGTGTCCCGCCTGGGAGGCTCGGGGCCATCATCGTAGTCGGCCATGACGTGATCTGGATCTCTGAGATCGCCTGGAGGAGAAGACAGCGCAATTGACAGACGATGACGGACCAGACGACGAGCAGCACACCCGTAGAGGATTGAATCGACCCGAAGCGCAAGGGTCCTGGGGGGTTTTGAAGGAGGACAGATCTCGACAGGGAGTTTTTTGTTCTGAAGGTTGGCAGTGCGGGGATGCGACGGCGGGACTGGGGTTGACCGGGGGATCAGTGCGGGAGGAAGCTTGCTTGGATCTGATCTGTCTCACAGGCTGGAAAACCGATCTGAGATTGGGAGGGCCAATCGAGGGAGGATCTGTTTCCCCCGCGAATCGTTCTGGAGAAAGGTCTGGAAGATGCTTCGTGCGAAGATGGAAAAGATGATCGAAAGGGGAGCTGGCGCAGAGGAGGACGAGGGAGAGAAGAAGAAGCTGTCTACCAAGCTCACGGCAGGAAATCATGCGATCCAGCCGGCTAGCTAGTGTGACCAGTCTTGATCTTGCCTCCCACCTGGTTTCTGGTCCCAGTGTCAAGTTAGCAAGGAGCGATCTCTTTGTGTATCACACTAGATAGACGAGTGTCCGATCCATGGCGAATGGAATTGACCCGGGGAACCTCTTGGGAGTTTCAGTGCTGGGGGGAGCGCTGAATGGCCGGCCGATCTGGGGAAGCCGGACGGGGAAAACGACGTCACGGCCGGTCAGATTGCTGGAGCTGGACATGCCGCAACTGCTTGTATTATTCTATGCAACCTGCTTGTATTCTATTCATATTCTATTCTATTTCTGTGTCACCGATATCCAATTCAAACAAAGAAAACCATCATCAATATGATTCTCAATATTCAGCATAAGAATCAGAATAAGAGCAGCAACAAGACGTCATTTTCCGGTTTGCGCTGTTTGTCTGGGGAAGGCACAGACCAGGTGACTTGCCCCACCCGCCCAGCCATTTGGCGCTCGAGCCTCAGGCGAGAACGAGTCTGGCGCCGTCTGGTGCCTTTTGGTGCCTGAACGACCCTTTGGCTCTCGTCCAGATTCGCTCACCGTTGGTCTTGCGATGTTGACAGGAGGACGAGATAGTACCATAGTATTTCAGATAACCCCGCATCTTTTTTTTCCCTCAACAATGACTCCGGAGTCTAGTGTTGCATGCATGCAGGAAAATAATATTTAGTCCTCCGTAGTTGAACTACTAAAGGGACACTAACTGGCCTAGGCGATTTCTCGGCCCCTCGCTGCAGAACGATGTCATCCGAGCGGGTTTCCCTCCAGGTGAGAGATGCCGACCAGCTTCATTGTTCTCTTTGGTTCTCGGTGTTGCTGATCGGCTCTGTTATAAATAATTCGTAATAATATGTCATTGGCATCCTGCAAACGCCCCGCGATCAACCCGGGCCCCAGTCAGGCCAGCAATTGTCCTGTGCTTCTACCACTTGGTTTGCGTGGTGTCGATCTCACTCGGGATCGTCCGGGGATAGCGTGGAGAATTTCAACACGTGCCAGTGGACGGCATGGGATAAATACATGTTGATCATTAATAATTCATTATTATTATTATTACCTGCTCTCCAGCGGCACATGGCAGATCACATGGCTGGCTGTCGTTACTTACTCGATCGGATGGGCGACTTCTGTAACTTAATTAATTAATTCTGTCGAACATTATTGCAGTCTGGTTATTTTCTGTGTCTGTAATCAAGTTAATCGCTTCGATATGTAAGTTCTTTCTACTAATAACGATAACATGAAAAGTATCAACCGGCTAGAAACCACACAAATCAAGTCAGACAAACCCTACGGTATTATCTGCTCTTGTATATCGCCCTCCCACTTGAGTGGCGAGCTAAACCCGGTTTCGCCCGGTTGCTCTCATCGAATCAGCTACACTCACTGATCGCAACAGCTTTCTCTTTCAATGCAGCCTCAAACAAAGCAATTATGACCAGTATGTACTGCAGGAGCTATTGGCAACTGACAAGGAGAAAATTGTCTAAGGTATACAGGAAGGGGGATCTATGTAGAAGAACATGAGCGTTTGATAATATATCTGTGAGTAAGCTGCCATCTATAACTACCTAGTTACCCCCACCTGCAGTTCGTAACACGGCAGGTCCACTGCCTCCACCTCGTACTTAGTTCGCGGATCACCCGGTGTGCTTCGAAAGTTGCATAGTGTCCGATAAAGTTCCCGTTGTTGTATCGGCGGATCTAGCCAATGCAGATAATCTTAGGCGAGGGATTATCCTTGGAATGAAATTTTACAGTGATCTTCAGGGATTGATGGGAAGATAGGACATTCTCCCAACGACTTATTACACTCAGAAAGGACGGAACTGCCCATAACATCACTTGACCATGTCAGGTGCGCAAGCAATGTTGGCTGTCTCCGGGAAGACTTGAAGGGCTCGGTCAGTATTGAGGAGCAACGTAGAGGCTTCCCTGGAAATTTCCCGAATAACATGGTGAATGGCCAGCCATAATTGATTGAGGAACGCGACATGAACTCATCTAATCTGAACTATCTGACAATCGCACATATCAAATCTCACGGGTGAGACAGTTTTGGTCTCCAAAATTCCTGTGTTTGCTCTATATACTCCGTCTGTTCAAGGGGCAACTCCCACTCAGCTCGGTGTGCTTCAGCTATGGCAAGATACGGTTCCAAGGTCTGATCCAAGTGATCTGCAGGGGTTCCAGGAAAATGTACCAAAAGATCACCAGGATGTACCTGATATTCCGGAGGCGAGTCTGGATTTAGTTCTTCGCCGTCTGGCGATCTCATATAGGCGTTGAACCATCGCAATGGACAGTGAATAATTGATCGGGAAAAGTAATCATTATCTTGGATGAGATTGCTCATCGCTGACTGATCAGGCCAGTGAAGATATACGTCAGGATGAATGACCGGATATGATATGGCGGCAGTGAGGAACTCGACAGACCACCGATGCACACGAATTGGAAAAACACCATTGTTGATACCATTCCAATCTTTGGTTAGTAACAGATGGATGTCTGATAGTTGTGGCGGAGGTAGAAATGTCTCTAAAGGTATATAAGGGTTCATGATCACGGTGTCAGCATCGAACCAACTATGATGATCACAGCAAGTAAGCATACATACTACCACACCATAAGTGAGTCGACAACTTACAACAGCCACTCCAGCCTTTTATCGGCTGGTTTTGCTAACTCCTGTAACATCACTGACAGGATAATAGCGTACTTATTCCAGTAGCTATCAAGTATAGGACTCTCAAGAACGAAAAGCGGATACCCCAACCGGCGACTTTGTTTCTCGTGTGTAGCCATCGTTCGTTTGTAGATCGTGTGATTGCCATATATCGCCATTACTTTTCCGACCTTCCGTCGAGACAATGGAGATACATCGTTCTCAGTGGAGTCTATGATCGGTCCAATTAGAAAACTTATCAATGGAGAGTCTAGGATGTACTCGTTCAATCACATACTGTACCTGTGAAAAGAATGCAAAAGCCATGAGAACGCTAGAAGGACGAGAGCAACATGTAGAACTGGCCTTAGCCTAGGGCGCTGATCGCGACAATTGAGAAAAATCATTGTAGAGAACTTCGTGACTGCCACTCTGCCGATTCAGGGACACATTCTGAGGATGAAAGATGAGGCATCAGCAGTTTATGAGCAAGACAAAGGGACTGGCAGCAGTGCTGCCGCAGCCACTGACTGCAGACAGTTCAAGGAGTGCTGCCCAATCAAGATAGCGTCTTGTTGCTTCTTTGTTTGCTAACGATTGTGACGAGACACATAACCGCCGAGTCTACTAGAGGCGCGTGAAAGGGATAGTACCAATCATTCGACAGGGATTCACCCTTGGACCAATCAAGCATGTTATCGCTGCGAACTAGCTTGATTATCTTGTCTCTATGTTAATGATTAACTAGAAATGTCCAGTTGAGACCCCTTTTCTTGCATATCTCACCTCGCAACTCCAATTTGAATACCATTTGTACACAACGGCGCAAGAGTCTTTTTGCCAAGATGGCATCTACCGGAAAGATAACAATGAAGACCGATGATCTCTCGAGCACGATAGATACGTTTCCTATGACCGCTATCTCCCCCCTCTCTTCCTCCCCTACTGTCTTGCTCAAGTTCGTGGACTTACGAACCCGAAGCTGCAAACGATGTTTTTGGTGGATAATTAATACAGGACGCTGCACCCGATAACTTTCCATTGAAAATTCACAATGTTTGATTCAATCTCACCGGCAGATTCATATAATCGAAGAGAGCGGATTTGTCATTGAGTACCTAGGAAGTATGTACCTAACTTACCTGAAGGCTCCATAAGAGGTATAATTTTTCTTTGAAATTTCATCCGGATTCGCTGACAGCAGCGACCAATTATCATGAAGATCATGACTGATTTAACAGAACATCTTGCATTCGTTCTCAAGGAAGCAGATGAAAAAATACCTAGCTGTAAATTGAGATGTATTGGTTACGCATCAACGGAACAAAATTATCGCACTTTGGAGCGCGCGCATCGTCGAGCAGAGGCGTGGGTTTAGATTCTCACCACCGAAGCACCAGCTCGTCCACTTCACGCTCAACACCACAAAATCCGTCAGGATCAAATCCCCAAGACCATAGGATACACTGTTGTACAGAGCGCTAACTTGCATCTCCTGAAGTTACAAAGCGGGATGTGACAGGAACCGATTGGCTCACAGCTACTTCAAACATGGGTAGTACTACTAGTAGTAACTAACATAGCCGCCGAAGAGCGTCTGGGGGTGCCAGCTTATCCTGGTTCTAAAAACTCTCGGCGTAACGCCCACTGGTACCACCGGTGAGATTTCCACTAGGTACCTTAGCTTACCACTTCATTCACATTATCCAGACTACTTGGTAGACCTTCTTTCCTATCTACGTCTAAAAAAAGATAAAACTATGTATCCAAATACAAACCCCTCAGCAACTTCTTCTACTAGTCTATACCTCCTCCGCACCTCGAGTCATTGGTCCCTAGTGGCTGGATTGATGGAGAGGGGGTTTTTTTTGGATAGGAATGAGAACGATGGTTATTATGGCCAAATCAAAGTCCACCCTGGAATATGCTCGACGACAGAGACGTGGAAAGACTGGAAGTTGGGTAGATGAGTTCCTTGCTTCTCTGTCTACAGCTTGAGGCTTATGAGGATGATAATGATACCCCTGGATGATAACACAGTAGATTTGATTTGCGACTTTCAGATGCCATTTTCAGACTTGACTTGCTACATTTTCATTAAGGGGAGACGAATGAGAATTACCTGCTTCACAGCACTCCTCCCAGAGCTATTGATATAAGCACACATATGCTTACTCTCAAGTCAAAACAACAATTTTCCCCTCCGCCCTGCTCTCATCCATACAACGATGCGCCTCCACGATTTGATCCATCTTAAACACCTTCCCGATCTTGACCTTCAACTTGCCATGCTCGATCTGCTCAGCCAGCTCATCAAACGGCATAGTCTTCAGATCCTCTTCAGTCCCTCCATACACCGTCAGCTTCGTCGCCTTAGGAATAATCTCCATCGGAGAGAACTTCTCCATAGACCACGAATTGCCCACGATCCCCGTGACGCAGACCGTACCGCCCTTCTTCGTCGACGCAAGCGAATCCGCTAGCGTCACTGTCCCGACGAGCTCCAGCACCTTATCGAACTTCCTCTCTTCCTGGCCTTCAAGCTGCTTCGCAATCGCACCATCATCCACAAAGAACTCATCAGCACCATACTCACGAACCACCCCTTCCCGCTCCTTCTTGCGACTCGTCGACGCCACAATTGCTCCATGCTGCTTCGCAATCCCAGCCGCAGCAAACCCTACCGACGACGTTCCCCCGCGAATAAGCAGCCTCTCGCCCTTCTGCAGATTCAACGCCGTGAACAACGACCCCCATGCCGTCTGCATCATCTCCGGCAACGCCCCCAGGACCTCCCACGATAACTTCGTCTTGACAACCTGCACCTGCTTCGCCGGCACACACGTATACTCCGCATACCCACCATCGAACATGCGGCCCATCCCACCCATGCACGTCACGGCCGTCGCGCCGGACGGGATCGTATCTTCGTTCCCGGGCGCCTGCTCAACCGTTCCGACGGCTTCGATACCGAGGATCCGGGGAAATTTCACGCTGGGGGACTGGCCTAGACGCGTGCACATCTCAGAGCGGTTCAGTCCGAAGGCTTTCACGCGGATGAGGACTTCTCCTGGACTGGGACGGGGGATGGATCGTTGTTCGAGTTTGAGCACGGATGGAGCGCCGGGCTCGTGGATTACGATGGCTTTCATCATTTTGGAGAGTGGTTGGTGCGGTGATCGAGAGAGGAAGCGAGCCACGGTGGTTGATTAGTAGTATGGTAAGTAGGTAGTTAATTATATCGTCTATCTTCGGGTAGTATGATGAGGTTGGATTGTTTTCTTCTTTCTTGGACTTTTAAGTATTAGATAGGTAGATAGATAGAATCGTCATATAAGGCCTAGAATATACAAGTTAATCAGTACCAATTATCATAACAAAAGTATATCAGAACAAAACATACTCTCAAAAGTCCCAATTCTAAATCCTCACCATCATCTGTGAAAATAGAATAAAACAACAAAAACGACACTTCTGACTTATAAAATCCAGAAACGTACAACATAACTAACAAACAGCTGACCCTACACGTCAGACTTATCCAATACCGGAGTTAAGCGACGGCTCAATGCATCTAACCTCCGAGAGGTAATTATGCAGTTACATAAGACGGACTAACCAACTAACTACCTAGTAGTTACAGAGAGAGAGAGAGACGGTGGGGGAATAGCACGGGGAGAACGTAGTATTTTTGTTTTGTTTTGCGAAAGCATTGGATGTCATGAGGATCCGATACTTCTATCGTATGATGATATTGGATCGTGTTGTTGTGAGTAGCTTGAGAGGTAGCCGCAGACCCCGCTTCTGGTTAAATAAATATCCCTACATCATACGTTCCTGATGATGGCAGATGAAGATTGATTCGGAGGAATAATTTCCCGTCTCGAACATATACTTGAGTTGTTTTCAAGCCCCCTTTTCTGAGTAGGAAAAGGAAAAAGAAAAAGCAATTCGAGTGGAAGGCGCGCCGGCCTCCTTTTAAAATTCACCCAACCAACGCCGTCCATTCTCATAACCACATTACATTAAGATGGCTAGATATTCGGCTTCCCCTTCACTTTCTGATGCTCCAACACCAGCGCCCCCACGATGCTCATACACGACAGGGCCACTGGGAGGCGCCATGCGTTCACGATTGACGTATTCAGGACGTGCAGAACCGCCGTCTTGGCGTCATCTGACAGCCCCTGGGTCAAGGACATGACACCTTTAGCTAAGGATGCGGTGGCTTCTGCTTTGGACATTCCGAGTCCTTCTAGACCTGAGACGAGACGGTTGGAAAAGAGAGCTTGCGCTGTGGAGACGAAGATTGCGCTGTGTTTGAGGGATGTGTGAGCAAGATGAAGACGAAGAAGGGAGGAAGAAGAAGGAGGCATGGAAATTGAGATAACAGCTTACCCAGCAACGAACGAGATGAAAGTGACCAGAGTGTAGGCGAGGGGGGCATCTTTCTCTGGGAGCAGATTTTGTAAGCAGACACTCGGACATTGTCTGCCGAAAGCGGCTCCTAACGCATAGATGATCTGGTAGCCGATCCATTTACTGACACTGGTGTTGCTGTCAAGAGTGGTTAAGAGGCCGGCTCCAACGGCCATGAAGATGGATCCGGCAACCATGAAGGGTCCGACGTGTCCGAAAAGAGTGATGAGAATGCCACCCAAGATCGTGGTGAACACCGTCGTGACTACGAGTGGGAGAGTATGTACCCCTGATAGGACTGGAGTGTCTCCTTGGACCCCTTGAAACCAGCTAGAAACGGTCAGCATTGGGTGCAACTTGATCACGACGAGATGATTTATGAGTCAGAGCCTTACATGGGTAAATAGTATGTCAACACGACAGCAGCTCCATTACCGCAGAAACAGAACCAGACAGCACACCAAACGTTGCGTTTGGAGAAGATGCGGCGCGGGAGCATGGCACTGTCTCCGAGCCAGAACTCAACTACGAGAAATATGACTGCCAGGACGCCAGACAAAACGAGCAGAACGATTACGCGGACGTCAGCCCATGGATATGTTGTTCCTCCCCACTGGAGGGCGATGAGCAGACACGCAGTAGCGGGCGCGAAGGTGGCCAGACCAAGGAGATCGAGGGTCCGTAGGAAACTTCGCCATGGCGTGGAGTAGTCAGGCTTTTGGGGGTGTACGGTGAGATAGAAGATGGCGTAGATGACGGCGCCGATGGGGATATTCATATAGAAGTTCCATCGCCAGGTGACTTTTTCAGTCAACGCGCCACCGATTAGGGGACCGCTACCAACGCCAAGTCCCATTGCCCCTGCGAACAAGCCAAACAAGGTCGGCCGTTCTGACGGAGGAGCCAGAAAAGGAACCATGGCAGCGCTCGACGCCAGGAGACCAGAGGAGCCTAGACCAGCAAGAGCACGCCCGGCGATCAGCACAGGGGAGTTCGGAGCAGCACCACAGAGGGCAGAGCCAGCGATGAAGAGCGCCATGGCAATACCGTAGTTCCATCGGATTGGATATCGACCGTTCAGCTTCACCAAAACCATCTGAGGGGTACACATGGCGAGGAAGTACACGCTGCTATACCATCCGATATCACCAAGAGAGTGAAACTCATCAGAGATCACGGGGACTGCGGTAGAGAGAAGGGTGCTATCCTAGATTAGTGAGTCACTCATCTTTTTCAAAATGTACAAAGATGAAGAACGAGTTTCTAACAAATGAGACGAGGAAGCCACCAAGACACAGCGCAGCACCAATCAGCCAGAATTTTGGGCCTGAGGGATAGTTCTCTCCGTCGTCCTGCACTGTCAACTGTGGTGACGACCCTGACCTGGGCCCCATGGCCGTAACGACCTTGGTCGTCTCATCGGTTGGCGTAGCATTGTTCTCAAGCTCCGAACCACCCACAGCTGATGCCATGGCGGCCACGAACTTTCTGATCCGCGGTGAAAAAGCGTAGTTGAATGCGATATTATCGATCCTAACACTGAGCGATAGTAAGTAGGGCAAGAATATCAACCGGAAAGGAGCAAGGTAGGTAATGTGGAATGGTTACACCCGAGATGAACCTGGAGTGTGATTGATTATCTGTCTCACTATGCGTTTCTTTGTTTGCACCGCCTGCCGTCTGAGATGCAGTGCAACACCAATATTGACCACATTTTCATTCATCTCTGGATTATGGTCTCGATCATGTGTTTTGCTTACTGTTCAGTTCATACATTGCTTCATTCACCATTACGTGAGATGTTACCAATCCCATGCGGAACTTGCTTAGTTTGGAAATATCCGAACATCTCTGATGGACAGCAAGGGTAGCACGAGATTATGTGAATATGTAAGAAGGTCAATAGATACAGGGCCATTCCAAAATTGGCAGGCGTGCTGAAAGGCAGGTCAATGAGCAATTGCAAAGGACCCCCTGAAGTTAGCAATATCCGAAAGCTCAGAAATGGAGGCTATGGTATTATAAGAGTCGTCTTCCTGTCAGAAGGATTCATGAAGAGCAACAAGAGTCTCTAGTCCGGTCCAGGTCAGGGTCTTGGCAACCAATACTTACGCAAGCCGTGGTTATGCAACATGGTCGTCGAAGCTCTGGTAAACAGCCATTTGACACCAGATGGTGTCACTGGATATTCTACGGCAAATGGAGATGAGCAAGTCAACGATACATTGGAGAGCAATGGCACGGCATCGTCAGCGCAGACCCCCATCGCCATCGTTGGCATGGCCTGCCGCTTTGCTGGAGGGGCTACCAACCCATCCAAGCTTTGGGAATTGTGTACTGCTGGGAAAGATGCGTGGTCACCCATTCCGTCGCGGCGCTTTGATGCCGACGCTTGGTATCATCCGGATCCCCAGAGAGCGGGCAAGGTAAAACTCAACCTTGTCAGATCTGAGGCTCATCACAAGGAAACTACTGTTCCTCTTCGATGGAGACGCTACAGGTAGAGATTGCCCTTTGCATGGCTAATGATAGACACAACAGACTCACGTGAAGGGTGCTTATTTCCTCGATGAGGATATTTCCCTGTTTGATGCCGGGTTCTTTCAAGTGTCAGAAAATATCGCGAGGGTGAGTCCGGTTTCCTTTCCATCTCTTCTTCTTCTGACGAACTTGTTTGCATTGGACATGGCATGTTAACTCGTCGTGATCTGTCAGGTGATGGACCCTCAACTCCGGCTCCTCCTTGAGGTCGTCTATGAATCAATGGATGACGGTTCGTTTCGTGCTTTTCATTTAAGTGCTTGACATGGCAAACGCTAACCAAAACATCGTCACCCACAGCTGGTATTCCACTCCAGAAGATTGCTGGCTCGAATACTTCGGTATTCACAGGCTGTTTCAGCAAGGATTACCATGAAATACTGGCAAGAGACCCTGAGCTTGTCTCACAGACTGCCTTCGGAACTGGCACAGCTATGCTTGCAAATCGAATTTCCCACTTCTACGACTTACGCGGGCCAAGCATGCCGCTCGATACCGGGTGCTCAGCAGGTCTGGTGGCACTTCATCAAGGTTGTCGAAGCATCTGGTCCGGAGAGTCAGACACCTCGATTATTGGTGGTTCAAACTTGCTTTTGAATCAGGATTCGTTCATTGGAATGTCCACCATGGGGTATTTGAACTTCTCCGAACTCTCCCACGTTGACTTTCGAAGATGATGGCTGACATTCCCGGGTAGTGTTCTCGGCCCTGATGGAAGATGCTTTGCTTGGGACGCTCGAGCTCAGGGATTTGGACGTGGTGAGGGCGTTGCAGCGCTCATCCTGAAGCCGTTGAGTGCAGCGTTGCGAGATGGCGATCACGTACACGCAATCATTCGAGAAACCGGTGTGAATCAAGATGGAAATACACCCACAATATCGTCTCCGTCACTGGAGGCCCAAATCAAGCTGATTCGGGACTGCTATAAGCGTGCTGGTCTTGATCTCGCCGAAACGGGATACGTTGAAGCCCACATGACCGGCACCGCTGCTGGAGACCCTATCGAGGCCGAAGCCTTGGCTAGAACTTTTGGGCAGAGACGCAAAGTTCAGAACTCTGGCCCCCTTCTTGTCGGTTCCGTCAAGACGAATATTGGCCATACAGAACCCGTCAGCGGTATCGCGTCAGTTATCAAGACCGGCTTCGCTCTGAAGTATGGATTGATTCCTCCCAATCTGAATTACGAGACAACACACCAAAACATCCATCTGGACGAATGGAATCTGCAGGTCTCGACAGCTTTGACACCTTGGCCAGAGGATAAACCTTTCCGAGCTTCAATCAACAATTTTGGCTATGGCGGAACCAACGCACACATCATCATGGAGCGGGCTCCGGCAATGGATTGTGAGAGAGAAAAGTTCGAAGATGGGCATCAACAGATCCTGAACCGATCTCGCGTCTACATCCTCAGCGCCAAAGATTCAGTGGCGGCCAAAATGATGGCGAAACGACTTGCTTCACACATCCGTGAGTTGATCAAGGAGGACAATGACAAAACCAACTCTATTCTCTCGGAAAACCTCATATACACGCTGGCAGAGCGGCGATCACTACTTCCCTGGGTGATCTCTGTCCCTGCCAAAGACCTGCAACAGCTTTGTGAGCGCCTAGAATCGCCGTCGATCAGACCATATCATTCGACTAGACGACCAGTACGACGTCTTGGCTTTGTTTTCAATGGCCAGGGAGCGCAATGGTACGCCATGGCAAGGGAACTCATCCGGGATTATCCTCTGGTTGAATCGCGGATCTGCGAGGCCGACAAGATTCTAAAGAATGAATATGGCGCAACGTGGTCACTCTGTGGTATGTCAACGTTCATGATAGTTTATTTTTGTATTGAACTGACATGCTCGAAGCTGAATTGATGCGCGACGAACTTTCAACTCGAGTATCCGAGGTCAATCTCTCTCAGCCCATGACAGTTGCTGTCCAGCTTTGTCTCGTGGACCTTCTTGAGTCATGGGGTATCACTCCTTCGGCCGTGACTAGCCATTCCAGCGGCGAGATTGCAGCTGCTTATGCAATTGGGGCATTATCTTTCAAAGAAGCTCTTGGCGTTGTCTACTATCGCGGTGAACTTGCCCGAATGCACCAAAAGCGCTCCACCCTTGACGGAGGGATGCTTACCGTTGGTTTGGGACCTGAAAATGTCAAGGCGTACCTTCCAGTTAATGATGCAGGCGGTCGCGTAGTTGTGGCTTGTGTCAACAGTCCGAATAGTGTCACGCTCTCAGGTGATACCGAAGCCCTTGCTGAGGTCCATTCTCGGCTAGAAAAAGACGGCGTCTTCAACAGGAAACTAAACGTACCAATGGCATACCACTCTCATCATATGCTGCATATGGCCGAGGACTACACTCGAGAACTAGAGACTATTCTTTCCTCGACGGATACGGATAGCCAGAGGAAAAGAAATGTCGTGTTCTCATCACCGGTGACCGGTGAGCGCATCACATCAATCGACATCTTGAGGTCTCCTTCCCATTGGGTTGATAATCTTACAAAGCCTGTACTTTTCCATCAGGCTTTGGAAAGTATGTGCTTTGATTCGAACTCAATAGGTGGTACTCCGGATGTGGATCTGCTTATTGAGATTGGAGCACACAGCACCTTGTCAGGTCCGATAAGAGAAATCCTCAAAGTCAGAGAACCAAGCGTCGAACTTCCATATTTCTCTTGTCTTAAAAGGCCGATCGATGCGGTTGAAACCATGCAAGAGCTCGTGTGCGAGCTACTGCATCGAGGTTATCCGCTGAACCTGAAACCGGTGAATTTCCCGCTGGGCCACGAAAAGCCCACATTTCTCACTGGTCTTCCATCATATCCCTGGAATCATACAGTCAAATATTGGAATGAGCCGAGGATAAGTAAAGAACTACGGCACAGAAAGTTCTTACCACATGAACTGCTCGGCAGTCCTCTAGCCACCGCCACCAGCAGCGCGCCCACATGGAGAAACTTCTTGCGCCTGTCAGAAATGGGGTGGCTCGGAGACCACAAGGTCGACGGAAAAGTTGTGCTACCCGGTGCTGGCTATGTCGCCATGGCCATTGAGGCCATACGTCTCCTGACCGATGAATCGGAGGAGACAATCTGGGGTTACCGATTGCGTGATGTTAATATCACGAACGCGCTAGTGATCCAAGAGTCTATGGTCGGAGTGGAGGTACAGATCTTCTTGCGTCGTTGTAGGGATACGGATCTCGAGCGCTCAGGATGGTATGAATTCGATGTCTGTTCTCTGGGAGCTGGCGATCTCTGGGTAGACAACTGTAAGGGATTTGTCATGGCCGAGACAGGAACTCAAGTCAAGGTTGCTACAACAAGGGAATCAAAACCACCAAACCGAGACTCCTATCTAAAATTCGAAACATCCGAAGTGACCGACGTCGACATTGCATCGCTATTTGACAGTCTTAACAAGATGGGTATAAACCATGGAGACACCTTCCGGAATTTGGAGGACAGTCATGCGGCAGGAAACAAAGCCTTTACCAAGTTTCGGGTTGCAGACATCGCATCACCAATCAGCAAAGCCAATCACTATGTCCTGCATCCAACGACGCTCGATTCTATCTTCCAGACAACGTACAGTAGCTTACCTAAAGATCAAACGGCAGGCTCAATGGTCCTTCCCCGGTCGATTCGCACCATGTTCGTACCAGTAAACCTTGGTCGAAATGGTGGTGACAAGCTGCAATCCTTCACAGAGCTGATCAGTCTCGACAAACGGGGCATTGTCTCGAATGTCAAGGTTGTGAATGACAAAGAAGGTGACGATGCTAATGAATCAGACTCAGTCTTCGAAATGCAAGATTTCTTCTGCCAGGCCGTCCCTCGTGACTGGAATGACGCAGGGGATAATGCAGAGCCGTCGGGAATATGTTCCAAGCTCTGTTGGGAGCAGGACATATTACACCACGTTCCAGAAGATTTCCGAAAGTCTTTGATGATCCCATTGGCCGAAGATGAGGCTGAACAAGAGAGAAAGCGTGTTCGAGCATCGTATAATTTCATCAACGATGCTGTCTGTGAGCTCGAAGCGGCTGGGCCTCCCAATCAAGACTCCTGGAAATGGCACCACAAATTGTTTTATGATTGGATGAAAAAGATTGTGGAATCTGGCAAATGCGGTGAATTGCGGACTGGCAGTGAAACATGGTCCAAAGCGACACGAGGCATCAAGCAGATGCTTGCGGACGAGCTTGCAGTTGGGTCACCAACCGACCAACTGCTCGTAAGAGTCGGCGCCAAGCTGGCAGCTATCGTAAGGGGCGAGGTCACTCCGCTCGAGCTGATGATGCAGGGAGGGTTGTTGAACCAGTACTATAGGGACCATAGCGTAGTTGTCGCACGTGTCGGCACGCACGTGAGAGCCCTGATGGAGCGATATGCCGTGAAGCAGCCAGGAGCGAACGTCCTGGAGGTCGGGGCAGGTACTGGAGCTGCAACAAAGATGGTGCTGGAAGCATTTGGCTCCAGAGGCGTTAAGGATGGGTTTGGAGGATCCCTGCTCGGTCACTATACCTTTACTGATATCTCGCAAGGGTTTTTTCAAGCTGCACGTGAGACGTTTGCGGCCTGGCAAGGAATGATGGATTTCAAGCAGTTGAACATTGAGGACGACCCTGTCGAGCAGGGCTTCAAAGCCGGCCATTATGACTTGATAGTAGCGGCCCTGGTGCTCCACGCCACCAAAAATCTGTCCAAGACATTATCAAACGTTCGGAAACTGCTCAAGCCGGGTGGGAAGCTGCTGCTCATTGAATCCACGCAAGACCGTCTTGATACACAGATGTCCTTCGGTACCCTTCCTGGCTGGTGGCTAGGAGAGGAACCAGATCGCAAGACGAGTCCTAACGCAGCGCTCGACGTCTGGGACCGGGTGCTCCGCAAGACAGGTTTCAGCGGTGTCGATTTTGAGATACCCGACTATCAGGAGAAGGAATTTCAATCGTCGAGCACAATCCTGTCCACTGCTACGAGCACGACAGAACAGTTCTCGTTGATGGGTCCACTTTCCATCGTATATTCCAAAGACCGTCCCCCTCAGGAATGGTTATCACAATTTGTCGATCAGATCCATGCGTTCACGAAGATCTCTCCCTCGATTGAGAGCCTAGATATAGATCAACCCAATCATTGGCAAGATAAGATCTGTATATTTACTGCAGAGATGAACAATCCGTTCGTGGATGGAATAGACGAAGCTGCCTTCGCAAGATTGCAGAATCTCCTCGTCAACAGCCGAGGGGTTCTATGGTTGAGCTGTGGGGGCCTAATGGATGCCACGAATCCATCATCTGCACTGAGTCAAGGTCTCCTAAGGACTTTGAGAGTGGAAGATCGAAGCAAGCGCTATGTCCACCTGGACTTCGAGCATAACGGTAAGGCATGGGCGAGTGACAATATTCCCCACGTCATCCATGTCCTCGTACAGAGCTTCAACGCCGGGATCGAGAATCAGACGGCTGATGACAGTATTGAATGTGAATATTCTGTCAAGGATTCGATGCTGCATGTACCAAGACTTTTCATGGACAAGTCTCAGAGTCGGATAGCCAGCGCCAAGCAAATTGATCCTGAGCCCGAGCTCCAACCATTCCACCAACCTGGTCGCCCGCTGGTCTGGGAGACCTCTAGCACGGGTCTTTTGAGTGATCTACATTTCACTGAGATGCCAGATTTGGCGGAATCCGACGTTCCTGACGGTATGGTTGAGATTGAGGCAAAGGCGTACGGCTTGAACTTCCGCGACGTCCTTGTTGCGCTGGGTCAGTTAGACGAGACCGTTATAGGACATGAATGCTCTGGCGTTGTGACTCGACTAGGTCCCAACACCGAGAAGAGCGGTCTTCAGATCGGTGACAGGGTTGTAAGTTTGAGCCTAGGTCGATATGCGAGTATTTCGCGCACCTACTGGACAAGCGTGGCCAAGTTACCCGACGATATGTCTTTCGAAGATGCAGCGTCAATCCCGACCGCCTATGCAACAGCCTATCACTCTCTTTACCATATCGCGAGGCTGCAAAAGGGCGAGTCGGTGCTGGTCCACGCAGCCGCTGGAGGCTTTGGCCAGGCCTGCGTAGTGTTGGCACAGCATGTCGGCGCCGAGGTTTTTGCTACCTGCAGTTCCAGAGCTAAACGAGATCTTCTGATGAAGGAATATGGTATACACCCGGACATGATTCTCTCAAGCAGAGACACAAGCTTCGCACCAGCAATCATGGCTGCAACCAATGGCAAGGGAGTCGATGTTGTGGTCAATTCGCTATCAGGAGCCATGTTAAAAGCGACATGGGATTGCATTGCCAGATTCGGCCGATTCATCGAAGTCGGAAAGATGGACCTTGAGGCGGGTAGACACCTCGAAATGACCCCGTTTCGACGCTGCGCAATGTATGCGGGTGTTGATCTTCTTCAACTTCATGAATTTAATGGACCATTGAATCTCGCGGCCCTCACAGAGAGCGTCCGCATCTGTAACGAGCGACAGGTAAAGACCGGCCATAAGCCAGTCAGTCCCATCACGCCGTTCTCCATCTCAGAGATCGAAAAGGGTATGCGTCAAATGCAAGGAGGCACACATATGGGCAAACTGATCCTGGTTCCCCGCGCTGGAGACCTTGTCAAGGTAAATCTGCGCCAACACCCATTTGTCTTTGGCCCGCTGCTACGTCCAAGTCATATACCGACCATGATTGCTAACGTTTTGCACAAACAGGTCACCTCACGACCCCGTCCAATTTCATTAAGACGTATCGACGCCACTTATCTCGTTGTCGGTGGGTTGACCGGGGTTGGCAGTGCAATCGCTGAATGGATTATCACAAAGACCGGTGCTAGAAATGTGTTACTGACGTCCCGAAATGCAACTTCGCATCCAGCTGCTCAGCGACTCCGGGACGAGGGTGAGAGGTGTGGTTGTAATGTTGTGATTCGCGACTGTGATGTCGCCGACGAGAAGAGCTTTCTTAAATTTCTTGCCGAGTGCTCTGATGCGGGCATGCCGCCTATTCGGGGCGTCGTGAATGGTGCCATGGTCCTGGATGACACTGTTCTCGAACGCATGCAGTATGATCAATGGGTCCATGTTGTGCGGCCCAAGACTGTGGGCAGCATCAACTTGCACAAGCACCTGCCCAATCTGGACTTCTTCATCATGCTGTCGTCCTTACTCGGCGTGTTAGGTCACACATCCCAGTCTAACTACGCAGCTGGGAATGCCTTCCAGGACGCATTGGCGAGGTACCGCACGCGAAAAGGTCAGCCCGCTGTCACGCTGGATTTGGGAGTCGTCCGTACTGTGGGATACGTCGCAGATCAAGAGAATCGTGGTGACGATCACATTCGTAAGCGTTTTGAGAAGCTGCATCTATACTGTATGGAGGTCCCTCAGGTGCTACGCCTTGTCGAGGCCGCTATTCGTGAGCCATTGCGAGCGGCGTCACCTGCCAGTAGCCAAGTGATCATTGGCATTACAGAGCAGATGCCCGCGATGTGGGAGAGTGCCATGGTGAAGGATCGGCGTCTTGGCACTCTTCAGCTGGCGAACTCGCGCTCACGGACCAGGAGCTCAGCATCCGATTCTGGTGAAGGAGAGGCCACGGCTGCGCTGGTCCGCGCTCTATCCAGCCCGGGCATCACCTTAGAGGAAGCTGCAGCTCATCTCGTGGATGCTCTTGCGGCCAAGCTTGCAGTAATCTTTAACATATCAGCACAAGAGATTGACGTTAGCCTGCCCCTGGCACGCTATGGTGTCGACTCCCTTGTTGCAGTGGAATTGCGAAATTGGCTAAGCAGCACTATTCGCGCGAAGGTTTCTGTCTTTGAAATCCTTCAAAGCGCGTCCCTCGTTGAGTTTGGTTCCCTGCTAGCGACCAAGAGCGAGTTCTGTGCTTCGAAATTAGCGGCTACCAATGGAGAATCAGAGAATGTTATCAATGGAGTCCCGGAGGAGGAGAATGTCTCGAATGGAGAGCCAGAGAAAGCAGATGTTAATGGGGAAGTTTCCAGTTGAGAGAAAGGTGAAGAGTTTCGGTTTAGATTTTGAACAACTTCGTCGTTGGTAGTGGATTTATCACTTGCAGTCATTTTTCCGAGCAATTCCAGACATACTCGGGAAATCTCATATGTATGACTCGGTTTCTCAGACAAGCAGATGAACGAGGTTCGAGCCTTTATTATCAGATCTAAAGAGGGCCGTTACACGCTATATATATATATATACAGCCAAAAACCGGTTGAAGTCCTAGAGCTTAGCGTCTTTCATATAAGCACTTAAAAAAACAAAGTTAAGGCTCCTCCAGGCTCCCACCGAGTACCTAATATATTGCTCCGTGTAAACGTTCTATCTCTGAGAAAATTGCTCGCTCAATTTAGCTTGGGCGGATGAGTTAGGCATTCAAAGCTCCGAACTAACAACCTTACTAGGGATAAACCAAGTAAAGGGTCTATTGTTTTTGAATCTTTTGACATTGCGAGGCTGGGAATTGCTCATATTTTCAATTGCTCGACTATCCGGCGACGCTTTGCGATCATATTCTCAGCTTGGTCGACCAACCGCCAGGCCCCTCGTTCTGGCGCGATGCGTGCTTTCATGGTTGCCAGCAGAGTTTGGAATTCCATCAGGTACAGGAACAGCAGTTCAGATACAAGACGAAAATTGACCTGAGGCGACTCGATTTTGTACCGCCCCAGAGAAATCCCCATGTGCTCCGGCATCATAGCGTCTTCCCGTTGCCTCTCCTTTCCATCAACAGAGAGTGGCTTTGAAGTCCGGAGGAGATTACAGCAGTGTCGTTGCTGGTCCAGTGTCCCTTCCGAAGGATATGTTTGGACCAGCCTATCTGAGAGTTTTTTGGCCAAGGTACCAAGCTGTTGCGCAATGCTTGCAACGAGCATAGCGTGGTCAACGCACGCGTTGCAGTGGGCGCACGTCAGCAACCCAGAACATGTCTTAGTTCCCTGAGCCATGCACATGAGACTCGTATCGAACTCAAACCGCTCTCTGTCATAGTTCGTATTTACATCCACGTCTTCCAGCAGCCGCACCATAGTGTCGAGACAGCTGCAATGGGTCTTGCTGTCCGCATCTATTATCGCTTGGCTGTCAGTAAGATCTGTGTTTCTAGAACCTCCGTCGCCTTCAGGTATCATCTGATCTTGGGTCTGGGAGTCATGAATAGTAATTCCTGCATCGCAGTGCCAGACTACGTTTGCAGTCAACGGAAGATTGAGGGTATGAGATTCCGCCGCGTACGGAAAGCCCCTTTCTGCAACCAGTCCATGCTGTAATGGGCTCGCCGAGATCTGGTCTGATTCGTCTGACCCAAGAAAATCATCGAGCACTGTTTCCCACGAAAGTTCCGAGAAAAGAGAAGAGGACTCCGGGTGTGGTGTGTTCTCGACACCGGCGGTTGTAAATGGTGATGAGTTGGGGGAGTCAAGCCCGCGATGAGCCGCGATATCATCGATATCATTTCCTATCGATTTCTGAAGATTTCTTGATCGTTTTTCCTCTGGAAAGCAGCGCTCTTCTGGTGTCAGTGGCATAGATTGCAGGTACGACCTTTTCCGATCTGCTGTAGTCCGGCTGGTCCTTGTGTAGGTGCAGATGCTTTGTGGGGACATAGATTGGCACCTTTCGCAACCGTTCTTGTTTCCGTTGCATTTGAGCTGTAGAATTGGTGATCTGTCAGCCCGGTTGTATGAATCAGAGTCATAAAAATACCATCACGGCAGGGCGTCCCATCAAGCACCAGTATATTGGATAATTACATACCTTTCGCGCGCGGCACCGATCACATGCCATGAGAACATAACCGCGAGCATCGTTTCCTTTCTCACTGGAAAGCTCAACGTGACTGTGATTTCTGGTTGTCTGGTCCCATCGCAAAACACCAAACATGACCATTTCCTTCTCGTGCGTCAGTTCTGAGTGTTCTTTTTGATGCAGATTGCTGAAGATATGGCGAGGTCAGAGGCATGAAGCTGATATATTACCGATTCTTTAACAATTGAGACAAGCTATACACGTTATTGAATGGTATATCTTCCGTGACGCTGTAAAGCAGTACAGTTAGCGCTTACCTATGCGTATGATTCTTATTCGATAGAACCTGTAGCAGACTTGTCAGTGTACTTTGTCCCGACGGAGATTACGTGAAGTACGTCTGCTCCCTAGTACGCCCGAACCCCAACTGACGGGTACTACATTTCAGGCCAATTCGAAGACGTTTAAATATGGTGCCAAGCTGATTTACCATATTCGGATATGTTTATGCCCTTGTAAGTATGATCTGGGAATGATGGACTAGAGTGTTATCTCGGGATAGCCCCTCATTGCAACCCATGCCCTGCAGCTACTGTTGTGGAAGAAAGCTAAGTTAGACTAGGACATAATATGTAATACACAGTCTATCATCCACACTGTAAGTATGGCGGTTTGGTATATCGTGCAACACGGTCTTGCCCCGTCTTGGTAAGTTCCGAAGACTCAAACTTCCTTCGCTCTATGTATATACAATCAAGCAAAATGCACTTAAGATAAGATGAGTATAATAACCAGATGCTCAGAGTCCTGACCTGTCAGGAGTGGTAAAATTTGACCCAGGCAAATGGCGAGACTCTTGCGATCCTCGTCAACTCCTAGGTTCCCTATCTTTCCGTCAGTCTCGAGTGCTTAAGAATTTTTTCATTGAAGTTGAAAAGGGACGGGACGGTGAACATGAGCTCAACACCTATCCAACACCTTCCTCTTGGTCCACTAGACCACTTGTCTCCACCAGTGTACCCTCCAGGCTCCGTTTACTTCAGTATCAAGTCCGGTGTCAGTTGGGAAGCAGTATTTGCACGTCTACAAGAAGGACTGCGGCGCACCTTCCTGCAAGTGCCCTGGCTGAATGGAAAGCTGTACCATCAGGCCCCGGATACCCCTGGTTGGCGTCCTGGACGGCTCGAAATCCGTTACGCCCCAATTACTGCTGATGCACCGCCCCCTTATCAGCTTCGTTACAATGAGCTCAAGCAGACGACGTCTTCTACTTATGCTGACCTCAAGGCAAGAGGCTTTCCTCTGGATGCTTTCGCTGATGAAGACTTGATTTGGGTGACGTATCGAGGGGTAGATCTCGACGCCGGAGCCGAGATCGTGGCGGCTCAAGCAAATTTCATGCCAGGTGCCTGTCTCCTGTGTGTGTCTGTGCTCCATGCGGCGTGTGACGCGACAGGTATGGCAATCTTCTACAAGCTATGGGCAGACCAATGTAGAAAATTGGCCTCAGTTTCTGGCGATCCTGCCCTCACGCTTCCACCCGAGAGCTGGGACAGAACCCTACTTGATAGTGTCTGGAAGAAGGAAAGAACAGGTCATTCCGCTCAGGATGTTGGCCCAGAGCCTTGGTATGCGATTGGACTCGATCCTCCAAATGCAGAAAAGCTGTCTCATCCTGGTCAGAACGGGCAAAGGTCGTCTAACGCCGTTCAACACGAGCGAGTCATGACCTCGAAGTTGTTCTACATGTCACCGGTGGCTTTTGCATCACTTCGGAAAATATGCACAGTCGACGTCTCAGGGAACGACGTTCTCATGGCCTGTATTTGGCGCGGTCTCATCAAAGCTCGGGCAGCAGCAATAGCGGCACAAGGGCGTGATGTCGATCCTAATGCACCTTTTGAAATCCAGGTGCCGGTCGATGCTCGGCCAGACTTTTCGCAGACCATGTCGGTGCCACCAACGTATGTTGGCAACCTTATCTACCATCATCGACCTACGCTGCCGCTTTGTGTCTTTGTTGAAGGTACATTGGAAGGAAGCATCGCCGCAGTAGCGCAGGCCATTCGTACAAGCGCTGCGAAGATCGATCACACCACCATGATGGACGGTTATATGCTACTACGAGAGATGCACGATTATAATCACATCCAGCGACCACGCTATGCAACTCTTGAGGGCAACTGGTTGATGTCATCAATGCTGATGGTTCCTGGTGACGAGGCCTCGTCGTTCGGTGATAAGTTCTTCGGCAACGGTGGTCGAGCGGAAGGTTCTCGTCCATTAATGAGTATGCGCAACCGTTTCAAAGTACCGGCCTGTTACATACTGCCACGGAAGAGAAGCGGTGGCATCGAGTTCATTGTGAGTCTGTTCGAGGATGAATGGCCATTTTTACTAGAAGGCGAGGGCTTCGGACCATATGCTTTTCTCCTCGCATGATTTCATTGTGGCTGCATCTTGCTCTGCGGTTTGCTTGCTGGGGCTGTTGAACTATCTGATAAAGAAACTGGTCTCTAGTTGTCAATCTTAAAGCAGGCGATACTTACGGTACTAACTGGAATGAATAGGGCTGCAGTCACGCAACCAACAATGTTAGATTGCAGATATCCCTAATTCTGTAAAAAGAGTATCAAGGGGCAGGTTGTTACAGAAGCTCAGTGAGGACTTTCCATAGCTAGCACCCATACACCAATAACAAGTTTAGACTAGACGAGTGCGAACATAACTCTCACCCTCCCGCTGCCCTCCTCGGAAAAACATGAAAGAAACATAGAAACAAAGAAAAAGGATTTTTACCTGACACTACATGCGGCTTATACAGAATCTGATGCTCCACGAATGTATTTCTATCGTTTCCTCCGAGCGGGGGTTTCCGGTGATATCGAGACAAATTGTCCTGTATTACTCTCCTCGGAAGTTACCAGATAAGGTTATAACCGAAAAGGCATACATAATAATGTCTCATAGCTGGAAAGATTACTTCAAGCCCCCAAACCTGGGATCTGGACTTATCTAGGAGTATTTGTTCTTTCTTCGCTGCGCCATAATCCTGAATGGCTTTGGTGTACCACCATAGTCACGCGTGTGAACGAATATAAGGCTGTGTGAGTGCAACAAAGCCGTCCACTGGGTAGTGGCTCCGAGTCAATTCGTACCTTTGGCTCTTCTGTTCCATCAATATTGTCACTGGGCTTTCATCGGCATCCAAGAATACCATTACGCTGAAGTTGTTGTCATGGTGGCACTACAGGTCTTTACGTTTGCCGCGGTGCTTGAGGTGCTGCTTGTGGCCAGGGGAGCCCTATCCAGCTATCTTCCAGACATCATCCGAAAGATGTCGCTTTCATCCATTATAATCCTCATCTTTGCCGTGAACTATACGACCTGGCTGATATACCGTCTGATGATATACCCAGTCTTCGTCGACCCATTGCGCAGCTTTCCAGGTCCTTCGAGCGTGAATGGTTTGAAGTTGCTCTGGTTCCGACTTACGACTACAGTCATACCGGCTGAAAGATATGTGACCATAGCGAAGAGGTTTTCCAACGACAGCGTTATAGCCCTGCGAGGTCTAGGAAAAACGCAGCTTCTTCTAACCAAGCCTGATTCCATAGCTGAGGTGCTTACCGATCACCCTTACGATTTCATCAAGCCCCCAGTCGTCCGCAAATTTCTTGGTCTCATTCTGGGGGAGAATGGACAATTCTTCGCCGAAGGTGAACGACACAAGTTCATTCGCAAGAATACACGACCGGCTTTTAGCTCACGGGCTCTCCAGGACCTCTACCCCATGATGTGGACTAAGGCACTAACCCTCACCCGCTTATTGAGAGATGAAGTTCAACAACAGTCAACAGCCGCCGATTCGATGGGCACAGTAGACATTTGTCCTTGGGCAACCAGGGCGTCTCTAGACGTCATCGGCATTGCTGGTCTCGGTCGTGAATTCAATATGCTCAAGAACTCAGATGATAAGCTCTTCAAGGCTTATGAATATATCTCTGAGCCATCGTTAGAAAAGATAGTGTACGCCTTCCTGTGCTCAAGCTTTTCCTACCAAATGGTTCAACGCTTGCCTTTCTGGAGTCTCAATGTGACCTTCAGGGAGAATATCGAGTCGATTAGACGCATTGCAGAGGATCTGGTCCGGGAGAAACGCGAAGCTATCGTTGGGAAAGGGGACGACAATTTCGACATTCTCTCTTTACTCATTCGGTCAGATAATTTCTCTGACTCGGAACTCGTGGACCAACTGCTCACGTACTTGGTTGCTGGGTAAGTTGCTTCTTGATCATACATTGTCGTGATTTAGCTATCACTCTCAAGTGCCAAAGAACGGGACAGTTGAGCTGAGCCGACTCCCTGTCCCAAGAACTGTTATCTGATTATAAACTCCCCTCTCCAGTCACGAAACCACGTCTTTGGCATTTACTTGGGCATGCTACCTCCTGGCCACCCATCCCAATTGGCAGACAGCCCTACGTGAAGAGGTTCGCCAGGCACTCTCCTCTCATTTGAACAGTTCCTCCTCTGTGTCGATCCAACACAAGGATCTTGGCTCCATCCTCGAAAGCCTCCCCATCCTCCATGGTGTTGTAGAGGAAGCATTACGACTCTACCCGGCCGCACCGATACTACTGCGCGTCGCTGCCGTTGATACGCATCTCTGCAGTCGTCCAATCCCCAAGGGCACATGGATCTTGATACCGCCGTGGCTGATCAATCGGTCCCCAGAATTCTGGGGAGCCGATGCCAGCGACTTTCGGCCAGATCGCTGGATCAGTCCTGGTGGGAAGCGACCAATATCAAACGCTGGAACCGCCGCTGGGAATTCCGGCAGTCTGACTTTTCTGCGCGGGCCCCGGGGCTGCATCGGCCAAAATTTCTCCAGGGCAGAGTTGCGTTGTCTGATTGCTGCCATGGTTGGCCAGTTCGAGTGGACGCTCGCCATGCCTGAGGATCGGGTCGTGCCTTCGGGTGCAGTCACAATTAAGCCGGCTAATGGTTTATATGTCCAATTGAAATCGATTGGGCCCGAGTGAGCTCTTGATTTCCATCTCCTGTTAGTGCTAGTATCGTCTATGGTATGCATCGCTTATATTCGGATATGGAAGATTCAGACTATTTGGTACTGATCTCAAAGACCATTATCACTAAGTCTTGGCATATGGCAGCTATTAGACTCATTTCGTGCGCACATTGTAGGTCTGCTTCATAATTCATTGATTGATTTGTATACTGCCCTGGCCTCTGTTGAAGCTTGTGGAAGGTATATAAAGTCATCCATGCTCTCTGGTTTGACCCGTATAGTTGGTAATTGAGTAAGCTTCCCGCTTGCTTCAAAACGGAACTATCATTTTGGTTTAGTTTTAAACAAAAAAGACCCATAAAGTAGATGTCCTAGAGGCTTAGAGTAGCTATAGAACTTTGATAAGCGAATTAATAGTGATGGTCTATTTTGACAATGATTCGACGAGCGCCTCGTCGTTAGATTGGGCCTATGCCAGAAATACACCGGCAATATAGAGCATTAATCCGCGAAAAAATTCTTACTCTACACACCAGCAGGCTAAAATAATACCAGGGTCATTAGAAAAGTAGAGTCTGTTCTCAATTTGATAAATAATACACATCTTCAAAAGTAACAAGGTGGGAACCAGGCAAGGATCTATTCAGCAGGTGCGCTATTTCTTCTGCATCGTAGGTCCCTTTCATTTCACTTTCCTCACCGATCCTCGATGAACGGCTCGCAATCAGATACCGAAACTTCTCTGCGAAGAACAGATTCAAGCAGCCTCATGTATTCTTCTGTGTATCCTCCAATCCGAACACTCACTTCTCCCAGAGACATATCTTGCCCGAGCGTGTGTAAAAAGATCACTATTTGGCGGTCCAGGCCGTGGTAGACAATAGACGGTGGTGTTCCTCCGTAACGGCGTCCGTTGTAGCAGAGGAAATTGGTCTGAATATGTAAAACGGCAAGTGTCTTTCCCGCCCTTTTGCACAATTTGCCGAGTATATCCAGTGCAAGGGCTTCAAATGTTACCTTGAGACATTTCAGCCCAGACATATCTACCTGACACGCCAGCAGGTGAAGGAGTCTATCATGGGCCCGAATGTGAAGACTCCTAATTGAAGCAAAGGCCTCTTGTAAATATCGTACTGGGCATGAAAAGTCGTACCCAGGGAGCATTCGACAAGCGGAAACCTGTAGGGAAGTAATTGGATTTGCTTTCAAGCGAAGGCCAATCGTCCTAGAAGCCACTTCCATGAACCGCTCGAAGCACGAGTCATGCTTCTCGATACACAGTTTGAGAACAGTACCAAGCCCACAGGTGTCCGCGGGGAAGGTACCCCAGCGCATGTCCAATTCTTCGACAGCCGAAAACTGTTGCAGAACGGTCACTAATGATGACAACTCACTGTCGTTCCCTATAAGTTTTGCTTGTTCTTCGCAGATCGTGCTCATACGTTCAATAACGTTCTCATATGTAGTGTTCTGAGGCAGCCATCCATTTTCTTCGTAAAAAATGTGTGTCTCCCGAGAGTAGATTCTTTCCATTGGTGAGGTTCTCACTTTATACCTGGCACAGACTAGACAGATCAGCGAGTGATACCAAGGTAGGCTTATGGACACCTATACCATTTTTTAGACGAGGAAGGACCCTGAATTGTAATGACTTTACCACCTTCACTAAAAGAGAAGTGGCAACCTCCTTCAGGATGTCAAGGCCAGAGGCCGAGAAAGGCACAGAAATGCATTCGAAAAGACGTGGGATAGCGACATCTCGCAGGGTCCTGTTGGTGCTGGACAGATCTCTCAAGGACAAAAAGTCGAGATAACGGACTATTTTGTGAAGCAGCTCAGCTGGAAGCTGGTCGAGTCGACCTCTAGGACTGAGTGTCATATTTGGTAGAGTCGGACGCGCTGATATTCCAGATTCGAGTTACATGAGATCAACGCAGAGAAACGAGATGGTCTTCTGTAAAGGAACTGTCGGTTGATCTTCTTGGGGTTCTCGACGCGTCTTGTGTGCTAAGTGATGGAACAAAGAAGAAGAAAACCGCGTGCGTCGGTGAGGCTAGCCTGAGGGATGTAGCGGCAAGTCCCATAACTGGGGGGTCAGTCAGTGTCCATATTTCAAACTAATGCTATTGTAGCACAACTGCCAGGATTCTAATATCAAACATCTCTTCGTTGCAAACTAACCATACATCTGCAGAGACCTCAAGGCTTCTCTGTCCTCCATTGAAAGATTTACATATTAGATCCTTGTGCTCCCTGTATCCTCAGAATGTATTCCTCCATATTATCTGGACACCATTGGAGAATACATTCTGTGAATACATAAAGAGAACAGACACTGATTAAAATTAATACTAGTGGTACAAGGCAACGCAAATATCGATTTCACAAGATAGTACTCCTTGGAAGAGCCCCTTCCGTAAGTACCAGATCCTTCCTTAGTTCCCACATCTATGACCTAAGCTGCCTGAACATCTTCTATCAGCATCTGCTGTCGAATTTCCACTTCCATAGGTCTGTCAACGAGCTTGTGTGCCAATATCCCGTTGGGACGGTCCTGTGACATTCGTGGCATCCTGCTGCTCATGAAACGCAGCTGCCATCATCGATGCCAGCATTTCCATATCCTCATCACCTCTCACGTTGTCAGAACTGTTTCCTAGCGGTGATGGCCCAATATGCGTAGGAGAGTGAAGATTGGGGGCGATCCGTGCTCGACTCTCATTATCTATCCAGACGCCTTCGGTGATATTGCGAGGGTTCCCTGCTCTCGCGCACGAGAAGGAAGGCGGTCGCTGTATTGGGAAAGACCATGTCGACACTGGATGCAAGACTCGAATGTCTGATTCAGGTCGCGAAATAACTGTGGTATGTCCCTGGCCTTGATTCTGACCTTGGTCCCGCTGGTTAATGGTCAGGGCTTCCACTTGATTTCTGAACTGCAACTCCCAGTCTTCATTCCCTCTTCCAAAGAAAGGCGTGCCAGGCAAATTCTCTCCTTCCTTGCCTGACTGGGACATAGTGAGTCTGCCCTTGACGGGTTCTTGAGCGGTAAGGTATCAGGCTGCTAATCAGGTCGTATTCAACGCAGCTCAGAAAGTTGCAGTGAATTGCTAACGCAGAAGGAGCACCAGTTTCTCGCAGAAAGGCAAGAACTCTTTATAGTCTTCTTGAAAGAACATCCTATACTGAGGAGACATCGATAACCCATGTTTGCTATAAAGCCATCTCAGCTTGATTTGATACTACATCTGGATCTGGGTTTGTGGTTTCTTATTCTCCGCGTAAGATGAGTAAATGGTCTGTCTCCCTTTCGTCAGAGACCACTGCTTGTTTCCTTTGGCGCTTGATACTTCCAATTCAGTTTGACAGAGCAATTGATATATGATTGCAGACTAGCTCCTATTGCCCTGAGCCGTAGTTACAAGATGTCCCTTTGTAGTTAGGTACCTAGGTGTCTAAGCAGCCAAACGAGCGCGCCAAGAACCAACTTGCATTATGTCTATGATATATCTGCTCCTCCTGTTTTCATACTCTATGAAGTTGTAACTAGTAGACAAACACATTCTCGTGCGCGATTGCTAAGTCTGTACCAGCAGTTAGTTTGTGCATAAAGTTCGGGAGATGCCGAATCGGGAAGTGGATGCAGCTTCCGAGGTTTGCGCTACTGATCAAACTATTATTACTACTGCACCACAGGACTGTCCTCAAATATAGTACTATAATTAATATGACTGCTTTGTTACCTCGTAATAATATCGACACTCGCTCGTATTCACATTTTGTAAATTTAACAACCACCAGATCTCAATCCCAAACAGGCAAAGTGCCTCCATGGGGATGACCTCACGATGTGCTCAAACACGAACGCAGCGAGTCGCTGCACTCAACATTTCATTCAGGAACCCGTCTTGTTTTCTTCTTATTCGCTGCTCACGTCTCGAAAACGTCATTCATCTTCGAGAGCCATCTTTAGACGTCTTTCTTGCTCCTTGCTCCACGTTGAGAGACTAATATATTAACAGCTTCTTAAAGGACTTGGAGAGTCCATTCTTACTCTATCTATAGCTATAGTCCACGACTCTACTCTACAGAAAAAGCTGTGCGAAGTCTACGAACCGTCTCTCTCTCTCAGAATAACCAGCTACACATCTAACAAACTTCACTCAAATCAATCAATCGATCATCATGCCTCGCGGAGCAGACTACGACAACGGCATCCCCCAGAGCGACAACGCCATCGAGCAGGGTACCGACGCAGTACACGGACTCAGCCAAGGAGTAAGTTACCTCACACCCCTCTGATCGTTTCATTCATAATCCAGAACCCCCAACCAACAATATATATTCTAATAGAACGAAAACATCACCCGCGCCAACAAGCCCGCCCCGTTCCCTGACGGTGACTTCGAGGACGGATTACATAGCGGACAAGGTAGCCGTGGTACCCCACCCTCTGGAAGCGGAAAGGGTGGTCATGACCCTAAGACTCTGGGCGAGAGGAAGGGACTCGGTGCTCACAAGGCTGATGGGCCTGATCCTTGGAAGTGATTTTGTTATGCGAGGTTGTACTGTACTTGAGGCGTTTGCTTTTGTTTGACACTTGTGGTTCTGGGGGATGGAATAATATCAGTAAATTATGGAGAAGTGTTGTTGCCTTGGGCTTTGTGATGAAAGCTAGAGGTTGTTTTGATGATATGAAATGAATTACAGGTAAAAATATTTCGGTTCTGATGATTCTTTCTACCGATTGAGCGTGCAGGGACAGAGCCCTGGTGGCCTTCAAGAGTATTACTTGTAGGATGCTTACTCACTGGAAAGGCACAGAGAAAAACATAATCATAATAATACTATGTTCTGAAAAGGGTATTCGTACATTTAGACAAGAAAATATTACCCAGGTAGTCATGCTCCCCGCCCCTTCCCCAGAAATTACCAAATGATAGGAGTCATGACGCCTACTTATGAGACCGTGGAAAAATTGTAAGTAAAAGAAAAGAAAAGAAAACTGCCAATCTCATCATGTCCACAACCACATGAAATTTCCCTAGCTGTCCACTCCGAAGACTTCTTTGTATTGAATTGAATGATGATGTGTTCGGCCGGGCACCTAGAACCCAGGAAGTTGTCCTCGACGAAGAAGTCCAAAGGTAGGGTGGCGCACGAAATGACACATGTAAAGTTCAATGTTCGTCTTTCCAGCGTTGATGACAATTTCTTTGCAGAGTTTCTCGTCGTAGTCAATGGGTCCATCTTCATTGAGGACATGTCTCAGTGCAAGGTTGAGATCTATCCACGCGCGGCGAACCCGGACCTCTGTCATCTCGTCAAGCTCTTCGTCGGCGGCCTTGATTGCCTGATTGGCAGCACGGTCCATCGCCTCGATGATGATGACCGCGCAGGGGTTTTCGCTCGGGATAGTGCAGTGCTCGATCTGCGGGGTGAGGAGGATATAGTCCATGTTACCCGGCACGTACCCTGAAGCGAGCTGGTTCGCGATCACGGCAACAGAGCTCTTCCGGTGTTCAGGCAGCTCTTCGCCAATGGCGGCGATGCCGTCGTGAGTCGTCAGACATACAATTCCGCGGTTCGCCAAGGAGGAGAAGCCAAGTTTGACCATATCGTGGTCGTCGAGACCGGCAACCTGAAGGACTTTCTCGAGAAATTTGTTCGTGTAGAACGACGGGGACCGAAGGGCAGAAATCATGGTGAATTCAAGATCGTGTTTGATCTTTTCAAGGACCCATTCCTCGAGAGGAAGCGCTACCGCAAGCCTGCTGTTGATTGCTTTCACGGTCTCCCACAATTTCATGATAGCCTGGGCGCGCGAAGGCTGAACCTTGAGAAAGGACATAAGACCATAGCCATCGAGTTCCTGCGGCCAGGTCTCTCCATCAAGAGGGCGAATGTCCATACCCTCGTAGGTCAATATGAATGCGGAACTGTCCCAGGTCAGGGAGTAGTCACGTATTTTCACCCTAGCACAGAGAGCGTCATTCAAATCGGCTGGGTTGAACATTGGGACACTGCGTCTGTCCTCACGGGGACGGTAGCTTCCGGTATCCGCTATCTGACGGCTCAGCTCTCCGGCCCTGTCTGCCAGGAGAAAAAAGAGAGGTCTGTTTCCATCCTGAAAGATATTGCTGAACCAATGTTGTTCGATGAGTCTCAGAACTATGATCATCACACGTGCTGCGTTGCGTTGGAGACAATCGACTTCGAATGGGCCTCTCCATAGACCCCCCAAGGCCCGGAGCGAAGCCGTGAGCTCCTTTGCAAGACCAGGCCAGTTTCCGGTCCGCAGAAGTCTCTTCGGCCCCAGGGGGTGTTCCTGATAGATGGCATAATGTGTGAGTTGCCATTCGACGGCACCCTTGGGAGCACCCATGGCTTGAGCTGCTTCACGAATGCTTTCTGAAACCTTGCATATCAGATCGAAGTGTGGGGTGTCGCGAAGATGGTCAGCGCCGTTTTGAGACTCATGGTATAGCTTCAGGTCCTTCGAAATGTCCGTCCAGGTAAACCTGCGCTGAGTGCGTGGGTCAATCTGGTTATGCAGCATTTCGCCGAAGCACAAATTGCAACTCAGTAGTTCTATGACTTCTTCATAGAAGTCACCATAATCGGTGAGTCTTTCCAAAGCAAGGCGGAGATCCTCCGGGAGCTTCGACTTGTCAATCTTCGACAGCTCGTACACCGCTGGCACTGCGCTCGCTACAAGGTTCTGACGGTCTCCATGGCACCAGAGGACTCGCTGGTTGACATAAGAAGTCAAGAATTTAGACAACTTGCTGTACGACTGCAGCGTCATACCCTTAGGGTACTTCAGAAAGTTGTCACAGTTCCGTACTCCGTCCTGGATCTTGTAGATATCAGACGAGCTCATGTCCGGGTGTTGGAGAAGCTTAGGCGCAAGCTTCACAGCGTTCAGAGCCTGTAGACCGTCTAGTTGAACACGATGCGGGTAGGGTATCCAGCCGCCCATGTAGAGAGGCATTTTGACGACTAATAGGAGATGTCCGATAGTCGAGGTGCTTGATGTTGCAATGAGATGAAAGGAGTAGCCACTGCTGGACCTGCTTGCTTTGTCTGCTTCTCAGAACAAATGGCAAGACAGAACCAGTGTCGCAGGATAGTGCATAGACGTGAGACAGTATCTCCAGGTGTGGAGGGGGCAAGACTGTAGGATTTAAGAGGTGTCTGAGGAGGACAGATCACTGCATGGAGAAAGGTGCCAAACAAAGACGCCTGATGATATTCGTGACGCGTCTAAAAAGGAGAAGGGGACGCGACCAGTAGGCCAGAAACAAAATCGCCACCTCCGTATCATAAGGGCATGACCCTGCGGAGGCCGCCGCTCCATGAGCAGATATTATTTTGCTGGTAGATACCGCCAAATGGTTATTATATGCTCCAGGGTAGACACTCCAACTTGGCTAAGGTCCAGGCTGCATGAAAACAGAATATGGTATTCTCTCTAACAATGGTAAGCACCAACAAAAGACATATGACTCGAAAACACAGAAGAAACAGGGTGAATCAAGCTCCAAGTGGAAAATACAGGATAAAGTCAACAAGCGTAAGGGGAATATAGACATCTACCCAAAATAAAAGAGATCATCTAATTGCTGAAGACTCCTATACGATGCCCCGAGATACAATTCATTTCCGAATGAGCTAAGAATTCACAGAGAAGGTCAAAGGCTCTGTCTGCAAGGATGTATTGACAGAGAATAAACTGGTCTTCTCGAGAAGATCACGATTTGGATGAATCTTGTGACTTCTTTTCAGGACTGCTATCACCTGGGGCCGGAGGCGACTGTGAAGACGGTCTTGGGGAGATAGCTTTGCCGTTCGGCTCAGGGGTAATGGTTTTTGCCCCGACCAGCTGCACAAGATGTTCACCTAGATCGCCAGAACCGTTCAGCTTGCTAAGCTTGGACTTGAAGAAGTCGACATCCGATTGCATCCTGCCGCCCCTGTTAGTGATATCAATTGGGAATTGTTTTCAGCAGACGTACCTTTGTCTTCCTGCCTCCGTCTTAACAACGGCCTCCTGGAATGCTTTAGACCATTGCTCCTTGTAACTCTTAAATACAGGATTCATGATCATCATGACCGTGGTCTCTGGAAGATGTTTTGCTAGGACTCGCTGCAGAGTTCCTGTCTCCTTGACAAGGATCTCCATGTAGGGACTCACTGCGCCAGTATTTGGCTGCCTATCCCAATCGATCTTCTTCATGGATTCCACGTGAGCGGCAGCCCGAGAACTCATGATGTCGACCAGTTTCTCATGAATGCCTGACTGGTGTTCCTGGCAAAGCCTCTTGACTTTGTCAAATTCTGCGATCAGAGGGCTCGAATTCGAGTATCTCCGGACAAATTCACGTATATACGGGATCAGTGCAATGATGAAACTCAGCGCTTGCGAGGACAGGGCCAGATGTTTGGTGGTAATATTCTTCAGGCCGGCACTTCTTGTGGCCCCAGCGCCAAGGATAAGTTGTGAGGAACGTGAGTTGAACAGTTTCAAGCATTCCAGGAGGTTGGACGCTATTTCTTGCGCCATGCTGGGTATATTCGACAGAAGGTGTTGGAACTCCTCGATGCTCCTCATTATTGCCATTGCAGACTCTGGAAGGATGTACTTTTGCTCGTCAACCACTGCAGTGCGGACCTTGTCCTTCCCCGTACCATTCGCTGACGTCCCATTTGACGTAGGAGTCTCATCGTGGTTCTTATCGTTTTGCAGCCAGATCTTGCAGGTGTCCAACCACGCGTCGATGTCTTTCGTGCTTGCATCCAGTATCCGAGAAAGAATTACATTTTCAGCGTCACCGAAATCTTTGGCATCCCATTTGTCGGCATCCATGACTTCGACGATCCGATGTCTTTGGCGGTCTCCAAATCGAGAGATGAAGTCCCTGATCTGGTTGTCCACAACTGTTTTCAGAGCAGTGCCACTTCGGCCGGAGATGGCTTCACACTCATCTGCAAAAAGCCGATTCAGCGTGAAGTACCTCAGGAAGTCTTCCAAAGAAAGGTGCGAGGTCTGCTCAGATCGCACTTTCAACACCTTCGTAATCTGGGATTGAACAATATCCACGGCTTGCCCGAGAAGACTGGACATGTCCAAAACCTGCAATATCTCCTCCTGGACAAGAGCTGCTGTAACTCTACCATCAGGTGTAGACGTAAGGGTTTTGTCAATGCTTTGCATGTTTGGACTTCTAGGAGGTGATTTAACGCCCCCGCCAGGAGACTGCGTTCCTAGACCGCTTGTGATGTCAAGTAACACCTTTACTTGGACGCTGAGCCTTCTGAGCGACTCGCTGACACCAGTATATATGCGGCTGAGCATTTTCTGGGCATCCTCTGCATCGAGGGCTCTGAGATTCCGAGCAAGAATCGATGACTTCTCCTGCTGGCTCAATTGGCGTCCACCGATCGTAGAAGCCGACATCACGGATTCGTTGTCATCGTCACTAGAGCTAGGCAAATGTCTCCGAATTAAGCCTTTCATCTCACGCAGGACGCCGGCCTTGAAAGCGGTTGCTGCAGGCATTATGTGATGGGCTCGGCCGAGACCAGTGAGTTCCGAGAGCAACCTAAGCCTCATCGGGTCGTCGAAGTTCATGTAGGCAGGGACACCAGATACAACACCGCCTCTTTGTGCTCCACGAGCCCTTTGCAAAGACATACCCCATCGTTGTAAGGTCACCTCTGGTGGCACGTTTTCCACATGACGTCGCAGATCCCCTAGCAAATCATCAAGGAACCGGCTCTCATAGCCCATTCCAATACGGTAACGCAACTGTGCAAGATCCTCCGAAGCTCCCTGCAAGGCTTTAATGCCCCGTAGATCAACTGTCCTGCTTGGGCGCTCTTGGGTCTGATCGCCCTCATTGAGAAGGTTCGCAGGCTGTTCTCCGGCCATCAGTCTCTCGACCTCATCAAGGCCCTCTGTAGCTTCTTCGATGTCGCCTCTTTCCACCATTTCTTCACACCTGGACACAGACTCAACGATCTGTCGTAGTTGAGCAACGGCGTCACCCAGTCTCCGTACATTTTCCCTGCGACGACGCAAATTCACTACTTTAAGTCCTCCTAGAGCCATCTCCTTGTCGATCTTGTTCAGATCTTTCCGCAGAATCTGTATCCTTTTGACGGAGTCTGCGGCTTCGGAGTGCAGCTCGCGCAGCGAGCCAAGAGCGGTAAAGAAAGACTTTGAAGCTGTAGAGATGGACGAAATAAGGTGTATCTCGACTGTATCCATATACCATGATAACTTCTCCTGCAAAATTGCGTTCGTGGCTAAGGCTTTTCTACCGGTCTGGACTGGTTCAAGTAATCTCCCATTGGTCGCTTTTTCGTCCTTACCTGACGCCTTCGATGCTCCTTGTATGACCTCAGACCGCTCAGACACCACGTCGAACGTGCGCGGATTCTCGAGATGAAATTGCTCGTCGAAATAAACAGTCGGAATTGTCGACAAAGGGGTAACTCCCTGGCCTCGAGAACGTCCGCTAAACGAAGGTTTCCTTCCGGAGGGATCGATAGAAGATGCACGAGAGCTTATCGACAGTGTAGAATATCGCCGTTCCATCCCTCTTCGACTTGGGGGCTCCAGGTCGTCCGTCCGCAACCCGGCCTTGGACTGCCCCCGAACCAGCTGGGAGTCGCCATCGTCACCGCCTTCCTTGGCTCGTTGGAAAGTATCATACAGGGATCCGACCTGAGATAAGTACGGCTGAAACGCTTTCGATTCCACATGGGGAACGTTCGTCAGGGTCACTGGTGGTATATCGCGAGTGGTCGGTGGCCGGTAACCCGTAGAGGACACGGCCGTGTGGGGGACAAGCCCAGTGCGCACAATGGGAGGCTGAAGGAGAGTCGATATTGCTGCATATATGTCAGTTCACTTTTCCTTGCGAATGAAGGAAGTATGTCCAGACGCACCGTTCTGCCCGGACTCCGCTATCGACGCATGATGCTGGGACGGGTCCAGTATGCCACCGATGCTGACAATCGAACTTGCAGTCGACCCTCTCCTCGGGGAGAATCGCTGAGAAGGAGGGACTCGAGGCGACTCATTTTGCGTGAACGAAAACTGCGATAAAGAGGGTATCGAGGTGGCAGAAGCCAGGCTGTCGGTCGACTTCCGGGGACTCACTGAGGACATCTCGTTCGTACCAGCGGCGTAAGCCCACACGGAGACGCATCCACCGTAGATTCAGCGACGAACTATCCGGACATGGCAAGTGAGGGCGATATTCTCAGAAAGCTGAAGCAACCCCTGGCGTTCAATTGATCACGAACCTGCGTCGACGTTGGCTCTCGCTGACAGAGAGCGCTGAAGCTACACCTAAGCTATCCGCAACGTTCAACCAGCTCAACCAGCTCGTAAGGCACCCACAGGCCAACAATTACTTTCCTAATCCGGTAAAGCGTCGTTCGCGCCCGCAGGTTGTCCGTGCACTCGGATCTCGGAGGATCTTGGCTTCCGGTCTGATTGCGGCAGTGGAGGGGCCAGGGGAGACCGTCTCCAGTAGCATCGCCCTTTTGTCTAGGCGCATCCACTGGCAGCACACAGATGGCACCAGTGCTATTCAAGTCGCCTAGTCCCGCCGGGTCCCAAAACCACTTAACGCGTCTCTGAACGCGACCGTGTTTTCCTCGCGTCCAGCAACCCTTTCGTCGGCGGAACAAAGATATCTATCTCTCTCGACTTTTTTATGCCACTCCGCAGAAGTCTCAACGACGGATCATCGCAAACGTCAGATCTGCGGCTACGATGGACAGACGTACACCATACACATTGAGCGTCCTTGCGCCCAGCCAGGACGGCAGCGATGAATCTCGCACCCAGATCCAAGCCCGCCTGCGCGAATTTATCCTCGCCTTCCAGTTGGATAATGCCTTTATCTACAGGTAAGGGAGTTCGAAGGTGGAAGTCTGAGATTTCATACTCACATTTCGATCAGAGATCAACTCCGACAGAACGTCCTAGTGAAGCAGTACTACTGTGACATCGACATCGCACACTTGATTTCTTACAATGAGGAATTGGCGCACAAGCTCACGACGGAACCGGCAGACATTATTCCTCTGGTGAGTAACGCTTTCTGCCTAATACCCTCTGGGGCGCTCTTCTAAACAGATACGTACTCTAGTTCGAAGCTGCGCTTCAGGAATGCACTCAGAGAATCGTCTATCCTTCAGAGCGAGATGTGGTAGTGCCACCCCACCAGCTGCTCATCCATTCCAGCGTGACACACATCTCGATTCGTGATCTGAACGCAACAAATATCTCGCACCTCGTCCGTATTCCTGGAATAGTCATTGGTGCATCCACGCTGTCCTCAAAAGCGACGCTCGTCCACATTGAGTGTAAAAGCTGCTCGCACACCGAAAACATTGCGGTTGAAGGTGGTTTCTCTGGTCTTACGCTACCCAGACAGTGTGGACGCCCTAAGCAACCCGGTGATCAGCCTGGCCAGGCGTGTCCACTCGATCCATACGTAGTGGTACACGAGAAATCTCAGTTCATCGACCAACAGGTCCTCAAGCTCCAAGAAGCCCCCGACCAGGTGCCTGTCGGTGAGTTGCCGCGTCACATCTTGGTCTCTGCAGACCGTTACCTCGCCAACCGAGTTGTTCCCGGATCACGATGTACTGTGATGGGTGTCTTCTCGATCTACCAGGCCAAGGGCGGCAGGTCGAATGCTGCTGTCGCTATTCGAAACCCGTATGTGCGTGCCGTGGGTATCAGCAGCGACGTGGATCACACCGCCAAAGGCAACGCCGTTTTCACAGAAGAGGAGGAACAGGAGTTCTTGGAGATGAGCCGCCGGCCGGACCTCTACGAAACTTTCGCCAAGAGTATCGCCCCCTCCATCTACGGAAATCTGGACATCAAGAAGGCCATCGCATGTCTGCTCATGGGTGGATCGAAGAAGATTCTGCCTGATGGGATGAAGCTCCGTGGAGACATCAACGTGCTTCTTCTGGGAGACCCCGGTACTGCCAAATCGCAGCTGCTCAAGTTCGTCGAGAAGGCGTCCCCTATCGCTATCTACACGTCCGGTAAGGGATCCTCAGCGGCCGGTCTCACAGCCTCTGTGCAAAGAGACAATACTACTCGAGAGTTCTATCTGGAAGGAGGTGCAATGGTGCTTGCCGACGGCGGTGTTGTCTGCATTGACGAGTTCGACAAGATGAGGGATGAGGATCGGGTGGCAATCCACGAAGCCATGGAGCAGCAAACTATCTCCATTGCCAAGGCAGGTATCACGACGATTCTGAATGCCAGAACCTCCGTGTTGGCAGCGGCAAACCCGATCTTTGGCCGATATGACGATCTGAAAACTCCCGGAGAGAATATCGACTTTCAGACCACGATCCTCTCGCGTTTCGATATGATTTTCATTGTTCGTGACGACCATGAGAGGAGCCGTGATGAGCGCATTGCGCGACACGTTATGGGTATCCACATGGGAGGAAGAGGCGTGGAGGAACAGGTAGAGGCAGAGATCCCAGTGGAAAAGATGAGACGGTATATCAGCTACTGCAAGAGGTATGTTATGATTATCTTTCCCATTTGTGCCCATCAGGCTCAAGCTGACATTCGCTATAGTCGCTGTGCGCCCCAGCTCTCCCCCGAAGCGGCGGAGAAGCTCTCCTCCCACTTTGTTTCCATCAGGAAACAGGTGCACCGAGCAGAGCTCGATGCCAATGCACGTTCTTCGATCCCAATTACGGTGCGTCAGCTCGAGGCTATTATCCGTATCACGGAGTCGCTCGCCAAACTCACTCTGTCGCCCGTCGTCACTGAGGCCCACGTGGACGAAGCCATCCGTCTATTCCTGGCTTCCACCATGGACGCCGTGACGCAGGGTGAGGGACAGGGCAGCAAGGAGCTTATGGAAGAAGTTGGCAAGGTCGAGGAAGAACTGAAGCGCCGCCTGCCTATCGGCTGGAGCACCAGTCTAGCTACGCTGCGCCGTGAGTTTGTGGATGGGCGAGGATACACTGAGCAGGCGCTCAATCGGGCCTTGGTGGTTCTCCAACGGAGAGACACGATACAGATCCGATCCGGAGGGTCCCAGATCTATCGCAATGGAGTTTGAGATAACGATATCCCTTCCTAGTCTGTTTGGTGTACTCTGCTCGCTCCGATTTATGATGACGATATCATTGTTGCGGTGTATATGGAAAGATTTTACGTTAAGAGATTTGTTTTCGGGTCTATTCGTTTGGGGCATCTGGACAGTGGAAACAGAGGGCTTTGCAACGGCGGATGATACACCGGCATTCGCGCACTACTAACTAGTTACGTGGCTGGAGTCTAGGCGTTCTTCCAGATCAATGTATAATGCAGTAATATGCAGTGCTATGTACCTTGCGGATCATCATTTTGATTTCAATCGCATATGACCTTTCTAGCCTATTTCGCAGTCGGTTTCTGAATATACTCAACCATTCCATCTAGCAATTGAATCTGGTCCCTCGAAGATCTCAAGATAAAGAACAATCATCCGATCCTCAGGGCTCTCTACTCCGCACTCAAAAATAGACTGATCAGACGATACATCTATGCATAAAGTAACCTGCAGATCCTGAAACCCATGACGTTGCATGAAAATAAATCATACACTAGTCAGTTATCATACACTAAAATAATCATTATTACATTACATACTATAACTGCCTAGATAACTAGCAGACAAGCAGTCGCAACAGTTCACTCAACTCTAAAATAGCGCCCCCCTCTTCATTCATAAACAACTCTCACAAAAGTCCATGGCCTATGAGCCAACTTCCAAACTATAGAGTAGATAGACTGCTGGGATCATCTGAAACAAGCTGAGACGGACGAACGACGCAAGGGCAAAAGAATATTCCCCGCTTTTTGGCTTTTCCCGGCGCTATCCAGAACTTTGAACTTCTCCAAATGCTCGGTCGTTTTCCTGCAGAGAAAAATAGAGTGTTCTATGGAGACACGAAGGTTAGAATAGGAAATTGATTCGCGACGCATGGTATTTTACGTCCTTTTGGTTTTTTGGGGAGGGGGAGGTTGATAACGGTTTTCTTGTCTGGTTGTTCGGGATAGTAGTATGTAGATACTATGTATGGTAGTGATTCGTTACGTTTTGTTGCCTGAGGAAAACAAAACCTGCCCCGCGGAGGTCTTGATGCGGGGTGCCTCTCGCAACGGGACAGGGAGATTGTTCATACTCATACATATTACTATTGGAGCAGGTAAGTTGGTTTGAGAACTTGGGATGCTTAATTGGGGTGATTCTGACTTTCTGGAAAGCTTCTAGGCTTGTCAATTGAGTCGAGTTTGACGTTTGACGTTTGATTTATCACCTACCTAGCTGGTATTGGCGCCGCCAGCAATAATACTCGTCTACGCGATATAACGAAAGATCAAGACGCATTCGCAACTGACACTCCTCGAATACATCTCCCATCGCGTTCACAATCGCAATCATGGCGCCTCTCATCCGCGTCATTGGATCTCTCAATGCCGACATGGTCTCGGTGACTCCGCGCTTCCCCGACCCGGGCGAGACCATCACCGCAACGTCGTTCTTCACCAGCGCCGGAGGAAAGGGTGCGAACCAAGCTGTCGCATGTGGACGACTCTCACGACCGCAGCCCTCGTCGACGGCATCCGTGGCTGCGAAGGAAGAAGTGAAGGTGGAAATGGTAGGCGCGGTGGGAGGACTAGATGGACACTTCCAGGCTTTACTACGACCGACGCTGGAGAAGTCCGGACTGGATACAACAAGGGTGCGAACAATTAGCGATGCATACACGGGAGTTGCGGTCATTGTGGTGGATTCTTCTGCTGGCGGAGAGAATCGCATCTTCTTCTCCCCCGGGGCGAATTACTCGGGCATGCAGCCGATTCCTGAAGTCGTGGGGACAGCATTGGCGGCGCCGATTCCAGATGTCATTGTCATGCAGGGTGAGATTCCCGTTGAGACTACGATTGCTATCTTGCGGGACATCGCTGCTTGGAAGAAGACTGCGAGAAGCCAAGGCAAGAAGGGCATTGAGTTGGGGCCGGATGTCATTCTCAATCCGGCACCTGCGCCTCCAGAGGGTCTCCCAGAAGATGTCTATGCAGCAGTTGACCACCTGATTATGAATGAGACTGAGGCAGAGCTGATGACGCCGAAGAATGAGCAGCTGCTCAAAGTTGTCCCGGACGCGGAGGGTGAAAGTGGTAAGGAGAAGGTGGCGCGATACTTCCACAAGTTGGGCGTCAGCTTTGTCCTGGTCACACTCGGTGCACAGGGTGTCTGGTACAGTGCCACCGATCCTGGCCAGTCTGGAGCGGCAGACGGCGTGACCAGATTCGTCAATGAAGCCCCCGCAGCGAAGGTAGACAAGGTCGTGGATACAACAGCAGCTGGAGACACCTTTGCCGGCGCATATGCGGTGCAGGTTGCTCGTTGGCGAGAGCAGCGACGCGCAAAGGGCAAGGCTGGGGAAGATCTGGTGCCTGAGGACAAGAAGGAACGGTATCAGAGTGCGATGAGCGACGCCATAGGAACGGCCACGAGGGCAGCTGCGCGCTGCGTCGAGAGACAGGGTGCCATGGACAGTATCCCGTGGCAAGATGAGATCTGAAAAGGGTAATCGGATGGAATGAACATGACGACAGTGATGTAGAGTAAGGTATAGTGAGACATAATCACCCCTCGTCTTCCTCCAGTATATAGATTATTATATAATAGATCAATTCCTTGCTGCCTCAGGTCCCAGTATCTAGAAGTCAGGAGCACGAGCTGGGTTATCATCCTCGCTCCTTTTGAACGGTAGGGCTAGCCTTGACTGAACGTGCCCCTTAGAGAGGGGCATATCTACTCTTGTATCAATCCTATCAAAGGAGTATCAGCGTCCCTTTTCTTTTCTGGAAATGTGACCATGAGGGGGGCCTACGCGGTGGATCGAAGAACGTTCTTCTGCATCCCTGAATACCGTTGCCATCGACGCACGAGACGATGCCACCCGATCACCCAGGCAAGCTTTGGTACATTCCTCTGGTGTTTACACGATATACAATTGGCGGCCACGCCCGGTCAGACTCGTAGGCCACATACATTCTCCCCCCACCACGGCGGCAAAAGAAACCTACCATAGATATGATGTGGTCATTGCATTGATCCGAGAGTCCGAGGTAAATCCCACGGAGTATTACTTTCTTTTCTTACCGTCTACTAGTAGCCCTCTTCTGGCCCCCATCTTGGAAGCGGGGATATAATTTAGTCTATAGTAGCTATTCTATGGTAATCCGGCTATAACATCATGGGGATGAAACATTACTGAAAGCATCACATGCCATGCTCCCCCGTGCGGTGCAATGATGGGCTCCCTGGACGACGTCAAGGAGAGACCAATTCAGCACACCATCCAGCGTAGCGCTCCCCTCGGCAGCAGAGACGGGATCAAAAGCAAGAAGGGTGAGAACTAGCAGTGAAACGAACCCGGGATGCGCTCCTGGGAACTGTCCAGTCGCATTGAAGTGTAGAGCATAGATGCGATCTTGAGGTCGAGCGGTATCGATACCTGGTAATGGCTGGTTCTGGTCAGGGAACGGGGCGTAACCAGCGATACGACGCGGGCGATGTCGGTACGGGACGAGCGTGGAGTCGCGCGCTGGGGCAGGTACCCGTTGCGTGGCTTCTGGGCGGAGAGGTACCTGCGCGCGTCTAGACAACGGGACGATACGCGTCCGTATGGCGTCGGTATTCCCGTCACGACGCGCGGTTTCGCCACGTACAGAGCGACAGCTGCAGGGCCGGCGCATTGACGGGACGATCAAGAGCGCTCAGGAACTGGAATCAACCAGTCGCAACTCGATTATCAGCATTGATGGTGGCAGCGCGCCTTGCGTCAAGTCCATCTGAGAAGCTTCAGCGCGGAAGCTGGAGCCAGACACGACGCGCTGCGGTGGTATCTCTCACGATCGTCAAATTCTCGAATAGGTAAAATTGTTCACAGGAGCCATCAATGATCACCCAAGGAATTCCTTCTCCGCCTCCCGAAGCACTGTCGAACAAGCATAGCTGACCGCGGTGGGAACCTGCATAGTTTAAACGATTCCTCTGGACCGTGCTTAGAGTCGATATACATTCGCTCAATGCCCACCTTCTTCAGCTCTCTTCTCTCTTCCTACAGTTGTCTCTCTCAGACTGCATAGAAAGTGGTTTGGGTCGAAGGTCCTCTGTCTGCCTCTCTTTTCCATCTCTCTCTCTCTCTCTCTCTGTCTCTGTCTCCTATATTATATCTGCTCTAGCTTAATACGTGATCTAATATCAGATCTGCTTGCTCTCTGTGCGACGGCGCCCACCCTCCACTTCCGGCCCATCTACATACCGCCTGTGTTGCTCTGACGGATTCCGCCGTTCTAATAACAACCTCCATCTCTTCGACACGTCTGAGCAAGCGTATTTAAGATTGTTTCGCGCAGATCCCCCGAGATCTTTTTCTCTCTTTCTTCCTACCTGACCTCATCACATCAACACTCGAACTCGATCTACCTTATCCGTGCTCGACTCTACTGCTCTAGTTCAACCACGCTAAGCGCGCTCCCGCACCAAAACAACCACGATCATCACGTCTGAAACCGCGAACTGCCCGCGCTCGACTGCCTATTCCAAGTCGCGCTGAATAAGTTAGCCTATTAATAGTTCGCTATAACTATCTCGCGACAATTGCTTTTCCGACATGGCTACTTTAACCATGAGCCCCGCTGTCCGTCAGCCGTTTGCCAGTGTGGACGGCCCGCGTATCCGGTCCCTGCTGAAGACCAAGATGAACCTCACCAACCAGCAGAATGGTATGTCTAGATAACATCTGAATTAATATATACGCGTTTTTATATCCAATGGCACGTTCTAACCTTCGCAAAGGCGCCTCCCCGCTCTCTCTGAAGCGTCCTGCGACCTCCGACTCGGATTCGGAGAACGTCGATCCCGCGACTTTCGGCCTGTCCATCAAGCGCAAGCGTTGCTCCGATGATGATGACATGTCCAAGGAAAACCTGAAGCCGGCTAAGACGTCTCGCTTCGTTTTGACTACTGTCGAGTCCAATGTGACTCTCAAGGCTACTCCATTGAGCACTCGTACCAGCCGTGCCTCAACCCCTGCGTCGACCCAGATCAAGCCGGCCGGACGTTCCCCTCAGATGAAGGCTCGCAAGGTCTTCGGTCGTCGCTCAGTCAACACCAGCCGCGTCGAGCCTGTTATTCCTAAACGTGCTCCAGTTTCTCGTGCTCCGTTTTCCATCACTACAGCCTTGTCGACCGGAAAGTCCAAGGCTTCCTCTCGCCCCAAGCCCAGCACTTGGTTCTTTGACATCCACGTCGACTCAGAGCAGGATGAAATGACCAACTTGATGCAACACTCGACCTGCGTCCTCGACATCAGCGATGACGAGGGCAAGGGCAAGACCGATGGCCGCGGCAAGGAAAACATTCCTCCGCACGAATTGGGTATCCAGCTCGCAAGCTCTACTAACGTCTCTGTCGCTACTTCCCGCAAGAACATGAAGACGATCGAGCCTCGCTCTCCCCTTGGAGAGCTGGACGCTACCGATTACTACGCAGATGGCTGCCACTCTCTTTCTGTCGCTGTCATTTACGATGAAGAGCCCCAATCGACCTCTGAGAAGATCGCCGACATTCCATCCGTCCAGGCTCCTAAGAAGCCAGAGCAGGCCAACATTGCTTCTATTTCCTCCTTGCTCGCGGCCACCGCTCCAGTTAAGGAAGACGCTCCTAAGACCGCAACCACTACTCCCACTGAGACTGATATTGAGATCTGGGAGAGCGGTAGCGCCGCCGAAGAGGCCGCAGCTAACGCTTCTACCGATGGCGCTGAGCCTGCCAACATCTTCTTTTCGTAGAATTGTTTCGATTTCAGTCACTCTAGCGCGGCGTTGACAGGTTCACTGCTTGGCAGGTGGCCCCTTCTTCTACTGTAAAGGCGTTGGGCACAAATGGATAGCGGCACTCATGGCGTTTCTTCGGACTTTCGTTTTCTACAATACCCCATTTCGAATCTGATAGGAAAGGAAGCAAGCATTCTCTTTTTTTCTCAAATCTCATCACATTGCTCACCAATCTTAATATCCTGCTATTCTTGACAAATTCAACCTGAACATCCGCGTCGACTGACTACTCTCCGGAGTAGTGTATGTCCGCAGCATTCAGTTCCCACATACTAGCGTTGACTGGGTGCTCCATCTCGGTGGAGCAGCGCGCATGTCCGCGATGTGGCCTGGAAAGAAGCATAGCAGGTGCTCCTCATCCTCATCCTCCCACCGCTTTTTCCACCTCTTTCTAGCTTGCTTCCTTTTTCTATCTTGTCTGGTTGTCGATCTCCAGGAACGGATTAGTTGGCTCAAAAGCTTCTTTTCTGGACGCGGGTCTACAGCAGTGGCTTTGTCTTTTATTGCAAGGGGGAACTTCGGATCGGCGTCCCGGTAATTGATCATCCTATGGTGTTTGAGTCTGAGTCAGTTCTTATTGTTCTTGCATCTAAGCGTGTTTGTCTATTTCCAATCTCCCTAATTTATCCCTGTTTTTTGAGTTTATTCTCTCCAGTTTGGTTCATGTTTGAGTTTATGAGTTTCACAGTTCGGTTCAGATTTTACGGTACATGTTTGAATGCCTCTGATGTCATGTCACATACGAGTTTCCGATGCGATGGACGACGGATATGAATTTATTGAAATGAATGCACATACAAGGAAACAAACCATGTTATGTCAGTCATGTCACGTTATGTATGTAGTTAATGATCGTTACGCAGTATAATGGCAATAGAATGGGATTGAATGAAAAAAAAAAACATCATATCTACTACTCCGTAGAGTATAGTAGATACCGACCCCTGAAGAAAGACCAGATCTCAATTATAGTCTGACGGATGAGTTCATGCAGGGTCCTATCCAGATTCCACGGGGTGCAGACTGCAGTGCAGAGCGTGGAGAAAAAACGTCCCGTAGACTAGATAGACTATTTATTTTGTTCATAGATAGTCCAGACTTGTCCGCGCAAGGGATGAAACTAGTGTGTCGATAGATCGGTCTCTTAAGTGGAGTTGGGGATCCGCGCTAGATATTAATTATTGAAATCTGAGGAGAAGGTAAGATTTAGGGGGTAGAATGGGTTTTTGAGTCGAGCTCTAACAGATAAATTAGGTAGGTGAGTTGGTGGGTGATGGTTTGGATTTAAGATGGCTTTTCTGTTTGAAGGCGGTGGTGGTTGTAGTGGGAATTTTTGCTAGATATAAATCATGACACGGGTTGTAGTCTGCTGTATGCATATATGCAGTAGTTACATCAAAGTATAGTTATGATTATATAGTTAGCATAAGGGAATTATACATAATATGAAGGTCTCAATAAACTCAAACCCAAGCTTGGAGTACTACTATCTGAACCATAACGGCCGTACCCTATGCGCATGGATAAGGTTTGTGTATGTATAAGTAACTACCTACCTAGCCGTTGTGATGAATGATAGTCCATATTCTCGGTTTACTAATATTTTATCTCTCTATTTTTTGTTCTGCCGATGTTTAATTACTCCTATTTGCTTCTTTTTCTATATTCTTTGCTATGCCAGTGGAATTCAACGGAGAGGGCGGGCCGTTCTGACCAAACCCGTGGATAATATAACCGGGGGGTGATATCGTGTATGAGCGGAGTTGGCCTGGAAGATGTATTGGTTATGTTTATTCTGCGTTTGAGTACATTTTTTGGGCGAGGGAATCCCCACTGGATTTACATACGAAGGGTGATGTGTATGAAAGCTCGGAAGAGGATTGACAGATATTGGTTGCTTCTGATTTATTTCTTGCTCTTTATTCGAATGGGACGTTGTTCGTAATTAGGTATCGAAACATCAAGTCCTAAATGATTAATATACCTCCTCGTCGTCATCTTCCTCATCGTCAAGCTCTTCTATCTCCTCGTCTACCTCTTCTTCATCTCCTTGTGCGCTTTCTATAGCCGCTGCTGCGGCGGATGCGGTCTCTTCCATCATCATCTCCTCCCGCTCACGAGCCTCTTCTTCACCCTCGCTGATATCCGCGGCAAATTGATCCGTGATGATATCTTCATCTTCAACCTTGATCTTCGTTCCGTCCGCGGCGACGACGGATGGCGTATCTTCTGCTTCTGGCGTCTCAGTCGTCTCTGCTGTTCCCACATCTTGAGGCCTAGTCCCGCCTTTTCCAGTAGAAATGCCACCCCGCCAGTTAGGAGAGCCTTTGATATGTCCACGGACTTCGGTGGCTAGTTGCGTCTCCCTCGAGGATGCGGTAGCCGGGTCGAGCGTGAAATTGGCCAGGTCCGCCTCCGTGGCAGCGTGATCGGGGAATGCAACTATGCGCTCAAACTCAGCATCATCTGTGGCGCGATTCTCTGCCATCAATGTTTGCACCTTGGCCCGCATGATTGTCTTCGCTTTTGCAAGTGTACCATTACCATACCAACCATCGATCAGTATGTCGCATGTCGAGCGCAAGAAACCTGGAGGAGGACCCGGTGGAAAAAGAATGCTGCGCAGGAGAGGATCAGTAATATCGCAGATCATCCAAAGTTTGCCGTCTAGCGGCAATGGTGGCTGTCCTGTGAACAGGTGTGATGTACTCGTGCCCGGAGCGTCAGGGCCTGCTTCTGCAGGTCGCGGTAACGTGTGCCGTCGTCCTCCTCCTCCACCACCGTCGCGTGCGACTTCTGCTTCCCGGGCGAGAAGGCGAAACATGATCGTCTGGTACTGCCGATATTCTGGCGAGGTACGAGGATCGTGACCGAACTTGACTATAGCATCCCGCCATGGCCCAGAGCGGAAGATGTACCCTACGTAGGGCACGGCATGACGAAGACAATAACGCTCATCATGAGTGGGAAGTAGATTGCGCAATGCCCGACGTGTCCAAAGCGGACGCTCTTCAAATAACTTCTTGACAGTAGCGATTGTGTCCTGTAGGTTCTTCTCCAGTGTTTCAATGGGCGGACAACTCTCCCGCGGAGCTGATGGTACCTCCTGGATGTCATACGTAACAAGATAAGTAAGCACCTTTGGCGCTTGCTGGGTGTTGACAGTTGTGACCTTGCCCGACGTATCGATGGATTGCTTTACTGTTGGATTTTGTCGATACCTAATTCAGTCAGCAAGTGGCATTTCGACGTGGCTTTTCTTGAGACATACATATAGTTGAAGGGGACATCCCCATGGCTGAACGAAGGCGGAGGGATTATGTCTAGATTAGACCCTGCTCCTCTGCTCATATCGAGGTCGAATTCTTTCATCTTTTCGTCTATGCTGTGTAAGTACAGGGGAAACTGTTCGAAGGGTCAATATACGATATAGCCTTACAGTCGAAAGGGAGGATATGCTCTTTGAATTTCTGTGTGAAAGCGCTCCCGGTTGTCGAGTACACGTAATCGGGCATATCTAGGAAACGTAAGAGAGGTGTTTGAACCACTACCAGTCATTGAGTACTTACTCCGGAAGACATGGGTCCTGTCAACCATGCCAACTGCCTCGACATGATACTTGCCTACGTTGTCGCGCAGGCTTTTAAGTCGGTCTTTCGCCGTTCGTCTCTCGTTTTCAGCGGCAGGGTCCGCGGTGAACGGCTCTTCAGACCCCCGTTTCCGCTTGCGCCCAGTCCATTTCGGGACAGTGACTTTGAGGACGATATTATTTGATGGGAGACTGGATGATTGAACTGGTCTCGCCATAGGGTCCTCCGGCCGGATGTTGAGGTTTGCTGGAGTATCCGCCTTCTGCGGTTTGAGAATCTGACATGCATTCTGTCAGGTGATTGCGTGGGGTGATCTTTTGTATAGGAAGATACTCACCTTCGATATCCCAGAGTTGCCATTAAGTGTGTCTATGGCTTTGTCCACGTTTTTTACAATTCCTGGATGCTCGACGCTCACAATTCTTCTCGAGGGTATGGGGTACCAGGGCGCTGTCCTCCCCTTTCTCTGCCCCTCTACCATGATTGATATCGGTGAATAAGAGGAGCAGGAGGTGAATGCACACGACAATTATTGAGGGAGTCTGTCAGGGTAGGATGGTGGTACTCATATACGTGCTGGAAATGGCCGACAGACAAAGTGCATGTACAGTCGAAAATGTACGACTCAAATATTTAAACAGCCAGTACACTAACGTTCACAATCATATGAATGCCTCCAAGGAAGCCCAATAGCAGCCCATGAAGGACCACGATGAAGAGAGATACAATATATATTTCGGATCCCCAAGAAAATACATGCGAATGCCAGTAACAGCACACGATGCAACTATTATGTCCTATCTTGCTGCTTCCGAGGAAACACCTATCATCGTCACGTGACCTTTCGTCACCACGTGCAACTCCATTACAAGACTCTTTACTGTATAGATTATTGATATATTGATATATTGATATAGAACAGTCAGGTATGCAGTGACTCTTAAAACTTGAAGACCCAAGATAATTGCTGCAAACTCTCGCTGGGCTGCGCATCTCAAAACCTGCATGCAACAGCCACAACATAGATGACTAAGCTATGGCAATTGTGCCGATCGCACATTCTTGTGCCTGAGCCTATCAAATGCGCCACAACCGTGGGAAAAGGAGAAGGCTCCAACGTTAGAGCGTTGAGATGCGGGAGTCTGTCATTGGAATTTAGAATCAGAATAGGATTATACAGAAAGCCAGAGCGTAAATTGTACTCCATATTGGCACAACTCTCGCTCGACGTTGTGTTCTAGTCCCGTGTGCGTTGGAATTTCAAGGCGTCTCCGGTTGGACATTATTGTCGAGAGACCCTCCGCGTTGCCTCACAACAGACTTGACCGGGACACCCCTCCTCCTCAAACCTCCCAAAGTCCCCCTTTTCGGCCTTGATGTTCTGTTCATCACGACACAAACCGTTCTTTTGACCGGGCGTCTGTTGGTTCCGCGTTTAGTGCGTCTCATCGCGCCAGTTTCATCTCCTAAATCGCACTGGGGTCGTCCCCGCTCAGCCTGCCTTGTCGCTAAGCGACACGGAGACGGATCGGATCCTAAGCAAGTCTACTACTACTACGAGTGTTCCTATACAGCATCCAGACTCTACCCCATACCCCAGTACCAAGTTCGAGGGGACTGCAAGGTACGTTTGACGGCATTGATACACTTCGTCCGTCACTACCTGCGCCTGTCTTCACACATTGAAACAACACCTGTGCTGTGCTGTCTGGAGCGTGCTCGTTGTGCAGCTACTTGGACCTCGACGAATCCCCACAACCTACGTGTATCTTCCATCCCAATTACTGTATCGAGCTTACTCAAGGCTGCTTTTATTCACTTATCGCACGGTTGACTCGATTTTGTTCAGTTGCAAGCTAACGATTGCCGTGCCTAGGTCCGGTATAAACAGATTCCGTCACTGGTCCTCAACTCCTGTCCTGTCCTCCAGGAGAATACCTCCGCTTAGTGTGCGTTACCCCGCTGTAGCGGTGTCAGCGACAGTATCACAGTACATGTGCCGACAATCATACTGGTCAAGATGAAGGGATTCAGGCAGAGAGTGGTAAGTCCTGTTTGGAAGTGACCCCTTTTACGTCCCGCTCCCTAACAGCGCTCTATCGTGACGTCCCGCTCCCAGCGGGTAATGTTCCAATTGTCGCTAACCGTCTCAGCACGAACAGTTATCGAGGGCGAAAGATTCAAACAAGTCCTCTAAGAAGAAAGACTCCTCGAATAACTCATCTCAGAGTCAAGCGTCCAACGCGAGCGCTGGGCCCCAGGCTCCGTCCCCGGCGGCAAGCCCGCATCATGGTACACCCACCTCGTCCACCAGTTCTGTCAATGATGTGAGAAGCAAATCGGCTCATCCCGCGGATAATGGAATTTCAGGTGGCCCCCTCCCTTCTGCTGGCACCCCCAATGCAGCTCCTGTCGCGAACGTCGCCGCCGCCGGCGGACCACACTATATACCCCCGGGGCAGAACGCCAGTCCTGCGGCGGCCCAGAATACGAACAATGCTCCTACCACCCCAACGAGGCCAGGGCACTCAATGGCTCCTAGTGTGGTGATTAGTCCAAGCGCACCGGTATGTTCACTTATCCCGACCAACAACCGTCGTCTCGATATCAACATGCAAGGGTGCATTATGATATTGTTGCCAGTCTAGATATGTTTGTAATATGATAGCTGACGGTTTCTCATCTCTAAAGCATGTCCCTCCTCCTGGTGCAGCAGAGACGATGCCAGGTGATCTTGCGCCCCCGAAAAAGTCCCATGCTTTTGACCGGCTACAGACAACCCCCAAGGATATCCAGGAGGGTATCAGGACACCAAAGCGCCAACATTCGTCCAGATTTGATATCTCAGACCAGCGCCAGAGAGAACTCGAGAAGCTTCCCGGGTTTCATGAAGTGCCGCCAAACCGCCGCCAAGACCTCTTCATGCAGAAGATCGACCAGTGCAATATTATCTTCGACTTCAACGACCCAACTCAAGACATGAAGTCCAAGGAGATCAAGAGGCTGGCTCTCCACGAGCTCCTGGACTATGTCGCCAACAACCGCTCAGTCATCACAGAGCCCATGTATCCCCGTGTTGTTGATATGTTTGCGAAGAATCTGTTCCGTCCTATTCCACCTCCCGTCACGCCCCAAGGGGAAGCTTTCGACCCGGAGGAAGATGAGCCGGTTCTCGAAGTAGCGTGGCCTCATATTCAAGTGGTCTACGAGTTCTTTCTTCGGTTTATTGAGAGCCAGGACTTCAACACAAATATCGCGAAAGCCTACATTGACCACCATTTTGTGCTTCAGGTATATCTCATTCATGTTACCCCGGACGCCGTTGTAGACTAACTGTTACTGCCAGCTACTTGAACTCTTCGATTCAGAAGATCCCAGAGAACGTGATTTCCTTAAGACGACCCTTCACAGGATCTACGGGAAGTTTTTGAACTTACGCTCTTTTATCCGTCGCTCAATCAACAACGTATTCTTCCAGTTCATTTACGAGACCGAACGCTTCAATGGAATTGCCGAGCTGCTGGAGATTTTGGGGTCCATAATCAACGGCTTTGCCCTGCCGCTGAAGGAGGAGCACAAGCTGTTCCTGACAAGAGTTCTAATACCCCTTCACAAGGTCAAGAGTCTCAGCATGTATCATCCGCAACTCGCGTACTGTATCGTTCAATTTTTGGAGAAAGATGCGGCTTTGACAGAGGAGGTAGGTGATTGATATTGACTCGCGTGGATGAACAATACTCATTCAAATAGGTCGTTCTTGGTCTCCTCCGCTACTGGCCTAAGGTCAACAGTACTAAAGAAGTCATGTTCTTGAACGAAGTGGAAGATATCTTTGAAGTCATGGACCCCGCAGAATTCGCTAAGGTCCAAGAGCCTCTTTTTCAGCAGCTGGCTAAATCAGTAGCCAGCCCACATTTCCAGGTTCGTTCCACACGGAATAATCACATTTGATGCTCTGTTCTAACATCTAGAAAGGTCGCTGAACGCGCCCTCTACTTCTGGAACAATGAATACTTCTGCAACCTGGTCAGCGATAACGTCGAGACGATCCTGCCGATTATGTTTGCCCCTCTTTACGAGAACTCAAAGGGACATTGGAATAGGTATGTCATCGCTATTATCATCCTAGTCTCTGTTCATCGCTTACTCTTACCCCGCCTTTCAGGACGATCCACAGCATGGTATACAATGCCATGAAACTGTTTATGGAAATAAACCCACAGCTTTTTGATGACTGTTCTCATGAATACAACGAGCAGCAGAACAGTGCCGATGAACGCGAGAAGACACGGCAACAGAGATGGGAGCAGCTCGCTGAACAGGCAAAGCTGAGGAAGCAGGGCCTTCTTCCTTCTCCGGCGAAAGCCCCTGCTCCTGCTACAGACACAACTCCTCGCACCGATGACATCGACCCAATAACCCAAGATAGCCAGAAAAGGCTTAATGCATTGAAACTGCAGGATGAATCGAGCCCTGGAAAGGAGAGGAGAGTTCGAGAACCCGAGCGACAGAATTCGGTTAGTATTTGAAGATGTTTCTTGACTAGAGCTCGCATCCTTGCGCATACACATTTCCTTCGATACCCTCTTTCAGCTGCTAAGATATGATTTTATTCTCTATAGCCGTCATGAGTCTTATGGCTAAACGTCCGTTTGATCCAGAGACGCCGTCGTGGGTCCCTTGATGACTCTCGGAGAAGGCGAAGTGGCAGCGGTAGCGAAGCTCGTCTACGTGGAGAGCGGCGAAGTTCTCTGGGTTCAGGTTCCAGAAGTCCAACGACAGTAGCATTTCGAAAGTAGCAACTCAGCCAGATAATGTCCCATAGGCTGGCTAGTGGGGGTCTCTTTCGGTTGAATGCTCTGCAATTGAGGGCATAGCGAATACGCGCTGTCATGATGTTCATTTCTGTTGTTGACCTTTTTTCCTCCTTCGGTTTTGTGTACATGCGCTTCGAAATTCTTTTTCCTTCTCCTGTGCCTGCCGAGGGCCTGTGATCTTTGAGCGCACATTCGAGTTGGACCGTTTAGAACCGTGTTCGGGTATGGAAAACAGGTGTGAACGGCGTTGTTGTCCGTCGACCCAGATGTCAGGCGGACCTTTTGATCTTTAAATACCTCAAGTACCTATCGCATAACACTACATAAAGATTTTATATTGTTGCCTGTGGCAGTAGTGATGAAGAGACGTGATCTAAGCGCGCGAGTACCTGGAAGCAACTTTGATAGGTCGAGGAGCCGCGCGGTCAGCGGAAAGGAAAAACATAAACCCAGAACTTCCTATTGCGGACTAGCGCATCCTTTCAGGGTCTCTGCGATGCCCGCGTTCTTGTGCTGGTTTCTGTTCTGAGGCTCTAGGCGTGGTCTCTCGCGCGCGCATATCACGGCGAGAAGCCTCAGATTCCTTTCTTTCTCTCCACTCCCACGTCTCGCCGTGCCGCTCCTTATTCCTTTGTGATACCCTATTTATTGTTGTAACATGTGCTCCGCCTAATGACCTTGCGAAACCTTGATTGTCGCTTCCTCCAACTTGTGTTCTGGGTTTATCACCAAGCCAGATCAGGACATTCTCAAGCTCCTCTTCCGCATGTGAACAACGATAACAGAATCCATTGCTTGGTGCCTTCATTCTAAGCCGGCCTTGTGGCCTGGCAGTGAGTCAATCCGACTATAACAGCCCGCAATCCCTGGGCGGGGGAACCGTCAGTCGTCGCAATAATGGAGCGAAATATCGATACCTATGCCAGCAAGCTGGCAGACGAGAAGATCGGTATGGTTCCCATAAATTTTGCTGCACATGCCTGGAAGAACTGCGGGGATTTTGGCGAACTGCAAATGGACGTTATTTGCTGACTCCTTGAGTAGATACCAGAGTGAGAACAAATGTCGCGGTCGAGTTACGGGATAATATCGAGCCGCTATGCTCAGGTTCCAATTACCCCATCTTCCTGGCGAAGCTGTGGCCGATATTCAAGAACATATTGAAGGGGGATCCTGTGTTTACGAATATGTCATACGAGCAGGTGAGTCAAGGGATTTGTCGCAAAGAGACGTGAAGATGTTATGAAGGCACTAACACCAGTGGACGTCTTCAGAAAATGAGGAACTGTATTCTCGAGACGCTACACCGGTTACCGATGGCCTCCCCGGATGTCGAACCCTACGCTGCTGAGATGGTAGATGTTCTGATGGGACTGGTGCGTGTTGAAAACGAAGAAAATGCTGTCCTCTGCATGAAGACGATAATGGACCTGGAGCGGAACCAGGCCAAGGCCACAGCGTCAAAAGTCCAGCCTTTTCTTGAGCTCATCCAGGAGATGTTCCAGAGCATGGAACAGGTTGTCCGTGATACGTTTGACACGCCGGCCCAAGGCACAACGCCGGGAATGCCATCGACGCCTAGTACAACTTCGCAGAATTTCCAGTCGCCGCGGCCCTCTTCACCAGCAACATCGGTGGCAGACTTGGGGCCCGATCAGCAGGCTAATCACCACCTGTTGAAAGGCATGCAGTCATTCAAGGTTCTGGCCGAATGCCCCATTATCGTGGTCTCCATTTTTCAGGCCCACCGCAGCTCTGTTAACCCAAATGTGAAGCTCTTTGTTCCTCTAATCAAGAGCATTCTTCTTTTACAAGCAAAACCGCAGGAAAGAGCGCACACAGATGCCGCCGCCCAAGGAAAGATCTTCACAGGTGTCTGCAAGGAGATAAAGAACCGGGCTGCCTTTGGGGAATTCATTACCGCTCAAGTGAAGACCATGAGCTTCTTGGCGTATCTGTTGCGAATGTACGCACACCAATTACAAGATTTCCTTCCGACCTTGCCTTCAGTCGTCGTCCGTCTACTTCAAGATTGTCCCCGAGAGAAGTCAAGCGCTAGGAAAGAGCTTTTGGTTGCGATTCGTCATATAATTAACTTCAATTACCGCAAGATATTCCTCGAAAAGATTGACGAGCTCTTAGACGAACGGACCTTGATCGGTGATGGACTCACAGTTTACGAAACTATGCGACCTCTTGCTTATAGCATGCTTGCGGACCTGATCCATCATGTGAGGGATCATCTGAATCGCGATCAAATCCGGAGGACTGTAGAAGTGTACACGAAGAATCTCCACGATGACTTCCCTGGTACAAGTTTCCAGACTATGAGCGCCAAGCTGCTGTTGAACATGGCCGAGAAGATATCCAAGCTAGAAGATAAGCAGGATGCGCGGTATTTTTTGATCATGATCCTCGATGCTATCGGTGATAAGTTCGCTGCGATGAATCATCAATACGACAACGCCGTCAAGGTGTCCAGAGCGAATAAGAAAGGCACCGAAACGCCTTCGGAGAGCTTCCTTGCGAACAAGGACTCCCCTCCAGACTGGGACGAAATCGACATTTTCTCGGCCGCACCCATCAAGATTTCGAACCCTCGTGACCGCGGTGCTGATCCCGTCTCAGACAATCTATTCCTCTTCAAGAACCTCATCAACGGCCTGAAGAACATCTTCCATCAGTTGAAGAACTGCAACCCGGAGCATATCCAGATTGACCCCAACAGTGTCCCCATCAATTGGTCTGAAGTATCCTATGGCTACAATGCGGAAGAGGTCAAGGTGATCAAGAAGCTCTTCCATGAAGGTGCTCGTGTGTTCCGTTACTATGGTGTGGATCAAACTCAGCCAGAGGTTCAATACTCTTCGCCCTTCGAATTCCTTGCTAGTCAATACACCGCTCCGATGACTCGAGAAGAGAAGGAACTTCTGGAGAGTTTTGGCACAGTGTTCCACTGTATTGACACCGCCACCTTCCACGAAGTCTTCCACAGCGAGATTCCTTATCTCCATGAGCTCATGTTCGAACATGGTGCTTTACTTCATTTGCCTCAGTTCTTCCTAGCCAGCGAAGCCACCTCTCCTGCGTTTTCCGGAATGGTGCTGCAATACCTGATGGAACGTATCCATGAAGTCGGAACCTCCGATATGACCAAGGCTAAAATCCTGCTAAGGATGTTCAAGCTCTCGTTCATGGCTGTGACTCTCTTTTCTGTACAGAATGAGCAGGTTCTACACCCTCACGTCACCAAGATAGTGACGAAATGTATCGAACTCTCGGTGACCGCAGAAGAGCCTATGAACTATTTCCTGCTCCTGCGGTCTCTTTTCCGTAGCATCGGCGGTGGACGATTCGAGTTGCTGTACAAGGAGATCCTTCCACTCCTTGAAATGTTGCTGGAGACGTTCAACAACCTGCTAATGGGAGCCCGCAAGCCCCAGGAACGCGATCTTTACGTCGAACTGACTCTCACTGTCCCGGCACGACTGAGCCATCTCCTGCCCCATCTAAGCCATCTGATGCGGCCGATCGTGGTGGCCCTCCGTGCTGATTCAGACCTTGTCGGACAGGGTCTCAGAACACTGGAACTTTGCGTGGACAACCTTACCGCTGACTACCTCGACCCGATCATGGCGCCCATCATGGATGAGTTGATGACAGCGCTTTGGGACCACCTACGGCCGAACCCTTATAGTCACTTCCATGCGCACACCACAATGAGGATCCTCGGGAAGTTGGGCGGCCGAAACAGGAAGTTCTTGAACCACCCACCAGAGCTATCTTTCCAGCAATTCGCCGATGACCTGCCGAGCTTCGATATTAAACTCATTGGCCCCAGCGAGAAGCGTCCCTTCCCGGCTGAAATCGGAGTTGATCTAGCCATCGGAAAGCTGTTGGAGGTTCCTAAATCACCAGCAGCGAAAGCATCAGATGGCTACTATAAACAACAAGCCTATCGTATGCTAAGCTCCCAGCTGAAGCTCTTCATCGGGTTCGAGCATCTTCCTGAAGATCTCGGTTCTCTTCTTCGACTACAGGCCAACGATCTGTTTGAGGGTAAAGCTGGCGGTGTTCCTGACATTTTCGAGAAGTCTGAACGGTCTAGTTCGATTCCAAAGAAAGTCTCTCAAGAGGAGACGCTGAAGAAGCTGTTGAAGGCTTGCCTTCTTGCCACTACTATCCCCGATCTTGAGCAAACAGCTTCTGCCTTCGTAGCAGACGTCTGTAAACACTTTGTTGTTATCGAGGTCGGTCGCTCCCTTGCGCAAGCTCGGCATAGTCGCAAGCCCTTCGATGTTGCAAGTGGCGAAGGCCCTGTGTATCTGGACTCCAGGCTGCTTGCCGAAGTTGTGGTCGACTGTTTCTCTTCGGACAATCCTCTCGTCCGCGACTCAGCCAAGACTGCGCTGAAAGTCATCAAGGACGCAGCTGCTGTCATTTTCGGGTCCCCCGAAAGAGTTCCAAAACTACCTTTCTGGCAACATTTGTCTCGCACATTCGGCCATAGCTGTTATAGCGAGGAATGGTTTACAAAGGCCGGAGGCAGTCTTGGTATCCATATTCTCGCCACGGAGCTCGACTTGGGCGATGCATGGCTATACGACAAGCAGGCAGAGTTCGTCCGAGCTCTGATGTATGTCATCAAAGACACGCCGTCAGACTTTCCGGCCAGTACGCGTGTTCGGGCACAGGAGACTCTAGATCTTATTCTCAAGCGCTGCAGCAAGAACTTCTCTAAGGACGATTTAAAGAATGAGAAGAGCAGACTCTACCTGTTGTGCGGCTTCTTCATTTATGAACTTGCACATATGAACAAATATGTGCGCGAGTCGTCTCAGCGTAGCTTCTCTACCATCGCTGGAGTGATCGGTTGTGAAATCCACGAGCTCATGTTCCCAGTCAAGGAGCGTCTGTTGCAGTCCATCTTCAATAAACCTCTGCGTGCACTGCCGTTCCCCACTCAGATAGGTTTTATCGAAGCTATAACTTTCTGCCTGGGTCTGCATAACAATATCGTTACGTTCAATGATCCATTGAATCGGCTAATGCTAGAGTCTCTGGCTCTGGCGGACGCGGACGATGAGTCTCTTGCCTCGAAGCCCAATGAATTCAAAAACGCAGAAATGATTGTCAACTTGCGCGTGGCCTGCCTCCGTCTCCTATCTATGGCTATGAGTTTCCCCGAGTTTGCAAATACACCTCAGAATACCAGCCGCGCGCGTATCATTTCGGTGTTTTTCAAGTCACTTTATTCTCGGTCTCTAGAGGTAATTGATGCAGCCAATGCTGGGTTGAGGGACGTCCTCACACAGACCAACAAACTCCCGAAAGATCTTCTCCAGAATGGTCTCCGTCCTATCCTAATGAACCTGCAGGACCCCAAGCGCCTGAGTGTCGCGGGTCTAGATGGATTAGCGAGACTCTTGACGCTGTTAACGAATTACTTCAAGGTGGAGATCGGTGCCCGACTTCTTGATCATATGAAGATGATTGCGGATGATGCGACGTTGCAGAGAGTTTCCTTCAGTCTGGTTGAACAAAGTGCCCCCATGAAGATAGTTGCAGCGATATTCAACATATTCCACCTTCTCCCACCGGCCGCGACCTCTTTTATGGAACATCTCGTGAACAAGGTCTTGGACCTCGAAGGAAAGCTTCGGCGCACTTCGAACAGTCCGTTCAGGAAGCCGCTTGTCAAGTATTTGAATCGCTATCCGAAGGAAAGTTGGACCTTCTTTCAAGCCCGATTCCATGAGGAGCGATATGGTCGTTTCTTCGGGCAGGTTTTAGCGGACCCTGAAAGCGAGGCACTGCGATCAGCGTTGGTTGCAGACACAGAAGGTTTCATAGCGGCAGGTTTTGGACAGGAGGCGACTGACGGCAAGAATACGGCAGCGATCAATGCTATCTATGCTGTGCATTCGATATGCTCATATCCGTCTACTAAAAAGTGGCTTGTGTCGCAGCCAGATCTAAGGTCTCGTGTGCTAAGCGCAGGAAAAGACCTTGAAATCAAGCTTCGGGGCGATAAATTACCTGCTAATGAGAGACTGAGGGTTGAACAGGCTGAGGACCAGTTGATGCAGGTCTTCACGATCTACCTCTCGGAGTCCCTGCAGGACCTTGACTTCCTTTTCGAGATAATTGATGCCCTATCTGCAGATGCATTGAAGCGCACATTGGCGTTCCCGAAGTTCATTTACAAGCATATTATCACGAATGAGTCGATCGACTACAGACGGTCGGTTATTATGCGGTGCTTGGATCTCTATGGTCAGCGCAACTCTTCACAGAGGACGAAAACCTACGCGTTCCACAACTTGGTCAATCCCATTTTCGCCATGGATGTCAAGACTACGTGGAACAGTCCGCCTAACAGCCCGAAACTCATGGACAAGAGCATGACCGAGTCAATCCAGAGTCGCCTCTGGAGACCTCAGTTGGGAGATATCAGCGAAGAATCGAACCAACCTGGCGTTGATCATTCTAGAATGGAGCTTCTACAACTGTCCGCCCTTCTCATAAAGTACCACCACCAGACCGTACAGGATTCTCGAAAGGATATCATCAAGTTCGCGTGGAACTACATCCGCCTGGAAGATATCATCAACAAATACGGTGCCTATGTTCTTATCAGCTACTTCATAGCGCATTACGAGACCCCATCCAAGATCGTGGTCCAGGTATATGTCGCCCTGTTGAGGGCCCATCAGAACGAAGGCAAAGCTCTTGTCACCCAAGCTCTGGACGTTTTGGCCCCCGTTTTGCCGAAGAGAATCCTATCCACTAGCAACAACCAAGCTGCAGACCTTCGGTATCCGTTGTGGGCGAAGTGGCCTCGTCGCATTCTCGCAGAAGAGACTGCGAATCTGCAGCAGGTTATGAGTATCTTCCACTTCCTAGTGCGACAACCGGATCTGTTTTACGAGTCCAGAGAACACTTTGTGCCTCTCATTGTACCGTCTCTAATCAAGATTGCGGCACCACCTAACCCTTCTAACGAGAGCAAAAAGCTCGCTCTTAATCTAATTGGCCTTATCTGGCACTGGGAGCAGAAGAGAGTGAAGGGCTATACGGCGACATCGAATAGCGTTACGGAATCACCGGGTGGAAGAAAGCGCAAGTTCGAGGACACGCAAACAGCTTCCGCTTCTCCTTCGGCTGCACTCGCGCCACCAAATATGCGCGAACGCTCAGAGTATCTGGCTCCTCATGACCTCCGGGCCGCCATGGTCAAATATCTGATAACATTTATTACAACGATACCGGAACGGTTCCCTGTACCTGCGTTCAAGCTTCGGGACCTTCCTTCTTCCAAGCCTCAACCCCCAGTTTTGAGCGGAGAAATGATCAAAAAAGCCGTCCAGCTCCTGCGGGATCTAATGTCACCTGAGTACTGGAGCGACCTTGACATCGACCTCTATCAAAAGGTCACGGAGCCTATACTCGCTGGTGAAAAGGCCGACAAGCCGGACGAAAAGCACACAACAAGCATCATCAACGCCCTGCAAGTTGTGCGGATTATGCTTGCCTCGAAGCCAGACGATTGGATTATGGCCCGTTTGCCACTGATTCAAAAGCTTCTAGAGAAACCTCTACGGTCAGATAATCCTGAAATCCAAGAGTCACTTCACGGGTTGGAAGATGAAATGGATATTTCCCCGAAGCTCCCGCCCCCAGTCAAACGTGTGCTTGATGCTTTGCCAGACGATCAGCCCGAGGAAGAAGACGGAATGGATGTTGACGACTCATCTTCCGAGTTCGTCACTTATTTGTCGGCCATTGCAACCGAGGGTCTCTCAGCCAACAATTACATCTCTAGCCTGAACACTCTGTGGACTCTCTCCAAGAACAAGCCTTCCGAGATGGATGCCCATATCCCCCAAGTTATGAAGGCCTTCTCCCAGAAGCTTGCCAAGGAACATGTCGCAGCGTACACCAACAACCAGGTTCCTGGCCAGTATCCTCCGGGTAACAAACTTGCAGAGGGTGTTCCGGACCAGCAGGAATTTGAAATCGGCGTCGATCTGATCTTCAAGACAATCGAATTAATCTCCGTAAGGATGTCCCATCTTGGAGAACAGAGACGTCCGTTCTTGAGTGTTCTGGCCCAGTTGGTCGAACGCTCGCAGAATATCAAGCTGTGCAGCAAGGTTCTTGGAATGGTCGAGACTTGGATCTTCCACTCTACTGAATCCTGGCCCACGCTGAAGGAGAAAACAGCGGTGTTGCACAAGATGCTTCTCTTCGAGTCTAGACCAGACCAAACAATGCTAAAGAAATTCTTGGATCTGGTCATAAGGATCTACGAAGACTCGAAGATCACCCGGACAGAGCTGACTGTTAGACTGGAGCATGCTTTCTTGATCGGCACCAGGGCACAAGACGTCGAAATGCGCAACCGCTTTATGACGATCTTCGATCGGTCTCTAACTCGCATGGCCAGTTCTCGGCTGAGCTACGTTCTCACCTCCCAGAACTGGGATACCCTTGCCGACTCTTTCTGGCTTTCTCAAGCATCACATCTAGTGATAGGCTGCATCGATATGGCAAGCCCAGCAAGGCTGCACCCTGATGACTTCACGGTCTATCCAGTTTCGTTCCTCTTCAGTGTCGCAGATAAAGATAAAGAAAATGTCATTGTTGATAATCAACTGGAAGCCTTTGTTGCGGACCGCAGACGGTTCATGGCGGAATTGGGCGATGTTCGTGTCCGCGATTTAATGGAGCCGCTTTGCCAGCTTCAGCATACGGATTCCAATGTGGCTTACAGGCTGTGGACTACGTTGTTCACTATTTTCTGGTCAACATTATCCAGGGAGGAACGCATCGATCTGGAGAAAGGCATGGTGACTCTGGTGACCCGCGAGTATCATCAGAGGCAGCTCGACAAGCGTCCCAACGTTGTGCAGGCTCTACTTGAGGGTGCAGTAAGAGCTAAGCCAAGATTCAAGGTGCCCCCTCACGTCATGAAATACCTCAGCCGCACCTATGACGCTTGGTACACTGCAGCCGTCTACCTCGAAGAGTCTGCAATAAGCCCTATTATTGATACACCGGCTGTTCGTGAAAGTAATCTGGATGCTCTCGTTGAACTCTATGCCGGATTACAAGAAGAAGACTTCTTCTACGGGACGTGGCGACGACGCTGTAAGTTCGTGGAAACAAATGCCGCACTGTCCTATGAGCAGCAGGGCATGTGGGACAAGGCTCAGCAGCTGTATGAAAATGCCCAGATCAAAGCTCGCTCAGGAGCTATGCCGTTCTCACAAGGTGAATACTACTTGTGGGAGGATCACTGGTTGATCTGCGCGCAGAAGTTGCAGCAGTGGGAGATCCTCAGTGACTTCGCCAAGCACGAAAATATGAACGATCTTCTTCTCGAAGCCGCTTGGAGGAACATTGAAAATTGGCAGAGCGAAGCAAACCGTGAACAGCTTGAGTCATTGATCAAGTCCGTGTCAGATGCACCGACCCCGAGGCGCACGTTTTTCCAGGCTTTCATGGCCCTCTTGAACTTCCACTTCAAGAAGGAGAATATTCAGGATTTCAACGGAATATGTGATGAGTCTATTCAACTCTCTATCCGCAAATGGCACCAACTACCAAAGAGGATCACAAATGCCCATATTCCGATACTCCAGCACTTCCAGCAGCTTGTCGAGCTACATGACGCAAGTGTCATTTGCGCTAGCCTGGCGCAAACGAACGAAAGAAACCTAGATACCAAGTCTGCTGAGCTGAAGCTCTTGCTGGGAACCTGGCGTGACCGTTTGCCTAACGTCTGGGACGATATCAATGCTTGGCAGGACCTTGTTACATGGCGTCAACACATCTTCCAACTCATCAACGCCACTTACCTTAGCCTTTTGCCGCCCCAGACGAATAATGTGGCCAGCAATTCTTATGCCTACCGTGGATACCACGAAACCGCATGGATTATCAACCGTTTCGCCCATGTCGCCCGGAAACATCAGATGCCTGAAGTCTGTATCAACCAACTTAGCCGGATCTACACGCTCCCGAACATCGAGATCCAGGAAGCCTTCTTAAAGCTAAGAGAGCAAGCCAAGTGCCACTATCAGAATCCTAAGGAGCTTAATAGCGGTCTGGATGTGATAAACAACACCAATCTCAACTACTTCGGCGCCCAGCAGAAGGCAGAATTTTACACACTCAAGGGCATGTTCCTAGCTAAGCTCAACCACGTCAACGAAGCGAACGAAGCCTTTGGTGTTGCTCTCTATTATGATCTTAGACTTGCGAAGGCATGGGCTGAGTGGGGTCAATACAGTGACCAACGTTTCAAGTCTGATCCCACGGATTACGAGTTGGCTAGTAACGCCGTGAGCTGCTATCTCGAAGCAGCAGGTCTTTACAAGAATTCGAAGTCTAGGAAGCTTCTCAGCCGCATTCTCTGGCTTCTTAGCCTTGACAATGAGGAAGGCCGTATTTCGAGTGCCTTCGAGAACTTCAAGGGCGATACCCCAGTCTGGTATTGGATCACCTTTATCCCGCAGCTGCTCACAAGCCTGTCCCACCGCGAAGCACGTCTCTGCAAGGCTGTTCTTGTGAAGATTGCCAAGCTCTATCCACAGGCGTTGTTTTTCCTTCTACGAACGAACAGAGAGGACATGCTGAGCATCAAGAAACAGCACGAGCAGAAACAAGAGAAGCTTAACCGCGCAAGACAGCAGGCTCAGGCTCAGGCTGGCGTGAAGGTGGATGGAAACGGGCCCAAGCCTGCAACAGCAAATGGAGAAACATCCACGCAAAACGCCCAGGGTGCTGCCAACAACGACGGTGCCGCTGCTCCTCAGAATACCAATGGGCAGTCCAATGGGCAGCCGCAAGCGCAAAATGCAGGACAACAACAGGGGCAAACTCCGGGTCAGCCTCTGGCTCAGAATCAAGGCCAGGGCCAAAACGGGAATCAGCCTGCGGGCGAGCAAGAACAGCCACAGAAAGAGCCTCTCAAGAAGCCATGGGAGTACTCAGATGAAATCATGTCTGGTCTCAAGACAGCTTTCCCGCTGCTTGCGCTGTCAATGGAAACGATGGTCGACCAGATCCACAAGAACTTCAAGTGTCCTCCAGACGAGGACGCGTATCGACTTATTGTTGCATTGCTTAATGATGGTCTTGCCTATGTGGGTCGCATGCCAGGCTCCTATGCGCAGGACTTCAAGCTGCCTCCTGCCACTGAAGCGAACATCACTCGCTTTGCGGAGACCATTCTTCCTGCCCATATCCGCAAGTCTTTCGAGGCCGATTTCGTGGTGAAGAAGCCGACAATGTACGAATATATCCAGAAACTGCGTCGCTGGCGTGACAAGTTTGAGGAGAAGCTCGATCGACGGCCGCAGTCTCAGTTCCTGGAGTCGTACTCCCCACATCTTAGTGAGTTCCGTTTCCTCAAGTTCGACGAGGTTGAGGTTCCTGGGCAATATCTGCTGCACAAGGATAAGAATCAAGACTTTGTTCGCATCGATCGCTTCCTTCCTGATGTGGATTTGGTGAGGGGCATCGGCGTCTGTCACCGTCGCCTGAGAATCCGTGGCCATGATGGTAGCGTCCATCCTTTCGCTGTGCAACATCCTGCAGCCCGTCATTGCAGGCGTGAGGAGAGGATCCTTCAACTATTCCGTATCTTCAATGGTCTCTTAGCGAAGCGCAAGGAAAGCAGACGACGCAATCTGTACTTCCACCTTCCGCTCATGGTGCCCCTGGCACCTCATATCCGTCTTGTTCGCGACGATCCTTCGTACATCTCCATACAGGGTATATACGAGGATTATTGCAGGCGTGTCGGAATGAATAAAGACGAGCCGGTGCTCTTCACTATGGAAAAGATGAGAGCTCTGGCGGAAACGAAGCAGAACCGTACCTCTGACCAGCAGCAGGTCCTTCGTACTGAGATTCTTGTTGCTATTCAAGAGAAGTGGGTCCCGAGCACAATAGTGCTGGATTACTTCCAGAAGATCTACCCCAACTATGCGGACTTCTGGCTCTTCCGTCGTCAATTCTCCCACCAATATGCTGCGATCGCATTTATGACCTACGTGATGCACATGGGCAACCGGTATCCGAACAAGATTTCGATTTCATGTGCTACCGGTGACATTTGGGGCTCGGAGCTCATTCCGACCATCAACCCTGCCAAGGCTTTCTTTTACAACCCGGAGCAAATTCCCTTCCGTCTCACTCCTAATATCCAGACTCTCATGGGACCTATTGCTACCGAAGGTGTGTTTGCTTGCGCATTGATGGCCGTAGCTCGCTGCCTCACTGAGCCTAAGCATGAGCTCGAACAACAGCTGAGCATCTTTGTCCGCGACGAAATGATGTTCTGGGCCACAGCACAGCACCGCGGTGCCTTGCCAACACAGCAGCTGAGGGACCTGGTCTATAACAATAGCGATATCATTGTCAACAGAGCAGTGAGCCTTGCCAGCCCTCCTGAGGGTAACCTTCCGGCGAACCAGACGACAGTCGATCTGATCTCCAAGGCGGTGAACCCACAGCATCTGGCATCTTGTGACGCCCTGTGGATGCCATATCTCTAAATGCATCCAAGCATTCTGCAGTCGATTGGTAAAGTGGCTTATTTATCATTCTTATTTCCTTTTCATGTCTCAGTTTTGCTTTTGAAGGATTCCTGTATGAGTTTGCGCTTTATGGAAACGGCGTCTTCTTTGACCGAGCATGATCGGTTTACAAAAAAGAGCGTACGGGTCTGGCAAGCTGGATGAGCTGTTTTTGCTTACTAGCGCGGCGCATCGGAAGGGGGGCATCTTTATGGTGGACATGATGGGTTTTGATTCTTAATCATGTATTTTGCTTTTTTTCTGTATAATGTTCGAATTCTCTACTGTGTTATCGGTTTCAAAGACCAGTTATGTTCGATTAAGCTTTAGTTCCGGAAGTAATTATTAGATCTTTCGGCTCTGAGCATCTATCTTCACCGAGGTAATTATTAGTTGATCACTGCCCGGTTAATCAGGTAATATGAGTACTCTTAATTTTGTTGTTTCCCCTAGGTGTTGGGAACGCCGTGTCTTGAGCAAGCGAGAACAAACGGGCCCATATATTTAGTGAAACAAATCCTCTATAATAAAACATAGTGTAGATGTATACAGAAAAGCCTAAATACTTAAACCTTCTGAAGTGATAAATCACAATCAACTTTCCGAAAAAGTTCATACAAGAGACGGCTTAACCCCATCTGTTTCCACTAGCCTGTTAGCATACAGATATACCTGACTATGTATTGCAATGCCGTAAAATATATACCCGTGACTACAATCAACTGCTTCTATTGTTAGTTCTCTTTGCGAACAAGTCCCGGTCTCCAGCGCCCAATATCGCTTGTTGGTTCGTGGCGGTATAAGTGGGAATGCTCTCCCGGGAACGCTCAAGCATAACCGGGAGCAGCATACCTGATCTCCCAGCTATATCGTTGAGTGAATACCGGTCCTGAACCGCCTTGTTCAGCAGGATCCGGACATATTCCGACTGCTCGCTTCCTGGCGAGTTTAAGAGGGTGGGCAGACTAATTGAGCGCAGTTCATTAGGTAGACGAGTAAGCGTCTGAGACTGCAGTCGGCCATCGGTTCCCAAGGTCTCCAGAACAACTGCTCCCTCGTGCTCGAGATTGGAGAGTTGTGATATGTACCCAACTCCATCACCGCTGTGAGTCAAAGCCAGTGACCCGACTTGTATCGGGGACTCTCGGCTTACTTCACGGTTGGATAGGTATTGGAGGAGGTTTTCAGTGGTCTTCTGTTGGGTCTGTATCTGCAAATCTGTTTGTGTGCCAGTGGTATCGGTATCTGGGCCTTGTATGGGACCAGAACCGTACCCTTGTCGCTGTTTTTGATCGTGAAAGTTGATACTCCCTGGAACGGCGCAGTCTCCCACCTTGACGATGACAGGGCGGCCTGTGTGGAAGTCTTTGCCGCATACATAATCTGCATCTGGGGTGAAAGTCATCAGGTCGAGAGTCCCCTCATAAACTATGCGGAGTCCGACTACGGGTGGACACGCGAGGAAGCCTCTGTCGTTATAGTTGCTGAAATCCCAAACGTACGTTTGGGGTTTCCGGGGCAGATGTTGTCCCAAGGGGCCAAAAGCGCAGAAGGCAATTAGCGGACTTGTCGGGTGAAACACCACTGCTTTATCTAGAAAATGCATGGAGCAGGCGGAAGGAATGTAAAGCTTCCACGACGCAAAGCATGCGTATCCCTGGTGGGAGCTTCCATGCGTTCTTCCGCGATAGAACTGAATGAGTCCCTCATGAGCGAGATCACCGAGTCAGAGGGGAAGATCCCAGATGCTCGACGAAAAACCACCACTACGGGTTCCTGGTCCCATGTCTTCAACTGAACAGAATCATCAAGGATAGTCCGTCTGTATGGCGGGGTTCGGTTAAATATGTCTAACGTTTCACATTGGATCCTGGGTCGATCAAAGTTCGGTCCGCTCTGTTCAGAGATTTCATCAATATCGATTATCAAGTTGAGAGCAGCAACTCGCCGGAGGTTATTCGAGATCGAAATAGGAAACCTAAATCTGGTCGATTGTGAGATTACTGGTTGTTTGTTGGCGGCCCCCTTGAAGAGTATGTCTAGTGCTGCCGGGTCAACTTCCCACACCAACGAGCACAAGCGTTTCTCGCCGTCAACAGTCCATAAATCATAACGCATTTGCCAATCGACGATATCCTGTGGACCCCCTCTCTGACGAGGACCTTTCAGCAGGGAACTAGTGAAAAGAGCGTTTTTAGTCTCCGTTTCCATATTGCATACTTTCTTAACCGCGGTATACACTCACTCTGGGGGTATCAATCGAACTGTCGCGATCCGCATAGAGTCTCCCGAAACTTGGGTTTGGAGCAAAATGCTCCTAGCGTCTGTGTCCTCTGGATGAGCAACAAAGACGACTCGACTATCTGCTGTCTGCAAGTATTTTGATTCGCTGAATGCTCGAATACTATCTCCCCAAACTTCGTTCGGTTCCTTTTCCAGGATATAGGACCATGAGCTGTTCAATATTTTGACATCCTCGGAGAAGCGGGACGTTTCCTTGATGACTTCAGAAAGCCGAGAATCGTAATTACCAGTTGCATTAAACGTGTTGTCTGGAAGCGGGCAGACTACTGGTGGGTTTCGGAATAACCAAGAAGCCTCCAACCACATTGTGACTCTTGGCTTACTGTAAACGAATTCAAGGAGGAGGCGAATTAGGTGATCATGGCCGTCACGGTAGATATCTAATGCCCGGGTACATTGCGTTATGGCCTCGACGATATGCTGAGACCAATATTGAGCAACATACGGTAGAAGAGGAAACTTCACTCGGGTCAAAGAGGCGTCAGGAATCACGTTACGGTCACCGCTAAGAGGTTCAGCGGGAACCGTATGGACGAGATATGCGAGAGCAGTGAGTCCAATGGTCATATGGATTTCCACTTTGTCGGACTGAAATTTTGTTACTGGCTGGTTAGACATACCAGCTCGCTCTGTTGGGGCGAAAAACTCATAGGCCGACATGTGGATAAATTGAACCATTTTTGTGGTTGTGAGCTCGAGAAGGCCTCCGAAAATTGAGCCAAATGATTTTTCAAAATCAGGTATTATATCACCGATGGTTCGTGGTCTATCGAACGGAACTATGATCGCCTCGAGCAGCTCCTCCACATGTATAGGTCTGCGGGCACCGAGGATCCACCGGAAGCCTTTGATGATATTAATATCCCACTCTGTTGCTGCACCATCACTCAGATTACGCGATATTTCTGCGTATATAGCGTCAAGACCCTCCAACCGGTTCAGATTTTCGATAGCGTCGAGTCTTTGGTTCACGGTAAGCCTCCTCAGCTGAAGGAATTTGATGAGCAGTTTCACCCAGAGGAACATCCCATTGGCTCGAGGAACAATTTTCTCAACATAGACGTCTGAACACGCTGTTGGTAAAAGCGTTTTCGCCATAAGTTCTTCCACTTTGCATTTCACGAAAAGCGTCAAATCGCCTGCGTTGTGTTCTCCGCGGAGGTTCAAGATATCAAACTTCCCCTCCCACGATTCCGGAATCTCGATAGTTGGCCGCGAAAATATAACGAACGATGTGCTTTCAAATCTATGTGTTAAGTCGCAAATCCTATTCAAGAAGTTATTTGGATCGCTACATTCATCAACAGCGTCGATCACAATACTGGAAGGGAAGCGTTTGAAAAGAAGGCAAAGGACGGCAACTACTTTATTGTCCGTAGCCCGTCGCTGGCCAATTACTTTCCGGTCACAGAGAGTAGATGCTATGTCCACTGCTATGGTCTCGTGGCGAAGGCTCTGTAGCAGCTGTACCAGAATAGAGCGAAATGCTAGGCCTGCGGTGTCTTGACCAATCGGCCTGTTGAAAAAGTAGTATGCAACCACGTTGTGTGGCAGTGGTTGTGACGACGCCTGCTGTTTTACAAGATTGTCAATTACAACTGGGCAGATAGTTGTCTTTCCAAATCCCGGTTTTCCTACACCAGTGGAATCAGCTTAAACCAAGAGATATTTCGGCGCTAGCAAAAGTAGATATCACCCTTACCCTGAATACTGAGAATAGGCTTTTCGCTGTGTTTATGGAGCCTCCAATTTTTGTAAAGGGGATCTTCCAATATCCAGTCACATGTACCGGGTTCCCGAAACATAGAAGCCTCTTCATAGAGGTCTTTCCACAGCGGCGCATCGATCCATTGGCCGAGCTCTTGGACACGGGTATCTATGACCAGAGTTAGCCAAATCCCTATATCGTATATGGTAAGGTTTCCCTTTGGGTCACAGTACCTAGCTGTTCAATCTCTTTTTTCTTGTCTTTAAGGGCCTCTTCAGGATCCGCCTTTTGTCTTTCTAGCTTCTCCATCCAGTCATCATATTCCTTGATAAACCGCAGTGCCACTTCCTGCGTTGACCTTGTTGCCTCATACTCAAAAAGTGTCTTGCTTTGCTCAAGACGCTGCTTGAGTCCTTCGAAGTCCAAGTCAAATGGCCTCCACATCAGTCGCCCAATGAAACTTCTCCTGAACCGTAGTCTAGCTATAAAGTCTCAGTTAGAAGTCTTGCTCTCGCATAAATACAGGATTATCCAACGGGTTCGGAACACATTACCATGTTTCTTCGAGGTAAAAAGGCGAATGGCTCGATAACACAACTGAATTATGTCGACGTATATATTTGCCAGAGCCTTCCGAAGGCGAATGGTGACAGTCTTGTCCGGGTCCTTCACGTTCTCCCGGAAAATTTTGTAGTGCTCTTCGTACACCTCCAGCATTATACACATACTCTGAAACATCGAACTGAGCTTCTCCAGATACTCAATGTAGTTCGAACTGATCTAGGCAGGGGTTAACTGATTATTTTAATCCAGTAGGTAACTAAAAAGACAGAACAACAAACCTGAAAAAGTAGCCTCAATGCACCCCATACTAATCCTGCATACTGGGGGTTTGTTTGGACAAAGATGTCAACAACTGCAAAGTATGGTTTCAAATTTTGTCCAAATTCACGAATAGCCTCCATGCATTTCCCCAGTTTGCGCTTTCGATAATGGTTGGACTCCTCATTGACTTGGTTTTTGATTGCAATCGTCATTGCCTCTGCAGATTGGTAAATCTGCAAATCTTTCCATTCGTCATCTGAAAGAGAGCCAACAAACAAAGAAAAGGCGTCCTGGAAGATCTCCAGCATGTGTTTATCTCTGTTTGAATTAGAGAAACATCTCACGAAAGAGCAACGGAACTGTCTTTACATACGGTGGTCTTTTAGTATCGGTATCAGTATCAGTATCCATAGCGGGGTATATGTCCATCCCAAGATCTTTCCCTGCCCTTTTATGGTGGTCACTCCAATCTGTTATCCTGTGAGTTTGACTAGTCACGGCTTGTTTTCAAATATCCAGATACAATTGCAATCCCGTCATACCTGGATATCAGTTGCTCAAAGACAAGAAATTCAAAGATGTCTTCTGCGTGAAGTTATGCGCTCTGACCTTTGGCCACCAAGTAGCCGCCCCAAGTCGGACAAGGCTGAGTCTTCGTTTCAGCCTGCTTCGTTAGTCCCCCTAACACAGCCTCATACAGCATCACACAGCCTTACACAGCCTCATAGTGCTTGATAAAGTCCATACCAAGCAAATTGCAGGGCCGGTAGATAGTGCAGGGCAGCTGGACTCCCGAGAGGCCAAGATAGCTTTGCTCCCCAAAGCCATCCCATGTTAGACCTACAAGAACAGATGGTCATGAATTGGGCTACAGCAAGGCAAGAGTTGCTAGAATTTGCATTAGTGCACCAATAAGGAACATGATCAAGAAACATGGAGCGAACTCACATATCCTGGCCCTAGATCAGGGGCTCCATGGATAACTCTTGATCTGGCACGTCCTTATGCTGAGTGATGACACGGATGGCTGCATTTATCCCTTGGCCTTGCTGAGTACATACATTGTTGATTTCCATCCGGAATTTCTGCTGCCCGTCAAATGTATTTAGATCCTCATATATTGAGCAAGGTGAGTTAAAGTAGACCACAAGAGCTACTTATGACCCACCCAAAACCATGATGGTCGCACTTGCTTATTTAACCACTCTAACTGCCGCAATTTCCCCGCTAGAAAATATTGGTCCTAGTATTATGGCGATATGAATACTCTTAATTTAATTCTATTCCCCCTTGAATATTAAGAATGTCTTAAGCAAGCAAGTCCGAACAACTTCATATCTTTGGTGCTAGAGTGAAAAGTAAATCCTCCATAATAAAACCTAGTGTACATACATATGTATAGGAAAGCCCAAACGCCTGAATCTCATGGAATGATAGATCATAATGAACATTAAAAAGCTCATACGAGAGACGGCTTCTTCTTGATACCAAGACCGGCCGAGAATGGCTGTTTCTTCGGCTTTTTAACGCGCGCAAAGGACGGTGCGGGCATTTCTTTCTTTTCCTCCGTCGCAGGAGTGGTGTCCACCTCATCCTCGACTATCCTCTTCACTTTCTCCCCACTAGCAGTCATGAATGCTCTTCGTGCTGCCTCTTCAATTTCCTGCTCCTCCTTCAACTTTGCCTCGTTGACCTCGTCTCTCACATGCGCCAGCGCAACATCCGAACCTAGCGCCTCTCCGCGCTCAATACGCGCATTCCTCGTGCGGATCTCGTCCAGCGCATCCGCAACAGCCATCTCGCGCTTCGAATCAAGCATCTTCTCCTCCAGCTCCGCCATCTTATCGCGCTCCAGGCGCTCTTGCTCCTCATTCTCCTCCCTCTCTAATCGAGCTAGCGTCTCCTCTTCGGTCTCGTTGTAGTTCTCCGCCTTGGAATCTCGCCAGGGTTCAAAGTTCCGCTTCGCGCCCTTTTCGCATTGGTAGTCCATATTCTTCGGATCTGTCTTGAAAGTGATCTCGCCGCTGCATCGCGTACAGCGGATGTAGAAGCGGTAGATGGGGATAGTGAGATATTTCTCCTCGGTGGTTTCTTTCCGGGCGTTGAATTTGCGGCCTTTGTAGATGTATTCTCCACACTGGTGAGGTAGACAAAGTCAGTTTGTGCTCGAGTAAGAACCTCTTTTCTTGGAGGGAAGAAAGGGATGAAGGAAGCGGAAAAACTCACATGCATGCATTTCATACTGAATGGCGCCATCAATCGTACGGTCATAAGCTATCGCGACAGTCAGTCAGTCTCTGCCTGTTATTCGCATCATGTAAGATTATCGATCGTTTCTTACCTTCGGTCCTGTTCCTCTTAGATGACGCGGCGTGCGCGTGATCGCCGACGGATCGAAGTCCGGGGGATAGTATTTCGTCTGGGTAACGAGATGTTAGCTAGCTGTTCCTCTAGCGATTATGATCAGGTACGGAGCAGTACTTACCAAGACCTTGCGCTCAGACATGGTGGCTGGTTTTCAGGTGTTTTCGACCGGGGGTAGTGAAGGAAGAAAAAAATGTGGGCAATATATTCGATTTATTGAATATCCCGACGGTCTTTAGGATAGGAAGATGTGGGGTGGAATGAGGCTGTTGTATATGGTACTAAATCATCTGGTGGCGGAGTTGATAAGAAGCACGATGGATGAATAGCATCACGTGATGAGATCGATTTGCTTGTCTCCGATTGGTCCACGATGGATAGCTGTTGTTTGATTTACTTCTATCAGCATACTTAATTCTGGAAGTTACATTGAACAAGAAACTATAGGCGATTTACTTATTCCATATAGAAAGGAAAATCAAAGAAACATCCTAGACTTGACGACCTGCGCATATCTATGAAGTGCATACTGCACACACATCTGATAGCTATCTTGTTCATCACAGTTTGATTCCATAGAGATGGCGGCAAGAAATATAAAATCAGGAACTACCATAGACAGTAAAGTACTATCTTGCGGAAAATTGTGTAAGATAGTAAATCATCATCATCCGTATACAAAACAAAACAAGCCGGGGAAGAAGCGGGGGAGGTTCGGCATGCCGAGGAGCGCACGGTCCAGGCTGGGGCTCTATTGTGCTTTGTTACTGGGCAAACGGCGTCAGTGTCGCGCCTGCGAAAAGACGCGACGCTGCGACGACGAAGAAGTCGGGCAACCAGAACACCACAGCGCCAGTTGGAGGGATGAGACTGTGGTCTGGATCATCGCATTACATCTACATCGCCTCATTGTGTCAGCATCCCCCCCTCTTCCGCAGATGCTCCGCGACCTCCCCGTCCCCAGAGTCGAATGAATCGCACCGCCGCTGCCTCAAGTCCTGGTAAACAATCATGGAGAAGTTCTTGCGCTCCTGGCGACAGGACGCTCTCAACCGGGGCCAGCATGAGTCTGCGATCTATATTGGGGATAAGGTGCTTGCGCTAACAAGTAGGGACCTGTTTCTGTGTGCGGTTCTTTTTTTCGGACTCGTCGACTAACTGGACGCAGACAGCGATGCCGATGCTTTTTGGCTTGCTCAAGTGCATTTCTCCAATAACAACTACACCAGAGCCCTAGCATTACTGTCGCGGAAAGACCTCATCACACGAAGTACCTCTTGTCGATATCTCGCTGCGCACTGCTATATCAAACAGAATAAATTCGATCAGGCCCTGTCTATCCTCGGAGACCACAATCCAACCCACTTGATCAGCACCAGCAACAGCCGGCGCAAGTTGCAACATCTGAACGGCAGCCATGTCACGTTACGGAATGGGAAGATGGCTTCGTCACGATCGGATCGCATCGATAGGAGTGAAGAGCGGGAGCGGGAGGATGCGAACAACATACGTTTCGAAGCGGCCATGTGCTATCTCCGGGGCTTGTGCTATGCAAAACAGAATGCGTTCGATCGAGCACGGGACTGCTACAAAGATGCAGTCCGCATCGACGTCCAGTGCTTCGAGGCTTTTGACCAGCTCATGAAGAACTCCCTGATGTCCCCGGCTGAAGAGTTGGACTTCCTGGAATCGTTGGACTTCGATTCCATCGCAGCAGATCCATCTGTGGCGCAGGAAGCGGCCCATTTCACCAAGATGCTCTATACGACGAGGCTCTCAAAATACTCATCTCCTTCGACCCTGTCAGATGCCACCGAAACCCTTTCAACACACTACAATCTCGCGGAGAATCCCGATATTCTCCTGTCTCGTGCAGAGGCTCTCTACACACAATGTCGATTCGTGGAAGCTCTTGAGCTCACCTCATCGATTCTATCGTCATCCGACTCGTCCGTATTAGCTTCGCAAAGCAACCACGGCCAGAACCTGGGACATTCCCCCTCAGTGTACCCCCTCCATCTCGCGTGTCTCTACGAAACCGGGGCGACGAACTCGTTGTTCCTTCTGGCCCATACTCTCGCAGACAATGCGCCGGAGGAATCCTACAGTTATCTAGCTATCGGGACATATTACCTGTCTGTCTCAAAGATTGCAGAAGCACGACGGTTCTTCTCTAAAGCTTCGTTACTGGACCCTCATTCCGCCCCTGCCTGGATCGGTTTCGCCCATACATTCGCCGCCGAAGGGGAACACGACCAAGCAATTGCTGCATATAGCACAGCAGCTCGGCTTTTTCAGGGTAGTCACTTACCCCAGTTGTTCTTGGGAATGCAGCACCTGGCCTTGAATAACATGTCTCTGGCCCATGAATACCTGTGTGCCGCCTACGCGATGTCGTCTGGCTCGCCTTCTGGCACTCTCCCGGTACCTACTGACCCTTCAAAGGGGTTACCGCCACTTGGCGGCGATCCGCTAGTGCTGAATGAGCTGGGTGTTGTCTTGTATCACCAGAATCATCTTGAAGCGGCCGTGGAACTGTTCCGTCAGTCTCTTGCCCTCGCCGCATCCCTACAGTGTGACCCCGGGGCTTGGGTGGCGACACGAGCGAATTTAGGGCACGCCCTACGTCGACTGGGCCATTTCGACGCTTCCCTGTTGGAATTCGATGAGTGCCTCCGTGTCAGCGCTGGTGGTGCTGGGTCTGGATACGGAACTACCATTGGCGGTGGTAGCGGTGTGGTTGCTACATCATCTGGAGTAGGTGGCTATGAGGACCGGGGATTAATTGGATCACTGCATACGTCTAGAGGCCTCGTCCTCCTTGAACTAGGTCGGACCATGGATGCTGTGACCGCGCTTCATGAAGCCGTCCGCGTGTTGGGGGCAAGCGGCGGTGATGCAGCCGGCGGCGCAGGAGTTGCCGGTACGCTGCTTTCCCGTGCGCTGGAAATCTGGGCTCTCGAAGAGCACGAGAAGCCAGAAATGATTGAGAGGTCAACAAGTGGAAAAGGTAAAGGCAAGAGTGCCGTCCGCACTCGTGAAAGAGGTCTCGACAGAGGCCCTGAGACGTCTAGACGCAGACGAATGGAGACTCAATATGCTGGGGAGGAATGGACAGATGACGTGCTTGATGCGGAGGCCAGAGTTCCAGGGAAATCTAATACCCTCGAAGAGAAAGTGGAAATGGAGCTGGATGAAGAAGCGGACGGTCTACTTGATCGAGCACTTACTCGAATACGGCCTCTTCGTGCAACGAGACGACACGACGCTGGCCAAGCACTGGAACTCGAGTCACTGGAGGATCCTCCTGGGAGTCGCAGCCGAGGCAGTCGACGAAGTCCTACACGGCGCGTCCAAACCCGCGGACGCCATGGAGATGTGCGGTGGCAGTGATGTCGTTTGTCCGTCTTATTCTTCCTGGCAATAGTACTCATTGCCCTTCTTTCGTCATTCAGCGTTGAGGAAAATCACTTTCAGCATTTGCTTATCCCGGGTGCATGGTCAGAGGCGTTTGGGTAGCTCTGAAATATTGCCACTCGCTGATCTCTCAAAGGCCTCAGGGGCCCTCATTTACAGGCGTAGAGATCAAATAATTATGATATGAGCGTCCTGATTTTGGACCCAAAATTCATCGTTAATCGCCTATGTCTGCAAGTTCTTCGTCCTTAGTAATGGCCGTAATGGGGTTATGATTGCGTTCTTCGTAATTAGAATTCGATGGATTTCTCTTCGCGGAAGCTCGCCAAGTTGTGAACCGTCCCGAACTCCTTAAAAAGGGCTATGTAGTGGTGCGTGAATGTGACATTCCCTCTATTTCCCATTTGTGGAAAGTTCAACACACACGGCTCGAGGCGTTTCGTTTTTACGCCGCCACCGGATCTGCCGTTGATCGTCAAATGATCCAATTTGGACAGTCGATGAACCACCGGATAAACGCCTGCAGAGTACGGTCGCATATAGCCAAGGTGCCGGCACCATTAACTAGACTAGCGGAGAAAGTCGCGGAGTATAACTTATAAACCGTGGAATCCCAACTACCAGGAATCAAAATCAGTCCTCTTGACGATTGTTCGAACTTCGAAGACGTTCTAAGACCAGATTTCCCCCAAGCCTTCCAGGGGACGCGGAGACCGCTGGCGTGGTTCAGTGGCTGATCATGTCGCTCGCCCCCATGGGATCGGCACGACTCGTCTGCGGGGACTCCAACTTGCCCAGCAATCCAAGCAGTTTCGCGAGATAAAAGGAGGCCGATCACGAAAGCCATCACGCCCGCGTTCCGCTAGACCTTGGCAGGATGAGGGAAGGAGGATTAGGGCCCTATTTTTTCTTCGTCAACAAGGAAAACTGTTCAATAGTACTTTCTGGCTGAATGGTTGAAAGAAGACTCGCAATGGTCGTACGGGGCTCTACAATAATCAGGTACACAATCTGACTAATAACGATCGTCGAAAGTGTCAAAGAAGAAACAAAGAACCGCAGGATGTTGTGGAACACTCACATGGTACCTTGCCCTCTAAGGAGGCTCATCCACCTGTTTATCCGCCGCGCTATCTACGGTCCGTTAAGCGCTCCACAAGGGGGAAGGGACATAGCGAACTAGAGTAGTCCTGGTTCAACCCCCGACGCCGGTGGACGTAGTACGTACTCATGCACGGAGCTCGAGCAGTAGCACAGGCACGTCATTTATATTCTCCATATCTAGGAGGAAAAGGGGATCCCTTCTAACCATATCGAGTCGATATCAAACGGTCTGGCCTGAGTCAGCCTGAGTCAGCCTGAGGGGCTGTGTCCCAGTCTCCGGAATCTATATCTATCTGACAAGAGGCATGCACCTCAGAGCCTTGTGGTAGGTACACAGGCGGTTGTATTGCAACTTCAACATCTCTGTCGTGCAATTTAGAGGCGTTATCGTTCTTGTGCACTCTGTTCCCGAACACTGCATGTGCTGGCTGCTAAATCTTGCTTGTTTTTAGGATGGTCCGCCACGGGACTAGACATGCCATGGGTGTACAAGTGATATTTCGGACTAACAGCGCAACCATCGATGGCTTGCTTGGGGAGAAAATAGAATGGCTCCTTGGCTGAGCGTGCGTCAGTCCTGCCAGGCTGGAAACAAAGAAGTCCTCGTCAATGTTGCAGTGATGTACGAGGTGAATTGCATACAGTAGCAAGGAATAGGATCTATATTGATATAGTCATTGTCCAAGTTGAGATAACGAGGAGGATGTTCCTAGAGAGAGTGTTACGACGCAAGCCTACTATCCCGTGATCATCTCACCGCCTTTGATTGGCCGACGCTGGCAGATCGAGGCTTTGCTCAGGAATATCAGGAATATCAGGAATATCAGGAATATCAGCCGACATTGCACAGCTCATTAGCCATGGTTGTACAGTACTTGTTCTATACATACATACATAATCAATATAATAATATTGACAATGGGCTCTGCAGATCTCGATCTACATACGGCAGTACTCCTCTCCACACTCACAGTACTACTACCCCGGTTGGCATTAGCCAGGAAATTAACAGAGACACAGTATGTCTCACAACCACGAGACGAATCGAGCTACAAGAGATAGCCATTTGAGATCAGCTTACTGCTCTGCAGAAACAAAGGCCAAAGACGCAAGAAACAGGCAGTGTCGCACAGCACCCGAAGATCGTCCGAACGAGCCAGGGTGCAATCTCCCTTAGCCGCTGTCGACGGCGGTTGGACCTCGAGACTCGAGTGAGCCGCACACATGGGAATAATCTGTCTCATCCCAGCCTGGGACTTCGTCATTGACAACGTTTGATTCCCACCAGGCGTTTTCGCTGTCCAGTCCGCTTCACGATCTCTGAGCCCTTCTCCGTTTAAGGTTGCCGCCAGCACCAGGGGCCGTTTTGGACTGTGACGCTTGGACGACGCGGCGTATGTGGCGCCGCCGCTATAGATCCACAAAAGCTTGTCTTTCTTTAGGATCAGGGCAGTTGATCCCCTGGGAGACGGTTTTTTCCTGGCGTTTCCTATCCCCACACGCGTGGCAGTACCCACGGCTATGCCGCGTGGGAGGCACTTCTTAGTTCTTTGTGTTTCCAATGCGTGGCCGGTTTAAAGGGCGCTGGGTCGTCCTCCTGGTGTCCAGAACCACGAAGGCTGTCGGTGATGGATGACGCCCACGATCTCCGTGTCCGTACGGCTTCATGATGCATGCTCTCTCGCGCTCGCTCCCGTCGCGACGGGGCAGCGCCCTCCTTCACCTGCTGGGCTGCTTCGCCTTCGCCTCCGGCCTGCTCATCTTCGTTATGTGGTTTGGTATGAATTCCGACCGCGATCGCATCCCACCGCTCCTGACCCAGTTGATCCCCGCCGGCCATTGTACCTGCACTAGCTCGACCATTTTCCAATGTGATAGCTGTCTGTCCTGCGCGGCCAGTGACCTGTCGGTCAATGGCCCGGCGCCATCGAAACCGCACTGGAAGTTCCAGTATGGCCGGGATGATCAGAATGAGGGGCTGGACCGGGCACAATGTCAGGTCGCGTTCCCTGGCCTCTTCGAGGACGTGTCTCGAGCAACAAACTACTGGAGAGAACGCGGTGGAATTACCGTTGATGACCTGGACGCCATCCCTCTGCAATACGGAATGGCCCGCGCGTTCATTCACAAAGGCGAACTATACGTGGTCGCTGCCCGCGCCAAAGGGGAAGATCATCGACGCAAGATTGTGGCCACACTGAGCTCGATTCATCGCGCGCTGGTCGCGTCGCCAGATCGAGCTTTCCAGCCTGATCTTGAGTTCATCTTCTCCATCGAAGACAGGGTGGACGATGTGGTGGAGGACCCCGATCATCCCATATGGGTCCTCGCGAGGAAGCCGACGGAGCAGGCAGTCTGGCTCATGCCAGATTTTGGCTTCTGGGCATGGGATAATCTCTACAACACCATCGGTCCCTACGACCAGGTTGTCGATCGAATAAAGAAATTAGATATTCCCTGGTCGGAGAAGAAGAAGCAACTCGTCTGGCGCGGCAAGCCGAGTTTTGCTCCGAAATTGCGACGGGCATTGATGGACGCCGCTCGGGGGAAGCCTTGGGACGACGTGAAGCCTATCGATTGGTACAAGAAGACGAATGTCATTAAGATGGAGGACCACTGCCACTACATGTTCATTGCGCATGTCGAAGGTAGGAAAATCTAGCATGACCAGCATTTTTTTTCTCTTGGAAAAATTTCTCACGATGACTTAGGACGATCTTACTCCGCATCTCTGAAATACCGCCAGGCCTGCCGCTCCGTGGTTGTGGCGCATAAGCTTCAGTACATCCAGCATCATCATTACCTACTCGTGTCATCCGGGCCGAACCAGAACTTTGTGGAAGTCGAGCGCAACTTCACCGATCTCGCGGAGAAGATCGACCCCTTGGTCGCGAACCCAGCTCTGGCAGAGAGCATTGCCGACAACAGCGTCAAGACATTCCGCGAACGCTACCTCACTCAGGCCGCGGAGGCGTGCTACTGGCGGGCGTTGTTCGACGGATACGCCAGGGTGTCCAATCAAAACGTCACGCTATGGTCAGAAAAGGACCAGAAAGCAAGGGGACTGCGCTATGAATCGTTCGTGATGCTTGAGAGCCGTCTGATGTATGAGTTCTCGACATCTGTGTCGTCGCAGTGGTACGTATGACGGTTCAGATAACGCCATAGACTGCCTACACACATGGCATGGCATCGCATCTTGGGAGTTGGCGGTTGCAGCGGGATTCCACTCGAGATACCTATTTCCGGTTGTTCTTTCGGGTACATTTATTTGCATATACATTTTATTTGACGCTGTCGTCTCGCATCTAGTGGATGTTGAGCATGGACAACGGTACATTATTTAATACTGATAGATCTAGAGCTATTTGCTTACGATCTAGACGAGAAACGACACAGCGGGTTATGGTCAGAACATCCATACATTGAACATCCATACATTGTTACATATACCTTGGAGGGAATACTCTACATCTTAACGTGTCATATTTAATCAATTCTTCTCGTATAGACCAGAACCGTGACCTTATAATAAAGATAAACATCAACAACAATCCCACCGGCTAAAGAAGCATAATAAAATACATAGCCGCCCCAACCAACACCATCATAGACGTACTCCATCTCACCCTCCCCGATCCCTCCGCCAACAAAGCCGTGAGATCTCCATCCCCATCCTTCCCTCCAGTCCCAGTCCCAGAAGAAGAACCACCCTCCCCCGAACTCGATCCCTCCCCCGATCCCAATGACCCCATACCCGCCCCCGTCCCAGAAAATGAAATACTCACCCCACCCCCTAAAAAAGGCTGCGTCGGCAACGTATCCGTCCCGGCCCGGATCTCTTCCGGTGGAAGCAAAATATTCTCTAAAAACGGACACTCCACCCTCTCCGCCCTCTCGGGAATATCATCCGTCACACTAATCGGTAAGTCGAAAACCGTATAAAACTCCGACCCATTTAATCGGAATGATTGATGGATGGATATATTATATTCTCCTCGTGCGGAGGTTGTTCCTGTTCCTGTTCCCAATGAAGAAGAAGATGTTGTTGTTGACTGCGGGGCGCCATTACCGACTAGACAAGCGGGCCAGAACCAATCGATGTGTTTGACTGTTGAGGAGGGTTCGAGGGATAGAATTGGTCCGATGAATGCTGGGGGGGTGGTTGCGGGAGGAGGAGAGGTGTTGTTGGAAATGGTGAAGTTGTGGATTGTCGTGTAGGAAGTTAGGAAGATGGTTATGTTGTGGAAGACGGTTGGGGATGTGGACGGGTTGGAAAGGGGGATGCGGCCGTCGCCGGATATGTCGATGGCGATTTGGAGGGTGTCTGTTTTGTATATATTATTGTGTTAGTTAACTATTCCAGTTCAGTCTGGTATATAATATAATATAATATAATATAATATAATATACAGAGTATATGCGCATGCGCATGCTATATATATATATATCCTGGGACAAAACTCACCACCACCCAAAGGCGTAAAAGGCTGCGGAGAATCAAGAATCGCCAACCCCGGCGTGAAGATCTGGCCATTTACGATCGTGAAGTCTGAATTTGAAGAGTCCCCATTTTCTGACCGGACAGTCTGGGGAATGCTGCTGAGGAGAAGAATCGTGTAGAGAGGATAATAGCTGAGGGGTGTCATCGTGGTGGGAGGAAGATATCGTCTGAGGATGTTGTTGTTGTTGATGATGATGGTGATGATGGTGATGATAACTGATCCGCTGCCTGCAGCATGATCTCGGGAGGTGTGGTTATTTTTATTTAAAATAGAACAGAAAAGAGAAGCTCGGGTAAAAGATCACAGTCTCAAATAGATGCTATCATCGCGGTAACATAATATAATATAATAAATAACTAGTTCGTTGCCGGTGGAAGATGAAGACAAAAAGAACATGCTACATTAAATCATGTCTCGACGTCTTCTCTAACTATATCTTAGCTTTTTCTCTTCTGCATAATGCAGACCCTGATATTATAACGCGGAGACAGATAGTGCCGTGCTACTACTATGCAAAGCAATGCCTTGCAGGTAGATGAAACCGGGACTGTCAGGGACCCAATACTCTAAACTCTAGAGACTATCCTGATCGACAATCTTGTTCGAGAACACAAAGGGAAAATATTATTGCTGGGGTAATGGCTGGTAGTGGTTTATTTTTTATTTTTTATTCTTCCTCTCAGAGGCTACCGCCGAAGCTGGCTCGAATTAAACTATGATAACAATGATGATGACAATGATGGTGATGACGACGATGATGATAAAACGACAGTATGGATCAGCAAGCGCAGCAACGCCTCAGCTAAAGGACATGCGAACAAGGTTCGATCGAAAAACAGGCCATCCATGCTTATACGAATAACCTCTAAAAGAATGTCTCACTGGGAGACTTAGTATACAATGACATAACCTCAGAAAGCAAAAGAAATAAACTGCCCATTGAGCCTGAAACTCCAGAGTCCAGCCCCGCTAAATCTTTTTTGAACAACCGAACACTGCGCCTCTAAACTACCATGACACCCGAAGCATTTCATACAGACATTGATCGCAGGCGTGTTCTTGCAGCTGTAACAACCAGCTGCTCAACCCCAAAGTGGAGGATGGATATATTCCGACGCCCTATCGAGGATGTTCGGAATCGTCCATTCTCCGCTCGTCGAGCTTTCCGGGGTCGGCGGCGGCAGAGATCCCACACTGGGCGTCATTGTCGACGCCGATCCAGTTTGCTGGTAGCCGGCTATGCCTGCAGCAGCCGGGTTAGCGTTTGGCGGTCCAAGGAAGCCGTTTCCAGCACCGCCAGTCGGAGATCCCAGGTTGTTAAACGCCGCGTTGAGCTTCTGGAGCGCCCGCAGTGACTTGGTGAGCGGCTTGGCCCACTGTGTCTGGGTGTCAGCAGCCACGGACGCGGGAACCGCCGTGGTGGCTGATGCTGATGCTGATACTGATGTTGAGTCAAGGTTTGATATCGGAGTGTTCGTCACTCCGGGGATTGTATTAAAGTGACTGTTCTGCTGTGCTGTTGTTGCCATGGTCTGGGGCGGAGATGTTACGCTCGTACGACCTGTCGGTGTTTCGTTTGGATCGTAGACGCCCTCCGCAATCGCCCGATCGGCAATGATGACCTCAAGCTGGCGAAGAAGAGTCCATACGTGGGAATCGGATTTCGATTCTTCAATCACGGCGAGAAGAAACGCACAGCTGATGGCTCGTTGGAGACTGATCCAGGAGCGTGCGGCATGGGAGTTGACAGAATGCAACTCGATATACGACTGCACGGTCATCATCAGACTGTCAACACAGTCTCTCCGCATCGTGGCGGTAGCAGGATCTTTGGTGTCGGCTGTGGGCTTCACTGCTGGCCGGCAGAGTTCCGATGTGATGTAGGAGACGTGCAGCTTCAACTGTAGGCACTCCAGGTGATCTTTCGAGGTGAGACAATATTTGCGGTCACGAAGATGAGGGGTGGCGTCGGTCAAGATCTGCTGGATGCGTTCCTTGTATGCCTGGATCGTTTTGAAGTTCATATGAAAGTGGGGAGCCAACATCCGGCCCTTGACGACCTCTAGAGTCAGCGAAATAATTCGACATAGCGTCTCAAAGTACGATCGATCGCCTGGCTTGGAGTTAGGTCGATAAGCGATATCCGGCTGGCCCACGGCCGTTGTCGAAGGTCTATCGTATGATAGCGAAAAGTGGCTGTCTTGCCAAGCCATCGACCACCTGGATGGCATTAGTTTCATTGGCAACAATTCGAGTCAAGAGATTGCTGAGATTTCGATCTTGTTCTTACCAGACATGTCTCCTGACGTATCTTTCTCTTGGCGAGAAGCGATTAGACTCCACGTGGAGACCGAGCGATAAGCCCATGCGGAGCGTCATACCTGATTACCAAACAGTCAGATAAACTCTAAAGGGAATCGAGAGAAGAATGGAATGCCCATACCGAGCAGGACATAGGAGACACCGGGATTCATATTGTAGGACAATACATTCCCGATGATAAGAAGCGTTTGGATGGCCTCGATCGTAGGTTGCGATAAGAAATTGGTCATGCGCAAGCATTGGTAAGAGCAGCATACTGCGGAGAGTTGTTAGGATGATGGAACATTGTTGCATACCATAGCAGGACAACTCACCGTAGACTTGGGAAGTCAACTCCCGCTCTTTACTGGGCAAGTCGGACGATTGACAGCCAGACGCCAGAACGGCGAAGAGCAGCCCAATATAGGCCAAGCTCACGCCAAACGGCCGCTGGGACTGGTTATCATTAGACTTGTATACTCCCCCGGCTGCTGACCGATTATGCAGTAACATATTCAGCTTCTCCTCGAATTCAACGACGTCGGCCAGTACTGGATAGATCGTTCCTCCGATGTCTCTGTAGAAGTAAAGGAACCTGCGAAATCGGACGAGTCCGAACGTTAGCAATGACCACATTTTCCCCTAACACCCCAGAGAAGGTGACCGGGAGACAAACTCTTTGCACTGCTGATCGCTTGGAAGCGCCCCGCAGAGCGCATTCACGTCAAAGAACGACGTATCCGACGACCACAGGTCCACGAAGGGATACGTCGCGGATTCATTGTCGAGACCGAGTTTCGGGAGTATACCACCCTCGAGGAGCGCTTGCGCCTGGGATGAGCCGGACCGGTTGAGAATGTACGCCAGAACCGATCGCGATCCCAGATGTACCGTACCCTCACCCAGCGTGTTTGCGGCGTGAATACCTTCGCCATCCGGGGAGACCACCTCGGACCGGGTCCCCGTCTCTCCATTGCGCGCACTGCTCGTGGCGGTGGGCACACGGCCTCCATCATCGATCTGCTCGAGCCCCGTCCGGAGACTGGAGATGGTCTGCTCCATCTCCTTCAGCTTGGAACACACATTCTCCCACTCTTCGCGCGGTATCGAGACCCGTCCCGGCACCCCAATACCTCCGCCGGCGCCAGCCGTGGCCGTCTCGATGCTGGGATGCACAGGAGCCGTCCCATTCAGTCCCCCAACCACTCCGCTCGCGCCTGCGCCTGGTGCAGCGGGAGTGCCCCCTTCCAGGAACGTCTGGGATACCGTAGCCGCAACCTGTCGCTTCTTCGAGGGCCGCTCGTACGAGCAGAGGTCGGCGTGGTCGCGCTTGACGCAGCCGTCGCAGGGCAGGTTGCGATCGCATTTCACCTTGCGCGTATGGCAGGGGTAGCAGGCCTTGGGCTCACGAGCCTTCCTCTTGGTCCGGATGATGGCGTCGACTTGGGATTGCGGTAGTTCGGATATCGGGGTGGCGGATGTCGTCGCGGGCACGTTGGAGCCGGCCGTCGACGGCTGATACGAGGTGGATGACATGGGATTCGACATTCACACACCAGGCTCAGCGTCAACCTGTCAAGCTCGTGGCACAGCCGGAGAGAAGGAAGCACGAAACACGGACACCGGGGAATTTCGAGACGCGGGACCGAGGACCCGGGGTGAGGAGAGAGAGTCGACAATGGGGGGGAGGGCGATTGCAGAGGCGGAGGGAGACGGAGGACATGCTTCTGCCAGGCAGAGTCTTATATCGACATCGTCCTGATTTCTCTCTTTTTTTTTCGATGTTTTTCTCGATCTGTTCCAGGCGATGGGGGATGGGGTTGAGGTCAACAGGCGCAGAAGAAAAAGGTCGCTATCCCAAGGGGGGCGTTAGTGAGTCGAGCGCGCAACTAAAATCATCCTAAACTCCAACTTTCTCCAACGGGAGGATCGGGGTTCCACTCGGCCCGCGGACCGCTGAGAGGCCGCGTGTCATGTGACCGCGGGGACGTGACAGCCCTAAGCCCTAGCCGCGGCTGCATTGGGACACGAGGACCGTCACGGGATACCACATTAATCAGCAGGTTATGTCATCAGTCAATAATTCGTTAGTTATTAGTTAATTCGTTAATTTATTCATTTGTTAATTAATTAATAATTAGTCTGAAATTGAATCCACTATTATTACATCGATCATTCAAGGCTGAACGCGGGGAGTAGAGTAATAATAACTTTAGAGCCTTAGACTCAATCCATCGCGACTCCGCAAGCAACTAATATTATAATTACAGTAATAATACCCGGAGAAAACTGGCCCAATTGACTGATTATGTAATATTGATGTATGAGGTATTTTATCTATGCAGAAGATAACTCTGCCCAGCCAGAGGCGAGCCTCGGGGTAGTGTATCAATTATCATACATGAACAAAATAAACCAACAAAGAATTTTCCAAACGCCTTGCCTGTAAATGCTCCGCATCAAGACCCGACAAGATACGCCCGACTCCACTATCGATAGCCCGTGATGCAACACATTAGGGTTCCAGGAGTCTGGTTCGTCAAAAAAAGAAAAAATAAACAAAAAGAAGATGGATGGAAATGAAATAAGGGTGGAAATAGTGAGGGCGGTGGGGATGAGAGGAAACGGGAAGGGTCAGATCAGATCACATCGGATCAGAGAAATCGGATATCAAGGAATAAAGGGGGAAAAAAGAGATAACAAGATCTATAACCGCGAACGGATCGCGCAATGAGAATATGTAAATAGTGCGCCCACTCTATGAAACGGGGCCCTTCGAGCATAAGAAACGCATTTTCGACGGCGTTTCTTTTCTTTGCGTTGGTTTGTTTCGATTTTTTTTTAATGGCCGTTGCTGTCCTGGCTGCCCTTCTCGATGTCGAGGGCCTTTGCGGTGGCGGCCTCGTCATCCCCCTCAGAGTAGGCAAAGTGGGAATGACGACGGATGGCCGCGCCCTTGAACCAGAAGACGTAGGGGATCGCGCAGCAAGCAAGACCCAGGAAAGCCAGCAGTGTACCGGCCCACTCGTAGCCAAGGCGGTGGTACATCTGCTCGGTGAAAAGCACCACACCGGCACCCCAGAGGGATCGCAGGAAGGTCTTGGCTGCCAGAGCAGATGCTGCTTGATGTTGGTAGGTGTCGACTGCGGGAAGAGTCAGCTTCTGCGGGGTAACATCCGACTTCAGCGAACAGGTGTACTTACCAAGATAGTTGTTGGCGGAGTTGTACAGGAAGATGAAGCCAAATCCGATGGGCCAGCCACCGATGGCGGGTCCGATCCAGTGCACATCGGGGTATGAGGTCCAGGCGAAGATAAACAGACCAATGGGGATAAACCAGCAGGAGACCATCATGGGGATCAAGCGGTACTCCGCAGGAGGCTTTCCGTTGAACTTGGCGGAGACCTTCAGGTAGTGTTTGTTGACAAATGGCGCGCAAAAGGCACTCATGATCACTCCAAGGGCGAGAGGGATGAACATGAGACCGGTGATACCCTCACTGTATCCCTTACCCTCTACATAGACGATGGGGAAGCTGTTACCAGTCATTAGCTGTGCGACCCTTTTAGGACACCGGATGAAGATAGGGGGTCACTTACGCAACGAAGAACATGTAGAGCAGACCGTAGAGGACAGACATGTAGACGGAGATGAACAGCACAATGGGTTCCATGAAAAGGAGCTGGAACGGACGCAGCAAGAAGATCTTGATCTTCTCTCCGAGTGGTCGCGAGTCGAGTTCCTGCTCGGTCACGTACTTGGGATCATTTTCTTGCTTTCTCAGCTTCTTGGCTCGCGCCTTGAGCAGGGTTGGGGCATATGTTTCTGGCACTGTGAATGTGATCAAAATCCAGGCAACTCCAGCAAGGATCATCTGGAGCCAGTACAGCCAGCGCCAGCCCGCGCTATCGAAGAGGAAACCACCAGCCAGGGGTCCAATGGCGGGACCGACGAAAGGTGCTGCACTAAAGGCGGCCATGGGCACACCACGCTCCTCGTTCTTCCACATATCAGCCAGAGTTCCTCCGACCAGAGTCATGGGCGCACTGAAGGCAATGCCATCGATTGCTCGACACACGATCAGTGTACCAATGTTGGGGGCCACTGCGCAGGGGATCTCGAAGATCACGGCGACCAGAAGAGTGCCTGCATAGACCCAGCGACGCCCAATCACTTCTGAAAGCGGGGCGAAAACCATTGGTCCTGAGCAAGTGTGGTCGTTAGTCAATTCCATCGGCGTGAAGCTTCTTGAGGAGAGGTAAATAAATACATACCAACACCAAAGCCCACGACGAAGACGGTGATGGTAAGCAACGCAACCTCCTCCGAGACATGGAACGTCCTCTCGGGGCCTTCGAGACCTGCTGTGATAACACCACTGGCGAAAGCAACCACGAAACAAGTCCACGCGACACACATTGTGCACCACCACTTCTTGGCCTTGGACCAGTTCTTGGGATTCTCGGGATCGTCGATCTTGAAAGTAACTAGTTTCCAATCTTCCATCTGGCCCGTGACATTCGACTTGACGGGCTTGATGATGTTGCCCGTCCGGGTCTCCGAGGTGAACTCGTCCAGGTTGGCATTGTCGTTCAGCTCGCGGAGGGGTAGGTCTAGTGGATCAGTCTGTCCAGGCAGGGAACCCCAGGTCCTGGTCCGTGATGCTGGCTGTGCAGCCGTCTCATCCTCCGGCGGGTGAGGAGAAGCCATCTTGGAAGGTTGTCTTGTCAGTCCTGGTTGATGAATCGACTGCGGGATGGCAGAGTGGGTAACCGATCTGGGGGGTGGGCGGTCGTAATAATAGTCCTTCTCATTCCGAGCAGATGAAGGGGGTCCATGAGGTCTTTATATTCCCAGAGCATCTTCTTTTAGAGTTGATCCGCCAGCGATTGCAGGCTAAGCGGCATCAGGTCACAGAGCGTACCGTATTTCCTGTGGGGACGGCGACAAGGACCAATCGCTACCAGATGAAAGTGGTATTCCTGTGGTATTCCGCTGGTATTCCTGAGATGTACCGTATCGAGTGGTCCAAAGTCTGGCTGACGTCGCTGCGATATCAACGTTTGCGGACGATCACTGGCTCGGACCCGGTGGTGCTTCGGATATGCTTCGGTTGCCGCATCGAGATTCGCCGGCTACGGGTGCCGACTTACCAGATCGGGTAATATGCTGCGCGCCTAGCCATCGAAGAACAAAGAACATGTACCTCGCAGAGCGCCTAAACTCATGACAATAATAATAATAATAATAAAAAATATGAGGACTAGCTAGAGCTAGTCATATTTCACATGCTCCAGCTTCTTCTCATCAGACAGAGTGGATCCAGGACTGTACTCTAGCTCAATTGATTTATTATTATGGTATTTATTTATGACTCCTCCGTCGAGGAGACTTCATCCTGGTCCTCATTGTTTACAGGACGCAACTGACCGCCTGGATTCGATACAATGTGTGAATAGAAATGGATCAAAAGAGCTGTCGATGATGTCTGTAGTATTCTTATTTGTATGATTCATATTGTTAATATTATTGTTACAATGATGATTATAATTATCATCTCTTTATTGTACTGTACCATCTGGGGGAGAGTATTCGTGAGATAGTCCGGCGGACGGGAGCCCAGTAAACTAGGGGGTGACAATAATAATAATAAGAAAAACGTTCAACGCTCCCGAATTCAAAAGATCATATCACCCCCTGATATGCTCAAGAAGTAAACATGACCAGTTCAGGAGTCTCCACCAGCAACGAAGGGTCCACTGTCTTCCCGTCAGGCAGAACTCCAGACGGCCCCCTTGTGGATTTGCATTCACGGGTTCTGCCGCAGAGTGGAATCGTGATCGTACCATACTACGGTACATAGTCGACTACTGGCTGATCGCCCGGAGTTGCCATGATTTGAAAGGAAAGGAACGAAAAGGAAAGGCAAGGAAGGGAAAGGCCCATGATAGACTTAACTAGTAGTCACTACTCACTCACTCACTACATCCCGTAAGTTAACCATAAATGCGACTCACCGCGCCAAAATTCTCCTGTTCCCTAGAAACCTGGAATCTCAGGCCCGCCGAGACCGCGCACGGCCGCCGGCCCAAGCGTCTGTTTCCAGCAGTCATGATGCTTTTCTGCCCTGCGGCCCCGCACGCCGAACCACTGCGGATAGTCGCTAAGTTATCGCGGCCTACTCACACTTACATCACGACTTTCAACAACAAGTTTCTTCTGCTCGCTAAAAGAGCAGATCGAGATCGCTTATCGAGACGCACACGGCATACAATTGGCACTCACGAAGCGGTGCGTTTGTGAGTGATACGATTGCATCATGCGAGGGGGACCTGTCACGGAGAGAATATCTATGGGAGAGTAATGATCGTCTGCTTCCTAATCCAGATCCCAGTCTCAGTGAGGGTAATGTAATCATAAATCATGCCAGATGCTTAGACGAGCTGACAGGTCAAGCGCCTCAGTCCCCATTACCATATTATTGTCGTGTGAGCACTGAGCAGGAACCTACATTATGTATTATCGTTCTTTACCATGGTCCACAACTTCCTCGTTTCCCCGAGCAGGCAGTTTAACATGACCCCCCACCCCTTTTTTCCTGTATGGTATGGCCAATGAGACCGAATGCGGACGTGAATCCCGCCGTACACCGTGCTTCTCTCGAGTCTCTATTATTGTGCATTGTCTTCCTGTCATATGATCAGAACCAGAACTTTCATCGTTCAGTGCGATATTGTCCGGGTTGGTCTCTCAAAAGGACTTGACTCAGCTGGATTATCATTAACTACCTAACTTATCTACTGCGGCAGAGTTGCCTGCTTATGAATAATAGTTTGTTTCCCACGTCTGAGGTTGTCACGTGAGGTTCAAGTCGCATTACACTTCCAGGAAGGGTCGACCAATAAATCTGATCCATACTGGTCATTTACTCTAGTCAACACCCTCCAACGATCCTCTGGAGTCAGCGCTTAGATATGAACTAGAGCACAGGATGCAGTCCTTGCAGATGATTGGAATTACACCTCGCGCCAACTGATAGATATGATGGACGAGTCGGCTCAGACCCGATATCAGACGGAGTCGATGCATTGCAGTTTCGACCATGCATGTGACGACGGTCGTGACAGCTTCTGGCCGTTCATATTTCCCAAACATACTAAGATAGCGGAAGAGCAGCTTTGCAGATATGCAGGACCCCCCACCATCCTCACCACCACGACGAGATGTAACTTACCCGATCTGGAGATGCAAAAGTAATGCCCAATCCTCGGCCAGATATGCCTAAAACCGTAGGGTTTAGACTGTTCTCCCAGCCAGTGGGTCTGGCACCACCCGCGCGGCGCATCAACCCACCGGGACCTGTCACCCAAAGTGGGCTTTAGATCGCCAACTTCTGATGGTTCTGAACTTCTGATGGTCGTTAACTTATTTTAGTATCCGCGCGCAGTGGCTCAGCACTTCCAACCGGTGGTCACCGGGGGTCCAGGCCTCTTCGCAGCCAGGAATCCTCCGTCTTGGCAATCGATGTCGAGCAATTCTCTCGCTAGGGCCTTGAGAAAATTCCCGCGCTTTAACCTCCGGCGGACCACTGAGGTTACCAGTCTCACCTCAGCGGACAAGCCCCCGGGCTTTGTAGGCAAAGTGCCAAGGCCCTGGTTGTTTCGTCGGGCACCATTGGGACTGTCGTATAGATGAGTTAGGTACGTATGCTATAAGAATAATAATGTCCAGACTCGCGGGGTTATTCCCGATCTAGCAAGATGCTTTGCGTGAGGTCTCTGTGTGAAAAGTTGAGCCAGCCGCAAGGAACCAGGGGAGTACCAAGATCCTCCAACAGCAAAGGCGAAGTACCTGGAAGGACCCTTTCATCTCCAGATCCTTCCACCCTTCTGGTCCATAGTCGTGGCAAGGCCATGTCTCAAACCACCGGACAAGAAAAAAAACGTGGCCGTCTAGAGACTAACTCCGCCACTTGACTCCTCCAATAACATTGATGGTTGAATTATGGAATGTTTAGCTCTACGAAGTGGTCCGCCGCACTGATCACGAGGATCAGGAGAAGAAGAAAAAAAAAAAAAAACAAAAAAAATTCTTCCAGTACCATAAGCTGCTAATAATACATCGGCGGTTGATCATAACTTCTGCATATGTGGGTGACTAAGAATGTTGTTATTCGTCCCGTTGATCTGGGATGCTATTTTTCTAGTCAGTAAACTAGCGCCGTTCCCCGGAGCATATTACCATATCGGGTGTATAAGATGATTAAGATCTAATTTACCCTTCCACTCCTCCTCCAGTCCCGTACAATAATGGCATCCGTGCTTTCAGGGGTAACCGAGGATATTATTAATGTCGTATTATTATTACCGAGGGGTAACCGCTTATTGTCCTCGGTGTGTTTGACAATAATCATTCATACCCGGCTTCCTGCCTCCGTTGATCGGCCAGAGGATTGAATCTTATGAGAGCCAGCTGAGTAATAATACATACATACTGCAAGGGCGACCTTATGGTAGATAGAGGGTACGTTGCTAAGCTCCTTGGTACATACAATCGCATTTCCCATCGCAAGATACACAATCCATAGACTAAGGGGGTCACAAGCTGCCATCGTCAGAAAAAAAAAAAAAAGATCAACCAAGCTTTCACCAAGCTTTTCGTCAAGCTCGTCAAGCTTTGGAACGAGCTTTGAAACATTCCGTTGCGTCTATTGAAATGTCCTTGGCAGATCACTTTGGATGTCCTTGCATGGTTTTGAAGCTTGGAATGTTTCCCGCCATGGTTTTTTTTTCGATGATCACTATCAATAGTTCCATCCATCATGGAGACCCTTGATAAGTAAATGGCGCTCGTGACTTGGGGGCCCGCCCCCTGAGCACGGAATGTGGATCTGTGTCGAGTACGGAGAACATACATATTAACATATTATTATGGCCCGAATCGTACGGGATAGTCTTAAGGATGATGGGAATCCAACTGTCTACAGAGTGTAATTCCTGGCGAAAACATTAATAACATTGCTACTCATTTTGCTAGGTTCGAAAATGACACATTGACCAGCTAATATCTTCATGAACATAGATAAGCGGGGCATTGGATAACTATAAACATGAGAAAAAAAAAGTCTCGAACTTCTTTCTAGTCTGCTCAGAAAACCTGTCTAATTCGCCTGTGTTCTTCTACGCGCGATTTATTATTCACGATCAACCACCCGATCATTCTTCGTGACGAGCGACACATCACAGTGTACATTTCTGGGATCAACCACTGTATTATTCACTTCCTTGGAAGGAAAATCTAGTACTCTAGAGTAGCCTACCGCTCCAACGGATATACCATACCTACCTCGTCCCTTTTACTTACTTACTCGTCCAAACGACAAAAGAGCCACGCATGAAGATCACGATCCGGACCAGTAACAATAGTATTCACGTCTTCCTAAACCTCATACACTCGGACCATCTGCTCGCACTTGGACGTCTGCCCAAGCTTTACGTCTGATCCTGATAGAGGGTGGGGGTATATGCAATGGCAATCACGCTTAGACCAGATGAGGTTCCCCCATCACTTAGTCACCCAATAGTCAGCCGGTAGTTAGTTGGACGGATGATCAGCACCGGAGCGAGACCCTGAGGGCGTTCGTCCAATACTGATGTGGTTAACAACGTCGCGGAAAGTGGTCGATGGATCCGGTAGGTATTGTTACTGGTGAGACATACATGGCACGTCTAATTTTTGGACTTGTTCTAGGTAGTCTAGAGTATTCATCCTAACTGTGAGGCGCTGTGGCTTCCGCTGTGGTGTCTTGTAAGCTAAATGAAGTTGATAGTGGAGCGTTTTCCCTCCACAGCTGCCGCTGATAGTTAGCCATAGAAAATAGTATATATGGATATACAAGCTTACTATAAGAAAAAAGGTCCTTTACTGATTATGACTTCAACTGTAGAATCGAAAATCCCCAGGTGATTCTGCGTATATCACGTGACCGATAAGGCTCCGCGGGCAGCCGATAAGCCAAGAACGGCTTAGCGCGGGGCCGGTCGCCCACCAGAAGGCGAAGTCGGCGTGACTTCACGATAATTTTCGATGGCGACGGTGAAGCATCCAACGTCCAGGGACTTCCTCTCGAATCTCGTTCCCTATCTCTTTCCAGGCATTCGTGCCTTCACTGCAGTTTCCGGGACTGCAGAGGCATCTGTGAGGCCGTTCTTCACAGAACGTTGGTCAGTCTCGCCCTCGTCAACGAAATAATATTTTTTCGTTTCTTTTCTTTTTACTGGTCGACTCATTTTCTTTTGCCTTAAGGCTGTTCATCATTGAAAAATGACTTCCTCCGACCAGGCCAGTTATCTGGCTATCCCGGGCTCCGTTGCCTTTTCCCGATCTCGTGGCCGTGCTATCGCAGCTAGCATTGGAGCCCTCGACGTCCGCGCGCAATGGATTCACTATGTCCACACCGCACAGCCGCTGCAGGAGAGAGAACGCGATGTGCTGGAGCAGCTCCTCCGTTATGGAGATATCGCCGACGTCCCTCCTACCTTCGATGAAGCGAAAGATGGCGCCTTCACCGTATACTACGTTTCGCCTCGCGTTGGAACGATATCGCCATGGAGCTCTCAGGCTACTGGTATTGCTCACGTCTGCGGTCTGAAGCAGTCCATCAAGCGAATTGAGCGGGGGATGAAGATCTCCTGCCTCTTTTCCGAGTCTGAGCAGCCAAAGCCCAATTACCTCGATGTGCTTCACGATCGGATGACTCAGATCATCGGCACCGAGGAGCCAGACCTCCACAAGATGTTCTCTGAACTACCTCCTCAGCAGCTGGAGACAATTCCGCTCCACGCTGGTGATAAGCCTCCAAAGGAGATACTGCAAGAGGCAAACAAGCGCCTGGGTCTTGCACTTGATGAGTCTGAAATTGACTATCTCGTCGAGGCCTACGGTCCCAATGGCCCGCTGGCTCGAGACCCTACCGACGTTGAGCTGTTCATGTTTGCTCAGGTCAACTCCGAGCACTGTAGACACAAGCAGTTCAACGCGTCTTGGGTCATTGATGGAAAGCAGATGCCTAACAGTTTGTTTTCGATGATCAGAAACACCCACAGGAAGCACCCCCAAGCTACGGTCAGTGCGTACAGTGACAATGCGGCCGTGCTTCAGGGTGAGCCCGCCGTTTTCTGGGCCCCCAACCAGACCACCGGTGAATGGACTTCCTCGAAGGAAATCGTTCATTTCCTGGCCAAGGTCGAGACGCATAACCACCCTACGGCCGTGTCGCCATACCCCGGTGCCGCGACCGGTTCCGGTGGTGAGATTCGTGACGAAGGAGCCGTCGGGCGCGGATCCAAGCCCAAGGCCGGTTTGGCTGGATACTGTGTCTCTGATCTCCTGATCCCCGATCTGAGACAACCCTGGGAGCTTGATGTTGGCAAACCGAACCACATTGCCAGCAGTCTGGATATCATGCTCGAGGCCCCTATTGGAAGTGCTGCTTTCAACAACGAATTCGGAAGGCCTTGTACAGTCGGTTACTTCCGTACCCTCCTTACCCAGATCGATATTGGAAACGGCCAGACTGAGCTCAGAGGCTACCATAAGCCCATCATGCTTGCTGGTGGCGTTGGAACCGTCCGCCCACAGCATGCCCTCAAGGACCCTGGTGCCGTCAAGACTGGTGCATACCTTGTCGTCTTGGGTGGACCGGCCATGTTGATCGGTCTGGGTGGAGGTGCAGCCTCCAGTATTGCTTCTGGAGAAGGATCTGCAGATCTGGACTTCGCCAGTGTGCAGAGAGGAAACGCTGAGGTCCAGCGCAGAGCACAGGAAGTTATCAATGCCTGTACCGCCATGGGGGAGAACAACCCCATCAAGTTTATCCACGACGTTGGTGCCGGTGGACTGTCCAACGCGCTCCCTGAGCTTATTGAAGATGCCGGCCTGGGCGCTACATTCGAACTGCGCGAGATCGACAACGCTGACAAGAGCATGAGCCCTATGCAAATCTGGTGCTGCGAAGCCCAGGAAAGATACGTCATGGCCGTCGGAGAAGAGGGAATGAACAAGTTCACTGCCATTGCCCAGCGCGAGCGTTGTGGCTTCTCTGTCGTCGGTCGTGCAGGCGGTGCCACTGAGGAGGAAAAGCGACTCATCCTCCTTGACAGAGAGTCCAAGGAATATCCTAAGCCCATTGATCTTCCTCTTTCTGTCCTCTTCGGCAAGCCCCCGAAACTGACCAGGACTGTCGACTCTCGGAAATTGAAGCTCCCTGCTGTCGATGCTAGCCTGACGACATACCTGCCTCAGATCACCGCTCCTGTGGAACTGGTTGCTGAGGCAGCTAAGAGAGTACTGTCTCTCCCTGCTGTTGGTTCCAAGTCTTTCTTGATCACTATCGGTGACAGAACCGTTGGCGGTCTAACTGCCCGCGATCAGATGGTGGGACCTTGGCAAACGCCTGTTTCTAATGTGTCTGTCACCGCTACGGCCTTGATGCAGGGTGTGAAGACTGGAGAAGCCATGGCCATGGGTGAGAAGCCGACTCTTGCTCTCATCTCGCCGGCTGCTTCTGCCCGTATGGCTGTTGCCGAGGCCCTCATGAACATCGCTTCTGCAGACCTCATTGACCGTCTTAGCCGGGTCAAGCTCTCCGCAAACTGGATGTCTGCCAGCAGCCATCCTGGCGAAGGTGCTGCCATCTACGAGGCAGTGGAAGCTATCGGATTGGATCTGTGTCCGAAGTTGGGCATCAGTATCCCTGTTGGAAAGGATTCCATGTCTATGAAGATGAAGTGGACTGACGAGAAGACCAAGGAGTCGAAGGAGGTGACTGCTCCTATGTCCCTTGTCATTTCCTCGTTTGCTCCCGTCGGCGATATCCGAAAGACCTGGACACCTACTCTCCGACGTGTCGAAGACGTGGGTGAATCGGTCCTCATGTTCGTTGACCTCTCATTTGGCCGCAAGACTCTGGGTGGTTCCGCACTGGCCCAGGTGTTCAACCAGGTCGGTGACCAGTGCCCGGATGTTCACGATGTCGAAATCCTCAAGGACTTCTTCGATGCTACGCAGCAGCTGCAGGAACTTGGCATCGTCCTCGCCTATCACGACCGATCCGACGGTGGTCTCTTCACTACGCTGGCTGAGATGATGTTCGCGGGACGGTGCGGTGTTGAGATTATGTTGGACAGTATCTGCCCAAGCTCTGACACCCGTCACGTCGTTGAAACCCTCTTCAACGAGGAACTTGGTGCAGTCTTCCAGGTCCGCAAGGGCCATGAGACGCAGTTCCGCTCGTGCTTCGCTACATGCGGTCCGCCCCCAGGTCTGATTACGAAGATTGGTCGTGTCTCTGAGAAGTCCAAACAGAACCTTGCTATCTACCAGGGACAGACGCTGGTGTACCGCAATTCCCGTGCCAACCTCCAGCAGACCTGGGCTCACACTTCCTACCACATGCAAAAGATTCGTGACAACGCAGCCTGCGCTGACCAGGAATACGCCAACATCCTCGAGGACAGGAACGCCGGACTCTCGTGGAACCTCACTTTCGACCCTAAGGACAAGGGCCTGCCCTTCCTCACCAGCCTTAGCAGCATGTCTCCGTTCAGCAACAAGCCGCGCGTTGCCATTCTCCGTGAACAGGGTGTCAACAGCCAGGCTGAGATGGCATTTGGCTTCAACCTCGCAGGTTTCTCTGCCGTTGACGTGCACATGACTGACATCATCTCTGGCCGCGTTTCCCTTGCCAGCTTCGTGGGTCTCGCTGCCTGCGGTGGATTCTCCTATGGGGACGTCCTGGGAGCTGGTCAGGGTTGGGCCAAGTCAGTGCTTCTGCACGAGAACACCCGCAAGGAATTCCAGACCTTCTTTGAACGTCCCGACACATTCACTCTCGGTGTCTGCAACGGATGTCAGTTCCTGTCCCGTCTCAAGGAGCTGATCCCCGGTGCCAAGGACTGGCCCAGCTTCGAGCGCAACGCCAGCGAACAGTATGAAGGACGTGTCTGCATGGTTGGCATTTCCGACCCAGACCCATCTTCTCCCTCCGTCTTCCTGAACGGCATGAATGGCTCCTCCCTCCCCATTGCCGTTGCTCACGGCGAAGGTCGCGCCTCTTTCGCCCCTGGCTCTCCTGTCACCGCCCAGGATCTTGTCAAACAGAACCTCGCGCCCATACGCTACGTCGATAACACCACCCTCAAGCCGACCATGACCTACCCATACAACCCCAACGGCAGCCCCGAGGGTATTGCTGGTGTTCGCAGCCCGGACGGTCGTGTTCTTGCCATCATGCCTCACCCCGAGCGAACAGTCCTCAACGGCATTGCCAGCTGGCTTCCTCCTTCTTCCGAGAGCTGGGGCGATGTCGGTCCCTGGGGCCGTGTGTTCTACAGCGCGAGAAGATGGGTTGGTTAGAAGCATCATTTTGTATATTTGCAGGGTCATTTTGCTCTTGATTTTTCAGCATTTTGAACCTCTCTTCTCCTAGGAGAGAAAAGAACAAATTACCTATTCCTTTTGCCTTAGTTTTAGATGAGATGGAGTTCGTTGTGGTAATTTGATGTGGCTTTTGTCTTGGGTTAGTCTTACCGCTTCCAGCATGGTCGTAACTATCACCAACCTGCGGACCACAAGTAAGAATCCATTGTCTCGCTGTTCCCCCATTATTATGTACCGCCGTATAATAAGCCAGGCCGGTTATAGTATAGCTAAACATCCAGCGGCCCCCTGGAAACTGCAACGTTCTGAGTGCTCAGGAATTTTTTTTGGAAAGACGCCACAATGTCAACCAAGAGTCCAGGTCTAACAAGGTAGACTCGGCTCGAAGCGGTCAGTTTGTATCAGGCGGCAATAAGTACCTCGATCCTCCACGGTCTGCAACTAAACATCCCCTTGGATCAAAACTGCGACCTAACAAAACTCACAACTATCATTGCACAAGCACTATTATCTGCGATCTGTTCTCACTTGTTCTCCGAGTCATAACCCGAAATGCAGTGAATCCCAACGCTATCACTTCTATTGGTATCGCAACCTCCCTTACCTATGTCTTCACTCTTTCGACTAGGACAGACCCTCCGAGGAAGATTGGGAAGATACACTATCACTAAGCAAATCCAAGATACTGTCTGGTTCGCTAAGTAAGTCGATCATTCTAGACATCGTTGTGAGAAGAAATTACGTGACTCACTCTGCACAGAAACCAGGCCGAGGATCGAGTAACTATCAAAGGAGTACACGGACACCCTCGTGTGGAGAACGAGCGAGATGTTCTTAAGCGGTTTCAAGATCGAATACCATCTTTGCGACCATTAATTGATGAGATTGAAGAGCCGTCTCAACCTCCAACCATTGTTTTGAAGCATCTCGATGATCATCTGTTAAATGCGTCGATCAATAAGCCCCTGAATCGAAAAGAATTGAAATACATTTCGAAACGTATCCTGCAAGCATTACTGGTGCTTCATGGGGGTGGTTATGTCCATACAGGTAACTAAAATCGAGGCGAGACCGCTTTTAGCAGCAGCTTTTCCAACTAACATGAGGTATAAAGATGTTAAACCGGATAATGTCTTTGTGAATTACAACACAGATGGTGATATACGGTTCTCTGATGTCCAGCTAGGCGATCTTGGTGGTGCATGTCCTGCAGACTCGATATATGCCAAAGAAGGCACGCCAATTGGAGCAGCAATGTGGTCGAGCCCCGAGGTGATTATGGAAACTCCCTGGAATACTGCAACCGACACCTGGTCGTTTGGGGCCCTGGTATGCTCAAATAATAACCCGGAACTAAATGATGGTGCTAATCGCAGTCTCTCTCACTCAGCTTATCAGTCTCATCTATGGTGGGAATTTTAACCTCTTTCGTCCCAAGACGGTGCCATATGGCCACGAAGAGTATGGGTTAGAGGTTCTAAAACAACAATTCCGTTACTTCGGGCCATTCCCGGAAAAGTACGAGGAGATCGCAACCCCGGAGACAATCACTGCTATCCTCTATCTCATGCATGAGATCCCGCAGTCGCGAATGACACCGTTTCAGCGAACGACTGAGAGAGAGGTCTGTAATAGAGATAAGGTGTTTGTTGGGAAAATAATGAAGATGGATTGGAGAGATAGGCCTTCGGCGAGGGAGTTGTTGGAAGATGAATGGTTTGAAGATGATAAGTAAAATTAATTCGTGTAGTAGGTGCTACAGCTGGACGTTTTGAGTTGTAGCAGAAATTGTATTATTCGTGGAATAATCGGACTCGGATACGCCCTTCCCGACTAGGAAATGAAAAGGGACTGTCCCAAATTGTCGTTCAGGAAAAGGAAAGGACAGAGGTCCGTCGTAGGAGCTATGACGATCTATACTGAAAGCTACATACATACGTCTGATGAACCTCTCGACTTTCTTCGAAAACGAATACATAGATTTTGACTGAAAGACATCGCAGGTGAGAACCCTCGAGAGATCGTGCGAAAATCCGGAAGCCACAACCCTTCTAGAGGTCACCTGTATATAGATGGAGCGGTAATGTCGAGGCGGCGGATGGAGTACTATTATTTTGCATCCACCTTATATCAGCTAAAAATAGTATCCAATTTATAGTCCATCTGCCGAGAGCCTAGGAAAGTCCATTATTATTATTGTATGTGGCTCCCGTATATTAAAGCTAAGCCAGTTATAGTATAGTTAGTTATAAGAGTAAATATCAACAACCGCTTTATCTAAAGGGATGCTAGACATTTCAGCCTTCGTTTCTGTTTAACTGAGGCTGGCCTCCAGAGCTCGAGAACATAACTTAACAGGCTTATCTTATTATAGGTAGCTTTCCTAATCATTTAGCGGCCCCGGAAACTGCAATGTTCTCAGGGTTCAGGAATTTCAGAAAGATGCGATGTCGTCAACCAAGAGCCAAACTGTCCATATTTTGTCATGGTAATACCCTTCTTCCCGAAAGGAAAGAAAAAGCAATATTATTGAAGGTTTCCTCATTTCAGAACAGGTAGATTGATCAGTCGTGATGAACTCTTCGCGTATACGAATGGCCATTTCCTCATTGACGAACAACGCCAGCTCGATCGACGTTACGTGAAATTCAATATAGATGCCCTTTGCGATGTCGCTGCAGTTGCAGGCGACGAGTCGTCTCGCATCACAACTATTGAAAAGATGGAAGGAGGCTTTAGCAAGGCTCTTCTGATGAGAAAAGAAAATGGAAAAGAGATCATTGCTAAGATTCCCACCCGCATTGCTGGCCCGACATGTCTAACGACGGCATCGGAAGTAGGAGTTTTAGAATATGGTATGTCTCCCTACGCTGCGGATTTTTCAAGCAGCTCATACTTATTAGCCGACCAGTGCGAAGAAACAGAAGTATACCAGTTCCACGTGTCCTGTCGTGGTCCTCAGACTGCACGAACCCTGTAGGTGCTGAATACATAATCATGGAGAAGGCCGCAGGGGTTCCGCTGTTTCAGCGATGGGCCAATATGAAAGAGATTGAAAAATTGGAACTCATAAAGAACTTGACTAAGTTTGAGGCTCAATTATCGGCTATTCGATTTCCTGCGTATGGTGGATTATACCTTCGAGCAGATGCAAGCGTCCTGAAGTTCCATCGCCATTTACTCGATGAGAGTATTGATCCATCAAGTTAATTCTGTATCGGCCCTTCTTGTGATCGTTCATTTCTCAACCAGGACATTAACCAAGGACCTTCCAAGTACGATGGGCTTTTCAAGTCATACAAACTAATCACTGCATAGGGACGACAATATCAGATCTTGGGATATCGATCGCAAAACGGGAGCTATCTCAAATATCAAGCAAGCGTCCAGATAGATCACCGATGTTCTATCAAGGAAGTGTTCAAGAGCAGGCCCATCTGCTCGAATCCACCATCAGTCTCATGCGCATGTTGGATTCTCATCCAACACTAATCAAGTCGGGTCAACCTACTTTGTGGCACACCGATCTACACATGGGAAATATATATGTTGCACCTAATGAGAGCTCACAGATAGTATCTATGATTGATTTTCAATCTCTTTCCGTGTTGCCCGCATTTCTTCAGGCACAGTGGCCCATATTCCTGAAACCCCCACACAGTTACATAAAAGGACTTGTGCAGCCAAAACTTCCTGACGAGTTTGATGAGTTGGATGAAGACAGCAAATTGCTTGCTCAACGCGAATGGTCCCAGGCAAAGTTGGCAAAGGCATACGAAGTTTCAACCTATCTTGAAGACAGAGTTGCGCACGAAGCTATGATGAATGTGCCGCGCGTCTTCCGAGAGCTTTTTATTCGCTGTGGAGAGGTCTCTGAGGTTGGTGTGATTCCACTTCGAGCATGTCTGATAGAAATCTTTCAGAATTGGTCGACTCTGGGCTTTACTGGGCAGTGTCCTTTTTCATTTACGGAGGAGGAAATCGATACACATGAACAGCAGTTTCTTGAATACCAAGCTTGGCATGAGGTCCAACGCCTGGCGTGGGAATGCCTAGATACTGATGCTGAGGGATGGGTGGCGCCTGAAGTAGACATTGCGGAAAAGCGCAAACAGAACAAGGAATTGCTGTCTATGTTCATCGAGCGAATGGCTGGCGAAAAGTCCCCGGAAGAAGCGATGAAGATGTGGCCATTTCCGGATGAAGCATGAATATTCGGTGCTTACTTAGCGAATGGGACCGTATTTGGGATGGAATTCAGTGGTGTGAGAATAGCAGTTCTATAAGCGTTGGGTATTGGGTTTCATCTTTTCATAGAGTCGAAACTAGACGAGCACTCATCATGCGGCTCATTAATTATTTCCAACTTAAGCGCCCACAAACCGTTCCTTTTTCCACTCTAACCTCTCTGCTAACATTTCCCAGCTTAGTTGTCCATCGACTCGGCCGACGCCTCGCAGACCGGCTGCTACAAAGGCGAGCAGTTGCTCGAATTGGCTCTTTAGGCTCCGCAGACGGTGGCCATAAGATGATTCGGCAAAGGAGATGTTGCCTGTTGTGTTGCCTTCGTCGTACATGCTATCTTCCTCGTCATCATCATCGTCATCGTCTTCGTCGGATGTGTCGTCTGTGTTTTGTCGTCTTCGACGTCGCTTCTTTCGGTGTGAGAAATGCTCGTAGCTGAGTATCGAGGTTCGGAACGATCGGTTTGTCTGGTCGAATTCATTCTCGGCGTGTCGGGAAGATCGGACGTCTGAGAAGTGAATGCAGAGGTCGAGGAGGCTGATTACAGCTTGGTGGATGGGAGCGAGGTTCTTTGAAAGGAGGCATTGGTCTTCGAGAGAGGTCATGTAGGATCGGTGGACGGTGATCATGCCGTCGACATCCGTGGCTGCGGAGAGTTCTTTTTGCATCTTTGCTGTCGTGGTCGATATGACCATTTCTGTCAAATGACTGTAGAGAATATTGATGAACCAGAGGAGGTTGTGGCGGATGGCGTAGCAAAGATTCTCCTCCTCGTCTTCGTATTCGATGCCCCGGTCGGGGCCTCTTGGGAAGCGTTGCTTCGAGACGACGTACTTTGCTCGTCGGATCTGCAGGAGGAAGGTGTATACGCGCTGGTAGGCTTGGATAGCGTCTTTTGTGATGATGTTGGCCACTGGCCAGGGGAGGATATAATCAATGGAGAGAGACTTCAAAATCTTCACAGATCGAGCACGGTTGTCGACGTCCCGGTAGGACCCAGGCGACGATCGCATGATAAGCCTGGAGGTGTCCACGCAAGGAAGTTCACCAAAGACTTCCTGCACCAGCTCCGTTATGAGGAATCTATCGTTCCATGCCCGGCGTCCTTTGTCGATCAATTCGAAGATTTTGTAGTCTACGGAGCTGGAGATGGTCACGTCCCTGCACAGGTAGATGTACTCGAGAGCCTGGAGTGAGATCCAGAGACCGCATTGGCTATCCAACTGCTGTCGCAGCAAAGACGATGTAAATGCGTGATTTGCCTCGATCAGCCGGTCAAAGGCCGTCTCCAATAGTCCGGCGAAAGGAACTAAAAGCGACGAATCGTCCGGACAGACATCTTCGAAAGAAAGCGACGTTCTCTCTAATTGATTCAGATTCTCCGGCGCGATGTTGAGATTTCGAAGGAAGATCATGCTCTTTCCCGTAGTGAATACTTTCCGGGCAGCCGGCTTCAGAAACTTGGGAGCGTACAGACGACCCTCTTTCTGGTCCAGCATATACCAATCATGCCAGAGGGTTCGCAGATCAGAGTTTCTATCAGCGGCTTCTGAGACGAAAAACGTGCCCTGAGAAGTGTCCAGCTGTCCTGTCTCCATCCACAGTCGTATGGGTTTGATATACGACTCAAAGCAAGCGAAGAACAGTTTCGCAAAGTATGCAAACTCATCGTCTGCACCTGCTGCCTGGCATGTACCTACTAAGTCATAAAGCCTGTCAAGGCATTCGAAAGAGTCCTGAGATGGACGGGATCTGAGGCCCTCCAGTAAGTTGGCTAATGGAATCAGTAGTCGTGACTCCCTTTGAACATCCTCAAAAAGCTGCAACAAGCTAACGGTGGTTGCTGTGCTCTTGGAAAGATAACGTGCGTGCATGTTTGACAACGCGGCATCAAACATTGATAGACATTCTTCAATACCACGATGGAAAGTCTGCACATAGAGGACCGATTGCGGGATCTTAACAAATCTCCGCAATGCGTCTATCTTAGCTCCTAGAGAGCTGAACGAGCAAAGCAGTGCGGAAAATGCTTGGTTCGAGGAATGGCGGAGAACATATCTCCGGTCTACTTCGATACTGTCATCAAGGCGCCAATACAACGATGCTGGAAGCCCCTGAAGCATAAAAATAGTTTCTCTGACCACTTGTAGTTCTGTGACCGGGCAGGAGTAATCCTCGCCGCGGGTCACTGCCTCAGCCTTCCAAAACTGAGAGCTCTTGATCGCAGAAATCAATCCTTCGTCTTCTCCGTGTGAGAATACTTCTTCTGGGATGAGATAGTCATCCGGAGCGACTTTGGAACTCTGCGGCACGATCCTCGGGATGGACACATCGCTTGACACGGTCGAGACATCATCGTCCGAGGTCTCTTCGCCGTAGTCAATATCGTCCCAGATATTGTCATCGCAGTATGCTGCACCTGCAGGGTCAATTTCAGACCAAGTCAGTGACCGCGGAGGTTCCGGCGGCTTGAGCAGCTCAATTTTCTCCGGTTTTGATAACGTTGCTGGTCTATCTGAGAGCTGCAGGAATAGAGACAAGATCTCCGGGAACCACGGACTATCATGCTGGTTGAGCTCATCCAGACGGAGACGTAACGCGTCAGCCAGATCATCATGGTTCAGCACCTGGAATTTCTCCTGGAGACCATCTAGCTGACGGGCCACCGCGAACTGGTCGGTTCGCGTTGACCTGTTGTTCTTGATCGTACTCTCCGCATTGCTCTTCAGTCTCTTGAAACGCGATGTAGTCTACTGTACGTTAGTAATTTAGTCCACACAAAGAACCGGGGCATGAGATGCCTTGTCTGATGTTTTTGCAATGACAGTGATTAGATCGTCTAACAATGCGCTTATATCTGCGGCTAGGGCCATGATGGGACGAGATAGGGCCCGTTTTCCACCATCGAGATCTTCTTATTTTGCTCCCTCCATGGCATGAACGAGTGCTACTGGATCTATCAGGATCCAACCAGGTTACTCGAGGCATCCATAAAGAGTAGTCGCTAACGAGGCGAGTTTCATGCTCCGTTCTTTGTTGTCTGAGAGGAGGACGCGTTTGCTTTGCCACGCTACCGCCCGACCGAGTAAAGCGTGACCTGGAAACCCCCCAGCGGGCCTGGAATACTCCGACAGTCTTTGCGGAGAACTGCTCTGAATAACAGCGACAGCTTCTCTTGCGTCCATTTTCGAACGAGGACGTCTGCTCGATGTCAAGATGGCCGTCGCACGACCGATCCGGCTGCTAGGCGCAGCATCGATACTCCTAGTTCTTTTCCTTATTTTCCAGCTTCGCAAGACGGCCACGCCCCTGGTCGGCACCTTTGGATCAGGGGATAAGTTGGTCAATGGCATGAAGAAAGACCCTTTGCTAGATCGTATGTTGCAAAAGATTCTTGTCCTCGTTTGAACCGGAACTGACCGTTTATAGCAACGGGAGAACCAGAAGGTGTGTTATGGCGTGCGGAGGACAACGACTATGCCCCGGACAGCGAGAACTCTGCTCGCATCAACGCCACCCTCCTGTCCCTCGTCCGGAACGAGGAGCTGGACGAGCTGATCCCTACGATGCGGGATCTCGAGAGAACATGGAATCACAAATTCAACTACCCATGGACGTTCTTCAACGATAAGCCCTTCACAGAGGAGTTCAAGCGACGAACCCAGGCGGAGACCAAGGCTAAGTGCTACTACGGTACGTCATGGAAATGCACAACGTGAAGCGGTTTGGGATCGTAGTCTGACATGATTTATAGAGCTGGTACCAAAGGAACACTGGGATGTGCCCGAATGGATCAACAATGATATCATCAAAGAGTCTGCGGCGATGTTGAAGGAGCAGGGCATCCAATACAGCGAAAAGCTGTCCTACCACCAGATGTGTCGCTGGAACAGTGGCATGTTCTACAAGCACCCAGCCCTCCAAAACACCCGCTACTACTGGCGCGTTGAACCCAAGGTTCAGTTCTTCTGTAACATCGACTACGACGTGTTTCGCTACATGGAGGACCACAACAAGACATACGGTTTTACGATCAATCTGTTTGACGCTCCCCAGAGTATCCCGACGCTTTGGCCCGAGACGAAGAAGTTCCTTGCGGCGCATCCCGACTACATTTCGGACAATAACATGTTGGGGTGGTTGACGGACGACCAGCTACGCCCCGATCATACCGAGGCCGCCAATGGTTACTCGACCTGCCACTTCTGGTCGAACTTCGAGATCGGTGACATGGACTTTTTCAGAGGCCAGAAATATGAAGAGTACTTCAATCACCTTGACCGCGCAGGTGGTTTCTTCTACGAAAGATGGGGTGATGCACCTGTCCACTCGATCGGGCTGGGTCTCTTTGAGGATGCCAGCAAGATTCACTGGTGAGTACATACGTCGTTTTGACAATAACTTCAAGTAATGCATTGTCTAATTTTATTCTGTGCAGGTTCCGAGATATTGGTTACCGCCATATCCCCTACTTCAACTGCCCAAATTCGCCCAAATGTTCTGGCTGTACACCCGGCAAGTTCTACGCTGGTGAGCCCTTCCTGGCAAAGGAAGATTGCCGACCAAGCTATTTCAAACACGTCGGAACGCATTAGTCTGCAGACTGGACCAGCCGGTATACCTTGCTCATGGGGGGCTCAAGCAGAGTCCTCACCCAAAAGACTAGGTTACATCACATCTCTTCGCTCCCTCGGCTGGGAGCCATATAACTCCCCCCATCTATTCCTCCTCCTGTCTTCATCACACGAGGCAAGATACGGATGGACTGCAGCGCCATTCCCCACCCGCACATTGCACGAGAGTGTATATCATGACGGACCCCGGAGAAATCTCCTCCCCGCAACAATATCACGACTTTTCGGTTGAAGATATAACTAAAGTAAAGGCGTTCCGATGAGGGTTTCTTTGGTGACTTATCTATTTGGGCTATTCAGAGTGTGAACTCTTTCTTGTAATTTATACATGCATTTATTCTGTTCGATTTTCTTTTCCTTCGATCCCCCAACACCAGTTGCGCTTGCGTGCATATGCATGATTGAATGCACTGATTATCCAGCGACTGCATTATGGCCTGCAAGCTCGTCAGATAATTAGCCCATAGAGAACTATAGTAGATAGTGTCACTCACTCCGTGCACATACATTATCAGTCTAGTATTGTCTGTGCACGGTTTGTTACGAATTACTTGTTTACTTTCTTACGAAATAGTTAACTCGGGGCTGTAGATCCTGAAAATGAAACTCCACTAAAATAGGCTGAATCAGTGGAACTTAAAAAGGTGATTTTCACTATCTGACATCTCTAACAACTCACTGAGGTATAAGTATAAGCAGTAGACGATCAAAGAATTGATAAATGCATCGGACAGAAAGCACTTCATCGTGGAAGAGGGAGATTGGGCTTGATGCCCCATTGTTCAGGAGGGTTTCACTTCGATAGAGCATCCGCTGGGAGAGTAGAATATTTCTTAATACCAGAATCGGAAGCCTGCCGGGAGTACTGAGTTTAATGTCAAAACAATCCGGAGCTGTCCGCAGTGATCACGATAAATGTCCAGTTGAGTCTAGCATGATAAGGACTCAAGCTATAGTTGAAACATAAGGTATCGTATGCCATGGAATGGATGTAGCAGGTCGAAGGGTTCAGATTGTAAGTAAGGCTAAGCTGCAGCTGGGATAGCAGGAAGGACCTGGATGTCATAGCAGTGGCGGGATTTGATGGGTAATTTTATTTTTATATAGATTGATCAATTAGGCCAGATGTAAATCACGCGTAGTTGATGCATTGTCAAAAAAAAGTGAAGGCACAATGGTCGTGGAATGTCTGCGGCAGCCACTGATTGCGCATTAGGAGATGATATCACGATTCGACGCAACAGGAAGTGATGAGACCCCTACTTCCTCGGATATAAGCAGCTGTCAATGATAACCTCTTGCAAGATAAAGAAACACCTCGTCGCATTATCTTCAATGTTACAGATGTAGGCTAGGTAGACATGTGGTATGACAAAAATGTTCCTCTCCTCTGCTGGCTTGGGCTCCGCCCTCCGGAGCCGGCATCAGCAGGACACCAACGATATGCGACAATGCGATTGCTTCCGCAACTCCAGCTCTAGGTATGTATACAGCTTTACTTTGATTCGTTGACAGAATTATCCCAGCGAGGTAATCTAGTTCTGGGGGTAGAGCTCCTCACGGAGGACAACGCCGAGCTCCTTGCGCAGACCGTCAAGCTGCTCAAGGTACTCCTTGTACTGGCTCTCGTTCTCAACCTTGGCGCGGATACCTGAAAAAGAAGAAAGCAGTCAGTGTAAGATTCGTCCGGGTATAAGAGATCTAGAGTGTCATGTAGAATTGGTTGGGACGGCGATGGGCGGGATTTGGTGGGATTTTGGTACGTACCCTCGAAGACCCGGACAGCGGTAGGGAAGTCGTTGACACGACGGGCAGCCTTCAGGGCAGCAGTAAGCACCTCAACAGAGGGCACGAGATCGTAGGCGAAGGCGTTGTTGAGGTTTCGCTGTGATGGCACAAGGCCAGGGTGGTTAGCCCAGATCGGATGTTCGGGCTCTCTGCCAATGACAGAGCAGATAATCAAGCAGATGGGATGCCGCTTTTCTTTCCCAGCGGGTAGCACAACTAGCATACCTGGAGCTCGAAGACATCCTGCACTGCATCGAATTCCTTCTCGTATCTATCATTGGAGGCATCAGTGACTCTGCTCTTCCCCAGATAAACCCTTCTGGCCTGCCGCGTGGGTCGGAGGCGGTCGTCCGGATGTGACCGCAGTCCTGTTCCAGTTCCTTCGACCTTTTCTTCTTCCCATCGCGAACGGCCTCATGGGGACTCAATTGGCGAGATGGCGTACCTAGCAGAGAACTCTTCGTACGTCTCTTCCTCGTGACCGCTGGAGCGCTTGGTGGTCGTGCTGAAGTTGCTGCTGTATCCGCCGAAACCGAGAGCAATGGGCGCGGCTGGTGCAACAGTCTGCACCCGCGAGCGGGCGACGTAGGGAGCTCTGAACGAGCTCGAGGCGCGGACGCATCGGGTCGCGATGCGGAAGACGGCGGTGGACGACATTGGAGAGACGGAGGGAGGGAGTTGGGAGCGAATTGGTATCGTGGGAGAGAGATAGTGGTGAGGATGTTGTCGAGGACGGACGGCCAGAGGAGAGACCGACCGGACTGAGTTGGACGGGTTTTTGCGGGTGGTGTGAGTGGTGAGCGGCCTGAGGCTCCCAGGCAGCTGGTCATGGTCTTTTCTCGGCGAGCCGCTCCCGTCACCACTCCACTAAAACATCGTCTGATCTATCTATCCCATATTAACTATCAATTGCACGCAATCGATTCTATTCACATTCAGTGGCACGCATATTAAGGCAACAAGACTGCATCGATAATCCTCTGCGCTCATCTTCGTAATCTCCCCGCCTACACTCAGAACCGCATAACTAACGGGAACCCATAACAATGGAAAATACTAACGATCTTCCTGCCATCCCAATGTTGTAAGGAATGACCGAGACTGATATGCATGTGAACATACTAAATCCGCATAGCGCAAATACAAAACAGTACAGAGATGCTATAGTTGCCCATTGCAATGCAGGACTTATTCCTCGCGAGACGATGGAAAAGCTATTCGAGGAACTTGACAAGCTTCCTCCCCCACCAACACCCCTGCAACAAAGGATTCAAGACATTGAGACAATATTACAGACACCAGGAGTGCTTAAGATCCCGGGACAGCGCGAGAATGCCGTTGCTGTGTTGAATGCATATAAATCAGGAACCTTGCAGTTTATACCGGGGAATTACTACATCTTTAAAAACGGCCAACTAATAGCTGGACCGAAGCCTATGACACCTTCTATGATCAACGACATAGTAAGCGAATACTCTATACTGCGTGATCTATGGATTGAAGAGGTAGGTCTCTATCTACTCTCTATCTACATAGTTCAGGATCTCTAATAGCTAATGTCCAGTGTCACTCTGCCCCTCGATACCTGTTACCAGCATTCAGGGGAACTTTATATCCGACAGGCAACCACCATATGCTACGTCAGTTACTATAAATCTAATACATAGTTATATAACGTCTCTATCTCCCCGCTGGGAGCAGCTCTATGGTCTCGTTTCGAATTCCTTCACGATACCGGTGCTTCGGTGCCCACTGTCTCGTATCAGGAGATGACCGTGCTTGGAGTCGATGCGACTTATCAACATTGGGGGCTCCCGGAGATTTACCACAGAGCAAACGGTGTCATAGTCAACGACACTATATATCTGCAGGCGTCGTTTGGATACCCTCCAATATCTGGTGTCAATCTATTCAAATTCGCCGTATCGAACGACCAGATGCGGCTGGGGGAACCTATCCTTCAGTCCTTGATGTATCAAGGTAGCATTCCAGATATTGAAAGACGGCTGGCGATCTCCTGCAGTAGAACTGGACTACAAGACGAGCTTAGGGGACACTCTCACTGATTAAATTGAAGTTTAATTGACCATGACTTCGCTATGAACTGTTTCGTTTTTTCTCATGGCGTCTGCTGGATTTTCTGCCAATGGCGATTTTGCTGGCCGCCTGACATTCGCAGCGGTAGGGAGTCACGGATGATGAGACTCGATGTTTAGATAAACTAGATGAACTAACTTAGATAGACTACAAATTGTGACCGTGCAAAGCCATGCTTGCTCTCAACAACAGAAATCATGTTCATCCAGTTCAATTGTTCCAGACATGTTCATTTCAGTGGTTCGTTGCTAAGAGCTGCAGTCGTGCCTCTCCCGTACTTGCCGGACACGAATGGGACGTCACATGCCAGAGGTTGAAGTGGGAGTATTTTATTGTACTACAAAGTACTCTTCCCGCAGATTTCGCGCATAAAAGTACCTGAAGATACTTCAGAATAATACTTACAGCCGAACCCCTTTTCACCAACAGACGAGCCGACGCTAACCCGAATTAGTTCGGACGCGGCGGGCCTCGGGCTGCCAGGAAGAGCCAAAGAAAAGCGTCGGCCAGTCGCGCAGTGTCTTTTTACGGCGTCAAATCTCAACATCTTCCTCTCCCCCTTCCTTTTCTCGGTCGTCGCATCGGGATCCCATCTTCTTCTCTCAGTTCTTTATCTCCTTCCCTCCTCTCCGTCATTCCTTCATTGCCGTGGTCTCCCCAGACCCGGTACGGTGCGGTCATTATCTTCCACCCTGTGGTGCAGCGGGTCTTTCCCAACCAAATAAATAACACGTCTCTCAGCGTCTCAACATCCGGTGCTACCGCTCGCCAGGGAAGTCCTACAAGACTGAGAATCTGGCATCTTATATCTAAATAGAGTCATTCATCATGGCCGACGCGCTGAAGAACCTCCCTCTTCCTACCATCGATCGCCCGTTTGGCATCGAGCTATGGCCCATCTTCGACAAGGCTTTCGAAGCCGTCGTTGGCTATCCCGCACATGACTTTCGATTTGTGGAGGGTGTGACGCCAATGTCAACATTGAAGGAGACAGCCATCTCACTGGTCTCGTACTATATTATCATTTTTGGTGGTCGGGAGGTTATGAAGAACTTCGCGCCCCAGAAGCTCAACGGCCTGTTTATGATTCACAACTTCGTCCTAACGGTGATCAGCGCCATCTTGCTGGCTCTATATGTTGAGCAGCTCCTGCCCACTATCTGGAGACATGGTATTTTCTTTGCCATCTGTAACCACGAGGGTGGCTGGACCCAAGAGCTGGTTGTTTTGTACTATGTAAGGACAGACTGTTGGCTAATCCGGCCATTGCAAAGTGACGAATTGGGAAAGCTAACGTCGTGTAGCTCACGTACTTGACCAAGTATCTGGAATTGCTTGACACGGTCTTCTTGTTCCTCAAGAAGAAGCCATTGACCTTCCTCCACACCTACCACCATGGCGCTACCGCCCTGCTGTGCTACACCCAATTGATCGGTCTGACTGCTGTCTCCTGGGTTCCCATCACCCTGAACCTGGCTGTGCATGTTCTCATGTACTGGTACTACTTCCAGAGCGCTCGTGGAGTCCGTATCTGGTGGAAGCGCTACATCACCATCTTCCAGATCGTCCAGTTCATCATTGACCTCGGTTCGTGCCCAAGGCGTATAACGCGGAAGAGCTCCTTGCTAATCAAGTTATCTGATAGGCTTTGTCTATTTCGCTTCCTACACCTATTTCTCCTCCACATACTTCCCATGGCTTCCCAACTGTGGAAAGTGTGCTGGAGAGGAATTCGCCGCCTTTGCTGGTATGGCAATCCTGAGCTCCTATCTCCTCCTCTTCATCTCCTTCTACTTCGCCACCTACAAGAAGACCGGAAAGAGCGGCAGACCTCGCCGCAACACGGGCAAGAAGGCCCTGATCGACATGAAGGACCTGGAGGTCCCCTCCGTCCCCAGCCAGCGTGCCAACGGCGCTGCAAACTCCAACGGCCAGGCTACCACTTCGGCGCGTCAGAACGGTCCCGTGACCCGCTCGAGGAAGGCATAAGCCCGCAGTGGTGTCTACAAGATAGACCGCTGGAAACGCTGGTAGTCTTCTGCCTGCAGGCTACTCTCTATATTGTTTGGATGACGAACATCGCTGACCATCCTGGGTCACGAGACGAGCCGGCGATGATGCGACAGGAGAGATGAACAAAATATACATTTCTACTTGGTCAGGTAAAGTGACATAACTGTTTTAATACATGACATTGTTCGAATCGAAGGCACCGGTTGCTGTTGTGGTTGGCCTCGGTTGCATGCTGGGCGGGCGCTTCGCGGAATCGAGGAGCCGATAGAGCCCCGTTAGAAAGTATGAGAGTGACGTCTTGCTCATGGTATGGCGCGAGAGCTTTTACCGGACCCGTAATGCGTTTCTTTCAAGGGTTCGAGCTCCGAGATTTCTCTTCTTCCGGCACGTTGATGCCGGTTTGTTGTGTTAACTGATTTGATTTTCTTCCTATCGCCATAAATGCATAATCATGAATATAATACAGTGCTAATGACTCACTAGCGGTGTTGCTGTTTCCCTGTTCCCATGCTAGCACGGATGTCAAATTGCGATTCAGCCCTCCCATGGCTGCAGTTGTGCCGAAGAAGTGCTTATATTGAAATCATCTGATCCAGCGACGTACTAGATGTGTGTCTCCTTGGTCTGTTTCCGCAGGCGCAGCATGGCATACATCCATTGAGGAACTGGGACATGACTAGTAATCGACCCTGGGGATTATGGTATTTAGCTAGTGAATAGTTTATTGCTCGGTTGCTACGAAATCTTTTTAAGTATCAAGGACTATGAATACGCACGTGATGTTCACCTCTAGACCACGCTCTCTGTGTTCAGATTTACACCGTACTACGTAGTTACAATTAATCGGTGACCCATGTTCCTGGATACTAATTTGCAGCTCGTGTCTATCAATTTCAGAAGTGTTCTAGTCGGACGGGATCTCCGTGACACATTGACTATTCTAGCCGACGGATATTCTCATTGCGTAAGATTATCGAGGCTGACGTTCGATTGCAAACCCACCGGTTCCACTGGAGGATCCAGCATGGAGCTGATCCTGCCGATGAGATGCCAAGGTGTTCCTGCATCCTGACGTGCTTGGCTATTTCTTGGAATTGCATCCGATGCAGCTTCTTTTCTTTTCTCTGCTACGGTCAACATCACGAATGTATAACAGTAACGGGAAAAGGCATCTCCTATGGAACAGCATGGGAAGGACAATTTCGGACGCATTGATCTGTCCGGAGCAAGACCGTAAGAATTCAGCTGGCCAAGTACGATCATCTCACCGCTCCCCCTGGAATAATAAATCGTTCCTCGACGAGTCGTCACGGCTGCGGATCGTTGTGTACTATATACCTTAGAGTCGGATACTAAAAGAGGCTCACCCGTTAGCGATCATGGGTGATTATTATATTCTGATGCCTCGGTTAGGAGATCGCTGAGGTTGCGTCATGGTCAAATCGAAACACTGCCTATCTATCTACTTCTATCAAAGACGACTCGACTCGTTCGTTGCCTGGGCAATAATGAGCCCAGCATGCGTAGTCCTCGTGCATCCCTGCGGCATAGAAGTCGGACTAATAATACTCTAGACGTCTAGGATCTAACTATCTACCTATCTAGTTCGCTTTCCCAACTTCCAAGACTTTGCTGTGGCAGCTGTGCACTGAGTCCGGCGCGATTACGAACTGGATTGGCGGGAGCGGTGTGGTAAGTATGCCACTGCAGGATGTCGATCACCCTCCCTCCGACCGAAACCTGTTGGACGGGGACGGGCCTGATCTATCTGGAGCGGTGACATGAACGACGTACAGATTGGCGGACTGGATTCGCTTAGTTGAGTAATAGTAGAATACTAGTGACTCGTGAGTGGGTGGGTAGGACAGTGGGAAGAAGTGGGAAGTTGGAATACATTATTCACTGGCAGTATGTAATTGTAGAGTAAGTATGGATGTACCATTGCAGGGTAAAGTTATTATTATTGCTTTGCTTCCTCAGTGTATAACAAGTGTTCCAATAATTTAATTATTATTAATTATTTAATATTAGATGTTGAGTCTCTCCATGGACCGTCTTTTCGCTTAGAAGTGGTGAACTATGGTAGTTCTGATTAGATCGGAACCAGGATGAAAATAATATTAGGTACCTCAGCCCTGTGCCACATGCCCTTCCCGAAAAGCCAACGCACAAAAAAAAACTGCGCTACAAGGGGCACTAGATAGACTTAGTAGACTAGTCTAGTACTCTGTAGATATGATACTCTACAATTAAAGTGAGGCCATGCGATCTGTGCCCTGCGGGGTAGATAAACTTGCGTATTCGACGCTTTGACCTTTTTTTCTCTCAATATTGGGCAGGGATATTATTTTCGAGTGTTTTCTTCGCTTTTTTCCTCAGTGAAGATTTCTTTTTCTCTTTTTTTTCGCCTCTTTCGTTTCTAATAATATATTTCCCTGATGTGATAGAGACGGCAGAATGGGTCGGCTCGGGACACCTTGTCAGGCACGGGGCCCAACGGTGCTGGTCCCAGAAAAATGATTTCATTTGGTGTCTGGAAAGGGACGATCCAAAAGGTGTTGCGTGGATGCGCTGGACATCAAGGGCGGGACGGCTGGGAGACGCCCCAATCAGCATGGGGTATGGATTGCATCTTAGTCTGCGGCCCTTTCCAAGATCTCAGCCGCCCTTGCGGTGCAGCTTTATTATATATGGCAAATAAATATGGTACTTGTACATACAAGGGGCCAAGTAGAGGGAAGGGATAGGATAAGAATAGGATATATAGGATATAAGAATTCAATATATTTTTTTAATATTCAAATACAGTCTCAGAAGAAACTCCAGTGGCTTGCTGCATTGCAGGAGGCGGAAGGGGGCCCGTATAATGGATGTCGCGAGATGGCGCATCTACAACCCGGTGGTTGGACCAGGCTGGGGCTTTTGAGCCACCAGGACCAGGATAATCCAGATAGGCCAACACACACGCGTCCGGCGAGCGACAAGCTTTGGGCGTTATCCACGTTATTAACCGTACCAGACACTGGGTCAGGGGTGCCAGCGTTTTGTTTGGATAAACACGATCTAAGTTCATATAGTTAATCCACTCGCTTTCTCAGTCTGTCAGTCAGTTTTCTAGTACTGCACTGCTAAGTAGATTCAAATTCCTCTGAAGTCTCCTTGCAATCTAGGGACGGTGCTCTCTTGGCTGTGGTTTTTTCCCTTCGGTCGTTTCTATTGTGCTGCGACTGACTTGCCAGAATCTGATCTCTCTCGTTTCTCTTGCTTGTTGTTGTTGTTGTTGTTACTTGAATGATCGACGCTCATTTTTGCCCTGTCGATTTTACATGCGCTCACCTTGCCCATCGCATGCCACAATTATTATAAAATAAGTTGCCAGACAAGATCTCTGCTGTCCCAGCGTATCATGCGACCCGGCTTCTCTGCCGCCCAGGTCGTGAGCGTCGGCCTGGCCATCGCTCATCTTCCGTTCGTGAATGCGCTGGCACCGCGCACCGAAATCGCCGATTCCTATGACTTTGTCATTGTCGGCGGAGGCCAAGCGGGTCTCGTTATCGGCGGTCGTCTGTCACAGGCCTTGAAGAACCATACGGTCTTGGTGCTTGAAGCGGGTGGAAATGGAGATGCTTATCGGGAGCGGATAGGTGAGTTGGGGCATTCCTCTGCGGTTTCAAACTGGCTGCTCGGACAAATCACTGACCAGAAAACCAAAAATTAAAAGATACCCCCGCATATTCCTACTTTGATTCTCTATGGACGACCCCGCTGAACTGGGCTTACTACACTGTTCCGCAACCTAATGCGGCGGACCGCGAGATCGAATGGCCCCGGGGTAAGGTGCTCGGAGGTATGTCTGCGATTGGGTTCTCTCAGAAGAATGAATGATAAGGGAGGAAGAGAAAAGTTAACGCGATCGCAATGCAGGCAGTTCCGCGATCAACGGATTGTATCTGACCCGGCCCGGTGAGATCGAGATCAATGCCTGGAGAGATCTGCTGGGAGATATGGACGGCGCGGAGAATTGGGAATGGGACTCCTTCTTCGCTGCGATGAAGAAGAGCGAGAACTTCACGGCCCCTTCTAGCGATGTCGCGAAGACGGGAGATATCGAATGGGATGCTTCTGATCATGGCACCCAGGGCCCGATTCACGCGAGCTACCCTGGCTAGTAAGCAGCCCCAATTACTGGTCGCTACGATCTAGTTATCTATTTTCCTGGTCAGAAGCTAACGATCATTTCAGCATGTTCGAACAGGTGGGCCAATGGGTGCAGTCTCTGGCGAACGTTGGCGTTGCCATCTCAAACCAGATGTACAACGGTGAACCATGGGGCGCCGGCGTGTCAACCTCAACCATCAACCCGACAAACTGGACGCGTTCTTACAGCCGTACCGGATATCTCGACCCGCTGCCAGACTTGGGTAACTACGACGTGCTGGCTAATGCGCAGGTGACTCGCTTGATTTTCGACACTTCCAACAAGAACAACTTGACCGCCACCGGGGTGGAGTACACGCCAGATGGCGGAAACACCACCAAGACCGTCAAGGTGAACAAGGAAGTCATCCTGAGCGCTGGTGCTGTCGGCAGCCCTGCTATTCTGATGCATAGTGGAGTTGGTCCCAAGGATGTTCTGTCTTCAGCGGGTGTTGATCTGCTGTCAGAGCTGCCCGGGGTCGGTCAGCACCTGCAGGATCATTTTGTGAGTGATTCTCATGTCTGAAGAAATTGAGAGCATACAACTGACTGGCGTTGAATTAGAGCGTTACCGTGACGTGGGATACCAACCAAGAGACATCGGGTTCCATTTACTACGATAATGGCAGCCAGAAGGTTGGTCTCAAGATATACCTCATATAAACCTCTGCTCGCGTTCTAACTATTATTTTCCAGAATGATACTCTCTACCTCTCGTACATCGATGATGGCGTTGCCTATGTGAACTCCACCGGGCTCTACGGCACCAACGTTTCCAGTACGCAGCAGAGCATCCTGGCTGCGATGGACCAGTACGCGCCGAACACGACTTACGACCAGGGCGTCGTTGCGGGTTACAAGGCGATTTACAACTCGACGGCCACCAAGATCTTCACCAGCCCGATCGGTCAGGTCGAGATCCTGTTCATGAACAGTGATGCTAACGGTGACATTGGTATCACCGCTGCGCTCCAGCACCCGTACAGCCACGGCCGGATCTACATCAACTCCTCGAACCCGATGGACTATCCTATCATTGACCCGAACTATTTCGCTAACCCTTCCGGTACGTGCTAAGAAACACTCCCCAAAAGACAGACGAAAAGGTCTTCCAAGACTGATAACATGCCTTAGATTGGGATATTCTGCTCCACGGTGTCAAACTTGCCCGCCTCGTTGGCGAGGCCGACCCGTTGAAGAGCACCCTCACCAACGAAACATCCCCCGGTGCAGCTGTCCAGAGCGACGATGACTTGCTCCAATGGATTCGGGAAGCAGCCGGCACCGAGTTCCACCCCTCGTCGTCCTGCGCCATGCTGCCTCGCGACCAGGGCGGTGTCGTCGACGCCAACCTTCGCGTCTACGGTCTCGCCAACGTCCGCGTCGCCGACTCCAGTGTGCCCCCAACGGCCCTCTCTACGCATCTGATGGCGTCGACATACGGAGTCGCTGAACTCGCAGCCGAGATCATCAGCAAATTCTACAACCCGTCGACTGCAACCGCGCCGCTGCTCAGCTCATCCACCAACGCAACCAAGACCGCCAACAGCACCGCCAGCGCGAGTAGCTCCAAGAAAACCAACGGCTCCAATACCAACGGCACCCCGTCGTCATTACATATTTTCACGTCCCTCCTTTTCGTCGTTGCCGTCATGTTCTCGTCTCTATGAAGGGATAGAGAGGGAAAGAGAGACTGTTCGTTTTTTTGTTTATGTTTGGAATTGAGAGATTGAGATGAGATATCACTTTGGATTGTTTCACATTTTGGATTCATGTTCTATACATTTAGACCACATCACATACATATGGCAGTAGCTGCTCTTCCATTTTTTTTTTTTTTTTTGGAGCAGAATAACGAGGAAGGTCCCCGGCATGGTGTTGAGCGATTCTTGATTTGATTCTTGATTCTTGATTCTTGTTTGGTTGGTTGGTTAGTGAGATGAATCTCAGTATATAGTTATGAATACCAATGAATGCCAATACCATTTTACGAAGTGAAATGGGAGAAATCGATTTTATGTTATTTTTGTTTTGATGAATGAAGTAAATAAATTGCCTTGTAGTTGACTTGAGCACTGGCTGAAATAACCATAACCAGATAAATATAATTAACATGCGCTCGACTCTATTGAGAATTTAGATACGGGCCGAACAGAGTATTCTACAGAACGAAGGGGGAGTGACTAAATAACTAACTATGTGATGAATTAATCAGTTAGAGTTGATTATTCAGTATACTATCATTATTATTATCTAAAATTATCTCTTATCTTGTGGATATTTCCACATCTAGGTGTTACCATTTTGGGTCATCCCATACGAGTATCTACTGGAAGGAAGGAAGGGAAAAGAGGGATAGAGGGATAGAGGGGTAGGGCTGGTGGTGTGCAGTGCCTCCTATGTATGTACATAATTACATATGTGTATGGTAAGGATTAGGAATGTGGACAGGGAGAGTAAGGTAGGTAGGAGTCTTACTCTGACGATAGAAGATCACATTCTCCGCGGGTGTGTCCGAGGGATGGATATAGTATATCTAGGGCGGATGCGGGGGAAGAAGGGACATATATAATATAAATATTATTTGTTTAAAATATCATCACGTCCCCTTGTGTCATTGTCTCACTCGCGTCATGTTTTACTATTATTATTATCGATTTCGGAATATTTCTCTATTGATTAACACGTGGATTATTTAGAAAAAATTCCGTCCAGACAAGAACTGAGACATGAGTATCTCTGTTCCCCGCTTCGGATGACGAATCGAGTCTACATATTCTTCTGTTCCTTGTCTTTCTTCTTCTTCATTTCTATTTCTGGTCTTGTATGTGAGAGGAAAGCGCACGGTACGGAACCATGGGTACGGTATTATCTCCTGTTCCTGGCGTTGTACTCCCTGCGTCGGGTCGAGGTTTAAATACGTTTTTGGTTTTAGCTTTTCGGACTGGAGGATTGTATTTACCCGTAGAAGGGTGAAGTTTCTGTGTTTGGTTTGATGCTCTTTTGAATAAGTGATGTTGTTTGTGAAATCGAACTTGATGAGAATTTTCTCTGTGTATTAGATAACAAATTGCAGGCAGAATATGTCCGAGGCGTTGTTAGCTTCTGTAGCAGTGAAGTGTATGGTGTATCTTGGGTCTTGGCTCTTTTTGCTGCAAGGGGAGCGCCAGACGATTTAAAGTTGCGCACAAATCAAGAAACCAACTCTGGTGGGGTTTCTTTGTCTTTCTCGTGGATGTTGTTCGTATGCAATTCATCAATAGATGGTGAGTTAGGTTGTGTGTTCGTTATGTGTTCTTCAGCGGTGGTACCACTTCCAAGTATGGATATCGTTGAGCGCGTTGACTAAATAGCGCACTGGGGAAGAGAACGTTAGCAACTACTCTAGTCTACCAGACAGCTGCGATCACTGGATGAGGATGCACCAGGACCTGTCAGACGCCATCAAGGTCGACGCGAACTCGAGGCCTAATGCAACGGAAGGGCGACGTTGAAGCTATCCAGACAGCCATGGCGCATCGTTTCTCCTGTCTATCGTCGTGGCTGCAGCAAGGGCTCTCTTCCAGTTTCGCTAGGGCCATGTGAGCTACATGCACGGTTGGACTTTGACCACACTGCATACACTCCAAGGAAAAGTATCTATGCACATTGCACATTGTTTGTTATCTATCTTGGGCAAGGCGAGTCTCTCTCGGTTGTCTTCCCCTTCAGCCGAGTCGCTGGACCGAGACCAGCAATGAACGAGCTTTTCACGGCGGTTTCAAGAAGGGGAAGGATGATAGATAGCCAGGATCTGCTCTCCCTTCATTCCCCAAGCAGTGGAGGAGGAAAGTGTTAACCATGCCTGCTATAGGGTCCAGTAATTAATTCCATCACGTCACAACAACCGGCGCTGATATTCATTGCTTCAAAGTTCGGATCGACCTGGTCTCTCCCCACCGATCGCGCGCTCAAACTGGCTTGTTCCTGAATCCTGAGAGCAAGCGAACAGACTCCCGTAAGCTAAGAGAGACGGCGTCCTCGACCAGACCCTTTTCAGGGGTCTTTGGGATGGACGCTAACTAATTATTACGCTCTACAGATGTTCGTTCCCCCGTCTTTGCGCCTCCCGTTGAAGACCCACGACGCTAGCTGGATTCCTGAGATCGCGAAACGCAAGCTTATTGACGTACGCTACCATTGAAACACCACACATACTGTTCCTGTCACAGACCAGAACTACGACACGAGAGATTGAGAATCCTCGAGGGACCACTGCGGGTCGTGATACATCTGCTGCACCGCACAGGCATCCGCCAGACGGACTACACGGACTACTGGCCGCCATGTGTCCGCTCACAGACGCTACCTCTGCTCCCCGGTCAATAGTGAATGCGAGATGATTGCACTGGACACATCGATTGTCCAAGTCTGTTTTTTTCTATCTTGGTCTGATAGTGCTAGACTTAGATATGGCCCCCAAGACGATCTCCAAAATCGGCGCCCTAAGGCAGCTTGCACCCCGGAATTCTCGGGCTAGCTCAGAGTTGCGGGAGGGGCAGCTCAAGAAAGTAAGGATGATCCGAGACATTCTGAAGTCTTTTCTGTCTTGGTAAATGTGTCATGCTGATAAGAACTGCATGCCCACTGTCCAGTTGCAAGGGGTAGTGCGACTGAACAGGACCCTTGAGAGCCCGCTCCGTCCACGAACCCACGTGTGCCAGTGTCCCCATTTCCATATCTGCGCGGCGCTGAAGCATGGATCGTGCATATCCCTCTCCCATAAAGGCTTCATAACTCCTTGTCAGGAGGCAAGCGTCGAACATTTCGCTCAGCAAGGCCCCACTGAGCTTTCCCCTCCGACGCTGAAGTAAGGGATCCAGCCTCTCTTTGATAAACGCTCGGTCTCTCGATTTTATATCTCCTGTCACTCGTACATCGGGCATGGTACTGTGGATGTGCGGGGGAGATAGATCATTATGCATCCTTCATCTGAGCAGACATCTCGCTGCGAAAGCAGCTTCAGCCTACACAGCACAGATCGAAACATGAATCTTGTCGCCGACCGACAGAACATGAAGCAAGCTCACGATGTTACCTTCCTTGCGGAGAATTCCCCAGCCATGCTGCGAAGGTATGAATCAGAAGAGGAGGAAATATCCGAGGCAGAAACCAACGGGAACGGTCGCATGTACTCGCCCGTCGACGCGGACAGTGATATGGGAGCTTTTGATTCGGAATTGAGCGCGGATGAGCAGGCCTCTGACGACGTCCAAACCCGGCAGACAGGCAATAACCGCAGGAGCATGCTATCGCCCTTTCTATCGAGCGGTCAGAAGTCACGGCCGGTGTCGATGGAGACTGTCAAGCGAAGTAGTACTGCGACCTTCGTGCCAGGGTCCTTTTATAAGGACGAGGAAGAGGTCATGTCGCCTGCAACGCCTTTGACGACTTCCCCTATGCCGTCTCCGATCCTGAGAGGAACCGCGGTGGTGGTTCCTGCAGATGCACCGGAATCAGAGATGGACTTGTATCATCAGTCCAGCAACCGTGACAGCATGTCTTCTGTTGAGGATGCCGATTCGTCGTTGCTCGTGGCTACCCCGGTTATGTACATGATTCCTTCGACGCGACCAAGCCTGATCTCCATCGCTCCTTCGTCGAACCGCACGTCTCCCACGAAGGAGGACAATGCAGCTCGCCTCAGACGGGGCCTCAGCAAAAGCAGTCGGGGCAGCAGTGGACGAAGCAGTACAAGACCAGGGAGGAGAACAAGTCAAAAGAGATACAGCTCGTTGTCTCTTGCTTCGACGCTATCTGCCGAATCATATACGACGTCTACAAACTCCCAGAAACAGGCGAGACGGTCGAGCAGCCGTCCATCAAGCATGGGCGGGGCTACTCCTATGCATGGCCGTCGTCACAGCAGAACCGAAAGCCGGAGCAGGAATCGAGAAACCGCTCTGATCGAATCTCCGACGCTGGGGTTTCTCGCAGGAGAGCCAAAGCCGGGAGAAGAGACCAGTGCTACGATAACGAACTTTTCTGAGATGCCCCCTATGCCTCATCCATTGAGTCCCCGGTCAATGTCATTTTCGTTTCATGCTCCTCTAACCTTCTCGCCCGAGCGGCAGTCAATCGACGTTTTTCCTCAGTCGCAACGTCCTGCATCCAGCCTGGGACCATTGGGTCCTCGGAGAATCTCGAGCTTCGGCACCGTGGATACAAGCGTGACACAGGGTCAGAGGTCGTTTTCTTCTGACTCTAGAAAGTCTTTCAAGCCATCTCTGTCGCACAATCTTTTCAGAAAGGGACCCCGACGGAATCCCAGATCTATCTCAATGTCTTTCCGTCCAGTCGAGGGTCCGGAACCATCTCTCACAGCAAGTCCTGTGTCCTACACGTTCTCGCCTGACTCTAGCCACCAGCGTTCTGTATCAACTTTTGATGGGGATATTGGTATCGGTCGCCAAAATGCAACCTACCCTTACGCTAGGGGCTCGAGCATGCTATATACGCCTCTAGGCGTCCGTTCGTCGTCGACCATGGATCTTGCATCCACTCTGGACCCTATCGCAGATCCACCCTACGATGCCGATTCTGGACCAAGTTCCAGCAAGGAAAAGAGCCAGAAGCGTACACAAGATACGGGCGATAGTCGAGCGGCGGGCAAGAGCTTTATGGGTATCCGCTTAGGCCGCAAGAAGCGAGTCCCTACACCAACTGCCGATAACATGATCTGAGATCTATGTGAACGGTACTGATGTTTTCATTCGATTGCATTTTAACCAGTCTTTCGAGTGCCATGTGGCCCTCGGACTGCAAAAATACAAAAATTTCAAGAAGTTATGGATAATGTATGAGTACGTGTGCATGCTGACGGGTCATGGGAGGGGAAATTATTTCATCTTTTTGTGTTATTACTTCATTTTGAGATTTGGGAAATTGTCCTGTGGGATACATTTGCTTATCGAATCTGCTTATTTAGCGAGAATATACCATTTTTTGAGCCATTTGATGATATTATTTAAACCATTCGAGATGTCTGATGGATACCGTACCTTCTTTAAATCTGTTCCGAAGTGCTTGTCTTGGTCCGATATAGCTCATGCAACTATTCCTAAGACAGCCGACTGACCAGGAGCTTCCCGTATGCAGATTTTCTCGCAGATGTTTAACTGTGAAGGGGCGCTCTCTACCGCGGTTGGACCTTGTGAATACCATGGAACTTTCCGACTGTTTTTATTCGGGCTGTCACAGCGTCTCTACCGACTGTCGCATTGTACCATTTAAAATATCGCTGCGACGTGGGATCGTCCGGCGATATATGAAACATGAGAGGAGCCAATTATCCCAGCTTCTAGGCCTTGCAAGCACCGCGAGGACATGGGTTTGCGGGGTACCCCAGACGCATAGTTCAGAATAAGTACAGTACCGGAAGATCCGCGGCCAAATGATCGCCAGACGGCCTTTTAGATTTCCGTCCAAAAGGGAAGACTAGTATCCATTCACAAAGGAGGCCAATTCTTCCGTTTCATGAGATAGCTCCCTGCCGTATTTGGCGGTCTTTTGTGTCACGGGCTGGTGAGCACCGTCTGGAAGACTATTCATGATTCTTCTGGTCGATGTGTATCACACGACAGCACATACATACATAGGTAGTGTTCAGGCACCGTCCCTTACCGTCAGCGGTGGAATGATGTGTCGGGACTATCCGATGCTCTCAGTCAAAACAAAGAGTATTGATACTCCTGGACGGATAGAAAGCCGTGCTCACTCATATTGAAACTAACTACCTATCGTAGGACCATTCTAGAAACCGAATTCGAGAGCAGCTTGCCGATGAGCTGTGTCTGTCCCGAAATTCTCGGGAACCGATGAAGCCGAGTCAATGCCACTGCTGAGTCTCCGAGAACAATAATAGTCACCAATTGACTTCCGGGCTCTTTGCATGGGCGAATGTTATCCTCTGCGCCATCGGACGTAGCAGCCCGGCTTTCTGCCCGAGATGGAGAATTTCTCGTGACAGACAGGGACAGGGCTCGGCCCATTGGCTTTGATGCTGAGCTAACATGATGCTATCGCGATCTTCCGGAACTGGAATCTTGCCAACAACGATGACGATGTCGACAATTGATTCTGGGCCGTGGCGAGCATCAGATCACGTCGTTGGTCCAGCAGCCGCTGACCAACACACCGTAGCAGCTCTAACTCCATCGGTGGTGAGGTGAATTCTCACCTTCGAAATAATGGTCATGGCCCTTTCGTTGCTTCATGCGCGAAAAGAAACATGTCGCTCGTTCTTCTAATTTCTGTTCCTGAACAGATTCAATTCTGACGCTTCTCTAAAGGTTTCCAAGCTGTTAAAGACACCACTAATCGCCGGACGAATGTGGATAGCTGAGAAGATCCTCCAGGCAGTGTTCACGGTCAAAACGAAGGAGATGGGGAGTACTGACCTCGATAATCCACTATGGTGTCCCTGGGGTGAGCGCCTGCGCCATATAACCTGGGGTTGGTACATGATCACGATGAGCACAGGAGGCCTAGCCTTGTTACTTCACAACACTCCGCATCAATTCAAGGGCCTTTCTACTATAGGAGTCATTGTCTTTATTTTCAACCTTGCCCTCTTCGTCACTATCAGCATCGGTCTCATATACCGCTTCGCTTGTACCCCATCCTCCTTTAAACGGTCCTTGACGCATCCGACAGAATCCCTCTTCTTTGGGACCTTCTGGCTCACTCTGGCTACAATAATCAGCAACATCCAAGTCTATGGTGTCCCCTCCTCGGGGCCGTGGCTGACCGTCGTGGTCCGCGTGCTTTTCTGGATATACACAGCCCTGACCTACCTCGTGGCTGTTCTGCAGTACTGGCATCTCTTCAGTGGTCGTACAGTGACCCTTCAATCTTTCACAACTGCCTGGATCGTCCCCGTGTTCCCTGTTATGCTAACGGGAACAATTGCCTCTCTCGTTGCAGAGGACCAGCCGCCCGCGCAGGCCATTCCCATCATTGTTGCAGGCACCGCATTCCAAGGCCTCGGCTTCATCGTCGCCTTGCTCATGTACGCAAACTATATCGGTCGCTTGATGACAGGAGGCTTTCCTGACCCAGATACTCGTCCAGGGATGTTCATCGCCGTTGGACCTCCAGCTTTCACTGGTCTCGCCCTGTCTGGCATGGCAAAAGTCGCGATATCGAAGTTCCCAGTGCACTACGTGACGGGAACCAGCAACGTGCCGACAGCTGAGGTCCTCCGTATCATCTCCGTCTTCATTGCCGTCTTCCTGTGGGCCGTGAGCTTCTGGTTCTTCAGTATCTCCGTGCTCTCGATCCTCACCTGTCTCCACGACTTGACCTTCCATTTGACGTGGTGGAGCTTCATCTTCCCTAACACGGGTTTCGTCCTGGCCACGATAGAGATTGGGAAAGAATTAGGAAGCAACGCTATCGCAGTCACCTGCAGCGTGCTAACTGTCTTGATTGTCGTCGTGTATTTGCTGGTTGGGATATCGCATATCCGCGCGGTGTATCGGGGAGAGATCCTCTGGCCGGGGAAGGATGAAGATAAGGCGGAATAATGGGGGAGAAAAAGCATCTAATTTGGCATGAGCAGCAACATCTCTTCCTGATTAGATTGTGTTAGATCTGAAGTCTACTCGTCTTTAGCGTTCTTTCTTTCTTTACAGCGACTTTCCACTTCTTACGATTACGTTTACATCTGGATACCACTGCGTTTACGAATATTGTATGTACATAGATAGACAGACATACACGCTAGATGATATGGAGAAAATTCGTCTTTATTAATCTACTTTCTCTATTCTTGCTGAATTACTCATTGTATCTGCAATCAATCACTCCCTATTCCCTGGATTCTCTACATCAAAATCAAACCGGTCCGGAATGCGCAAACCCTCCCGCTCATATCCCCAATCACTATACCGCAAAACGGCCGTCCCATCGCGCCACAGCCACAGATCCCCAGTTTCTTCCTGCCACTTTTCCAAAGCAGAACGCATCTCCAACAGCGTCTCCTTATACGTTGGATCGGAGGCTAAATTCCGTACTTCAGCAGGATCATTCTCCACATCGTACAACTCTTCCGGTGGACGACAGATATAATCCTTCAGTGTTCGTGGACCGATCATTGCTGGTGTCGTGGGAGTGCCTGAGTTCCGCATCCCCTCGAAGGATAATGAAGCATACAAGTCCATTGCGAAGGGGAAGTCGAGTTTCCAACATACGTTTCGATGGTATTTGTATTTACGGGTGCGCATGAATCGCGTCGGCCAGTAGTTGGTCACTTCGTGGAAGGTGTGTGAGCCGAAGATGTGAGAGCGGTCGAGATGGATTTCTGTGCTGTGGACGATAGGCAGGAGGGATCGTCCTCGACGTGGTCCTGCGTGTCCGTCACCGATGGGTCGGTCTCCATGTCCGGCCCAGTCGAGGAACGTGGGTAGGATATCGATGTACGAGATGATATTGGAGTTCACGATTCCTGATGATGAGGTCGAATCGGATCCAGGCACGCGTAGGAGAAAGGGCAGTCGTACACCAGCATCATATAGAGTTGTTTTGGAATTGATGAATGGCGGACCATTATCACTGAGGAATAACACGAGTGTATCCTTGTCGGCATCGCTGCGCTCTAACGCTTTCAGAACCTGTCCTATCCCCTGATCTAACCGATGAATCGACCGATAATACTCTGCCAGTTCTTGACGAACTTCTGGTAAATCACTCAGAAAACCAGGCACTTCGACCTCATCGGGGGTGTAAATCCGATCGTCAAGACTGGGATCATAATTCCCATCAACATTCCCAAACCCACCACGAGACCCCAACGCTCGATGCGGATCGATATAGCCTATAGTTAGAAAAAACGATTTATTCCTTCTCTTCGCCTCGTTGAAGAATTCCTCCGCTTGACGCGCCACCTCCGCCACGTTCCTGGAACTACTCTCCCGTCGAACCTGCCATGGATACAAATGATCCGGACTAACGTGTACCTTGCCGAGAATACCAGTATAGTAGCCTAATTCATTGAAGAGCCAGGGGGCGGTCTCGACGTTGGGGAGAGTTTGGAATCCATTCTTCTCTTTGACGAGTCCGTAGCTGCCGTTCTCGTGGGTGTGGAGGCCAGTGTAGATGACGGTGCGACTACCGCTGCAGGAGGCGGTGCTGGTGAATGCCATGTCGAATTGCGTTGCTGATGCGGAGAGTGCGTCGAGATTGGGCGTTTGGACGGATTTGCTGCCGTAGCAGCTCATTTGGGCGCGGCCCAGATCGTCGGCGATCATGAGGAGGATGTTTTTGGGTGGCATTGTCGATAGGGAGTCTCTTGTTTTATGTGATGTTGAGGGTATAGACTAATATGATAGGAATTGAATGATCATAGCGTTATGAGAAGTTATTTCAATGACTGGACTTTGCCAGGATGGAAAAGAAAAACACCAGAGACCTGCCCCGGGTAATTCGAGTACGTGTACTAGAGCTCAGTTATAAGAACGCGAGTTAAGACCCCGCAGTAGAGGAATATCAGATCAAACTTAATGGACATTAACAAGAACGATGTTACATTGTAATAGGTTACGAATAGTCAAACTTCCCTGCTTAGATCGGGGACTAGAGAATTGCGCAATGGCCCCCGCATATCATTCTCCCAGGGGCCGCGTCATATTTCTCCGGCATTAGTGGCGTGAGCGAAGTGGTATATTCATGTTGGGATTGGTTTTTATACAAGGCTAGTGGTGCAGATTTGGTTGGTATTCTTTTCGAGAGCTTTTTATTGTATATCATATGCTAGGGTCCAGTTCGTTGTTCAATATGACTGCTCTTTCTTAGATGATTTAAGGCTTGAATTAGATTGAACTTTTCAATTAATCGATACTTGATAGTCGATTCTAGTGTGTCGGCCGTCTATCTCTGTATATATCATGCAAGTATTATATATCCGGTATGCTTTGCCAATCCAGTAGATACGAGTTATCTTTTTTCTTCCGTATATGAAATGACCAAGGACGTGCTTCCTATTGATCATTTGGCATTATTCGAGCTCGACGCAACGTTGGTGTCGACATGCTCGTCATATTCCGCAGAAGAGGAAACATCCTCGATCGTTGTGGTGACGCCCTTGCTGTCGATGAAATGCGATATGCGGTTCGCCGGCAACCATTTATCCTCTGGCACGATGAAGTAGGAAATGAGTGCAAAGATCGTAACTCCAGCCATGATGATAGGTGCGTCTGTATGTTGTTAGCGGCTGCTTGGCTTTTATCTTTTATATGAAAAGTGATGGGATATCGAAACGTACAGTTCAAATTAGCACCTGTCACGGGAAATTCCCACGGCGAGTATAATATTGCGACGACCCATGCGTTCCAGAAAATGCCAATGAACTGAAATGGCTTGCTCCATCGACCTAGACTCCATCTCGGCTTGGGAAATCGCTTAGGCGTGGCGAGAAGCCGGCCGAGGCAGATGAGTCCGTACGCGGCTGCCGAGGGGACACCCGCCGCGGAGATCAATGATGTGAAAGCCGTGCTGGATGGCAGGATAGTGCAAGTGACAGCGGCAGCAACAAACCACACAACTATCACTGCATTGCGTGGCTGGCCGGCAGATGACACGCGCGAGACCCATCCAGAAAATGGGAGGACGCCGTCACGGGCGACGGCGAAGACCAAACGGGACGAGGCAACAATGGCAATGGCGGTGTTCTGGATGTATGATGAGCTTCTGGTAGTACCACTAGGCGCTTTGATGAGGTGTTGAGAAGGGAAATACTTACAAACCAGAGAGCGATGATGCAAACAATGTTCATGAAGATATGCCCACCCTGGCCCAGGACCGCCGCATATAGAGGCACAAATGGCTGCGGTGCCCCGTAGCTGAAGAGAGTATCCGCATCAGGCTGGAGTCTGTCAGTTAGTATCGGTCCAAATCTACCGTCTTGGGATCAGGGGAGAGACGCACCGCACAGAACAGGAACAAGATAATAGTAGCCAATCCACCAAATCCACTGACGACGGTACTCCAAAAGATACCCCGGGCAGCTGAAATGGATGCGTTCTTCGTCTCCTCTGCCACATGACCAGAAGCATCGAATCCAATGAGGATTCCAGCAGTCGCTAGGTACGACAGACACCAGTTCCAGCCAGCAGGTGCTCCAGTGCCGTTATACGTTGTCATGAACGCCTCATGAGCGGTCCGGAAACCCCATGTGTTGTGAGCGGCGATGGGCAGCCAGATGATGTTCAGCACGAAGTCGAGCAGAACAAAGGCCGAAGAAATATAAAAGACCCAGCGGAAATATTTCGCTAGTAGACTATGAATTCTTGCTCTCGGATATGGTCATAGAACGGCAACTTACGGGGTATAAAGTTGATGAGCGCAGCCAGAGCCAGGAGCACCTCGGTAACAATCCATTGGACGGCACGGAACTTGACATTGTCCGTGTCAGTCGGGAAGTCGAGGTTGAAGACGTTAATTTCCTGCGTGTTGCACGGTCAGAACCCTTTCCAAAAGATAGGGATGATGCAACTCACCGAGAGCATATAATTAGTAGCCGCCTGAGTGTTACCTACAGCAACCAGTTAATTATACAGCACATCATATGGGCGAAGGAAGGAGGGAGGCATATGTCATACTAGCACAGAACGTTGTCCAGGCAGTAGTACTCCACCAGGCGACAACGAAGCCCAGCAGTCTTCCGAATCGGGGACCTCCGGCCTCTGCAGCCCACAGATAAATGGAACCTGCTGAGGGAGACGCAGAACACACCTCTGCGATGACGGCAGCAGTGATGAAAGTGAAGACCATGGTCACCAGGTAACTCGTCCTGGAAGGGGATTTAGTCGGCTGTGATTCGACATCAAATTGGTCAGACTTACCAGTATGCCAAGTTACCACCCGCTGCAATACCGGTACTGAAAGTGACCCTAACACCTCCAACAAAGTACAAAGCCGCTGGTCAGAGATGTTAGTCTAGCTCATTGGTAGAGGACTGGTCATGATAAGAGATGTTCACACCGAAAGTTGTCGAGAAGTTTTCCAAAAAGCCATATGCTCTTCGGAGAACCTATCATTCATCGTCCATCAGTTGCTGCTCACTGAAATCTCATGACGGCTTCTGATCCGTCTGCGCAAAATACATACTGGCTTGTAGCCCATCGTTCTCTATATTACCTCGTTAGCTTTATCGTACTGATTATTACTCATGGTTCATGCAAGTCAAATCCAGATCTATAGATCTCTTCTACGTACCAGCAACGCAGCGTCATCATTGGCCTCCACTTGGCTTCTGGTCCCCTCGCTCTCGGCGGGGAAGACATCCCGATCATGTACCGCAGCGTCTGAAGACATCCTTGCTGGTTTAGTTCTTACACCGGCTCCAGCGGTGGATGTGAAATACCGTCGAGGAGTTTTTCCCTTCCTCGCGGAAAACTCTACCGGCGCAAAGCGAAGACAAGGAGGAAGAAAACCGACATGAGAAGAAAAATGTTTGCCGCTAATTAGTTATCACGGTGATTGCGATCAGATCGCGGGTCCCACCGACAAGCTACTTTTGGATAGTTAGCGCGGAACAAGAAAAGTGGCGAGAGAAGGTTCGTAAATTGCAGGAAAAAAAAAAAAGAAATAAAAATAAAAAAGAAAGAAAGAAAGAAAGAAAGAAAGAATTGAGCCTCCAAGAATCTCGAACGTGCGGTTCTGGGCGAATGACAGACGGATTAAAGAAAAGGGACCTAATGATCTAACTTTGCAGGATACCCAAGTTAACTATCATAGATACTCCGCATCGAGTAATTTCGGCGCGGTCCCGACGTTGACTAAGCGAGGGGAAAGACATCTTCCATAAAGCATAGAGCGATGTTGGAGGAAAATGTCAGATAATGAAGGTTGAATGTAGTAAGTAACCAAAAAGGTTGAGTTGCTAGGCTGTTGATCATCTGCCAGGTAAACATCATGGAGATAGTTGGGAGGCTAGAGACAGGCATTACGGACATGGGAATACTAACGTTAGTGTATCAGTAGATCGCTGCATATCTATCACTCGTTCACTGGACAGGGGCGCGGAATATCAGTTTAATTTTAGAAGAAAGACAGAAAATGGCTGGCGATCATTTCCTTTCCCACGAACCCCCTCTTCAGCTGATGTGTTGACATTGTCAGCCTTGCGAGGCTGGCGATAATCCCGCCGTGACAACTTACCGGGCAGTTACCACCTAAGGACTTATATAAATCTTTCTCATTCTTCTGCGAATCTATCCGTCGCTATTCAGTATGGACCAGCCTTCTATTCCTGAGCCAACAGGGCTGGCTGAAGCATGTGCTAGCGGCTGGCACCAGGAACAGATAACACGAGAATAGAGATCCCAAATGCGTCTACCTCTTCGGGCACATATTGGTGACACTGACAAAGATGGCAGAGTTTCTAGCGACTGTCAAAAGGGAATACGAAAAGCGTTCCTGGCGCTCCAGAGGAGACGTCAGGGGATTGTCTGTCCTTCCCGAAAACAGATTCGGAAAGGTGGTCGATAATGAACAGTCTTGCCTCAAGACGAACAGGGGAGAGACCTCAGGCGCATCTCTCTGTTTGGCTGCGACAGTCGTCGTTCTGTTACTCAATGTCGCTCTCACTGCTGTCGCCGCGTCCCGCGCTGCGACGTTCGACGGCGAAACAGTCTACGAAGGTGATTGCGGACGGGTCCAGAGGTGGTTGACTGGTTTCAAATTCCTCATAAACGCCTTGGCCACGGCTGTTTTGGCGTCTAGCAACTACTGCATGCAGCATTTGAGTGCGCCTTCCCGGGCAGAGGTAGATCAAGCACATGCGCAGCGGAGGTGGTTTGATATTGGGACTCCAACTCTCGGAAATCTACGTTATATGGGCTGGACACGAACAGTGCTTTGGATTTTGTTGTTTCTGACCTCGTTTCCCTACCACTTGCTGTGAGTCTACCCCTGTCATGGTCTACAATCCAACACGACAGATGGCTGAGTCATTGCGATTTCGGTGAGACAGTTACAATTCAGCTGTGTTTTCTTCACTGGCATCAAATGCATATGCAGTCGTTGTGGTTCCCCAAGACATATCAAGCGGTACTTCTTCCACAGCCTCTGAATCTTGTTTTGAGAGCCTTGTAGGGACGAATGTCTCCAACATCCAGCAGATGTATCAAGCGAACGATTTTGAGATACTGAACAAGTCAGCGTGTATCAACGAATACGGTGTTCCTTTTCTGAAGAACCGACGGACTCTTTTGCTTGTGACAGATAATTCTTCAGTCAGAGCACCAGGTCTCTGGGCAGGAGTAGGCAACCCACCTCTGGGTGTGGATGGAACTCGCGATGCTTTCAGCTGGATGTGCAGTGAATTAGATGAGAACGATCTTTGCGAGAAATCGTCCGTCTTGAACAATAGTGATAACTGGGCAGTCAGTGCCCTGCCTTTCGCTCAACAGGGCTTGGTGGTGGCCGCGAGGAATGGATCATTCAGGTTCTCTGGGTACAACTATACCACTGCCGCCGAGGATCCCTCATTGCCGCAATGGGTTCAAGAGAATATACAGATCATAGGTATTGCGATGAGTGGATGGTTTCCAGATCCTGGCAACGACTCATTTTCAGTGTTGAATGGCAATGATTCATATTTAGGGTTGAATTATTTGTCCCTATCAAATGGACCATCTTTTCTTTCACAAATAACAGTACAGCAGTCAAATTCGGTCTGTGCATCTGAACAAAACCCGGGATATGAAGCGGCACAGCTGTATCAGAATCAGCCGTATCCGATCGACCATTGTCTGAGTCAGAGAGTGAAGGAACGTTGTCGACTCATGTACAGTTGGCAAATCTGCATAGTGGCTATCGCGTGCAATGTTATCGAGACTTTTTGCATACTCTTTACTGTATGGCAAAAGAGGACGGGGCTCCTGCTTACCGTCGGCGACGCCATTGCTTCGTTTCTCAACAAGCCGGATTCCACAACGCTGTGCTGCTCTTGGATGGACCAGAGGGCAATGAAACGTTTTATATCCCGCTCTAAATCAAGGCCCAAACGCACGCTGCTGATGGCAGTATTCCAAAAGCTTTGGTCAGGCTCTGCCGTTAAGGAGACTGACTGTCAGCCATCTGACGTCGTACGCTTCGGGTTTTTGCCGCCTCGCAAATGGTGGTTCCAGACAACAAGACGACGAGAATGGGCTTTATTTTTGTTCTTGTGAGTTGGAATCTTTAGAAAGAAGGTTAAATTACCCGACGGTTAACGCTTCTACACAGCTTTGCTCTCTGTATATGGGCTGCCTTTATCTGTTTCCAGACTAGTAGAGATGGAGTTTTCGATTACATCCAAAAGGACGATATCCATACACTATGGAGCTTGGGATTTGGAACAACGCAACCCGAAACCCTCATCCGATACCTGAATACGTACAACTTTCTCACGATGATACTCCTGTCAAACAGCCCACAGCTTATTCTATCCCTACTCTACTACTTCAGCAACAGACTACTCACTCGTATGCTCTGTGCAGCAGAATACTGCAGTTACTCGATCCACCGGAAACCACTACGCGTCTCCCGACCAGAGGGAGTGCAAAGGTCAACATATTTCCTCAGTCTGCCATACAGATATAGTATCCCGGTTATGATTGTATCAGCTGTCTTGCACTGGTTGCTGTCGCGAAGTATTTTCTACGTGCGCATACTCCAGTACGATCAATCCGGGGTCCTCGACAAGACGAAAACGATTTCCACGTGCGGTCTCTCACTTATGCCGATGATTTTCACCATCTCCTTAGCGGGGCTTGCGCTGGCGATATTATTGGGACTTGGACTGAGGAGATTTCCGACGCGCGTGCCACTGGCTGGAAACTGTAGCCTTGCAATTAGCGCTGCTTGTCATCCGCCCCCTGAGGACCAAAATCCAGCTTTGAAGCCTGTCATGTGGGGCGAGGTTCAACTTGGGGATCCTTCTGGCGAAGACGAGATATGGCAGAGGACTGAGTTGGATGATCAAAGTTTGACCGATGAAACCTCCAATCCTTTGTTGAATCGAAATGAAGATGCGGTTGATCACCAGATGGAAAATATCGATGACTGGGAGACAGCTAGACAGCCGTACTGCAAGAGAAGCTCTGCGATTGCTCACTGCAGTTTCACTTCGATGGAAGTCAAGAAACCGGATCCGTCTAAGCGGTACGCATAGCGATGGTGCCAGGGTTGTGTTGTTATTTCATGTTCATCAAACCGATAAACTTGGTTGCTCAAATTGGCTCTGAATGGTCGAATTGACGGGGCAGTGGAAATATTTTCTGGTTTTGTGTCTCCCGCCTGGAGTTGGAAGTCCACAGGTTGGAAATTAGACTCATCCCATACGACCCTGGGCTTTTTTCGCCATTTATTGGTCTTTTCTTCTTCCGGAAAGAGACGCATCGATACTCACATACTCTGCAAATACTGTTTGGAGAAGGTGGAATACATCTCGCCTGAGACGCAGCTGGATCTGCTTCTGAAATGTAGGGTGTTTATGTTTGTCCAAAACATCTCTCAACGTCGAAGCAGAAGAAGTTCCCATATTCTTGATATAATTCTTTCCTCTATATATGGCGAATACCATAAAAGATTTTCTTTGATATGGAATGGCGCAACTGTTGAAGCATGCAAGGAAGGTGAGATATAAGGTAGATTGTATAAGGGTCAGAAAGAAGTGCAGGTAAAGCCCAGGCGCATGGAATTAACCGATCCTTTTTTCCGTAATAAGATCTCAAGCTGAACTGATAGGAAGCTTGAATTTGGATCCTGAATAAGATATTAATAACTGGTGATAATATTCAGCTGTAGTATTGGTCTCCAGCGAATCCAACATATGTTTAACCCGCTTGATGCCTATCTGTTTCTAGCGTTAAAACACTATAAAACACTATTACCGGATAATAATGCATATGCACCTGGAGACTAGCCAAATAGCTTATTTACCATGCATAGCTGTCTATATGATCTATGTTCTAAGTTGTCCCATTCATTGAGATATCAATAGCCTTTCATGATAGAGCTATTAAGTATAAACACAGATTAACTCGATACCACCGGTTACTAAATGGTTACTTTCAAGCGGTTTACAGGCCTCAAGATATGCATCTTGCAGGGTGAGGAGGGCGGCTATCTGGACATACCGATAGTATCAATACTCTAGGATTAGCAAACTAGTAGGGTTTAATCTCTAATAATATCCAGCTCTGTCGGGTATCATACATTACATATATGCTGATTCTGGGTTAGAAAAGCAAGGACCAAATCATCGTAGGGAATCTTTTAAAAACAGTACCACCCAGTCATTGAGGTTCAATCCATAAGCATCGTTCTGCCGCAATCGCCAGGTCCATTCTATAACATCGTCATGACACCAATCATCCCAAAGCCGGACATGCCGCATTTCCATCTTAATTAATATATGTAGGCGCTTTCGAGATAAAAAAGTCCTTGCTCTTGAAGAGCACCACCATCCAACTCCACGGAGTCCATCCCCCTAACTGTCCCGTCCCCGAAGATCGCCCGACAGGTACCAGCATTGATGGTTTCTCGCTGGGCTTGTAAGTCATTCGCTTTCCTCTGCCTGTGATCTCAACCTTCAAGTTGTTCACCACCACGGTAATCTGGTCTGGAATTCGCGAGAGGGTACGAAGCGGGTGTTGTGTGATATCCCCGACCGCATAGACGTATGTTTTGCGACCATCTATCACGGCCGCGAGGGCACGGAACTCGTTGTCGACCTTAACCCAACCATCCTCATTGAGGAACGACGACGGGATGAATTCGTTATTCGGAAGCACTCCTGTGGCCGATACATATTCGTCGGCCGAAATCTTCTCACCCCCATCCAACGTCACCGTCCATTCTTTTGAGACGGGATGCTGCGTTGCTTTCTCCACGCTGCGCGAAGATAGGACACGAACGCCCCGCGCCTTCAGGAGCTTGAGGGCTGCCGATCCTGTCCCTGCCTTCAGGGATGGCAACATCTGTCGACTGGCGGTCACGAGTGTGATATCTTTCCGATCGGAGAAAACGTCCACCAGCTCGCCGGCAAGCTCGACTCCCACAGGGCCCCCTCCTCCAATGATTATACTGCGAGCAGCCGCCAAGGTCTTCTGCGCCTCTGCAATGGCGGCCTGAAGATCTTCTCCTTCCGTGATCTTGAAGGGAATCTTCGTACTTCCTTCTCCACGAGTTGCCAGAGAAGTGCTGCCTGACGCGATGACTAGATAGTCATAAGCAATGGTAGAAAACTCTCCGCGGCTGTCAACTGTGACCGTCTTTGCACCGGGTTCGAATTTTGTCGCCTTTCCCATCACGAATTGGAACGAAGCGGCTGGGTACCGCTCAAAAGCCTCGAGTATGGAGAAGATATACTGCTCTGGCGAGAAGGCTTTCGGTTTCGCAACCACTCTCGGCGCCGCAACATTGTAATAGTATGTCTCGGACGGGTTGATGAGGATGACCTTGACTCCAGGCACTTGTCTGAGAAGACCATGGCTCACAGCGACCCCCGCATTGGAACCACCGATCACGACGACAGTTACGGGCTTAGCAGATGCCATGATGAAAAGAAGAACCGACCCTGAGGCGTAGCACTTCTTGTATCAGAACGAAGGCATCCGTACCCGAGTCGAGGTCCGAGCGGCTAGAGACCGTTGACAGATCCAGGTGTCTACTGCCAAACGGACACTGGATGCTTTCCCTCAGAAATGGGAAAATCTGGCAATGCAAGAGGATTCCGAAGGGCGCAGTAAAGCGATCCTTTATCTGCTCGCCGCTATCTGCTCTCTTCAACGTGCCCGTCCCCTAGGTCTCCGTTAATTACCAAGACAGGCAACATAGCGGCCCCTATTATTTGCCCGAGACGCTCGCTAGGCGCGACCTTGTCTGCAGCAGAAAACTAGCGTTCAACAGTGTCTGGGAAGCTTCAACGCTGGAAATTTGAAACAAGATAGTGACCGACGCCAGACCCGATTTAGCTTGGCTCTCTGATACCATTATAGCTCTCATCTCCCCGGATTTCTCGGCCTGTTGTAGACTCGCATTGAGACGTTGACTGCGACCGGCACGAGGCTGATGTGGATCGTATCCCAAACGATTGTCGTCATTGACATGGAATAAATATGGCAGGGCAACGACTTACAAGGCAGCAGATCTTTGCGAGCGCTTCATCAGCTGGACTGTTAACCTTATCGTACCTTCTTGATCCTTGGCAAGAAATAGAGCGCTATAGCTCTGGAGATGGAGAGTCTATGAACGCTTGGGCATCATTAATAACAAACGTCGACCCACAGGTGAACAGTAAATAAGTAAGACAATTACGACTTGGAAACAATGATATGAACAGGATATTCCGCAAGCGAGCATGGAAAGTTGAAGGTCTCCGAATCCCTAGTCTCTCTTAGGGATAAGATGCCAACGATGGTTTGACAGCCAAGAGTCGCAGGTCGCCCTAGATCCCAACAGGCCCCCCTGGAGTCCTGGACCGCTAAACTTCGGGGCCGCACCGGCCCCTTAGAGCGATAGAGATTAAGCTAGCGGTTGCTAACCTCGCCAAGTGTCAATAAGAGCTCCGGGCTTTTGGCCGTCTTGGGCGAGGCCCGCGCCGTGCGATTTAGCAACCGGCTTGTATCCCGTCTGCTAGAATGTTGATGTGTATGCATCCGGTTTGCAACATACAAGAGGGAATCCGACTATAGAGAAGCAATAGTTAAGTGCGCTTTTTTCTGTCGATAATCCTTGATAATCCCCGGACGCTATAGTTAGTTAAAGCACGAAGCAATCATGGAGTAGTGTGCGCAATAGTGGGCTAGACCATTGGGGAATCCTCAATTTGTAAGCGGCATGAATGATGATGGTTAGTTAAGATCCAGTGGAATGATAATAATAATATAGGGCTGAGCAAAGAGAAAACAAGGTTGTTTCACAACTTATAATTTCCGTCGGCAAAGATTTTATCCCCAGCCTCTATCCCCGAAAGCCGAAATCTTCATCATCTAAAACTAACCGTCAACAACTCAGCTACCGGCTGGAGAATTATTTTCGCCCCTAGCTGGTGATATATGTACTAATTTGACATACCTCGATCATTTCCCTGGAGAAAGCCTATGTCTTCCTCGTGCGCTCATTATTGCCCCACAATGAACTGGGGGTGATATTAACTTCAGATCCATGGATGAGATCGCCGAGGTGGAGAATCATTAACGGTTCTCCTGCTGATCTCGCGTTTCGGCTGATAAACAATAATCGAGTCGTCCTTATTCTCCGGTGGATTTTGCTTTTCGATGTGGCAGGTGCAATTGGGGATCGTCTGCACCAAAAAAAAAAAGAAAAAAAAAAAAAAAAAAATCCCGATTCGATAAAGCTGATGGAAGAACCATGGAGCATTGGCCACTCTGACAGCCTATACTGGTGATATATGCCGTCGTTACAGTCTCGTTGGAATATCCACTCTCTCATACATCAAGAGATATTTGAGTTCCTTTGGTCTGTCCCGAAGAACATGAAGGCCGAGACACTGCTTAAGACAAGAGACTGGCTTGGGCATATATGGCAGGATAAGTCTTGCGAAGCTAAGTCCTGCCATGTTGCATTTAGCGACTACCGTTGATGATAATGAACGTCTCCTCATTGGCGGCAAATATCCTGGCGATATCCAAAGGAGTAGAAAACAGTGTCCATCTGAACGCACAGGATTTTCGCTTTTGAAGGCCAGATATGCGGGATCGAAAGTCTTCACGTCCGACCACTTGCCGGCAACGATGAGAGTCGGGATTTTGGTCACCAAGTGAAACTATGTGGAGATAAAGAAGCTAATCGAGACAATCCACCAATACACAATCTCCTGAAAGAGGCGTTGCTCAACAAGCCCATTCAGGACATAGTGCAATTTGTTCTCCTGTGCCTTCTAGGCTCATTCCTTTGCCAGTTCTTGTCGGACATTGAGGGAATAACCCTTAGGCGGAGTACACTGTAGTGTAGTGTATAAACTACGCTCACTCCCCCACAGATTGGTTTACCAGAAAGGACTTTTTCATGCGAAACGTGTAATGGACAATGGATAAGCAGACCTCAGAGGCCAGCCATTGTCATCTCACGGGTCTCCTGCCGTCTTTAGTAGTTCAGCTGGTTAAGGTATGCCGGCACTAACTCTGTCGAGGCAGTTGTTTGATAGAAGAAAGTAGCGCTGCCAATATTGACAGTTGGAATAATCATATCCATCAGGAAGCAGGGTCCAAAAGGCTCAAGACATATGAGCTGATCAAGCGATGGTACCGAGATTCGGTAATGATGGATTCGCTAATGATGATCGAACGAAAGCTGACTTTCCTCTAGTAGTATCGAACGACATAGGTGCAAATTGGAAAGATGGCCTCTCTATTGAAAGGGTCATCTAAAATTAAACCTCGAGGTTTATCACATTTACTGTTGATCCGGCTCTCCGGCATTACCATGGGAGAAGCACCCACAAACTGGCCACATCGGCAAAATCTAAAAAACTCTGTCGGAACCACGAATCAGACCCTATGTTTGCTAGATATAAGCATACGTGGTGCATCGATAAGACAATAGAGAGATCAGACTCACCGATAATCTTTCGAGGATCGATCTCACAGGTACTTGGGTGATTCAGATCAGGGGGCAGAATCACTATATGACACAATGAAAACTTACGCCACTGTGATCAAGGAAAACGTCAAGAAGATTCAGGACGAAGACACCCCCAGCATTGAAGCATGGGCCCGGTGAACAGGATCCTGCTTCTCAGTAGAGAAAACAGAGCTGATCCACCTCACCAGGCGGAAGGGGTCTGCTGCATATTCGGAATGCTTATTTGTGCAACCTTCGCACCAGCAATCAAATAAACGCTTGAAATTAATCACCTTACTTATCTTGGAACGGCCACACTCGGTCCCAGGCTTCCCTCTCCTCTTCATTCTCGGCCATGTGATCTAAAAACTGCTTCCTCACGGTGGACAGCTTTCCTTTCATCTGACTGTAGTCTTCGTGATTCACCCAGCCCTGCCACCCGTTTTCTGAGCCACCCAAAGCTTCAAGGACGTCTTCCATTAACTGCACACCTTCCTCCCACTTTTGCTGATCGACCTCCTGTGCCGCGACCTCGGTTGGTGTCACAGTAAGCGGACAAGGAGGCCCGTCTTTTGCCTACTATCCGATCCCATTCATGCGCCACCTGAATTAATTGGCCTTTTACGATCGGCTCACCGTCGTTGAAAACCTGCGAAACCAGCGAGATGATCTGACCTCCAAGCGTGCTGGCGTAGCGTAGAGCCTTGAAAACAGGGGGATTTTGCCGCGCAGACTGTATTTCATACAGTTTATATAGAGATTGTTGTGCTAGCAAGGTCTTGGCTCGCTCTTTTTCGACAAGACTTAGCTCCTCAAAGTTCTTCGGTAAAGATGGCACTGAGAGACCATCCGGCTCCTTTGGTCCGTCAAATTCCAAGAATGCCGGGGTTGTGGCTTGCTGGAAAAGCGGTGCTATATGTACTGACTGCCAGTCTATGATAGAAAGTATCTGCGATGGATCCGCCGGGTCGACAAAGATATTGTCGTGATGAAGATCGCCGTGCCATAGAACCGGAACGTGGACTGAGGTATCTTTGGGAAGTAGATAGGGAGCCACCTTCTCAAAATCGTCCAAGACCGCAAGCTTTGCATCAGCCGTGGGTTGGTAAGACCTCGGCCCACCGAATATTCCTTCCGGTTTCGGGAACTTTGTGGATCGCTGAATGCATTCTCGTTCGCGCCGGGCTGAGGCGAGTATATATTCGCTAGCAGTGCTCCCTATAGACGCATAGGAGTTATCAAAAGGACCGAAACGCTGAGAAGCAGATTAAATATGGAAAATAAGGGGAATACCGACATGGCCCTTTGTCTGAATCGAAAGTTCTCCGTCCGTCTTCCAAAAATTTTCGGTCTGTTGTGGGACCGACAACAAAACCAGAGTAAGCAGTGGTGGAGAACTTATCTTGCGAACGCGCAAGATCTGTTTCATAGTAAAGGCTTCCAATGTTCTCGAAGTGGTGTGAAAGAAGGCTCCGCTCAAAACCAATAATACACTGTGTCAACTGGTGCTTTTCTTTCATGCTCATTGTAGGCCACTTGGAGCTTAGCAGGACTCCGTCACTTTTCTCCATGATAATATACTCAGCGCCAACAGGATTGCCAGCGGCACAAGCATTCCACGCATACACCTTTGGGGACGGGATTCCGGCGATAGTCCTCATCCGTAGGAAATTCAGCTTCGTTCCATATTTACGGCAGTAGATTTAACGTACAAAGTCCATCGTCGCAGCCTCACTGGCGGTGGTGTAGAAAGGCAGGCCAGCATTGGGGTTAGGGACCTTAGCGACGACTTGCCGCCCGTCACACATCTTGATAAGGAAAGCCTTATTATAATTCCCTTCCGGAAGCTTTTGCACGCCAATACATGAAGATAGGCTGTAACCTAGACTTGCAGTCGCAACTCTGACCAGTTCGGTCATGTTGAATTTCACGCGTCGGTCAGCAAGCTGCTCCGCCTCATTAAATAGCCAGCGGCCACCAGTGTAGTGATAAAAGCTATCGTCATCCCAATAGACATCTAGATAACAATTAGGTCCTGTAGATTAAAATGAGATCAGACTAACTAACCTCCAAGACACGATGACATGGTCAATGTTCGTATCTGATGTTGCGTTGATGAGTGCACAAAAGATGTGATCAAAGAGCGAGATGTGCGATGAAGCGCAAAAACACACCGAAGGGGAGAAAAACCCCGATTTATGGTGAGCTGCATATCTCTACAGCAGCTTATACCAGCAATATTCACAAGATCATAGTATCCTTTAAAAAGATACCTAGGTAGGTAGGTTGTGGTGTTCTAAAGCTTGGAGCTGCGAAACTAGTGCCACATACATACGCTTACTAAGGGTCGGATCCAGCCAGTCAGCTGTCTTGCTCACATTAACCGTATCCATAGCCAGCGATCATGACCGGTAGTAGTTCTAGCGAACATATTCTACTTGGAAGATTTAATTCGAAAGACATGAAGTGTATGCAGACGTCAGTCTAGGAGATATAGGGCTATGGACGTAGGTCCAAATTTGAAGGGTGTCTCGTCACTAAGTAGCGTAAAAGGAAACATCCTAATATACCGCCTCGCCAGCGCTCAGCGATATGAAGCAAGCTTCAGAGACTCACCATTACTAGAAGCACATCGCCCATTTCCTGTTTCCGCAAACCATGGGCCTAGTGTCATCGGCCGGGAATGACTTAAATACCTCTCCCTCGCTACCTACTGCTGTCTTACACATCTCCCCCCGAAAGTCTGATAGTAATTTACCCTTTTTTCTGATCCAGCCCGTCATGGATATCCTGCCTCCGCCAGATTACCCTCCTGTCAAGCCGACCGAGTATCCTCAACTCCCAACACGAACGCCACCAGCGACACTCGAACAACTACATGCTTCTTGCGTCAGTGGTGATCTCCAGGAATTCAGGAAGATTCTTGACTCACAAAGTTCTTCATCGGAGGGCTTTGATATTTGCGACTTGTCTACGATAATGAAAGAAGCCATCAAACGAAACGATGCGCAGTTCATCAGAGAGCTTCTCGATCGCGGCTTACCTATGGATCCACTCTATGCATTAGAAGCCGTCAAAGTGAAAGGGAAGGATATGCTGAAAGTTTTCCTTCAAAACGGATGCAATATCAATCAACCCGTGAGCGAACTTAGGCCTCCCATACTTGGGTGAGCATTCCAATCATCTTGACAATGTGTTGTCAGGGCTAACGATTCTTCAGTTATGCTATTGCAGATGAGGATATGGTAGCTTGGCTTCTTGATCATGGAGCTGATCCCAATCGTCAATGCGTTATTGATCTCACCCCATTCTCGTTTGCTGTCGAAAGCGCCCCTATATCCGTAATCCGCCTCATTCTCAGCCGTGGTGGAGATGTTCAAAAGGGCCAGCTTCTTCACCATGCAATCGAACGAGAGGCGGATGCTATCGAGGTCTTAAGGCTTCTCGTCGAAAAAGGAGCGCCCATTAATGCTATTATGTACGAGAACCATTATCCTTCTCGGGCGTTATTCCAGTTTATGGGTCTCGGGACAGCTCTGCACAAAGCGTCTGCACTCGGCAAAGCTGATGTAGTGCACTATTTGATCAGCAAAGGTGCCGACCAGAGTATAAAAGATACAAATGGTCGTACAGCTATGGAGTGTGCACAAATGTCGGGCCACAGAAAGTGATCGAGATATTAGAGGATGTGTGGTAGCTCGTCTCTCCCGTGTTCAATTACGTATTTTTGGGCACCTGTTCTCCTAGGCTTTAAATGATATAGTTTATATACCCATTGTTGCTATGTTACCAGAACTGAGAACTACAATGTTAATCAACGTTTAATCAGCGCGGTGATATGCAGTGTTATGTATTTGAAGGGTTAGTATTTTGTGACCGAGCTTTTGTAGAACACGCACAGAACGATCATCTCTGAAGTAGATCTTGTACTTAGTTTCTCAGTCTTTGAGGAGAAAAGTTTTCAAGGCTTACATTAATGGCAAGTCCGTTCCGTACGAGACCGCAGAAGTCGATTTTACGATCTCTTTACTAATTGGAAATGCAGTGTTATGGTAAAAGCTCCAGGATATCCCGTTTTATATGAAAGAGAAGGAACGTTTATGAATTCGACTGCATCAACCGATCACCTTATATTCGACCTTTACGAGAAGTGGGGGAGAACAACACTGATCGGTGCATGGTTTCTGAGTGGATGGATCATGATCTCTGGTCTTAAGGGACTTGTTCGGGCTAGCTTTTGTTAGACCACTGGCACAGCCCTTAAGGATTTGAAGTAGCTTACAGTTAGAGAGTGGCTCATGGTTATAAGATAGCAGCAAAACAGTTTTGGTGATCTTGGTTTGTAGTAAAGAAGATAGATGGCTTGGGAGTGGTTAAAAGGACAGAAGAATAAAAGTATGGATACCTAACTGACATGTCACATGGAGATGACGGAGACCACAACAAAAAGCTGCAGGCACACAATACTCGAATTTGACTTTGTTTTTTCACTTTTCTTTTCTTTTCTTTTATCGTCCTTTTTTTTTTTGGAAATTATTGTGATTAATAGTATTTTTATCATATCAATGTTAGCGCGCATTCAAGGGTACTAGTAGTAAGAATATTGCGAATATCGGCCTCCAGTAGTTATTTTTTCTTCGAAAGAATCTCCAGAAGGGATCTATATTTCACTCTCCTCTATCTGCACGCTGGTTTAATTCCGATAAAGCAAATTGACTTTATGAAGTTGATGGTCTAGCAAAACTCGATAAGTGACAGTAATAAACCTGTAATCTGAAGTGAAACTTGTTGAGCTTGAATTCTCTAGCAACTAGCTCGGCCCATTTATCTCTGTGGGTGGAGCTAGAAAAGCGTGGGAAAAGACCAGTCCGATTTCTGGGATACGATCCACTATATTCTTTTTAATTGCTATACCGCGAGAAACTAATAAGTATTAGGTCTATTGAAAGTTAACATATTCTTCATCATGCAAATTGGACGCCAGTCATACTCAAGTTCGGGTCGCACATCATGAATAGAGTGAAACAGGCGACTGCTGAAAAAGGTTGTTATGCGATTTATAAGTGCCGAATAATCCTTGCAGATGCCTTGGTGTTCCAATTGATAAGATGCATCTTATATAAATTCACCTAGCATAATAGTAGCATTTATCAGGCTAGATGAGCAATAACAGATGGATTATTAAGCTTTAATTGTAGGTTTATGTTATGAATAGGAACCCGCATGAAAGGAATGCCAGCGTGTTAGAAAAGGTTGACTGACAAAGAGGCTTTAGATACATATAGGAGTCTCGAATCCAGAGCCTGGAGGATCACGCTAGAAATGTCATTTTTCTTCGAGAAAGGACAACGCTAGACATATTCGAAACAACCAATTAGCTAGTGGCTGTGACATACGAGACTTCGTCTGGGCTGTCTCTCCTGATTCCAGTCAAGCCTTCTACATTTGTTTAATAAGCAAATCCTTTGGAGCCAGTGTCTAGACCACCACTAATTTCTGACGGCAGGTGGAGGGGCCTTGATGATTTCTCGCATATTCACTCACTGAATCTCCAGGCTGGTTAGATGGAGTTTATTACAGTTAGCTGCCTTTGAGATGAGACCTGGGCCCTCTTTAAATCATAAACAGTACCTTTTCTACGCCATCGAAGGCTGCAAGAAGGATAAATATCTATTACTAGCAAGAATGCTAGCAAGATTACTGTTGACCTCAATACATGCACGATCTAGCTACTAAATCAATTAATTCTTATAAGCGTAACTCCAAGCTGTTAAGAATCCATTGACGCTATGAACAATATTGAATAGTTTATCTTTATTGGGTTAGAGATTAATGTGCTGTGTTAATCATAAATATTGGGCTTTACAGCAAAGAGGTTGAAGGAGCCTTGAGGGAAACAACCCTCAGCGGTATTTCTTACTGACTTCTTTAGGTTAACTCACCAGTCCAGCGATTGAAATCTACGTCTGGCAGTTCCCTTGTCTCCTCAAATGTATCGAGTTTCGCAGGATTACAACATGAGCTTGCACAGCCCTGGTCCGTCAGATTTTTCACTTTGCCACATTTCCTTGTAAACGTTTAGGTCGCTATTAATGCTGAGAATCAGAACGTCTATATTGTCGGTGTCAGCTGGGGATCAATTGAAAAGAGGGAACTTGATTGATTACTTTGAAACCCTGCTTCCTTTAGGTATCTTTCTTAATTGCCGACCTGGTTAGCCCTAGCTATAGAGCCAACATACAAGGAGAGATCTTTTTTTATCCCCGTTTGAGGCTCGTGTGTTGCAAGGATATCGATGATTGCAACCTTGCTGTTGCCCCCTATCTCAGGAGGATTTGTAGCCTTCTGTAGCCGGTAAATGAACGACTATATAATAAACTGACAAGAGCTGGATTGTTCCCTTATCATTTCAGTCTTTCCAGCCAATTCGCCTCGCTATAAACCTGACAACATAGACAAGACTAAGCAGTACCGGAACCTCAATCAACGGTCCCACAGTGGAGGCAAGCGCTTGATTGCTGTTGGCACCGAATGTCGCGACAGCGACAGCAATGGCAAGCTCAAAATTATTGCTGGCAGCTGTGAAACTTTGCGTGGCACTCAGCTTATAACCAAACCCAAGCTTGTAAGTCACAAGAAGAGTGATGAAGAAGACAATAACAAAATAGACGATAAGCGGAGCGGCAACTCGTATCACTGATACGATCTGATGTACCACCTGGCGGCCCTGAGACGCGAACAGCACAAGGATCGTAAATAAAAGCCCAAGAAGTGACCACGGACTAGCCCATTTCAGGAAAACCTGGTCATACCAACGCTCGCCAGCGATCTTTCGAAGGATAATGCGGGTTATGATTGCGGCACCCAAGGGGATGCCAAGGAACACCGCTACGCTTTCAGCAGCGGTCGAATAAGATAGTGTAACCTCACTGCCCGAGTGACTGATGACCTGAATAAAGAAGACGGCCAATGGAGCAAAGAGTATCATCTGCAGCAGTGAATTGATTGCGACGAGAATGGCGCAGTATTCACTGTCGCCGCCAGCGAGACCGGTCCAGATAAGAACCTATTAGCAGGATATATGTTAGTATATATCCTCACGAAACGTAGAGAGTAACACGTTAAGAAAAACACTTACCATAGCGATACATCTGGCTAGCCCAACGAGAATTAAGCCCTCCCGAAGCTCTGGTTCGTCCGGAAGGAAAGCCCATGCCAACCCCAGCTACAATATGGAATGTCAGCAAGAATTATCGTCACGAGTCAAGTACTTCTGCCCTCTTACCATCAAGAAAGGAGCGATGATCCAGTTAACAAAGATACTAAACGCGATCTGAATCCATATCCCCCGGTCTCGGAAGACGTGGTGTAACGATTCATATCGCACTTTGCAAAGAATGGGATACATCATTACCAGGAGACCGATTGCTTGTAACGTGTCAGTCAAGTACTATTGCTAAGAAAGTCGTGAGTCAATACCAATCGGAACAGAAACCCCGACAAACTTCCCCTTCTGAAGGGCAGGGCCCGTCTCTTCCACAAAATTCCCCAGTATGATTCCGATGGCCATGGCAAGAAAGATCCATACGGCCAGAAACCGATCCAACCATCCAAGACTCTTGAAGGCTGATTGTTTGGACGTACAATCTTCACATTCGCTTGTTTTTTGCTTTTCGGCATCCTCAGTCGTGGGACTTGTCGACTGATTATATAGTTCTGGGTTGTGAGATTGCTGTTTGGTCTTCGCAGGGAAACCTATGCAAGGAATTGTGGTAACCATCGCCAGCCGGTTAATCGTATGAAATATTGAAGGAAAATTGAAGTGGATTTCAGTGCCTCTCAGAAAATCTCCATGGACAAACAGAATGGAGTCGTTTGTCGAATATAGATCAGAACAATTTATACGCTAGACTTGATCTGTCCAAGATGGCCAATCAGACGAGGCGAACGACACTCAGCCTCGCTTAACCAATCATCGATGGCGAACATGTCTCCGGGCTTGTGGTTTGTCATGGACGAAAATCCAGCATTTTCCCCTCTGGATTTTCGACCACTTACAGCGTTGATGTGACATGCAGTTGCTGTCTAAGATCTATAAGATGTTTATATCAAAACAGTGTTTGATGACGACGTCCTATCCCCGTCGTAATAAAGTCAGGCCACCAGCCATCAGCTCAGAGTTGCTTATCAGCGAAAAATGGAGATGTTTATCCAAATAACTAGATGGTGGTTTCGACTTCAACAATGCGTGCTCTATTACAGATGCGAATTTTTCTTCTTCTACATACAATTCGAATACGAATTACGAAAATCCACTTGCCAAACGCTACTGAGTTGTGGGACAAGATCATTATATGACAGAACGTTCTAGACTGAAGAGTCATTTATTTTCCTCTTTTGCAAGCTATTATGTGGTTTACAAAAGCCTAGAACAGCCTCTTGATGTTTCTTCTTTGCATGCACGAGTGGAAACATTGTCATCTCACTTTTTTTCTTGTTTCGTAATATATCTTGGAGATATCTGCCCTTTATATTCGCCGAGAACTGCTATTGTGATAGCATCGTCCCTCCCATTAACAAGCCACGCCACAACAACCACTCAACGGATAACACGAAAGACATTTCGTACCCAAAATGCCCAGCGTCTTGTTCGTCTGCGTCCACAACGCTGGTCGCTCCCAAATGGCTGCCGCCTACCTGAGTCATCTTGCTGGTGATACTATTGAAGTCCGCTCCGCCGGATCTGCCCCAGTCGACTCTATCAATCCCATCGTTGTCGAAGCCATGCTCGAAGAGGGTATCGACCTCCGCACCCAAAAACCTAAGAGTCTAACCCCCGACGCGGTTCAAGCTAGTGATGTTGTCATCACCATGGGTTGTGGGGATGTCTGCCCCTTCTTTCCTGGCAAACGTTATCTCGACTGGCAACTTGATGACCCCGCCGGGCAAGGCTTAGATGTTGTACGGACTATCCGTCGAGCAATTCGTCGTCGCGTCGAGAGTCTCATCACAGAACTTCAGTCCCATAGTTCAATCTCTTAAGGGTGCTTGTACAGGTCCCGAGCCCGCCAGTGGCATGGCTGTTTCTGCCTCATGTTCTCTGAGCTGGGGCTGTTGCAGCTTAGATTCTCTGGCTAGCTGAAGCTATTGATCTGTGCGATGACCTCGCTAGGCGCAAAGGCACGAGCAGTATATCTAACCGAGTCAACTGACTCGCGTGCCAGAAGTCCTGAGATTTTGGTGTACATCATGTGAATATCTAAAGATTTATTTTATGAAAAGTATAATTAGGCATAAGGAAGCCGGAACTCCCTAGTGGTAAGATTCTTGCTTTGGATGCTGATATTGGTCGATTCCTTAAGGGCATGGAAACTGTATAACTAGTTAGGGGCAGGTGGGTAGATAATATAAGACCTAGTTCATCGCAACACATCATCTTGAAATTTTCGCCACTAAGCACCTAATGACAAGTGTTAGGAAGACTGGACTAGCTACCTGCCAATCAACTATCACATAGTCTGAGTCTGATAAAGATCATAGATTATCCGGCCAACATATGTTATATATATCCAAGACGATTTCGACTGGACCCATTCCGTCAGGCTCTATTCAACTCACTCACCACTCACTCATAGCTAATCATCCTCTAGACACATTGCCTCAACACATTGACAGGGTAAGAAAAAGAGGGACATGTCATGAAAGAAAAGTGGAAATATCCTCACAAATATGGAAATTCTCCGAATGGATTGGAGCGAGTATCGCAGATATCTCAGAACATTATGCTGAATAAGAGAGAGCGACTGGTAGCAGAAATGCTAGTGCTAGTGATAGTAATAGTAAGGAGCGGCGCACCGTGCAAAAAAAATAAAGGTATAGGAGTAAACACAATCTATAGGTATAATACTGTGCGATGCAGCAAATTCAGAAAAGAGAACATAGAAAACGAAGAAGAAAAATAAAACTATAGGAATCCTCAAGTCCAGACTCTGACTACATTGTTGGGATAAGCGAAGAGCTCACGCATGCTTGATTACCATACCATTTCCCTCAGCAGTGGCAATGAAAGAGTAGCAATGGGCCTTCAGTTGTCGGCCTTAGGGGTTTGTTTCTCAACCTCTGATGGTCGCTGGTCACTGGCTTGAGAAGGAGATGCTCTACCGGCAAGGTTGCTCTCCAGCTGGGCTTTCTCCTCGTCCGTCGCGTCGGAAATGTGGACAGCAACTTCTTCACCGAAGTTCTTGGCGATCTCCTCCAGGGAAAGACGGGCAGTTTCAGGGAAGAAGAAGTAGATAACTGCAGGGGTTAGATGTTATTATCTAGGGATCGAGTTAAAGGTCGAGGGGATGGTATTCTTACTTGGAATGAAGAAGGCAGACCAGCAAATGATGACCAGGAAGTACTTCCAGTGGACATTGTTGAAACCGATGGGGGCGGTTTGCAGCAGGATAATGGTAGCTATCACTAAAGTCAACCAGTGACCGTGTTATTGCGCAACATGTAAACTTACCAGCAAACTGTCCAAACAGCGAGAAACCCATACCAATGGGGCGAATCTCAGTTGGGAAAATCTCGGAGACATAGAGGTACATAGTGGTGTCACAGAATGTTCTGCACATGAGGTTGTCAGTTTTGTTTCCAGAACAAGCTAGATAGGGACACATACCCTTGGAACGCGAGATACAAGAACATGAAGAAGATACCAAAGCCATTTCCAACTTTGTTCTTGGTGCCAGAGTATTCAGCAGTCATAGCAGCAAGGCAAGAGGTAGTAACGACCACTCCAATGAATCCGGTGATGTACATCTTGCGACGGGAGTTGACCCTATCGTGCAGCCAGGCGCCAAGCGGGTTGTAGATGCAACCTTATAGTGATCAGTTTGGCGAGAGCAAGAAATCGGTAGACTGAGGAACTTACCAGCAGTAGTAAGCCAGACCGCGCTCAGAAGAAGAGGCATACTGCCTGTCATTCCAAGGTTGGTGTACAGAAGAACAGCGTAGTTGTTCTGACTGTGGTTAGCTGGTTGATCTAACTGCGAGGCTGGTCTAACTTACGATGATCAGGGGCCCACCGAATTCTGCACCCCATTGGGTGAGGAATCCAATGATCATACGCTTCCTGTAGGACTTCTTCTTCCACACTGCAGTCCACACGCTGTGACCGGTGGCAGCCAGCTTCTCAGCTTCGAGCTGCAGCTGCATCTTTGTCTGATGGAACTCCTCCTGGGCAACCAAATCATTAGGGTCATCAGGAGAAGCACGGAGGCGCTTCAACACAAGCAATGCCTCGTCCATTTTTCCTTTCGAAATCAACCATCTCGGGGAGCGCGGAAGCCATGGAGATCCCAGCAGCAACACCAGGGGTGGGAAGCATTGCAGACAGAGGGGGAACCGCCACGCAAACGAGGGGATTGTATCCGTAGCGTAGTAGCATGCAAAGCCAACCCAGCCCGCCATCATATAGCCAAAAACAAGAAAGATGGCATGATGACCCACCAGCCAACCGCGACGATGTGCACTGGACATCTCCGAAAGGTACATTGGGCAGACCGTTACTAGGACACCAATACCCAAGCCACAAATGAACCTCCCAGCTTGAAACATCCTGCTTTATGTCAGCATATCCAGTACAAAGCTTTACAAGGACGACTACCGTACTTGAGATTCGCTGCTCCTCCCTGAAGAGCTCCTCCAACCATCGTTGCCAAAGCACCCAGTTGGATGTTCATCTTACGACCTAAGTAGTCGCATGCCCACATAATAAACAATGTGCCAACCGCGCCTCCGGCGCTGAAGACGCCATTGGCGGTAGATTCCGCATTGGTTGTAGTTGTTGCATATCCAGGACCCGACTGAGGGAGATTGAAGAACTCAAACCATCCTGGTTGGCCGATAGTACTACTGATGATTGAGGCACAATAACCGTAGGTCTATAAAATGGTCGTCAGAACTTCTGCTTTTATGCACTGCCAGAATAAGACAGCGAAATCTGGCGTAGCCAAGGTGGTATCACTTACCAGGGATCCAATTGCCACAAAGATTGTCACCAGCCGGTTGTACGGGCTGGTCTGCGTTCCGAAATTAGCCATGGCTGCGGAACGCTCTCGTCAGCCAAGAGGATGAGATATTTTGATCGAGACGGAGAAAAGGAAACAAAAGCAGAATGTATCAGAAATTGCACGCTGCAGGGGAAATTAGAGAAGAGGGAAAAAGTGAAAGGCAGAAGCAAGACATCCAAAGTTCAGCTTCCGTTTCACAAACTTCTACGTCTCTTCCACGAGCAGACAGGAAGATGATCTTTTCAAATGGACCGGGGTATCTAGCTCCTAAGTAAGTTAGGCCCTGGTCCTACTACTCTATATCAGGCTCCTTGTTAAGCCGATGACAAGGCCTGGCGGATCAATTCCGTCCAGACTGTCCAGACCATGTTCATCTCTGCTTGACTGCCAAGTCAGGGAAGGTTCCGCTGATCCGTCCAACGCTGCTCATTATTAGCTAGAGTACAGCAACACGCGTTTCGCATTTTTCGGATCTTGACAATCGTATGGTGACAGGCATGATGAGCAGACCCACTGCTTTGACTGCGAGAGAACCGGGAGTATGGGAGCCGAAGTTCGTTCAGGAGACGGGACGATGAAGGGGGGGATTTGCCAGTGAGATTATCGATATCGTACAGACATTAGCTCGTGCAGCTGCAGAAACGGATGAGCGTTAAGATTACGGATTAGAGACTTCGTACCCCGGTCTGAGGAGGCGATGTCGATCGAGTAACTAGACTTGCGGCTTGCGGGGGGCCGAGACTTGACGATTGTTTAGCGCTGGTAGTTCAGTCTTGCGCCAACCGAGCGAACCAGGGGTCCTAGCGGTAGCTTAACATAGGTAAAATACGGCGAACGACGAGAAACTCCGTTCTGTGCCGCGGAAACGTTCAATTGTGGTTCCTTGGAGTGTGTGGCTCCTGTATTGATGCCGTACAAGCTGCCGCTGAATGTCAGTGCATTTCTGAAGTATAACGCTGGAAAATGACTGACCTAGATTGCTACCCTAATCGGTTATGGAGTACGGCATTTGTACAGTAGATTGGTGTTCAGACCCGGAGAGGAACTGTGCCGATGCGATTTTCACTTGGGAGTTATAGATCCCTTTCTGGGTCAACGTCCGCTGTCATTGTTATCGCGCAAACGATGCCGAACCCTGTCATAAAGTCTCCAGTTGACGCGCCAACACTGCTGGGATTGACTACGGACTACGGAGTAAGCTGGCAAGTATTCCACGCGACATTATGGAGTAACATAGACCGTCTCATTGGTCGGTTTATATTACCTATCTCTCCCCTTCTTGCGCAAATGAAGTGTGGTATTATTACCTGGAACTTGTGCAGCAGAACAGACAGCGCAAATAGAGCAAATCTAATTCTAACAAATAAGAGCGCGCAAATTTAGCGATGTAAATAGGACAAATCTAGCCAAACACAAGATTACAGAGCTTGGAGATCTAGTTCTGATCAGCGTGATAGGAAAGCAATGAACGATCACATGGGTGACATTGGAAAGCAAATAACCAATCAAAAGATAGAGCTAGACAGTTACTAGTGTTTTGAAAAGCCTTTTAATTGATCCATTACCGCTGTCTCTCCTTTTCTTATATAAATCAGATCAGGGATTGAAGTGTATTCTACCTGGAGCTTGCGCAGTGTCTGGGTCCTTTCTCTTTCTGTTCGTTGCGTCTCGTGGCAATATTGAGAAACATTATCGTCTGACCATGTCCGAGAAATCTCCCTACGATAACCCCTTTGACGAACTCCCTAACCCCAAGCAGGTATGGGTTGGGAAGCCAGGGAGTCGTGAAGAAGGGCTCGGTAAACTGGCCATCTTGACTCCTGAAGTAGTGGCGAAAGCTGCTGCGACACAGATCAAGACAGGCAAGCGAGTGACCCTGGGCTGGGATCTGACAAAGCTGGATTTCCCAAATCTGAATCGCCAACCTTGCGAACACAACATTATCCCGTTACTCGGTGGGATAGCCTTTGATGACGTTTATACATTCAACCCTCGTAGGTATCCATCCTACATCATGCCGTGAGGGCACCAAAAGTTGATAGTTCGGGAAAGAACAGAGTAGCCAGTGGGATGGCCTTCGTCATTTCTCTCAGACGGTGCCTGGTCAGGAGGAGAGACTGTTCTACGGTGGCACCACCAAAGAAGAGATCAATGACCGTAAAAATCACCGTATCGGTCTTCAACACTGGGCCCAGGAGGGTATTGCAGGTACGAAAGCCTCTTAACAATGCATTTCCCGGTCGAGTTAGTCTGATATCTCCCAGGCCGCGGGGTCCTCATTGATTATGCTTCCTACGCTGAAAAGCGAGGCATCAAATATACCACTTTCTCGACTCATCAGGTGCGGCTGAGTGAGATCCTAGAGATTGCGAAGGAAAGTAATATCACCTTTGAAAAGGGTGATATCCTCTTTGTTCGCATCGGTGTTACAAAAGAGTGGGATACTGTCATGACAGATGCGCAGAAGCAGGTCTACTCTGATAATAAGAATCCTCACCACGCGGGAGTCGAAGCCACAACCGATGTTCTCCGCTGGCTCTGGGATTCAGGCTTTGCCGCTATCGCTAGTGATGCGATCAGTTGGGAGGTAAGCAATGTCCATAAGCGAGAAAAAAGCAACCATGTTTCAACTGACATCCCCTTGTACTTACTATCTAGGTCTATCCACCTCAAGGTGATCTGTTCCTGCATGAGTACGTGATCGCTGGTTGGGGAATGCCAATCGGTACGTGTATCGGTTTCCTGGAATCCCTACACACAACTGTTCATGAATTAACCCACTAACTTGGACTGTAGGCGAGCTCTTCGACCTAGAAGCTCTATCCCGTGTCTGCGCAGAGCACAAGCGGTGGAGCTTCTTCGTGGCATCTGTGCCACTGAACATGCCCGGTGGCGTTTCGTCGCCCCCAAACATGATGGCTATCTTCTAGAGTACCCCATACGGAAGCGCAGGATTGAGTAGAGACGATGTCCCAATTCCACGGTACGTTGTAATTCACTAAGTACGTATAGTGCGTGATTCGCACAGCTTGGACCTCAGCCAGAATCTCAATCCGCCAATCTCTCAAACTACTCGTCCGTCTTTTTCCGAATCAACCGTAGTACCTTTACCTAGTGTTTATAAGTCTAGTATAATGTCCTGCATTGTTGATCGATTCCTCCCCTCAGGCAATATTATTACCTGCAGAGGGCAAGGATTTTTCATGAAAAATCTTCTGTGCAGAAGAAAGCTTTTGCCATTCGAATACTGGTGCGTATTTCGCTTGCCAAGGGCCTTGGACAGTCGACATACCGGCCACGTTACCCGTCTGAAGTAATGATCGACTCGTCGATCATACAGATATTCAGTGCGGTGGTTTCTTTGGGGAAATTCGCAGCGCAGCTAGGGCGCTTATGGGATTCAGATCGTGCGAACGCAAGGTCAGAGCACCAGTCTGTGTGAGCGATCGTATGCATGCCCTAAACTAACGAGCCCGTGACCAAGAAGAGGTTTTATAAATGATTTCGGATGTAAGAGTTGAATCCCCTGACGAACAAAAACGCCTCTCCCGCTCATGGCTGACGATATACGGAGTATTCCGCTGCACAGCGGATCCAAAGAGGCTCCCTGCACATTGAACATTCACCCATCTCAATTGGCGACGCACCCCTGATCCTGGAGAGGGCTTAAAGTGCAGATCTTATGCACAGAGCTTTTCTCAACTAATCGGGATACGCCCTGATCCAACGTCTTCCTTCGCGCTAGACCAGGCTTTCCGATGTCATCCTATGCATAAACTAATCCCGCGACATGGCCGGATTCAGCCTTTTCTGATCCGTAAACAGTAGGAGGCGCGCTGTCACAGGGTCTCAGAGCCTTGCCCGCACGTAGAATCTTCGGCTATGTCAGGGACTGTCAGGAACTGCCAGGAACGTGTTCTGTGACAGACCACGAGTCAAGCAAATTGCCAAGCGACGGGTTTCCGCGGAGAGTTTGTACTGCACGTTGACCGGCCTATTTAGCCTATGGATAGTTCTTCATACCCCATGTCTTATCTGTGTATTATTGGGCATTCATCTCGCTATAGAATCGCTGCATGTCCATTTTAACTTTTGACTTTAATACCGGGGTTCATTTTTCGCCGGCAGTTCGTGATATCCAGGGGCTGTAAACGGCCCCCTTGGCCATGCGCGAACTATATACTGTCTGTCTTTAATTCATTAACCGTCTAGAGCCCTGGGGTATATCGAGTGCCCTTTTTGAGTCTCTTTAGTCCCACGGCCAGGACGCCAACAGACAAGACAAGACGAAGACAAAATGGCTGCTCTTCAACTTATCCAAGATACGACTACGCCGGTCGAGAGTCGAGACCGGGCGCCCGACCGATCTGTCAACACCATCAATACCGCTGCACAATCGTTATGTATTATATTTATGACTATCTTTTGGGGTCTGCGAGTATACGCCAGGACGCATGTGTTCAATGGGTTCAATAAAGAGGACAGTATGTTTTCTCATCACCCTTCTATACATGATTAACTGCTGAGTGGGATAGTGATGTGCACTGGTGCATATGTAAGAGCACCGAACGTTATTTGCGTGGATACAGTGGCTTATAGATATATAGGTTCTTGGTGTCTGCTATTCTGTCATCGCTCTGATCAGTAGGTGTTGCTCTTATGTCGAACTCGGTAGCGTCTAACTGACAATTATCTTCAGTGGGCCATTTCGGAGGAGGAATGCATATCGAAGATGTCCCCAAGGAACACATTATACCGTTTGAAAAGGTGAGAAGTTATTTCTGCATATTCCAGGGCGCGCGACTGACTGGTGTCCTGTATAGACAGTCTATGTGACAATGGTCATGTATGGTCCTATGGCGTTCCTCACAAAGACCTCTCTACTATTGATCATGACGAGAGTATTCAGCCCTTACAAGAAGACGGTCATATTCATTTACATTATCCTGGGAATTATGCTGGCATACTATATCCCCGCTGTCATCGTCAAGATCCGCATCTGTTCCCCTATCTCTTACTTCTGGACAAAAAGCGGGCACGGTACTTGCCTGGACGAGAGTGCCATTATTCTGGCAGACGCGGTCGTTAGTGTCGTCAGTGATTTGGTCATCCTTACACTTCCTCTGCCCTTGACTCTGTCGCTGCAGATGCCGTTCAGGAAGAAGATGAGAGTCATGGCAATTCTCGGAGCGGGTGGCCTGGCTTGTGCATCCAGTATCATTCGTTTGATTTTTATTGTCGACTTCGCCAGCTCTCCGGATGGAACGTATCAGTTCATGCGGATCAACATGTTTGGGTAAGCAATCCAACAATCATACAAGATGGATCCTGCTGACTTCCACACTTTCAGCAATGCTGAGATCAGTATCGGAGTTATCTGTGCCTGTCTTCCCGCTCTTTCTGCTCTCATTACTACATACTCTCGCGAATACTCTAGTGGGAAAGGAACCCATACTTCCGGTCACGAAATGAGTCGGATGAAGAATTCCAGGAGCGACGGGACCAAAGGCAGCAAGCACAGAATGAGTATACTGGACGCTGGTTCAGACCAAGATATACTCATTACGAACGCCCAGGGGGAGCCGAAGATCGAGACCTCAATCCAAGGTGATTCGGAACGCCAGACGGCACAGTATAATTCTATGAATGGTATCGGAATTATGAGAACAGTTGATGTGCAGACAACCGTCGTCACTACCAAACAGTAATCCGGACTTTTCCGATGTTCTAGCACTTGACTGCTCTATGTCCGTGCCGGTCGTCTATGCAAAAAGCATGTCTATCCTGACTTATTACGCAGCCTTTTACTTTTTTCTTTGTTGATACCCTTCTTATCTTGCTCACATATGGTCGCAAGTATCTTTCCTAAATCGGAGGTCGCCTTATTATTGGCCCTTCAGAAATGAATCTTCTCACCTGGCAATGTTAATCTTAATCTTTTGGTTGACTTTCTCACATCTATGCCGAGCTATCTGAGACAGCTTCAGTTTCAATAGCTTACATTCGTTGGATAAATACGGGTCCGTGAATATGAGAAGTATGCCCAAAACAGCCGTGTCATTTCAGAAAGGATCGGGTGTTACGAGTCCTTATATTCTACTTTCATTACTTTTTCTTGTCACTTTCCTGCGCAAATGCCAGGAAACGAAATATGTATGTATATGGTCACGTATGTTCAGATATGTATGGAGTATTTGGAAATTGCTTTCGCGGGTCGTGTAACCACTAGTTAGATATCATACCCGAGTTTCAATGAAGGCTTCGAAGGTTACGGTACGTAGGCCTAGGAGAACAGTCTCCCCTGCTTAAGACATCCATGCTGCTTCAGCATGCGACTGAAAATTGAGATGCGATCACGCAATCCTCTGAAGAAACTGTTTCGATTGAAGGAAGCCCGTACCGTCATATTTTGCCTTCCAAGATAATACTATCTTTTTACGACGGACATGGAAAGAATTTTCTTCTGTGGGCCGAGGCTTTTGAGTTGGACAGAAGTTAAATGCCGGATACGAGATACTCTTTCCACTAGGGTTGGTAAATCCCACGCTGCGGCGGATCAGCGACCAGCTAATTAATTGCCTATTTCCCCTTTTGCGCAATCTTCGGACGATCCATATTACAACCCGTCGGGTGCTGTGCCTGGCCCATCTGTTAATGATGAGAAAACTTCGAACTCCAGATGCTTGATACGAGCGAGGCAGGCACTTGATGCATCAGAAGACGTAGATAGCGGCCAGATAGAGTATATCCAAACGATGCTTCAGGGATCAAGTTGTCGACAGCATTCGGCCTGTTCTCGGTCCATATCGGTCATTAAGTAAGTATGAGTTAGTCGCCTCTTGGCATGACCATCAGTTTCTGAGCATGTTACTTCAGCTAGATAGGTTACATCCAGCTTTTTCAAACTGTTCCAGATTGCTGTCTTGCAGGGCATCAGACTGCCTGACGGGCCTCGAGTTCATGCCGTTTGCGCGTCTCACCAGCTAGATACTTCCATGTGCACGCTCGAGTCCAAGAGATCTTATCCCCTCTCTCCCAAAGAAGTCGTGCAGGGATTGTGTTAAACAAGTCAAGCGCGCCCTTCGCTCAGTTCTTGGACTTGGAGGAACTGCCGAAGGATCAGTGGGCCAGTGGCCCGTCCTCCCCCGGCTCCCCGTTACTTACGGAGTACTTTAGGTACTTAAGCATGGGACCCGGACCGAAATGCGGCCCGTCTCTCTACTTACTCCATAGCTCATACTCTAGTTCAACGTTGTGCAAGAGTAGTGTGCCTGCGCCGCATTACGGACAAGGCCTATGAGACTAGGAAGTGGGACTGCCCAGATGAGAGCCTTGCAGTGCTAGTTTCAAAACTACACAAGAATCGCCATGCGGAATCACGGACGAACCGACAACCACAGCGATGGTAAGCTGTACTGCTGGGATTCCACCAAGATTACGGAGATCGACTGGAGTCCGGTTGACAGCTAATAGCAACGTGCAAAGTCAAACTTCTGGAGACTCGGAATCTGCCATTTGCTTCCCCGCCGTGACAGGTCAAAAGTTTAATATTATTACTCAGTGGAGAAGCTTTATTATTCTCGCTGCGATCCCACAGTGAGTTTTACTTCGGACGTCTCTGGTTTGCGGCGTTGCATGATCCTTCATCATAAGCTTTCACCATATGCTTCATGAGGTTGGCGTCCCCGCGAGTTAATACGATACTCTCCTGTTTTCGTGACACTGCGTGTTCAGCCTCGTGTACTCCGTAGACACCATGATATCAGGGAGCCTTATGTGGGAGCACCACGTAGGCTCATGGTTGGATCGTCGTTACAGCGTATGCCGAGTTATTGATATGGATTAACACAACACACCGTACTTACCTCGGCAGGCAATGCAATAGGTGCTCGCATAGGGATCGGTCGCCTCGCTGCTCAGAAAATTCTGCCAGATCATCCAGGAGAAGATGTGATGGCTCGAAGCTGCGAAAGGAAAATATTTGCGATTATGAACAGGGTTTAAGTAGCTATAGCTATTATGATACTTACTCTGTCTATTTGGAGTAGTTAAGCAGTTGTCCTCGACTGTGTAAGCTCTGGACCTCGGATAGCCGCTGTCATCGGAGATGTTGCGAGCAACCCCTCTTTCTGAGCTCATCACATAGCAGATTCGTAGTTCTCAACTCAATATACAACGTTTCGATTTTCCTAGTATTGAATATAATATTTGCGTAGTCAACATGGCTGCTCAACCCGGTTCTCGCCTCCAGGGCAAAATCGCCATTGTCACTGGTAAGTACATACATACATAGAGTACTAACTACCCACAATGCTCTCTTACCTCATTCCTCTCCGAGCCTCGTATGAAGTACATTGAAGCACATGGAGCAAACCTAAGTGAACTGCTAAACACAACTTTTCCGTCGATATGCTAAACAATTTTAATCTCTGTAGGTGGAGGTTCAGGTTTTGGTGCTGCCATCGCCCGTCGATTCGGCAACGAAGGCGCCAAGGTTATCCTCACAGATATCAACGCCGCAAATGGAGAGAAAGTTGCATCAGAGAATTCGCAAAATCTCATTTTTCAAAAGCAGGATGTGACAAAGGTAGATGACTGGAATGCCGTTGTCAATCTGGCTATTGAGAAGTTTGGGCGCGTGGATATTCTGGTGAATAATGCAGGGACGACATATAAGAATAAGGTGAGTTTGATGATTTAAGAAGGATCAGGATGGTCCTGAGAAACTACGCGGGAAATAGAAGAATAACATGACGGCTGCCATCAACTGGACTCAACTATTTTATTTCCCCTTCTCGCACTTTGAAGCTGACGGCGAGGATAGCCCACATTGGAAGTGACGGAAGAAGAATGGGAGCGTGTCTTCCAAGTTAATGTCAAGAGCATTTTCCATGCTGTAAAGACCGTCATCCCCCGCTTTATCGAGCAAGGCAATGGTGGCTCAGTGATCAATATCTCTTCTACGGGAGCTTCCCGTCCTCGACCTGGGCTCGTCTGGTATAACGCCACCAAGGGTGCTGTTTCCAACGTAAGTAATAGCGTTCCAGTATCCAACCTTCACTGAATATGAATCATGACGGTTGACCAATTTAATTTTTGCAGGCAACGAAAGGTCTCGCTGCCGAATATGGCCCGCACAACATTCGCGTCAACTCCGTCTGTCCCCTTCTCTCTGGCACAGGGCTCTTCGAGATGTTCACCGGTGTGCCGGATACCCCGGAGAACAGAAAGAACTTCGTCGCACAGGTGCCTCTGGGTCGTCTAACGGACCCGAATGATATTGCCAATACGGTTTTGTTTCTGGCGAGCGATGAAGGACAGTTCATCAATGGTACCGAAGTCGTCGTCGACGGAGGAAAGTGTATATAAATAGTTTGGATGGTTTTCATGGCAATGCGTAATTCCTTGGGATAATGAGTCAAATGACGAAATGAGATCGATAACCATGTTTCAACGACATGGAGTATTAGCTTCAAGCGGCCAATGTCATCTCAACCTCTCCCTTAATAGCCATTGAGCTACGCACGGCTAATATAGGAGATCTGTGCCACTCTTCTACATTAGAGCACAGATAAGATATCATATAAAGGAATACGTAGAAATATTGAGCTGCTGAAATATTGATCATATTCTCTAGTGAAAACTCTCTAGCTGTTGTTATCTCACTGTGTGCGCCTCTGACCCCAGTCCAGAAAACGTATGAGACTTTCCGCCAATCCTCATGCAAGAGTTCCGTGAACAGGGAGGATTAGATAAATAGCCCATCAATATTTCTGAAGCTCCGTGGTATTGAGAGTCTCTTCGTAAGGCTCGGGCTGTCTGGCGCTTGGATTCTCTAGCAAGCTCAGGCTATTTATCCCCATGGGTGGAGCTCGCCGAGGAAAAGGCATGAGCGAACTTCACCAGGAAATCATTGGCTGCAGGATAACTGATGAGTCCCGAAGGAATCGTTGTTATTAAGTGGTGGCGGGAATAACCCCCATGGATACCTTCCCCGTTTGCTCGCTCAAAATATGATTCGAAGCCAAGCGCAAGTCTGCCTATAACTCTAGTAATGGTTAGATCATCTCAGAGTCTCCCGACCTAAAGACTCGAGGCCCCTTTTTGCTCATATATTTTGTAGGCGCTGCCCAGAATGGTTTCCTTTCTTCATCGTTTAATATTCCAATCCTATCGGTCGTCTCTTGCTGCCATATACGGCGGATAATCTGCACAACGAATAGTGGAAGTATACGTATCTTGCTCGTGGCAACAATTTCGTTTTGAAGACTAGATGCCTGTTCTGGAACTCTAATCATATAAACTCTATCCAGGGATGGATAGGCTTGTTGATTTCTTCCAGTTTGTATTCACGGGAACGTTTTTGACCCAGCCGAAGGGGCCCGTTAAGCCGTCGATATGACAGGAGGATTCCGCGCTTCGAGGGCCGAGTAAAGATTTCCATGAGATTCTTCGAGATCTATTAGCCTGGAATTCTTTATCACTGAAAGGAATGCTATCATACTTAGATCTCCATTCTCTCTCTGTCCTTCATTTCAGAGCCTTAAAGCCAATTCTCATTGTTTATCCTCTGCTCAGTAATATAACATATGTAGTCATAGTGGAAGAGAGATAAGAAGAAGAAGAAGCGTGGGACTGGCTTCTTTAACTAATTCTTTCACTCACTGTCCATAGAAAGAAAGTGCGACTTTACTATTGAGCGGAAGAAGAAATCAAAAAGTCAAAAAGAAGAGGAAGAGAGGGAGCAAGTGAAGAGAAGCTGAGCACAGGAGTCCATACCGTAGTTCAAGAGACATACTCATTCATTAGGTAGCTCTTGTGTTCTAGGTTGATTGGCCCGCGACATCGCAGCTTGCCATTTACTTCCTGGCCACCATTTATAATGTCCATTGGCGAGGACGCCGGCCTCTGCCCATGCTTCTAGGAGCAATTTCTGTTGTCTCTTAGTGCAGCTATAAAGATACGGGCTAATTGCTCCGTTTATCATAGCGGTGGGGAAAGACGGGGCGTGGAATGAGGATCGAGGTCAAGGCGATCCCGATGGATCCTATGACTATAACAATTATTATGAGTATTGTTATGCTGTCTATTCCCTTAATTATTCCGATCGACTTACCTCTGCCAAATTCATGCCTGGCCCTACTCGATGGATAGCACTAATAATGCGGAGTTGACTGTGGCTTCATGTTCGACCTCCCCTTTCTCATCGGGATAGTTACCCAGGGGGTTAGCTGGGTCATCACGACAACCTTTAGCCCCAGATTTAAAGGAAAACGAGTATAAGCACCACCGCGAGTGCCCATTCTTGCAAATCGGGAGGTCCATACCGATGTATAGAGTTAACGAATATTTGTGCATAGTAATTGATACGAAAGATCGCAGCTTGGGATGATGAAGATGATGCTATTCCTCTCTATGGAGGGGAAGGGCTAATATACTGGGCTAAGTACACGTGATGTCATGTCCCAGCCTGCCCCAGGCCGTACCTGCTAGTTCCGTAACGGTAATATAGTAATAGAGATGCATAAGATTTTGCTGTCGACGTTAAACTGAAATTGAAAAGATCTGCAGAACCCAAACTTTGTCGTCGTATGCGGAGCACGCGGCGAGTGATGCAGCAGGAGATGTCGAGAGCCCGGAGGAGAGAAAGAAGGAGGAAGTTAGGAAGGAGTCGAAGACGCATTGAAATAGGCACACCCTCAGGAAAACAATTAGCATAGATCTAATCTCGTGAAGATCTCAGCGTGTATATCGCCAGTAAACAAAGTGTGCCTTCCACTCGTCGTCTTGGGCAGAGAAGTGTATTCTCTGTTCGTCAACCAATGATTAGATTTTTTTTCTAACCATCTCAAAAATCCTCGCAGCAAGACCCATGTCGGTGAGATGGTTATAAATCCTATGATGGACTGCATTATAGCCGAGACCACACTTCTCCCGCATGCCCTCCCCATGCTGCGATTTATAGACGAAGTGCGAGTTGCTTTTCCAGTACCGCAACCAGTTATGTCTGTTAAGTTGAGGTGAACATTCTTATTGACGTTGGGCTGTACCAGCATAATCATCTGGTCGACATACGAGACTTGATGAGTGAGTCTGATGAGCGAGTCCGATGAGTGAGTCGACATATTTCTCTCTTCGTACTCATTGTATCTTCCATGTAACCATGTATAAATATCGACATGACTCTAATAAGTGTGACATAAGACCTGCTCAATCCATAATATCTGACGATGTGTACACTCTCCTCATAGTAATGGGTCTGCTAGGATTGTATATAATGAAAGTGCGTCTCTTCCGGGATCAAGAAATGGAGTAGTCATGTATATCATAAGAGGAGAAGACAGGAGCTCTTCGAAGGAGATGCAAGATGGCATTATATGCCTGCTGTTATCAATCTTCTCTTTCACTGCTGGATATTCATTGCTTCATTTGTGGGAATACCAGATTCCGCATCATTGATGTTTGAATAAAAACTAGATATTCACAGAGATTCCTAGGTTGGGGGTCTGCACTGCAACTTCGATGCTAGTTTTACTTTGTAGAAAGATACGATTCAGTTAATGCGGCTAGCTTCCATAAGTTCTGATTACCAGCTCCCTTGCAACATGCTGTGGATGAAGTGTAAGAATACTCAAAAGACTTCCTCACGCAGACACCATGCTCTGAAAGGTAACAAAGCCAAACAGTTCATACGATGGTCAAATTCCTAGATACTCCATACCCATTATACCCCACGCCCCGCAAATTCCACTGTGAATGTTTTTGTTGCGTATTCCCTCCTGCATCAGTGGCTCTGCTTAGAATCTGTTTTCCACGCCCTTTTTCAATACGGATTGATGCTTTCCAGAGCACCCAGGACCACTTATTCACATGCTTGCTTTGGATCTCGGCTTCACTCCATGATTTGCCATCATCTGTCGAAACTTCTACACGTGTGACGGGTCCTTGATCGCCTCGCGGAACAGCGTAGCCTCTGACTTCAATAGTTCCGGATGGAGAAAGACTGACAGTCTCATTGTCATCTGGAACAGCGATGACAGAGTTGATAGGCATATCAGTCATGGGCGGGACTTTGTTCCAATATTTCTCTGCGATTTTCGAATCAACTACCTCAGGAGGGAGGATCTTGTAGTCGTGCTGTTCGTAGAAGTTTGACGATTCCTCCTGCTGTACAGTAATTCGGTCGAGCCATTTGACCCATCGGGCACCTGCAACACCTGGAATGACGACTCGAACGGGATAACCATGCTTTGGAGATAGTGGTTTATCGTTCATCTATCCCAACCCAGTCAAACGTATGTACCAAACGGTAGCAGAAGAAAATAGCAACTGCAAACAACAGCTGAGCAGCATCTAGAACGTAAAAACTCACCTCCAGGGCCAAAATAACCTCCGCATCTAAACTCAGACATGTATCCAGGTCAATACTGCCGCCAAACCAATCGTCATTCTGGCATTGGACCGCATAGCACGAAAACGCAACATGCAAACCGCTCTTCGCTCCTTTTGCAGGCTTTACTATGCTTCTCACGCCAGCAGCGTTCAGTATATCTCTCAGACGCGGACCTTTCCATTTGCAATTCATCACTGCAGCGTCCATCCAATCGATTCCTTCGACTTCCTTCAGGAGAGTCCGCATAGTGTGACGTCGGTTTCCGGCACATTGTAAAGCGCAAATGACCTCATGCTGGGGATATTTGGTCCGGAGGTCGTCCATAGAGAGTGAAAGGGGGCGCGATACGATCCCATCAACTACAACGCGGTGTTTCTCCCCTGCAAGATGCGGAATAGGGCCATGGTTGCGATCGTAAGCGGCGTCTTCGGGAGTAATGAAGCTGCATGAGGTATGGTCAATTTGGCGTAACTTCTGGATCAAATTGGTACAAAGCACATATACCTCGATATGAGTTTCTTCACAGGAGGCTCCTTGTTCAGCGGCTTGTCCACCGAATACTCTATTTTCTGACGTCGATACTCCTGCATCGATCACGGTGAGCTCATACGGTACAGTTAAAGTATTTCTAAGAAGAAAAAAGACGGTGATGAACTTACAGTGGTAGTAGCAGTAGCCATCTTGTTCAAGAACTGTAAGTTTAGTCAGAAAACGTACTGTACCAATCTGGCCCGGGAGCGCAATGGTTCAAGATGCTAGCAAACAGTGTTATGTATAGCATACATACTTTCGGAGGCCAAATACGTCACAGGGGCTGAGTGGCGGATCGATGATCGTTATCGATAAGATCAGATCGGATTGATTCCCTTCCACGGTGGATCAGTCCCACTATATGGTATATTGGAGATCTAGAAGCATCGCACGACTCTCATGGCCGACGACAGCTTACTCTATATACTCTGGAGATCCTGGTTAAGGTCTGAGCTCAATCACGACTGCGGTCGGGGCCACTGCATCGCCGCTTCCTCATACTTTCCTAGAAAATGCTCTCGTATCCAGTGAAACGTGGCACAGCATGGAAGGATACGGATTTCATCGGGATGCAACATATTTGATGGTATGCAGCGGTGGCTTCACGGTGCATCTGGATGCAAGTGGCAGTGGCCAATAAACGAAACACGAGGCTTTCCTGCAGGTGCCCAAGGCAGCTTGGGCCTATCGACAAGAATTTATAACTATTCCTAAGGTAACAATGGCTAATGCAGTTCAGGTTTCTAAATGTTTCTCTGGCTGGATGTATCAAGAAAGAGGGAGGGGTTGAACTAGTCGAGATGCAAAGCCCGTAAGTAATACTAAGTACACTCTTGCTTTCCAATCCCAAGACACTACTATTGCGCCACTCAGTCGAGATCCGCATGAAAGGTATCTATCAAGTCTAATTGAGAAGCTCTAATCTATATCATTCGTTGCCGTCTGAATTTCATTCCACGGTGAATAAACAGGCATATTTGCAGGAGATAAGGCACAAGTGACGTTAGGGAGATGCTACCGGAGACCAGAGAAACAGATTCAATGTCAAAATCGATACATTATCAAACTATCGAATCAAATGAACCCAGAAGTCGGTTGTAAATGAATATTCTTCTCGTACAGGGAAGAGACGTAGTTTATCTTCGAATCACAACATAATAATGTACAGCAAAGAAGGCCGGTAAGCCATCAATGTCAAGTGAGTAGGGAGTCCTCATCCACGTACTAATACCCGAAGACGCCACACGGCGCTGGAAACAGGTGCTAGGACTCCTGAAACTGAAGTCTTTCTCTATCGCCGGACCAGTAGCAGAAGGCGGCGCGATGTAATGCAACCCAATGCCAGAGTGGCAACGATGCACTCTATCAGCAAGAAAAGGCCGAACCTGATTACCGTCCAAAGATGGTCCCAAATTGAAAACCATAACTCCAGCAATGCGTCCCGAGTTTTATCGCGACTGAACACCGAAACGCCATCCCAATAGCATGCCCTCAATCATGACGGCTGATTATCGATCTCATCAAGACCTCTAGAGGCGTAACACACAATGTCACAGCCTTAACGTGATTGTCTTTGCGAAAATAGTCTCGTCCAAATTTAGTCAGATGGCATCCTCATGTACGCATCGATCGCTGCACTGAAGGCCGCAAAACCGACGCATCCTGCCGCTGCGGCCTGGGGACCCGCCTTCGCACCAAGGATACCGCCAGTGATGCATCCCGCAGCAACACCGTTGGCGAGATCGTTCTTCGCACGTAGTCCTTCAATACAGCATTCGGTACCAGAGAACAAAGCACCAACAATACCGAAATTCTTCGCGGAGGACCATGAGCGCTTGCCCATGTCCTTGAAACCCTGGCGCACCTGTTCGCGCCAAGGGAGGTCGGCAATTGCACGGCCCTGGGGAGTGAAGGATGAATCGTAGGACATCTGCGATTTAGAGATATTCCGTCAGTACCAAAGCCAGGCTGGCAGTGAAGATTAAGGAACTTACGCTAGCCATGAACAAGCCAAAAGCACCACCGAGCGCAAATCCCATTCCTCCTGAAATGATCGTCTTCACTGGACATGATTCCATTGCGGATTGCATCTATATGAATCAGTTAAACTGCCCTTTGGAGAATAACAGACCGTTGAACCAATTGGCAAGATAGCTGTTCTTCATAACCGCGCACACCAACTCGACAGCGGTTAACCACTCAAACACACGGAAGATAAAGACTAACCGCCTTGACCATTGCTTGTTCCTGTTCGGTCATTCCTTGAGTAGCACCTCCGCCTGGGGCGCCCCCGATGGGCGGTGTCATTCCCGGAAAGCTCATCGCGGATTGTTTGTTTCCAGGCGATCTAGCAGCTGGGTCCTTGATGGATATGTCGTGCGATGCGATGCCCACAGTATGCTATAACCACAGCTAGGCTAATGTGACTTCGAATAGAGCAAAGCTCAAGGTATAGCCTGCTGCGTGACGATCCAACAAAGACTGAAAACAGGTAGAATGGACACTGAACACCAGCTGCGGGCAAATCGCGGAGATGGCCATGCGGCAAAATTATTTTTACGGCCGACGGGAGATGCAGATTGTGCAATTTACCACGTGATATGCCGTGCGATATAGTCTACATTCGCCCCTAATCACTAGGATGACAATGTATTCAACAAGGCTCAGTATAGTCGAAAATGGAGAAGTATAAAAAGGGAAATCTTTTAGATAATGCCACAAAAGCCGGTTCATCAAATGTACACGGAGAATGTAAATACACCATAGTCCAAGAAATATCCACCCTCAAGAAGCGAGGTCTCAAAAAAGAATACAAGGTCCATATTGGCAACCTCCAGAGAGAAAAGAAAGCAGGATATTTTAAACGGTCGAGATTTCGTGCACATCTTCATTCATGCTGCGTCGGTCCGCTCGACATTGGTCGCTAGCCTTGTTTGAGCATGCTCTGTCCGGGAGCCGCATGGGAGTCGTTGGTCATTGCGCATATAACGTGTTGAAAGGGAGAAAAAGAACCATACGAAAAGAGAATCGTAATCGGGAAGAGAGCCGCTGCTCAGCAGCTAATCACTCTTGCTCCCTTTACTCGAGAGCGAAGAGTCCCGCTTGCTGTGGCGCCGCTCCGGGGAAGAAGAAAGGCTGCGTTCCCATTCAGCCATCAGGCTTGATGCCGTCCGGGTGAGTTTAGAGGTGTTCAGCTTGGCCAAAGCCGGCCACGGGATGCTTTCTGATATACTCGGGTTTGGCACTGAGTCGGGATGGATGGGGTTCCAATCAGCCACGCTGTGATGATCAGCTATCAAGTACGTCCAAGCATAATCCGACTCTGGGATTGGATTGAAAGAATGCAACACTTACCTGGCGTTGGTTCTGGGACTGCTGGCCTGAGTGATAGGAGACTGATCTCTCTTCGAGAGAATCGTAGAACTGCTGGAGGTGGGCGTATGCGTCTTCTTTGACTGCGGCGAATCCCACGCCTCCCAACTGTCTTCAACGTCTTGGGAGTTCGAGTCTCTTCGTTCGTTCTGTGCGATTGGGGTATTTTCTGCCAGTCTGCTGCTGCTTGCGGACGTCTGCCCCGGTGTATCAATGCCGAATTCACTCCAAAACGACACTCCAATGTCGGCCGGCTTAGTGTCTTTACCAGATTTAGTCACGTCCCTCGCTTTATCCTTCGACGCAGACGACGATGACCTCGATACGCCACTCGTAGACCTCTCTCCGCTCCTGGGGGTGATACTCCTTTCGGTGCGTCTGGTTGTCGATATCCCTCTGGATTCCGTTGCGCTGATACCCTCTTCTCCCACAGTAGCCTGCCTAATATCCTCCAAGAACGTCCAGAGACCTTCTCTGAGATCGGACGCCATCTGCTTGCCGGTTCGCACCAGTGCATCGCGTGACGATGGGGGTATCGATCTCCGCCATTGATGCAAGGACTCTTCTATCGGTTTCCAGTCGTCCAAGTCCTTTCTAGACTCATGGTTACGGTCCATGGACGGCAAAGTAGCTGACCGCGGTGACCTGGAAGCGCGGATATTATCGTTCTTAGCATCCCCTGCATCTCGTGTCTGCCGGAAACTTCCGTTCAGATCCGGGGACAGCAGTGAGAGTGTGCGCGTATGTCTGGAACCATGGAAGACACGTCTTCCGTTGGCAGAGATGGACGTCCCTCCGTCACCAGAAGCACGGATGCTTTCTCGCAGTGCGAGATCGCGGCTGAGCCTCTTTGATGCAACCGATGCCACCGATGGCGAGTCGAGACTGGCGATGCTCTGAGTATCGATGCTGGGTGACTGGTCACCAGCAGCAGACGTATCAGACTTCAACGGCTTCAGTACCTCCGCCTGAAGGCTGGCCTGTGTCCGCTTCCTCGACCTCTCCGTCAACGCCCACTGTTTCTTCAGAGTTGCCAAGTCGTTCTCAGCACGCTGGAGCTCCTCCCGGAGCTCGAGCACCCTGCGCTCTTGCGACGCGATCGCGGTCAGGAAATCGTATCCATCAGTCGAGTCATCGATCAGAGTCGGTGCTGCTGCGAGAGAAGGCGACGAATAGGCTGAGGACTGTGATGCCGGCGTCATGACAGCTGGGAAAGGCGAGTTCTGGTCGGACCGCAGAGTAGGAGTCGGGGGAACATTGATAGGGAAGTTCAAGGTCATGCGCTTGGCATGTCGAGCAGCACCGTTGGGACGAGCGGGGAGAGACGACCGTTTGGAAGCGCGCATCTCATCTGGAGATGGAGGCGAGGCCATCGTCTGGGTCGACTCCGCAGCATTCTTGTCGATAACCGTTTCCGGCGATTCCTCCATGATAAGGCGGCGACTGTGAATACAAACAGACTGTATCTACTCTTATAGGAGGCGTTTGCAGTGCGATCGAGGGACAACAGCCACCATCCTTGCAGGTCAGAAGAACACGTCGACAGCCAGGATAAAGAAGAGCAAGTCAGAAAACGAGGAGAGACGCAGCAAAGGATTAATAACAGAGCGATGCATCGTCTGGAAAAAGAATCATTCACTGGGCCGTTCTTCTAGACTGCGGACGAGCCGCGGTGGGCCTCGCGAAGCCGCTCATCCTTTCCGTCCGGAGAGAACAACGCCTCGTTTCAGGGGCTCCAGACGACTCGTCATGCTCCGTGATGAGCGCCGTTGGTTTCGAGAACTTCACGCTTGAGCCACGGTACCTCCTGCAATGTTTCCTGTCAACGCTGCTCAGCATCGTTGTTCGATCTGGGCCATGTGGCTGTGAGGCGGAAGAAACCGAGCGGTTGGACGAATCTCCGCAGTCTGCCATCCACGGAGGACCCCATAGTTATGGTATATCTAGATCCTGTCTCCTTTGCCTGACAGAAGTCTTTTATGCGTAGACTGTCCGCTGCATCAAAATGCGGTCAGTCCAGTCCTCCATAGAATGCGTGGACGCCCGTTATTTTGTATCCACCGCCTCGTGAAGCCCTGCCCCTAACACTAATCTAGACCGTGAGAGACCTTAGCGCCGCTAAGAGAAATGAGACGGGGGCATCTACAGAGCTGTAATTTAATCTCAGTTGTTATTATTATTATGGCACATCTGACCTTTGAACTCCTTGGACTCCTTGGAGCATTTGTTGGACCCGCTGTCTCCTATACATTATTTTGCTTCTAGTCTCTTCATTATCACACAGGATGCACTGACGAATCAATCCATCTTACAACTATCAACAGCGACAAGAGGCCTATAAATAAGCTTCAAAAGAAAATACTATCTACCTTCAAAGATCAAAAGTGAAGCTGGAGCAAAAACAAAATGAGGCATCATCATCATATGGGAACAAAGATGTCAACAGGGGCATCATCCAGATAAGTCCCTGGGGAAATGGTACAATGGGCATAATACATCAGGGACCAAACTCAGCAAAGAAATCCCTCTTATCGTACAGGCAATGCAAAGCCCAGCAGACAAAAAGTTACAAACGCCCTGCAGATCAGCAAGCAACCCATGATGCATAGGCAGATATAAGTCACGGGGTATGGGCGTCGTCAACCAGCGGCTGCTCAGATGAAAGCAGCAGGCTGGATGCAGTCGAAGAAAATTAAAAGATAAGCGATGCCGATTCCCAGGATACCACTGAAGCAAATGGTCCGCGAGATCGAGTGAAGAGAAGATGAGACGAACAGATGCCAATCAAATATACAGTGAAATCGCAATCCGAAGGCCGCCAAATGTCAAGGCGACCACGTCAAACATCGGGCTACTCCGGTCTATATCGTCATACAGCGGGCCATCGAATACGCAGACCTTCTGTCCAGCGCTGATACAAGACATCGGCCAGCTGCTGCGTATGTTCCATCCCAGGAACATGCTGTCCTGGCAGATTCGGTGACTGGCCTTGCCATTCCACTTCGGCATGGACTTGCGCTGACTGACGGCGACGGTGACTCTTGAGATGAGGATTGTTCTGCGCGAGGACCAACCGTGGCTTCTGAGGAGCAGTGGGCGGAGCTTCAGGGAGAAGAGCAGCGGAAAGCTTTGCGTCCCTGGATAGCAGAAGTCAGCGTCGAACACCCCATTAAATACATGGGAGATACTTACCCTTGAATCTTATCATTCATTAACTTCACGATATGGTAGAGGCCTTCTGGATCAACCATTTCCAGATCACTCCAGGCTTCAGCTAACCGTGAAATGGCCTCTCTCTTCTCCCCGTCACCTGTATTCGCAAGGATCTCCTGGCAGGACAGGCCGACAGCCTTGTTGTACGCTCTTCGACCAAGCTGCGCCTCCTTGCTGTTGCTGTCCGAGAACAGAGTCTTCTGTCCCATATTCTCCTCCATACCCGCAGGCAGTGAAGAGTACTGGCCGTCGTCTCCTACCACTTTGTCCGACGTGCGGCGGAACTGACGAACGGTAGATGGGCTATTTCCAAAACTCAGGTTCAAGCCCAGCGGCTGTTTCACGCCACTAGACTTGCGCTTGCTGTTGGCTCTCTTGACGGACGGAGAACGTTCAGGTCCTGTCACCCGCCGTACTGTGAAGTTGGCAGCAGGCTGAGGTGGGTACTGCGGACTCTCGATATGGAGATTCTCCATTCCCTGAGACATTTCTGTCTCTTGCTCCTCGGGACATTCAAGTGGGATCGTGGGAAGCTTCTTCCTCCGCAGTGTCTGCTTGGGAATGGCCATTGTCGGTGCTTTGACTGTGTCGAAGACCCATCCGTCATCATCATCTTTGGGCGATATGGTATTCCTGAGACGGTTAGCTGTTGTTCATCTCGAGAAGGTCTCATTGACCTACAGAGACTCCGCATAGTATTTGACATTGTCTGTCTGGCCCTTTCCTGAGTCCCAGTCATGTTTCCGTTGGATCAACTCCTGCAGGGCCTCCGTCTTCCCGGCGTTCCTTATGAATTTATGTCTAAGCAGTTCCTTTGCCGAAGGTCTCCGATCCGGGTCCTTGATCAGACACTGAGCGATAAAATCCTTTACGGTGTTGCTGAAATCATTCCCTTCAAGTCGAGGAGCGGGTGCCTTCGGAATGAGGAACAGGACTTTCATCGGATGCGTGCTCGCATTCGGCGGCTCCCCGTTGAGCATCTCCATTGCCGTAATACCAAGAGACCAGACGTCTGCCTTGAAGTCATATCCAGCCTGCTGGATAACCTCCGGCGCCATCCAGAAAGGCGTCCCGACGAATGTGTTCCTTTGAGATTTGATATTAGTGAGTTGTGCGGCGACTCCGAAATCCGCCAGTTTGACCTTTCCGGCATGCGAGAGGAGAACATTTGCCGCCTTGATATCTCGGTGTATCTTTCCTTCGTTGTGCAGGTAATCCAGACCTAAAAGCAACTCGCGACAAATGATGGCAACATGGGCTTCGTTGAAAACTCCGGGTTTGAGCTATGAAAATTAGCTTTGGTACATCCCACGTCGAGTCGAAATCGGTATTACCAGGTCCAGACACGAGCCTCCTCCCAAGAATTCCATGACAATCCACAGCTTGTGGCCCCGCAAGAAGCTTGCCTTGTATTGTGTGACGAAAGGACTCGCACATGTCGCCAGGACCGAGATCTCTTGTTGAATTTCTTGGATGTCATCTTCACTCGATTCAAGGTCGATCTGGAGAAGAACGACAATGTCAGCTGGGCCCACCACCACAGGAGCTCACTCAACATACGTGCTTGATAGCAACCAGCTCTCCAGTCTCCTTCTCAATGGCTTTGTATACCGTCCCGAAGCTTCCACCTGTTTGCAGTTACCGCTGTTAGCACAAGAAGCTGACAACAAGACACAATGCTATGAATTGAGTAACTCACTCCCCAACTCCTCCATCATCTGGTATCGATTGGCCATGTCTTCCATCTTGCCTTACCGGCGACTTGCGCAGGAACAAGAAAAGTCAACGTCCAAACACGGAAACCAGCAAATCAACAGCACAAGCCCCCTCTGTTCGTCGAATCTAGGCTCTCGCCTGAATCGCAAGCAGCCCAGCGACAACAACTCAAAACGAGCAGCGGAGCTTGAAGCCTGAAGGAGGGGAAAAGACAACCCGACACAAGCAGCCCAAAGGGACGTGGAACGAGGGAGTGATTCGGGAAGAATGCGGGCGAACAAATTGATTATTATCTATCAAACGTCGCCTATCCCAAAAAGCTGCCGATCAAACCGTCCGAGCGGTCACCCGGAGCCTTTCGCAGCCGTGGGCCATCGTCCTCCCCTACCTAAACTTCTTCGAAGGTTGCCGCTGAAGTTCCGGGGCCAACATCCCGTCGCGCATAGCAACCAGGACACGCTAATGCGGCGTTATTTTAGGGCGGGTCTTTTAGATGTTCCACCCCCGGGTTGTTACCATGGGATTGTGATTGTGAGCAGATAATAATACTCTATAATATACGATAAATCTTCCATCGAGAAGGTCGGATCAGATGAGTATTATTCGATTATATTCCTGGGGATGACACACAAGAGATCATGTTTTTGCCTCATTGCCTTTTTCACATATAACGAACGAGATTTCCTGTTGCTGACAATCACATCAGCCCCCTCTCTACATCGTCCCGTTTCGGCAACTTGTTTACATCAAGAAGATAGTAATAATAATAACCAAAAGAAAATCGAACCACCTAAACGGGAGATTGTCTCACCGCTCAATATCCGAGAAGCGGATACCCGTCATATCACATCACACCTGATCATTGGCGATAATACGAGCAGATCACTACATCCATTGTCATCTAGAAGAGTCTCCCGTTGTACCGTGTCTTCTACTCTACAAAGTCAATTCGTGTTCGAGCCTCGGGACGGGAATTACTGTCATTAGCAAAGCGGCCCGCTAGGAACTACTACTATATACCAAGAGGAAGTAGAAAACGAAAAAAAATGGCAATAAAATGAAAATAAAGATAAAGATAAAGAAAAGACAATAATAAAGCACGAGGAATCAAACCAAGCTGAACTACATAACACCCCATCCTTCTCTTCCCTTTTCCTTCATATGAATCTTTTTTGCACAATTTCTCGTAAAAGCCACAAGGCAAGCAAAACGCAAGGACATCACGCTACCCCTCCACAACATAAACTTCCACGCTTCTACGCTCCCCCTTGCTTCGTACCTGAGCTCCAAGCCCTCCACAGCACACAGAAGACATGATGATTCGCACGTCAAGGACGTCACCTGCCAGGTACAAGAGCTGTCATTGCCTAGTTGCCCAAGTCTAGGTTCCATTCTTGGGGGTCTAGAATGAACTTTATATTGCTTATGCCTCTTCTGGGAGGAGTCCTTCTCCGGATTTTTCTGAGTCGGTTGATAGCCGAGGAACTTGATATACATAGTTATGCATGCTTGTGTGGGTTTGGGGGGGATTTAGGGTGCTGTACCTGCATATTTTGCGTCATAAGGGGTGATTTGTGGAGGACCATTGCTGGTGGTACCGTGGTAGATACTGGTTGCACTTTTCCTACTCAGGTCGTAAAGTGAGAAGGCCGAGGGTATATTACACGAATGGCTGCTCTAGATGTACAGTACATGCTTGCTTTAGTCCTGTGGACGTTTCCTTACGGTTCACGTGCTGCCCGTGGGAAGATAGAATGAAGATGAATCTGGAGCTGTCGCTTTTAGATTGTTTATATATACTTGTAAGGGTTCATGATTCCGTTCTGATGTCAAAGTTAGTCTCGCGTCATTCGTGAACAGTGAGATACCTAGGTCTACTTACCGGATCGTAGAGGTTCTTGATCTGCTTCATCAGCTTCAAGTTCGTGTCGTTCTGACTGTAGCCGATGAACTCCTTCTTAGCAAGCCCCAGTCCATGCTCGGCGCTGATACTGCCATTGCGCTTCTGGATCCACTCGTACACCCACGGCTCGATCGCCTTCTCGACATCCTTGTTGTACTGTCGCACGGAGACGTTCAAGTGAAGGTTCGAGTCACCCATGTGGCCGTATCCGACGACGTCTCTGACCGGGAAGGAGTCGTCATCTCCGACGAAGCCCAGCTTTGTCAGACGCTCCCGGCAGTCCTCCACGAGCTGGTAGAGTTCCGCCAACGGGATGGAAACATCATACTTGTAAGTACCACCCAGGTGGCTCAGGGTTTCCGTGATGCCCTCACGCCAGCCCCAGAGCGCCTGGATCTGAGACTCATCTTGCGCCAGAACACCGTCCGCAACGATGCCTTCACCCATGATATACTCCAGGAAGCTTTCCAGTTTAGCAATGTCATGCTCCGCATTGGATCCACTGGTCTCGATCAGGCAGTAGAAGGGGTAGTCTCCCTCCAGGGGGCGCTTGTTTCCAGTAACCTTGTGCACCAAGTTCTGCGTCCGTCCGTCCATCAGCTCAAACGCAGACAGGATCTCGGACAGTTGTCCCTTGGCCTCCTTGTAGGCCTGACGGACCTGGTCGAAGCTCTCCAGACCGAAGTAAGCGACGTTGACAGCCTTGGGACGAGGAGGGCACAGGATGGACACTCCGGTGATGATTCCAATCGTACCCTCGGCGCCAATGAAGAGCTGCTTGAGGTCGTAGCCGGTGTTGTTCTTTCGAAGCGTCGAGAGACCATCAAGAATGGTGCCATCGGGCAGGACAGCCTCAACACCCAGCACGTTTCCGTGCAGACTTCCGTAACGCAGTAGACGCAGTCCACCAGCGTTCGTAGCGACGTTGCCGCCAATGTGGCAGGATCCCTTGGCACCCAGATCCAGAGGGAACAGATGGTCTCGCTCTGCCAGATACTGATCGGCCACCTCCAGAATGACACCCGCATCGGCAACCAAGACTCCAGTGGCTTCATCGAACGAACGGATCTTGTTCATCCGGGAGGTGTTGATGACTATCTCGTCGAAAACAGGAACAGATCCTCCGACCAGTCCGGTGTTTCCACCCTGCGGCACCACAGCGAGCTTGTTCTCGTTGCAGTATTTCAAGATCTGGCTGACTTCCTCCTTGGTCTGGGGCTTGAGCACGAGTCTGGTGTGTCCGCGGTACTTGCGCATCCAGTCGCTGTTGAATGGCTCGATATCGTCTGCTGCTTCCGTCGTCACGCCATCAATGACGGCAGACTGAGCGTCCATAAGACTTTTGAAGTAGCGAACATGCTCTTCTGTCAGGTCAGCGAACTTGGGGTCCCGCTTGACGTTAGGATAGGCGGCGCTCGTATATTTGATTTCCTTTGTAGCGTCCGCTCCGACTGCGGAGGAGACGCTGAACGACCGCACCGCTGCTGCGGGCGCGTAAGGGACAATGGGGCGTGCGACGCGGCTGGCCCTGGGCAGTCGTGCCCGGCGAAGAGCAATTGAGACGCCTCTTGCGGTCGACATTATTGTTGGTGTATGAAGGTGAAGGAAGAAGTCGAGTCGAGACGAATATGACATCAAAAATATTCGGATTCTTCTCCGCCGCTAGCGATCGGAGGCTTGGTCGGAGGTAGCCCCCAACCAGACAACGGAGCGTAGAATGTAATACTACAATAGTTTTGATGCACGCGATTCTTGGGAGCTGTAAGATACGGGTATTGTTGCTATTATTTGACTGTACTGTACAAATTTATAGTGGATGGTTAGGCCTCGTTATGTGCGTAGACTTGAAGTAATGTATGGCAAAGACGTTGCAGGCCGAACAATATATATTTCGAGGACCTTGATCAATCCATGAACGCGAAATAACACTGCATCAGGATTTCCCATTTCTACCTGCTAGGTTTGGTCGCTATAACATTACGGAAGCATCCTTGTAGACAATACTGGGCGCATCAAGTATTCTGGTTGTGTCACAGTGCAGGTATCGGAATACTCCATTATCGTGTTTGCTGCTCTATGAACTGCACAAGCTCCAAGTCCAGCTAGCCTGCTAGATGAACCCCACGTTCTCTTCCCGCTTCCAACCCCCACTTTCGATGCGAGAGACCCTCAAGCATGGTTATTATAATCTCACTTATTTGCCATCCTGCTCGAGACTCTAGAGTACTAGGTATGATGGTGCCACTGATAAGTTAATTTCCATATCATCCAGGCACCGACCGAAGCTGGCAGAACTTCGGCGGAGGCAACAAACCAAAACAGGACTAGTGCCTCGCTTAACGGATCTCGCTTACACTAGCGCGAAACCCTCTTCCCGCTCCAAGGTATTTAAGCCTCCTCGACCGGCCCTCCTTTGATCTTTTTCTTTCTTTTCCTCTCCATCCTAGTGCACGGGCATACGCGTATCAGTGAGGATTCGTCCGAGATCGCGTTTTTGCTAGTTGAAAACTACCTAGTTTGACCGCTCCAGTTGGTCTTCGGATCGGCTGGGAATTTTTGAAAATCAAGTTCCATGACTCCCTACTGGATGGGTTCGGAGTCTTGTCAAACTGTGCTTTGCAGATCCTCACTGCAGGCACGACCGCTTCGCGATGCGTTTTGAGGAAACTCGATAACGCTGCGAGTGGTTGGGAAGATCGATCTTCTTTTCACTACTGTTCTAGCTGTCCTTGCGATAGCCTGTAGAGAAGAGAGATGCGATCCTGGCGTACGTTATTCCGATAGATCGATCGTCTATGGGAAACGTGGCTTGAGGTCTCAGTTTGGTGGATGATTTACAATCACGTGATTATGTCCGTTACACTCTAGCACACTTTGGTGGCTGGCTCCCATACAACATCGGCGGAGAGTCTTGTCTGTCGAAAACAGCCCAAGCACAATACTTCTGTAGATAGAGCACTGCTAGAAAACCAAATGTATCCTTTCAACACATTAAACCACTCTTCTATGCGAGGTGTGTGACAGTTAAGTCATTTGTATCAGGCCAAAGGATGCCGATCGATGGGCCACCACTCAAGCTACCAGGTGTATTTGCAGTGATAGGGCTGAAATGCCGCAGAATCCTTGCAATTTTCTCGACGGTGGTCAGTAACAGAATCAATAATCATTTCTCCTGTCCATTAAGATAGATCCCCAACCCGAGTTAGTGAAGAGATGGTTGCGGTCGAGGAATCTGAACTATACGAGGATCAACAAGCTCTCGTGCTTTCATTTGGTTCGTCGCCTGGTGAGAGCAGACACCACGGCTCAACTTGACCGCTAGCTAGATTATCGGATACTTTGATGACGCGATTGTCATACTTTGAGCCTCCAAGGAGGTGAGTCTCAGGACAAGAACGGCAGAGGTTGCCAAGGCAGTTCCGGTCCGGCCTTCTACATACTGATCATGAACGAAACGCTGCTCTGGTTACCCGTAATGCAGACAGGCTAATTTCTCAATGTATATGTACAGATACAAGACAGTGTTATGCGTCCCAACCAACACTGTTATTCAGACAATGGTTTATGTCGGAGCCTGCCTGCTGGCAGGCCTCCTGTCGGGTTCCTCCCACGCCTTTCTAGCTCCACCCACAGAGATGGATGGGTGAGCTAGTTGCTAGAGAACTCGAGCTCAGCGAGCTTCGCTCCCAGAGTTTAAGGCAGTACGATGTACTTCTCAAGGTGCTTAGGGATGGAATCCCGCAGGTTCTTGCTGCGCAGCCACTTATCGGAGAACAGGCGATCAGCATACCTGTACGCACCATCGCAGAGAATTGTCACGACTGTGTGACCTTTTCCTAGCTTCTCAGCAACCTCCTTGGCGGCAACAACATTAAGAGCGGAGCTAGCACCCAGGTACAGGCCCTCTTCATCGAGGCAGCGGTAGATCATCTCGATGGTCTTCTCGTCGCTGATATTTAGTGAACCGTCGAGTAGATCAATGTCAGGCTTCAAGTTGTCCGTGATACGTCCCTGTCCAATGCCCTCGGTGATACTGCTGCCCGTACGTTCAACCAGTTTGCCACCGCTCTGGATGTAACTGTGGAGGACACTGCCTGGAGGGTCGGCCAAGAAGCTCTTGACTCGTCCGTCGCTCACGGTTTTCAAATATCTTGTGATACCAGCCAATGTACCAGCAGTTCCCGTGGCGCAAGTGAAAGCATCGATCTTTCCTTCCGTCTGCGTCCAGATCTCCGGACCAGTAGTCTCAATATGAGCCTGACGGTTGGCAATATTGTCGAATTGGTTCGTCCAGACAGCGTTATCAAGCGATTCCGCATGACGACGTGCCTGGTGGTTGTAATTCTCAGGGTTGTCGAATGCCACGGCAGGTACCGGGTAGACCTCGGCACCGAGCAGGCGCAGGAGATCAATCTTGCCCTGCGACTGAGTATTAGGCATATAAATCACGAGCTTATAACCCTTTGAACGGCAGACGTGGGCCAGTCCAATTCCGGTGTTTCCAGCCGTGCCCTCGACAACTGTTCCACCAGGACGGAGAAGTCCCTTTTCCTCCGCATCCTTAACGACGTAAAGCGCGGCTCGGTCCTTAACACTTCCACCGGGGTTCTGGAATTCAGCCTTGCCCAGGATATTGCAGCCGGTCTGCTCAGAGAGGCGCTTCAGGCGGATCAGTGGAGTATTTCCAATGGCTGCATAGGATCAGATTGTTAGCTACAGTCTAGCATTGAATGATGGAAACATGCCTTCCGTGAGACCGTTGACGACGCCCTGCGCCTTGGACACCTTGATGTGGTACGGAGTCGAAGCCTCAGCGCTCCGCAGCGCCGTCGTGGCGAACTGGCGCACACCTCTTCTGAACATGCTGGGCAGCTCTGATCTTTGCAGTGTCTGTGTGAGCTGATCAGACAAGAGATTCCAGGAAAATCAATAATGTCGCAATCGCCGGCTTCTCCGCAAAGACCGTCCGATTGTCGGGATGAGTCAGCACAGCCGCGAAATCACGTGTGCGGGACGGATACTTGTCCGATAAAGATGGGAGTGAACGAGCATTGCAGCCTTGTATGAGAACTAGAATCATGCTAGAGGAATTGGTCTAATAATTTTCCTGTTCAGAGATGAATTGTGTCAATGATCCTTCAAAATGAGGAACATGAAGCTGGAAACTGCCTGTAGATGTAGCCCTTACCCTAGCCCTTGCCCTTATCTTAGCGTGAGCGTGACAGCGGAAGCCTCAGCTTTGTTTACCCCTTCGGGCCTTTGTTTACTCCGCGCCGTGCAGTCATCAGTTTCATCGACGATACGGCGGTTGTCTTCGACAACCTGATCAGGACAATATCGCATCGCATTGCATCTGCAGACATTGACGACTGTTAAGACTTATGACGCTTAGTTTAAGAATGTCTTAAGTTTCCCGTGGACTCGACCGTCAGCGACCGAGATTTCACCCATCCCCTAATTAACTCGAACATAACGTAGTCGACACACCTTCGCAGAGGTATCATCATGCCTGCTCGAGTTTCCGCCCGTTCTAGCAGCACCACCGCGCGCAGATCGTCTGCGCAGCCATCTGGGCGCGCGGGATCTGTTGCGCCCTCAGTCGTTCCGGAAGAACCTGCGCCGCCTAGCACTTCGCCCTCCTTGCGCCGGGATGTTTGCACGATATTTGCCGATTCCCAGCGCTCTACTACAGTTCACCGGAAGCTGGTTGTTCGACTGCGGAAGATACAAGAGACTTGTTGTGGAATAGTGGCCAAGAAAGGAAAGACGGGCAAGAAAGGCCCGGATGGACAGAACGAGCCGGAGGAATATATCCTACCAGAAGAACAGACGGAGGCCGAGAAAGAGTTCAACGTCGAGATAAGCAGGTGTATACTGCGTCTGGTTCCTATCAAGAAGTCGGAGCCTGTTGGAGATCGCGTAATCCGCTTTTTGGGACTGTTTGTGGCTCACGCATCAGAAAAGGGTGAATACACATCTATTCCTATCGGCCTTAAGGCTTGATGCTGACATTGAGCAGAAACGCGGATATTTGCGCCCGCAGATGAGGACGACACGTTCCCAGAGACCCCTACGGCACGGCTGATACATCATGTTATCTCAATCATGACCCCGCTGCTGGCAGCGAAAGACAAGACTGTGCGATACCGTACAACACAAATCATATCTCACATCATCAATTCCGTCGACTCGATCGATGATGAGCTTTACCATCTGATCCGCCAGGCCCTTCTGAAGCGGATCAGAGATAAGGAGCCTACGGTTAGGGTACAGGCGGTCCTGGGTCTGGGACGTCTGGCTGGAAACGACGCAGAAGAGGATGACGATGACGATGGAGGAGCCGCTCTACTTGAGAAGCTAATTGATATTCTGCAGAATGACACTAGTGCGGAAGTGCGCAAGACACTGCTTCTTAATCTGCCGCTCTCAGCTTCCACTTTGCCCTATCTCCTCGAACGTGCCCGTGACCTCGATGCAGCCACCAGACGTGCACTGTACGCGAGACTACTCCCCACGTTGGGAGACTTCCGTCATTTGTCATTGTCTATGCGCGAGAAGCTCCTCAGATGGGGTCTTCGAGACCGTGACGATAATGTTAAGAAAGCGGCGGGCAAACTATTTTATGAGCGATGGATCGAAGACTGTGCTGGGAAGAGAGATGATGCGGAACAAGGAGGCCCAGTGGGCCAGCTGTCGCCTCCAAATCTTTCCGCGCTCTTGGAGCTGCTGGAGAGAATCGACGTGATCAACTCCGGTATGGAGGGCGGTGTTGCGCACGAAGCGATGAAGAGCTTCTGGGAAGGTCGCCCTGATTATCGAGAAGAGATTCTCTTTGATGAAGCGTTCTGGGATACGCTTACTGCGGAATCCGCGTTTCTGGCGCGCAGCTTCAATGATTTCTGCCGACTGGAGAACGACGGAAAATACGAATCCCTGGGCGATGAGAAGATGCCAGAAGTGACAGCTCTGGCTTATTTCTTATCGAAATACACTACAGCCCTCCTGGAGAAGATCAAAAATGCCAAGGAGATGGGCGAGGGTAATGAGGAAGACACGGTGGAGAATGAATTTATCGTTGAACAGCTCCTTCATATCGCTCTCACTTTGGACTACAGTGATGAAGTCGGAAGGCGGAAGATGTTCTCGCTTCTACGGGAGACACTGGCCGTTGCAGACTTGCCTGAAGAGTGCACGAAGCTCACAGTGGAAGTCTTGAGAGCCGTCTGTGGGCCCGATGCTGCGGGAGAAAGCGAGTTCTGCGGTGTGGTTCTTGAAGCAGTTGCAGAGGTCCACGATAATATCATGACGGAGGATAGCTTCGTTTCCGCCAAGTCTGAACTGAGTGACGATGCTTCAAGCCGTCATCGATCCGAGACTCCTGATCAGCCTTTCGATAAAGAACAGGCCAAGGCTAAGATTCTCCGAGAGATCGTTATCAACATGAAGTGCCTGCATATCGCCCAGTGCATGCTCCAAAATGTGGAGGGCAATCTGCAGAAGAACATGCATTTAGTCACCATGTTGAATAACCTCGTGGTTCCGGCTGTTCGGAGTCATGAAGCGCCTATCAGAGAAAGGGGACTGGAATGTTTGGGTCTCTGCTGTCTACTTGACAAGGTACGTACCTAATAACCATTATTCTCCATTTCGCAGGCTGACTTGTCTTGTAGACCCTCGCAGAAGAGAACATGATTCTCTTTATCCATTGCTATAGCAAGGGACACGAAGCTCTCCAAGTGACCGCGCTACAAATCCTTTCGGACATGCTCACGACCCATCCCACCCTGCTTCTTCCTGTTGCTCAGCCGGATGGCGACACTGTATCCCCGCCGGTTTTCCAGAAATCACTCTTGAAGGCGTTTTCAAGGGCCCTGAAAGCCAATTCGCCAGCCTCGGTTCAGACTTCTGCAGCCACAGCTCTTTCGAAGCTTCTGCTCACCAACACTTTCTCGCCCTCTGGACCTAATATCCCCCCTGCTATCAAAGAACTGAACGAGTCTGCCATCGAGACCCTCCTACAGTCCCTGGTGGTTTCGTTCTTCCACCCACGAACTCGGGAAAATCCTGCACTGAGACAGGCTCTTGCCTACTTCTTCCCCGTCTATTGCCATTCTCGTCTGGCCAACACGGAGCATATGCGCCGGATAGCTGTACCGGTAGTCCGGGCGGTTCTCCACGCAGCAGAGGAGTACTTCTCTCTCGAAGCAGAGGAAGATAGCGATGGCGACATCGACGAGAGCCTCGCTGAGCGAGAAGTCAAGGCTCTCATGACCGGAGTCGTTGGTATGCTTGTTGAATGGACTGATGAGCGACGAGTGGTTGGCCTGGGAGGAGAACGGGTGCTCGCGGGAGGCGCGGCCAGTTCCAGTGCTTGCGGCTTTGTGCACTTGGCGCTGGTGAAGGATATTCTAGAGCGCGTTCTTGGAGTAAGCGCAGGTGCTCCGAAGTGCACAAGGGAAGAGAAGAAACTGTTGTTTTCGATTGTAAGCAAGGTGCATATTGCACCACCCTCGGCACCGGCGGCGTCCTCGAGAGCTGGCTCGCGTGCTGGCTCTCGTGCACCTGAGGGTGAAGATCCATTCCGCTCCAGCACACGCAGTGCTACGACTGAGATCGATGCCGATCAAGCCAAGCTTGCAGAGGAAACCAAGGAGCTCCTCGACGAGGCCATTGAGGAGAATGTCGCAGTGGATGCCTCCAGCAGAAACGCCCTCGTAAAGGTCAAGAACTCCGTCCTGAAGATCCTCACCATGCGGGCCATGAAGGAGGCCGAACGCAACACCAGGGAACGTTCGGCGACTGCAGAGACAGACTTCACGGATGCACGACAATCTGTCGAACCCGCCGGGGATATCCGCCCCACCACAGAGATGGAACTGAGCGTGATTCAAGAAGAAGAGGACGATGAGGAGAGCCGAGAAACGATGATCAAGGTTGAGAATGAGGATGCGTGACGAGTAATATTCCTTTGACCTTTGGCTTTTTCTTTCCCTCAGTTAGCATCTACTTTCCGACATGCGACGGGCTCTTTGGATCGGGATTTTCTAGGTTATGGGCATGTTTTGATCTTCTTCGGATTGAATGAACACAACGCTATTGTTTTAATGCTATCGTTCCGTTATACCTCTACCAATATCATAGTTGCCTTATTTTTCTTATTTTAGCCTGCAGGACAACCCACACCTTCACGTAGGATATTCTAGAGGCTCGAATGCAGGGAAACCATATAGGTAAAGCAAACTAAAGTATCATGCAACCTGATCAGATCATCAGAATCAGGAGGACCATCTTTAATTTCCAAATGCCGACGCCAAAGCCACGTGGAGACACCCGCCACTTCCATCGAACCAGGATGACCTGCAAGCGTTAGAGTATTTTTTTACCCGGTGCCAGATTCCGGGAACTCTTCCGCGACGCAAGGATTAGATAGGTTACTAGACTGTAGTAGGAGAGAGCATGCGCTATCTATCTTTTCCCCGTTGTGGTATAGAATCGAATAGAGTAATTCCGCGGGACTTTGGGGTATCCGGTGCCGCGAATAGTATGACTATGATGTGATACCGACTGGGACTGGGACTGGGATACTTAGGGATTGGGGGGGATCTAGACCCTTGATTTTTTTTTTTGTCTTTGAGCCGGGGGAAGGCGATTTGCTTCTTGGGGGTGATTTGCCTTCGGTTAGATATGACTGTAGAACTAGAACTGGTATCTATTCGATGTAGGGATGTGGAGTTGAGTTGCCTGATTGAGACTCAGACTGGTTGTTATATTTTACTAGGACCATTATATTATTATGCCTGCGACGATCGACTTGAGTAGATGGCGTGAGGGTTCTATCTAGCGGTAGATAGATACCCTGGGGATCCTCGTCTTTATGGTATGTACTATCTGCGACGGTCGGATGACGCGGTAGGGTGATTAATTATTCAAGGGAAACCCTCCCGCGCTGCACGAAATTGGAACTGGCGTAACTAGGTACCAAACAAGGGAGATCCCGAATCTCTCAATTCCCCAGGACCAAAGAAGAAGATGAGATGTGAATGAAGGCTGGCAAGGTTGTCTGTGTCGCAGCTCGCTGCATGGATGTGGAATCCGCGTTAGATAGTTGAGAAACGGTACGATGCATGCAACTGGCAGGATTGAGACAATTCCTATAGTTATTCTGTGCTATTAATATTCAATTTGCCGCTCGTTCCTCTTTCCTGTCGAACACTTAGTTAGGGCCTGGCCTGTGTTCCAAACTTCCCAGACATCTAATTCTACCTAGGTAGGTAGTTATCTGTTGGCGCCTGGACTGGGTTGATGACGAGTCCCCTATGAGAGTTGTCGTGTGCAGACGCGACAACCAACGACACCAGGCCGTTTTGGCGGACTTGAGCATAGGTTTCTTGTTGTTGTGGCTCCACAACGTTCTCCCTTAAAAGAGCTCGCAACGTGTTGAGGGGATTGTCCAATTTGCAGACTCGCAGAGGAGTTAAGTTGGGCTAGAAAAGCGGAAGGACGTCCTAGCTTCAGAGCTTACAGCAGCTAAGTAGATACTCCGCCCGAGCTTTCTCTTAGACGATGTCCTGCTCTGGCTTTTCCGGCCGTTGCTGATAATCCTCGCCAGGGGGGGGCTTCCCGTTAGTTAAGTTATTAATTCATGATGAATGATCAGAGAAGCATATTCGTATGTATTATTATTATTTGTTATGTACTGAATCTTCTTCACCGCAGGTATTATTTACTTGTCAACTGAGCTAGTTAGCTGTTTTCACAACAAAAATCCAGTGCAGTAAAAACTTAAACGTGTTCCAACCACCGGGGAGCTGGGACAGTGAATGCTATTGCAATCTGCTCCGGAGTACCTCGTAAAGGGCATCAGAAACACCGGATCTTGTCATCTGGTTGGCCAATGTACCGATGTCAGAGTATTTATTTCCAAAACCGCAATTGCCAGTGCCCGCGTAAGTAGTCTCGACTGGGTTCGCGTACCTTCGGATGTGAACTGGCCGAGCCAAGGTACAGTGCACGACCAGAAAAAAAAAAAGAAAAGAAGCTGTTAATGAGTGGTGAACCACAGCTGTGCGGGTAAAAAGGAAAAGAGAAGGAGAAGGGAAAAAAGGATCTGAAGCTGGTTGTGTTCCCACTTTGTGCGGATCGAGCTTTTGACGGCTGGAAAAAAATAAAAAAAAAATTATATGAAGGGACAAATAATCAATGCATCAGTCTCGAACAGTCGAGGCTGGATGCGATATGAAGGAAAGATGACTTGAGCTAGTTATATCTACGTACTGTAATACTCCCCTCTAGCAAATTGAGCGATCTTCGATGCCCCTCAACCGTGCGTTTAACGGTGCATTAGATAGATACCATAGACATTTATTTGTATGCGGAGTGGTGGGAGGAACCATTCCCCGGACTGCAAGAATCACTGCATGTATGTACTGTACACAGAGGCTGTAGCATCCATGTCCAAGAGCTTCCCCCCCCTCCTTCAAGTAGACGTGGTCTGATCCAAGAACAAATGGCTATATTCCCGTTGAGGCTCGAGTATCTTTGTCCGGCGGCGGTACCTTGGACATCAACGTCTTCCGGGACGATCCCGCGACAAGACGACGAAAGCAAAACGGCCAGAGAGACACTGTAGTCTAGTCCAGGAATAATGATAAGAATAATAATGCTCTTTGTCTGGAGAGATTCGAATCGATGGTTGGCATCCCCTGGTCTCTCCCTCGTGCTGGCCCGGCGCGGCGCTGGCCTGGCCCGTCTCGCTCTCCGTCTCAGGCTGACCCCCAAAGCCGAAACTTTTCTGATCCACGGTCCACCACCAACGGAACACTTCCTCTTCCTCCCTCTTCTCTCCTCTCTCATCCTCTCCGTCCTTTCTTCCCCTTCCCTTTCTCTCCTCCTTCGACCATTCTACGTCACGGCACGTTCCTGTCGTGATTCGTGTCTCTCGCTTTCCCGCAGGAGACACTCTTTGTGTCCGTCTTTCCCCTGCCGCCAGTCCGGCCTCTGCCCAGCAGCAGAGAGAGAGAGAGATGGCATCCGCTCCGGCGCCCTCCCCGAAGCTGGATCGTTACATCGTCGTCCATGTTGCGACGACCTGTGATGAACATGGCGTCTATGTCACTAAGGATTCGGCCGAGGTGATCGAGCTGGGATGGATCTTGCTGGACACAAAGACTTGTGAGGAGGTGAGTGAAACTTGCGGTGATCCCCCGTTGTGTTCGCTCCTGAACACTTCCGCTGACTGAGTTTCGCTCTGCACAGCTTCACCGCGAAAGCGTCCTCGTCAAGCCCGTCAACACCCCCATTACGCCTCTCTGCAGTAAGTCCGACGGCCCGTCAATGCTTATCGCCTGACCCGAGGAATCAATGGCTGATGGAATATAGCGAGTTTGACGACTTTGACCTGGGAGCATGTCCGCACGGCAGGAACCTTTCGGGACGCCATCAACCGCTTCGACTCGTTTGCTCAGGAGCACCTGTTGAGCAAGAACCTGGAGTTCTCCTTTGTTACCCTCGACTCGTGGGATCTCCGTGTCCAGCTTCCTCGAGAGGCCCGTGACAAGGCCGTGGTTCTGCCGCCATACCTGCAGCACTCCCGCACCTTCGACCTTCGCACTGAATACCAGAGGTGGCAGACTCATCACCCGGAATCTTTGCCTTTTGGCCCCAGCTCGCTGGCCAACATCTGTGCCGCCCTCGAAGTTGAGCCCGTCCAGTCGTCCGCACCCATCAAGCACAACCTTCCTTTCCACCTCCAGGCCTTGGCTCCCGCGTCTCCCCGACGTGCGATGGAAGAAGCCATCACCCTGGCTCGAGTCCTCCGTGGTCTGATCCGCAAGTCTCAACCTCCGCATGAGCACCCTGAAATCCTGACTCGTCCCATGGATGCCCGGGCCGATGTTCGTGCCTTCTTGGCCGAACGCAGCAAGGTTCTCCACATGAGCGGTCTGCCCCATGATACTACACAGTCCGAGCTGGAGAGCTGGTTCACGCAGTTTGGAGGACGACCCATTGCCTTCTGGACCCTGCGGACGCCTGATCAGCACAAGCCTACGGGAACCGGATTTGCCGTTTTCTCGTCCCACGAGGAGGTATGGCCATTTCTTCTGCATTCAGCGGGTCTAGCCGTTTTTCTTTTACTAACAGTGTGTGTTTGACTAGGCTGCGGAGAGTCTTTGCATGAACGGACGTGCTCTCAATGAGAAGGCTATCGAAGTCTCTCCTTCATCGAGCCGTGTCCTTGACCGTGCGGCTGAGATTCTTACCCCGTTCCCGCCCTCGAAGAATCGCCCTAGACCTGGTGATTGGACTTGCCCGTCTTGCGGATTCTCCAACTTTCAACGCCGTACAGCTTGTTTCCGCTGCTCTTTCCCGGCGGTCGGTGCTGCTCCGGACCCTATGGGATTTGCTTACGGCTATGGCCCCCCATCTATGATGCCCCCTCACATGGGCCATCACGGAGGCCATGGTATGGGCCACTCTCGCGGCGTGGGTGGTAATGGCGGTGTTGTGCCTTTCCGAGCTGGTGACTGGAAGTGTGGATCTGAAGGATGTGGCTACCATAACTTTGCTAAGAACATCAACTGCCTGCGCTGCGGTGCTCCTCGCTCTGGAGCAGCTGTTGTGGCTGATTCCGCTTTCCCGTCCCCCATGGATCAGCCCGCTGGCTTCGGTATGGGACCTGGCTCGATGACGAGCACCCCGGGACCCGGTCCGTTTGCCTCCACCGCTGGCGCTTTTGGTGGATTCGGTCAGCAGTTTGGGGCTCCTCCCAACAACTATGGTCTTCCCTCTGGCCTTGGCAACGCTCCTGGACCATATCCGCCTATGGGCCAGATGAATGCAGGATACGGCTCGACCAACGCGTCACACTCGGCGGCCTCTTTTGGTAACCCCGCAACCCAGGCTGCGTTTACTGGTGCTGACCATGCTGGTCCTGCTGCCAATGCTTCTAACGGAAACTTCTACGGTAATGACGGTTCGAACGACCCGTTTGCGTTCCTTTCCACTGGTCTTGGAGGTCTTACAGTGAGCGACGATTCCCGGCGGAACGGCGCTTCTACCAACAAGTCTCCAGCATAAACGTCGGGAGGAGCATACGATATCCTCAGCTCTGCTTGTCGCTATGGGATTGTGCTTAACGGTCGGCATCGGTGTGGATCGATTCTTGTTTGGAGCGTGCTTGTATAAGGAAATAACTTTGGGTGCATTTGGCTGGTAGGAGCAGGCTGGGAGCTTGTCGTTGGTTCGCGCGGGGTTTTCGCTGGGTATCTCGGTCTCTGGTCCGCCCTATCCGGCTTGTTTATATTCCGTATTCAAAAAAAGCGTTGCATGGTATCCAGGGGAAATTCTTACTGCGACAACGGGCAGGTGGCGGGATGCGTCCTTTCACGTCAGTTACTTCGACTTTCATGTTTTTGTTTTCCTTTTCAGGCGGGAGGCCTCGACCAGACTTCGGAGATCGAGCGTTTTCACCAATGACGAAGAGCGGAGACGTGCAACATCAACGTGCCATGAGAACAGGTATTTCGGATGCCTCTCTTTTGCCCACGGCAACAATATAATGCGGCGGGAACATATTGGAAATTGCTGGTATGATCACGGATGGGTTACAACGGACTGGAATTTGTCGGGGGTGTTGGGGATTCCTTTTTCAAGCCAGCGGGTTTCAACGAGCAGTTACATAAGAAGGATAAGGCGAAGGTACAGAGATCACCGTTTATGAACAGGAGTGAGAATGCCTTTTTCTTCTTCTTTTTTTTTCTCTTTTTTCCTTTTTGAGCGTCTATATTAGTTTTATACTTGGAAAAAGTCAGATCGTCATGGGAGGGATACACAAAAGAAGGCCGGCCGAGAGATTGTATTGAAGCATGAGGGGGATTGGATTACGTGTTGGAGGAATACCAGACTTGGACATAGATCAGGCACGGGAAACACGGGCTGACTGGTGGTTTCAATATCTTTTCTCTTCTCTCTGTCCCTTATCTATTTTGGCACCGTGTTGCCGGTTTATGCTCTGTCCGTGTCATGAATGGAGGATTTTGTTTTGAGGTTGGCTGGCACTGTGACTGGGTTAGTCTTTCGGGTCATGGGACGGGTCGGAGTGCGGAGGATTGCTTTCAGCTGTCTTATCTCTTGCACTTTTTGTTGTCTTCATGCGGAGAGATTCCCGGGACCTTTCGGCCTCTTCCTTTATCTCTTTTTTCTTTCTTTTTCGTTGTATTTTCCTTTTTTCGTAATCATTGAAAGAGAATCTGTATCTTCTCCAGTCCAGTCTTCCTCTCGCCTCCTGTATGTGATTTTGCCTTATTCGACCTGTCCACCGGCTCAACCGATTGGATTGACCGCTGTTCCTTGCGAGGATGTACGGCAGATAGCCCCTAGTGTGTACGTAGTATCATCATTGGCGTCAATCTGAGAGTTTGATATTCTATCAACATTGGCTAAGCCAGAGAGATCGTAGTATTCTAGTCCGCAAAGGCATGAAGTGAGTCTCCACTAGATCTTGGCGATTTACATCTTGTGAGGACATTCGTAGGCGTTGATATGGAAGCTCTGGGAGGTTGACGATAACCGCGCGGCTGGCGCTTGGGCCGCAGCTCTGGAGGCAGCCGCGGAACTCGCGTCCAGCTACGGAGCCCGTCATCGCCCAAGCTGCCACTCCGCATGCCTCACCAACGTGCCATCTGCCTTCTGTAGCTCTCCACGGTCGTCTCACTTCGATCTCCTTCAATCTGCTTCCTTAATTCTAGCCTAGTTTGACCCTCTACGACCGTCACGATCCATAATGGCCTCCGGATATGACCGAGCGCTTTCAGGTATGGTAGCTCCTCTTTGATCGCATCCTCTGCTGTCTATGCTGACCAAATGTAGTCTTCAGGTAGGATTTGTCGCGAAGAAGCTCTACGATACGCTTTCCTGACTTGAGTCTAGTCCCGATGGACACGTTTTCCAGGTGGAATATGCTCTGGAAGCTGTGAAGCGAGGTACAACCGCAGTCGTCCTGAACTCTGGAGACGAACGAAGCTTACAGAATCAGGAACCTGCGCCGTGGGCGTGAAGGGCAAGGACATCGTTGTCCTGGGATGCGAGAAGCGGTCTGCGATGAAGCTCCAAGACACCCGAATCACCCCGTCGAAGATCTGCCTCCTCGACAACCATGTTTGCCTTGCCTTTGCCGGCCTCAACGCCGATGCCAGAATCCTCGTCGACAAGGCCAGAGTAGAAGCCCAATCGCACAGGTTGACCGTCGAAGATCCCGTGTCGATTGAATACATCACGAAATACGTTGCCGGTGTGCAGCAGCGATACACGCAGAGTGGTGGTGTCCGTCCCTTCGGTATCAGTACGTTGATTGTTGGGTTTGACAAGGGTGACAATGTTCCCCGTCTTTACCAGACGGAGCCATCTGGTATCTATTCTGCTTGGTAAGTCGGTTGTTACGATATATGAGTCGGGGACCCGGCGGTTGGGGGCTAACGGTCATACAGGAAAGCAAACGCTATCGGCCGATCGAGCAAGACCGTACGCGAGTTCCTCGAGCGGAATCACAAGGATGATATGGACCGTGAACAGACCATTCAGCTGACGATCAAGTCGCTGCTGGAGGTCGTTCAGACCGGTGCGAAGAACATTGAGATTGCCATCATGGCCCCTGGCAAGCTCATGGAGCAGCTTCCCGACGAAGACATCGAGGCTTACGTGAAGAGCATAGAGGCAGAGAAGCAGGAAGAGGCGGCCAAGAAGAAGACCGGTCGGACGCCGGGCACAGGCACTGCGGCCATCCTAACGCGGGGCGGCGGAGAGAGCTCTGAACACTGAATGTCATAATGTTTGAGTGTGGGCGTTGTAGAGGCTACGAGGGTCCGCATGACTCCTTTTCTGATGTTTTCTTAAAGCGACATTAAAACAAAAAGAATCTTGAATTCTGCACCTGTACACCATAACGTATCTACTGCCGTATCTGGATATCTCACGCAGTCAAAACAGAAGCAGGTTGACGCCCGAAGGCATCGTCTAAAATCGTATCTTCGTAATCCTGCGACTTCTACGCACTAGCCTAGCCGGTCCGCCGCATCTCGGACATTGAAGATAGAACGCTCCGCAGTACCTCGTACGCGGTCGTCTTTGAGGAATCTTTCACGAGCGATGAGTAAGGAGGTCTGCGAGACGGGACAGGATCCAAAGGGAACAAGCATACCTAGAGTCGATACGGGCATCCTCGCCCTCGACCCTCAAGGCGGGTGTGGGGGTCTTCGCCTCGATAACGAAGTGGTTATCGCAATGCGGGCAATACTCGTCGCTATTGACGTTGGTCACTAACTGCAAAGGCCAGAAGTCACGCTGGCTTGACACCAGACACGCACGTCCCAAAGCAAGGCCGCACGCTCTTTACGGGCTACGTACCTGTCCTCGAACTCTGACGTGTCTTTGCGGAAGCACTTTTTGCACTTCTTACAGGCAAAGGTCTGTTGATGAGATACAGTTAGATATGGCAGCTCTTTTTTTTGTTTTTTTCTTCTCTCTCTTTTCTTTCCCCCTGCGGGGTAATAATACGTATGCATCCAAAAAGGGGAGGAATAAAAAATACTGACCATATCAAAAGACTGCATCAGGGGGTGGCTTTCCTGCTCATAGTGACATTCAGCACAGTCAAACCATTTCCGGCCTAGATGTGCATTGGGTTAGTGTTGAAACTGATGCTTTGAAACATAGGGGATCAATAATCAGAACTGGGCGTCTCCAGCCTGACTTTCTTTTCTGGACTTGAACGTACAGCATGGAGACCGGATGGCCACCTGAGCGTTGAGGATGTGCTTGCTGCGCGTGCTACTGTCAGTTTCGAGTTCTGTTTGGTTGGCTCTGCGCGTTTCTTTCTTCTTCTTCTTCTTCTCTTCCCCGTTAAAGGAAGGAATTTGTAATGCGCATCAACGATGCTGGAGGGAGACGTACCACATGGTTGATGTGTCAGATCCTGTGTAGAACGACGGAGTAGATGATGGTAAGAGATCTACAGAAAGAGAGAAAGAGAGAGAACAGAGGATGAGCTCGATGCCAGTGAAACATTAAAAGGAGAGAGTCTCGATTCTTCTGGTGCCGTTGTCTGGTTCCTGCATGGAGTCGGACTCCCAGCGCGGGAAGACTAAAAATGGCCGCGGGCTTGGCTGATCACCTGGCTGCTTGTGCGGAGAGACCGACCGTTTAAACCATCAATCAATCTGGAACTGGAACTTGGTCAGAGTCCTTGCGCTGGATGTTCTGATCGGACGAGAGTCTTGTTGTCTTCTCAGGGGTTTGGTTTCTTTTCCTTCTTTCGTGTCCCTGATCTGGACTAATTATATCTGTCTACTTCTTCTAACCAAATCCCGCGCCACCTTTCTTTCTATATTGTTCCTGCGCAGCCCCCCCGTTTCCGCCTGTACGGCGTCATCCTCCCAACCCCCGTATTCTGGCTCCCCGGCCATGAGATCCCCGGCACGTCGATGAGAGATCTGATAGCCGCTCTTCGATAGTACCGGCCCTGCGGATTTCGATAGAATACCCCAAGAACCCTGATCGCGTGACTCCGATACGGCGAGTCGTTGTCGCTCCTGTTTAGTGTCCCGCCTCTCCGTGTGAATCGACCAAGGCGGGGAATTATTACAGAATTACAAAACCACAGAGGGCTTATGGCTGGATGGGCGCTTTGGGACACAGGAACTGATTCTTGGATAGCTATTAGCGCGCACAGACATAATTGGGATCATGGAGGGGAACGCAAAAGGAAAGGATGGCACGGATGATGCGCCTATTGTAAATACATCCCTCGAATCCTACTTTCTCCCCCCTTCCCCAGTCTGAAATGGTTTTGTGGATGCAGCTGTACTGATGCTGAGATGGCGATTTCTAGAGACCAGTATCCTCCCTGCTGTCGCATTTCGAGAATCTTGCCCACCTCCGTTCCTCATCTGGCGCCAGCAGTCCGCGTAACTCGTCGCAGTTTCTACGAACCCCGGAACCGACGGAGGATATTCGAGGAGGCCGTCAATCCCTAGATTTACCCAGTCCCCGCTCGCCATGGGGGTCTACACCTAGTACGCAGAATGGACAGTCCCCGAGTCCGCTCGTTCGAACCTCCGGGGCTCCAGGCGCCAGCGCGTCTCCAAGGAGAAGAGCGTACAGTAGACCGATGTCGATGGACCTCCATTCTTCGCAGGTAACACCGGCACTGACGGTAGATTCGCCTCGTTCGCCTCCGCATGCTCTCGATAATGGACATGGAAGTGAGAGCTCTCCTCGGATGCATCAGTTTTCGCACAGCATCGCTGAGATCGAAGGAGTGCCCCGGCCAAGGCCCCCGCGTGCGCAACGCCCTACAACCCCGAACTTCAGTCTAGGTGGAGGGGGAACCGGCGAGAAGAGCGATTCTCCAGGCAGGGGAGTCTCTCCGATTGGAAAGTCCGCGTCTGTTCCTCCCCCGGTGAACAGGGCAGACAAACCGAAGATACCTGCAAAGGCAGCGAACCTGGGGCAATTGGAATTCCAATCTTCGTCGTTGACACCAACGGCACCACGTTCGGAGAGGGCACCTGTCGACGAGCGCGTCTCGCCATTTAGCACTCCTCCCAGCAGTCCGGAGAAGCCTTCTCCTCGAACAGTTCCGAGTGAGAGACCAGAAAAGTTCAAGATACCGCCGTTGCGCCCTACGACTGAACCGCCACCCCGTTCAGCTGGCCCAGACAGGCCTCAGCCTTCTACTTCTGCGGTGCGCGATGCAAGAGAGCTTGGTTTCTCGCGACAACGACCGGTGCCTGAACCTTCCCGGGCCACGAAACCCGTGATGGTGCCCGTAGCGCCTCCGGACCGGCGTTCTGAGATACTATCAAGCGGACCTAGAGAAGCGAGATTCTCTGAACCGTCGAATCATAAGATTCCTGCCAGTGCCGGCCCAGACGATCGACCTGGTCTTCCGCCGCGGTTCTCGACTGGTGCTCGACCCTTCGCACACAGTCCACCGACTTCGGAATCCAGGCCTGAACCGGGGAGGCGGTCTCTGGACGTAGGTCGAAGCCGCAGTCAAAGAGTATCACCATCTCGACGAGTTTCTGCAATCGATACAACCTTTCCGCCCCCTCCTCGTAGAGAGACTGGTGGCTCTACACCTGCATCTACATCTGCAGGCGGCTGGCAGGGGAACGACACATCTGCAAATGGACCGAATGGCTTGGACCAGTCGAGGGGTGCTCGACGTCACAGTCCCCAACCGCCACCGGTGTCCCGCGACACGAAGTATACCAGTTCGACCCCTATCGAACAGAATCGGAACCCGCGGGTGGAGGAGCCAGACCGTGTTGTCGAAGAGACCCCCATCCCGCGCACAGACTATCCCGATTCTTCCCAGGTCAATCGACGACCCCCTGTCATTAAAGGCGGACCCTCTGCCATACCTACCAAATATGATACTCGCCTGTTTGACGTATGCGGGAGGTATGTCTGTACGGCAGGTTACCTGACTCGGGTTTGGGATCTTACTACGGGCGAAATGATAATGAGTTTGAGTCATGGGGAGACAGTCAAGGTTATGTCGCTGGCGTTCAAGGCCGGTAAAGGCCTTGAAGACGAGGGCCAGCGTCTATGGCTGGGCACCAACATTGGGGAACTTCATGAAGTCGATATTTCAACGCAATCCATTGTTGCCTCTCGGTCATATCCGTCCCGGAGGGAGATCATCAAGATATATCGGCATAAGAAGGAAATGTGGACACTAGACGACGAAGGCAGACTGCTCGTGTGGCCCCCAGATGAATCAGGCACCCCGAACCTCCAGTACAGCTACAGTAATCCTTATGACCGTGTCGCAAGAGGACATACATTCTCTCTTGTTGTTGGGGATACATTATGGCTAGCAACCGGGAAGGATGTCCGAATCTACAGACCCAATGCGCGGGAGGACACTTCGTTCCAAGTGCTTCGGAGACCTTTGGGGCAGCATCATACGGGAGAGGTCACTTCTGGTGCATATACGACCAAGGATGGAGGGAGAGTTTATTTGGGCCATGCCGATGGTAAAGTTACCATCTATTCATCGACCAATTATGCCTGTCTAGGCTCAGTCAACGTTAGTGTCTATAAGATTAATTGCTTGGCCATGGCGGGAGACTATCTGTGGGCTGCCTATAAGACCGGGATGATCTATGTCTACGATGTCAACACGAATCCGTGGACTGTGAAGAAGGACTGGCGGGCACATGATGACCCCGTTTGTGGTCTGTTATTGGATCCAAGCAGCGTGTGGACGGTCAATCGCCTTCAGGTTGCCTCGCTGGGCACGGACAACTGTATCCGGCTATGGGACGGAATGCTGGAGGAAGATTGGCTTGGTATGTCTAATCTCTAACCCGGGTTTTCGAGGCTCTGCTGACATTAAAACAGAGACGAGGATGCAAAGTAAAGATGTGGAGTACTGTACGTTCCGTGAGGTACGAGCGGTGGTCGTGACATGGAACGCGGGAGCTTCGGTTCCTGGCAGTGTGCGACACAGCAGTTTCATACGAGATGCAATCCACCCAGAGGACCCGCCGGAGATCATAGTCTTTGGATTCCAGGAACTTGTCGATCTGGAAGACAAGAAGATCACAGCCAGTTAGTCTCCCCTTTTCTGTCTTCCTGCTTGACTTCGATTGCTGATGTACAGCAGAGTCTTTGTTCAAGGGCAGTAAAAAGAAGGATGGTGCAGAGAAGGAACATATGAGTCGACAGTACCGAGTGTGGCGAGACCATCTTGCAACGGCTATCAACGACTGTATGCCTCTTGATGAAAATTATGTTCTTTTGCATACGGCAAATCTCGTTGGTCTTTTCACCTGCGTTTTCATCAAACATCGGGAACGACAACGGATCCGAAACATTAGCGCGGCGGAAGTCAAGCGAGGAATGGGTGGTTTGCACGGGAACAAGGTATTTACCTACTGTCGGTCACGTTGATATATATGAGTGTCTAACATTTGTTCCAGGGTGCTTTGATTCTGCGCTTCGTGCTGGATGACAGCTCCATCTGCCTGGTAAACTGCCATCTGGCTGCTGGCCAGTCGCATACGGCGAGCCGCAACAATGACATTGCAGCTATCCTTGAGAGCGAATCTCTGCCCGCAGAGACTAGCCTGACGACCCGCGCTGACCTCTTCGTGGGCGGCGGTGATGGAACTATGATCCTCGATCACGAAATTTGCATCCTCAATGGCGATTTGAATTACCGTATCGATTCGATTCCACGAAACGTCATTATCGAAGATATCAAAAACAACAACCTTCCCAAGCTTCTAGACAGAGATCAGCTTCTCGCATCGAGGCGTAAGAATCCTGGTTTCCGCTTGCGGTCATTTAACGAAGCCCCCATTACATTCGCGCCTACGTATAAATACGATGTCGGGTCAGACGAGTATGACTCCAGTGAAAAGAAGCGTGCCCCAGCATGGTGTGATCGTGTCCTTTCTCGGGGCCCGGGGAGGATCAAGCAGCTGGAGTACCGGCGACATGAGGTCAAGGCATCTGACCATCGACCTGTCAGTGCTTCTTTCAAAATGCGGATCAAGACGGTGTCTCCTCAGGAGCGTGCACAGACATGGGAGGAATGCCAGAAAGCCTTTGCGAAGGAGAAGCGCAGACTGGCATCTGAAGCGAGGTGAGTAGAGAAATCGTATTTCTCCATGTGTTGTTCAATTTTTGCTTACTTTCTCCTAGTATCGAGTACCTCGTTACAGTCCTTGGAACCGATCCCGAGGAAGCGACCCGTCTAATGAAACCTGGGTCCTCGAAATAATCGTGTCGCTGTCTTTTTGTTGTTTTTCGTTTTTTCCCTTTTAAGACAATTCCAGCGGCTCTCTGAATCCACATGGCCCAAGAGAGGCATCCCTTCCTGCAACGTACAGTTTAATTCTACCCGTGTTGCATCGTCCTGGCACAGCATTCTGTCTCCTTTTCACTTTCACCTCGCCCAACACACGGCGTCGGGTACAAAATGTACGACTAATGACTTCACGATAGACAGGTATCATGAACTATCATGTACCTCAGATGAAAGGCATACCTCTGCTATTTAGTTCGTTTAGTAAAGCGTCCGTCATGAATAAGTCCTGTGAAGAGAGAAGATTCAATATCAATAATATATTGACTTTTGTAAATGCAGTTTTCTCTTGGCTTGTCGTGCGCTTGGTAGATCTAATAGTCTTGTCTCCAACCTAGCTACTGTACATACATGCTTGACAACCTGAGAAGATACTACTATGGCACACATCCGAGTCCGCAAGCATCCCTGTCTCTGTTCCCCTGTTGCTTACCATTTGCATACTGTACAAGTCCCTCCCCTGCGAATCCCCTGTTCTATCTTACGCTTTACCATAATTCCCATTAACACCCCACATTCCCCGCAAATTAAGTTCCCATCCCGCCCGCCACTAGAGCTTATACGCCTCTGTCTCTTGTTGAACACTTACCCCGCCATCCTATCTCGGTGGTATTTCGTTGATGGAGATATTCCGTCCGGATGCCGATGCGACTTTCAATTTGGGAACCGAACCGGTCTGATAAGTAGTACAGAATGCATTTCCCGAGAGGAAAAGGAAGCTGTAATTACAGTACATTTCAGGGCCTGAATCCGCCGCACTAAGGATATGTGAACTTTCGTAATTGACATTCGCACACTTGCCAGATGGAAGATATTCGCTGTGTATCACCTACTCTTTGCAAATTAGCTCACTATGGGGAAACGTGGCGTGTTCAGGCCACCCACTGCGTAATGTGAGTTAGGTCTTACTTGTTTCACTTGGTCCGTTTGATGGGATTCTTCATTTTATAGGCAATAGCAGGTCTAGAATTCACACGTGTCACTGATGTTGACTCGGTTTTAATCGATCTGACGCGGCTATGTGAGTTGGTGCTAATATAATGAGTAGGTAGGCTCCTAAGAGATCCATCATGTTGCAATTTCAGTTCATGATTCAAAGTGCAAGACTGTTACCCCAAGTAAAATCTGCTGCACAACAGTTTTTAGCACAAAACCCACATATCAGATATGCCACTCCTGCTTCCTCGGAGTTCGATAGCTTACGCCTCAGCTATGGTTTTCAACGAAACTGTCATCCCAGCGATCATTATTCGTCCTCGCTTCGCTGAAGATGTCGCTGCCTTAATATCTCTTCTGGCATCTAATGAACTCCCTTTCTCCATTCGCGTTGGTGGACATGACCTATTTGGCCGATCGCAAGTATGTACATGGTGCAATAACCATCGACTTACGCGATATTGCATACATCCACGTGGATAATGCTGCATGTACTGCACGTCTTGGAGTATTGGTGGCGGACTTGGTTAAACAGTTAGAATATCATGGACTGGTTACAATAACCTCTCCTTACATTGCAAAACCCACAAATATGTCATTCCCCGACCGCATATCTGGAGAGTTATAAGATTTTGATGATTGCCTCAAGTAAACTGCATTTAAATTAACTAATAACAATAATTGTTACAAGATTGAAAATGATGAAATTACCTTGCATCTAATAATTTCTCTTTATTTCGATTAAAACAAAAAATCTGTAGAACCCATTGTATAATTCTCTAAATCTGTTAAACAAATACAACTAGGTTGTGACAATAATATTGATAAATATCAATTATCAAACAATTTACGGTTATGGCATTCTTTTTTAATAGTGAACCCCGAGGTTCAACCTCCTGCACCTGTAAACTAAAAACAGGTAGAATATTATCAGATTGGAAACATTAATCTAAATACTAATAAAGGGCAAGAAATAAGGTTACCCTGGTTTAACGTCGCTTCAACGCAGCAAATAAGATATCTTAGATTTGTGTATCTTAAGAATTTAGATCTCGCCATATTCAATTTCGTTCTTCAACCCGTCTCCCCATCACGATCTGGCGATCTCGGCGCCCGGCGCCAACACCTTGCCGCACACTTTAATCCACAAATGGTAATGCTTTGAGCCACTCCCTACGTTCTTCTTCATTCCTGGCTTCACGTTCCAGGAACCTCCTCACCCCCTCATCTAGCTCTCTCCTAGATTTTTCATAATCTGCGCTGCTAACCCTGCCATCCCAATGTTTAAAACAGCCAGTGTCGTCAACGAATGCATTCATGAGTTCAACACCTTGGGCCCATAGCTCACCATCCTGCTCCTGCTGCCGGATTTCATAATCCGAGAACTGCAATGGAAAGGGTATTCCAGGAGAGCTGCTATCCCCCCCCGCGCCAATAATATGTGCCCATTCTTTCTCGACATCTCTCAACAAGTCGTTGAGGAGCGGCTCGTAGTCCATCAAGACTAATCCTGGAACCACACTAACTTGATGCCGGAGAGTGTTCTGGCTCTGTATTGCTTGAAAGACCGTTTCGTTAACCTGAAGACACCGAACTAGATAGAGATTGTGCAGCGTCTGTGCTCTATGGAGTGCCTTTGCCTTCCGCTGTTCATCTGGATCCATGGAGCCAAAATTTGGTGGTAAAGGGACCTTCCCCAAATCTTCAGGAACCGGGCCATTGTAATCGAGAAACGCCGGGCGCCCAACCTGCATAAAAAGCGGACAGGCACTGACAGACTGCCAGTCAATAATTCCCACAATACGGCTTGGGTCTTCAGGGTCGACAAATATATTCTGCGAATGAAGATCGCAATGCCATAAAACTGAGGCATGGGTGGCTTTATTTTCCGGGAGAACATGAGGTGCCACCTTAAGATAATTTTCCAACGCCGAGAGCTTTTTGGAGAGGCTAGGCTGGTATTGTCGGGGTCCATAGAAAAGACCTTCGGGCATTAAGGGGTACCGGAGACCTGCCTTTGCAGCTGCAATTTCCCTCCGCGCAATAGCCGTCATATATTCTGTGACTGTTGACCCTAAAGGTTGTACATGGATAAGCACGGGATAATAATATTATAAGTCGGAGATGAACTTACATGGACCACGACTAATATCCAACTCACCTTTCCCGAAGTCAAAGAAAGAACGGTGATTAATCGGACCAATGCCAAACTTTTCGCTCCGCACTTCGTTCCCAGTTGAATCAACGTATAGGGGCAAAGTAGTATCCCATTTGTTAGGAAGGTCGCCTTTATAGTACAACGACCCGAACTGAGATAATTTTGTAGCTGCTAGGCGCCTTTCAATATCAACAATCTGGTCCAGAATTTGGACTTTCTGCTTTCCTTTCATAGTGTCCCATACGTCGGTTAGTATGATACCAGCTTGCTTCTCCATAAGGATATACTCTGCTCCGAGAGGGTTCTCTGATGCCCGAGAACACCATGCGTATACTCTCGGAACAGGGAGATTCAGGACATTCCTCAACTAGTAAAATTAGTATCCACGCGCAAAAAGAAATCGCAGTAGAAAAGAAAGCAAACCATACAAAGTCCATAGTTGCAACCTCACTAGCTGTTGTGAAGTGTGGTCTGCCTGCATTGGGATTTGGAAGTTTCGCAATAATCTCGCGTCCATCGTCCATGGTAAGCTGAAATACCTTGTTGTATTGGCCTTCTGAGATCTTTAACACTTCGGTGCATGATCTCGATCCGATCGCAGAGGCAGCTAGTTGCAGAAGTGTTGAGAGGTCGAAATTGACATAGCGGCAGTCAAGTTGCTGTTGCTCGTTCCAGAGCCAACGACCGGAGGTAAAACGATTGAGTGCCTCAAGGTCATGCTTTGAATCTGCGATATGCTCAGTCTCATTCGTTTTGGGATTGCTGGAAGAAAAAGGAGCCGCCATAAAGGGAACGTGGAGGGTACAGCGACGGGAAAGCGTGGCTCCCAGAATTCTTTTTAGGAAGCGGCCTTGGGTGGCCTTCATTTCTAGCGTTTGAGAAAGGTGGGAAGATCTGCCATTTCGTTCCCATGAGGACGTGAAGGCACATCATGAGCGAAGTGGGATTCCATGGACCTTCTGGGTATGGTTTTTGATGGTGATCAATCTTGGGCCTATGAGGTGCCCTCTTCGTCAGCCAAAGGGTGAGTTTGCCTTGTACTTAGGCCGCGCCAAAAATTTCAAGTTTCTTGACCAGCGTCCACGTAGTGATTTTCAAATCCCTCCCAGTAAAACTCTGACCAAATTCTTTTTCAATCTGTTCCCATGAAAGTCCCCTTCCCACCAATTCCCCGAGAAGCTCGTCCTCGACATCTGAAAACAACTGGCCCCGACGAAAACTAGAGAATGGACAGTGCGCTTCTGCTCTAGCCCTTGCCCTTGTCCGACGACCGCCGGATGTGGCAACTACAGTGTATTCCACATGTGCGATCTTTCGATTGCGATGTCTTGATCGGGAGCTTTTGGAGGTGCTACACGGGGTGGTCTCGGCCACAAGCGTAGTGTCTCCGGACAGAGAAGACTGCGATTCTTCAACCAATGGGCTGAAAGTAGGAAGGGTCTAGGCCAGTATCATCATTTCGAATAATATCGGCATTATCAGGGTGACTTTAGCAGCATAGGCCTATCGCAGGAACTTTGGATGTAGTTGAACCTGTTTCGTCAAGGCCGGACCCGTTATCCACACTTTGAAAGGGCTCCTGAAGCTTGAAAGCTCCCCGCATTGTTGGTGTTCCATACCTATCCAAGAGAATAATTCATCCGGATGGGGCAGGCCATGTCGCGCAGTGTAGTTGCAGGCTTGCGGGCAGGGGGAGTGTAGGCATGGAAGTACATGGACATTGGGGGTTTCGGGGGCAATGTAGGGTCGATCGGCGTAAGCCAGAAAGTGCAGGAAGAATAAAAGGAAGATACTGCTTACCTAGGTAGTCATCTGACGACCGTTTCTACAGAACCCAGCTCCCAAAGGATACGACTGGAGTACGTCCAAGACTGCGCAACGATACCGTCGTATGCGCGATGCACTCGGACATGTTAATCGAACGATCTTGTACTCGCTTTGTGAATGGGGCGATGCAGATGTCAATGAGTGGGGATTGCAGACAGGAAACTCGTGGAGGATGTCCGGTGATATTCAGCGTATGTTTTCCCCCAGAACTCACAAAATGTGATGAAATGGTTAATAGTGAATACTTAACAGCAAACTGGGTGCGGATTTCTACCATCGCCAACGAAAACAGCTTTTACATGAACTATGTTGATTTCTGGGCCCATCCAGACCCCGACATGCTCGAGGTCGGAAATGGGAATCTTACCTTGGCTGAGAATAGAGCCCATTTTGCTCTATGGGCTATAATGAAATCGCCTCTTATTATTGGAACTGCAGTGAGTTTTCAGACTAGTTTTTGGCTGAGGAGAAGATAGGTACTGATATGATATGATTCTGTAGCTCGATTCTATCAGCGATGATCATCTGTCTATTTTGTCTAATCATGCGCTTCTGGATTTTCATCAGGATCCTGTCATCGGTCGCCCGGCGTATCCTTATAAATGGGGTTATAATCCTGATTGGACCTTCGATCCGGCCCATCCTGCGGAATACTGGTCTGGGCCGTCGTCTAAACTAGGCGGGACGCTTGTCTTGATGTTCAACTCGGAAGATGTTAACGCAACTCGGACCGCGGTGTGGAGTGAGATTCCGGAGCTGAAGGGAGAGAAAAAGGGCAAGAGGGGAGATGATGGGTTCAAGGTTATAGATGCATGGACAGGAAAGGATCTGGGTTGCGTGAAGAAGGAGTATAGTGTGCAGCTCGAGAGTCATGATGTGGCTGTTTTGATCGTAAAGGAGGTCTGCTAGACAGTATCTCTCCGTTACTTCTACTCCATACTGTGAACTCTCGCCTCTGAGTACAATTTCGACGAGCTATGGGGAAACTAACAAGATCGCTGAGCTTGGCTTGTAATCCTGGTAGTCAGTCGCTCACTACACTGTGATAAACCCCTCCCAACTCTCCAAGGCTTTCCGGCATTGTTGCTCATACAAGGGCAATCCACCTGCATAATTCAACATCTCTCGTTTCTTTCCGGGAATATTGGCTCCCATATACCACGAATCAGCTTGTCCTAACAAGGTCATGTCCGTGATCATATTGACTTGTGCCTTCCACGCCGCCTCTGCTTCGGCCGTCGGTTCTATATACGAAAGCCCACTCGAATCAATCTTCCGGATGGCATCCACAATCCAACGACCCTGAATCTCTATTGATGTTGGCCCATTACTAAATCCTGACGGTGCATGTGCGCCTAAGGTGAAGAACATATTAGGATACCCTTTTATAGTCATGCCTAGATGTGTCTTCGCGCCGTCTTTCCATTCGTTCGCTAGCGGGACGCCATCTGTATTGCGCAGGCCCTCAATGTTGGTCATGCTTCCTGTGATTCCATCGAATCCGGTGGCCAAGGCGATTACATCCACGGGGTGGAAGGAGCCATCGCTAGTTCGAATCCCATCGGGCTCGATAGCTGTAATGCTGCATTCTCGGAGGTTGACCAGCGTCACATTCGGCTTGTTGAACTGTTCATAGTAGTCAAGTTCAAGCGAACATCGCTTCGCTCCGAATGCATGCATTTGTTTCAGCGGAGCAAGAATATCTTTCAATCGTTCGTCCTGGATCCTAGCGCGGGTCTTTCGAGCCCAGAAGTCGTATAGGGCGCGGTTGGCGTCCCAGTCCAGTAGGTTATCCATGAATCCAGCCAGGATCGGGGCAAATCCACCTTCCTGCCAGAGGGACTCGAAAATCGCCTCTCGTTCCTCAGGAGATACATCGAAGGTCTTTTTGGGTATGGGGTTCATCATGTATCCGCTAAACGTCGTTTCCCTATCCTGGAAGATCTGTGGATAGAGTGATTCATTATGAGCGTGGTCTTCCTCTGTAAATGTTTTCTGGGCCATGGGCAGGGCCAAGTTAGGTGTTCGCTGGAACACGGTAAGGGAAGCGGCTTCCTTGCCCCATGCCTGGATGATCTGAACACCAGATGAACCCGTCCCAATAACAGCGACTCGTTTCCCGTGCGCGTCGACTCCCTCCTTTGGCCAGAAGGAAGAGTGGTGGATTTCTCCGCGGAATGACTCTAAACCAGGGAAGTCTGGAGTGTAGCGTTTACTGGCGAGTCCTGCGCAAAGCAGCAGAAACCGGCAAGTCGTGATACGCCCATCATCTGTCTCGACCTTCCACTGCTGGGAATGCTCTTTGTCGAACTGGGCGCCGATGACGCGTGTTCTGAACTCGACGTCCTTTTTGACGTTCAGGACTTGGTCAATGTGTCTGAAGTAAGACTGTATCTCGTGGCGATCGGGATACAGCTGAGACCATTTCCAGTCCCTCCACACTTCGGGTATGGAGAGCTGGTAGATTGCGCATTCGGAGTCAACTCGAGCTCCTGGGTAAGTGTTCCAGTGCCAGACACCACCAATGTCAGTTCCGGCTTCGTATATCTTGCAACGGTAGCCGAGGTTTCGCAGTTGATGAAGGAGGAAAATGCCTGCGAATCCGGCGCCGACAATCAGGACGTCGTAGTCAGGCTGTGGAGATGAAGAACAAGGGCCCCCATTCGAGGTGGCCATGGCGATTCGAGTGAACTGTACAGTACAATCTTGCCTGGAAAAGTAGATTCTCTTTTTACATTACTGAGAACATCAGCTGGGTTTAAATGCAGCTGTTTCTAATAGGGACTTATCTGCACAGCTGTCCTTTTCCCGTCCTCAAATAAGACTGAATAGCGCCATAAGACGGGCCATGATAAATCGCAGCCCCAATTAGTGAACTCTAAAATACGAACTGATGCAACGAAAGCGCTTTCAGGTAGTGGTAAAGGTTGGACCGAGGGGCCTTTTGTGTGTCGATCATTGGGGGCCTTAAACTTGAGCCGAGATAAAGCTTTCGTAGTATCCTGCAACGAGAGGAGCTAGAGCATGCAAGTCATCCCTGTGAACCTCTGACATGTATACTACTTTGCAGCCTTAGAACTAAAGAGTCATGGAACGTACCCTAAAGCGATATTCAACATGTTGCCATCATGTGTGCCGAGATCGCTCAAGCGGCGAGTCACGTTGAGGCCTCTCCCGTCTCCACTTGCACGATCATAGCAAAGAAACAAGTACTCAGTAATAGCAGGACATATTAGCTATTTAGATTCTGTTTCCCGGTATTTTAATGTGATGTGTCTTAGAGTTCGTTGAAGGTTCGTTTAGAGCGGGTTATGTTTTGTTCCAAACTAGACAGGGAAAGTGGGTTTGCTAGGTACCAAGTTGGACTTGGTTATACAGAAAGTCTATATTATTTTGCATGTTTGTGAGGTTGAAAGAAGAGGACTATTAGATTAAGAATCGCATTATCTATTTGTCCTAGCACAAAGAAGATTATTCTTGAGCGTATATTGCCCCTGCTCTTACAAGTACGCTGACACCGAAGAGGGGCGAATAATAAAACAGTATGGGCTTCATATACGTCTGATTAGGGTTCTCCAGATGGCCATAGTTTCTGGAACTCTTCTTTCTTCCAGTGGGTCAACGGGGTAGTCTGAGCCAGTTACATGTAGCCCGTTCCACGAACGTTGCTGATACCCCGTAGATCTAGAGCTACGCAAGCAACCTAGCTATGTACCTAGGAGGTTCAAATCATACCGTTGGTTTCGAGCCCTTTAATATTCGACAAATTACTTGTTTCCCTGGGGAAGTCAATATTGAATTTCCTTCATTGCGTTGTGGAAGTTAATGTCACAGATATCCTATGCTATATACATGAATAGAAAAAAGAAATATAGTCGTAACAGTTCCTGAAACATCACGTGAACCCAGTTATTGGAGTTAAATCAAAACCTCGACTGGTTGGCGTTCTGCATCAACATAGAAGAATCTGGCTTGTACTTCTTCGAGAGCAAACGGACGTCGTACTCGCAGTCGAGAGTGGCGCCATTAGGCTCGTTCTGAACGGGCTTGAAGTCCAAGAGCAGATCCTCCTTGACGGCACACACAGTGTCGGTTTCGAGATACTGGTCGTCTCTGGGGTACAGCTGAGCGGTCACCCCGATGTAGTCTGGATGAGTGACCATCATGTGGATGTGGGCAGGGCGCCAGGGGTGGCGGCCCATGAGTCTGAGCAGCTCAGCAGAGGGGCCGGAGGTGTCGATGGCGTACTCGGTGGGCTTCAGGCAGTAGAATGAGAACTTGCCGTCCTTGTCGGTGCGGAACTTGCCGCGGAGGTTGTGACGAGTCTGGTTCTCGGGGTCGAAAACGTCGTACTTGCCGTTGGTGCTGGCCTGCCACATGTCGAAGACGGCGTCGGGGATGGGCTTGCCGGTCTCAGCGTCCGAGATGACACCGTGGAAGAAAGTGAGCTCTCCATCCGGTGGCATGTTCTGGACGACGCTGGAACCAAGCTCGCGGAATGGGGTATCGGGGGACCAGAAAGGTCCGAGGATGGTAGAGGAGGTAGGGTTAACACCGTCCGCGGTCTCAACCTTGTGGTTGATCTCATCGACGAGACTAAACAAGAGCTGTTAGCCATGTTCTCTTGCAGGAAAACGACGGTACTGATAGGGGTAGTCTACTCACGATTCGACACCAAGGATATCGCACACTCTCCATGCCTCGTTTCTGTTCTTCTTCCAGGCCTGGCCAATGGAGTTGACGTAGTTGACGCCGATAATCCACTCGTCTTGAGTGAGCTCGACCTCACGGCAGAAGTCGTGCAAGTGTCTGATCAAGGAGGAGAGGATCTCTCTGTGTCTGGGTTTCGTTTCGGGGCTCATGAGATCAATGACATGCTGTGTGAAGTTGGGGTCATATTTGCTCTTGGTGCCGTTGGTGCCGTTGGTACCGTTGGTGGTACCATTAGTGCCGTTGATAGTCATGATGATAGTATTGCCGTCTTTCTAGTGAACAGCAAATGAGGACGGTGGTTTTCAAGATGAGGAAGCAGGTTAGGAACGGAGAGGATGATATGTCTGATTTCAACTGCACTGGAGACAAAATTTGGGAGCCCCCAGCCTTCATATACGAATTGGAGGTGCCATGTCGCGAAGAACTCGCCAGCTATGAAGCGGGACGAATGATGTGCTGCCGCTTCAAAACTCGGTAATGAGATAAGGTAAGATTCGCATTGAGTTGAAATTTAGCGCGTGCCATGTAGAACCGTTGGAGTAACATAAAGCCGTGTCTCAGTGTTTTAGAGCATCGTTGGTTAGGGATATATGCCGTATTCTTCATCCGCAACGGAGTTTGTAGTTTTGGCTCCGAGATTAGAAATGCGGGGAATTTGCAGCGTTCGTCTGGATTTGTTGGAGAAAGATAAAGCCGCACGAATCATGTTGTAGCTGACTCCACAGCCAGACCAAGATTGCATATAGGTCATGTGTCATCTCAACTCAAGAGGAACTCTACACGGTAATCTAGAACTATTCGCGAGTATACATCGTATTATACCAGGTATCTGCAGTCCAGAAAGATCGACTTTGCAGATGGTAGGAAGATTTCGCTTATTACTGCACGGAGCAGTGTGTAGTGCAGTAACTAGGTAAACTTACAGCAATAACATCACGTGAAACAAATATGATTTTGAAAGATCAAAGATCAACAGAAACAGAAAGCGATATGTACATAAAAGAACAACTGCTCAAATAACCAATTACAAGAAAGCTGTTTGGAAACCGATTACATCCACTGCCTCACTGAACCTCCGCCGCATCATCAGCCGACTCCACATCCCGAAACGCGGAGTTCACATTGCGGGGTATCGCTCGCGCTCGTGGAAAAGGTCCTAACCGCCTTGCTGTCGACATATTCTTGAGTTATTCGTGATCGCTATAGCGGCTTTACGCAGGTGTTATCATATAAGACCACTTTATAGGGGAAGTTAAGTTCTTGAAGTACTCTTTTTTTTTTTCTGATTCCCAATATCTCTAAGTTTGACCAGAGGAATTATAACATACCGATTAAACTGGCAGGATGCATTCCAGAACAGCCAACTCATATGGAAAGATTCAAATTGCCCCAACATCTCCTAAAATAATACCAACAGAGTGAAAAAGGAGGAAATGGTTCTCTCGATGCTATCAGATGCAATAATAAGAGCTAAAATCGTGGTGGGCGGAAGGAACTCAGAGGAAGCCTGACAAGGTCTGATATGCGGACTCTATGACCATCAAAAACACCTGGGGGCATACCCCCTCCATGAAGCCACGGGTAGTAATATGGGTCTGGAAGATGTTGGGTAGCGGCATAAAAGTCGGCCCGGGTGGTTATATGGACTGCTGGACCCTCGGTCCTCAACGGGAAAGTAAATCCTTGATATCTACGGTCAGCGCTAGAAATCACTATAGATAGTATATTGTAGACCTACTCCTCGAGACAAACTCATCAACCGTTGAGCTCGGAATGCGGCGTATCTTATGAGCCCCGGGGGCAATCAACCAAAGCTTACCTGGCTGGACGGGTCCTCAGCAATGGTGGTTCCATTATATATATATATATATGTCTTGGCCGTTCACTTACATGGTCGTCGCGTAGTCTCCTATCTGATTGGAATTCAGCGACCCCGCCCAGGAGCCATGTCTCCAGAATCCGACCGGATTCCCCGTTATCTGGACGAACGTGACTGTTGAAACCAGCGATGGTCATGATCCTGGGCGTTATCACATGTCCATGGCCAAGGAAGGTCACCATTAAATGCCCTCCCACTTCATGCATGAGGACCACAGCAACTTGGAAAATCCAGAGGCGAAACTGCTTAGGACTGTCCGCAGAAGATATCATGTTTCGAACTATCTGAAGCCATTTAGAAGGATTAATTATATGATCCTGATGCATTGGAAGTTGGGGTAGAAATTCTTACGCGGGGGCTTATGGCTACCATCTGTTGCCTTGGATCAAATTCTTCCCAACGTCCAGACCACGGCTCCCTGGAATGGAAGCCAAGTGCGGTTGGACTTGCCGCTGAACTTATGACTAGAAGCGGGAATCTGTCCATGATCTTCTCCGTGAATAGTCTCACTGTGCGATGGGCGGCCCTTCGGCTTCCATGGAATAGCCTACCATGTTGGGCGCAGTTATCGTAGTCAAAAGCAATCTGAGTCAGGACATCCTGGCCTTTTGGAGTCATCAGTGCAGACACTGCAATGTAGATAGCAGAAGATAGAAAAGTATATTCATATGACCCGGGAGGATGAGGAATAAGCACTGGGTGACCTCCATACGGCGGATGATGTTCTGAGCAAATGGCGAAGTTTGCAAATTCTGGCATTGCAAAAGAAGAAAACAATATCAAAGGTCCCGATAAAAACTAAAGAGTCCAACGGAGTGCAAAACAGGATTTGAAAACAAGGAGAGGTACAGCTTCCTCTTTATAGTGTACGTTGACATTGAGTCAACAATATGACAATGTCCACAGTCACTGTACTGACAAAGAGAACCAACAACATTGTTAGATGGGAGTTCCCTATAGATATTTACTATCTACTGCTCCCATTGAACTGGTTCTGCCGATCACTGTGGCTTGCCTCGATCAAAGCCTTTTGTCGAAGCCTGCCTACAGGCAGACCTCCTGTGGGGTTTCTCCCATGCCTTTCTAGCTCCACACAAAGAGATAAATAGGCTGAGCTAGTTGCTAGAGAACTCGAGCCCAGCTAGCTGGAGTCGGGGTTTACTAGAAACAGATACAGATACTGATAAGAACCGACATTATATTTTGGTATAATCTCATTGAAGTGAAAATTTATAGTAAAATTGACCGTCACGGAATGTGGTTCTATGAGAGAAATATATCACAAAAGCTCAACTCAATATTGCCCGAAAAAAAAAGGTATGGGTATAACTGCTTCATTACATTCATAAACCATATGTCTCATCCTACCTATTTCTCATCTCGGCGATGGACCCAGGTAAGGCTAGCAGAAACCAGTGGCTGAGCTGCTGTGTCAGAGTATGTAGTTCTTTCACCGCCACAGATCTTGCTTCTCATTTTTTAACCCGCCGCTGCTCTTGGGCCGTCCATCATCAACAGGAACAGCTAGATATCCGCCGAAGCCGTTTCCGACAAGGACGCTTCTCCGCGCCTGACCACCCCAGGAGGGGCTCAGTTGGGCTCCATGGAAGCTCACCGGTCGAGTAGTGCTATCGCGTCTCCCACGTGTGGAAGGAGGTTCGTAGGGAGTGAAGTTCCATTCGAGTTCATCCATGCCTTTGCTGTAGATGTTGAGCGGCTGGTTCAGACCCATGCTGAACATTTGAGGGCCATTCTCTCCACCGCCAAGGAGCCGCGGGGGAGGAGATAACAGCAGCGTGTCAGGAAAATCTGCATCTCGGACATATAGGTCTCTGAGAGCAGGGAGAGAGCTCGACATCAGAGAAGATATCAGATATGTGTAGTAGGAGGTAGCAGTCGAAGAATGGCCTGATACACAGCCTGCATATGTGACCTCATAGTGCAGCAGACGTAAAGACTTTGACGAAAGAGGCGGTATATCTTCCATTGGAAAAGGACGTGACATTTCCTGGATGATGGAGAGCGTCCGGAGGTAGGGTGCTGCGGAAAGGATGACATGCAAGGACTGGGGAAGTATGCCAGTGCTAGACACCGTGAGATGCGTTAGAGCCTCGCGATTCTGGGGCATCGAGAGATAAGTGGCAAACCCGCTTGCCGTGACATTGGGGATGTGCTCAAGAGTCAGTCGTTGGACCGGCGGAAATAATGGCACGGAAGGCGCAGAAGCAAAAATGGTGTCGTCCAGCCAGTGAAAGTCTTCTATCTTCAAATCTCGGAGCATGGGAAAGGAATTGAGTACCCAGCGCAGGGTGCTGGGCTCGACCTGCAGCCTGGACAATTCGAGGACTTCAAGACTCATCCAAAGCCGCGAGCCTGGGATGCGTGAGAAACTGCCTTCCGACCCGTGTGCATATCTCATCCTTCGGATATCAATACACCGAGCCATGAGCTCCTGCTTCAATGTCTGTGATGATATTTCATCGCTGTATAACCCAGCCGGAAGATCTACGTAACGGAGATTAGGGAGCACTGATACGGTTCGCGCGAGCTCCGCCTTGCTGGCCTCCCTGGTCATGTATGGGGTTCTTAGCGATAGAACCATGTTTGCCAATTCCTGGTTTTCTCTAACTGTCCTCATGAAGAGCGCCAATCTGACTTTTGGGGCGTCAATGGCCTCTCCGTTGCGATCAAACCACGAGCGTCGTTTTCGCTTCGCGGCCAGCTCCACCTCCAGCTCGCAGTAGTGGACGGGATCGATGCGGACGTGTTGGTACCTGAAAGAAGGGTCTATTAGTCTGAGATAGATAATAGACGGATATTCTGCTGGATACATACAGCAATGGTTGTGCGCAGGATAGCCATCGCTTACAGGCCAGTGCACAATTCGCCAGATCGCGCATATCGCAGAGCATACAGCCATCCTCCGTCATCGACTCCTCAGAGGAACTGTAGGAGTCATCCAGGGAATGCGGACAAACCTCCGCGAAGATCTGAGTGAGTACCTCGCGTGGAAGACGTTTCGTGAAGTCATTACCGTAACGTGGAGCAGAGTGACTCGCTTTCGGACTGTGTCGCGCATCTTTAGAATCCTTCCCCGCACCGTTCAGATTCTTCGACCGCGAGCGAATATGCTTGAGGAACTTCATAGTGAAAACGAGAGCGCTCAATATGCTCTACCGCAGTCTGAGCGGGAATGCATAGAAGAGCTTGGATTGACAGTTGGAGCTGATGCTGGTATTTCACTGCCGCCGTGATGCGGAGAGGTCGCGACCATACCTACCGCCCCAAGTCACAGATCACTCCCTATCCAAGACTGTTTCCTGCTGGGGCCGGCAAATGAAGATACGGCGTCAGCGCATCTCGTTTTGATTGCTAGCTATATTTATCGTGCTCTCAGATACCCCTGGGAGAGCACAGGATCTTTCAGAGGGCGCCTCGCTTGTCAAACGGCATTTGAGCCCCGATTGCTTTTCCTCGCGGTCAGACTTGGCGGCGCGTAAGTAGGAGCGAATCTATCACTGGCGATCTGATCCGCCAAGAAGCATGTTTGCCATCTGCTTGCTGTTAGGATGTTTCACCCCTTGGTGGCGTTCGTTTCGCTGCCGATGTGGAGATGGAGATCACATTCTGGGTCCAATTGTGTGTAGGCTCCCATCGCTCACGCAGTTTGCTGGGGCAGGCGGATATCTTCAATACTCAAGTAGCTGCTCCAACACTTATCTAGAGTATTGCCTATGTATTTAATAATAGGGCTAACCTTCCTTCAGTCAGGCAGGGACTCTCTCTCTATCTCGCGGATACTTAGTACGAATAAAATCGTCTTCTGCGGCTCAGCCCTTACTCTTGTCTCTTCCCTGGCTTTACTGCTACCTACATCCTGATCTCTAGGTGTTTAGAACCGATATATCTAAAAAAAAAAAAAAAATTTACTAAGCTTGTGTTTTACTAATGCTATCGCCAGTAATTACTGTCCCTTTTCCGTAGTACTCACGCCTGTAGAGACCTTTTTCTATCCATTTACGTTTCATCTCTAAGTATATCCCCATCTTTACTGTCGAGGCTTTTATGATTATATCTATTAATACGAATTGTCAGATCTCCTACTGTACACCATGCCTGTTTCTATACAATTTCGCAATATTCATCTAGTACTCCGAACGGATCGGGCGCTCTTTCCTTTCATTCCTCGTATCTTCCTTAAAATCTTTAGACTCTGATTATTAACTACCTACCCTAGGTAGGTAGTTTGTCTGAACCACCGGTGCTGAAGTGCTTCTCTCGCATTTATCCTCTTTGTTGGGTCTAGATTTGTCATCTTGCCCACCAGGTCCCTCAGCTCTGGTTCTACATAGCCCCAACGCTGAAAAGGCTGCCTGGGATTCCCTGGACCAAAGCTATCGGCGAGGTCTATTAAGCGCTTGTAGAAGGGGTTTTCTTCTCCTATATGTTCGAGGAACCCATTCAAGCCGTCTTCATCTGCGAAGTAAGATATATGTCGACGGAGTATATAGCGCCACGAGTCCGCCGATTTCAGCTGGTCGTCACTAACGCGGAAGACCATTTCATTGAGCATCACATATATCATCTCAAAGAGAGCATTAGCAGTCTAGAACAGCAAAGTGATATTAAGGGCAGTCATACCACAATCCCAAAAGAAAACACATCTGAGGCCTGATTTTGGCGAGATCGGCACCAACTCTCAGCGCTCCTCCATATCGCATTGCCACAAAGTGGACCTCTCAGCCACTTCCCTGGTGGTACGATGACGGTATCCTCGAGATCTGAGATTTGCACATCTTTGATGATTACTCCACCTTCAGCACTTTCCTCATAATCTACAAGGATATTGTCGGGCTTGATGTCTATTAACAGTTAGTACTATGATAAGGGCAATCATCTGGAACACCAGACTTCCCATTATGCAGGACATCCCTATCATGCATATCGGCAAGGCCACGTAAAGCACTTCGGAGAACGTGCCTTCTTGTCTCTTCGGATAAGTTTTTCTGGCTCAAACGTAGCAAGTTTCCAGACAAGAAGGGGTAGATAAAAACCTCGTGCTCTTGGACGGTATCGATCACTCCTCGCACGTTTGGGCAAGTAGACAGCGATCTCTGCAAGTTCAGTTGGTACTCGAACTCGCCTTGGATCATGTTCTTCGCAATGTAATCCTTCCCGTCGGCGCTGTCCGCAGTTAGCAAGAAAATCATATCATCTCAAGATTAATGCACCTGGCACGGTATACACATAGCAGTGGCTTTCTCCGGTCAGCAAGGACTTCTTCAATCTTATAGGTCCGCCCGGAGTCACTCCTCAGCATCGTGCCCAGGGTGAGAGGCTCCTTGCTGAACTGCGACGTGGGGGACATCAGGTATCGTTGCGAAATCCGCTGTCCAAGATAGGGGACTTGGGACGGTGATATTCTTGCAAAGAACATGTCTGAATCAGTGGGAACCTGATAACCCAGGGACAAGTATTTGAGGGGCTAGCATCACGGAAAGGGACAACCGACGGGAAGGCAGCGCTAAAGAGTTTGTCGAGTTGGCATGATTGTGCCTGAGATATAGGAAGGCATATTAACCTGTTTTTATACCTGAAGACAGTTCCAGTCATTGGACAGCTCCGTGGGCCTCCTTCTCCCTCCTCCGATGCTTCGGCGCTTCGACACTGCAACTGCTGGCCAGTCGTGAGGAGTATTTGAAACTATCACGTGGTGAACAATAGGCCCCAGCGGTTAAGTAGCAAGACGGCAACGAGAAATAAATGAGTGCAATTGAAAAATATTGTAACGGACTCGGGAAGCTTGTAGTCCGCTAAAAATATACTAGTTGAGTCACAGGCAGGACCTCAAAGTCTCGTACTTGCGGTTTCAGCTTCGTCGCCCCGCGTTATTTAGCACAACGCCGTTGGCTTTTACCTGAACTCCCAGCAGGACTAAGCGCCTGCATGAACGTGTTGCCAGTTAGGCTCATAATAGAATAATCAGTTGGCATCGGCTGCTAATGCGTTGATCCTGAAACACGTAGTCCAGCTTGAATTTCAAGCCAAGGAGATCAACATGCCTCTTTTGAATAGGACTGCAGTACCTAACTAATGTCACGGAGATTTTGATTTTTCAGCGCCTTGAGATAACTAACTAACTAACTAGTTAACTAGGTGGCTTATTAACCCATTGATTTGTAAAGATGTATTTCAGTCACCCTTGAAAAAGGGTTTACGTGGCCTATAAAGAGGGTTCGACGCCGCTAAATTGCGCATCAACGAGTCAAAGTGTGAGAGCCGCCTTCTTACTTACTCATTAAAGTGACTTGATAGGAAGAGATGAGAGATATGTACTAACTAGTAATATTACCGTATTCTTCGCAAAACCCCCAGACGCCGTCTTAGGTTTCTTAAGAGGTTCGCCTAGGCTCCATGAAGTTATATTCTTCATACCCAGCAAATTATAAGTGATTTGAAGGGAGCCGTATAGGGGTATTTCGCAATAAAAAAGAAAGAAGACGATTTGCGACCGCAGAACTCCATACATCAAACGATGACGCCTGAGCCGATCCCTTTGACTGAACACTTCACTCACAGAAGTGATGCCTACGAATACTCTATCAGCTGGACATCTCTAGGCCCTGATAGCGGACCACCAGTGGTTTTTGTCCATGGAACACCTTGGTCCTCTATAGTCTGGGAGGCTTATGCGAAGGCGCTTTCCTTACACTACAAGGTCTATCTCTTCGACAGGCCCGGGTTCGGTCTATCGCCAGACCGTAAGCGCCTGGCTCCCACAGATACCGAGACTGACCTTGATGGATCTCTTACTGGTCAGGCGGAGGCGTTCGCCGCTCTATACAGGTCATGGAATTTCAAACCAGACCACGTTCCTCACATCATCGCTCATGACAATGCCGGTCTCATGACGCTTCGTGCGAACATCCTTTATGGTTGTCAATATGCAAGCCTCTGTCTTATCGATGTCGTCGCTGTTGGTCCATTTGGATGTCCATTTTTCCGGCTAGTTGCTGAGAATAAGTCCGTCTTCAGTTCGATTCCGGACACCATCTTTCAAGGCATCGTTCTCGGATATATAAAAGATGCGTCATTCAAGCCTCTTCCAGGGAATATGATAGATAGGCTCCTGGAACCGTGGACTGCGGGGGGAAGTCAGGGTCAAGAGGCATTTATCCGACAGCTATTACAAGCTGACCAGCGGTACGCAGAGGATGTCGAAGGCCGATATGCAGAGGTTGGCAAGGCTATTCCAGTCAAGGTCATTTGGGGAAAGGAAGACAGATGGATTCCATCCGATTATGCAGTGAAACTTGGCAAGTTAATCGGTGCAAGGGAGGTTATTTTGGTAGAAGAGGCGGGGCATCTGATTATGTTTGACCAGCCTGAGCGACTTGCGATGGAACTTGGGAGTTGGTTAACAAAAGTGGCTTTGTAGATAGGAAGCCTGGTCCTTAACGACTCTCATGTTTTCATACGATGAATCTACCTGGACTGGATTTTCTCCACCAAGTCTTTTGATTCTCCTATATGTGTTCCTACTATCAGCAAGTCATCCAACGCATTGACCTGAGCATCATCGATCTTACCGTCATCCTCTGCGAGAAGATCTAGACGTGATCGACCCCAAGTGCATTTTTGCATCTGCCTGCTTTTCATCATTGTACTCCACCAGAATGGGGTTCACTCCCCTTTGCGGCTGTAACCGAGGGCCATGGCTATGGCCGCATCTTGTCCACCTCAATTGAGCCTCTCAACTTTTAATTTGACCATGAAGGCATGAGTCCCACGTGTTGTGTTCCTGTTTTTGCAGGATGAGCCGTGGCAGTTCTCTTCGTATTCTTGTCTCGCTCACTCCACCGTATACATCGCTATGACATCATTTATCAAAGTTACGAACTGCCAAAGCCAATTCCAAGATCGGTCACATTGCATCAGGTCGGGAGTACAGACCACGGTTCGATTTCAAATAAGTAACCACTGTCCCCTTATATGCGAGATGTGGTCGGGTTATCTTACTCGCTTTCTTGATGTCTTTTCGGTTCATTCCTGTAGCCCGCCGCCTGACCGTATCGTGTCGCGCTACAGATTGTCTGAGAACCACGATACCTACAGCCTCTTTCACACGACCGCTTCTATACTCCGCTGATAGTAAACCTGTCGATCAAACGGTCCGCGACTCTTTTGTCCTTCCGCGCGTTCAGCAGCTTCACACGACTTTGGCGAGGATGGCCGAGGACGCTCCTACATCCATGGACCCGGGCGTGCTCCCAAAGCCTGCAGTCACAAACACAGTCTCAGAAGAGCCGTTTGATGGCAAGGAAGAATGGAAACACCGTCCACCTTATGCGCTCCGGTCGATGAAGGAATTTGGCGAGGTGAAATGGCGAGGTAGCTGCCAGTGCGGACAAGTCACCTATATGCTGAACAGGGATAAGCCACTCGCGGCGAAGTTCTGTCATTGCAGAGGATGCCAGGTTATGCATGGTTCGTTTTACTCATTCAAGCATTGCCATGATGGGTGAAGCAGACTGACCAGTCGACACAGGCGCTCCCTTTCAATGGGCTGCCATTTTCCACAAGGAGGACATGATGTTCAAGAATGGCTCCCGGGGGTTATCTTTCTATGCCTCTGGTGAGAAGAGCCGCGACTACCAGACCCCGACAAAGGTTTCTTGCGCCTGGTGTCGAACACCAATCATGGACGAAGGCCGCAAGGTCGTCTTGATTTTCCCCGAGTTGATCGATTTCGGACACACAGATGAGGAGCAAAGAGAACGGAGAGAGGTATTCGAGGTTAAGTAAGTAGTTGCTTGTCCGCGGCTACGATGCGTCAGGTTCGCAGAGCTAACAGGGTCCCCAGTTGCCACATCTTCTACAGTAAGCGTATAGTCGAGATCCCAGATGGGAAGCCAAAATGGTCAGGGTTGGATAACGAAAGTGAGCTCCTAGACGATGCGGGCCACAAACTATAAAAGAGAAGATTAAATGTGTTTGGTTGAGATTATTTACGCTGTGGCGCCGATGACAATCCGGGTGCACTCCATTAACATTGGTTTTGTGTATAATTAGGAATATTTTGTACTGAGATAACACGGCAGGGGAAAAAAAGGCATCTGTACCATATACGCTCATGTACAGATAGACATTTTATGATCGAGATCTTCATCTTCTATTATATCATCCAGAACTCGAACCCATCACTCGAAGGAGCAGTTGATGAAGTAGGTTCGGTATGAAAATAGTTCGCCTTGGAGCAATTCAAGTGTCATTTTTTGTTGCACGTGGTACGATCGGTTGGCGGGGAGATTCGCCATGTACCCTGTCGTATCCGATAATCGATCACCTAACAGGAGTAAACTGATTGTCCGACCCTTGGTCATTTTTGCAGAGGGCTTCTGCACGTCCTTGGCAACAGCATAAACTGAACGTCCCATCGTTCTAAAAGATCCTCTTGGGGGCGGAGACTCTACTACTTTCAGCTAGTTAATTCCGCTATTTGACTGTTCTTGGGGTCTGCATCACGCTTGTTACATATTCCAGCCGTGGTTACAATTGAACAGACATTCGGGGTTGTAATCGCCGCTAGAGACGCCTCTCCAGGAATCAGCAAAGTCCATCTTTCCCCAGAAGGGGTTGATCTTACTGCCGGATAAGCCGACGCGATGTCACGATGCTACTGCGCACCTTAACCCTTCTCCATTCAGGAAGGTACGGCCAGTATCTAGATGTTTTTAAAGCAATTAAAATCCCAAAGATGGAAGATTGGATGTGCAGCGGAGAATATCCTTGGAGACCACAACTGGAGACTGAGTTATAGTAGTTCAGCCAGGTCATCATGCTGTTCAGAACCTCTCTCGCCGTGGTCGGTCTGGCCGTAAGGGCTCTGGCGGTCACCCAGATCAGCGATAGTGATATGAATGGTCTTCTCGATGCGGGCGGCGTGGATCTCGCTGATCGATACGCTCCCCTGTGGTTCTTTGGCCAGGCTCAGAACCAGCCGCCATGCTATCCTACTTGGGCTTTCGGAGGATCTCCTAACTCATCTGATATCTACGATTCCTCTCATCAAACTCCCGCCGCACCGCAGTGCGAGTACCCCAATGTGGGATGCTATTGCCGCAACCCGGGGGTTGGCATTGGCAATCCCGGTCCAGCCTTTCCCATCTACTACACGTATCAAAAGTGTAATGACAGTGATATTCGAGTTGTCTACAACCTATTTTACCAGAAGGATGGAGCGCAGTTTGGTGCTATCGCGACGGGTCACAACTAGTAAGGAAAAGGATCAATACTCCCTATTAGTACCTGCATCTGACAGCAAATTTCCCACAGTGACTGGGAACGAGTGATCATCATCCATTCTAAGAACAGCAACAATATGTGGGCGCCATCTCGTGCTCTCCTTTCTTCTCACAGTGGCTACCACGATTTGGCATGGGGCAATATTCAGAATACACTTACAACACAGCAGATTCAACAAGGCGATGCCAAGGATCCTAATGGCGTTCAGAACAATGATCACCCAAAGGTCTATGTGTCTTGGTCGAAGCATGCGAACTTCGATACTCGCAACACCGGCTGGAATGATCCTGTCAGCCAGTCAACCGACAACGCTTTCCGTAGTGACGACTGGTGGTATTATGTCGACAAGACATACTACGTAAGAAGATATCTCACGGAATACATTCAACGAAGTACTAATATGCCTGTGGCAGATTCGATCAGACGACTCGACACAAGCTGGCCAGGCTCTGGGAAGTGCGAATTGGGGAGATGCTACCAGTAACCCGCCTTCTGTGCATGCGGGAGTTTGCTCTGCTCCATAGGCCGTTCAGCACTGCTAGCGACTACCGATTTCTACTATACCAAAATCCATCACTCATTGGACTACCAGTAGAATATTCGTAAGATCCTTGTTTACAAAATATAGCGACTGCTCTCCGTAGGTTGACCTCCCGTGGGAATAATATTCGGGCCTATCCACACAAAACTCCCTGTTAACAATGGCGACTGTGCACGAAATTATCCCAGAAAACTATCCCGTAAGTCTTATTTATAAAATGTAATTTTATCAAACGGGAGGGAAATTAAGCTTCATTGCGTTATTCTATTCTTAGGCTGCGGTTCCACGGTTACTGTATGGAGAATTTAGGCCCAGCAACCGAGAATCGAGATGCTAGTAGTACTATTGAGCAAGCTAGACATGCTCCAAAAGTCTAGAACAGTGGCTGAAATGCGAGCAGCCATTCTAATCCGATTCATATGGGCAACAGGGATTTTGGAGACAAGGCAGCAAGCACCCCTGAGTGATACGGATACGAGCAACTGGCAATGACGTTCCCGCGGGGCTGAGCAATGATAAGCCTTGCTAGGTCTTACAGTACTGCAAGACACCGCAGCCTTATTTTCATTTTCATAATAAGCAGCCCTTTGTCCGGCTGGTATATAGCTGAAACCTAGGTAGTTCACATCTCGTTTTGCTTTGGATTTATTTAGAAGTGTTGTCTAGAACTTGATCAATTTAACATCCTATTCACCAGCTCATCTTTGACAACCCGGCATAGATACCCCTCGCGCGTTCAATTATCCCATGAACCCATCACTGCACTTATAAATTCGCTCTAATCATAATTATTACCCAAATTCTACCTCCATCCATGTATCCTAAACCATCCACTACGACTGATCAAAATGCGTGGTCGAAAACAAAAGGCCTCTCGAAACGCGGCTTCGACAAAGCATGGAACGCTCTCGACAAGCTTGGTGCCCCCGTGAACAAACTCAGCAACAAGCTCGGCTCAGAAGCATTCTGGCCCATGACCATCGACAAAGAGGCTGAAAAGGCAGCCCGTATTCTCCGCAGCTTCTGCAAAGATGGCATATATCTCGATAAAGAGAGACCGAACGATCCCCGTGCGACGGAGAAACAGATCAACGAACCGCGCGGAAAACAGAAAGTGCTACAGAAGATTCCGACAGAGGTGATTCGACAGGCGAAGGGACTTGCTATTTTCACAACTATGCGCACGGGTCTGTGGTTCAGTGGTGCAGGAGGCAGCGGCGTGCTCGTGGCTAGGATTCCAGAGACTGGCGAGTGGAGTGCGCCTTCGGGGATCTTGCTTCATACGGCTGGTCTGGGGTTTCTGGCTGGTATTGATATTTACGACTGTGTCGTGGTCATTAATACCTATGAGGCGTTGCAGGCCTTTACAAAGATCCGATGCACTCTTGGTGGAGAAGTCAGTGCTGCCTTGGGACCCGTGGGTATGGGAGGGATCCTAGAATCAGAAGTGCATAAACGACAGGCGCCTATATGGACATACTTGAAAAGTAGAGGGTTCTACGCTGGTGTGCAGGTGGATGGGACGGTTGTGGTTGAGCGTACAGATGAGAATGAACGGTTTTATGGGCGGAAGATTCCGGCGCAGGAGATCCTCACGGGGAGGGCGTGGAATGATCAATTCGAGTCGTTGAAGATGTTGAGGAATACGATTAAGGCGGCGGAGGGCGATCACAGTGCGGATGTGGCTGTCTCCAATCAATTTGCCCAGACAGTGGTTCACAGGTAGGGGATGGATGAGAGCTGAAATTCTAGCAGATACCTACATAGGTAATGTGAGCGCATACAGTAGCAAATGGGAACATGATTTTGAGACAAAGCTGTCCCTGTGGATATCAAAAGGAATGATCTGTGCAACATCTTAATTTGACAGACACGCTGTAGTGATCATCAGGCGATGGTGATACTCCAAGCTTCCTTGGGTCCCCGTCCCTAATTGGCGGGTCACTTGTTGCTGGGCGGGAGCTGCCTAACAGAGTCCACGGTCTGGGTTTTGGCTCTCAGCTTAGGATTGATAAAGCCTCGTTCGAAACCATCCATCGACCCCACGGTGATGAATTCTCGTTTTTGCATACCTCTATCGTCGGCTGTGCCAGAATGGACGGCGCAAAGATCCAAGTCATTTGTCGACGGCCCATTCCATCTTCCAAAGGTTCTATCCCGGCAACTTTCAAGTAGCAGAAGTCGCCCAAACCACTTCCGATATACAGGTGACCGCAAAACGCATACGTCAATACATCACTCTGAATATGAAGACTTTTTCCGCTACACCAGTGGGCGTTGGCTTTGGGATGAGGAGCGACAGCTTCGCGACAGATACAAACGCTTCAACGTTAAAAAGCTCCAAGAGATCTCAGCTAAAAGCATAGGTTCAAAAAAATGTGTCTCCATGATCAAACTCGCAGAAGGAGGGTACAATAAGATCTTTCGTTTAATTATGGACGACGGAAAAGTTGCTATAGCGCGCATTCCAAATCCAAATGCTGGACCTAAATTCTATACTACCGCATCCGAAGTGGCCACGATGGAATTCGTGAGTCTAAAGTCTATATGCTTAGGTCAACGGCGTAACGCTGATATGGAGTGATAGGCTCGAACAGTACTAGGTATTCCAGTACCACGAGTATACACGTGGAGTGCTGTGGATGATAATTCAGTTGGTTCAGAATACATCATCATGGAAGAGGCTGTCGGGACGCAACTCGAAAACGTGTGGGAAGGACTGACACCTCCTTCAAAGCTTGAAGTCATGAGAGAAATTGTGAAGTTGGAGCAGAAAATGTTATCCGTGTCTTTTTCACAGTAAGTTACCATTTATTATCATAATTTCTATTTCTGTTTCTATTTTTATTTGGAAACAGATTGTTTACAGGCCCTTTAGCTATGGTAGCATATACTTTGCGAACAGCGCCGTTAAAGGCGCAGTGCCCGCAGAAATCACCAGTGATACGTCTGTAGGGTTGAAAGACAAAGTATCCAAGACGTTCACTATCGGGCCCTCCGTTGGTAGAGGCTTCTGGCGTGGAGAACGCTCCGCGATGGATATCGATCGTGGTCCCTGTACGTTACAGAGCGCCTTTATTTATGATTCCAGTGACTAAACGTATTAAGGGTCCAACGCCGTCGACTACGTTATGTCTGTGGGACGTCGAGAAATCGCGTGGATTAAGCGTTACGCAGTTGCAAAAGCGCCTAGCGACCCTCTCGTCGTCTCTACAGCACAAAACGACCCAGAAGCTCATATTCAGCTCCTGGAGAAGTACCTCCAAGTCGCTCCATATCTTGTAGAAGTTGACCGGGAACTCATTGAATCAATATTATGGCATGATGATCTCCATGGTTCAAATATTTTTGTTGATGGCAATCGCATCACTTCCGTTATCGACTGGCAGAGCGTATGGGCTGGTCCTCTTCTCTTTCGAGCCCGGCCTTGCCCGATAATTGACTATCAAGGTCCTGTCCTGTTGAAACGACCGGATAATTTCGAAGATCTCGATGAAGAGCGGAAAGTTCAGATCAAAGCACAAATTGCGAGGTCAACGCTGTCTCAGCTTTATATATTAGAATCGGAGAAGCGTAATCCAAAGCTAGCCAAGGCGTTTACTCTGGACCATGGAAAGACAAGACGCCTTGCTGTGGAGTACTCAGGGGATTCGTGGGACGATGATATAGTGTCATTTCGGGAGACACTCATCAATGTCGAGAGGTACATATTTCTTCGCTGGGAACTCTAGACAGTTGAGATACAACGGCTAACGTGTCATAGATATTGGAAAGAACTAGGACTCAAAGAGAACTGTCCAATTCATTTCACCGAGCAAGATTTAAAGAGCCATTTACAGGATGCGGAGGGATGGAACGAAGTCCAAGATTTCTTTGATCACATAGATCATCTGGTGAAGAGAGATGGTTGGACAAGTAACGAAAGATATGAGGATGCTGTTGCATTCTTTTCAGAGTTACGAAAGGTTGGCCTTCAGAACTTGACCGGTAGTGAGAGGGAGGAATTTGAGAGAGAGACTCGCTGGGTAGACAGATAAAGGTGGTCAGAATTCCTATCTTGTACAGTATTCACGCATAGATGAGGCGCCTGGACTTTGGCTTTGGCTTGTGCTTCATGGATTCATGATAAGACTGCTAACTACGCCACTAACAATATCAATAGATCCCCATATCAAATCACAGCCGTATCAATTTCTCTCGTTAAATAACTCCTGCAAATCAGCCTCAGCCTTCTGCGGATCTTCATTCTTCACATCTATGACACATTTGGCCAAAATCTTATGGCTGTCCTTCTGCGCAGATTTCTTTACTTCCGCATCATCTGCGTTTTTGTTCGCTTGCATGATGATCTCATGCTCGTTATCACTGTAAATTTTCGTCCAGGCAATTCCGTCGAGGGACTTCCGAACCGTCTTCTTAGAGATATCCATCTACATCGAATTAAGTCCATGTCAGAAAGTTGTGTCATGCATTGGGTTTATCAGCATGTACATAGACTTACCTTTGAGACTAGTTCTGTTACTGAGTATTCACGATGTTGACCGTCTTTCTGGTGATTTGTTGGCGTACAAAGTGTATGTCTAGGTAATCCGTCAATCATCCGTTTGCAGCAGGTTCTTTGGTATAGGATAGAACCTACTAGGTCACTAGAATCTCGATTCTTTGTATGCTTAGGAATCAAATATGGGTTCGAAACTCACTAGAACTAGAGTTAAGCAAGCATAGCTGGGTGGTTCAAATCATACCATGCTTCCGTGCTCTGGATTTGACAACTTCCCCTCCGGAGAATTCGATTACCATGCACTATTCACATCTGGTATTCATTTCTTCTTCTGATCGATCTTAATCTTCACCGGCACTGCAGCACCTGGGAAGGTGACGTATTCTACAGTGAAGCAATACATAGTTATCCTTGCCTTTTCTGCAACGAACGATCTGAACCAATGACATAATTTATAGTAGATGCCTCGACGACCCATCACCCAGTCAAGCCTTCTCTCCCTGGATAGTCGCAACGACCTTTCTCGAGTGCTTGCTTGCGCGGAATTCAAGGTACCAGATACCCTGCCAGGTACCGGTGTTCAGACGGCCATTGGTAATAGGAATAGACACAGAAGCACCGATGAGGGCAGATTTGATATGGGCCTAAAATAGCACCAGCAAATTCAGTTAGACATTCCAATCTAATCCCACAGATTCTCAAGATTCAATCCTAATTTAATCCCCGCGAGGAGCAATCTGATTACTCACCGGCATATCATCCTCTCCCTCCGCACTGTGTCGATAAAGATTTCCCTTGCGATCCGCCGGTGCGATGCGATCCAACGCATCGCTCATATCCTCACGCACATCCTCATCCCAGTTCTCGTTCAACGAAAGCGCACAGCTCGTGTGCTGGATGAACAAGTTCAGAATGCCGACCTTGTAGTTGCGCAGTTCGGGCAGTTCAGACACAACGGTGTCTGTGATCAGGTACGAGCCGCGCGAGCGGGAAGGAAGGGTGAAAGTCTTCTGGAACCAGGACGACATGGCTGGCGTTGGATGCGGGGATGGTGGTTGGTGCTGTTTGGCGGTAGTACTGCGCGCGGGGATAATGAATTCTGGGACGAAATAGCTGAGCGTGCCGATGAAGAAGTTGGGGAAGAATGCGGCGATGAGGAGGAGTTGGAGGGCGAAGAGTTTGAGGGTCAGGGTTGTTGGCATAAGATGTTAGAGATTGAATCGTTATTGATTTGTTTAATTGATTTTGCTGCTATCTGGTGGGGGGAAAGGAAAGATGGGTTGGGGATGTCGACGTCATTGGATCGATCTTCTGCTGCGGCGCCGGTGAAGGGAGATTTATTGACTAGAAAAATGTAGACGGACAAGAACGCAGAGAATAGATCAATTCATGTGGTATCGATTGTGCATATAGTAGAGCTTCATATCCCAGTTGCATCCAAAATGGCGCTGTCTAGGTTTGGGTGCCTCCCCAGGTTCCGAAGAGCTTCACTCTCCCAAGTAGCTGAGTGGGTGAACCATCCACAACAATGAACTGTGATTTACGCAGATATCTGACCTCAACTACGCCAAAGTTGGGATTCCTAGAGTACGTCTTCTTCCTCGTAGAATATGGGACTTTCGAAAATTCTTGTCTCGAAGCCTCCAAACACTGGACGCAAACCTTGCTATGTACGAAGGTTGAACGGTCGAAGAGGTACTCCAGCCCAGGCGACCTACATACCACCATCCAAGCACGAAGACAGTTTTCCATTATACTAGCAGTCGTTGGCTTTGGGATCAAGTCCAGATCTCCAATGGATTTCTGAGGAGCATGATGTTCCGTGTTTAGAAACTGGAAGAGCATGATTGGTGCAGGGGAAGTGACTTAATGTGGATGTATACCTAGTGCCTAGCGACGACGCATATGGAAAATATCAAATATCAAGTATGGTTCTTTTCTACAGAGATATCTGTAACGGAAAATGCGACAGATATCCTCGCTATTAACAAGTCTTGTCAGCAAGACAGTTCTCCACTCAATCAATAATATCTATTGATCTGCATCTGCATACTAAGAACACTGTACAGGGAGCCCTCGCGGGCAGAAGGGCGGAAAGAAAAAAAGCTAACAAGGTCATCAACGCCAAGATATAAAAAGATCGGATTTATCGCTGTTCCCAACCGCTGTCCGTGACGCGCTGGGTCTCGTTAACTTCGGCAGGGTCGCCGGTAGCCTTCAGCGGGTAGGTGGTCGCGGGCAGGGACTCGAGATAAGGACGGTGCTTCTCGTGGGCCTATACGGTAGAGTTAGACTTCGTCTCGCTAGAGGTCGTATCAATGGAGTCACATACGAAAGGCAGACCGCAGTACGTGCAGTGGCAGATCTGGGGCTTGTCGACGTTGATGAAGATTCTGGGGTGACCGGTGGGACCACCGCCACCATCGCACTCGACAACTCTCTTCTTCTGCCAGCGGACGGGTTGTCTGTGGATAAGCTCAATGGCGGCCAGAGGTTGAGGCTGTTCATGAGGATCTCGTCAGTCGTGTCTGTATCAACCAATCGGACAATGTGTATTCCCAATTGTCATTGTCCCTCCCCAACTCCTCCCTCAAAATCCAGCAGATGATCTAACAATTGATCGAAGGCTACTGACCTGAAGCTCTATGATGGTCTGTTCGAAGCGAGGACCGGTCATGGCCTGCGCTCTGGGCTGCTGGCTCTTGGCCCAGGTGGTGGCGCGGTTGGGCGCCTGCAGCTGGCGACTGCGCTCTCCCACCTCGGGCTCCTCCTGGAGAGCAGCATCCCAAGCACCGACAGAATCGACAGGAGTGGCATTGGTCGCAGAGACATTGGGCTTGGGCTGTCGCGGGGTCGGGTCGTTGGCTGGGATCACGTTCTCAGGCAAGAGCCGGGCAGCCGTGGACGAGTAACCGGCGCGAGGGAGCGCAAAGGCACCGGGCCGCGTGGAGAGAGCCGCAATGCGGCTTCTGGCGGAGGAGAACATGGCGGTTGATGTGAGAGTGCTGGAACGACAGCCCGATGTGGATTGTCGAGGGGAAGCGAAGGGGGAGTTCGAAGATCGAGCCGGTGATGTTGAGTGAGGTTTGCTCGAGCTCGCGGGTGTCGGTCCTCAGCCAATCGGCGCCCAGCCTGCCCTTTTGCGGCGAAAACTGCCCGCCCGCAGAACTTCTATTTGTGAAGCTGCACTTTTCACAACGAACGAGCAGCAGAGCACGGCTCTGCTGGATGGGTTCTATATTTTTACTCTTTGAGATATAGGAGAGTGTTCTCTTCTAAAATACACAACAGTCATCATCATGTCAGGCTCATCGACGCCTGGCGCAAAGCCAGAGAAGACAATGTCTTCGCGGCTTCTCACAATGAAAGTATGTGGAAATTGAAACCCCGACCCAGCAATCTTTGAACTATTTCACCGTTGAAATAAATGAAAAATCGCGCTAACATAATATCACCAGTTCATGCAACGGGCCGCCCACGCAGCTGCCAACAATGCCACTGCATCCCCATCCGAAGAGAGTCGCACCACGCCGAAACGAGCACGACTCTCCATGGACGCTGCAGGATCAAGTCCTGCCACTCCCTCCTCCGATCTAGATGCCATCTCAGCTGCCATCAAGGCGGAAGAGCAGAAACGCGCTGAGGCAGTCGCGCGTCAGGCGGCCGAAGCTGGAGAAACAGAATGGGTGCTTGATTTCCCTGGCGCAGACTCTCCGGTATCAGCACAGCCACAGCAACCCTATATCGTGTCCGAGGATTCCTGGGATGTACCGGACGAGGTCTCTGGGGGACGCAGGAGCTATGGGAACTTCAAGCGGAAGAAGGTAATGTTAAATCCTATCATTCTGACAGACTAAATCCATAAACTAATTGCCCATTCAATAGAAATCCGCCTACGATGCGGTGGAATACGACTCGGATGATGACTTGGGTGATGTGGATCTGACGGACCCAGCACAAGTCGATGCCATGTTGCAGAGAGCCAAGATCAAAGCAGCCAAGAAACAAGTCAAGAAATTTGACCCTGATAGTATCAGGCTGGGTGACTTGACGAGTATCTCAGGTGGTCGTGAGGCCCCCAGAATAAGACAAGATTTTGATAAGAAAAAGAAGAAGAGAAAGTCGCGGTGAAGCGTAAACCAGGATTGAGCTGGTCTTATCTCTTTATTTTTTCTGATGGTTTCTGATCTGAGATCCGTATCGGTTGTTCTGATCCATATCTCCAGTTTCGGGGGGATGTTCGAGGGACGGGCGTTTTGCTTCTGCATAGAATAGGCGTTACGGAAAAGCATGTGACGAGGTCTTCTTAAGGCATCAACGGGCTTTTTTATTAATGGGATCACTTTCGTTAGTGATTAATTGAAGGGAATCAAGAATAATCCATAATATCCAAATATACGAACTATAGTAAGTGCCAAGACAAAATATCCCGTATGAACGAAGAATAGGTATAAGGTCGATAATATTTACAAATGATAACTCATCGCCCACAGAAAAAGAGTATCATATAGTTAGATCCATTACTCAGATTATGTAAAACAGGGAAAGGCTCACAGTTTCGCCTTTTCCCTCTGTGCCTTCTGATCCCAACTCCTCTTCGTCGTAAAGTTGACCGCCATGTTCCATACTGCACACGCAGCGCCCAGCGGCGGCGCCAGGAGTAAAACCCACGACCACCATTTCGGACTCGACGCACTGATCGTGCTCATTGCCCTCTGAATCTCCTTCTCAAGATCTGCCTTGTCGCCATCATTCCAGACAATCACGCCGCGCGCATTGCTCGTGCCCCGAAACTCTGCCTTTGCCACTTTGCCCAACACATCACCCTGGCTGCGGACGCGGTTTTCTGCATCCTCCGCGCTGAGATGCGGATCGCGCGCGCGTAGGCGCTGCATCTGCACTGCGGGATCATGCACCCCGACTACCACGACCGTGCCACAAATTACGTCCATTCCGGACTCGAAGAGCAGCGGGACGTCCAGCACGACCGCCCAATATCCACGGAGGTAGTAGTATAGTAATGCTTTGTATATCTCGCGCCGCACGGCCGGATGGACGATTTTATTCAGGATCATTCGGTCCCGTTTGCGCTCCTCGCTGTCACCGAAGACGCGCCGGCCTAGCGCTGGTCGGTTCAGTGGTCTGTCCTCTTTGCCCTCAGAGTCGGGGAGGAGGAGATCGGGCGTGCTGGGTCCGAAGTAGTTCACAATCGCGCGGTAGGCGGGCGTCCCGGGCTCGACGACCTGGCGGGCGATGAGGTCTGCATCGATGATGGGCAGGGAGTAGGGAGGTGCGGAGAGGAGGGCGGACACGGTCGATTTACCGGTCGCGATGGATCCGGTGAGACCGATAATGAGCATGGTTGTGGAGTTTGTCTGATGTGTGAGGTGGTTTAATCCGGAGGTTCTGAGTGAGACAAGGTGATGAATGGTTCCCGAGTCGATGCGGAATCCGTCCTCCACTCCCTTTGTCAATGGGTTTCGGATCTGTTTCTCACGGTAGGCAGGTATGCGGTAATGGATCAATATGCGATTGTAATAACGTCTCTTTGTCTGTTCAGCCGGAGACGCCCTTGAAATTCAGCTTGTGAAGCTCCGATGCAGCTAAGAGGGACGCCGATGACGTGATACAGGGGAGGATGAGCGTGAGAACGGGATACGGGATAACGAGTGTAGACGCTGGATTCGTTTCGAGAAGAGGTTATCTAAAGAGCAGGTGATGGTCATTAAATCAATCAGGAACCGGCCTGTCAGCAAGCAAGTTACAGTTATCACCCTTTAACTACCGCGGGGGAGTTCCTGGACCTCGGCCGCCATTGCTAGCGCAATCCACCCCGCGGAGATGAATATCCGCAAACAGGGTGGTTGTGATTAGTATTCAACGGTACATAAGCCATATAGAGGACCTATAATCTTTCTTCAAAGTGTTATTCGCTCAGCATTGGATATGGTATTTATTAATTTTTTTTTTTTTTTATTTTTATTTTTTTTTATTCCTTGGCATATTCCAAAAGGAGAGCACTCTATATCTATAATTTATTATGCGTGCGTACTGCCCATGCCAGCCATGCAGGCTCGATACATAGGTCTCCGATAGCGTGAGTTCCACTATCCTCCCGAGTATGAGCGTCCCATCAAGATGGTTTATGACGGTTTATAGAATGAATAGTTTCTTGGAGATTTCAATCCCTTCTCGACCCACTCTAAGCTCAAGACTTTCCGTCGTCAATCAGATCTTTCTGATTATCCTCTTGATGGAGAGCTACGTTTCCGGCAGCTGAGATGACCGGCGCTTGGTCTTTTATGATCTCGCAAATGGGTTGCCCTGTTCAGTCTCAGCGCGATCGCAGCACGAGACAAGGGCGCTTAGCAATTTCCGTCGGATTAGATATTCCTGTAGATGTCAACTGCAGGCCTTGCGAGGTCGAAATCCGTGGAGCGCTATGCGGCTTGCGACGTATTTGATTTTCAATAACATATGAGCATAGATAGCTCAAGGCCCCCAGATTGGTCGGCTGGGGTCTTGATCCTCGCCGTCCCAGCCTTTGTAAGGCCATCCCTTTGGGAGTGTAGAATACGGAGGGAGGATATACCGGTTATCGCAGCTATCGGGTCCAACGCAGTTCAAGTTGCACAGCCCGAAAACGTTGCAATAACATTGAGCGACATCTGGACAATGAACGGGCTCCATTCCGAATATCACTGCAGGTCCAATATTAGACCGGCCCAGCTATTAGGATCAGGATCTGAAAATAACTTACTGTGCCAAGAATATTCCATAATGCGCCCACTCAGCTCATCTGTCAGATCAGTGGTCTTCAGCCAGTTTCTGAAATGCTCATAGTCACTCTTGGGTCGCTCTCGGATCTTCCACTTGGTCACGCCGAACTGTGCGCAGCAGGAAACGCCCACAACTTCTGGCACTTCTGATTCAGGGAAGAGCTCCATAAACCCGGTCTTGAAGTATTCGCCCGCGTGGACGTCCTCGCGATGGGTATCGTGGAATGGACGTATCTCAGAAGGACAGCCTAGATTCCAGACGCACCGCAGATTGACGTACCCCTGAGCCTCCAGATAAGGGATTTGGAAGTTCCTAAGCATAGGAACGCCATCATAGTAGGGGTCATCGTTGTGCCATTGGTAGCGTAGAGAGTGGATGAAAAGCATATTATCGGGCAAGTTGTCATAGTTGTCAATGATATACCTATAAAAAGCCACTGGGTCAGCAACAGGTATCCTTCCTCAGTAACGAACATGTCTTGTTCAAGAGGGGAGGTTGCATACGTCAGATACACCATAGACTCCCTTCCCTTGTTTATTTCCACGGTCAATTCCGCATCTTCATCATCCACCACATAGATGCTCTTATGCCAATCCGGGAAATAGTCGAAGAGCCACGACGTGTCGTCCTTGGTCATGCTCGCCACGACCAGATCTTTCTTCAACGGGGGCAACGGAGCGTGCGAAGCTCTGGCATGTTTCGATCCTCTGCGCCGGTTTCCTCGAGACACGAGGTTGGCACTCGTCGAGTCAGCGAAGAACAGACAGTATATTCCGTATACAATCAGAATCGCCAGAGCTATCGGTTTGGCTCGATGACGGAATCTGGACTTGTACGCTCCTTTGCGGAAGAGCATGGCTGTTGATTGCCGCTGCTGGACCTCGCGGCTCGACAGAACGATCTCCGACGCAGGGAATTGATCTTTGAAATGATCATCTCAACAAGTGACAATTGCAGGTCAACAAGGCGTCAGCTGAGCTGCCAGCGCGCAGCGAGGAATGCTTGTGCACACCCAGGCGGGAGCTTAAGGCGATCTTCTGGCGGGACCGGATCGCAATTGTCGAATTCCGAGCTTCGCGCAACGCAGAAGCCAAAGAACAGTAATATTTGACTCCCAGAATGATTAAAGAACAAGAACGAGAAAAGAAGTATTAAAGAACGTGGCCCTTGGACAGCTCTCACATCCCTTCGAGCTCCGCAGGCCGCGTGGAGCGCAGAGTCAGCGTCAAGCTGCCGAACAGTCCGTACGGGCGCCCCTGGAATAAAAATACAGCCACCCCGCTGATCCGCTGGCGCGTGCTGGTCCGGTTCAACGCCAGACTTCATCGAGCAGCACTCACTGGTTAAAAGACCTTAACGAACCGACGAACAGCGGGGCGTCGTGCCACGGCGCAAGAGTGGTAGAGAAACGGCAGACGCCATGCGGGCCTCATGGACACTGGATATCCATTTCGATGGTTTCACCGCAGTGAAACAGCGTCATCGTCTGAAGACCACGGAGAAAAGAAATCCTTGGACCCTCAGCCACAACCTTAAAGCGACCCCTGAACCCTGATCCTGAAGAGATCTAAGTATCTAGCATGGCGATCCTTCAGGGAATAATTATGCGGAAGTCCTAGCTTGCGGTTAGGTGCAGTTGGAGGTTTCCATCTTGACTACGACAATGTAGTCAGGAATAATACCCAACACGTCTTGGAGAAAGAGGATTTGGGTGATGTTGGACACTTGTCTAGCTTCCCATTCGACAACGCTGGTGTTGCTATCATGACTCCTTGCATTAACAAACCCTCCGCGAATCTGATATGGGTCCATTGTCTATGATCCTACTAGTTTGCGATTTGCAAAATGGAACCGGAGCACCCCAGAACTAAACTCAATCACTTTCTCAGATATGTCTATCAAAAAGGTTAAAGTGTCGTATACACATCGCGGTCATCAACTACATCCTTTCATCGCTCAGTTACATGCCGATATAGCATTGAAGTACCATCTGTGAGCTTCAATGTCCAAACCAGTGGCCGTTCCATCATTACCTGCCTCGGAGTCGATACCTTGAATGACTTGAATATCGGATGCGGTTACTGGATCACCAGATGCGCTCGTGATCCAATACTCAGGACTGGGCTGGCTAAAACCTAACGACTTGGGTGGTAGCTTAGGAACAGGATCATCCGTGTGGGTAAGACGGTAGGTGGCATCGCTTTGCGACGTGATGTATTGGGCCAACGCTTCGTTTCCGACACGGGGGCATCCAAACGTATACTATGCGAGTTCTAATCAGTTCTCTGGTCTGTATGGATTTCATCTTATGGTAAGGACATACGAGGTCAAGGGTGTGTCCGGAATTTCTCAGAACAACGCCTCCAAGCGTAGCTAACGCTGCACCAAGACTGTGTCCGGTGATGACTAGCTTGTAACCCGAATATGTCGAGAGAGCCGAATCAATTTGGCTAGTCACGGAATCCGCGACGGATCCCCAAGCTTCCCAGAATCCCGAGTGGGCTTCGCAGCCGTCACAGAGGTCAACATCGGTCTTGACAAAGTCAATGTTGGCAATCCAGTTGTCAAAGGAAGAGCTGCCACGGAAGGACAGAACTATCAGCTCGTTCGTTTTATCCACGGCCAGAAAACCGGTCGTGTCGCCATAACCAGAAGTACTTTGTGAATGTCAATATCCGTGTCCAGTAATCGACAGAATGTCACCTACTCTGCAAATTCATCCAATGTCTCGGTGTCCGCCGCCTGTACAAGGGGGCAGTTTCCAGCCGAGCATGTCAACTTTGTGCCCGTTGAGTTGAAGTTCTCTGAACAATACGCTGCAGCGGCGTATTGTTCAAACAGGTTGAATTGGTCAAGGAGATCCGAAGAAACGTCTGTGAAAGTCGTCAGCCTGAAGGGAACATCTCATAATAAACATCTATTCAACATACCACGAGCGACCAAAGGCGCGGGTCTTCCAGCAACCAGGACGCTCAATGCGAGGGCAACACCGGCCCAGATAGATTGCAAGTTGTGCATCTTTCTTTGCGAATTACAGGCCTGCCTGCAGACAACTGGATCGCACTGACTGCAAAGACCGGTAGCACTAGAAGCTACTTATCCCTCCCCTCATGAAGTACAGATCCGCCCATCCTTATATCTCAGGGTACCCCTCTTGAAGTCGCCTTGGAGAATAGGGCCGGACGTAGTAGAAAGTGAAAGGTAACATCGCCGACAGTCTCTATTAGGCTGTTCTGCCCTGCAGATATATCATGCATAGCCCCCACCAATGTAAGAGTCCGATATACGAATCGGAGTTATCCTGCCCCTGTAAAACACCATCCACATTACTTGCAACAATGTGAGAGCGAGACGTCTGTGGTGGGAAGAATAGACCGATCGGCAGGTCGAATGGCCCCCTCAGCTAGCCCAGGTGGGCAGCGTGACATTCCTCGACAGCCACAAGACTTTAAATCCTTTCGCCCAGTTAGACACCTGCGCATTCTTCCGCCTAATGTACCAAGATATCGAAAGTGATATGCAGCGTCGAAGGACTGCACATTAGGAAAGTGACCTGTCGGATTAGCTACTTGGGCCTCGTGCGCTCTAACTTCTAAGTGAGTCGGTCTAGCGTGTCAGCAGAACTACATCGTGATGATACCTGAGATCCCTCGACGGTACAAGACACTTGATGGCTCTTCACATTCCGACGGATACCGGAGAGTTCTGGGCTCGTATATACGTGCAGCTAGACTAGCGTTTCGATACTACCTAGGTACCTAGGTAGGTACTTAGTTAGGCGATGCAGTGGCTGCTATTATATCCCCCGCTTACGAGTTAATATACATTTGATGGTTTATAATACATGACTCCAATACAGTCCCCATCCATATGTGATAGCTTATGGTTAGGAGTGACAGACATGAATGAGCAACAGGGAACACCCATGTATGTACCTAAACGGACTTCTTCATGGCTCCATCCAGTTCTCATGTTCGGGGAATAAGTACAGCCATCGCCCCGCCCCGCCCTGCCGTGTATATATTCCACAAATAGCTAGAACCTCCCATGGTTGAGCTAACATCGTGGACAGAAGATCATAGGGTGATTCTTTAATGGGCCAGGAATTAGGTACTACTCGGACAATAGAAAGTAGAGAAAAAGAACTTAATTATTCTAGCGCATAGGTTATCTTTAATGAAGGTCAGATAATAAAAATAGATAGCGCTTTTTAATACAGCTAATATAGATTAAATAATATAAAACAGTTTCTTATTTATAATAATTAAGCGGAGAGACTTCTAAAATATAGCCTGAGAGTTTTATTAAAGATAGAGCAAAGATAGGTAGACTATGATAAAACCCATGTACAAGCAATCCGGTGCTGCATCTCCTTGCTAGAAATGATATATCTAGAACCCGAGCGGTCAAAGTCATAAAAGAAACATGCTCCGTAAGCACGGTGAACAGTGGCAGTCATAGTAAGTTTGTTTTTCAAAGTCTCAGTTCCTCCGGGGCCGAGAAGACTTTTAAGCCATGAGTCAATTTTTCGGTCTTCCCAGAACAACTTGAGATAATCCCATAATGAAGAACCAGATTCGAACAAATAAGATCCGAGAAGCCACCCCATAGAGTAAGGGTAGATATGTGTATAATCACACAGCTGACTTTCAGACACATGTGTTAGACTGAAATTGAGAAGGCCTGCCTCGAACCAATCCTCTACCTAACCACCTATGGTTATCCATATTCCATTCGAGCCGGCAGCAATATTATCACGTACCTGCTTGTTCCGCTTCGCAATGATGTGGCAAATTTGAGGTTCACTCGATTGGCATGCCGAGAATATCGTTTCGTGATGTATTGATATATATCCGAGTTTCAACTTAGCCAAGTACAGTTATTCTGCTATTTGACCTATAGAGTCAAGTCAGCCTCGATATATGTATATAGAATACGCACGCATGTCTTTCTCACCAAGGATATGTTGCATGTGGTTTTTGTCTTCATATGCAATTTCTGAGGTAATGTTCCTTAACCAAGGGTACCTTGACCTCCCCAACGGTCAACCACGCGAAGAGCGCTACCTATGCTAAGCGCCCTTGCCCTTTTGCTAGCCTTATAGTCACCTAAGATAATTGGCTCGTTCATTGGCTATCTCCTGCAAGTCATCCAATCGGTTTTCGTGGCGGTCGTGAAAGCATCGGACCCTGGATAGAAAGGTCCCGAAAGGAGACACCTCCCACGTATATAGAAGATAAGGACTCGCGATAGGAGGATAAGCCACTGTGCGACGATAGGCGATAATCAAAGCATGAAAGTTTGCTGCGGCACTCTGGGCGACATCTAAGCACCATCCCCCAAACGCAAAAGCTCGGCCTATACTCAATGCCACTAAAACAGCCTTGAATCGCACCTCTGTTGTCATGATGGAGTTTAGCTTCCAGCACGATAACGGTACGTATCAAGGTGTCCAGGGGTTCAGGGGTGAGGAAAACGAAAACTCGCAGACGCTCATTTTGAAACTGAGCTATGAAAGTCCTAACATATGGAGGATAGTTGGGATAAAGGCATGTCATTAATCCGACCAGTTCTAGATTGAGCAATATATACCGCATATGCTTTGAATATATGAGTATCATAGATAGAATCTCCCTCAGTTTCAAAGTCTTTAGAATCATACAGCTCTGGTTTATAAGTCTCCATGAACTCTTGGAAGCAGATGCACGTTATTGGTATTGAGTTGAACATGCAAGAGTTCTAATTAATGCATTTTCGAGATCAGTCCAATTAGCAAGGCATTGATTTTCTAGACGAGATGCTTGAACTTTGATAAAGCGCTCTTTGCACCTGTCTGCGGCTGACTTTTCCGTTGGCATGATGGGGGTTAAGTATCAACGAGGACGAGAGTAAAAAGCCTTGCAAGTTCGCGGGGAAAGTCTCTGTTAACGCAGTTAATCTCATAGATCTGGTGATAATCTCCGGTGAATTTTGCCATCGTCCAAAGCGGATCGTTCTGCGAGTGATATTCAATGAGTGATACCTAGGTAGGTATTCAATATTAATGAAACCATAAGAACTATCTTCGTATCTCTGTTGGTTTCTCAAGCCAGAACTGAGCGTTGGTGTTTCAGAAACGCCGACCTCGATAACAAACGTTGGATAGTCATCCAGCCTGTTCCTTGAGCGAGACTTAGTATTAGGAGCTGACTTGCTTTGATTGATTCCAAGACTACCTAATCCTAAGGCATTATTATTTGATCCTTTCACTAGTTAGTTACAGCTTAGCTAACTAACTCAAGTAACTAACTATGATGCCCGGGGAAGCAGCGGCTTCACCGCCTAGATGCTTAGCAGCGCAGATCGCCACTGTCGACGTCTCTCCGCAAAGTGCTTTCGCCTCGCCCGAGGTACTTCATCCAGGGACGATCGCACGCCATTCTCCGTACCATCATCTTGTCTGGCCTCTCTGCTCATTCTTATTCCTTTCTCTGTATAGACTGTTACTTCTGTTTCGCTCCCTTTCTTCGCCCCCTTCCCCCCGCTGGTCGAAAGGATTGGCCAGACTGCCTCCGCATTGTCGTGGTTGTGATCTGGATGCCTCCAAGGTCCCTTCTACCTCCATACCGGTGTTCTGCTCGATTTCATTGTTACGCAGCCGGGTCCACGCTTCGCTTGCCCTTGCTTCGACAACGCGTCGGGCAGCCTTACTCTACTCTCCGTCAGTCGGCCTTGCAGCGTCCGGTTTCTCAGCGCTATCATCAGTCCTCTGCGCCTGCTGGCCTCTCTGCTCGTCCTTTCTCCTCCAAATCCCTTCTTCTTCTCTCGGTGAACTCTTCCGCGGGCTCTACGATGACCAAGGTGGAACGTGTGACGGATCAGCTGGAGAAGCCAGAGCTTGATGATCGCTCCTATCGGGTCATCCGCCTTGGGAACAAGCTCGAGGCGCTGTTGGTTCATGATCCCGACACAGATAAGGCCAGCGCGGCCGCAAATGTGAATGTGGGAAACTTCTCTGACGATGGCGATATGCCTGGAATGGCACATGCCGTGGAACATCTGCTGTTTATGGGCACGAAAAAGGTAAATCAGCGGAGCCTGCTGTTATGTCTCCAGAACCTGACTAGGTATTGACTACTCTTGTCATAGTACCCTAAGGAGAATGCCTACAATCAGTACCTGGCAGCCCACTCGGGATCGTCCAACGCCTACACGGCCGCAACGGAAACGAACTACTTCTTCGAAGTCGCCGCGACGTCAGAGTCAAGTGACGGCCATGGCAGCGGTCAGTCGACTCCAGCGGAAGTCACCAATGGCAACGTGAATGGGACATCTGGCAGTGCCGGCTCGTCCTCGACCGATTTAGTCCCTCCTCTGTATGGCGCGCTGGACCGCTTTGCTCAGTTCTTCGTCTCACCCCTGTTTCTAGAGTCGACTCTAGATCGAGAATTGAGAGCGGTAGACTCGGAGAACAAGAAGAACCTGCAGAGCGACATTTGGCGTCTAATGCAGTTGAACAAGTCCTTGTCGAACAAGGAGCACCCTTACCATCACTTCTCGACTGGTAACCTGCAGACGCTGAAGGAGGAACCGCAGAAACGCGGGATCGACGTTCGCAAAGAATTTATTGATTTCCACTCCAAGCACTATTCGGCTAACCGGATGAAGTTGGTCGTTCTGGGAAGGGAATCTCTGGACCAGTTGGAACAATGGGTAGCTGAGCTTTTTGCCGATGTGAAGAACAAAGAGCTCCCACAAAACCGTTGGGATCATGTCCAACCGTTTACGGAGGAGCATCTCTCCACTCAGATATTTGCGAAACCCGTGATGGATACGCGCTCGTTGGACATCTATTTCCCTTTCCTCGACGAGGAGAATCTGTACGAGTCCCAACCCAGCCGCTACATCAGCCATCTTATTGGTCATGAGGGACCAGGTAGTATTCTGGCTTACATCAAAGCCAAAGGATGGGCTAACGGCCTTTCGGCGGGAGCCATGCCAATCTGCCCTGGGTCTGCTTTCTTTACTATATCCGTTCGCCTGACTCAAGAGGGTCTGAAACAGTACCGTGAGGTCGTCAAGGTGATTTTCCAGTACATCGCCATGATCAAGGAAAGGACACCCGAACAATGGATCTTCGACGAGATGAAGAATTTGGCCGAGGTTGATTTCCGCTTCAAACAGAAGTCGCCTGCTAGCCGATTCACCAGTCGTTTGAGTAGCGTCATGCAGAAGCCATTGCCTCGGGAATGGTTGCTGAGCGGTTCGAGTCTGCTGAGGAAGTTCGACCCAGAAGCGATCACCAAGGCCATGTCCTACCTGCGGGCGGACAATTTCAGGCTCATGATCGTGGCCCAGGATTACCCAGGGGACTGGGATTCCAGGGAGAAGTGGTATGGAACGGAATATAAGGTTGAAAAGATCCCAGAGGACTTCTCGTCCGAGATCCATAAGGCGCTTGGCTCGTCTCCTCAGGAGAGGATATCTGATCTGCATATGCCACACAAGAACGAGTTCGTCCCCACGAGACTCTCAGTGGAGAAGAAAGAGGTTCCGGAGCCAGCAAAGACACCGAAACTGATTCGTCACGATAATCGTGCGCGTATTTGGTACAAGAAAGATGACCGTTTCTGGGTCCCTAAGGCCACAGTCCATGTGACACTGAGAAATCCCCTTGTGTGGGCCACTCCTGCAAACCATGTCAAGGCCAAGCTCTACTGCGAGCTTGTGAGAGATGCTCTAGTCGAGTACTCGTATGATGCGGAGCTTGCGGGGCTTGATTACCACCTGTCAGCTAGCATCTTTGGCCTGGATGTCTCTGTGGGTGGCTATAATGATAAGATGGCTGTGCTGCTAGAGAAAGTTCTCACTAGTATGCGTGACCTGGTCGTGAATCCTGATCGCTTCAAGATCATCAAGGAACGGCTGACGCGGGGCTACCGCAATGCGGAATACCAACAGCCATTTTATCAGGTCGGTGATTCCACCAGATATCTAACCTCAGAGAAGACCTGGATAAACGAGCAGTATGCGGCGGAACTAGAGGACATCGAGGCAGATGATGTCGCTAGTTTCTTTCCTCAAATTCTCAGACAAACCCACATTGAGGTTCTGGCTCATGGAAACCTTTACAAGGAGGATGCTCTGAAGATGACGGACCTGGTGGAGACGATCCTCGCAGGTCGCCCACTGCCGCAATCTCAGTGGCATGTCCGCCGGAACATAATCTTTCCTCCTGGAAGCAACTATATCTACGAGAAGACCTTGAAGGACCCAGCCAATGTTAACAACTGTATCGAGTACTACTTGTTTCTGGGCAGTCTTGTTGACAGTGTTCTGAGGGCCAAGCTGTTACTATTTGCTCAGATGACAGATGAGCCGGCATTCGACCAGCTTCGCAGCAAGGAGCAGCTAGGATATGTTGTCTGGAGTGGTGCGCGTTACTCCGCCACGACTCTAGGATACCGGGTGATCATCCAGAGTGAACGCACTGCCGCGTACTTGGAGTCTCGCATTGATGCTTTCTTGAGTCGGTTCGCCGACACTCTGGAGAACATGACCGAGGATGAGTTCGAGGGTCACAAGCGCAGCATTATAAACAAGCGACTGGAAAAGTTGAAGAATCTTGCATCTGAGACCAACCGGTATTGGTCGCATATCGGATCCGAGTACTTCGATTTCTTGCAGAACGAGGTTGATGCTGCACGCGTCAGGGGTCTTTCTAAGCAAGAGATGGTCGAATTCTACCGCCAATATATTGATCCTCAATCTCCTACCAGAGCTAAAGTCTCGATTCATCTTAACGCCCAGGCCGGCGAAGCGGCCAAGAATGCGGATCCTCAGGAGCTGAAATCCAAGTTTATCTCTCTCCTGGGTGCACAACTGGAGGCAGCAGGGTTCACGGCTGATCCTGAGAAGCTGCAGGCTGCCTTTGCAGAAATTGACTTGTCTGCTGGCAATGAGGCACAGATCCTTTCCACAGTTAAATCTTTCCTCACGTCTGAGCTGCAGCTTCCCGAGGAAAAGGCGCTCCCTGTTATTTCACAAGCGCAACAGCTTCTGGGTGTTCAGCTGATGCAGTCAGGTACCAACAGATCGCCCAATGGAGACAAGAAGTCTTCAGCAGAGCAGGGTGCTAAGACCAGTGTCAATGGGGACCTGCCCCGGGGACCAACATACATCACCAACGTTCCTGAGTTCAAGGCGCGTCTTGCAGTTAGCGCTGGACCCAGTCCTGTCGTTGACCTCACTGAGTTTGAGGATTTTGAACCCAAGCTTTAAAGAGTATTTGAAGCCTGAATCCACGATCATGGCCGGCATTGGGCGTGTCGAGACCACTTTCGGTTTACAATGTTGTTGCTGGTCTATTGGAGACATCTAGAGTGCTTGGTGTAGACTCACGATACGATAGAATCTTGTAACGCTACCTATACAGCATTAAAAAAAAAAAGCAAATTTTATTATGATCTTTCCACGATGGCCTCCGTTTTCCATCCAAAACTACCAGTCTGAAGAATTGCGCTTTGTATAATAAGCCGTAAAGTGAACTTCAATCTTGGCGCGGTGGAACGTTTTCGCGGAGTTCGCTCTGTTCTCTCTCCACCGCCCAGCTTCGCCGCCTTGCGGTTGCGACAGAGAGAGCTTCCGACTCCAGCTGGCCAATTCCTTCAACCGCCATCTTAAGAGGCCCATATCTGTTGTGGAATTGAAACCAGGCCGTCTTTTAGAGACCTAACAGATTTTCGTTCAAGATGTCGACGATCACTGCCACTGCGCTGCAGAGCTCACGACCGTACGTTCTCCGCACTGCCCACCAGCTGCCTATGAACGGCTGCGCTGCGTTCCCCCTCTACCAAGTGTATAGAGAGACCATGAAAGTTGACATTATTTTCATAATCGCTGTAGCCCTATCATCCCCAAGAGCTTCTGTGCGAAGCAGCCGGAAACGATCCGTCTATACCCCCTGTCGAACTACACGTTCGGAACGAAGGAGACACAGCCAGAGGAAGATCCGTCAGTTCTTGCGCGTCTAAAGCGTCTAGAGGAACATTATGACAAATATGGAATGCGGAGGACGTGTGAGGGTGTCCTTGTGTGTCACGAACATAACCACCCCCACGTCTTAATGCTGCAGATTGCGAATGCGTTCTTCAAGCTGTATGTTACCTACCGGGTGGACTCTCGAGCACGCCCATTGTCCTGCACACGCGGGCCATACCTGGAAGATGGACTGCTAACGACGATTTCAAGGCCCGGAGACTACCTTCACCACGACGATGATGAAGTTGAAGGCTTCAAGTCACGACTAAACGAGCGCCTAGCTCCTGTTGGCTCGCAGTTCTCCGGAGAAGGCGTCAACGAAGAGTGGGAGATTGGGGACACACTGGCACAGTGGTGGCGGCCAAATTTTGAGACTTTCATGTATCCTTTCTTACCCGGCCATGTGACAAGACCGAAGGAGTGCAAGAAGCTTTACTTTATCCAACTACCGAAGAAGAGTGAGTCCCTCTAGGCTATGCTTGAGATTGTTTTATGCGGATGAGACTGACGCTGTATGTTCTTCCAGAGGTACTCTCCGTGCCCAAGAACATGAAGCTTCTTGCGGTTCCTCTATTCGAGCTGTACGATAATACCGCTCGTTATGGTCCCCAGCTTTCCGCCATACCTCACCTCCTTTCCCGGTACAACTTTGAGTTCGTGGACGAGAACGACAACGTCGTTGCTGTGACTCCGGGAACTCCTCTTCCGGAGGGTCTTGAAATCCCCCGGACCAAGGTCCTCGCTGGAGGTGATGGACCGAGCGATGGACAGGATACTGGCATGGAGGATTACACTGGAAGCGGGGAGAATGGCGGCCAGGGTGCCCAGTGAGTGTTACAGTGAGAAGAAGCGTTTCCAAGGAAGATAATAGGGTGATTTCAATCGGGCCATCATGGCGTGGGTCTCATATCTTGGTAAGCTTTTCACCATGAGGCATCCTACTGCCCAGGAGGCGAGAGCGTGGTCTGTCCGATGCATCCAAGTTTGAAGGGCGTCGTAACTTATCCGACGCAGGCGTTTAAAAGGAGCGAAATACCGTATAAGTACTTTCTATCTGTCTATGTAGGTTATATCTAGATTTGCGACAATGAAAAACCGTTTCTCAATTGCTGCTTTGATACTCGGTGATATATGTACGGTTGTAAGTCCTTTCAATACAACTTGATGGGACGTGATGCGTCTTCGATCTGATACTCACTTATCGCTCCAGTCTTGCTAAGCTGCTGCTCATATCTCTTACCGCGAAGCCAAAGCACCGTCACATAGAAGTCGTGGCTAGTTCCCTTTCATCAACTCCTGGACCTCCGGCTTCTGCGATTCCTTAGCAAAGTCCGGCCGAAGAAGTTCAAATGCATCCGTGACACGACCGTAACTGATCCCACCAAGGCGGGAAACTGGTCGAAGGACCTAGAGAGGTATAAATTAGCATCATCCAACCCACCACAGCTAACTGGCATCCAACAAGAACCAAGACAATAAACGACGTACATTCGGATCAATCCCATTCCTCTCCTCGTTGATCGCATCCTCCCTAACCCAGAAATTGACACCCTCCAAGATCGCCATCGCACCGCTAACCGTGCCCGGCTTCGCCTTACTTTGCCACTCTTTCACTTCAACCAACGTGCACTCTGCAGAGAACACGGCTTCTTTTACACGAGCTGGTTTGACCACCTTGGTCGGAGCCGGGTGCAGGCCGACGAGAGACCATTCGGAGACGCCATAGGGACTGTTGATCGAGCAGGCGTTCGCGGCTTCGACGAAATGTTCTGATATGACATTTACAGTGCCTATACAGCAGATGGTCAATGAAGTTTATTCGAGAGGATATGAGTTGGACATACACTCTTTTGTCTCGATTATATTGGCCAATGTATCTTTTGGTTCTTTGGGACTTGCCAGGAAACCAACGACGAAGATCGGCGGGTCGAAATTCACCATTTGGAAAAAGCTGAATGGTGCTAGATTGGGTACTCCTATTATATCAAGGGGTAATCATGAATATGGTATTCCATTTTTATCAATATCATGGGAATATATACATATACATACCGTCCTTCCCAACCGTACTCAAAAACCCAATCGGTCTAGGAACGATCGCCGAAATCATCAACTTATAATTGAAAACTGCCGGTCTCCCGTCCTCGTACGGGTCGATCGAGACATGTTCCTTGGCCAGGGACTCGCCATTATCATTACCACCCTGACCTAACTTCCAATTCGGATCGCGGGTTTTCGTGTACAGTGGTTGCTTGCTCCCATCTTCGGTGATTCTTTCTCGCCAGTCAGGCCGCGAGGCTTCAACTCCCTTGAAGTCAGGATGTGGGTTCCGTTTGACGGATTGTTCGAACTTGTGTTCGCGTTCGTGAGATGTGGTGGACATTGTGCAATTATTATATCCAGTGTTTGTAGAAGAGTTGAGAGCGGGGTGGTGGGGGAAATGTTCTGTTCAAATGTAAAGCCAATGCGCCGGGCTCAATCTTTTACCGGTCCTCAAAACATTTCCGGATGAAGCCTGGGTCCTGATTTGCATTCCTTGATTACAGCATGGCATACTTGATAATTCAGAAAAATAATCTAATCGACTTCTTTTCTTCAGGGCGTCTATCTGACCTCGGAGCATCCCTAGGTAGTCTGATCTTCCTGTTCCGCATGATCCGCGTCCATTTTACTCGAGTATCTAGACTCGGGAAATCCATAGGTACAGTACACTTGCATTGAGACAATATAGCGAGGTAAATTCTTGATTTATGTCACAAAATACTCGACACCACACGTCCGATCAGATTCGCTATCGTTGTGCGGTCATCTCAAACCTCATCATCTGGTAATCTTTCAAGTCAAAATCTCCTTCCTTCAGCAACGCTTCATCACCGCACCAGACGAACGTGCTACCTAGGACCTGTGATTGGCCATTATTGAAATGAATCATACATCTCTTCCGAGCGTATAAATCTCCCTCGTATCCAATCAAACGTTCAAGCTCTGTCATCGACTGGACCCAATATGCCATCCCATGCACTTCATCTCCCGATTCCAACAGTGCTGGAAATTGCCCCCAGAGCTTACAGTGATAGCCCACAATTTTTGCTGGACGGAGCTCTGGCCAACTGGAAAGTTGAAGAACATCCCTGAGCGTAGATGTATCCATTAGAGTTCCATAAAGGAAGTAATATTGCTCGGTGAATCCATCGCTATCAGCTGCAGCGCTAGAAGACGCGAGGTTGCATCTTGTAATTTGTGCTTGTTTATGTCGATTTGGAGTCCTCTCGTCTCTAGGGTCCATCTCGTATGTAGTCGTATTCGTTGTCATGGTCTCGAGCGCGGTAGATGATCTATGGTTAATCGTTAATAGGCATAGGAAATGCAGTTGCTGGAATTAGCAGATGGAAAAGATACCTTCCAAGATCGATTATTCTAGCGTCCTCCGCAGATAATAAGTAGCCGAAATTTGTCCAGAGCTAAGTGCGACGTTGATAGAAGATAGAGTATGAAGTGCATGCTGTGATCTCATGTATTCTGCTAATGACTCTGCTTGTTTCGTCATCATCCGGGATTTTAGGTGTCGAGTTGTAATGGGAAATATTTGTTAGGGACGAACTTGGACGCTGCGTTTGGGACCATATCTTCGGGAAAATATTCTCTGGATTGTTGAGAAATGGGTTCCATTGAAATTCATTGCCTAACTACTACGTCTAGGGCCGGCGAGGACAGAGATAAGTACTGCTTCCGCTGTCTGAACGAGCGTTTCCCACGTGAATAAGCTAGTGATTGATTGCTTTTCTTATCTACGTCGAGATTTGACATATGCTTATGATTATCACTTGTAGGAAATACCCGTAAATAGCGTTCGAACCATATCCTTCAACATCGCTAAACTTATTGGCGTATTAACTTCATTGACTGACTGTGATTATCTCGCCAGGCAGCAACAAAAGTCTATTCCTATCACTAAACATCTTCACTGTGGACAGATTCAGTTTGATTATTCAAGGACGTTTGGCATCGGCCAAAGGTACCACTCGCAAGATTCACTGCACAACCATTGATATAAGGTGAATGGGGCCCTATGTATGTATTCCCCGCCCACATTTGAGGTCTCTTTGGTGAAATAAGTCTCCAGTCTTAAATCTGCAAGTTGACTCTTCGAAACTTCTCTCGAGACAACGATCTTCAACTATCATCGAACATGAGGTTGGGATTCAAATTTGATATTGGATCATATCGGAACTGCATACCACTCGACCAAAGAGAACTTTTAGTTAGTCTTTCCGGGTCTAAAGATTAGAAGTCTTCTTAACGGTCAGACCCGGACAACAGTTTTTAAAATCTCGAATAATTCGCCGATTATATTGTCTGCAGTTATAATCAAGCTCTAGGTCGTGGCCATAGAAAGATACATGAAGATATTGATAGTTTTTATGGGGGGGCCCTTTTATATCGCATTGCACATATGTGGCATTGACGCACATGTCTTCACGCAGAACTTGATCACTATAAAATAGAGATGCCGATACAGTCATTTTGCACTAAAATTTACTCTCATCACATTTTGATCTGTTCGTACTATATAATTTCAGCTGACTCTAACCTGCAGAGTCTCTGCCGAAATGTCCACCTGTTCGACATCCCGACTTTAGACAGGTACATTCAACAAGCTATCGGACGAGTCTGGAGACTAGGTCAGACTCATATCGTTAAAGTCTATGACTACTATCTGGATCACTCTTTTAACACTCGCCAGCTATCTTTGAATCTTAACAAATTGATTCCGAGTTTAGTGACAGAGTTGAACAACGGTATTATTGCTGTAGAGTAGCCCGCCATATTCTTATTAGGGTGGATCCTGTGGTTCTTTTTATCGATTGCCTCGTATCAATATATGACTCTCCTTGGAATCAATTTTACTTATCCACGTTGGGGTATAGCGGAGATTTCTCGCACAACAAACGAAATCAGAGTCAACGACACTATATATCTGCAGGCATCGTTTGGATACCCTCCACTTTCTAGTATCAATCTATTCAAATTCGCCGTATCGAACAATCAGATGTGGCTTGGGAGGAAATAACCTATCTTTGTCAGAATTTCACCTCTTGAAATGCTCATCTTCTATAAAACCACTTCGAATTGTGAGCTCCATCCTAGTCTTTAGGGCCCCAGAATGGAGAGAAGATATCAGGCGACTCTTCGGTATCATTAAGGAGGTCTGTTATATACGCCTTTCGAACCCCTGTCCTATGTGGCCTCTAGGTGATTACCCGGCACGCTCAAATCTCTTTGCCGGAGTTTAATCTATTTCGAGAATGGATTTCAAGTCCTAGTACCGCAGCATCATCGCACAAACTACCTTGTGGCAAGCAACTACCACGACAATCCTAAACTCAGTCGAAAGAGTCTGGGAGCATTTGTACATCTTATTGATCAATGCAAGGCGCCAGCTGGAGAAATACATTTCGCCTGGAACTTTCTGAATCTGTGAGTTTAGCTGCGTTAGCGGAAACTTCGCCGTCGACTGGATCCATGTCGAGTACCGCCGTCCCAACTTACTCGCAAAGCTCAACGATGAGCAGTATGTGGACGTTTTTGATGTGGGAAGGCTCTAAAAGGAGCCATTGGATGGTTTCTCGAACCTTCTCACAGTGAGCAAACCCGTGCGGGTGCTAGAAATCGCTCGTGCCGCAATGTTCTCGCCCAACTGGGTACGCTATACGAGGATGAAGGACTTATCCAAGGTAGAGCCTAGGTACAAAATATAGTGGCCGAAGTCATAGGAGAAATCCCTCGAGAGATCAAGGGTTCCGAAATGGTTTTTAGTCTGCATCATAACCTACTAATGTACCCCAAGTTACTCAACAACCTGGAACCGCCCCCCACAGAAGATAGCACCTCGTCCTTCCTTATTGTGGCGGGAACATCTCTCGCAAGCGCAGATCTGGAGAGATTCATTTGCACACTGAGTGATACTATGCATGCGGGAGGCCGCGAATGCCTTGTTGTTTGGATCAATTATGATCCGCCTCCGTCCAATATGCAGATCCATTGGGATGTTACTATCCAAGGCGACTGTGAAGCTATAGCTCAACTTGTAATTGATGAACTATGGCCCGTATCAATTCCTAGGCTCACGAGTGATTAGTTTTTATTTCTTGCTGATAACCCTCTGGGCCAGCTCCATATCAATTAGTTTCTTTTATTTGCAAAGTCTTTAGACTTGAATTTCTGCTATGAATTGATCCTAAACAAACAGGATTACATGTATTTAAATACTTGAACTTTGCTATATTTTATGGCGAGGAGGAAGAGGAAAGTGATGACGACCCCCAGGATTTCCTATGAGTCCTGAACATAACAAGAAACTGTTTCAGACCCATCTGAATACAATTTCCCGTCCTGGACAAGACGCTAAACTGTATCTATCCAAGGGAGAGCCAGCCACTATATCAAGAAACTTCTATCAAGACGCAAGCAGATCCAGATCTTCAAGGCTTCTTTCTTACTTCACAAGCAGATCTTTAAAACTCGAACTCTGGTAGGTTCTTGATGTCTTATCCTTGTGTCTCTGGCGTTTTTCTTCGTGATATCTTGTCCTGGTATCTCCGTGCTTTATTTATATCTCCCCTGCTAACAAGACCCAGCAATATGGGGGATATAGCAGATCCCCTTGCCAATCCTGCTTGGCTTAACAAAGTTAAGATTAATAAGAGCACCACGGGGTCTAAGAGGCATCACGCGCCAGAGCCAGCCTCGACTGCTACGATTTAAAAGACAAGATTTCTAGAAGCCAAAGTACGCGAATATTTTTATTTTACAGCGATTATGGACGTTGTACCTTTATCCCCCTTTTGGGGACTAGGTATCGAAGCAAACTGCCCTCTAAACAAAGCCCATGTCCAAACGCTCGCTGAGACATTCAGGGTCAAAGGGATCAGGCGTTACGATGTTAAGACCCGGCTTAGAATCTCAATCCCTCGGGAGAGGATTGAGTTGATCTTTGAGGAGATAAAAGCAGCAGACCCTTCCTTTGTCAGTATGATAAAGAATTTTGCGGCAACCTCATTCGCTGACTATGTTGTTTTTCCCAATGACATACTTATGGAACGGAATATCGATACCGTACCCCCGAATCTGGCACACCCAAGACCTTTCCCCACAGATTGACGTATTACCCGTTCTTTTGACCCAGAGCTCTATAGTTACCTTACCACTGGGTAGAGTCAGTTAATCTGAGCGTCGATTGGAATGTTAGTGCTGATCTAAAGAGACGCACTTTGCAATTAATTGCTCTACCACTACCGATACCTCCACGGTGACAACCTCGATACGTTGCCGGCAACCGACCTGATTTATCATCGGGTTCAACTTGCCAAAGATGCGAAGCCTCACTCAGTGAAAAGCCAGAAGCGTCGACAGTTTGGAGAACACTTGTCACATCCAGTTTCGATCGAGCTCATGACCCGGGATTTGTCTCATACCCGTTGATCTCGAGTATTTCATAGACTTTGAAGAGAGGTTCACCAGCAACATTATCCCTCGGCAGATACCCACAAGCGAAATGTACGCCGAACATATGATCGAACAGAAAAAGATATCAGAAAATACAACTAGTACATGTGGCCATATAGCCAAGAATTGGAAGAACTTCAACCATCTTGTCAATCATTTGAACTATTCTGTCCAAACTCGGACTATAACCGGAGTATCTTACCGAATCTGCTATTACTCTCTCAAAAGCTGCGCCTATACTATCTTTTCTCACTGTTCAAGAGAGGCTTCGAATACTACTTCAAGGATAGACCTAAGATTTGGCTCCGCATAAGAACTACACAGCTATCTGGCAGGTATGTATAATATCTTCTTCGAACGAACAAGGTGGCTAAAGGACAGTTGCCTTAGGCATAATAGGCACAAATGCATTGTTTCAGGAATATATGACCTACAATCATATCTAAAAGACCTCGCCAGAAGGGGAAGGAGAAGAGACCGAATGCACATATATCATTCCATTCGCCATGGGCCATTTTGAAATAGACGCAAAAGCTCGAGAACTCCAGGGAATATCGGCCACGACTCTCGCAAGGCTGGACCCATGGCGCATACGATCATGACTCACGTCCTACGCTGGACCAATCCGACCTTCAAACTGCCATCGACAAAAAGTCTCAATGCTGCTACGTGGGAGTGGGATGATGTCCTCGCTGAAGAGGCCATGCCTCACCGTCGCGTGGGTAGCCATGCGTTGGTATTTTCCGAGATTTACTAATCCTAACCATTGTTTCTCTTAGGAAAACATCAATGAGTGTCGAAATGCTATATACATACTGCGTCCTTCCATTTGGGCTCACGAATGGCCCGGCTACCTTCCAGCGCTACGTGAACGACCTCTTCTTTGACCTGCTCGACGACTATGTCAGCGTTTACCTTGACGACATCCTCATATACTCCGACAACGAAGAAGAGCACCAGGTGAAGGAAGTATTGTCCCGCCTGCGGAAGGCCGAACTCCAGGCAGACATTAAGAAAATGCGAATTCCACGTTACCCAGACTTGATACTTTAGTTTCATCATTGGCACCAACGGCATTATTGAAAGTAGACCCACGAAAGATCGCTGTCATACGAGATTGGGAGGAACCGAGAACGGTCCGCGAATTTCATATTGTTGTATGTAGAAAACATGGGGGCCTTTTTGTAACTTTACAAAGTCCAGTGTCGCACATGGGCAAGATTAGGTCTCTTAGAACTATGTATGAGACAATGGGAAACTATTCTAGATTATACGAGTCCAGAACAAAGACTATCCCGACAGCTTTCCCACTATCTGGCGTCCTTGTTGAACCTCTTTGCAGACAGTAAGCTTATCGTAGCACATGGCGTTACTTGAAATGGTATATGGTGTCCATGCGGAGGCCAAGCTTCTGTGCTGACAGGCTTGTGTCTAGTTGATGGCGGGGGACGCCAATACGTACTTATCCACTAAACCAGGTAGCATGGACAGAAATAATGTTGCTCGCAGGACTAGTAAGCGTTGTTTAATTGGGGTATTGCTAAGTAACCAATGCCCCCAAATCATCGAGCTTCGATTCTTTCTGGCGTGGACTACCTATCTCTGAGGAATCATAGCTGCAGTCATGCGGCTGCCTGTTCTGAACTTCGATCGCAGCAGATCGCATTCCAGAGCATCTTACTCCGTACTCATTATATCTATACCTACTTATTACTGAATGCAAGGAATCATTTGCCTGGGCCATAACAAATAGACAGTATTTCCAATATGCTTCAAGTGCGTTGGCCAGTCTATTATTATTTCCCCCACTAAATAGTGCCGAGTTCGTCGCAGCTGCTAGCTCACCGTGGGGTTGGCTCGTTTATCTATCGTGAATCGTCCAACTCACTAAACAGTCCACAACCTAAGGTAGACCCCTGCTCGTCTAACGATGAACAGCGAGAAGAACAGGCGAAGCGCTTTTCTTCTTATGGGAAATGCCGCCCGCCAGTCAGAGAAAAGTCATCTTGGTGGCATATCCACCATCTCCGCTCTCTCCATCTCGCGATATCGTTTGGTATCCCCATCCAGGAGCACCGGTCACCATTACAACGCGATTCCACCGGCTAGTTAGCTGATTACGTGCCTTGGCAATGCCCAGCAAAGTCCTGGCTCCAAATTCTCGATCGGAAAATTCCGATAATCCTGCGAATCATGCAGGTTTGGCTCCGTTGAGCTCCTCGGCCAGTGTGGTCCCCGAACGAGGTAGGGCGTCTTGGTATGGCGCGGCAGCCATTTTAAGTTATCGTACAGTACACCACAGTTAAACTTCTTGACAGGAAGCCCTGCCGAAGATGATCACCGTTCCAACAAGCGCAGCGCAGCCACCCGCCCTCCGTCCAAACTGGAATGGGTTCACTCCGATGTCCAGACCGTTGCCGGCGGGCAGACGCAGGAGAACCGGAGGATAGTGCGCTCACATGTAATGGCCGAGCATCGTCGCAAAAAGCGTCTGCAGGATTTAGAACGATATCAGAAGACCAGATTCAATCCGCTGTCACTGCGACTGGTACAGCGGCCATCACAGGGGCAACGCCAGGCCAGTGTTGCAGAACAGTCGCCGGAGATCTTGAGTGATGCTTCCGGGCCCAGTGATATAGATAGTGGACGTTCTGTACCACTACCTTGGGTATACCGGGTTCAAGACAATGCACCTGAAGATGGAGAAAATCAGATTCTCCCGGCTAAGAAAGGAGTCTCAAGTTGGCCTAATCCATCCATCTGGAGTCCTGTAGGCCAGGGGTCTGGCGACCCATTTGCTACAATGGCTACAAATCTAAGAGGACGCATGCAAGGCCATCTTCATTACTGTAAGTTGCCTCATTTATACGCTCCCACGGTGGAGGACTGCGTATCCAACGGAGCACATGTCTGAAGAGGACTGGCATTACTATCCAAGCATAGCCCAGCACATACTGACGGCCGGTTTGATGTCGAATAGTTGTGAATGAAGTGGTTCCTATGTCGTACCCGCTGCGCAGTGCCAACAGATTCCGCCTGCAGGCAGGCTGGGGCCCCTTGGCACAGGCGAATGCAGTTCTTCTGCATTCGATGATCAGCGTCGCGTGCACAGTATATGCGATGTGGACGGGAGAATATCTGGGCCCGGATATGGCGCTGCGCTCACCATCGACTCGGCTTAGTCTCGCGACACTGGACTCATTCTATCACAAGTCAGAGACAATTCGATTAGTTAACGAAAAGCTCAATGATCCCGAGCAGGCGGCTGCAGATGCGACAATAGCCGCTGTGGCTATTTTAATTACAGTCGAGGTAAGGACGTAGCGGATCTATTGTCTTTATTGTTGCATAGCGTCACCGGGGAGCGATTTCCAACAAATAAGACTTAAGGATGCATGCATGCTTGTCACCGTTGTGCCTAAGCTCTGTCCTTCTACCGTGATCTATGATGGGAGAAGGTCCCCTATGACTTGGCCAGAGACATCAGTGATCATCTTTTCCATATCTCCCGCCTCAGATTAATCCCTTCATGATGGGTATACAAGAACCTAACAGTAACTAACTATCCAAAGACTCTCACAGGCGATATTGACCAGGTCCGGATCCATCTTAACGGTCTGCGCCAGATGATCGCTCTTCGCGGTGATCTCTCCAGCCTTCCATTGACCGTCGTATCCCAGATTGCAACGTCAGTCGACCCCTTTTCTCCCCCCTCCCCCATCTTCATACTCTCCCATCTTGTAACAGGAAAAAGGCTGAAAAGTGAGAAATCATCAGAACCGACGTCAAGATCTCCATTGTCGGTCTCACGAAACCCATCTTCCCCTTCGTCAAGCCAATCCGTCGCACCACCAAGGCCATCCCAGCAGCAGATGCAGACATCGCCCGTATAGCTTCCAATCTGCTCACCCTCCCAGATCCAAGCGTTCTCTTCAGCCCCAACATGATGCAGGTCTTTCATGACCTGGCTGAAATGACGCGGTACGCGGAGCTCGTTCGCCGCCGACTCCCCACGGGCGTGGAAGACAACGACGAAGATTTCTTCGATACGCAGAACCTGTTTATCGAGTACCGTCTGCTCAGCTATCGATTTGATCCCATCACTGAGGAGTTCGTGGGTGATAACACCATCGAGGGATGTTGTCGTCTCGCGGCCCTTTTGTACGTGAATACCGTGCTATGGGTCGTGTATACATCCGCCGCAGCCGTGTTGCATGTTCCCGTCAAGGCATTGAAGGTCGCGCTTGAAACGCTCGACGAGTCAATCAGACAGACTTTTTGGGCCCCGTATTCTGATTTACTGGCATGGGTGCTGTTCCTTGGCGCTCACTGCTCCAAGGATCAGATCGAGAGACCGTTCTTCATCGTGGAGCTCGCCAAGGTTGTTATTAGTAGCGGATGGAGGGATGTCGAGGAGATGAGACAGCGATTGATGGGCTTCTTCTACGTCGATCGCATGTATGGAGCGTCCTTGGTAGAGGTGTGGGATGAAGTGCAAACTGTGATCAGTAGGTGGAAATGAATTTCCTAGTGTGGGGGGGGGGATTTCTTTTTTTTTTTTTTTTTCTATATATATTTTTTATTTCATGAAATGACAGTCATGATACTCCTATCTCAATTCAATGTCTCATTTCTATTTTTCGGGGTCACTTCAATGCTACGAGATATTATCTGCGCAGTAGCCGACTAGCAATCATCCTTGTAGGCCAAAATAAAGACCCGCATGCAGAAGTATAGAACTGTAGAAATCTGGATCGCAATATTGATAAACTCACGTGTAATCATGCATGCTGAACATGGGCCCTTGAAAACCTCAAGATAGACCACCTACTCTATCTAACCTGGTACAAACAAAATGCCGCGTAGATGGACCGGACTGGGATGGGACGAGATACGTGATGTAAGTCGAGTGTTCTGAGGAACTCCCGGGTGTGCTTTCGCGGGAGAATTGGAAATAGATGGGAGTTAATTGCTCATGACTCGAATTTCACATGCATAAGGGATGTAAACAGAAAGTTCATTTTGGACTGGTAACCATTATTTCTCCTTCGTCGGCGACCGGCTTTTCCCATTCTCCTCCGACTCGTCGCTTTCCTCCGGAGAAACTCGCGAGTCTATCCAGTTGAACACGTCGCTTTTGTGATGTTCGAGCATCTCGCTAAGTCCTGCTTTTGGCGATCGGAGGAGCCGTCCGTAACGCTTGGATGGTTTGCGTCGATTCTCGAAGTTGCTCCAGACGCCGTGTGCATGGGAGACGTAGACCAGAGAGTTCTGCAGAGAGATACGGTGTTGGTTGATGTTACATGATGCATTGGGAGAGAAAGAAAAGTGCAGATCTTACCTCTTTGTACCATTTTGAAAGCCAGACTTGAGTATGGGAGGCTATCGCCCGCACTGGGTTTTCAGCTACGAATGAAATGACACTGTTCACGCGCTGATAAATGCTGTCTGCGAGGGAATCAGATGCTGCGTCAAGAGGATAACTTAGCAGAATTAGGAACATACCACGATTGATGAGTAGATTGGCGACACCGTAAAAAGCGTCTCCAACTCCCAGAAAGAAGATCTCGGTCGCTTCGTTGGGCCTGTCAAAAGTCAGCTTCGTGTTTGTGGCAAATCATCTGGCTACCGTGCATACTCAATGTAGTTGTCCCAGAGGTAACCCGCAAGTTCTTCTGTAGCTGTGGGGCGGTTCTCATCTTCGTCTTCGTATTTTCCGGGAGACTTTGAAACAGTTAGCAGCAAAAACAGGGCAGGGCGTAAAATGACAACTTACGCCATCCGCAGTCACATATTTAGGAATATTGACATCAATCACGGCGTAGTTCCTCTGTACTGCCCATTCAATGTAGTCCTTCACGATATCAGCCTTGTACTTGTTAGCACAAGCCTTGGTTTTGAGATTGTGGACACTCACCAGCCAGCAGTTGTGAGGCTCAAGCTTGTTGGTGGTAGGGTTCGGTATGCCCATGATTTCGGGCCTAATGCAGTCGTTAGTGATGTATACTGATTATCAGACCTGCGACGACTTACGGGTCATGGAAGATCACGATCAGCGGTACAGCTTGATCATAGTTTGATCTACAAGTAATTAGCTAACGGTCATGGACCCGTGTCTGGATGACAACTTACGTTGCGAGAACCTGGTTTGCAAAGGATTTCGAGATAGCCGTCCGGTAGATGTAAAGGCTCGTTAGCTTGTAGTTATCATACAAGTGCTTAGACTGGTATGCTCTGATGACATCTGTACTCGAAGTTAGTCCGCTGTTCCAGCAGGAAATTGATGAGGCCACTTACCGTGAACTCTATCGGTCCATAGATGCTCCTCCCGCGGCTCTTTCGGGTACATGCACTTCCAAAATCTGGACTGCGTCATCATCACCCGACGTACTGTATGGACAGCTGGCCGTGAAGGTGCGGTAGCAGAAAGACGCTCTGGAGGCTCGCCCATAAGGGTCTTTGTGACAGCTAGAGCTGACTTTGAAATGGCTCTCAAATTGTAACCTCCCTGTTGGAAACATTGTTAGACATTTCTAGAATGAATCGGCATAATTAGACTCCACTGACCTCCAAACAGACAGCAAGTTTGCCATTTGCAAGCGTCATTAGCATGTGTGTCATATGAGCATAGCATGGAGGGCTAACAAAACATCCTCCAAGCTCGTCACCCGCCGCAGCGTCAAACCCAGAAGCAACTGCGGTCAATTAGCTCGTGCACCTTCTCTCAAGCGGGAAAAGACATACTGATCACGAGATCTGGGTTGAACTCGCTAGCGATCGGCATAATTACTTGCTGGAATGCAAACAGGTAGTCCCCGTCCCCCATACCCTGAGATGGCCAAGGGATGTTGATGTTTCTGGTCAAGGGTCAGCAAAGTTGGTCAAACTTGAGAGAAGAGATTCCTACCGTCCAAGACCGGGGCCCTCGCCACAATGGTCGATGTTACCTTCATCCCCTCCAGGATAGAACTTGCCATCATTGTAGACGTGGAGGGAAATATAGAGGACATTGGGGTCATCGTAGAATGCTTTCTGGATACCATTTCCTGCGATATTGTAAGCCTACATGGACCACATATTTGGTTTCGTCCGGCGCGCACCATGATGGACATCCCTAGATAATAATCAGTACAACATTTCGAGACACGGCTAGCCATTTGATTAGACATACCAGTCAAGAATCATAATCTTGCGGCACTTCTCCCCGAGCTCTTTCTGACAGACCCTTGCAGCAACAGACACGTTGTTGAAAAGGCAGAATCCCATCGTCTTGTTGTGCTCTGCGTGGTGACCTGGCGGTCGAATCACTGCAATAGCGTTTTTCACTCTGCGGGTTGCAACAGCCATGCAGGTTTCAATCGCACCACCGACTGACAGAAGAGATGACGCGAAAGTCAGACGGTTAAAATAGATTGAATCGCGAGTGTGTTCCAATTCAATCAACATATCATCGGTCATGTCTGTCACTTGTCAGTATAACGCGGATCACATGCTAGATAGGAATTACCTTTTGTGCTTTCAACAAAAGTATAATGATCAGGGTCATGCACCAGCGAGATTTCGTCGACTGTGGCATCGCGAACGGAGATACGCTGGAGCGGCTGAGAAGCCAGAGGCCTTAGAGACTCCGGATCATCGACGAGGCCCGCTCGGCACAGCTCCTTGTAGATGTAATAAATGCGACGGGGGTCTTCTGGATGGACATCGGCGGTTGGCCTCACTTCGCAGTGATAGCGCATTCTGACGTCGTAGCAGAGACCTGTGGGTAGCGATGCCGTTGGAATCCCCTTCGCAGACGCTGCACCTTCTTCAGACCAGTCCGAATTCTCTTCCATGATGCTGTCTGCTTTCTCGTGGTATTCAGAATTGGTGTCCTCAACCTCAACCGACTTGGCCAGGATTTTGGTTGAAGAGAACCCATCGGTCTCAACTTCAACTTCTGTCTGAATCACCGACTTCACATTGCTAGAATGCTGCTTTTCAGGCCTGGGTGATGCGGGAGGCGAAGTTTGATCTCCATTCATGTCCCTTGCAGGTCTTTTGCCCAAGCTAGAATGGGACCGGCTTCCCTGGCCCGCCGGCTGGGGCCTTGAAAGACCAGCGTCTGACATAACAGTGTCTTCATCTTCTTCCATGATTGCAGACAGTCAAGTGAGACAAATCTCCATTAACTGTTTGACAACTTGATGGTATCAACAGGACATGACCTGTCAAGGGCCCCTCCCTTCTGATGCTTGGTACCACAGAATGATAAAAAAACAGGAGAAACCTAGGGATTCTCTGTGAATATTAAAAGCACTGGGGAACTCTGGAAATAGAAAAACAAAGATCTGTGCTGGGTATCTCAAACGGTGGAGCAGGAGGAGTAAGTCCAAAGCAACAGTGGCCTTGCACAGGGACAACTTGTAAGGGGAAAAGGTGCACAAAAGTGAGGTTTGAGACCGACAAACAAGACAAAAGCGGGTCACCTAAACACGTCAATAGGGGAATAATAGTACACAATCAATATAGTTACGCATGCATCTTCCGAAGTGTGAGTTGATATAGGGTAACTTTGGTAGTTAACTAGCTCGGCGATGAAGCTCAACTGGGCTCCAATCCCACGTGACCGGGTTAGTGAGAGCTGTGGAAATTGGTGTGAAGGATGGACCACCTTCCAGAGAAAGGCCAATAGTTAATAGCCGCAGTGGACGTGCTGTGGAATGCAGCAGAGAGACAGCCTGTCTGTATATGGCATCAGGGTGTGGAATTGGGATAAATTGCGTCTTTGATCCCTTTTGGATCATCGAGACCCCGAGCGTTCGCCGCAACAGACCGCAGCCTATCACAGAGCTACGTGCATAGCTTAGTCATCTTCATATCCAGTCAACTACTCATTCTCCTTTCTATTCATGCATTGTAAAGACATAGTTCGGTTCATTATGATCGCATTTTGATCTCCTTAATAGATCGTTATCAAGGGGTTGGTGGTCTGAGAATTTGGCAGGCACAAACCCCGGAGCAGACAGGCGTTGGTCAGAATAAGTAAATCCAAGCCAGGAGAATTATGCAAGCTAGTTCCTATCAGCACATACAGATGCTACATTGACCGTAAATACTAATTGCAGGCAGTTCCATATGCGGATTGCGACTGCCGATTGTACGTTAACTTGGTTCTCGGTTACTGTAAAGCTTACGGTTCTCAGTTTAGGAAATTTCATATGCAGTTCATCTCATTAAATGTAGGGCATGTATCGGATTTTATGTTACTGATTCATATGATGTTCCCCGTCCAGATTCCAGTCTGAAATCGGCTCATCATTTTTGCCAGATGATTGCCCAGAATAAATGTAGGACAGTCCGCGATCTCAGACCTTGACTCTCGTCTCGGGCTGGCACGATAGATCATGACTGGAGATCTCACTACAGGAGACTCCGCGCTTCTAACTTCTGTCCTGATTCCTAAGCGGAACCGGCGTCGACCTTGGCGATGTAGGCTACAGAACTGTTAGCTAGTGTCATAATGGAGAAATGGCAGAATGAAAAGCTTACAGATCAGGTCAACAACACGGCGGGAGTAACCCCACTCGTTGTCGTACCAGGAGACCAGCTTGATGAAGTTGGAGTTCAGAGCAATACCGGCCTTGGCATCGAAGATGGAGGAGCGGGTGTCACCGTTCAGGTCACTGGAGACAATCTCGTCCTCGGTGTAGCCAAGGATGCCCTTGAGCTCGCCGGACTCGGAGGCGGCCTTCATGACCTTCTTGATCTCGTCGTAGCTGACGGGCTTCTCAGTGCGGCAGGTCAGGTCAACAACGGAGACGTTGGAGGTGGGCACACGCATGGACATGCCGGTAAGCTTGCCGTTGAGAGAAGGAATGACCTTTCCGACGGCCTTGGCGGCACCAGTGCTGCTGGGGATGATGTTCTGGGCAGCAGAGCGGCCACCTCGCCAGTCCTTAGAAGAGGGACCGTCGACGGTCTTCTGGGTGGCAGTGTAGGAGTGGACGGTGGTCATGAGACCCTCAACGAGTCCCCAGTTGTCGTGGACAACCTTGGCAAGAGGAGCCAGGCAGTTGGTGGTGCAAGAGGCGTTGGAGAGGACCTTGATGTCGGACTTGTATTCCTTGTTGTTGACACCCATGACGAACATGGGGGCATCAGCAGAAGGAGCGGAGATGACGACCTTCTTGGCGCCACCCTTCAAGTGAGCAGAGGCCTTCTCGGTGGTGGTGAAGACACCGGTGGACTCGACAATGTACTCGGCACCAGTCTCGGACCAGGGGATGTTGGAGGGGTCACGCTCGGTGTAGAAGCGGATGAGCTTGCCGTTGACCTTGATGCCATTCTCGGTGCTTTCGATGTCACCCTTGAACTGGCCGTGCTGAGAGTCGTACTTCAGCATGTAGGCCTGTATTTCGTAGGTCATTAGCCTGTGCCAAAACAAAAACATTCGCGTATCGACCCTAGCACTGTCAAGGGAGGAGGCCACCTACGGCGTAGTGGGGCTCGATGAAGGGGTCGTTGACAGCGACGACCTCAGCCTCGCCATGCTCGATGCTGTACCCATGTTAGAGACGTTGATCTTGCCGTCTTGCCGTCTGACTTTTGAGAGCTGTTCATCTCTGGACTGGCGGCAGCAATCACTTACACATTGCGGAAGACCTGTCAGGACGCTGGTCAGTCATCACGGATTCACCAGGAGGATGAGGCAAGAGACTTACAATTCTTCCAATACGACCGAAGCCGTTGATACCGATCTATTGAGCTGGTGGTGAGCATTGTCCAGAAAGATCAGAGGTTGCTGGGTGGTACCTTAGCGAGAACCATGTTTGCTGTCTGCTTTGGCGGGGTAATAGCTTGTCAGCGTAGCTCTCAAACCGGATGGCAACGAGGAGGATGATAAACCACGGATAGCAAAGGAAGACTCACTGTTGGATAGAGATTGAATAGATGGGACAAGATACAAGATGTTTGTTGTTTAGAAACAGGTCGAGAAGGGTGGGCTGGAAGAAGAAGAAGGATGACGGGGGCGGGGGAGGGGAAGAAAAAGGCAGGCCAGTTCGGGCTGACGCAACAGACCGATCACCGCGGGCGACTAGTAAAATACGGACACCGGACGGGCGCAGCTTACCATTCGAATCGAGCTGACTAGTAAATTAATTTATTAACTACCTAGGTACAGTACTACTACGTACTACTACTAACTCCCTTAGACTACCAGGTGTGTAACAGTAACTGCTCCATGTCTCCATGTCTCTCCATGATTCCATTCCAGAGCCTCCCCCGAGGTCCGCCTTTCCGGTTTCATACACCGGGCAAAGCAGGAAGACTCCCGATATCTACTATCGCCTCGCCGCCAATCATGGAGAATGTTTTGCCCGGGCTATCGGGTGTTATTGGACCTAGGTTGTGCCCTGGGGTTTCCGTCAACCCATGTGCTGGCATTATTATGTCAGTTCCCCCCTTAAACGTTCTTCCGCATCATGAAGGGGTAAGGAAGGGGTTAAGTTATTAGTATTAACTACCATACAAAGTGGTTGGTTGATTATTACTTAATCCGCAAGAATACCCAAATGATGCCTGGTGGAGCAGAAGCAGAACATCCCACCTCTAGCTTACCCGGCTTGCTGTTTTCGGTCCGTTTGTCCGTCCCGGACCAACGATTATCCGCAGTCCATTCCCGTCCATCCAGGTCAAGCGACAGCCAGTGAATCGATTATATTTAACGGCGGTCTCCCAGAAGACTCACCGGCTGGGCGACGCTGACTCTGTCGGAGACTCTGAGCTAATAAGACTCGACCGCCAGCGTGGTGGACCTAGAGTCTTTATTATTATTATTATCATGTTCAAGAGTCCTCCGTTGCCGGAGACTCGAGAGGCCACCGGTGAAGCAAAACAGTTGACACAAAAGCCCCGCATCGTCTATCAAGCCTGGCAGGAAGCCTCAAAATCTGTTGGGGTGCCCTTTACTTACGCAAATCATAAACTCATCGAATGCCCGCGTCCTAGGTTAATCATAATAACGAGAATAATAATAAATAATCATATTCTGCCGGTCTCGCTACTCAGGTTCAGAAAAGGAAAAACCAGCAATCGCCGCCCGAAGGATCTCATGCGAGACGGCAATGGCTCGGCGTTCTTCTCTTCTCTTCTGCATCTGACAATAGTCTACAGGTTCCTGCCCAATCTCTCATTGCCCGCAGTGTGCCATGCACCAGCAAAGCCGCAAAATACGAGGGGTCCGAATCTATTCGCCGCATTCCATCGACACGGCAGCAACAACAGCAAGTAGAATTCCAATCAGCTACGGTATCCTACCACCGAAGCACCGCTTCCAAGGTCCTTACGCAGACACTCTTACGCATGAAGACCCGATCCACCATGACGGATCAGATATACGTGGGACAACGAGATAATAATGGCAAAAGTGGAGGGACCATTCCAGCACCGGAAAGTCCTCAAAAGATATAGTAATTCATCTCAGCAGATAGGACCTGTTCTAGCCACATGTAGACTCTAAACCGCCACGTGACAGAACACAAGGAAGAGTGCTGGTTGCTTCCTCCGAGAGTATCTCCGCGTTTCAACGTATCTTCTATGCACAAGACATCAGAAGCCCCGAGCCCGTGTAGGCTTCCAACAGAGGCGGTGGGATCCGTGGTATATTTACTCCTCCTTGACACCACCCCTCCAGTTCTTCTCGGCCTGCTCAATGGACGCCTTGTCGCTCTTGATCTCGCCCTGGCCCATGCCCATGAAGCTCTGACCAGCCTTGAACGGCCGCTGGAGGTCACCGGTGGCCGGCTTGCCGAACAGGTGGATCTTGACCAAGTTACCCTCAAGGGCGCCCTTGAGAGGAATGATCGACTGGATCAACAGTGGGTTGGTGTACTTGAAGTACAGGTGCATCACGGCCATCATGCCAACACCCATCAGCTGCGTCTTGATCAGCTGACGCAGTTGCTGCTTGTCGTACTCCATCACAGTGGTAGTGACCGGACGCGGTTTGTCTCCGGTACCCACCGGGGCGGGCTCGACATATTGGAGCGTTTTCATATCTGTCGTTTTGCCGAGTCAGCAGCTTGATCCCCAAGTACAACCGATCGGACAAGCAGAAGATAAGAGAGTACAAAGGGTAAGTAATGGCGCTAAGGTACCTTTCTTTTTGTTGATCTGAGCCTGCACGTAGAGGTAGATGCCCAGGATGATCAGGTTCGAAATGATGTACATAGCTCGAACACCGAGGAGCACATCAGGATTGTCAAATGGAATCCTCTTGGACACCTGCATCATCACCAGGATGATGGCCAGGTTTGTTCTGTAAAGCAACTCTACGTTAGCGATATCTACCTCCCAGCGGCAAATCTCTCTTGGTGATGGCGATGGCGATTTGCGATCGCGCAGGGAACAAGGGCTAAAACGTACATCTGAGGAGAAACCATTTTGGAACCCGGAGGCACCACCGATAGTGACACGAAGAAAGAAGGACGGAGGAGGTTGACAAGGAGCAGATGGCTGGTGAAGGAGATCGGAAATCGGAAATCTCAAGAGCTCGGCCGGGGAAAAGACCAAAGTTGTCCAGATCGTAGGATGTCACGTGCACGTCCAAGTTGTTGGCCGGCTTACTACTAGATATCCGACAAGCGCAACGCGACTGATAAAGGGCAAGGATGGCGCGATAGCGCCATCAACCTAACTCGAGAAAAATATTGTACGTATCCGCGTCTCTGAAAGAATGTAAGGAAAGAGCACAATAGTACTCTTCTCATAAGTTCTCCATCATGACATGCGTAGCTAATGTTATACGTTCATGGAGTTGCCGAATCACAATTGAATTATTTTGAGTTTCTTAGTCGCAAGCGATCTGTAGATAGGTACCTTTGATGCGCCCAGAGCTCGTTTTGCAGCTCACGTTACTGCTTAAGGCCTACGTAAGACCATCAAATAATACTGTAGCAGATCACAGGTCGGCATCAGAACGCTTTTATGAACTATAGGTGAGACCTATACAAGAGCTAGTTGAGAATATACACGCGCATATTAATCTGTACTTGTATCATTAAATAATGCGGAGAAGCTCGCCCCCTCCGGAGTTCCATGTGCGGCAGTCGCGGCGCACTTAGTCATTTGATCACATGACTTCTGAGATAAGCAACTTTTGACAACCATCGCAGCTCCAAGAGTTGCAGCTTCATGTCATAAGATGCCTCATTGACCTGCAGTATACCAACATCTATCTGTGCAGAACCCTCTCAGGACATCTGAAGGTTATAGTCTGAGACTGGATACTTGACTACATCATGATTCGACGGTGATTACGAATCTTTTTCTCACTAACTGAGCCACAGGACACCACAGATGCCTTGATCACTGCGAGACATATTCTTTTGCTCATGGAGACTGACAAAATGTTATTATACTGACTCGTTGTGTTTTCTGTTCAATTCCTTGTGTTCTTCCTGCATTTCCATATGCTGCGCTCTTCACTTGCTGTTCTCATCATCCTTCACTGTCAACAGGCGCTCTTCTCCAGGCCGCCGTGCGTTTCTGTCCCGATCGGGACTAGCGCCACTTCAGGCTTGACGCCGTCTTTAGCGACTGAGATGGGCTTGACATTTCTGCCTTCTTCATCCATCAACAACGCGCGCGCTTTTCACCCCTCCGATCGTCTCGACTCCCACACTTGAGTCTGATTGTCTCGCAACTGCATCTGACGCGACATAACGACCGACGCGACACCAAATCTCGAACTATTTCGATATGCCTGGCGGAAAGGGAAAGTCGATCGGCGGCAAGAACGCCCCCAAGGATGCGGCGGGGAAGACGCAGAAGTCTCACAGTGCGAAGGCTGGTCTGCAGGTTGGTGACCCGATCTCTCCGAACCTATGTCGACTGCCCCTCATATCCTCCAACTTGGCCTTTGTTGTGCATGTACTTTGACGACCACAAACGCTCTTCCCTCCACATGAGGACGCGATAAGAGGAGTGATAGTGGTTGTGAAGCTTTGCGATGTTTCTTCGGTTTCATTCATCTCGGGTCTTCGCCTCCGTTGCCAACTTTGTCGCACCGTGGCGCTCAATCTTTGGACGTACTTTCTCGAAAGTGACCTTTGCTAACATCTCTTGTCTGGCAGTTCCCTTGCGGTCGTGTTAAGCGTTTCTTGAAGAACAACACGCAGAACAAGATGCGCGTCGGTGCTAAAGGTCAGTCATCCCATTTACCTGTTCTATCCACTTGCGCGTGTCTCTGGTTACGGGCCAGCTCAAGATTCTGGCACCATAGCTATCATGAAAGGTGTATAGCTAACTTATTTCCACAGCTGCCGTCTACGTCACTGCTGTTCTCGAGTACCTGACTGCCGAAGTCCTCGAACTTGCTGGTAACGCCGCCAAGGATCTCAAGGTCAAGCGTATTACCCCGCGTCACCTGCAGCTTGCTATCAGAGGTGATGAGGAGCTTGACACGCTCATCCGCGCGACCATCGCCTTTGGTGGTGTCCTGCCTCGTATCAACCGGGCTCTGCTGCTCAAGGTTGAGCAGAAGAAGAAGAACAAGATTGATGCGTGAACGAACGGGGTGTTTGACAATTCCTAGCGTCTCCGGTCTTTCCTACGACATAAAAAAAGAAAGTCTTCCCTGTTATCGATTTCTGCGACTCGAGGTCGCAATACGGGATGTTGGCCTGCCGGGAGCGGTGTCCAAGTGAGGACACCGCATATACTAAGTCGGCAGTCCTTACCTAACGGCCGTGGAATGATCCCAGGCCAACATTTCGCCTTTTGCGGTCGGTGTTGCGTCCGCTGTCTCCCTGTCTTTGTTTTATTCCCCGGCTGTTAACTGTCTCTGCTCCTTGTCTATGTCCATTCATCTGGTTTGATTCGATTCAAAAGGGCGCTGTAATGGGTAAAGGGGGACATGGATAGCGGGAAACATTCTTAAGTTAAGGAGTCAGTTCTTACTGGCTTTTATTTGATGGATTTCACACCAAGTGCGCTGTTTAATTGCGGAGATTGTATCAGTAGTTATTGATTTGAGGCGAATCCAATACCACCTAGGGAGATGAGCTGTGCGTGGCTGTTTTCTATTATCACGTAGACATGAAGAGTGCTATAGCGGTCTATGGAGACGCTGATTTGCGTGCTGCACGCACTTCGACCGTCGGTAAATCGAGACAAGTGTGCATTTATACATACATTCCCATCAACCAATCCAATATAAATAAACAACGCGTAGGTTCAACTTCGGTAAGGATCGAATTATTCGACCCCTTCATATCATATCCCCCCTTTACCGTAGAATCACTTCATACAGAAATCATCTTCCCTAACTCGGTTGATGTGTCGAAAAATCCTCACAACATGGATTATCACCTCTCTTCAACAGACGAGTGTGAGTGTACATCCCATCGCAACATGTGTATTAATACGGTATGTCTACTCTCAATTTCGATCCTTTTCGACTGATCATGTCGGATATGTAGCACGTCCTTCATATTTTCAGTCCAGTTTTAGTAGAAAATATATCATATATTATGATATGTGTCATGCCAATACCAATATTCGTGAAGTTATATTTATATATTAAACGTCTTCCTGTGGTTACGGCATATTGTGAAATAACACATTATACTAGTAATATGGATGGTTTTGGTATTTAATTTAGGTAACTAGTCTAATCAGATAAAAAAAAAAAAAAAAAAAAAAAAAAAAAAAAAAAAAAAACTTATGGTATTCATCTCTGAGAGAGTTTATGTAACTTAGGTTTAGAGTTACCACGATGGTAGTTATAACTATCGGTATCTAGCATTCTCTCGAATCCCTCCGCAGCAGAGCAGAAGGTCTGAGAAGTATGCCAATTCGAATGAGAATTCCTCTTTGAACGCGACGACGCGAGCCAGGTTGGCATTCCAGTACCTTGGCTACGGTTCCGACGGCATGCTCGACCTTGATCTGTTTACGGGAGCTTGCGTGGGCTATCTAGTTATCTAAGATAACGAGATTAAAAATCTTAGTCTAGACGCGTGATTTCAAGCCCTATGGAATGTAAACCCGAGGCACGTGGAGTAAACATTCAGAAGACTTTCTTATTGGGCTTTAAGAGAATATCAACCGACGTTAAGCACAGTAATTTGTTATATGTAGATAGTTACGTTGGCATTTGTCTAAACACGGGTAAAGGTGGATTTTCTATCCCATAACTGATTAGGATGGAACAAAATTTAAGACAACTTCAGCATTATTTCATGACATCGATTTCACAATAGAATCGTAGAAAATGAAAATGTTGACTTTGTTCAATGTTGGGTTTTCTGTTTCGATAATGCCCGAGCTCATCATTTCTGCCTGAAACCAGAAAAATGGGAGCAATGTCCATCAGTTCCAGTCACGTTAGCAACTAGCCCTCGCAATATGCAGATATGGTCATGGCAGCAAGCAGGAAGTATGATCGTTGCACCCAGCAAGGGTCGAGAAGAAAAAGATAAAGCAAATCCAACAAAATCATACTAAGAACATACATATATTGTGAAATCTGTGATACTAAAGAGGTACTTGATGAATAAAAGACGACGGAAGAGAAGAGGTAAGAAAAAGCACCCCCGGGACCGGGTGAGGTATTAAAGACAGCAGCAAGCGGAAAAAGAGGTTGCCATAATCGCAGAACATAAACGCCAACTTTATGTCAGGGGGAGGAGAGAGAGATAGAGAGAGAGACGAGAACTGGGACCATATCCTGCGTTGTAGATAAAACATAAGAAGGAATGGAACCGGATGCACTTCTCAGAAGGATCGATGGAAATATGACTGGACAGTCGCACAAGCATCACCTGCAGAATACACTAGCAGACGTGTTAGTTACCTGATGCTCCTGGTCGCACGATAAAGCAGTCATGACCAGAAACATGTCGAGCTACCAGGGACAGTCGAAATCAGATTTGACGCGGTCGCGGTGGGAAGCGAATCCATCCTGCACAGCACGGATTCGACAAAGTATTAGAGCACAGCGGTAATAGACGAAATCGGACAAAACAGTAAATCAATGCGAGGTGTCCCATGTACAAACGGACAAACATGCAAATGCTGATATGCGATCCCTATCCCAGTCAAATAGGATTCTGGCGCTTTTTCTTCTTTTTGGTTCTTCATATCCTCCTTTTCCGTCTGGTACAAAACAAAAAGTATGCTGCTGCATGCAAGGCGCCCGCCCGCCAATGGTTCAGAGCTTTTTTCTTCAATTTCGAGCACAAGAAAGAAGTCCATCCAATCAGCCTTTCTGTTAGGCTGTCCCCAAAATAACATCTGAACCTGGACAGTCGGGGTAAATTTTTGGTTTCTCTTGAGTGTCGTCTCGTCATCCCTCATCGAATCGTAAAGCCACGCATCCATCAAGTGATGGGGCTCGTGATATAAAAATCGTGGTCGTCTTGTCATAGTCCGCAATCTTGACAACAAAAACATTTCTTTCATCTTTATTCAACAATTATCTCCACGCCGGAATTAGCACGGAGCTCGTCACTACCGCGACTCTGGTGCCCACCATTCTGACGTCTGAATCCAGTTCCGCGTTCGGGGGCCGGGCCCCGAGGCTGTCTCACGGGCATGCGCTCCTGGGACTGGTTGTCAAAACCAACTCCAATAGAGCGGTTGCTGCCAATGGGGCCAGTCGATGGTTGGTTATCCTGCTGCTCCCAGGAGAACATGCCTCGCAATCTGCGAGGGCTACCCGAAGGAGGGCCTCCAATTCCGGTTCCGAGCGACAGACCACTCAAGCTGTTGACCAGCAGATTGTCATCCCGCTGCAGGCCCAAGGATGACCCGGACGGAGCGGATGTCAAAGTGGGAGTGTTAGAAGCGCCGCTCGTCGGTCCATCGAATTGCTGCAGACGGGCTCCATTCGACTGAAGAGCAGCGGGGAAGCTGGCAGAGGAAGGTACGGGAGAGGGAGTGTAGGAGCGCAGGTCTGCAAAAGACTTGGCGGCCCGCAGATTCTGGGCATTTCCAAAACCTCCAGGGGAATCTAGGACACCGAGGAACCCAGAGTTCTGTCCCCGGAGCGCGCCAAACGGAGCGTCGCTTCGAGCTTCGCTGAAGTCGATCGTGGCAGCGCGGTTGAGACCGCGACGAGAGGCATCCGCAGAGTGCACCGTCGGTGGGATCGAAGAGAGGGGAGGGCTGGTATTGGTACCAGGAGCAGCCCTGAAGACATGAACCTGACGCTGCTCTCCAGAACCCCGGGATGCGTGTCCCAGACCCATATTGTGCGCCAGAGTATGTACAGTGCGACGCTGCAACGGAGTGATGGAGGCAGGGAAAATCAAAGCTTCCCGGCTCAAGTCTTCCTTGAACAAGAGAAGCTGCGAATAGAACTGCAAGGTCTGGCTGTCATTCAGATCGACTTCTGGACGGTAGTCAGCATCCATCTTAATTTATGGGGGGGGGGGGGGGGGGGGGGGGGGGGGGTAAAGAATCCAGACTTACCAAGCTTCGGGCCCCGCTGAGAGACCGGAGACGGGGAAGTTGCCGGAATATGAGAGGTGAGCGAGGACATCGAGTTCTGACTCTGCAGCTGGGAGTTCGCCATCGGTCGGTGCTGTTCCTCCAGCTGGCCTCTGCGCTCGCGCTTTTCCCGTTCAATACGCTCACGCTCCTGAAGGGGTAGCATCTTCTTGTATTCCACCCTCAGCTTTCGGCCCTGCAGCTCGAAATGGTTGAGCACTTCAATCACGGTAGCAGTCTCTTCCGCAGACGTGAAGTTGGCGAAAGCCAGTCCCCTGAAGACGCCATTGTCGAAGTGGTAGTTGAAGGCGTAAGGGAGAGGCAGGTTCATCTCTGTCATCAACTGGACCAGCTGCTCCTTCTTCACAGCAAATGGGATATTCTTGATCACTATGGCGGTGGGGATCAACTCGTCGTCAGCCTCCTGCTGCGAAGATTCCTGTCGCATCTGCGATCCCTGAAGGGGACCCGGGGGGAGACTGCCAAAGGGACCCATGAGACCAGGCTGCTGGTCAAGCCATGTCTGGTTCAAAGTGTCAGCAATACACGTTCACAAAACCACGCGAGGAAAGAAACTCTCTAGAGATAGCGACATACCGTTGGCAGACCCGTCCTCCCTCGCGGATTGTGCTTTATGCGGGATGTTGCAGAGCCAATACCCCCAAGCGTGTGTGCACCGCTGAAGCCATTTGGATTCCACGTCTGCGAACCCGAGATATCATACCCATACGCGTTGCTAGGGATCGATGGGTTGAGCCTGTCCAGCCTGCTCGTGTCGTAACGAGCCATGGGATCGTCGTAGAAGTTGGTCGGCATCGGACCGTACGCGTCAAACTGACGAGAAGGCTGACGGTGCAGAGGCTGCTGGTGACGCTGGGAGCCCGGAGAGCGTGCAGAAGGATTGTCGTGATACATGTCCTGGGACGGCGATGTGTTGTTCATAACCGACGGGTTTCCAGCACCTTAGCGAGAGTTGCGAGGAATGTGATCGGAGGCTTGAGGTTCAAAGGTAAGGTTACGATCGACGGAGTTAATCACAACAGCCGATCGCTAGTGATGCATACGAGCGATTCAATAGGGTCACAACGCGGTGAAACGGAAATTGAAGCAGAGTGGTCGTGAGCGAAACGCGATTAGGAAGCGGACGAATTCTGGAATTCTAAAAAACCCCGGCAAAAAAAAAGAGGAAAATCACGGCGGGGATCCGAATACTCGAGGGTCCGCTGCAAGACAAGACGTGCAAAACAGCAGCAGCAGTAGTAGCAACAACTGATTTCGCTTACTGGCGCCAGAGACAGGATGTCGTGACGGTCGTAGTCATATGTTGGGCCTTCTTTCTATGTACCGTACTTTTTTTCCTCCCCCAATACACACGGGAGCAGCGCGTCCGGTCTTTGGACTTGAAACCACCGACTGTTGCGAACCCAGTAGAACGATTTCAATACGACTCCTCGTTTAGACACCCAATTTCGTTACTCCGGTTGGGATCGTGGTGCCGTAGCGGAGATGCGAATGGCAGGCCAGACACACACACGGCCGTTCCAGCGGAAGTTGAAAAACCGCGACGCAGAATTGGGGAGTCCGTTTCAGCGGCCCGCCAACACAGGACGAGTCGAGAAAATCGACGGGAACGGCAGACGAGGTGATTTCGTTAGCAGCAAGAGGGATATGATGGAGGGCAAAGGTGAGGGAAAAGGGGGGGGGAGAAGAGGATGGGAATGGGGGGGAAAAGAAAAGAGAGAGACGATGGGAGAGCTGGAGAAGAAGGTCAGGGAAGATGGACGGATGAGGTTTGGTCTTGGGTTGGCTTTTTGGGGGGGAAATGGAAATGGGAAATGGAACTGGAACTGGAACTGGGAGGGGATAGAAATTCAGACGCTCGTTGGGCGAGCCAGGCGGGAGCAGAAGTGGCTGAGGAAGTGCGAAGTGCGGCGGTGGGAAAAAAAGCACGAACAACGCTTGCGCCAGTCCAGGCAGACCGACAAGTATCGTATCTTTGCCTCTCTGCTCGAATATTAACTAACTATTCTTACTACTAAATTAACTATCTACATACTCTACTGCTCTAAAGGCTCTAACTGCTCCAACTAAATCATCACTAACTATCTACTATCTATCTAGTCTAGTGAAGAGCACTCGACTTCCCCCCAGCGACCGGCCCGCCGGCTCTTCGTCGTTTTCTTCTTCGGGCCTTCTACTCAACCGTCCGTTAAACTGTCTTGGGGGAAAGGCCAATGCCTCCAGCTGCTTAGAGAGCCACTAACGGTGGGACTCCAATCTCTACTAGACGCGCAGCATCCAGAGGTCCGCACGAGCTGATCTTCGATTGCCAGAACGGTGAAGGTCTCCCAAGACGTCGCTCCCCGTGAACTCGAGTAGCTCTCCTGTCCGCCTCACTCGGGGTGGATACGGCTTACAGACAGACAACAACTAACTATCTAGTAGTGATCTCCAGTGCTGGTCGATGATGATACCGGAAGAGATGATCCGCCGATGGGGCAAAAGGGGAAGGTTGAAATTGCCCCCGGGGGGTCCGCGGTCGACGGGCTGGTGTTGCTGCTGGCGCAATAGGTAAATAAGAATAATAATAATCCTTGCTGAGACAACTGAGCTGGCTGGCCGTGTGTCTGTCTGTCTATCGATCGATCGATCCATCTATCTGATGTGATGTGATGGGAATAAATGAAATAATGAGTGTGCAGTGACAGATATCTAGCAGGCATGATATTATTATTCTGTTACTGCTCGTCACAGCCAAACACGCCGGGGATGATACTACTCGGGACGGACGCGACGGGGATCGAAGCAGAAGACAAATAACCCAAAAGAGCGGTCTCCAACGTGAAGCCCGCGTAACCAGCTCCCTGACAGCATTGGACTATGACCGGAACTATACAGAATGCGGCATAGACTGTCCCCAGAATTCGGATGGAGACAATCCTTTTCAAAGCTTCCGGAAACGCCATCCCCTGGATAACGGCCCACCAGCGACACCAAGGCGGCGTCTTTCGGCCTTCTGGCGCATTTCGGCGGTGCGCAACTTGCTCAGTAAAGTTGCTCTAGAACGCAGCGTCCTGGGCAACTTCAGGGGGGTGCTTTACCGACTCGGAGGAGCAAGTACGTACTCTAGTAGTTACTCCGTACTCGTAGTAGCCAGATTGCGAACGGGCAACCGGATGGCCTATCGCACGGGGCGTTACGGAGGATGGATAGATAACTACTCCGTAGTGAACTAGCAGAATACTGAATATTAATAATAATAATAATCATAGATGGTGAACTGCTAACTACTACTACGGACTGGCCCAATTGAGACTCGAATTCGGAAAGGTCAGACGAGTCATGAGCCCCCTGAAAGTGTTCATGATTATTATTATTAGGGAAACTATTGAACAAGAAGAATAATCACGGGAAACTGTATCGCTTTACCCTGACCCAGGGATATGGTCAGCCGGGCATTATGATGAATCAACTCTGGCCTATCCCGAGACTCGTGCTCAGCGACTGGACTCTATAGAATACGCCTCATGACTCGTTTGAATGTATCATTGCCAGGGACCTGTCTCTAGTTACCATCAGGGACTCCAGATAGTCTATTCCTGTACATTATTGTACACAAGCACGGGAAGATCCAACCCCATTCGTATTTCAGATCATTATGATTGACAACAACGCACAAAGTGCCACAAGTTGCTCCCAGCGAGCGAGCTGCGGGCTTTTTTGCCTCCGAGCCATCCTTGATCCTCATGACCGTCCTGTTCGTTGCCACGGGGATTTCGACGGAGACCGTTATTTGAGACGAGACGAGTGAGATCCCAGTAGTCCGCCCTTTTCCCTCTCAGCCACAAGAGGGGATGCGCCACCCGTTCCTGTCGGAGGCTAACGTACCCCGGCGGCGTTCCAGAAGAGTTGGGCATTGCGAGAGCCGTCATCTTGTGGAATCCACTGCGGGAGCAGACCAAGATCCTGTGGTAGAGTTATGAAACAGGGATGAGCCCCCTATTGATTATTATTATTGACGTGAAGCTTACTATGATACAGTCTGGGAATTACTACTATGGAGTACCCTACGGAGTAATATTATTGTTACATATTATTCACTTGGGAAGACTTCAGATGGACCAGGGTCGCTCCTAATTTAAGACAAGTAGCAGCATGGGGCCGTGACGTTCAGGTCTGTTAATTTATGTTACCCCTGGGCCCTGGGTGCTTGGAGCAATTATTACTTAGAGTAATTAATCATAATTAATCAACTAGAGATCTCGCGGATTATCTCAATTGAACGGGATGATTCAAAAGAGTGTCATTCATGCTCTGCATCTCTGACTTTTATTCCTCTGTTAGATGCTAATTATATTTTCTTCTCCTTCTCCTATACTATTGGTATAAAACCATGCCAAGTCATTATTGGACGGGCTTCAACTGCTACCCCCAGGGGCCGTGTCGTGCCACATCATCTCTGTTTAGACTACTTGACTGTCCAACTATTTTCCCCAGGGAGCTCAGCTGGTCTTGATAAATTGATAATGGGGAGCTTTCCTAAACAATGATGCGTGACCCAGGCAGTGGAGGCCTCAACCACGGCGACGCACACGTTAAACCGGTAGTGATTGTTGAGTTGAGAGCCCCCAGGAGGGAGATTATTATATCGTAAGTTCGTAACTCAAATTCAAGGGCTTCGGGCCGCAACGCACGCTTCGCTAGAGTTCTGGGCCCCGTCACGGCATTTGGAGACCAATGAGACTGTGTCCGCCGGCAGACGAAGCCGATGGATTCTAAATCTGTGTTTATCCCACCACGAATGGGAGAAAGTCGGTTACGAACCCAATCTCAGAGAAACAGTAACTGGTGGTGCAAGGTAGAATAGACGGTAGGTCTCGTCTTTTTGAACATTCAAAGCAAGCAACTCGTGGTTCACGGGGTGAGGATCCTGCTTTTCCGTCGCACAAAGTCAGGTAGGTGTGCCTGGGTGATCAGTTAGAAAGAAGACATCCATCGATGTAAAGTTAACTGCCGGTCTGATTAATCAAGTAACGACGACCACCTGCAGCCTCAAGCGGGAGGCTTCAAAGTAACTCAGTGGCAAGCAGCGAGTATAAGAAGTCGCCAGACACCCCGTCGTGCGAGCCTGTTGGGCTTTGATCGAAGTTCCTCCACAATTCCCGACTTCTCGCGGCTTCTTTCTTCTTCTCAAAGGCTCATTCAAGCCTGCTGACCTGGCCGTGTCTTGGCGGCTCCCCCGACCAGCATGACGTAACCGGACAGGTACATACTCTCAGTGTTCTCGATGCTCTCCCTCTGCCGTCAATTTTCCATTTTCAACAGTAAAAAGGAGAAAGAAAGGAAACAAAAAGTGACGGCGCTGATAGTTCTTCCTTGCGCTTCTAGTGTCCAGAGCATTGACCAGCATCTCTCCAGTGTATAATCGCTTCGTCCCTCCCGCGGGAAGACTCGCTGTACTGCAGTCCAAAAACCATGTCGTGGGAAAGAATCACCTTGCGCGCTGTCCACGGCGCCGCGCCGGCCTCGATTCCCGTTTTGATCTACGGGACTGCCTGGAAACATGATCGAACAGCTGAATTGGTGCACCAGGCCCTCAGCGCTGGCTTTCGCGCGGTGGATACGGCCGCCCAGCCTAAGCATTACCAGGAAGACCTGGTGGGAGCTGGGATCCGAAAAGCAATCAGAGAAGAGACCGTGAGACGAGAAGATTTATACGTGAGTACCGGTTCGGACAATACCCAGTGAAATCGAGATTGAGTCGAGGGATCTCTCCTTTCCGGCACCGCGCCGCTAAGCCGTTTCCTGCGTGAAAACATAATCGCTGGGTTGGACCATCACTGACAGGCCTTATCTTACGGGGGGAGGGAATATAGGTGCAAACCAAGTATACCTCTGCCCAAGGCCAGGATCCGCTCCGTATGCCTTACGATCCGACGTCCTCGATCACCGATCAAGTGCACGCTTCCATCCGTTCATCTCTGCATAATTTGCGAATTCGCGAAGAGGTTGATGAGGATGACCAGGCATACATCGATACGGTTCTCCTACATTCTCCGCTCCCCACCATGACCCAAACGCTGGAGGCATGGGCAGCACTCGAGACCTATGTCCCTCACCGCATTCGCAATCTGGGACTCTCCAACTGTACACTGGCCGTTTTGGAAGAATTGTACAGGTCCCCGCAGGTGCGCATCAAGCCGGCTGTTATCCAGAACCGGTTCTACCCCACGACGCGGTTCGACGGCCCTCTGCGCGCCTTCTGCCGCGAACATGGAATCATCTACCAGAGCTTCTGGACCTTGACGGCAAATCCGCAGCTGCTACGCAGCGCAGAGGTTGCGATGCTGGCGCAGGAAGCCGGTATCAGCACGGCAGCTGCGCTGTATTGCCTGATCTTGGGGTTGGGACACACCACCGTCCTGGATGGCACCACGAACGCGGTTCATATGGCGGAGGACCTGGCGGCTCCGAAACAAGTGGAGCGCTATGCGACAGAGCGACCAGACGCATGGCAGAAACTGCTGGCTAGCTTCAAGACTCTGATCCGGGACGATTCTTGACCGCTGAGCGCCAGGTCACACGTTGCAGTGAGTGAGCGATTATTATTATCATCATTAGAGTTTGACTCGTTCCCGCGTCGGAGACATTTATTACTCCCGCACCGCGAGGAACACAGTTGTTGCAGTGCGGACAACGGTTTGTGGTAGACTAATAGAGAATGGCAAGCTGGTCCCGATCGCGAAGAAGAACAAGAAAAAAGGGGGAAAGGGAAAAGATGCAGAAAGTGCAGAAGACGATCTCCACGACTGGGACTGGCGCTCTCATAACCGTCTGTCCTTCTCGTCGAGTTGCGCAGTGCTCTTTGGCGTAGGAGGATCGTGGAAATAATCATAATACGGCGATCCGGGAAGGTTAGGTAGGTTCTTGCATGACGACGACGGAGGTGGTCGTGGACTCGGCTAGCCTAGGCCGCCGCCCTCGCTGTTCCAGAGATTCCAGTCCAACAGAGTCGACCAGCAGCGGTAGCGAGATCCTTGTACCTCCACGGCCCAGGGAGTCTCTTGTTCTTGCCGTACCTTTTTTTTTTTTTTTTTGATTTGATTCCAAGAGTTCCAATATATCTAGTCAACAAGTGTATGGTATATTCTTTCTTAGTCACCAGCGCCAGGTGTGGGGAACGAGCCGTGTTGGATGAGTCAGCAGCGCACGGGCCATCTAGCGGCGGATTGACCTCATCGCGCCAAGCATCTGGAGATTTCCGTTGTTCGCAAAGAAAGAAGAGAAGCAGCAGCAAAGACATCTTCTCGTCTACTGACCACCACCACCACCACCAAACATCTCTGATCTCCTCCCTCCATCCCGTCCTCCATCCCGCCCTCCTGTTTCCCGCTTTGTCCGATCTTCCCTTCCTCCGCCCAGAGTCACCTCCCACTTGGCCTTCGTCTGGCGCCGTGAGCCCCGTGGCTCTCTGCCCGTCCTGATCCCGCTAGGCGAATATTGAGCCTATCGAGCCGTGGGGGTTTCCTATCCTTAGCCACCATCGACGCTGTCCATCCTCATCGGGTAGCCGCGCGCTCACTGCGCCTGCAAGTTGCACATTTGCCTACTGTCTGTCCCTTGACAGTCATTTGGCGTCTTCTAGTTCATCTAGGGCCCAGCGACCCCGCGCCAGCAGGCCTTTTCCGCCATCCGCGGCGCCCGCTCTCCGCCGTCTGACAGGAACGTCCTCTTTGTCCTCCGGCCCTGGATCGCGACAACAGCTCGAATCGGACCCTTCACGACGTGACGGCCTTTCAAATACTTCGTCGAGGTCGATTCGACAGTATTTGTCCTCTTTGCAACGCCCATTCTCTTCCGGTCATCCTCTGACTTCCGTTGCTCGGACCAAGTATCGCCGTCCCGACGTTAATAAATCGAGATTTCGGGGAGTAAGTGTGAGCCTCTGCTCACATCTATCACCCATCTCGCCATCATTCGTTGCCATCGGTAGTCAGATTGCCCTCCACGGAACCGATGGGTGTGACAGATGTGACTCCGGGCATGACCCGGAAGAGACCTGCGCCTGGCGCGTCTCCCGCCGTGCATCCTCAGATGGCTTCGATCTCCGGCTACTCTCCCAATCAAGGACCTCAGTTGTCCAATGACCAATTCCTCCAATGGGGCCAGAATACGAGCCCTACGGCAGTGAACCCGGCGGTCTTCCCGGATATCAACTCGTACAATGCAGGCTATGTTTCGTCTCAGGATGGCTCTGCCACGCCGACGTCCACCCAGCTGGCACGTCGATCCATGAGCCAGATCGTCAGCAGAACGCGGTCATACGATCAGCCGCAAAGTCCGCTGATGGATCACAACGGCAGCAATGTCTCGGAGACCGGAGGCTGGGGAGAGAGTCTGGCGGAATTGCAGCAGAGAGCGCTTATCGCCAAGAGAGAGGCTCAAGCCAAGAGAAAGCAAATTCCGCCTTTCGTGCAGAAACTAAGCAGGTAAATCCTCCCCTCCCCCACCAACATGGGCACTTCCCGGAACCGTGTTAGTGGATGGCTGACTCCCACATCACAGTTTTCTCGACGAGTCCAAAAATACCGACCTGATCAGATGGTCGGATGATGGCAATTCTTTTATCGTCCTAGATGAGGATGAGTTCGCAAAGACCCTGATACCGGAGTTGTTCAAACATAACAACTATGCCTCGTTCGTCCGCCAACTGAACATGTATGGTTTTCACAAGAAAGTCGGCCTATCGGACAACTCCATGCGGGCGAGTGAACGGAAGAATAAGAGCCCCAGCGAGTATTCCAACCCGTACTTCAAACGTGGCCACCCCGACCTTCTGTGGCTGATCCAGAAGCCGAAGAATGTTCCCGGACAGGGAGCCAAGTCTGGCAAAGGCCACTCTCGCGCGAAAACCGACGATGGTGAGGAGAACGAAGGTGAAGAGTATGGAGACGGTGCACATGGGCAGAACGACCGCTCCAGACCCCATGGACAGCTCTCCCTGACGGGCGCGGGTTATCTGCAAAAGGAGCAACTTGCCGGTGTCTACCGCGAGCTCCAGGCCATCCGCCAGCAACAGCAGATTATCTCGAGCACGATCAGCAAGCTGCGAAGAGAGCATGAGCAACTGTACGCCCAGGCCGCTACCTTCCAGGAACAGCATACTCGCCATGAGAATTCCATCAACGCCATTCTTACGTTTCTGGCCACCGTCTATAATCGCAGTCTGCAGGATGGTGGCCAGGGCATCGGCAACCCTTTCGTCGGCGCCATCCCTCAAGACCAAGGCAATGTGGTTGATGTTGGCGATGACTACAGCCTGAGCCGCTTTGACGGCGAGATACCCGGTTCGGACGGCCAGAGATCAGCGAAGAGACAGCCACTGCTGCTGAAAGCACCCCCTGTTGCACTTGACCGTCCGAGCAGAGCGCATACATTGTCCCCCTCGGCTACCCATACGACCTTTGATCAGTCCCGCAGACCTTCCCACGTCCGACAAGCCAGCGTACCCCAGTCCGGCCACGTCGAAGAAGTGTTTGACGCCAACAGTCCGCAGCGAAGAGCGTCTCAACAGAGCCAGCATTCGAACCAGCGATTGCCACAGGGCGACATCATGTCCGTCATCCAGAACTCGAACGCACGCCATGGTATCCCCGCTACGACTATGGCCGACTTCCCTACTGTCCTCTCCTCCCTCGAGAGTTCCGGCGGTAACTCCCCACTAACCCCGAAGCAACGTGCTGATATGATCCGACTTATGATGAATGAGACTAATTCGGCCGATCCGGCTGTTACAGCCTCGTCCAACAACGCCTTGATCACGCCCACGCCGCCGCCAATGCCCCAGAACTATGCCAACCATCTTGCTAGCACACGCACTGAGATCGATAACCTCACCAAGATGCAAGCCGAACAGGACCGCTCTGTCCAGAATCTGACCAATTTGCTGCAGCCGCTTAGCCCAACTGGTACCATCCCGGGCATTGGTGAACAGGCCAACGGGGTCCAGCCATCGCTCGATCTTGACCAGATATTCAACAGCGATTACTTCTCTGAGATTCCGGATATTGATAAGAGTGGCCTCGACTTCCCTGAGTCAACGGCGGCCCCGCCTCAGACGGTTCCCGCTTCCGCAGATCCCACCAGCGATCTGTTCAGCTTCGACAATCTCCCGTCTGGAGCTGAACCGGACCTCTTCGATGACGCAAATGTTATCTCCAACCACGATTCTCAAGCTACGCCGTCTACATACTACGAGGGCTACCAGGATTACAACAAGGCCGCGGGTCTAAACGGTCATGCTGGTGGCACACCCTCGGGCTTCACGGCTGCGCGTCGCAACACGAACGAACCAGGCAGGGCCGTGGAGACCTTCACTGATAGCGAGTCGACGTCTCCTGCTGGCGCAAGAGATGACAACGCCCAGCTTTCTACGAGGAATCTTCCTGACTCTGAAGGAGGTAAGGGGAATGGTGGTGGTGGAAAACGTCGCAGAAAGGCGTAATCTAACCTCGAGGAAACAGAGCGCGCGGAGTGACCGTCCTTTTTTCTTCTTCTTAATACCAATCTTGATCCGGAATGCAAACGCAAACATATTCTACGGCCAAGGCAACGGGGACAGGATGAAAGCTTCCATACAAAAGGAACAAGACGCTGTGGATGATTGCAATATCTCGTTTGGAGTACAAATCTCTCTAATCTCTTTTTCCCTTTCTCGAACCACCGATGCCCGCGATGTGACGAAAACGAAACTCCCCACATGATTTGATGCTTTCCAGCACCTTTCCTTCTATCCTCTGTAATTACTCTATTCTCTTGGATTTTCTTCTGGCGTGTCGTCGTTTTCTGTTGGATGGGACATTCTACAGTACTATATTTCTGATATAACTGTGATACGGAGACTGTCTAGCATCACAAGATGGTCCGGAGCAGATGGCCAATGTCTTCCTGGTATGAGGCAAAAGGTTACTGAATCACAGTCCATCGAGTTATCGTTGATAACAGATACAAAATTGCTGGATGCAAAAGAGAGAAATAGGAAACGCCGAAGAAAAAGTAAAAAGAGAGATAAGATGCAAAGACAAAAAAGGAGGCATCAAATGAACAAGAAGGGCAGATAACCGAACTGGAAACGAGAAAGGAAACGAAAAATATATCCTGCTCTTTCCGTGATCGCTACTACATCTGCCAGCCCGAGCTCTAACAACAACAACAACAACAACAACAACACGGCAGCGGTGGAAGCCCGTCAATTCAACGATATGAGTGGTTCACACGGGCCCGTCATGAGAAAACGGTCGGCATATACGAGGTGGTCGGACCACAATTTGTCTGGATTCCTTTTCCGCGCAGCTACTATTTTTTCCCTGGTTTTTGCGTTTTTCCTTGTTTTTTCTACACACGCAACAACCCCAGACCCACTTTCCCTATATTCCGTTCCTACTATGACTATTTCATATAGGGCGATCTTGTCGGGATCTTGTCCCTGCCTATCATGTAAATGGGATCTGGTAGAGTCTAAGGAGCAAGAAAACACACGGCGGAAAAGAGGTCGAGCACATAACATACACGCATAACTCTTTGTGAATGGCTTTCTTTACTGGTACAAGCCTGGGGCTTATTGTTTCCTTTCTTTCTCTTTTTCTTTTTTCCCACTTGGGTCCTTTTCTCTTCTTCCCGCTGCAGCGCACATGATCACCGCACGGAGCCTTATAAACACGCATACAAGATACACCTACCTTTTCGACTTCGCTACTCTCACCTTGATACGCGATGAAACCCTCCCCTTCCTACTGTTTTTTTCTTTTCTCTTTGTTTTTCTACAATACACGCAGTTTCCTTTTGCATGTACTGGGATATGAATACGTATCAGCAAACGGAGATAGGCTGCAGTACATACATAATATACGGATTGTGTCTTCGGTGTACTCATGTGTCTGGTGCCTCTTGTAGAATTCTAGACTTTGTAGACTGCATACTAATCAAAGTAGAGACTATTGGTGGCTACAGATATATACATACGTTGCTTTACTCTTTTTGTTCGTCCAGTAGGCGGGGAATGTGGTTCCGCTCCGCTCCGCCGGTATGTATATTATATTATGTAGATTGAGATCCTAGCTGCTAGTTATATCCTATCACCGCCTCCGCTCGCGATCCCATTCTAGATCTCCCGTCCGACCCCGCTTCAATTCTCGCTCTTGATCCCGCGCGCTGACTCTGCCTTTTCGCCGCTCGCCGACGATTTCTTTCTCTCTTTGTCGCGGATCAATCACTACTAACGAGTCCGCTTCCTCATGCTGTTTCTTCCAGTTAAGGTCCTTTCCGAACTTGTCCTTGCCAAAGCGCAGTTCGTGTGTCATCCAGCTGTGATCGTCATCGTCGTCAGCGGCTTCTTTGGCTTCTGCCTCCGGATCGTCCCATGCCTTGCAGGACTGGCAGTTTGCGATGAAATGTAAATCGCAGAGTTGAGCTTCTTCGTCCTCTTCGCCTGCGTCATTTTGCCGCTCTGCAGTACTGGATTTTCTCCCTTTGTGCGTTTCGTTGTGATGAGTGTGGGCGTCAGCGCTTTCGAGACGTGCCTTGAAGGCGTTGAAGAGCTTGAGAGCCTCTGCTTCAGCGGGGCTGCTGAAGCCCGTCAAGCCATTCGTGCTGCTCCCCTTGCCCACGCCGCTGGCGCTGCCTGGAGGTGGACGTCTGCGACCGCGGATCGACGTCTCTGGGATCATCTCTTCCAGCGCGGATTTCTTTCTCCCTGTTTCGACAGGGGCGGTAGCGATGTTTCGTTTCATGGACGCCTTCAGAGAGGCGATCTCCTCATTGGCTTTTTCGAGCGCAGATTTTCGCAGTGGCGGAGTGGGTGACCTAGGCGGGGATCGAGAAGGCTCCTCTGGATTAGGCAATGGTAATTGCAGATTAGGATCGGGTGTCTTTGGACGGTGTCTGCGATCCTCTGGACTACGGGACGGTGATTTTGATCGTTGTCGTTTCCGCGGCCGTGGTTCTGGCTCTGCCTTCACTGCATCTGTCGTTTCCTTCTCCTCTTCCTTCTTGGCCTTCGTTTTAGGTTCCTTCTCCAGCACGCCCCCGTCGGAGACGAGCTTCGTATTGAATTTCGGCTTCGCAGGCACCGCAGGCATGTCCTCATCCTCCGCCTCATCTCCGCCGAAACTCAACAGCGTCTTTCCACCCTTGGCCTTCTTCTTTTTCTTAACCACCGGCCTTTCCTCCTCTTTCTTCTCGGCCACGGCGACCTTGTCTCTTTTTCTGAGCTTGCCCTCAAACGGCCCGAGGTCGTTCACCTCGCTTCCAGTAATTCTTATTCCGTAGACCGGCCGTTCTGTCCCCTCCACTAATTCCGCATCCGCGATCTTCACCACATTGTAGATGCTGTCGCCTTCAATGCGCCCGAAGAGCGTACAGGTGTTGTTCATCTCACGCTCCGTGTTCGCTAACGTGATGAAGAACTGGCTCCCGTAAGAACCATCCTCGCCCTTGGCCATACCCAGCAGACCACGCCGGTTGAAGCGTAACCGACTGTGGAATTCATCCTTGAACACGACCTTCTCGTTCGGATCTCGTCCTTCCGGATCGTATTCGAATTCCGGCTCTTCGTAGATGGACGTACCCCCGGATCCTGTCCCCGTGGGGTCTCCGCCCTGGATGACGAAATTGGGTACTACGCGGTGGAAAATCGTGCCCACGTAGTAGCCGTCCAGGCAGTGTTGGAGGAAGTTTTTGCATGCGAGAGGGGTCTGTTTCGCGAAGAGGGAGATGTGGAGCGGTCCGACGGTCGTGTGCAGCGTCGCGGACGCCGTTGGTGGCGGCTCAGTATTGTAGTGGGAGGACATTTCTGATGATGATAGTTCGGTTCGTCTATGTACGTCGTTTGGAAAATCGGAGTTAGACTATATGCAGGGAGATAAGAGTAGTTGTATATTATAGTTATGTTTCGCGCGGCGAATTTGAGCGTCAGGACCGTCCCTCCGCGGAGGGTGGTCGACAAGAACAAGCTTTTGGAATTGAGTATTCCTTGGTGCAAGTCCGCTAGTCGAGTAGAGGCGACAAGCGCGGAGGTTGCGCTTCAAGTAGCGCTATGATCCAGAGTGAACAGTTGCTGTCGGGAGGGTAATTCAGTTAATTGATTAAGGTAGTTGAGAAACTAGGATGAGCTCAGTGGCAGTAAGTTAGTTACCTAATGGGGAATTCCGCGGTCATGTGCCGCGTCCATATCTCAAACTGCGCGAAAATTGTCGACTTTGGAGTTTTACTATTACTACTTATTTCATTCGATGTGTTATTGTGGTTAGATTTCAGATTCTCCTATGTTTTTATTTTTGGTTTTCTGTGGTATGCAATATGTTGGGCGAATAGATCATTCCAAAGGCGATGAGGTCAGAATTGTGGAAATCTTTTCCATCGAAATAGGGGAATTTGACAGTATATTTTTTTATTAGATTGGTGTCCGTTTCTGTTTTGCATTGATTTGGCCATTCCTGTTTTCTAGGGAGTATCTACACTAGAAATATAGAGATTACAGTAAGTGTTCGATATATTTCTATGTGGTAGCCTAGTCCATGTTGACAAGATACTCTCCATTCTTCGACCTTTCAGCTACGATGGCTTGAATAATATATTGGAATATCATGTACAGGTAATGGCCATGCCGGATTACATTCGTAATTGTATTATTATCACATCACATAAGGGCATCACTGTCATCCGCAGAATTAGGTATGTAAAGTCGCGAATAACCTCCATCCTCCAGGATATATCCTTCACGAAGAAAGTAATCCCTACAACAAGGCAACGACACCCAGCGCTCCCGCCATGACCGCTCCGCCAGCCATGACCTGCGCCGTCGGCTGAGCAGCAGCATTTCCCTTTGACGATTTAATCTTCAACACGCTAGTATAGACATGGTCGATGGCCGACTGGCCACTCAGGAGCTCACTCTTGACCTCCTTCGGAAGTCCGGTGAACCACTTCGGAGGCGCTGTGGTATCAATATGCTCGAGGTAAGTGCTCCTGGTGAGCGTGGGCACAGCTGTATTGAGCACACTTAGGGCGCTTTCATAATCGGATCGTGTTCCGATGCTGGAATAGGCGGATTTCAGCGCGCTGGCGAGTTTGGTAGCGGTCTTGCTGTTTGTTACGCCAGTGACACCGACTTGGCTTAGGTATTCTTCGCTGTGTGTAGTGTATTGGTTAGCTGGTTGCTTGATGGAAGGTAGTGTAGCGGATGATGTCTAGTAATACGTACGCTGAGTCGCCAGCTGCAACGCCGCTGGCGGCAGCCAGGAGGCAGAAAACCAGAGACTTGATCTGCATGGTTGTAGATAGGAAGTTTCGATATTGAAGAATCAAAAACAAAAAGTAACGAGTGTGGATGGTCACTGGATAATCGATGTAGTATGGCAACTGCTACTTTCAGATCAACATGTAAAAGCCAGAGAAATCACAGAGTAAACAACCAAACAAAGGAACACGAGCCGGCTTTATACCTTAAATAGTCTGCAACGCAGAAATACTGCCCAAATCAGCTAAATTTGGGGGCTTAAACGGGATATCCCATGGTCACTGGCGGTAAACCGCAGGCAACCACCTGGAGATGTGACTCTGTCACCCTCACGTCCAATCGCAGCGGTGTTCCTGTGAAGCATAGAGCTAACAAAGAGCCGTGACAAAGAAAGGACCGGAAAGAGCCTTGCAAAGAGCCTCATCTCCACCTTTCAACAGCTGGTGAGACCACTCGGATTGAAAATTCGAGGTTAGCGTGGGTTCTAGTGGGCGCCTGATATTTAGATAATCTCATATGCACGAGTAGGATCAGTCGCTATCCGAAATTGAAACTTGACCCCCAAGGGCGCTAGAGTTGGTGGAAAGTCGAGTTGGAAATCTTTGTCCTCCCCTACATTTGCAAACATGGTATAAAGCGGCCCCCAATCGAATGGTATTGGCTTGATCAGCACCTCAGCGTCGTACAAAAGCCTCCGACGGACTTCGAGACTATCTAGAAAGGTTGTCCCTGGCAGAAGCTGTCGAGGTTCTCGCTTACATTGCGTGTCAACGCGAAGGCTGTTTCTGGCCGAGCCTTGCTCGCTAGCTTCATTTTATATCTCGATTTGGTTCAAGCGAAGCTTAGTATCATCGTTCCTTGCAATACCTATGGTCAGGTTTGAAAGCCTTGTTCAGTAGCGCTAGCTGCGTGCCTAGTTAGCATCCAGGACAAACTACTTAAGGTGTTCATGGGCAAGAAGATGGATGAGTGCCATCGGCAGTTGGTGTTTGTTTCCCTCCGGGCAGAAAGGGGGATAGAGGATAGTAACAGGCTAACAGCTCATCTCGTATAAGCCCCAGACTGTGGCTGAATTAGTATCATGCTGATCGTGGCGCGTGGGATAGTCTCGATGCGGGGTTCCGAGTACTTAGGTACCTAGGTAAGTATTGTCTGAGTTGTAGAGTCGATTCTCACTCACGGATTGTGGCAGATCAGTCAATTACGACTACGCTAGCGGACTTTGATATCCACGTTCGAGGAGAGTTATTTCATTTCTCTCTTTTGACCTCCTACAGAGATTGGATTTATGACCTAATTGGGTATTTTAATTCATTTGCTCATGTCTGATATTTTCGCTCGTAGCTTCATTAACGACATATAAACCATAGAAAATTTCATAACCAGGGCTTCACCCATCGTGATTAAATGACAGCTCCTTAGATAAACAAGGCTGCCCAGCAAGCTGGTTCCATAAAGCTGCACTGAGTGTTATTATATCCGTCCAGATCATGCGCTGGACATAAGTCAGGTGGTTGAGCATGAAAGATGACAAACTCAGAAGTATGTGTTGCAATTCTGGTTTCCAACACAAGCCTTTAAACGGAGGTCCTCTTGTCTTCCACGACGGTGCTGGCAATAGCTGGGCCGGCAGCTCTCCTCTTGGCGAGTCTGAATCCACCCAGCAGGAAGAACAGCGCCTCGAGACCGAGGATGACACCCAGAGTGACCATGGCTCCGATGACACCGGCAACGGCAAGAGACATGCCGTGATGGGAGCCGGAAGTGCTGGAAGTGGAGGAGGAGTTGCCGGAGCTGGTGGACGCGCAGGTGCTGTCAGTGTTGCCACAAGCCTGGCACCACTGCTCCTGAGAGGAAACAGCGAACTTGTTCGTGCCGTCGACAAAGTCGGACCAGGACAGGAGAGTGTTGTCCTGGCCAAAGAGCGGGTACACTGTGGGCTCGGATCCAGCGGTGATGGTGCTGTTGTGGAACAGGAATCGCACCTTGATATCGGACGCAGGGGGCATGGTTTCAGTCGAGTTGGTGACCAGCTCCCACGACATCGAGGAGGCGTAATCGGGGATACCCGTGAAGTTGACGGACGCAGCAGGCAGCTGGGCGAGACCGAAGTAGGACTGGAAAGTGCCATAGGCGCCAAACTGGATGTTCAGCTTTGATTTGCCGCCGGAGGTGATGGTCTCGTTCAATGCCTGGACGACCTGACCGGCCAGAACAGCACCAAGGATGGCGCGAACGGGGTCTGAGGCATTGTAGGCCAGATTGTACTCGTGGATGTTGGCCAGGACCTGGAGCTGCTGGAAGACCTGGGGAGTCAGCAGGTCGGCCGAGGGGAAATCGCTGCTCGAGTTGTGGATCGAGGCAACGTTGAGATAGTCGAAGATGGTGTAGGCATTCTTGTAGGTCATCTCATCCTCGGTGAACGTGCGGTTCAGCATGGGAGACAGGCCCTGGTAGAAGCTCTTGGTGGACTCCAACAGACTGTTGTACTGCGGAGAGCTGAAGTAGTTGTTGCTGCTGACCTCGGCCTTCTGGCAGTCGCTCGAGGCCTGCAACCAGGCCGAGTTCTCGCTGTTGGAACCGGTTGAGACCTCCGCGACGGGGATCAGCTGATAGCCATTCAACGGGGCCTCCACGGTGGTGCCATTGCGGAGAGTCTGCGTCGCAGTCGAGCCCACGGGGGGGTAGAGACCCTGAAGGAAGCCGGTGGCCGAGTTCATCAGCACGTCGTCGTCCGGGGCGGAGGCGATGACCTGGGTCGTGGAGACAAGCTCATCGTTGATGCCCTGGATCTGGAGGGACGAATTGGCGGAGATGTAACGATCATGGTAGTAGCTACCGGCCATGTACACCTCGCGGTAGCCCAGGTCTGTCAGGACGGTGGGCGGCGTTGACTTGGAGGTCCGATCTCCATGGCGCACAAACATATAGGCGCCCAGGACTCTCTCTGCGGCGACGAGCTGGCCCAGAGGCAGCGCCGTGAGGGCCAGCAGAAGGCTGGACGAAATGGACTGCATCGTGCACGATTGTAGGGCCGTCAGCGTTACTATGAGCCTCTACCACTTGACGACTCGAGTTGCGATGTGCACGGGAATCACCAGGAGGACAAAACCCATGCGCCGGACTCTGTTGCCCTTGCCCTCTTTATATAAAGTCAGTCTGGTTCCGCGGGAATTCTCTTATCAATCCATCAGCGGGGGAAGCTAATCGAGACGAAGATGGGGTTGGAACCCCTCCTCCTCGGCGCACCTTTTCTGCTTTTCTCCCATGCGATACTACTCTGCGAGGTAGCAGTATGGGACCATCCACAGGCATCTCCCGATCCGTGTGCGGGGATTTGCTCAAACCACGAGTGACAGGGAATCTTCATCGGTTCAAACTTCAAGCCATTGGGCGGATAGGTCCGACACTTGCTCTAGTGGAAGTAAACTGGCTGGCTTGGGCTAGTCTATCGCAAGTCCAGATTAATAGGAACGATCGAAAGAAGCTCGGCCGCTCAAGTGGGCCATTGACCGATGCCGGCTTAATTATCTTGCAGGCTTGACAGGGCAGACTGGATTCCAGATCTGGCCGCGGAGATGGAGATGTGCAAAGAGACACTCGCCATCGTTGACTAACGACGGTCACTAATCGGCCTCAGGTTGTTAAGTTGCCCGCGGAGATGAATGCTGCAGTCTGGGTTGAGCCGTAGCTCACTTGGAGAAACCACCGGAAAAGTTGTACATTGACTCTATGAAGATTAACGATTATCATCGGCAATAATAATAATAAGTGATTGATCTGATCTGACCGTGCGCACGGTTGCTTGCTTTCCTTTTCCTTCGCATCCTATCTTCTTCTTCTGTCGGACGCCAATCAGCGCCACTAAACTCTCACAGCAAAGGCCTCCAGAACAAGATGCCCACTCTCTTTACGAGCTTGTTTACGACCAGTGACAGTCTCGAGCCTGATAGGCATTATTGGCGGTAAGAATCCATTGGTACTGCTCTCTTTTAGCTCCAGCCGTGGATGACCGCGGGGGCAAAATGTCCATGACACATGTCGGAGTCATTGACTTGGCTCCAGTGCAATCTGAGATTATTGCAATAAGAGACGTGAGGATATGTCACCATAGTTTGAGGCTGCGCGAATCAGAATAGAAGACTCGTACGATAATGCTTGTCATGCTTTTTAGGTGCTACATAAGTCACACAGATTGTATACAACCCTTGCCGGATCATTACCGAGCTCAAATCCCAGAAACTCCTTGTGCAAATCATATGTAGAATGTCTCTTTTAACGCTCAATAACAATAGACACCTCATGTCTCCATAGCCACCCCTTTCTCCCCTATTAACTCACACCCATTCCGTACCACACCAACCAGTCCGCCCGTCTGTAGGGTTTCCGAGCCACCGCCGGACAGTCGCCATTCAACTTCAGCCAGGCCCTCGAGCCAAGTGACTCTCGTCTGTGCCGGCACTTCAAGTTTCTGCAGCTGCTCGCCTAGTGCTGTCAATATATCAGCCAAGGCCAGTCCCTTGTTGGCCTTGAGCGTGTTGAGCGTCGTCAGACACGACGTGACATCGCTGGTGGCTAGAAGCGTAGAGACGATCTCGCGGATATCTGACGGGTGAGGTGCGGCAATGCAGTCGTAGATGGTCTCGTTGGTGATCGTTTCTGGCTCGGGCAGTGGTCGGTCCTTGGGTTCGTTTCGCAGAGGGAGCGGTATGCCTAGTATTGTTAGCGGGTTGCAAATCAACCATTGCGGTTAAAGGGGACTGACTGCTTGCATGGCATGCTTGGAGCACGTTCAGGGCTCGTCGCATATCGCCCTTACTGAGCTTCACCAGACTATCCACTGCCTCCGGCTGGATGCGCACGTGCTCCTTCTCAACGACCTGGTCTACTAACGACCGGATATCGGCCTCCTTTAGAGGGCTGAACCGGAATCTTGTACACCGTGATAGCAGTGCTGGTGATAGCTTGTGCGTGTAGTTGGCTATGATGCAGAACCGTGTGTTGGCGGTATATTTCTCCATGATCCGACGCAATGCCATCTGCGCGGTGGCCGTCATCGCATCTGCCTCATCGAGGATAATCAGTTTGAAGGCACCCAACCCTGATCCCGAGGTTTGAGGTGCTATGGAGAAGATCTGCTTGGTACCTGCCAAAGCAGGGTCAGCTTTCTTGCGCATCCTGGAGAGGGAGATGATGCAACGCACTCGCAAAGGTTTTGATTTGTTCTCGCACGACATCAATGCCTCGGTCATCACTTGCATTCAGCTCCAGCACCATCTGTCGCATGTTTTTGGTGCCGTAAATTCGTCGTGCGAGGGCAAGAATCGTGGACGTTTTTCCAGTTCCCGGGGGACCGTAAAGGAGGAGATGCGGTAATCGCTGCGAACAAGCTCAGCAAAGAATCACGACGCTCTCAACAGGGATATCCTACATTTGACTCGATGAATTTGTTAATGGTAGCGAGAATATCTTGGTGACCGGCGACATCGTCTAGGCTATTGGGACGGTATTTCTCGACCCTAAACTGTACGTTAGAGTACCATCACGGCATTCTGAGGTCTTCCATTCGCACCAAGGTAGGTTGTCCTGCGCTTCAACTGGCAGGTCTGCAGCTGTTCGCTTTCCTTTGGCCGTACTGTCGGAGCTGAACTGGATCGCACCCTTAGGAGGGGCATCTACATCCATTTCATCCTCGTAATCGGACATCCTTGGGACAATTAATTATAATATAGGTTTGAAATTGAACCCAATGAACCGAGAAAGAAGTCAGAGCAAATGTTCAAAGGAAATCATCAACTCGACGCGTCGGGCGAGCGAGCGCGTAAAGAGGTTCGGCGCCGGAAAATCATTGGGCGGTCAGCCCTACTGTACGTCGATGACATGCGGACGTCGAGCTGTCCGCCCAACGGCTCTTCTGTCCAGAACATCTCCAGGGCAGCAGTCAACACAACCATCCTACATAGACTGGTTCTGGTGGGACGTGTTGTCTTGCGAACTATCTCCGCCATGCCTGTATGTCACGGGTTTGACCCTATCTCTCGTGGAAGGCGTTTGTTTTGCTGACTGCTGTGACCGCTAGGCATACCATTCCATCTTCCTGGAGGACCAAGGTGTTGCCGTGATAGGTACGACACACGACTTCGCCCTCCCCTCCTCCTCTCAGGGCATTCCCCCCCTAGCCATATACGCTCTCAATGACAAGAAGAGTCATCCACATATACTTACTCCGCTGCGCTCACAGGCAATTTCCCGCTCCTCCCCCTCCGCACCCGCACACGCGGCCCCGCATACACTCTCCCCGCGCTTCCGCCCTCGACGTCCGACGTCGATGTTGACCCCGATAGCGAGTCGTACGACTGTGTCGATGAGATCCTCTCTCTTTTCCGTGCCAATGCCTTCTTCCGCAACTTCGAGATCAAGGGGCCCGCCGACCGCATGCTGATCTACGGTATCCTGTTCGTCAGCGAGTGCCTGAGCAAGGTGAAGCCGGGCATGACAGCCAGAGAGGCAGAGAAGGTGGGTTGTCAATCCTTCCCCTGGTGTTAAAGCTGCACTCAGGAGCTGATATATATTCATTGTCTGACATAGGCTCTGATCAATGCTGCTCTCGACCAATTCGCGATTCCCGGTGACGTGTCTTTCCCCCTGAACCAGGCCTTTGAGCCTCCCCGCGATCGCCAAGACGCAGAAACGCTCAGACAGTACGTATCATCCGTTCCATAAGCTTGCATACGTGTAGACTGACTTCAATAGGTACATCTCCCAAGTGCGACAAGAGATTGCTGTTCGATTGCATGCGAGATTATACCCGGGCGGTGTGGGTCCGTCCAAGGTGAGTTGCGAGGACCCCGTTCTAGATTCTACTTTATCGGGATCCCTATATCTGACTGACGCTTATATACAGTGGTGGCTAAGCTTTGCCAAGCGGAAGTTCATGGGAAAGAGTCTGTAAATAGCTTCCTCCTTTTACCTCTGATAGCGTACGTGGTTAGTTTGGCCGTAAATACCTGCTTTACAGGGCGCGGCTTGTTCCAATGCTATGTTTTAGGTGTTTCTGCTTCTCGTCCGGACAACGACGTAGTATATTAGACATTCACGATTGCTGCCGACTCTCCCAGAGTCCGGTTCTACAAACGAGAAAAACGCATAAAGCTAAGCAATAAGGGAGCAATTCCGATTCGAATATCGGGTTAGATGTTGTGGCTCTTAGCCCATGTAAAGCTTTTGTCTGAAACAGGCATGTCCGCTCATCTAATTATACACATGTTCATAACCGTCCAGGAGGAAAGGAAGAAAAAAAAAGAAATGCAGTGACCTCCACTTTTTTGTATACCCGCGCCTTAGATTGGAAATAAAATCCAGAACACCCCAATACGATGCAGATATTAGAAAAGCAAAAGAATTGATGTCTATGACTGTACCTCAACACCTTGGCTTGTATCAGCGGTGACCACCTTTCTCTTCTTACGGCTGGCATGGCCACGCGCTTCCACGTGGGCCTGCGCAGGAAGTACCCGGTTCCCATGGAAGATGTAGCCTTCTGCACCTCCACGGCCGGACATCAGGGGATGTGTTCGTCCAGGAAGGACCTGCCACTGGCGGACGCGAGAAGTCTGCAGAGTCGGCGCGAGGAGGAGCGTCGGGTCGACAGGGAAATCGGCGCTGAGGTCTGGAAGGCTTGAAACTCCCGCGGATGGGGTTTGTGCAGATTCGGGAGAGTCTCTCTTCACCTGAGCCTCGTCCGGCTGCTTCTCTTCCAATTCACGCTTAATGTTGATGTAGGCCGTTTTCCGGGCAGTCGAGTACAGATCAGCCAGCTCGACCAGAGGCTCAACAGTAGGCGAGTATACAACCACGGAAGCACCCCCTGCCAGCAGTGGCACAGCATGCTTCAGCACCGAGGTGGGGTTCATGAGCGTTGCCACGATGAGACCGTCGAATTCTCCTGCACGAGTCTCGTCGACGACAGTGTGGACGCGGGCCCAACGGTTCCGCTTGCGATGATATGAACTACGTTTGTTCGGCTTCAACGCCTGCAGAGCTTCTTCTGACAGGACCTCTGGCTCGGCCCCGTAAACAGAGTCTGCGTTGGGGTCGACCAGCTGCAGCCAGGAAACGGTCTTGAGATGGGCAGTGAGGGGATGCAATGGATCAGGATCGTTCTGGTCGAATCCGAAGTATTTCAGCAGGGAGACATTGGGCTGTGAATAGGGGTGAACCAGCGTGAGAGTATTGCTCGACGCCGACATGGGTTGCCGCTTGGGATGCTGTTCCTGTGCCTGTGGAGTTTCCAAGTCTAGATCGACGTCGTCGTCGTGGGGAGGGTAGAGTATGCCCATTCGCTCCGCCATTGCCGCAACCACGAGACCACCGGTGTCATCTACAATAAGATAACGTCCATTGGGCTTTGATGCAACAGCATTGTCGAGCGACATGTCCCCGCTGTGGTGGACGTTGCCCCAACATCCGATGAGCCCAATCAATTCATCCCGCAACTCCATCACCTTAGACGCATCTTTTTCGTTCAGCATCCATTCTGTCAGTAGATTCACATCCATTGGAAGCACGGTGAACCGTTTCAGATACTTCTTTCGTTTTCTCAGGGTGTATTTGGCTAGCGAGAAGGCCGTCTTCTGATCGATGGCCGAATGCGACTCCAGCAGCTTAGCGATGATCTCTCTGCCGGCGTCACTGGACTCCTTCTTCAATGCTTCAATCTCTGCCAACGTCAACTTTTGACTGGAGACATCATCGACGGTCTCGCGATTAGTGCGCATGTTCACGTCGGCGTCGCCATTGGGTTCGAGATCTTCTCCTTCGCCGTCCGCCTCGCCCGACCCTTCGGCTATCAGGGCCTCCGCATGTAGCTCGGTCGCCGGAACCACTCGGAGGATATGGCCATGCTTCTCTTCGGGTTGATCGAGGATTTCAAAGGTCAGATAGAAGGGGCGTCCGATAATTTGGTTTGCGGGGAAGCTGCCATACTTTCCGAGCGAAACAGTCCTAGAGAGAATTTTTCAGTAAGATAACAATGTTATATGGAGAGAGCTATAACGGCTGCATGGTACGCAATGCAGCATAGACATTGGGCAACTTACGTGTTGGGCACGAGCTGGATAACCTTGGTCTGATCGGAGGGCAGTCGCAAAGCGACATATTCGTGGGGTCGAACGAACGACTGCATGGTGACGCAGCCGGTAAGGGAAAGAAGAGACAGTTCAAATCATGCCTTTCCCAGGTCGGATTGATAAGTAGGAAATAGTAGAAAAGAGAAAAAAAAAACACACGAGACCAGAGGCGACGTCTCCAATGTCCTTCTCTGCGGTCTCTTGAACTTTTCGTGCTCTCTTTCTTTCCTCTCGGATACGCACAGACCACCGGGAGCTGTCTTTCCCAAAGGGGAATATCCGGATCTACATTAATCCGGGATAACTCCGGCGTCCCTCCGGAACAACAGATAGTCCGCTGTCCCACCGCGTGTGATGTCACACCGCTCGTGTGACAGTACGATACGTATGATACCGACGATACCGACGATACCGGGCGTTTTCTCGCGACGGTACTGAAACAGGATTTCAGCTGCATCGGCAGGCAGCCGGTTGCACATCGCCATTTAATATTGTCGACAGCAACTCTCGTGTCTGCCTCGTCGTTGATTCGAGGCAGATTGAGATCCAGACAGACTGTCGGTGAGGTTAGTTCCCCATCGACATATATCGGCCTCGTTCCCGTCCATGATTGTTGACGGATGGTCACGACGACTGGAGCTTCCAGCAAGTACGTACTGTACCTGAGCTAGCCGCGTACGCCATCCAGCGACGAACGTCTTGGGGTTACGTATACCTGAGCAACGAACGAGTGCATCGAGATCGCACTTTGGGACAGAAGCTATTTCGCCTCAATTTCTTTCGTGGGACACTGGCCTCGGTTTGGTGGTCCAGGCAGCAGGATATTACGGGCCGACTGCACTTCAGCGGGAGGCCATTCCGCCAGAGCTTCGCCGTGCCTGAAGTTGACCAACTATCTCGCGCCTATACGGAGGACTGAGGGAATACTGATGACGGGGGCCCTGATACAATTGTCTGCCACCCTCGTCTACGCTTGACGGACTACCGCACGGCATCTTCTCCATGGTCTTGCGCAAACCTCCTCCACCCGGTATCGAAGCCCCCGACCGGGGAGATGGTCGATTGGAGCAGCGATCTTCAGCGTCTGCTACTGTAGCTGCCTCCTCACCCTCCTCATCTGGTCGTTTCACACGTGGCCGGGCTCGCAGTGCTTCTCAGACGCCTCTGAGCTCCGCTCCCCAGTCTGTGTATTCACCGGACCTGAATACGTCGCCTGCGTTCGACCTCATGACGCTGGATCAAGCTCAGCGGTCCCCCGTGGGGGCCCCATTCAATGAGCCCCAGAATCCATGGGCAGAAGAGCTGGTCGAGAAACCAGAACAGGATCCAAAGTCATCAAGTTCGCGAGCGGACGTTTCTCCAGCTGCACAAGGACCCGCGGCGGAAAACAGGACCGGAGTGCATCGGGTTCCTCCTATTGTCACGGAAAGCACCCAGCGGAGACAAGCTGCGGAAGGACCGCAGTCAGGTCCAGTATATGGAACATCCCCATTACATACAAGAGCAGAATCAGCGCCGCAGCAATTGCAGTCTAACAATCCTTTTCTCAGAGCGCGGCAGGAATACAATCCGTGGGAGGACTATACGGCTCGGCCTGTGCCTACGGAGGGAGCACACCAGCAAGCTCCATGGCCTGACAATGCAGGTCAAGGCTATCCCGGCCACAGGGTTAGCGAGAGTATGTGGTGTTCCCCCAGAGGTCCCAACTTGTGCTGACAACTCGCAGGCGAAGGTTTTATTCCTATGACTGCACGTCTGTCGCTGTTTGATGAACCAGAACATGAGTCCCCATGGGGCGAACAACATCCGGGAAGCAATGGAGAGCCGCCGTCGCAGCCATTACAGACAGGTCTCCCCCCTCAGCCTGTTGGCGAGGATCCAGCTGCGGTCTGGTCACCTGAAACGTTCGATTCGATTCCCCATGCGGTGAATCCCCCTGAAGGCCCAATGTATGATCCTCATGCAGACCTGCAGGGGCAAGTTTCTTCGGCCGATGCCCCAACTCCCGGGGTGAACCGGGATGTCTACAGTGTGGCTCAGGGTAAACAGCCGGATTACGAACCACAAGGTGCCGAGAGCTGGACGAATATTCCCTCCGCCACCGTCTCCGACGCAACGCGTGATTCCTCCCAGGACCTTCTGGAATACGATGACACCACAGGAAGTTCCCAGATGCAGGCCAGCACCTCTCAGACCGCCGCAACACCGAAACCCAGCATGGGCGATGGAAAATCACGGGATGATACTGTATCTTCCGGGAAGCAGCCAGTGTCATTGCTAGACAGTGACCCATTGGAGAATCCAGAAGCAAATGAGCCAAAAGCTCCTCCAATGCCTCCACGGCCAGAAGCAGCAGCAGCCACCGCTCCTTCAGAAGCTGATCTCGCAAGAGAGATGGAGAAACGATCTGAGACATATGCAATCCGGCATGTCAACTGGACTGATAACACGGGAAAGCTGCGAAAATCTCCTGTCTTGGTGCAGAATGAGAACGGACCATGTCCACTACTCGCTTTAGTTAACAGCCTCGTACTGCGGGCGGATAGAAATGCTGGAACGCCAATTGTCAAGGCTTTACAAACAAGAGAACAGATCTCGCTTGGGCTACTCATTCAAGCATTATTTGATGAGCTTACAACGTGCCTTGCACCGGATGAAGAACTCCCTGATATAGAGGCTCTAAGTCTGTTTCTCACGATGCTTGACACTGGAATGAACGTTAACCCCCGCCTGACATTGGTAAGTCCTTATGATCATCGTCTTGTTGGTTCACTCTGACGTGTGTAGGAATCGGAGAATGCGGCTGGCTCGTTTTATGAGACGAATGACATTCGGCTTTATGGCACATTCAAAGTGCCGCTGATACATGGCTGGCTTGCATCACCTTCTAGCGAAGTACATACAGCGCTCACCAGGGTGGCGCAGTACCACGAGGACATACAATTGCTTCAATTTCGTAAGGAAGAGATCGAAGATCGTGTTTGCCGCGGGGGTTCGATCACTCCGGAAGAGGAGCAGCTGATGAATGACATTCACAGCATTCTTTACTTTGTTGATGTCGAGAATGCCACTCAGCTCAGCGGTTTCGGATTGGATCATCTCACCGCGCATCTTGCGCCAGGCTCGATTTCGATTCTGTTCCGCAACGATCATTTTTCGACTCTTTACAAGCATCCCAAGACACATAGACTCTTCACTTTGGTAACAGATGCTGGATATGCGAATCACGCTGAGATCGTCTGGGAGTCTCTGGTGGATGTCAACGGCTCTAACACGGAATTCTTCTCAGGGGACTTTCGCCCTGTCGGTCATGCTCCAAGTGGATCGACCTCTAGAGGTCACAGGGGAACCAGGAGTGATGCCAGTCGTCGGTCAGGCCAGCAACATACACCTTCGCAGGAGCAGACTGATGCAGATTATGCCTATGCCCTCTCGCTCCAGTTCCAGGAGGAGGCCCAACGCGAGAGCGATCGAACAGCTGACAAGAACCACCGGCGTGCCTCGGCCCCCCTCTCGCACGCACAGTCGGCGAGTGTCCATGGTCGCTCTTCGAGCAGTATCAGCGGTGCAAGCCGCTATGCATCCGCTGCACGCGGCCATGCTACGTCACGTAGTCAGGATAACCGGCCACATATACCTCCCCGTAACTATGCTGCAGCCGTTAACCGTCCTGTTGATGGTGCTGATGATGCCCCTCCTCCTTCCTATGAGCAAGCTGCTAACGGCCCAGCATATGTGCCGCCTCCTGGAAGCCCCCACCACGAGACGTCCTCTTCCAATCCGAACCTCTCTCCGCCTTATCTTCCGGACCAAGACGTTAGAAGGACACGGAGTCAGCGTGGTAGAGTCATACCTGGCGGGATGATGACCTTGGCAGTCCCGGAGAGATCGAAGGACAAGAACAAGGACGACAAGAACAAGGACTGCATTGTCATGTGAAGCTGGTCGACCCAGAGATATTCGAGACTTGCAAGCATCTATTCAGTAATGTTTATATGCTCTCCTGTGAGGACCATCCGACTTCCCGGTCTGCTCGAGCTCACTCACGAGCTCCTTTAATGACTGATTGAATTGACGATTGAATGACGTTGCGCTTCTTGTAGCGCTTCATGTGCACTCCTTGTTATCGTATACTAAAGATACCACCACATATCATCTCGGACGGACTTTGTTTCTCATTTGTCTTTTCGTTTCATTGTTGCGGTATTAAATTCGGCGGATGGCAACGAGTGGATAGGAATGGACTATGATCTCTCGAAGAATCCAACCAAAATACGTAAGAACGCTGAAATCCATTATGTATAAGCGTGTACAAGCTTGGAGCTATAGTACTTAGCCCGGCCTCCGGTATTTGCTATTTCCTACCAGTTCACACCTCAGACTGTCCTTTCTCGTCAGCTCCTCCCTCTGCCTGCTTCGCCATAACAGTCAAATCTTCCAGGCCTTCCTGTGTTTTTCTGGCATATTCCCTTTCGGCCCGCCATGCCAAGCAGCTCTCGCTCGAGAACAGAACGTCGAGTTGTTCAAGATGTCTATTTGCCGTTTCTAAGCATCAATCAATCCGTTAGTAATATTATCTATATATATATATATATCACCACGGAATACCGGAGGAAAAAGCTAGGTAACTAGAAATAAGAGTGCAAAGAAAAACAGAATGGAATCTCACCAATGTAAAATAAGTAAATCGGCACCAACATGGTCAGATACACTAGGGCAAAGAGGATAAAGATCCAGAATCCAATCGCGTCGATCAGGTACGGGATGATTTCGTTAATGGTTCCGCCGGCCAGGGAGAATGCGACGGTGGCTAGTGCGGCGCCTTTGCTGCGGCTGGCGAGGGGGAAGACTTCGGTTGGGTAGACCCAGCTTTGTGTCTGTTTGTTAGTATATTGTATGTCATGTATTATCTAGGATGGTATAATAGAATATAATCCTAGCAGGGGTTCGGATTGAGAAGACAAGATGCTGAGATTCGGGGAAGGGGACGGGGACGGGGGTGTGCAACGTACCATGTTGTCAGCCACGTACTGCCGTAGATGAAAATATAGATGTATAAAATAGTAGCGACGCCTGCGCCAAACTTGCTCGCTTTGGCTGGTTCGACGGTGGTATTCAACACTGTTTCATGAGACAGGACCCCACCGATGATGAGCACGATGCCCATAAGCGAGCATCCGATCAGCATCATTTTGCGCCGACCAACATGGTCGCAGAGATAGATGGACAGGGCCAAACTGGCGATATATCCGAACCAATTCCCCCCGGCTAGGAGGGCGGGCTTATCGCCCTTGAATCCAGATAAGGCGAACATGTTCGGTGCGTAGACGCTGATGAAGTCGATTCCGGTACATTTCTGCATGATCTGTACGCCCGCGCCGAGGAGGACTCGACGTCGAGTGTGTAGTTTATCCTTTTTGAAGAGCATGCTGTAGAAACTGGCTGAGGTCGAGGAGGAGGCTTCGGCGCGGATGGCGAGGATGATCTCGTCCATTTCCTTGGTGATTTTCTCCGGGTTGCTGTCCATTCGGCACCGGTTGAGGACTTCTCGAGCTCCCGTGAGGTTTCCGGTCTTTGCGAGATATCGGGGCGATTCGGGGTAGAAGGGAGCTGCGGCGAGGATGAGAAGGAGGAATAGCATTTGGAAACCGAGAGGAAAGCGCCATGCGAAGGATAGAGTGCGTGTTTTTACGCAGGCGAATTCCATCCAGTATACACTTGGGGGAAAGGTCTATTAGGCTAGGAGCTATTATAGAAATGTATCGAAAGAGGTTGAAACTTACATGGCAGATCCAACCATCGCGAGAGTAAACTGCACAGCAACGAAAGCGCCGCGAAGATGCGGATCGGCCAGTTCAGATGTCCAGACTGGAACCGTCGTGTTGAGATAGCCACAGCCAATACCGCTGATCACACGAGCAAAGGAGAGCCAGGTGATATTCTGCGCGGACGCCAGTAAAGCGGCTCCCAGGATGCCCCAGATGCATCCGATCTGGATAGTCTTCAAACGGCCAATTGCATCTGCGGTATACCCGACCAGGAGAGCACCTGGAGACGGCAGCTTAGTATCCCAATCTATGACATAGAAAAAAACAATCATAAAGGGCCGGACTCCAGTACATACCAATGGCAAAACCAGCAAACCACAAGCTGACCATTCCTCCAATGGCCGCAGCATCCCGGTCAGTGCCATTCGCAAAGCCCATCCGTTGCTGATAGTCTGAATTATTGTTGACCTGGCTCATCACCGCCGTATCGTATCCGAAGAAGGTAATGGCACAACCGGCAAATACGAAGATGGCATATGTCATCGGTCTCCCTTTGAGTCTGAGACATCGTGAAGGTGAGTATCCGCCGGGGATATACTTGGCGAATGGTGCTTCCGCTGTCAATGTGATATGATATAGTCAGAATGCGAAGAACTCTTGAAGTAGATTATAGAAATTCGAATGTAGCAGGACTTACGACGGAAGATGTCTTCTGTTGACTCCGCCTGCGGGCTGCTTTCGAGGTGCTCGACATCGTCTTTGAATGTTTCTTCCCCCATGTTATCTCCTATTAGTGAAATTGAGAATGGAATACCAGACACTCCGCCTGTTAATACGCAGATACTGGATCACTGTAAAGGGGACACTCTCCAGAAGAACCTCCTGTACTACTACCACCACCACCACCACCACTACTACTACTGCCTACTCTCCATGTGTCCAGCTCGGACAATGGCCGAGGCGGTCTTGCTCTCCACATCTTCAGATGCGGGGCCCCCGGATTTATTTACCCCAGTCTCGCTCTAGTGGGATAATGGAGAAAGATCGACGCTTTGTTTTGCATCTGGAGATTCTCTGTTCGGGGTTTCGGGCGAATTCCGACCGCGTTAGAACGCCATAGATAGCGATACTTGTATCGGCCGAGTCAGATGGCCTGTTTTGATATTCAACGCGAGGACGATGCATACAGAAAATCTATTGAAATGCCAGCAGCGTTTGGTTGAAGCAGGTAAACCGTAGAAAAATATGTAAAGTATAAAGTAGATTCAACTCCAAAATGTCCTCTCCTATCCTAACCTGTAGCCTAATGTAACCCGGGGTATGTGTTCTAAATGAAATCCAATGCCATTCTTGCCAGGGCACGAATGGGAAAATAAAAAGGCCAAATAGACATGTCCACAAAGAATATCTCACACGCAAGACCGATGTCCGACAGTTATTTATATACGTTCAACGTCATCCCCAAAATCAAGTCCTATAAATCTTAACCACGCTGATGACATTCTTCCTGCAGATGGGACAGGTGTCGACCTGGCGGGCACACGCGACGCAGGCGCAGACGTGGCCGCAGTCGTAGAACAATGCGTCCTGCTCTTCGCCGTAGCAGATCTGGCAGAGGTCCATTTCTTCATCGGCAACCTCCCAGTAGCTGATACCTTTGCCGTGACGCTTGCCATCACGGTACCCGCCGACGTACTTGTTACCGGTCTTGCGCTCAATGAAGGTACCTTGGCCGTGGCGCTGGTCCTCGACCCAATCGCCAGAGTACGTGTCGCCCGATGGATATTCCATCGTGCCGCTACCGTGACGCAGGCCGAAAATGAAGTCGCCGACATAGGTGGCTCCCGAATCCGAGATATGGGTGCCCTTGCCGTGGTAGTAGCCCTTGTTGAAGTCACCACTGTAGTAGTCCCCGCTGAACCCGGCATCAATGGTTTTGGTGCCGGTGAAAGCGCGAGTTGGATGGCGCCGGGACGACGCCCACAAGTACTGCACGAGGCGATCGGGGTTGGCAAAAGAGCCAGCAGCACCAAGCTCGGAACGTCTGCTCTCATTGTTAGTTTTTGCGTCGAGAAAAGGCGATATGGATTTCTCAAAAACATACTGGTCCTTGCTCAGTCGGTCTCCGACAATGAAGCACGTGCCATCGTGGACGGGGGCCTCAAAGGTATCAGCTGGAGACACAGCAGAGACGGTCGTCCCATCGATGCGCTGCCAGACAAGGAAGTCCTTATTTTCAGTCCATCGAAGGTGCGTCCGCAGGGCCGATCTGATATTGTCCTCCATCCGCGAGACATACGAGCCCACCGTGCGCAGAATCTGCTGCTTCATATCGAAGACTTGGATGAAGTAGTAGACGTGCGGCACTGGAAGAGCCGCTGCGGGTCTGGCTGGTGTAGCATTGTCGGTGCGCTCTCGCTCGGCAACACCTGGTGCCTGGGAATCTTCCATGACCAGGTCCTCTGGCGGGATTAGATCACCGTCGTCGGCCTGCGAGGTCGCTGGTGGTGTAGGCTCGGCATCCATTTCCTGGATATCACCGGCAATGACGGCTGCGACAGCTTCGACATTAGCGGCCATAATATCATCCATATTGGCGTCCGTCGATTGCTCCTCTGAGCTCTGAGGAGCTGCTTCTCCTGTCTGCCGCTCGGCGGGCACAGCCGACACCTCTTCATCATCTGCAGCTCTGGGGGTACTGTTGGGATCCGGAGTGCGATCCTCCGTTGCGGGAGAATGTTCTCTGTCGTCGGAGGACTCCGATCCCGCTCGTTCCTGGACAGTTTCTTCCGGCTTGTCCTCGCAGACATTGGAAGCAGCCGGGGGATCAACTAGACCAAAGAGCTTGGCATCATCTACACGAACCCGTTAGTCCAGCTTCCAATGATTCAACGGAGGTGGCAGTAATATGAGAGTCATTTTTTTACCTTCTGAGAGCACGTGCATCCACAGACGCGCCGTCTTGAGCAAGAAGTAATCGTCAAGGTCGACGACTCGGTTGAACAGGACGGTGGGACCGAACAGCTCCTTGGTCTGTCCAACCTGCCAGAGACGAATTCGTTCCGTGGCGATCGTCTCAGTGTCGTTGGACTTCCAAAGGGCGATCTTCTTCCTGAGCTCGGCTATGGTGGTCGTGTGCGGTACGGTCATGTACATCACATTGTTGGTCGCCTTTGCCTGCGACATCAGGTCATACGAGTCGAACAAGTCGGGTAGCTGGTCGAAGCGCGGCAACGAGTAGACCTCGACATTGATGTCGACGGGTTTCTTGTCATCAGTGTCCACAACATAAGGATCCTGCGTTGTTTCAAAGTACTTCTTGACGGGTGCAGCAACGTCCCACGGCTCTGGCTTTCCGGTCAAAAATTCCGGGACCACATCCTTGCGGACGTACATGACCACCACGGCGACATCGTGGATGGTCTTGCTCTCCGTCTCCTTGGATCTGGTCGGATCGAGGCCAATGTGGGCCTCCAGCGCCGCCTTTCGAGTCAAACACTCGACGCGGTTGTCACTGCCGTCGTCAAAGGCGAGCCACCTGGTGCCAGGGCCGCCAGGGCGGAGGATGCTGAAGAACTTGCCCGAGGTGCGTCTGCCCCGATGGATGACCAGCCCGTAGAGGTCGTACTGCGGGCACTGGCCTTCCACCACATAGGAAGAGAGATCGAGGACTTCGTCCGGCTCGACGCGGTCGTAGAGCAGCTTCCACTGACGGGTCCTCTTGTCGAACCGCTGGCGACCTAGCTCCACATGCAATACGGGTGGTAGCGACCAGCGACCAGGTTTGGCGGAGAAGTATTTGTCCAAGGAGCCCTGAACGGTCTTGGCCTGGTCGGCAGGAACCCGAATCAGGGAGTTGGTAGCCCCTGAAGGGAGCCGGTTCACTGTCGGGTCGATGGCGGGACTGTCAAAGAGTCGGGCAAACTCCCTGGCCGCGTCCGTCCCAGCGAGTTCAAGTTCGAGACTGCGGCGTAGTCGCTCCCAGAATTCCATCACATCGCCCGAATATTCATGCAGGTTGCGCAAGGTGGCAGTCACGGCGTCGGTGTGGATGCACGGCGCCGAGGAGGGCTGGGTCCGCATGAGCCAGAGGAATTTCTGCAGCGCTTCGCAGAGCGGCTTGGGCTTTTTGTCGACATCCCTGAAATGTTCCAGCACATCGACACTCTGCAGGAGCTTGCGGAAGGGGGCGAGGAAGAGCCAGGACGCCAACCCGGCCACTTCAGCACTGTGGTTGATGACGGAGTCGCCCATGGGACGATATCCTGTTAGGCTGAGGCTGTCCCAGACGGGCTCTGAATCGCTGGAGTGCCACCAGAGCGACTGAGTCGGATCATCGAAGACGCGGATGTAGGCATCAAAGGCCAGGGTATCATTGCGCAGCAGTGCCTGGCGCTGGCCGCGTTGGCGCTGATGGATCTTGTCCCAGGGGCCGTGGAAGTTGGTCCACCCCCAGTCCAGGTTGTGCTGGTTGAACTGGTGGCATGATGACTGCATCCAGCCCGTCCGGGGCTCCTCTGGATTGTAGAGGATGACACCGATCTGGGCGGACACGCGCCAGTCCCGCTTAGGGTTGGTCTCCTGTGGAGAAGGAGCATCCCCTGTCACCGGGGTGTCCAAGGCGGAGGATTCTGAGGGAGGAATAGGGTAACGGGACTTGTAGTCCTCGAACCAGGCGCTGGAATCGTCCTGGCGAGGAAACTTGATCTCGAACTCGGGTTTCTGCTCGCTGAGAACGGCGTCTGGGGCCCCGCGCAGGACCTTGAACTCCGTTTCGGGCAGCTCCTTGTCAGCCTTGGGCATGTCGGGGGAGCATTCGATGTAGATACTGAGGGCGCCAACACTATTGCCCCGGGGAAAGAACTTGATGGTCCACCAGTACCCTCCAATGTAGGCGGCGGGGGACCGCATGATCTTGGCCCGGTTGGGTCGCTCCTTGGTGCCCCGGACGCCCTTGATCTTCCAGGTCAGACGGGCCTTTTCCGCCGGACGGAACTCGGGATCATCGACTTCGCGATAGAAGGACTTCTCCCAGTAATCATCTAGTTGCCCGTCAGTGCTTTCTATTTCTCTCTTTTTGGATTCTTCTTCCTCGGAAAAAGAAGAAGGGGATTGAATCACGTACATTCAAATGCACTGTAGTCTCCATCAGCGGACTCGATGTCCTTGAGCTCTGCCTCGTCGGGGGCGGAGTGATCCTCTTCGATCTCGGCCCAGTAAGCGTGTTCGACCTCTTCCTCCGCCGGGGGTTGGGGAGCTGCGGGCGTTGGTTCCTCGGGGAGGGTCTGATGGGCGTCTGGCTCCGCGGTGGACGAACGCTCAGGGCTCTCGGTGGTCTGAGTTTGAGAATCGTCGGCGGAGGTGTCCATGGCGTCCATGGAAGACATGCCAGTGTCCGGCATGGTGGATGTTTGGGCACGAGAGACGTCTTCTGGTTCCGTGGGTGAGGCAGCTGCCGAGATGTGAGGTACGGAGTGGTCGGGGGAGTCCACGCTGAGGGTGAGCACCGGCGGGGGCTGCTCGAGATGGAGCTGGGAGTCACTCTGGGGAGGATCCATGGTGGATGGGAATAATCACAGAGAGAGAGAAAGAGAGAAAGAGAGGGAGACGAAGAACAAGAGTCCAAACAGCCGTTATACGGGAGCAGTTCTACACGAGGCTGGATGTGTCAGATGGAGCAGGCAGCACAAACCAGCAGGCATCCACCACGGCTCACAGAGCCCACCACAGCAGCAGGCAATAGAGGCCAGTCTGCAAGCAACAGAAGAAGAAAGAAAGGAGATGAGAATTTTTATTTATTTGACTGTTCTCCGTTCCGCACGAAAGGTGGCAACGAACGTGGGCCCGGATGTGGAGGAGGAGAGGGCGATAACAAACGATAAGCAGGAAGCGGGAAGCTCTCCGGATCTTATCGATCGGCCTCGTGGAGCTTTTTAGCAGGTTGAACTAGTCGGGGGGAACCACCACGCGGACCGGGCCAGATGCGAGGGGATTGGAAGGGCAGAAAGAAAGAAAGAGAGAAATCGAAAAGAAAGAAAGAAAAGAAAAGAAAAGAAAAGAAAAGAGAGAGAAAAGGCAGTAGACGAAACGAAACGAGGCCAGGACCAGCGGAGAGGGGCGGCAAGTGAGGCGAACCCGGCAGAGTCTAGTTGGCCCTGTTGGGCTGGAGAGAGAGAGAGAGGAGAGAGGATGCGGTGAAGCGTGGACCTTGAGCACACCGCTGGATGGGAACAAATGGCTATCTAGGAGAAGAAACTGATTTTCTTGTTGTTGTTGTTGTTTTCTTTTTCTTTTTCTGTTCAGTTTGTGTGCGATGATAATAATGATGATGATAATGATAATTAACTGACTGACTGACTCTGTTTGCTGTTGACTGGAACCCCTGAGACTACTGGGTAATCGGCCAATGAGAGACGTCCAGATGGCGGAGCTGACCTGTCACTGCAGGAATAACAGTGACTTATTATATCTGGAGGAGGAGTTGTTTTTTTCTTCTTCTTCTTCTTCTTCTCTTCTCTCTGACTCTTCGTTCAATTAAGCCCGGAAAAGAAGGCATCAATTATGCTCAATAATAATCCCATCCCTTTCATCTCTTCCATTCCATTCCCCTCTCGTGTCTCCCATAGGCCCGTGTCGTGCTCTTCGCGCCCATGGATCATCCCCCGCGTGGGTCCTTATCGTCTCTTATCGGTGGAGATCCAGATCATGGCATTATGGTAATTGTTTCGGCGTCTTCTTTTCCTCGTGGCAAAAGAGAAACAAAAAAAAAGAAAGAAAAAAAAAAAGAAAAACAACCGTTCTGTTGTGCTGTTGTTGCCACCCCGATCGGCATCCCAGGTGGCAATCCGAACTGGCAGCATCCGCTTGAACGGCCGATTCTCGCTCCGATCGACAGTGCCACTGCCCATCTTCCAGACAGCCGCTGCATGAAAATCCCTCTCCGCCACGGTGTACTAACACTCCATCTTACTCTATGGTAAGGCTGCAGGGCGGGAGCATTGGGACCGGTAGATAGAGTCTCTTTAGACTAGAGTGGAGTGGAGGTCCCCGTCTGCGCTGTCCACTCCGCCTCCCCGCCCGCGGATATGCGGCCCAGTAGTTAGTTAGCGATTCCTCTCCAGGAGAGACTCCTTCTAGACTCTGGAGTAGACTACTCGAGAACTCCGGCTGTCCAGCCATGTTCCGGAGAGCAGTCGTAGATTCAGTCGGAAGGAAGAAGAAAATAAATAAATATGCCAGACTCAATGCTTCGTGGGTTCCGGGGTGCTGCCATCCGCTCGTGCAAAGGTCGCCGCGACAATCAGCGGAAAGGCCAGCGTTGCTTCCGCATAGACCTGACAGGCGGAGATAGAATTAACACAGAGGCGCAAAAGAAAACTAGAGAGAGTTATAGAGAGAGAGAGAGATCTAACTCACCTTGACACTTTCCGCATTGGCCTTGATCTTGCCCCAGCTGACGGCCTCGTCCGGTCGCGCGCCCGCATCGCTGCCGTCAAACTCCTGCGCCGTGTTGATATACACCGCGCTCTCCGCCCCGTTCCGCATCAGGCACGCATTCGCAATGTGATGCTTCACCACGCCTCCGCCCAGGATGATCATGCCCGCCCGCTTCGCCCGCACGGCCATTGTGTTGATCCGCCGCACATCCTCCACAATGTCCACGCGTATCTGCGCCGGCGATGACCGGAATGTGTGGAAGTAGAGCATGTCGCCCAGCGATCCGTCCGTCAGGGCCGGGCAGAAGATCGGGATGTCATTGCGCGCCGCCCAGTACAGCACCGACTCCTCGTTCGCGATCTCCAGTCCCAACCGCCGCGTGATCTTGCTGGGCGTCCAGTGCAGCTCGTCTTCCTCGTTGCCCGTCTCCCGCGCCTTCTTCTTGGCCGCTTCCTGCTCCTCCAGCATGCGGTCGAGGATGGGCACCAGCCAATCCTCGAAGGCGCAGTAGTTGCTGTTGGGCACCAGCAGGTTCCCAATGCGGTTCAGTCCCTTGGCCCGGAGACCAGCCCCCGGGGTTGCGAACGAGCCCAGGTAGGTAGGGGCCAGACACTTGATCAGGTCCTCCTCCACTCCTCCCGCGGTTGTGACGATGGCGGACACATGGCGGTGCTGGACGAGATAGCGGAGGGTCTCTCGGAGCCCGGAGGAGATCAGGTTGGACGTGTAACCCAGGAAGATGGTCGTGCGATCCCCCGTCTCGGGATCCCGGTAGGCACGCTGTGGTCAATCGATTCACCTTTGATCAGTTTCGTGTCCGCTTTCCGCTTGGAATTTGGTAAGACTGAAAAGGAAAAAAAAAGAAGGAAACAAAAAGAAAAAGACGATCGCTTACCATGTCATTGATGATGCGTACCGCATCCCCAATGGCACTGGCCTGGAAGCCCATGCTGCCCATGTGGTCGACCAGCTCGGCCACGGTGATATCACGGCCCTGAGTGCGGTGGAAATCCACCCCGCGGACCTGACGCACGCCCTCGGGCACCGGCTCCGACGCGACCAGGACAGCCTGCGTCACTGAGGCCGGGAGATCGGTGCCGGCAGCGGACGTCTGTTCAGCAGTCATGATGGAATTTGTTCTGGCGTGTATAGAGGAGGGGTTGGGAAAGGTGAAGAGGAGAGAGCTTGTGGTGGGACAGGAACCTTTTTTTTCGGAGATTTTCCCGCAGTGGGTGCCTGAGGCGGAAACATTGAAACATTCAGTAGCTTAGCAATGGGCTGATCGCGCTCACTTTCCACTGTGCGCCCTCTGCTGTCATACTATCTATTGTAGATGTAGTCATGAGAAGATTATAGCATTCCACCAACCCTGTAAAGCCGGGGTTCGAGCACCAGATTGGAACTCGAGCCGGTGACTTACCTACCTAGGTAGTTACAATTGCACGAATTGGAATTGGAATGGGTGATGATGGAGTAAGTAGACTAGATCAGCAAAACCGTTAGAATCTCCGGGCAATGGAGTTTGATGAGCTACGAGTATTATTATTATTAGCATTGTATTGAGAAGCCCAGCGATTCGATTCCAGCTGTTCATCAACATCTTCCCCCGCGAGGCTAGCCAGTGAACTAACCTTAGAGTTCAGGCCGGCCTAGTCTAACGCCGTGACCGCCAAGAACGACCCTCGATCTGCTCCATCGGCCATCTTCGTCTCCTCTGCCTTTTGCTCCTTCATTCTTCATCATTACCGTATTTTACTGTCCCTTTGCTCTCTCGTGTCCATCCCATCTTCCGTCCAGGTAATAGCTGAGAGAAGGGAACTCAACCTAGAGGACACGCATTTCCTCTGCACTGTGGCAGATCCAGATCCCGATCCTCTGCGCTTCTACTGCGCCCTCCGATCTCCTGCACGACGCGGTCCAGGAGTTTTCTCGGCGGCTCCCCGGCCCGACTGGCATCGAATCTGGGCTTCAAATCCAACGGCCGCTTTTTGCTCGACAACGCGATCGATTCCTCCACGCACCGTGCAGCTGCAGTCATTCTTTTTCCGAGTTGAATCTCACGGCCCACTGACTTGATTGCTGGCACCAGTGCCCTCCAGGGAGCTCGTTTACTACGTTCTGTGCTTGGCTCACGTTGCTCGATTGACCACCCACTCTCTACTGTACTCTACTCTTCCTTACTCTACTCGACTCTACTCGACTCGACTCTACTCGACTCGACTCTACTCTACCATATCTACTGCTGGTCATTACTGCCTGCTCCTTCACTGCGTGCTGGCAGCCCAACTACTACTCTGCACTAATAAATCCCCATCGGCCACCTGCGCGCCTCGCCAAGCGCCAAGCGCCTGGCGCCTCGACTCCCGCAGCTAGTCTGCATCCGGTTAGTCTCCCCGACTGCCGCGTTCGAGATCGCCCCCATCACGTGCACGCTCCGCCCGGTTCGTGGTCTTGCAACGATCCACCGCCTGGGAGCTTTTGTATAGCCATCGCTGCTGGTCGAGCATGCGCTGGTCATGTCGTCGCGTTTCCCCCCGTCTTCTGGGTTCAATCCCCGCGACCGTTCGCCCCAGCGTTTCGGGGACCGCCGCCCGTCCGCCCATGTCCCCTCGGGCCCTCGGGGCTCCGATGATGCCAACTCGATTCCCCTAGGCAGAGAACCGCCGCGGGGCCCCAAGGCTCTGATCGACTCCTCCAGAGGTGGCTTTGGCGGCCGCGGGAGAGGATATCCTCCTCGCGCTGATTTTAGGGACCGCGACCGCGATCGTGACAGGGACAGAGATCGCGATCGCGACTTTCGAGATCGCGATGGCAGAGACGGGCCCCCCTTCCGACGAGACATTGAGCGCGACTGGGGCCGACGAGACCGTGATTTCGATGCCCGCGACAGCCGAATTGGATTCGGCCGCGGTCGCTCACGCTCTCCCGCCAGAGATTTCCGTGATGCGCGAGATCTCCCGGGACGGGAGATAGATATACCCCGGCTACGCCGCAACTCTCGCGACAGCTTAGTTTCAACCTCCTCGAATGCCCCAGACGGCCCTGCAGTAGGTATTGGCCATCATCCACGGAATGGACCCCCTGGCCGGGGTCGTGGTCGCGGTGATTGGGATGGCGGACGCGGCCGTGGGCGAGGTCCATACCTCGACGACCGCGACAGCTTCCGCCGTCGTAGTCGCTCCCGGGAGGGCCGATGGGAGCGAGACCTCCCACCGCGCGATCGAGATCGAGACCGCCCCCTGGAACGAGAGCGGCCTATAGACCGGGAGCGCCCGTTGGAACGAGAACGTCCCCTGGATAGAGAACGTCCACTCCTCGATCGGGATCGCGACCGCGACATTAGGGAGCGGGACCGGCTGGTTGATCGAGATCGAGATCGAGACCGTGACCGGGACCGGGACCGAGACTTCGATCGCCGTGACCGTTTTGAGAGACGTGACGATGACAGACGACTGGAACGGGACGATCGGGAACGACCGTCTGATTTCCCCAAGAGGGAACGTCCGCCTAGCAGGACCGAAAATCGGATCCCCAGTGGTTCGACGGTCACTTCAATGTCGAATGTGACGCCTTCTTCACTCGTTGTGCCGCCGCCAAATACTGACAGGATCGCTGAACCCTTTGTCAAAGACCAACTGCGAAAGCCGTCCGGGTCCTTAGGACCGGCTCCTAGGGATGCCCGCCGTGATTCAGAGCGATCTGACATTGCTCCTTCTCGACCTGAGGCTACCAAAGAGATTCCCGTTCCTAAACGGTCTCCGCCTCCTTCTGCTCCCCAAGTGCCGGCATTCGGATCTGTTTCTGTGCCATCCCAAGCTCCTCCAGCAGAGAAGCTTCCCCAGGGCCCATTGCCGCACACGACACCTCCATCCTCCAAACCCGAGAAAATTCGAAATGAACCGCCTGCTCCGACGGGGATACAGCCTCCCACAGGACCCAAGGCGGAACGAGCTGAGTTGCAGCACCATCCGGACTTTCGTTCCCGGCGTGAAGAGATCCCTACCCGCCCGGGTAAACCGCCCGTTTTGTCTTCCAAAGCAGGCCCTGATATCTCTCCACCGACTGCACCTGCTGCCATGGCCGCTAGAGAGCCCGCTAGTCATGCGGAAGCGGTACCAACCGGCAGACCAGGATCATCACCGGTCTCCCAGGGATTTGGGAAGGGCCCACCGTCCGGTGGACGTGCCGTCTCTCCGGGGCCCTTAACGTCTCCCCGGATGCCATTTTCCAGCGTTCCCACGGGGCCTCGTGCATTGCAGCGATCTGCCATTCCCAGAGGGCCACCCAAAGCAAGCAAGCAGTGGGTGCGACCAGGTTATACACGCGCGCCTTCCGTTGGAAGCGCTGCTCCTCCACCACCGAGACGGGACTCCTTCGAAGACAGCCATCGTGCACGACCCGCGAGCGAGGAGTCAAGGCCAGAGCGACGCTCTCCCCCAGAAGTCGTGGAGAAACAACCCCGGAACGCCGATCAACCTGTCAAACCGGAGACAGAAGAGCCGTTGCTGCCAGCTGAGGCACCAAGACCAGAAGCAGCTACTAAAGTGACCGAGAGTGACGTTAGGGAGAAGGAGGAGCAGGAGCAGGAGCAGGAGCAGCAGGAGGAGCAGGAGAAGGAGAAGGAGAAGCGGAAGAAGGATGTGGAGGATGCTGTTGCGGAAGGAGAAAAATCCCAGGCTGCTGAAGAGCAGCAGGCGCCTTTGATACCCGACTTTACTCGATCAAGCGACGAAGATGAAGACGAGAATGTCTTCACTGAGGAATATTTGAATGAAAGAAAGGCGATCTTCGAGAAAGACATGCGTGCCTTACAGGCTGAGCTGCCACCCCCGCCACTGGAAGATCCTATCATTGTCGAGCTACTACTCAAGATCCAGCTGCTTGGCATGATTGCCGACGGGGCTATTCCGGGAGAGCTGGAGGAGCCAGTCTCTGCTATGGATGTCGATAAAGCTGTTGAACAGCCTGCTACCGTTCCTTACAAAGAAGAGAATGGCGTCGAGGAGAAGTTACCTGCTGAGGAGCATGTGACACATGTAGTTGGTGGTCTCGATAAGATTTCTATCGCAAGCCTGCCTTTCCTGAACTCAGGACCGCCGACGCCTCTGTCGGATTTAGAGGTATTTCAGGAGAATATCAAGACCCACGAGCGTTTTAAAGAGACTCTACGAGAGGAGCTGGCGAAGCAGAAGAAGCTGACAGCGCAAAAGAATGCGGAGCTGCGAGAGGAATACATCGCTCACTACAAACCATGGAGGTTGGAAGTCTACGAACTTGATCGCCAGCAGAAGAAGAAGGCCCTGACCCCTGGCAGTACAACACCTCCTGAGGCCATTCCGGTCCCTGAAGGAAGACGCCACAAGGGTAACACCGAACTTGATTTCCAGAACGCTCTCAAAGCCTCGGCTATCTCTGCTCAGCAGGAGCTGGAGCGACGGCGAGAGATGGAAGCCACCGCCAAACCGGATCTGACGCGCGAGGCTGAAATCCCCGACATGTTGGAACCCCACGAGAAGAAGGCCAGTGTCTATCAAGATACAAATAATATCGTCGACCCAGCTGATGCCTTCGAGGTATTCTCATTTTATCCGCCACCAGACGATTTCACTCCTGAAGAGCACAAAGCATTCACCGATGCCTTCATGGCCTATCCCAAGAAGTGGGGCAAGATCGCAGAGGAGCTGCCGGGCAGAGACTTCCAGCAATGTATCATGCACTACTATCTCACAAAGGAGGAGATCAAATACAAGGCCAAACTGAACAAGCGCTGGACGCGGAGGGGACGTGCCAGGAGGTCCACGCGGAACCCCAAGTCGAACGCTCTCATGGCCGACCTCGGCGTTGTGAAACCAGAGGACGGAGAGGAGGAAACTCCAGCCGTGACGGACACTGGACGTCCACGGCGAGCCGCTGCTCCAACCTTCGGTGAATCCTCCGCCGACAACGATCATGGCTCTGGACGACGCGGCCACGCGAAGGATGGCGATACCGAAAAGCCAACGAGGCGAGGAGGTCGCACCGGGCCAGGCTCCCGAGGTGGACGCCGAGGGAAGGCGGCGCAGCAGCAACAGCAGCAACAACACCAACAACAGCTGGAGAAACAGCAGCAGGAGAAATCAGAAAAGCAACCACCAGTGCCTTCTCCTTCTGGTGCACCGATCCAACCGCTTGTTATCGCTCAAGCTGCACCCGTTCCGAAGCCCGAGCTGGATAGTTCGATGGATGGTGCTGGTGAGCTCGCCGCGCTGCGCGCAAAGGACCAACATATTGCCGAGATCAAGTCTTCGAGGACGAGAGGGAAGGAGAATATGCATGTGGGGGATACAATCGAGCCGGATTCTGTGGTTACGAAGGCAGCGTCCGACATGGGTTATGGATCGTTGCAACCTACCAGTTACTGGTCCGTGCCTGAACAGCGGGACTTCCCCGTGCTTCTCGCACACTTTGGCAAGGACTTTGAGGGAATCTCGAACTCCATGAAAACGAAGACGACGATCATGGTAAGCAGCACCCGCTTTTTTTTTTAGGTAGCTCCGTTGAAACACGCGAGGGAAAGCTAACTTAAAACGCCTGTTCAGGTCAAAAACTATTTCCAGCGTAAAGTCGATTCCGGCCACAAAGAATTTGAAGAGATTGTTCAAATTGCGGAGGGCAAGAAAATGCGAGGCGAGCCCACCGGGCCTCTGCCTGTGCCCAGCGTGGCCCCCAAGAGGCGGTATGAAGCTACGCCATCGGCTGTTGCTCCCCGCCCGCTGGCACCGCACACGGAGGTCCTTGAGCCAGAGGAGAGTCGCTTTGCGTCCAAAGGAAAACCCCTCGCCCCGTCTCTGGTGTCGTCTCAACCACCTCAGGTCCATGCTCGAGCTCCAGCAGAGAAGGACCGAAATATTGCTCGATATCCGCCTCTCGCCCAGGCAGCCAGCGGCGGCCTTGTTGCATCCCCGCTGCTCGGCGAGGAGCCCCCGAGGGCGATCCGACCTCATGCTACACCAGCACCACGGCCACAGCAAGGGCCCCGCGTGGGATATTTCTCTGAAGAACGCAGAGACCCCCGTGCCACCGTCGTCGGGGCCCCGCCGCCTCGACCGATGGAAATACAGGCTCCGCAGCGAGTGACTTCAGTACCGCCTCAAGAGATGGCCCGGATAGAGCCCTTGCACACATCCAATATACGGCAGCGGACCATTCCCCCGCCATCAGAAGTTCACGGCTCGCCGCTACTGCCACCCCAGGCTAGCCTCCCCTCTGCTCAAGCGGCCTATATGCAGGTTCCTCCAGCATCCCAGGGGGGTTCACATTCCCGGCATGCCAGCTTGACCACAGCGCCTAGTTCTCCTGCGCAGCCGTTCCAGAGAAACGAGCCAGATTTCTCCCCCGTGCGTCGTGATTCCTTTGCCCAAAGGCCGTATTATCCGATCCATGGACAGTATGCCGGTGCTCAGCAGCCTCCCCCCATTCTATCGCCGTCCAAGGAGGCTCCTCGACCGAGCTCAACTCCTGCACAGACTGCTGAACCTCCGCGCCAAGTTCCCGCTAAGCGGTCCAATATCATGAATATTCTGAATGACGAGCCCGAAGAACCTCAACCACGGAAACGCTTTGCTAGTGACCAGGCGGCTAGTGCACCCAGCTACAGTGTGCCTTCCCCGCGGCCAGCCTATATGCCACAACCGAGTGTCCAGACTCGACATGAGGAAGCACCCATGCCGAGCATGCAGGTGAAGACGCCCTACCTTTCAACCAGTCAACAGCAGGCAGTTTCGCAGCAACCGCAATTACAGTCACGCTCGTACTCGGATTACCAAGGATATTCATCCATCCCTGGACCAAGCAGCGGCCCAGTGAATCATGAGTGGATGGCGAGATTCGACCCCAGAGGTCAACAGCAGCAGCAGCAGCAGCAGCAGCAACAACAACAACAACAACAGGTTGATTCTCCAGCATCGCGTGCTTCGGTAGCATCCGCGCCTCAATCAGCGTTTGCATCCTATCCAGCTGCTTCCCAACCTGTCTCCAGCATGCCAAACGTCGTGTCCCAGGCATCTGTTCCTGCTCCTCCCCCAACTCCTTCGCAGCGTCATGCCCATCAGCCCGTGTTCCCCGCCCCCGTAGCTCCCCATCCTCAAAGCGCGGCCCTTCCAAGTGTCCTCTCTTCGTCGCGCGAGCTGCCGCCTCAGACTCATTCTTACCGTCAGTCGATCGGCTCGCCCACCCCGCGGAATGGTGTCATATCTGGGTATGGTAACCGGCAGGGACCGCCTACACCTGTGCAGTCACCAATGAATATCCCACCGCGTCAGTCCTCCGGATCCTATGCTCCCTCCCCACAGCCGACTGTCATGCACCAGATGGGACATCAGCCACAACATGGTCCCGGAAGTCATCAGACGTATCAACAGCACGTCCAGGCCATGGTGAGTGGAGCACTCCAGCAGCAAGCGCCACCTCAAGGTCAGCGATCGGCTCTTGGTTTGGGTACTCCTGGGATGTCGCAATACGGCGGTAGCACGCCGCCAGTGTCGACACAGCCGCTTACAACGACAACAAGTCTTCCTGGGCCACAGTCCTTGAGCGGCAGACGGCCATATACTCCGCCCGCAGCGATGCATCCGGCTCCCACACCATCACTAGGAGGTCTTGGATATCCTGGTGGTGTTCCTCCAGGCCCTGGTTCTCTGCACCACCTCCCACCGCGCCATCCGGCTGAGCCCAGCGGGCCTCCTCCCCCGGGTCATCACCGCGCGTATAGCCGAGGATCTAATCCTGGCTCTCTTCCTGGACAAAGATGAGATTATTTCTCGTCGTTAGCGGTTTTCCCCGAGATCATGCGTTGCGCTGGTTTCGTTTAATAAGGAGGTAAATCTTTGATTTTGTCCGCGGCAGGCCGTAACCTCACAAGTCCCCCTTCTTCAGATTACATATCATGCTTATTCTTTTTGATTACTGTACAAAATATTCGAGTACTGCATCTGCCTCTTTTATGTACTTTAGAGTCACGTTCTGACCTCTTACGTCTTCATCTTCTCTTTTGTCACCAACGCTAGTATGTCAGTCGCGAAATCTAATGATGAATGTGGAATGGCCTTGACTTTTTCTCCCCTTCTATCCTATATAACTAGACCATTATTTGGCGTTGTTGCATGTCTTCGAGGGAATACAAGAGAGAGATTCTTCATTTCCATTGGCCATAATTACTAATCCGTATCCATCGGAGAATCCTCTGGACGGAGATGTAATAAATATATATATATATATATATATATATATATAATATCTTCCTTGGAACTACGCATTACCTAGGCCGACCTACTTCGGACCGATCTACCCCCTGCAACACGACTTCGGTTCTGAGAGCACGTCCCAGGTCCGTTCGTTAGACTAACTAGATACACCTAATTCCGCGTCTAACTACGTACTCCGTAATGCGCCAGCTTACCCCGCTTCTCCTCTGTAAGCTTAACTACAACTTCACTCTATTTGGGCTTCCACAGAGCAAGAGATTGTATGATATTTACATATATTATTATATTCCTATATCGCATAGTCGTGATATCATACGTCATCCGATCCACCACAGGTACTGTACCATATAGCAAAAACTATACCCCTATCCCTCCTCGAAGAATATGGAAATAGTTTCCTAGAAGGTTGGCAGGTCGCTTAGGCCTTACCGCCCTTCTTCTCAAGCTCCAGGAAGGATCTCGCGGCATCAACCACGGGCACCTCCAATGGGCGGAACTTGATTCCCAGCACCTTCTCCGCCTTGGAAGCGTCGGTCTTGTACAGCTCGACACCTCCAAAGCCGGACCCAGGCTTGCCGATAGGAACGCGATCCCTGAGCTCGGGAATATTCTCGCGCAGGATGTCGCACATCATCTGGTAGCTGAAGTTACCGTTGCAGAGGAAGAAACGCTGGTTGCCAGCCTCGGGAATCTCATACGCCCTCAAATGGGCCAGGGCAACGTCACGCACATCGACCCACGACCAGAAGGAGGTCTTGGGCATCTCGTCGGTGGGCTTCCTACCAGGGGCCATCAGCTGATAGATATCAGCGGACGAGGTGTTCAACTTGGAAAGATCGGTGGTGGCGTTGATGTTAGGTCCATAGACCATAGGCGGGCAGAGGGTAACCAGATCGAAGTTGGGCTTCTCGTTCTTGATGAAATCCCAGGCCGAGCGTTCTGCCAGGGCTTTGGCTGCGCAGTATGCCAGGGCACCTGGTGTTTCCTTCTTCGCAGCCTCCTCGTAGGACATGGGGTTCCAGTCGGCTTCGGTGTATGTGTATCCAGGCCGGTTGCCCTTGGAGAAATCCCCGATGGCGGCGAAGGAGGAAATGATGACAACACGCCTGACCTGAGGAGCGAACTTCTTGGCGGAGCGCAAGATGTTAACGGTGCCGTCGATGGCCGGACGGAGGAGATCGCGCTCATTATCTTCGACCTGGATCTGGAAGGGAGTCGCAGTGTGGATGATGCCTTCAACGCCCTTGACGGCCTCGTCGAAAGCGTCGGGCACAGCCATATCGGGCACGATGGCGAAGCTCAGCTTGTCGGCATACTTTGGATAGGTCGAACGGACCTTCTCGGCCGTCGATTCAGATCGCACTGTTCCCTTAACGGCGTAACCGGCCTCGAGGAATACCTGGATGATGTGGGCTGCGACGAAGCCGGAGGCGCCGGTAACGAGGACCTTCTTTTCAGCGGACATGGTGATAGGTATTATTGCTTGCTTGCTTCGAATTGGCAGAAGAGAGCACTGGATCTGGAGAACTACCTGGTACAGCTAGGAATGATCATGGTCTCTCTTTATAGCCGACAAAGGACTGCCATCGCAGACAGTTATCCACTTCTCCCGCGAATGGACGACGATCCAATGACCCAATCGAATGTCTTTGAAACACAAGTTAACATTGCTTTACTATTCCTTTCCCCCAAGTGGTGACGTTAGGTTACTGGCACCAGTGGGTTTCTCGCACGGGCCGAGTCTGCAACGGGATTCTTCTACCGTCTTTCTGGTTCTCATCTTGTTGGCTAACAGGCCCCAACCCGGCGACATCATGACCGCGATTGGCTTGTTTGCTGGTGAAGATCAAGTAAAAATGGAACATCTTTGTTCTCTGAGACCGTTATTATTGGCACAGTGGGCTCGGGTAACCGGTATTGGCTTTTGATCGGAACCGGTAAAGCATGATAAAGATGAAATGCCGATTCTTAGTAATTCCGCCGCAATTGTACCAGAAATCGGGCAAATTATCCCACCGAGCTTAGCCAAGCGCCGGTTGACCGCTTGAATCCGCTGCCGAGTCGACCGTGGTCTCGAGATGGGTCCCAACGGTCCAGCCAGAAGAATAATATCCACAGGTGGAATGGAATGTCTTTGTTACTTCAAAATCTCCTAAGGGCTATCAGATACAAACATTAAGTATTTTTATTACTCTACCAAGGATGTTAAGCAGATAGACAAGGTATTTTCTTTTTTCTTTTTTTTTTTTTGTTTGTCGTTCCTTGGTTGTTAGGGCAGGTGAGGATGCTCCTCGTCGAGAGTTCCATACTTCCCATGTCTACTGCTAGCTGATTGGCCGATTAGCTCTTTGCGCCGGAAGCGAACATCATCCGCAATAAGGTCTCATATCTGTACATTGGAAAGTATATATCGGGCAGTCTGTCCCGAAAATCTCCAAGACGGTGAAACTGGCGCAACTATGGTATACGATAGGATGCAATGTGGTCTCATATTTTGTCGTATGGTATACATATATATATATGTATGTATATATATATGCCACATACCGTTGTATAAGAACGGTTGCGAGATCAAGCACCAAACATGTAGCTTCTTAGCATCGCATATGAACAGTACGGCGAAGTATCAGGCGCTTGTTCGAGAACATCGGCAACCATTCTCGCATTACGGATACCGAAATGACTACCCATATGGCGCAGTTGTCTGGTCACCCCAAGGTTGGATACTATACTGACCGGAGAATACTTCGAGGACCCACAGACAGAGAGGCAAAGTAAGTGTATAGCAATCCAGTTTATAAGGTAGATAAAGGAGATGGCGGTCTGCTTCATAAGCACTGCTGGCGGCTCGCTGCTGACAATTATGCTATGTCCGAGTAGCCAACGTACTACGGTCCAGAAGCGCAAATCTCCGTCAGAGTTCTGATATCGTTCCTTGCGAATGATATCCGAGATCCAGAACTGGCTTTCGCGATGAGATCCCTAGGACTCTTAGAGCAGTACTCGAATGACTTCGTTGAGAAGGACCCTGGTTGATCAAAGCACGTTGCATGTCTGATTTAAATGTCTGTCAGTGTCAGTATTGAAGACCCGATAGTAGACTCTTTCCCAGTCCCATTCCAGGAATTGTACTCTATACTTCTTGCATATTAAGATAAATGTCTCGCAGCTTGTCGTCGAAATCTAGATACTCGGTAAATAGGCCGCCGTTCAGAACAGAATGTCGGAAATTGGCATCACGCACCATCACATCTGATAGCCGCCACTTGGTGTCTGTATTATCAATGTAATAGCAAACATGTACACGAAGCACACGCGGCTTATAGGATTTTGAAGTTCCTTAGAACATAACTGGTGAGGAGGTTTGTGCTAAGTCGCGTGAGAAGCCGAACTGAAGACTGCCCCCCTAGACTGCGCAGTTTCACACAAAGGCGAGGGCACCATCCGCACGAGTAGTTCAAGATGTACTCAAAAGTAGCTTCTAAGGTATCTTCTCAATGATATCCAACAAAAGTAATGTCAATAGCGTAGTATCTTTTCTATCTGTTTAGGTGGCTGAAGAGCTTTCTTCATCATGCTCAAGACTGAGATATATCTCACTTGGGCTGAATAAATGCGAGGGATATGCAAGATCAACAGCATCTATGCAAAAATTGAGGTGTTCCGGCGTCTTGGCGAAATCAGTTAAAGAAATTCTCAAGTCCTTGATGTTTCCCATCACATAATGCGCGAAGACATTGTGTGCTTGCTGTTCAAGGGACATGGGAAAGGAATGTGACTGACTCGTGCTCTGGTGTTAGTTTGGGAAGAAACATTCTCTTAACTGTCTGTGTCTAATCCCTTGTGTAAAGTTGTTGTGAATCCCGGTACATAGCCAGTGCAGACCGCCTGTTCTCGAGGCACTGCCGGTACAAATCAGGTAGCAGGCTATACTATACTTGTTAACAGCAATTCCATAAGGAGCTTATTACATGCCTGCTTTTAACCTGCAGTCTATGCAACGCTGCCAAGCTTTGGACAGTTTGCCACCGAATGCCATTATGGCCAGTCAGGTGCCTATTCAGTAGGATCGCTGCAAGACTGGGATCATGCGTTCAGATGCAGCTGCTCCCTATGCTCATCCATTACAGGTCTCTGCGCGCGGATCTAATGTGCATTGTTTCTCTGTCCTATCCAGAAGACAAGAGAATGCAGCTCATCCATCTGAAGGATGTTATGAAGGATGTTATTATCAAGGCTTTGGGTTGCTTTGGGATTGACCTGCCACGCCATACTACTTATTTACGGCGCGTATCTCTACGCTAACCTGATTCAATGTGTTATCTATGCTCCAGAGAGTAGCCAGAATCAACTATTTTATCAAGATTTCTAATGAGTTTTTCCTCCCCGTCCTTGGACCTGCCTGGAGGCAGACTGACGAATGCTCTGTGGACCTAGGAATTAAATGTCGAGACAAGGGCAAATTCTAACTGAGTTCTTTGGCGCAAAGAGAAGCAGAAAGATCCTCTGTTAGGTATGTTTAAGTATCAGAGATTGACAACTGAACCCGGTGATCCCATATTTTCTGTTGATGAATCACGGACTTAAAGAACTGGATTACTGTGTTGCGGAATATATAAATCGCCCAACAGCCTCCCAACCTGAAAAACCAATCAATAACTGGTTTAATATTGTAAGAAAAGCTTTTATATTTATAGTGGAGGGGACTATCTGCTAACATGTCAGCACTGGATTGATTGAACCTGGTCATTGTTCCTGCCGTCCCTCTGGACAGAAGCACGGGATGCCAATTGCGACCTTTACGGAAATGGCGTTTAGACAATTGGCACGTAGAAATGGTCTGGTTGTGGTTGGAGGCCTTGGACCAGCGGAAGTCTTTAATGACATGAGGACGGCGTCCACGAACTGGCGCGTATCATAGAGAGCATGCGTCAACTCAAGAATACAATCTTCTCACTAGCAACTGACGAATCACCTGGGATAATTGTCCTTCAAAAGATCATCTCGTCATAAATAGGCTCAACGAACTGCAACGCTCTGAATACAGTGATACTCAAGGACTATTGGTTATTCGGGTAATTTTGTTTACCGTGTTCAATTTGACAAGCACTCTTTGAGAACTTATCCTACGACCAAGATTTCGTACTCGTCGGACGACAGTTACCATCCACTTTTTTCATGACCGCTCCGAGCCATAAGAGACGAGGAAATCGTTTCCTTTGGCGCATGAAACGCTGCTATGCGCACTCTTCATTCCACTCATCCAGCCCATGCACGTGCTCTACCCTGAATCGGTTAGGACTGCATGTAACATCTGAGCTGGCTCATTGAAGCACAATAATATGTAGTCTAGTGGTATTCTTCAGGCCCACAGCTATGCAAAGACCCAACCCCATTTTAATCAAGGGTAGATATGGAGGTACATAAAAGTCTAGAACCCCATCTGGAAACATCATGGGGAAGCAACATGATAATAAAGTGAGCCACACCACGACTGGAAGTCATGAGAGTGGTGCTGCAATTTGAGATATGCTGAAAGTGCGCCAAAATCATAGTAGGTTATGGCCTACTTCAAGCCTTTCCTTGAGTTTGAACTGGCTCGACTCTTTTTTTTTTCTTTTTTTTTTTTTTTTTTTTCTCTCGGGGGGGGGAAGGGGATCTCATGACGTTCCAGTAAGACGACTTGGTCAACTGCGCATGCTGCAGAGTGAGCGAATCCCAGCACCTGCATTGCTGAAAGCATTATGAATCGAACTCTGCAGAGACAGGATCGATATGATGCGTTGACGCGAGAGGGGAGTTGAACTAATGATTACCTGATTGCTAGAACACAGTTGGTGTCATACTTGATGTGTCACGTCGAGCCGCGTCCACAGTGACATTGCAGATCCTCTGCGATGGTAAGGACCGCCAATCACAGTTCTAGAGCATGCATCAACTTTAAGAGCAGAGTCTATCTAAGTGGCTAGATAATAATCAGAAACTATCCACACTGTTGGGTGTCCGCGAACTACTCAACTAGCACAGGTGAGCATGCGATTCCTGAGTAGCTATCACGCTCCGAGTCTGTGAACCTCTTGAAGATCGCAAGCTTGTGCTCAACTGATGCAGATAGCCATGGCTGAGATGCATACAGCTCAAATATACAGCTCAAATGCACCCCCTCCTGGCCGAGACGTGAGAGCAGTCAAAAAACCGCAGAGACGACCGTGACGTTGGCAAGCACAAGTTCACCATGCATGGCCACTATCTATCTACTTGAGCCAATCGCGAACTTACCACAGGGCCCAGGCAGGCTTGTTGTTTTAAGAGAGATACGCTAGGCGAAAGATCATCATCCAACCCAAATGTGGATACTCCGTAGTCCCGAGCCGCCGAGAAGCCGGAGAGCTCAGATCTCGTCGTCAATAATTCCTTCTTGAAGAAACACGGCATCTTTTGATAGAGATTGCCGTTGTCGTTTCTCCTCCACTACCGGCCCGCAACTGCCAACCGACATATATCATCTGTCAACTGTGTCAACGGCCGCGTGTCCGCAGGGGAAAGCACGAAATATTCGATATTTCAGATTTTCGAGATGCTAGGGCCCCGCAAATCGCGAGGTATCAGATCCGCTAAAGGATAGCGTCTCCATCACCAGTGAAGTTCGCGTAAATCTCTACTGCATAGGGTAAACGTGCGGAACTCACTCCGCTTATGAACTCTATAGGCGAACTGTTCGGCAGACTAGAGTTCATGCCGTGCGCCGTGTTTAAAATACTGGGACCAAATAAAATAGAACAATAATGAACAGCGCCAGCATCCTCTCAACCACTTCAAGTTAGGTTCTGCGGCTGAGGAGACATGTGGTAACAATTGTGGCTCGCAAGCACGCTGGTTGACTCTGCTTCCATAGTTGCAGATGGCTCCGACTCAACAAGAATACTCAACGATAATAGGACAGCAGACTCAGTCCCTTGCGCCGGACCGTCTGGACCAGAGGATTTTGACAGTGAAGTTTGAACGGTCCTGGAGAATGATATTGTTACACAATTGACGATGCCCAGCTACCGGCGAACGACCTTCGGGGGACCTTTTCAGATGACATATGTGTCGATACCCAACACGCCCTAGTCAAGACGATCTACGACGGGACTCTCTAGCTTCCAGGCTGAGCCATGCCGATGGGCTCTCGGGAAAATCGCAACCTATCTAGATCGCTCATCGAGGCTGAATTTGAAAGCGCCTTGTCAAGGGGTTCTCGCAACTGTCTCTCCTTCCACAGAAGGGCCATCTAGATTCGACCGTTCTTAATTGACTTATGGGTCTGGTTGCGTGGCGCACTTGGGGCGGGATAGCCCCTTGGGTTTGGCCTTTCCATTCCCGAATCGCCGTTCATCACCAACCACCCCGTCTGTTTCTTCCCCATACGTCCCCGTAAGTTATCCCGTTGAAGTCCTGGGCGTGTACATTCCTAATGGGATAGGAAATTCACATGTCGCCTAACCAAGGCCATGGATGTTTCGCGTTTCAGCAGCGAGAATGACTGAGATGTCCATTCCAATGCATCATCCTTGCAAAAGGAACCAGTCTATGGGCGATCAGGCAAATCTCATTCGATTCCACTCAGGCAATGGGCTCGGACCTCGTCCGCGGCGTCCCTGATCGGCACCTGGAGGAGCTGAACCGCGCCTGTCTCCCTGGGGCCTGTATCTACCTGTTCAAGGAATCAGTGCTTCACTACTTTTTTCCCCGGCCCGTAACCCTATCTTCGGGTCCGGACTTCACCATGAACAGCGAATCAGCAATGCCCATTATGGGCGCACTAGGATTCATCTCGCTGTCCTAAAAGATTCCCATTATCTCGCGTTTCGATCCAGAACTTGGTGCTGAGTCCACCAGATCGCCATCTCCAATCGGGTCATGACCAACTGGCCCCGTCAAGCACCGGTGGCGTCCCAGTGACAGCTCAAATATCCTACCCTAGGACATGAGCTCGCGGGGTCCGGCTGGCTGCAGAAACACGCACTCCGCTCCTTATATTGACCCCAGATCTCGTTGACTGGGGCGGATGTGTCGCGGATTCGGGGGACGACCACGAGACAAGTCATGGAACATCTCCAGGCTTTGGCTACGTTTGCCAAGCGGCAGAACCCTCTGGTATGTATCGCTCAAACGCATTCGATATGGAGTCTACTTTTGCTGATAATTTCCAAACAGAGTCAGAGTAGCGATCCCAACATTGGTTCAGCTCGGGGCAACCCATCTTCCACCGCATCAGATGTGATCAATGGTTTGGGAGTGGGCAACTCAACGTCTGCTTCTGCGTTAGTATCGACACTGGTGCCGGCGCTTGTCGTCGCGTGTTTCTGGTTCGGTCTTTTTATCATATGTCGCCGTACTCAGCTTCGCTGGTACGCTCCCAGGGCACACCTACCGAGCTTCCACTCACAGTACGTCTCACCCAGACATGGGTTCTTCAGTGGTTATCAATAACTAACAATGCAACAGTGAACGGAGTCCACCTCTCCCATCAGGCTGGTTGAATTGGTTTTGGGACTTCGTTCGGATATCCGACAACCATGTCTTGCACCATTCTTCCCTTGACGGATACCTTTTTCTTCGTTTTCTCCGGGTAATGTGCACGACCTGTGCCATTGGATGTCTGATTATCTGGCCCGTCTTATTCCCGATCCATGTTACTGGTGGTGCAGGCAATACTGAGCTGGATGCGCTGAGTTTCAGCAATGTGACCAATCCAAAAAGATACTACGCCCATACTGTCATCGGAATTACGTTCTTCAGTACGTTTGTTTCCTCAGCTTCCCGCGGGAATATACTGACCTTATTTGTAGCCTACGTCTTCTATGTGCTCGTTCGAGAGAGTCTGTTCTACGCGAATCTGCGACAAGCGTATTTGAACTCGCCCGCCTATGCTGATCGTATCTCATCGAGGACGGTCTTATTCATGTCTGTCCCGGATGCCTATAAAAACGAGAAAAAGCTCCGGCAGGTCTTCGGTGACGCTATAGTGCGAATTTGGATCACCTCTGACTGTAAAGAGTTGGCCGAGAAGGTCTCTCAGCGAGACCGTCTCGCTGATCGCCTCGAGGCGGCAGAGACACGGTTCATCAGGAGGGCCAATTCTGCCCGCTTGAAAGCGATAAAGAAGCGGCAATATCCCGATGTGTCTGCTGATTGCGAACGTGCTACACCTTTGTGGACGCCGGATATCCCGCGTCCAACTCATCGTATTCGGTTTTTCGGCAAGAAAGTTGATTCGATCGACTGGCTACGCTCTCGTCTGGCCTCGACGATCGAGGAAGTCCAGACCCTTCAGCGGAAGCATCGTGATGGCGAGGCCAAGTACCTGTCCGCCATTTTCGTAGAGTTCAGGACGCAGAACGATGCTCAAGTGGCATTACAGACGCTCTCCCATCATCAACCTTTTCATATGACACCCCGTTTCATTGGCATCCCTCCTAGAGAGGTGATTTGGTCTTCTTTGAACCTGAGCTGGTGGCAGAGAATTATTCGAAAATTCTTGATGCAGGGAGCTATCGCTGCACTCATTATCTTCTGGTCCATTCCTTCTGCCATCGTCGGTACTATCTCCAACATACAATATCTCTCGAGTGTCGTTCCTTTCTTGGGGTTCCTGAATGATCTGCCCAGTGTGATCAAGGGCGCCATCGCAGGCTTACTCCCCTCGGCGGCACTGGTGCTCTTGATGTCATTGGTTCCCATCATCTGTCGTAGTAAGTGGCTCTGTCGTACAGTTCCAAGTATTTATCTGACCATAGATATTAGTATTGGCGAGAAATGCCGGCGTACCCTCCAGGGCGGCAGTCGAGTTATTCACGCAAAATGCACACTTCTGCTTTCAGGTGGTGCAGGTTTTCCTTGTTACAACAATTACATCTGCGGCTTCAGCTGCGACCGCAAAGATTATTCAAGATCCGATGTCAGTCAAAGATCTTCTCGCCCAGAACTTGCCGAAAGCATCCAACTTTTACGTGTCATATTTCCTTCTCCAGGGCCTGACGATGAGTTCTGTTGCTGTGGTGCAAATCATGGGGCTCGTGGTCTTCAAATTGATTTCTACCTTCTTCGATCACACACCTAGAAGGTTGTTCAGACAGTGGACCGAGCTCAGCGGGCTAAGCTGGGGAACTGTCTTTCCTGTGTTTGCCAATATGGGTGTTATTGGTAAGTCCCCGTTGATCCAATATTTCAGGCCCATTGGAAAATGCAGAAAGCTGACAGTCCTCTAGCACTGACTTATTCTTGCATTGCACCGTTGATCCTGGGTTTCGCTTTCGTGGGCCTTTACCTCGTTTATCAAGCCTATCGATACAACCTCCTCTATGTTTATGACCTCAGGATTGACACCAAAGGTCTGGTCTACCCCAGAGCTTTGCAGCACCTGATGACAGGCATATATCTCGCCGTGGTGTGTATGATCGGCCTGTTTGCCATTCGTGGAGCTGTCGGACCTGTTGTCATCATGGTTATGTACTTGATCCTTACTGTACTGGCGCACATTTCTCTCAACGAAGCCATGGCACCTCTCATGACTTTTCTTCCACGGTCTTTGGACTCTGAAGAGGAGGACCTCCAGGCCAAAGAAGATGCAGGGTACCTACATCCGAACCAGTCGCGGTGGGAATCTGTGTGGAAGTGGTTCCACCCTAACGTCTATCGCGACTATGCTGCACTTCGCAGAAAAGTCCGCAGGGATGTCGTACGAATCTCTTACACTGAAGAAGAGATGTATAACGCTTATTTTGAGCCGTGTATATGGTCTCCGACTCCAACACTGTGGATACCGCGCGATAAGGGAGGGGTGAGTCAGGAGGAAGTTCGACAGACCTGCGAGGTTATACCAATCACGGATGACGGGGCCCATCTTAATGAGAAAAACAAAATAATCTGGGACATGAACGATACTGGACTTCCAATATGGCAGTTGAAGATCTTGTATTGAGTGACGTTTTAATATTTAATGAGCCATGTCAATTCGTCTTCCACATTCTGTTCCCTAGTGAATAACACATCGAACCCGTCTGGGTACTTTAAGCCTCCTGTAAACTGCAGAGTTGAACATCACAGAAGTTTCGTATGTCTGTCAAGTGAAAGAACCCAAACATGTATGTACAATACGCCGGTAGTGAGGACACGAGAAATCCGTGAACGTATACGACACCTTTTAACGAGCCTCGGCGATCCTCTCGATGACTGGGTGGTCGCAGACAGATTCAAGTAGTGATATTTCAATATGAGTTAGTCATGAGGGCAGCTCCACGAGCTTGTCGAGGCCCAAAGGGAGTGAGTATGTTTGGATAGAGAAGCTCTAAGTAGCGTCCGTCTCCACAATCATAATGGACCGCCTGGCCTGAGCGGTCAGTGACGGCAGTACTTACTTACACATAGCAATCGCTCCAAGTGCTGTCGGAGGTCCGTAGTGACCACTTCAGTCGGGAATTTCATGGTCTGACCAGATGGCTAGCCAGATGAGCGAACCAGGTCGGGCTTCTAATACCGCCTCACAAGCTGCACCTTCATCCACATTTTCTTCGTACCAGACGAAACAACCATTTCCACCACTTGCACCAGATGGCCCACAGTCGCCGCAGCAGGGACTTCCCGACGGCCAGTACGACGATGAGGATGACCACAGCGTTACTTCTCGAGGCGAGGATGATGCTGAGGTAGACGATGATGCCGACTTTCAGTCACACTACTCTTTGGGTAATCAATCTTCTGAAGACACATCCGAGGCCGAGGACCTTGGACCGGACGACGACAACATTGCGATGCGTCGCCCTTTTTCCCAGTCGTCCAGTTCGCTTCACGGCCCCAATGCATTCGCTCCTCCATTCTACAACAGGCCTCCTACTCCTCTGCCGCCGTCACCATCTTTGACATCCCTTCTCCGTCCCCCTTTCTCCACGACTACATCGCGTCCGACAACGCCTGATAGCTCCGACGTGGAGACTCCCAACGATACCGAGGCCGCCGTCGCTAAATCAGCTCGGACAGCAACGACAGTTCCAAGAGCGAGTCCTAAAGTCCCTACGTATGAATATTATGGTTTCGTTCTATATCTAGCCTCGTCGTTGGCCTTTTGTGAGTAGTAATCCTGTCGCGGTAGGCAATGTCTGAGTCTGACCTGAAGCCAGTGATATATCTCCTCTGGTCCTATCTCCCTTCTCCGTTCCTTCATCAACTGGGAATATACTACTACCCAAATCGTTGGTGGTCACTCGCTTTCCCGTCGTTTCTTGTCATGACAATTGTATACATTTACGTTGCCTTGGCATCATATAACACAGGCTATCTCACCTTGCCGATGAATAGTATAGAGAATATCGTGGATGAGGCTGCGAATATCGCTGTAATCGATGGAAAGGGCAGACGTCGCCCGGGTGGCTCTGAGAAAATGAAACCGGGGGCGACTACGTCCCACATAATGGGCTCTCAGAATCGCAAGATAAATTGGAAGGAGATCTGGAGTGAAGGCACAGATGCAGTCATGGACGTACCAGTGGGCGGTGTATGCGAAGTGCTATATGGTCAGGAAAGGGGACCACAAGAGACAGACTTTGACGGCCCGGGACTTGATAGCAACCACGGAGCAGGCTCTGGCTCTCGCAATCTTGTATAGTATGTATAGAAGCGTAAGTAATCGGCAATCATTATAACCAAGTCTGGTAAAAGGCAAGTTTAAGACTTGACATCTTGTCAGCTACAGGGTATCCTCCTCTTAAGCTCCTCCCTAGGCAACTCCGGCAGCCCTGGTTAATTTGTCGGCGCACAGAGAACAAACATAGGATAACCTGCCATATGGCCGTCTGCAGCGAGTGATGCTGTTGAAGTTGGCGCATGCTGGGGTGTGTCAATTGCATCCTGGTTAACAAAATGGCCGACGGAAGCATGCTGAGCACATGATTGAACTGGAGGGCTCTTGAAAATCGGTGAACACGGAGTGACGTACATAAATATATAGTAGACCATGATATGGGCTGGCAGCTCTCAATGGCTCTTTGAAAGGGGCTACTATCTCATGACCCGTGTACTAGACCTATACAACGTCTCCTCGTAAGCTAAATGTATGACTAGAAAATAGCTACTCTTTTATGTACAAGGGCGATTAAAATATAATAAACAAACTTCTCGATCGTGTGTCAAGTCGTGGAGCCACTGCTTCGTCATGTAAGATCGCTTACTGGATATTAGAACATAGTTATCTTAGTCTGACGAATCCGTAAGACGTAGAAGAAGCCATGTGCAATGAATAATGTGGAAGATGTTTCATTCTTCAAAGCGAAGTAAACATTCGAATGGATCGTCTGTCCTGATGGCCACAGAGCGCTAAGGGCGGCTATGACCGCACCGCGGCTACGCGACCAACCGCTGTGGACAAAACCAAGAGACCAGCAAGTGAAAGTCCGAACCTCACGGAGGACGCGCGACAGCTTTCGAGGTCGGATCCCGACCCTGGCCTTTCTGGCTCTTCGCCGATTCATCCTCTACTGATGCATGCTCATCGCCTGTGAATTTTTTTCCAATCATTTTCCCGGTCCCAGCACAATCTCCCATTCCTGAGGCTTTGGGGAAGTCCGGAATCCTCCCGACGTCTCGAATCACTTTGAATCGCTTACAACTTGCAGAGCGTTTGGCTTGAAGGCGGTTTACAAGATCATCCAAGCGACCGTCTTTCCTTACAGAAGCATTAGCCGGAGGATCTGGACGCGATCTGTCAGTGTGCTGACAGACGCTAAACATATTTATTCCGCATGGCCTGGCAGTCTCCCTCTGCCATGGCTGGAAGTGGAGGACTTGGTGGAAGCGCGGGTGATATGCCCAATGGCGGACATCCCCAGGGCACAGAATACACCCTACAAGGCGAGTTGCAGTTCTATTCACTACGCTGGTGATCATGTCCACAGAAGACTAATCCTTCTCGTCCGCAGGTGTGATGCGCTTCCTCCAGACAGAATGGCACCGACATGAACGGGAACGCAATGCATGGGAGATTGAACGGGCTGAAATGAAGTCTCGCATTGGAAGGCTAGAGGGAGACGCCCGGACTAGTAAGCGTTTGCATGAATCTCTGGGCAAGCACATCAAGCTCCTTGAAACCGCATTGAAGAGGGAACGCGAGAAGGTCAAGAGCCTCATGAACGGGGAAAAGGTTGAGGATCTGAGAGATGCCAAGGAGGTAGCTAAGGAGAACCTCAAGTCCATCCACAAATGTGTGCCTCTCTCCTCAAATTTCCACGGGCAGATGTTAACATATTCTTCTAGCATCGAACTCGACAATACACACGGATGTGGAACCGGAAGACCCGAATCACCCTGACTTCCGACAGGATACCGAGCGTGATAAGTCGCGGGTTTACTTGAACAAATGTTCACAGGAAATCGCGTATCATGTCATTCCTGCGTCGCACCCTCCCCCGGACCTTGGGGATCAGGACCTATCGAACCACATATATGGAAATCAGGGGATGCAGCAACAGAGCTTGGAAGAGGCGTACCTTCAACAACAACAACAGAGACAGAAGCAGCAGCAGGCCAACAATATAATGGTTCGAGAGGCGGCATACCAGAACCATCAGGCTATGATCCCTAATTACGCGGAGACTACGGAAATGGCACGTTCCCAAAACCAAGTCAGCCAGGCGTCCACCTCCAGAGAAGCTGCTGATCGAAGGGATATCGAGCTGCAGCAAGCTCCGGAGAGCAGGAAACAAGCCTTCGACCCCATGCAAGCTGGAGATCGTGGGGAACAGGTCAAACACGTATTTGACGCATATGGAAGACAAATAGCGATCAAAGAAGACCCAAAGCCCCAGAAGAGCGTAGAGGAGGTTGCTGATGACTCGGATGGATGGAACTTCGATGACCGGCCACTACCAGTTGCACAGTCAGAACCTGTCCCGTCCCATAGGCCAGACACAGACGCGTTCCCGAATGCCAACTTTGTACCCCCGAAATCGCCGCCAAGGGGAGGTTCTGGCTCTCATAGGAGGAAAAGCTCGGGTGCCAGGCGGAAGAGTGACGGATCCACGGAGAGCAAAGATGGCAGTGGTGCTTCTGCGCAGAAGACCGATTCTAACTTCAAGGTCCGATTTGCACTTAGAGGCCATTTGGATGTAGTGCGTGCCGTCATCTTCACGGGCGGTGGCACGCCGTCAGAACCTGAAATCTGCACCTGCAGTGATGACGGCACAATCAAGCGGTGGATCATTCCAGCTACCTATGGCGGATATGGCCCATACAGCACCAACCCGGGTAATGACTTGGATATCACAAGCTACTTCACTCACCGCGGACACGTTGGAGCAGTGACTTCGTTAGCGGCTTGCCCGCCTTCTCAGAACTTCTCCAACGGTGGCCGTGCCCTCGGAGATGGCTGGGTGTTCTCCGGAGGACAAGATGCCAGTGTGCGAGTCTGGGAGCGTGGACGAGTTGACCCGAAAGCCACCTTGGATGGCCATACAGATGCGGTATGGGGGCTCTGCGTTCTTCCTGGCACCGCAGGATCGGTGTTCGGAGAACAATGCAGCAATTACGGAGGGCCTGACCGAATTCTGCTTGCTTCTGGTGCCTCAGACGGTAGAATATTGATCTGGGCTGTGAGTGCACCACCTCAACTTACGTCTCCCCAAGCTGGTTCTCGAAGAGCAGGCGGAAGTCGACGGGCGAATTCCATCTCATCGGGCTCGAATTTCCCGTCGTCACCGCAGCCGAGCACTGCGACAACTACCCCGTTCTATTCTACCCTCGTTCATCACATTGTGAGGACCGATTCGCCAGCTCCCACATGCATTAGTCCTCTATCACTTGCAGGAGTCAATTTCGTCGTCTCCTACACGGACGCATCAATTCTGGTTTATGATACCAGAACTGGAGAGGAGGTTGTGGGCATGGCCAGTCTGGAAACCTACGATGGCACTCCATCGACAGGCGTGAACTCTGTAGTTGCAACTACAATTGGTTTCGACGGGACCGCCGACCTCGACCCAAGCAGAACGCTCGCCGATGAAGAAGTGGTTCATGGAGCTACTGGATCCAGCGGTGGCGTGGAGGGTGTGATTATTAGTGGCTACGAAGATCGATATATCCGTTTCTTCGACGCGAATAGTGGTAAGTGTCAATAGACCCGACGTTCCGATGTAACGGAAACTTACTCTTTCTTTTATTCATAGGCCAGTGCACATACACGATGTTAGCTCATCCGTCTGCCATCTCTTCATTATCCCTCTCGCCTGATGGGCGCGAACTCGTCTCAGCCGGTCACGATGCTAGTCTACGGTTTTGGTCCCTTGAGAAGCGTAGCTGCACCCAAGAGATCACCAGCCACAGGCTAATGCGAGGCGAAGGAGTATGCGCAGTCGTCTGGAGCCGCGATGGCCGTTGGGTCGTCAGTGGTGGCGGCGATGGTGTCGTCAAAGCATTCTCAAGATGATGACTCTCCATGGATGACGCCAATATACGATTCGATTTCTTCTTCTCATGAACGCGATACAATCTGTCATTATACAGAGAAAAGTATGAATGGCTAACCGATTGACCTATTTGAGCATTTGGAATGGTGGCCTGCATGGCACATGTTCCCCTCTGTGATTAGTGTCTCTTCCCTGAGTGATACTCACACTCCCCTTTATTCCCTTTATTATTGCTGGGCAGTCTCTTCTATCACGTGCGCCATAACAGAGTCTAACACGTGATAATCCTACTTTCGTCTGATATCGTGAAGATGATAAAATGCCCAGTACCTTGATGAGCTAGCACATTTTTTTGGGTCGCCTTCGTTTTCCCGGCGATGCTCTTGAGACTTGAGCTCTTCTAATGGGACTTTGACTCTAGCGCCGACGACTTTACTTATGTATCTTTCTACTTGGTCCTTGTTTTGCATGGAAGGGATTGAAGCTTGTATCCTGACCCTCGTGTCTCCTTCTCTACCTGCGTCTTTATGCCTCCTTTAATTTCGTGCGCATATGAATGTGTATAACAGCTCCATATTACTTTCTGAACTCCCGGATAAATCCTCTCTAGGATTGGTCACCTTTCTAGCCTGATGAAGTGGAATGTGTACTCTGCCTGCCGCTGCGAGAGAACTGATATTTGTGGTCAATTCACTCAGAACATAGGCTGAATCGCTCCCAGAGCATCTGACTGAGCCAGTCCAATGTGCGTATCTTGAGAAGCTAATGTTTTGGGTGGCTATCCAAAATTGTGAAATATGTGTACATATGCCTATGCAGTATGCGAAGGTTGGGCCAGATACATTGATATCTGCCCATAGCAGTAAGAATAATTCTAGCCATTACGGCTGCCAAATAGCCAGAGAATCGCGAAAAAGACAAAATCGATAAGGTGATTTCCAAGAGATGTGGTATTAATCATATAAAGAAACTATTACAAGTAGCAGTTGCATTCCATTCCTATTGTGTTCCTGCCCAAGCAGTGTGGAAGACTTGTCGCAACCGAGCCGCTTCCTTCTCGTCCTTGATCCTCTGAGCCAAGAAACCCTGGAGATCATCCCAGAATGCTTCTGTCTTCAAAACCTCCTCTCCACTGGGCCCGACAGCAGGCTTTGGTTGAATTGGACCGGTAGGTGGCTCATTCTCCTTTTGTTTTGTTTGTGTTGGAGGTTGTTCATCGATGACAGTCGCGCCACCCATAATCATCACCCCGAATTCCACCTCTCTGCCTCCAGTGAGCACATCAGGCTCGTCCGCTAGAACTTCAGCAATTGTCTTTCCAGTGACTGGTTTCCGCTTGTACAGAACTTTGATCTTGTCTAATGGAACCTTGGCGCCGGTCTGAGTATCAGATACCACACGCTCCTGGACTGCTCGTTTTAGGTCTTCCACAGTTGTGGTAGAGACCGGGGTCTGGTCGAGACTGAACTGCAAAACAGGATTCCGAGCAGATTTCAGATGAACCCGTATTGATTTGGACGAGCCAGGGGCAATTGTGGGCCTGATCTTCTTTGGCATGGAAGGGTGCGGGGGTGGTAGGCGGGGGAGGGTGTACTAGAACGGCGTAAACGGTCAATCACTTTCTCACAATATCTCTTACAAGGAGCACCTCATATCATCAAGCCAAGGTATTTAGACTGCCATATAGCGGGGGAACAAGACGGGAGGACTGCATTACTCACAGGAACGCGCAGTCCCACTGTCTGCGGATCAAAAACATAGTCCGCTGGAAGCTTGACAGGGCGAGTGTCAAGTGCAGACAAGAAGGATTTGCAAAAAGCGAGTTCGGACATGGTGGGATAGTAGAAAAGTGAGATAGCAGGGCAGTTCAAGACGGTCAACGAGGTTCTGCAGAAGCTTGAAGTATGCGCATCTCCGTTAGTAGTAATAGCAGTATGGAACTATCTAGGCAGGTAGATGGGGTTGATGTCAGGGCCAGACCGCCTTCCGCGGGAGGAGTTTCGCCGGCGCCGACTCCCGCAACGGAGAAAAAAAAAAGTTGGGATTGTCTGCGGCCCACAAGAGCATCAGAGACTGCTGTCCCGCTTATTCTACTCCCCTCAACCTGTCGCAAAGATGGGTGTCGGTCGTCGCATGAAGAAGCAGGGGCCGCCGGCCCCTCTTGATGAGTCGAAAATTACCATTTTGAAAAAGCGCAAGGCCAGCGAGGCGGAGAGCAAACCAGCATCGGATAAGAAGCGACGGACAGCGAAGGCGGACGATGAAACACGAAAATCGAAGCCAAAGACGAAAGCTAACCAGATCACCAATGGAAAGGCGAAGAATGGTGCCTCAAGGCCTGAACGCTCAACGCGACAGAAGAAAAATCATCCCAAAAACCCCGCTCAGTTCTTCGAATCGGACGACGAACTTAGCTCCGATCATGACGCCGAGGATTTGATGGGTGATGAGTTCGACGATCTGGATGGAGTTAGCGACGGATCTGTGGGAAGCAAGGATGAGGGCTCTGTAGTGGATGACGACTCTGTCTTTGACTCTGAGGAGGATCATGCACGGGAGACATTATTCTCGGAAGACGAAGATGTGTCCGATGCCGAAGAGCAGCTGACTGCTGCAAACATTGAGGGTTTATCCAAAAAGCTGGACATGCAGAGACAGGCCGAAGAAGAGGAGGCACAGCGGGACTTGCAGGAGTCGGCAATGCAGACAAATATCGCTGGTGACCGTCCGGACGTATTCGGCGACGAAGGCGCACGACCCGGGCTCGCTCCCGATCTCCAATTCCTACGTACGCGCATTACGGATACGATTCGAATTCTAGGAGACCTGGCGAAGCTCGGCCAACCAGGAAAGTCTCGTACGGACTATGTCGATCTCCTCATATCAGACATTTGCACCTACTACGGTTACACACCATTTTTGGCCGAAAAGTTGTTCTCACTTTTCACTCCGATGGAGGCCTTTGCATTCTTCGAGGCAAACGAAACTCCGGTAAGTCGGCTCGTTTCCTGGTTCTGTAGCAGAATGCTCTTCCTGCTCAATTCATTCCGCGTCCCCATCTGTTGTAGTTTCTCAGCTCTAGATGCTCTCTGCTGCTATGTAAAGGACCTGCTCGAACTTCTTTACTGACTCGTCACAGCGTCCAGTCGTGCTGCGCACCAACACGCTCCGTACGAACAGGAGATCTCTCGCACAAGCGCTGATCAACCGAGGTGTCGTCCTTGAGCCCGTCGGAAAGTGGTCTAAAGTCGGGTTGCAGGTATTCGAGTCCGCTGTACCTCTCGGTGCAACCCCGGAATATCTCGCAGGTCACTATATACTCCAGGCCGCATCATCATTCCTCCCCGTCATGGCCCTGGCTCCTCAGCCGCATGAAAGAGTTCTCGACATGGCTGCTGCTCCTGGTGGAAAGTCGACTTATATCTCCGCGTTGATGCGCAACACAGGCTGTGTGATCGCGAACGATGCGAGCAAAGTTCGTGCCAAGGGTCTGATTGGTAACATTCACCGTCTTGGCTGCAAGAACACTATTGTGACAAACCTTGATGCTCGGACGGCTTTCCCCAAAGCACTGGGTGGATTTGATCGTGTGCTTCTTGATGCGCCATGCACCGGTACCGGTGTTATCTCCAAGGACCCCAGTGTCAAGACCTCCAAGACCGAGCGGGACTTCCTCGCAATTCCCCATATGCAGCGACAGCTTCTGCTTGCTGCCATCGACTCTACGGACCATTCATCCAAGACAGGTGGCTACATTGTATATTCGACTTGTAGCGTCACGGTCGAGGAAAACGAAGCTGTTGTTCAGTACGTGTTGCGGAAGCGCCCTAACGTCAAGATCGTTGACACCGGTCTGGGCAATTTCGGCAGCGAAGGCTTCAAGAGCTATATGGGCAAGCAGTTTGATGCTAAGATGAACCTGACGAGACGCTACTTCCCCCACCGGGAGAACGTGGATGGGTTCTTTGTCTGCAAGCTGAAGAAGACCGGCCCTAGCCCAGCCTCAAAGGCAGGAGCATCTGCCTCGGGCACTGCTGCACCGAAAGCAGACGGCTTGGCTGAAACAAATGGCGATGAGATCATCGACAAGACCCCTATCACTAACGAGGATGGAACAACGATCGAGACGCCAGGCGACACGTTTGGCCCCTTCGAAGATGATGCAGATGCCGAGATTATCGCTCGTGCTGAGAGAAACCGTCTCCGGCGCAAGGGCATTAACCCCAAAGCTGTGTTAGACAAATCAAAGGCCGATGGTTCTGCTGGAGAGAAGAAGGATGGCACAGAGGTGAAAGAGAAGACCGATAAAGAAACTGCGTCGCAAAAGTCCCATGGAAAGGATAGCAAGAAGAAGCCCTCCAATGGACAGCAGAAGGACTCGAACAAGAGTTCAAGTGCCAAGTCCAAGAAGGCGAAGCAGTGAAGCAGAATTTGATTAATTTCGAATACCGTGTATAGTTCCTTGGGTCTTGTGGTTCCGGCGGCCAAGAAAAAAAAAGCATCTTGTATGGTTCCTAGGCATGGCGTATAGTTCTCTGCAATAGTGTATCGTGATTGTCTCATATGTCAATATCATTCAAATCAGACGCATATTCTCATGATGGCAATAAGCTGTAATTTCTGATCATATCCAAGATAGCCGTACCGAGTATGTACCTGCCCGCCGGTAGTTATTATTATTGTGGATCTGGGGTAATAAAGTTACCGGCAACGCCCCCGCAAATTGAGCGATACAGTTACCAGATTACCCCAAGATACTTATGGTCGAGGAAGTGCTTGTCTTGAGTCTTGACAGTCCCTTACTGGCAGTTTGGCAATTACCAGAACTTCAGGACACGTGTTTTGCAAGTTCGGATCTTGTGCAGGGCCAATTTGAAGGGATATTGCCACATTCGACAAGGCAACACAACCGCGTGAATCCATTTCGTTAAGTCATGGAGATATCCGCCCCGAACGGATCACTCATAGCCTCCCGGGACAGCATCTATCAATGTGGTCAACACCGCCATATGGTTCGAATCAATGGACATTGGTCCTCGGGCCAATGCACTGCTGGAGTCAAGATTGTTGCTCTTTCAGTTGTTCGACTCGGCTCTCCATCTTTGCACATCCGCTGCCCCGGTGGCTCTTGGTGGCTTTTGGTGTCTCCCCCGCAATAGCCCGCAGTCAGGTGACCGTGCGGCAGCCAGAAATTCTAGGCCTTCATTAGAAACTACAGAGTAACTAATGCGGTGTCTGATGAATGGACGTCTATTTAACTCGTTAACTAGTAAAAATTGCCGTGCTTCTTATTGCTTTGTGATCTGGGTTCAGATCGAGGGCAGTTGATTCGCGGGGATTTCTTCTTTTCTTCTTCTTTTCCTTTTTCCTTTTTAACCGGCAGCGATTCGATCATGTCCACTCCGTCAAGACGAAGATCATCTCTTGTCACAACAGCCTGCGACCAATGCTACCGTCTCAAAATCCGTTGCGACACAGCTTCTCCACGGTGTGCCAGCTGTGAGAAACTACAGCAACAGTGTACATATTTACGCCCAGATAAGCGGAAGTAAGTACCAGACTTTACCTAACGGAAGACCTTTGCCCCTCTGGCTTCTTTTGAGTTCAATTGTTATTCCTTTATGCCAAAGAGGGGAGAATTGGGTATAATATTACGACTCAATTAAACCTGTTGAGTTTGAGACCAAGGGGCGCATGTGGCAGGCATTGTCCGCTGCCTTGATTTCATGGTGTTAAGAGACATGGCTCGTTCCCCTCCCCCCTATTTTCAGTTTTACTTCTTGTTTATTCTTTCTTTCACAAAGCATTCGGCATTATTAGCGAGAAACCTTTCACAGAACCTCAAATCCTGGCACTCCTCCTTTTAATGTTCGCCTTGGAAATGCAACCATGCTAAACCGTCTAGGGTGTCAAGAGTCGACGTGAGCGAGCTCCTCGAAAGGATCCAATTCCTCGAGAGATTATTGAGAGAGAACAACATCCCATTCCCGCCAGCTACAGCTTTCCATTCGAGATCTGGTCAGCAGGATTTAACGACTGACAAGTTTGTGCCATCGAGTTTCTCTTCTCCAGCTGCTCTCTCTTATTCCACCTCGACGTCTCCAGCGGCTTTGGCAGTCGGTCCGATCGAGGAAAGTGGAGACCGAGAGCGAGCTCTTATCCAAGGGATCGACCGAGGAAACAGCAAGGTCTCCGGTCTGGACACGGAGATAGAGATACTGGCAAAGCGAACAGGATCCCTTCAGTTCACAGAGGATGGCCAGTTGAAATTCTTTGGCGCTACATCGAATGTACATTTTTTGCGAACTGCCACCCCATTCCAGCCCGATATTCATCGATGGTCCGACGCGGATGACGTACCAGAGACTTGGCTCCAACGTGCGGGAGTTGGGGGCATAGTCCCACGAGAGGTGGAAGACCACCTTATCAAGCTCTATTTTACCTGGGAGAATCCATACTCGAACGTCGTCCATCAAGATGCTTTCCTAGATGCCCGCAAACAAGCGCTCTCAGGCTTTCCAGTTAAGAATACCGTAATTGCATCCTACTATTCAGAGCTATTGGTGAATGCCATGTGAGTCTACTACGATCCCCGATGCTGACAATAATTCTTACGCATCAAAAGGTGTTCCTGGGGCGCTATCTTCACGGATCGGAAATTCCCAGAACTTCCAGAGAGACTTCATGACTTTTTTGTTGCTCGAGCAAGAGCACTCCTTGAACGTGATATTGACGACCCGACTATCGCGACGGTCCAGGCTCTGACCATCATGAGTGGCAGCGAAGCGAGTCGAAGCAGAGATTCCCGCGGTTGGCTATACGATGGTATGGCCTCACGACTAGCGGTTCATTTAGGGCTCCATCTGGACGTGGAACCTTACGTGTTGTCAGGGGAAATGACCCGCCAGGAAGCAAACGTCCGAAGCACTGCTTTTTGGGGATCCTTCGTCATCGACCTTGCGTGGAGTTATTACCTCGGCCGACGCGTTATGCCAGTCGCCCATGTAAATAGGATCCCAGCGCGGACGCCGTCCCAAGATAGAAATGGCCCACCTCATTACTGGGAGAATTACACCGGAGATTTGACAGATACAGGGACAACCGTCCGAAGATATGTGAGCCCATTGGCGTCTATGTGGGACTACCAATTGAAACTCTGCAATATCTTGGAAAGACTCCAGAATACATTGTAAGTCCATCTCGCGTACGCTGGAAATAGCTCGACTTTTCTAACTGAAGGATAGCTATGATAAAAAGACCGGATCAATATCTCAGCTTCGAATGCACACCACTGCGATCACGTGGTCTTTAGAGAAATGGATGGAAGAACTGCCGCATGAGTTAATGATTGATATCGACAATGAATGCGCGGTCTATCTTCCCCATATCCTCCTGCTGCATGCCCAGTATCATGAGGCTATGATATTTGCGAACCATCCGTTCATCACACTACCAGGTGCAGGTGCTGGTCAGTCACCAGATTCTCGACGAAAGTATGTCGATGCGGCGCAGGCTATTACTCGCATAATAGGCATCTATAAACGGCTATGGTCGCTGCGTCGAATTAACATCCAGGGCATACATCACATGTTCACTGCTGCTATGGTACATTTGTACCTTTCTTGCACATCCGAGAGCTCCGAGGTACATGCCCGTGCAGTTTCCGACCTCCAAACGTGCTGCGATGCGCTGCAAGAGGCATCCAAGTCACATGAACTCGCTGCATGGCAACTACGATCCCTCGACCGTGTGTGCCAAGTGTGGTACGATTGGCTGGAGAAGGATGCACAGGCTACAGAGAAACAACCCGAGAATGCGACTAACAGTCACGTCTCTTCGCCGGAGGGACCGGAACGCTGGGCCGTCATAGAGTTAGTGATACAGAAAGCGCTAGGCAATAGAGACTTTAGCCCAGTCGAGGAAGACAAGATGCCGTGGATGGATACATGGATGCAGATGCAAGCTATTTCGGGCGTAGATCCGTTTTCCATGGGATATGCATGACTGATGCTTCACTAATGGCGTGTTTTCTTTTTTGAGTTGATAGCGTTGATTATTGTTATCAAGGATTGGAGTTGGTATAAATAGGAGGTTGCTCTCAGATTTACGAGCTTCAGTTATGTTTAAACGCGACTTTTCTGACAGCGCTAGAGACTCTGTGCTATCTTGGTTCCGAACCTGGGCTAACCTATTGATGTTCTCCTTATCGGTATTTCCCCACACCGGCCCTAGTAGGGGAGTAAGTAGAGATCCTGGGTGTACGAGTTATGTTTAGAAGACAAGTAAGTAATGCTGATGTTACAGGTATGCCCCACGACTGATACTTATGGCGGGTTCCCCACTTTTAGCAGTATTACCTATCCACGAAGAGCTTTACTTTATCCCGCGCATCACTGAACCTTATTAGCTGTACGAAGGATATTAAACACTGGAGAGAGAAGAGAAAGTCAGAGTTTTCTTTCAGAGTAGCAACTAAAAAAAGAAAAAGAAGGAGAAGAAAAAAAGAAGACTCCAAGGCAGCTACTCGGGTTAAAAGTGTTAAAGGCCCCCTCCGGCTGCCCCTTTCGGCGCCCTGCTCCCTAGTGATCACGTGACCTAGCGAGCCCATATAGGCTTCGCCTAGCTCCTAGATCCAATGAAGCAAGCTTTCTCCCGCTTCCTTCAAAAAGCTGCTACATACAAATTTAAATATAGCCAGGACCATGATATCATGGTGGAGATGGCGTTAACACACTGTAGATCTTCATTAACGACAGCCGGACTGGAAAACAGTCAAAAGGCCCAATCTAGCCAGTGACAAGACCTGATATAACTCCCACGTGTTAGTGTCGGACCGCTCGGGTTATGTATCGCTATTATTGGAGGTTTAACTTGGAAATTAGGGCAGTAATCTAAAGCCCCCGAAAGCCACCGATCCCGATTATCGATGACCGATGAGATCGCGGCTGGTGGAACCACTTGGCGATGGATTTCCTGGCAGGTACACAAATCAGCCCTCAGCATTTAGTGGTAGACCGCGATTCTGGGGCGTCTCGCGGTTGACCCGAACTGCACGATGACAGTGCGCATGCATTCGTCGCCGCAATGACTTGCCTATAAAAGATGGCCCGGTGCTCGACATCCTTTGGCCGCGCTACGAGGGCTGAGAAGAACATACGCCAAGTATAGCGTACTGTACATATACATAATTGTCCTGAAGCGGAAATATGGTTGCGATACTGAGAGCATTGAGCATTGGCCTTACAACGGGCCATGCTGTTTGGGCCACCCAGATCACAGAACGTACGCAAAGTTGCTCCTCGGTGCACTTTTTCCTCGCCCGTGGCACGTCCGAACCATATCCAGGTACACAAGGCCAGCTTGTGAATGCAACCTGCAGCCAGTTGAGAAATTGCGACTATGAGGATATCATATACCCCGCCACCTCGAACAGCACCGACGGATTCTGTTGGTCTGTCGAATCGGGCGTGCAAAACGGAACCCAGCAGCTTATCGACTACGCCAACCGATGTCCGGATTCGAAGCTGGTAATTAGCGGATATTCTCAGGGTGCCCAGGTGGTCACAGATATCCTCGGTGGAGGAGGCGGCCAGCTATGGGACCTCTGCAAGCAATCTGCCAGTGCAGCGCTGGATACATCTACTAATGCTAGCAGGAATCGTACGTTTTTCTTTTCTTTTCTTTTCTTTCTTTCTTTCTTTTTTTTTCGCCCTTTATCTATATACTAATTTCCGTACTAACGATGCAATACGTATAGTTGCCGCTGCTATAGTTTTTGGCGATACACGGCATACTGCAAATCAATCGTACAATCTCCTGAGTGGCTGGGATATAAATGGTTACGCTATTCGGACGCAGAACATGCTCGATGCTCTCGATGTCTACGCAAGCAGAATGCGTTCATACTGCGACAAAAACGACCCGATCTGCTGCAGAGGACACGACCTCAATACGCATCTGACGTACCTTACCAATTACACCGACGATGCCGCTTCCTGGCTGGTTTCGACAATCAATAAGGCAACGATACCATAGAAAGATGTGTCCAACGCCCGCAGCATCGTCGTATATATTGAAGGAAAGGGTTTCCCTACCGCATCATCTACCCTAACTGGATCCAGCGCTGCACAATAGATTGCCAGCAGTCTGAATAGCCACCATTGCGTTTCTGGCCACCCTGGGCCTATATACAGTTGTATAATCACCCTATATATACGTTCCTATCTGATAGAATGATGTGAATATACAACGATTCAACGAAGAGATCAATACAAGAGTGTTTTGCGAAGCCATAATGATGAAAAGCGAAGATTACTCGTATGTCATTGCATCACAACTGGGCGCTAGTCCCTCAACAATTGTTTGACTCTCTCAAACGCGGCGCTTTATTGATCGTTTAATACTCCCTGCTATCTGGATGGGACTTTGGAAATGGACATACCGGGATTTAAAGAAAGTTACTACCTAGGTAGCTATTGACGGGGTAAATGTGGATCCTGTTACTAGTGTACTTAATACACCGTTATTGCTGGCAGCCGAGAATGGGTATCAAGAAATTCAGAAGATCTTGTCAGTAGGGTGTGTAAAGGTTGATGCGAGAAATTGGAATGGGCAGACGTGGTTAATGCTGGCATTAAGGATGCGGCGATACGAAGTAATAGAGATACTTAGGGCGGACAGTCCCTGGAACTTAGGATAGTCTAGATGATAGACGCCTTCTAGTTAAAGTTCGGCAAAATAGGATTATTTGGGAATTCCTTCCCAAGTCACTTCTTCACCCAGAAATAATCGTGTATACTCTCAATATTCGAGGAAAGGCATACCTTGGAAAGTCCCTCTATGTAAGGGACCTTCCATTCCGGGGTTTAATAGCTCGATCCATCTAACCCTAGGACTAGAACAGGAACTGAAGCCAATCCCGGTCTATGCAGACACAGCCAACGACGCTATCCCGGTGGGAAACACTGGCTATAGGCTAATGACGAAGTGGCTTGGTAGTCGCTACTTTTCCGTGCGTGAGGCTGTCAGCACTAATCAGATTGAACCCCGAAAGATCGGAGGAAAAGAGAACCCGGCAGATAAGTAGCTTCGAGCTCTTGAGCTCAATTCCTAGAGAATCAAGCATTCCATCAATCTTCCCCCAGAGCCTCCAAGAAAACATGGGTTATACTTTGTACGATGGAACCATTGTGGTCCTCCAAGGTATCCTCAACTCCTTATCCCACATCCTCCACCAAGCCGAGCAACGCCCCGATGGTAGCAGTCTGCTCGAGGCTCGTTTACACGAGGACATGTACCCATTCACAGATCAAGTCCGCCTCGCGACCCAGTTCTCGGAAAATGTGGCCGCAAGATTGACAGCTCGGGAGCCGGTAACCTTTGAAGGCAAACCCGCGACATTTTCCCAATGCTACGAGCGCATTGAGACGGTTCTGAAAGTGCTCAACGAGGCCGACAAGAACGTCGTTAACCAAAATGGCGACATGCTTGCGACCACTAAGCTTGGTCCAGAGAAGACGGTTGAGATGAGCGGCGCTACGTATGCCCATATTGTTGCCTTACCCAACGTCTTCTTCCATCTTACCACCGCGTATGGAATTCTGCGAAAGGAGGGGGTGCCGCTGGGCAAGCGGGACTATTATATTGGCTTCTTTCCTCCAGTCGCCGGAAGCCAGTAAAGCGACGACCTTCGAATAGCGCATGATTTATGCCAAGAGATCAATACGTCAAAGAGACATTCTTGAACCCCAGAGACTGAGACCAAATTGAGAGATTCATCGTGATAGACTGAAGTGAACAAATGAACAAGTGATTAGGTTTCAGTAAGGTCCACTTTCAACGTTTGGGGAGCACTCCTCAATAATAGTCGGCTTCGGGCTGCCTAGATGACCACTTGCATTGTTTCAAAGCTCCTAAGCTCCTAGTAGCAGTTCGCCGCTCACCCGGCCACCACAGTAAGTAGCTAATCATCTAGTCAGATATAGCCGATCCTGACTACGGCGTCAGGATCCGAATTCAAGCTTCCTAAGTATCAGTCAGCTCGAGACATTATCAGGAATAAGAGTCCCGCCACACAATGTAACATTATACACGCCTTCAGTTGCAGAATTGCAGTAGTGCTGACATGATAAGAACCCGTATCAAATAGCGTCGAACTTTAGTTTCAGCATGAAATGGCCTTTCTAAACTTGTATCGTTGTTGTTGGCTGCCTGCTATGGGGGCGAAAAGAGCCGTGTACGTAGGGCGTCTCTGCGCCTAGATTCCTTGGTTTTATCCGCTAAAATGATACAGGTTTGTAGTTAGGCTGCCAACTATTTCAATACACTAATAATTTGTACCTACGGGCGCGAGCCCGTTTTCAATTGAGGACACTATTTGACAATAGTTAAAGTATTGACGGTTCCTTTCCTTTCTTTCAAACCACCCACAGTACATATATAGATGAATCTGAGGCTGTCAGCCTCCGATCTCGTTTAACCACTATGTCTCTATCGCCGAGACGGATCGTCGAGCTGGCAACCACCGTGGCGCAACACACTCAACAAATTGACTCTTATCTTGCTGAGAAGGGGTTACCATATCCATCTTTCGAGGCCAATGGGCCAGCTGACCTTAGTCTGCCGCCTCATATCGAACAGTCACGCACTGTAGCCCTCCAAGCAAGCCAAGAGCTCAATGACTTATTTCAAGGACCGAGGGATCTACTTTTCAATCACGAGGTCCGTTTATCTACCAACGATGGAGCCCAGATAGCAGCTAACGCTACAATAACACAATGCGGTGGTGTATCTGAAACTAATTTCGCGCTTCGATATTTCAAACAAAGTGCCTACGGATGGAGAGATCACATTCACGGATTTGGCAGCTATTATTGGTATTGATCGTGCTGCACTCTGTTCTATTCTCCGTCTCGGAATCGCACACCGCGTATTCAAGGAGCCTCGCCCTGGAGTCATTGCCCACTCTGCAGCTTCCAGACAGATCGCGGAAGACGCCCGTGTCGCAAGCTGGGTTGGGGCGAATGTAGATGATATGTGGCCCGCGGCCGAGAAAGTTGTGGATGCCCTTGTAAAATGGCCACTTGCCGCAGAGCCAAATCAAACGGTACACTTCGCGAACGCTTCCAGATCCCCAGTGGTATCTCGCTAATGATAGGTAGGGCTTCTCACTGGCCAACGGTACGGATCAGTCTTTCTATGCCGAACTAGCTAAAAACCCCGATCGAGCGCGCCGGTTTGCTGGCGCTATGAGCTTTTTCACCACAGGCGAAGGATATTCCCTGCGTCATCTCACGGATGGATATTGCTGGGATTCGATAGGCGCCGGGACTGTTATCGACCTGGGTGGATCCCATGGCGATGCAGCGTTTGCATTGGCTCGTAAATACCCAAGTCTACACCTAATCGTCCAGGAGCTGCCTCAGGTCGTCGCAGAGTCCAAGGAAGAAGTCGGCCTAGACGTGAAATTCATGACGCATGATCTCTTCGAGGAGCAGCCTGTGCAGGACGCAGACGTTTATCTCTATCGTTGGACTTTACATAACTGGCCTGATAAGTATTGTATCAGGGCCCTGAAGGCGTTAATCCCCGCTCTGAAGCCAGGTTCGCGAGTGCTTATTATGGACTTTGTGATGCCCCCTCCAGGTGTGCTCCCTAATAATGTTGAACGAAAGCTGAGGTAAGTGTTTCATAACCCGATATTATCGTTTCCGCACCACTAAGTATGTACTGTACTAAGCCATTCAGGGCCATGGACATCACTATGCTAGAAATCGGAAACGCCAAAGAACGCGACATTGATGAATGGCAATCCCTGTTTGAACAAGCTGATCCAAGGTTCCATTTTAAAGGTGCGAAGCAGCCACCGGGTTCTATACTTTCAATCCTCGAGGCGACATGGGAGGGGTAAAACCATTCGTTTTCTTTAGGAAAAGGAACGTCGCAGAATGTCAAGAGTTCAAACATCCAGTACAATTGAAGACTCTTACATAATTCGTCGATGAGGTGTTAAAATTCCCCCTTGCAGGTCATTATCTTTCTCCCTGGGACAGAAACGTATAATATTGCTATTTTTGAAACAGCTTCACTCCCCCGTTTAGTATTACATACCACGAGACCTGTTCTATCTTCTTCTCCCAGCGGCCGATATCATCTGAAACACACCCATATATTCGACGAACTTCTACCAGGTTTTCACTCCATATGAAAATTGCCCGGTTTACCAAACAAGTCGGTTTTGATGTCGAAGAACAGCAGTTTGTCGTTCACACACACGTCGGTGCTGGCTTGCTTCGGCTTCACAATCTTCTCCTTCGCTACTTTTGTTCCTGCTTGAGACGTCTTTCAGAGTTTGAATTTTTGCGACAACAAGGTCATGCCTTTCCATCTCCTCTCTATACTCTCCGTCGAATGGAGCTAGCTCCAACTCCTGCGTCGGTGTCTCGATCTTGCTCTGACCCTTTCTTTGCTCGGCATCGATCCTGTCTTGTGCTTGCTCAGAAGATCGCCTGCCTTTGTGAGTGCATCCTCTAGTTCCTTGATCGTGGATTTGAGCTTCACTAGTAGCTTGACCTGACGGTTCACATCATCCGTCTCTCCCCTTGGTGACTCTTTGATCTGACCATAGGCACCGTTCTGCGTCAGCCGATCCAAGGCTCTACAAGATTTAGCAATGCCTCTGGCACATTAATGCCCCGTTCGATATCCCGGAATGCTAGACTGCCCATGATTGTCCGTGTAGCGTGTCGAGCTTCGCCATCGATTGCCTCACGAGTCTTGATTTGTTCCAGAACTATATGAATTCTTGAAACTTGGCATGCTATAGCATTATATTTGTCAGATATTGGCGATCAACATAAGGGAATGTGTGAAGTTAATCTCACCTAGTAGGCGCATCTAAACCCCACGCTGCCTTATGATTTCTCAAACACTGTTCTTTCTATCTCTATGCCTTATCTTCCTTCTCTGCAATTTTGTTAGTCTCGTCGATTAAAGGAAACATGAGTAACAGCTTACCGAGCCAGGAAGGCTAACTCGGTAATACTAAACGTTTTGTATTCATTCTTATCTTGACTTTGTAGTACCAGGCATGTTGATAGATAATTAAATGAATTCAGCAAGGATTCTTATAACAGCTTAAAATCGCAGTCAGTTTGCTATTAATGTACCGACCACATTTTTACACTTTTACTCTACCTTACTCCCCGTTAACGATCCCGAGATTTATTAGTTAAATCATACAGCCACACAAACATAATACCCCTCCCACAGCGACGCACAACTGTCCCCCACGGCAGGATTCCACTCCACAAAGTCGGCGGCGGAGATCCCGTACGCCTGCTCAATAGAATAGCAGCTATCCCCCTCGGCGACAAGGTAGTAACTAGTGCAACTGTCGGTGATGTCCGGCATAGGGGCGACGGTAGTAGTTGCCACGCAGTAGTAGTAGCCTGCCCACAGGCTGGTGCAGTCAGACCCGACGGCCGGGTTCCAGTCGATGAATTCAGTCTCGGTGAGGTAGGCGTATTTTTCCGTCACGATTGACCAGCAACTGTCGTTAGCGGTGGCCTCGTAGTAGGTGGTACAGTTAGTGGTAATGCCAGTTTGGGTCGGGGAGGGGCCTATAATAGTTGCTGTTGTAGTTGTTGTGGTTAGAATTAAAGTAGATGCGGTGGTAGTAGTTGAGGCGATGGTGGCAGTAGGGGGGGTTATGGACTGCGTGGTCATAGTTGTTGCATTAGAGCCTAGTTGGGTTGTAGAATTAATGTTAGGAATGAATGTCATCGCTTCCTTGATCTCATTAAGGGTGAAGGGAAAAGACAGGACGAACCAGGGACGCCCACGCAGACATAGTACCCATATTCCATAGTGTTACAGTCGGACCCTACCGCGGGATTCCAGGCGTAGAATTCAGCCATGGTGATATCGAACTCCTCGAGGATAGCGGTGCAGGCATCGCCCTCGTTTACATAGTAATAATCATCGCCTGCCATTAAGCTTGGCTGTCAGGTACTGCGCGGAAGGACAATAACATTGCTATATTCATGGGGTGAGGAAACTCACAGTTCGATGTAAGACCGGTCTGCTGAGGCTCGTATGGTAAGGACGAGGTTGCAGTTGCGGTTGTTGTTCCAGCGATAGTGGCAGTAGCAGTGGCAATGTTAGAAGTACCCCCGGTTACCCCAACACAGACATAGTAGCCTGGCTCCAAACCGACGCAGCCTGTCGAGATAGAACTGAAAGGATGTGACCTGGTTAGCTTTGCATTCCTACATGTGAATTGCTCTCGCCAAGACTCAAGATATAGGGAAGACTAACGGGTTCCAAGTGTAGAACTCATTGAGTGTGAAATCCAAGTACAGATCCTGGATCGTATAGCAAGTATCTGTTGATTTAACATAGTAGTACTCATTGCACGCCCCCACGAGGCCACTCTGCGTTGGTGAAGGCACTCCGCCCGAGTAAGTGGTGACAGTGGTGGCCGATGCAGAGGTAGCAGTCGCAGCCGCGAGGGTCGTGCTGGTCACAAAATCCGTCACCTCGGTGAAACCGACAACTGGGATCGCGGTATTCGTCGTAGTGGACGCAGCCGCGGTGACAGTCACGGCCGGACCCTCGACGCAGTAGCTCCATCCTTCGATCAGCACGCAGTAGTCTTCCAGCAGCGAGGGATTCCAGGCATGGAGCTCAGCGACAGTGGCATCAAAGTACATCTCGAGCTCCGCACAGGTATCGGTCGCGGAGATGTCGTTGGCCCAATACTCACAGTCACTGGTCACGTCTGGATCGGTGGTGCCAGTGGCAGTGTCCCCGTTTAGCCATCGTTTCTGGATCCGGGGGGATGCCGCGGCCTGCGCCAGAAGACAAGAAAGGACAAAAGGGTAGAACTGCATAATCCTTGAGGTTCTGACACGAGGAAAGAAGAGAGCAGGTAGGAGGAGCCTATATAAGAATGATTAATATCATCTTCGAAACAGGAATTGATTATCTACCATGCATGCCAGCTTTTAATAAGGCAATTTTGTATAAAACGCCGTTTATAGTCGTTTGTAGGGCTAGTGGAGTAGTAATGCCCTAGTCCTCCGTAGGGGCGGAGAACATCGGACTAGTCTCAATAGTCGTAAATGCTTATACGTGCTTGTATGAGTACCTAATTATACTGTATAAACTAGTCACACTAGCTATATCCTACTCAATCTCTTCTGGTGAAAACCCTGTATCTTATTGAAGGTTGTTCACTGGCTGGTAGAATATACGTACAATTTTGGGCCTGTAGGCCAGGCGGATACCTAGGTATCGCCTGCCTCCTTCCGTTTTAGGCTTAGCTAGTCGCACTGATTAGTAGTTTAGATAGCTCAGAGCTTCAGAGCTCGATCCTAGGAGAATTAAGCATCTTTATCATTCAGCTTCGCGTGCCCGAGATATAACAGGGATCTCTAGGTGCCAGCCTAAATCCTAGAAACCACTGCGCTAAAAGGCTATACATACTATAGCAGTAGCCTAACGGCTACTACGGGCTGACACCCCTTATAAGCTTTGACTACGAGACGCTCTATTACAGTATCTACGGCCAAGTCCAATTGTTTATGTCCTTTATTATACTGTTACGGGGAACCCGTAATATGATCGGAGTTATATTTAGTCCGCTCCCCCGGCTATATCATATACCTAGTCTGACACTTCTCTACTTATTATTATATATACCACAGCTCTACTTATAAGTATCAGATTGCTCTATAATTCTTCTATTCTCTATGCCTAGTCACGCCTTATAGCTCGAGTTCCCGTGTAGCGCCTTACATTATCCCTGCTATCAGTGCCTTTCCCATATTAATACCTAGACTAGTATATCCCGGATTATAGCTCGAGGGTTTTAGGGAAAAGTTCTAAGGGGTTAGAAATTTTTAGTTGATAAATTTCTACCCCTATTAAGCTTTTAACAGTATTCGCTTAATATTACTTAGCTTATATAAAGTTAAACCCTATAGTCTCTCGCTTGCCTAGATTATATAATACTAAAGCTATAAAGTACAGGAGGATTATTATATAAATAGATCCTAGATCGCTATCTTACTAGAAGCCAGCGATTCGTTCTAATATATCCTATATCCTACTGTTACTTTAGTTCGTATAGACATTCCACAAGTAGGATACGACGGCGTAAACCCTTCTCCAGGCCGGGCAGACCCCTCTCCGAGCTGGGTGCGCGATGCTGCTACCCCTAGGCGAAAGCTCGGCGGGGGTAGAGATGAGCTGCAGACCCAGCAGATCCTATTATGGACCAATTGACTGGAGTAAGTCTCATCACTGTCTCCCACGCACGCTCCTCTACTGCACGGTCCAAGAGAGCTTGATCCGCATCGCTGAGCTCAGTGACGCTTATGCTCGCCCCGTGGTCGGCCAGGAAGTCTGCCAATTTAAAATCCGCGTCCCGTACTGCGCCATGCAGCGCCCAACCGCCTCCGGCTCGCGCTGGGTCTGCGCCGTACTGAAATAGCAGCTGAATTTTTTCCCACCGCTGGCTCCTGGCTTTTGGCGAGAGTTGATATTGGCCGTGCTGCGGGTAAAAGTTCCCTACTGCAAAGGCGAGAGGCCCCCACTTATCGTTGTTGTCGATGTTTGGATCAGCACCCGCCTCAAGCAGGAGCTGATATAAGTCCAGTTGGTGACAGTAATGCAAGGGTCGCCGTTCCACGATCATACCGGAATAGAGGAAGTTAACATCGACCCCGGTCGCGAGGATCATCCTAGTGACCTCGATGTCCTTGGCCCGCTCTACCGCATACCGTAGTGCCATGTGAATGGGTTCCCAGGTGGTGAAGGGCTGCAGATGCTCTCGATGCCTGGCGTCCTCGAGCAGTACTTGCAGCATCTCCCGGCTGAATTTCTGCCGTTGCACCCCCTGGGAAAGAAATGAGGTATGTTTACCCCAGGGGTTGACACCGCGGGCGAGCAGCATCTGCACCACGGGCAGGTGGTTGTTGAGGGCTGCCCGCGCAAAAAGGATGGCGTGACCCCGTGGACCCAGTCGGCTACCGAAACTCTCTTGCTCCCGATCCAAGATGGTCTGAAGGAATTTGACATGACCCTTCTCGGCAGCAAGCCGGACTGGATGTTTAGGCAAAAGCCCAGTCCACCCGGTTGAAGTTGGCTTCTCCTGCCAGATTCGAGGGTGGTATAGGTTTGCGCCCGCGTCGAGGAGCCTGACTAATGTATCGTGCCTTCCATTCTGAGCAGCCCATATAAGTGCCGGTGCTGGGGGTCGCTTGGCATGTCTTGTAAGGTGGTATCTATACAGAAAGGAGTTGAACTGCGTGTAAAAGGTACGGTTAGTGCGCGCTAGCGCATTGATGGCATCCTCTGAGTCCAAAGACTCTGCGATGAGCTGGTGCAGCTCGCTGGGTAGTCCGCTAAAGCCCATAGAGGCAGTGTAATGCTTAAAGGGGAGACAAGGATAATGGGAATAGAGAAATGGCTAAGGGGCGAAAATTAAGGGCAAATATGATGAATTTAATCTTGTCGGATATTGTTCCGTCCGTCTGACTAATACAACTGTAGTCAACTAACTAACTAACTAGTTAGTTAACTGCTGCCCCTGCCATACTAGTATCAGCATTGAATATGTCCAATCCAGCGGCAAGTCTTCAAAGTCCCTATGCTTTTAGTCCACATCCTCCGGGTTCTCGCATTCTCCATTCCGCCAATTGCACTGATCCAAGTATAGACCTATACCAATTTTCCCAATTAGCACTTTCACTTCTTCCTGAGGCCAATACAGACAGAGTCATACTTACCGGCGCTGAAGTATGCGAATGTCTCTGGATAGTATAGGCATTAGCTTTGATACTAAGGGACAACATCAAGGGCCTTTTAGTAGAACTTGCCAGCATTTTTTACCGCATTCGCCCGGGTCTCAGGGTTGTCCGCCAGATCGAAGCATTTCTCCCATCGGTAGGCATTCTCCTCTTCGGAGGTAAACATATCCTCTTCAATATGGTAGTAAGAAGAGAATTAGCGGTGTGTTAACATGGTATTGGAAGGTAGACCCGGAAAAGACGGGGAAAAAAAGAAAGAGGAATGCATACCCAGAACACCGCTGGCGCCAAAGAACGACTCGGTGTGTGTCAGCTCATGGAGCAGAGTCACCTCACCGGTAGTGGCCACAATATCATCCATATACTCACCCTGAATTCCGGTCAAACTGCCAGTGTCATATTGGTCAATGTGAGCAATCCAGGCTTCCTCATACTCTGTGTCTGGGTTGGTCATAGGCAAAGAGTCCGGGCAGATAGTCATAATATCTCTCGTGAATGTGGTGGTCTCCTGCATCATGGCTCTTAGATTACCGTCGCAATTGTCCTCGGCAGGAATAAGCAGCATGTCAGGGTAGACAGTACTGCGGTATACGACAGGATCTATGTTCGGCAGTAGTATTTAGCCATAGTCGAAACCAAATATACTCCTAGATAAGGCGAACTCACAGACCCCCTTGATTTCTCTCAAGTGATCGTTATTACAGCAGACCCCGATCTCAAGGGCGTCGTTTTCCAGACCGCCAAGAAGTTGGTTCGCAAAAGCTGCCTGTGTTAGGTCTCGAACCCTGCCGTTGAGCGTCATTAGGCACTCCAGACTTACTGGCGACTGTGTCAACGGTTGTTTGCGCGGTCGAAATCGCGTCCGTATCGACAGGGTCGAATATCCCGTACATAGCCATGAAAAGATCTAGCTTGGCTCGGTCGGCCGCCTCCAAGTCCTCTCGCGCCTTACCAAGGTTGTCTTTAATTGTCGAAAGGCCCGATATGGTGCTATAAAGCTGTATAGTATCTTGTCAGCCTCCACGAGATAGTGCAGGCACTGATGCATGCTCCGATGCCCAGGGTTATGCTCACCATGCTCTGAATGTTGTAGATGGCTTTTGCGAGATAGTTTGTAGCGGCGGTATCACAAGATACTGAGTCAAGCACGATGTTCCGCATTGTCCACTGAGCCGACACCCCGGGCCACAGCTGGGCAGTGGTAGATAGCCCGATCCATGCAGCCAGAAGGCCCTTGGTATTGAAGATTGACCGCATTATACCTTTCTCTCACTGGCTCTTTCGTGCTTTAATGAATACCGTTTGCGCTCCTGGGTGCAAAGAATAGTTAAAACGCAGGCTCAAGCTCTAGCTTCACCAAGGATAATATATGCCTTTCCCTTAGTGACTAAGGGACAATCGTGATTATGCTAATTTTTGTTCCTGTGTTAGTAGACTATAGAAGGTAACCCCGATCCACCTGCCCCTAGACTACTATTATCTAAATAAATCACCGGTAAGAGCGAGACAGAAGCTCCCAACCATATAGAGAGCTCGCTTCTAAACATACAGCTTCCTTCGGAAAACGAAGCGTCTACAATTCTTCGGTGTGCTATACCGCAAAAACAATGCACGTACGGTAATTTACCATGTCAGAAATACTTGATACATTTAGTAGAAATATTGGGCTTAAAATCCCTTAATACCAGCCACTAGGAGTTTAGTTACGTTTGGCGACCGCGTCCAGGAGGAGGATCTAACCCTTACGACCCTAGAGCATGAGCTCCAGGCCATTAAAGAACGCCTAAATCGCTGCGAGAGTATCTAGTGAGAAGGAGACCTTTAAACGCCCCGATATGATCGTTAATTAAACGAACTATGGTCACGGGCTATATTGACGATATCTGCATGCTAGTCTGGAATAACTCCACCGTCCGGAACTGTTACCGGCTGGCCGAAGCACACCAACTATTTAGCCGAGATCTAGGAGCGAAAGCACGGATCTAGATTCGCACCTATGGTAGTAAATATGGCCTGATCCACTTCACCTCAAAGCACTAATACTTCCCCCGGCTTATGGGGCCCGTGACAGGGTCTTTTTAAATCTAGAATACTGATATCCACTCTAAATACATATGTAGTTAAGTATCTGGGCGTCTGGTTATCTAGACAAGGCGTTTGGCCACACAACTGTATAGCTAAGGCCTTTACAGAGTAGTCTTGCTAGGGTGCGGGAGGCTGCGGGAGCCCGTGCGCGGGAGCGAAAACGGCAGACGCTCGGCCGAGAACGGCAGGAGAAAGAGTGTTCCAAGGTTAAAGAGAGTGAATTTCAGTCAATCGCGCATTTATATACATAAATATACATAATGATATTAGAGCTAGACGAGGTTAACGAGGTTAACGGCCAGCGGCGGGCGGTCAAGCAAGCGGTAAGGGTAATGGACCCGCGGAACTGGCCCGCTGCCCGATTGTGACCTGCCGCCACTGAGCCGACAGAGCTGACAGATGCGGAATTGAATTCTACGATCTAGTCACTACGTATCTACTACTAGTCTACTGCAAAAGTATACTCCGTAGACTGAGGATAAAAGCTAAAGCACGCGCTAGCGTACTACGGCCTATATCTCCGTAGACCACGCGACGAGTAGGAAGTCGGCGCGGAACCCTAGAGGGATATGGAGGCTAGATTCGGGTGTATCTTAGGTACCTACCTTTAGCCGCCACGTGCCTTTCCCTATTGTACGTAGTCTATTCGGCCCACCGTCCCTTCACCGGACCGAACCGAGCGTTCCGGAGCGCCCGGTTCCCAAAGGGTAGCCAGCCAGCCTACGGCCCGCCCAGGGCTCTTGGTATCTCCGTGCCGCTTATCTAACTACTAGATACTAACTAACTAACCAGTTCAAGGAGTAAAGACCCTTTCCTCTGTTAGTGTGAACTACCTAGGTAGTCTGTGCGAAGATGCAAGTGACAAACCGATTAATTACCGCTAAATTGGTTGGCTCGTGGTGAAGACCATACCACCACGGGACACTCGAACTGCGTCAAAAAAAAAGAAACCAGGCATGAAAACTCTACTCTCAAAGCGCAGTCAGTATTCCGTGAGCGCTATACACGGTCGAATGCTCGCAATGTGCAATTCGCTTTCTCCGGTGGGCTAAATTAGCTTGCTAATAGTCTGCATCACTGGTGTCCTTGGGTCGAGCTTCGGAGATTGCGATCCAACATGGAAAAAGGAAGGCATGGAAGTGTGAGTGAGTAAAAAGAAAGATACAGGTGGAGACTAATCCGAAGGCTTCTGCGTTGAAGTAAGATAGACGAAGGCGAGAGGCGAGCGGTTGATGGTCTCCCGATGAGTTGCAAAAGGTTGAATAGAGAACATATTAAACTCGAGAGCTCCCTTCAGACGCCCATCGAGATTTGTGTTCCCTCACCATTTCCATATTCCATCGGGTTCAGGATGAACGCAACTCTCTCGAGAGGGCTCTTGCTCGGCTCACTGTTGGGGACGTTGGTGTCTGCAGCCACAGGCGGATCCGGCACCTGCTCTTCAACATCAGAGTGTGTCAGCGGTTGTTGTAGCTCCAGTGGCTATTGCGGCTTCGGCCCAGACTTCTGCGGCGATGATGTGTGTATATCGACTTGTGACGCGTTAGCGGAGTGTGGGCGTATGCGGTTCCCCCTTGCATTTGGTGCTCGACGCATTGACACACTGACATTTCCGCATAGCATATGCTGAGGTCGCCAACACTACTTGCCCGTTGAATGTCTGCTGCTCGCCTTATGGGTGAGAGAGATATCCTGACCGTGTCTGATAACACCTCTGACCATATGATTAGGTTCTGTGGAACGACAGAAGACTTCTGTGGTACCGGTTGCCAAAGCAATTGTGATGCAGTTACTGAGCCGTGAGTCCAGCGTTCGAAATATGTTTTCGCGATTACTCTGACACAGCCTTATAGATCTTGCTCCGGCACCTCCAGCGAAGCGGTTTACATAGGGTACTATGAGGCTTGGAATTATCAACATCCCTGTGATGTAATTCACCCTTCGGATATCGATGTTGCACCTTGGACGGTATGCTCAAGCCCCACCCACCGAATTCTTTCGAAGATAACTCAAGCTAACAAGCATGTCTTAGCATCTCTACTACGCCTTTGCTGGAATTAACAGTGAGACTTCCGAGATTGAGACTTTATACGCCAACGACGAGGAATATATCCCCGAGTTTACGGCCCTGAAGAAGAAGAAGTCGGAATTAAAAACTTTCATCTCGGTTGGAGGCTGGGACCTAGGAGGAGAAGTCTTTTCCTCGATGGTAAGCTTCCCTGGCACACGTTCGGCCTTTATTACTTCGGCGAGTAGCTTTATGAAGAAGTACGGTTTCGACGGGATCGACATTGACTGGGAATATCCAGCCGCCAGTGATCGTGGTAAGTAAAATAACTATATTTCTCTTCGTTCTTGCACTTGCGGGCTGACGTTGCATCTCTTTCTGCTCCAGGAGGCAAAACTGCGGACACGGCGAATTATGTTTCTTTCCTCAAGGAGCTTAGGGAGGAGTGTGGTGATACGTATGGGATTACAGTCACCTTGCCATCCTCCTACTGTAAGTCAAGCACAGCAGATTACCTTGAGCTCATCACTCAGCCATGTTGTAGGGTACCTCAAGGGCTTCGATATCTCGTCAATGGCAGAATACGTGGACTACTTCAACTTCATGTCGTATGATATTCACGGGACATGGGATGGAGAGAGTAACTATACGTCCTCGGTGGTCAATCCGCATACTAATCTTACGGGTAAGAAACATGCACTGCTCTCCTAACTTTCGCCAGGAAAAAAGCTAAACTGAGAATATAACAGAAATAAGCGAGGGCCTAGACCTGCTGTGGCGCAACAACATTGACCCCGGTAAAGTACTTCTTGGTCTCGGATTTTATGGCCGTTCTTTCACCTTGCTCGAGACCAACTGCACCACTCCAGGATGTCCCTTTGATACATCTGCCTTTACTGCCGGTGGAGCTTCCCCTGGTCAGTGCACGCAGACCAGTGGAATTCTATCGGATTATGAGATCAACCGCGTTTTGGAAGAGTATGACCCTATAATCCAGTATAATGAAGCCGCTGCAGTGAACTGGATTACCTGGAACGAAAACCAATGGTATGTTTATTGCTTCAGTCGCTTTGCTGTGAAGGATAATGTGCTTGCTCTAATTTCCTCTCTGTTTAGGGTTTCTTTCGACAATGCCAAGACATTTAAGCAAAAGGCTGATTTCGCCAATGACCTCTGCCTTGGGGGCCTTTTCAGTTGGGCACTTGACCTCGGAGGGCCGGGATCGTTAGCGAACCCTAACGAAATGAATGCTCTGGACACATCTATGGCTGGAGCGAGCACTGAGGGTGGGAGCGATGGCACAGGGGACTTCTATGTGGGTCAAGAGATCTATAACTCGGATAATGGTACCGTCACAGGGATTGGTCCTATCAATATGATCTTCCCTCCTAGTACCTTGGGATCGCCGACTACTATTTACCCGGGACCTTTTATCACTCCGCTAGAAGTGGCCTGGCCAACCACTACCACCATTACGACCAACAATACTGTCTATATAACTACTACAGTCACTCGGGTGGTCCAGACTACCACAATTACGCTAAATCCGATTATTACTGGGACCGTGCAATGGTGGAACTGGAACATTACCGCGTCGAATCAGACCACTGGTACAACAACTCTGTTTCCTAGCATTGGCATTGGCCCTATAGTGATTCAAGATAACCCTAACCCGCTGGGTATGGGCACCGCCTCGCACACGGTTACCTCCAACCGAACTATCGTCGTGCCCCCTTGGCCTTGGTCGACCACCTCCCTCCCCACGACTGTTCCTACAGGGCCGATCATCCACTTTACTGAAGGATCCCCACCCAGTCCGACGTGTACGGCTAACTGCGGAAATAAATGCACTACCTTTTGTGAAGCTCCCTGTATGATTAACTGCAACTCTGGATACGGGGGCGACTCCACGGGGTTCGATGACCCGTCTGACCCAGACCCGCCGCACCATCAGAAGTGCGCTGGCCCAGACTGCAAGAATGGAGAATGTACAGGATCCCTGTGCGCCGAGTTTGGCTGTTCTGGAAGCAACTGTGATAGCGATAGCGGTATATGTCTGGGCTCGGACTGCGAGGAGACGGGCTGCATGGGCGACGATTGCGGCCAGGGCATCTGTAAGGGGTCATCGTGCCAGACGGTGGGCTGCATCGGTAGCGATTGCAGCAGTGGCAGTGGTACCTGTTTTGGAATTGACTGTCTTTCTATCGGCTGCCTAGGCGCGCTGTGCAACACCAGCGATGGGACGTGCAGCGGCTCCGACTGCCATAAGGTCTCCTGCTCCGGCACCAACTGCAAGAATGGGGTGTGCTCGGGCGAGGGCTGCACGAACGAAGAGACCGACTGCGAGAGTGAGGAGGCGGATATGTGCACTGAATTTGTATACAGCACCTTGGATACCGCTGTCTCGACCTACACCACGGAGACGAGTATTTCGTGCAACACCATTACTGCCTGCTATGCTGAGGCAACAACCACAACTACCACCATATCGAACACCGAGAGTGCCGCCACCCCCTTCATGGCCTGGGCTGCCGAAACCGATACTGCTGTTATGGCATCAGCCGCCAGCAAGATCGACGCAGCCTTCCGCGCCGCTGAGTCGTCCTGGACATCGACCTCGACCTCGACGACATCATCGACTTCCACTTCCACCACTACCTCAACCACGTCGACGACGACAGGACCTGCAGCAACGTCTTTGGCCGATACGACTCCAAACGAGGTCAGCTACAGCTGTTCTGGCATGTCCAAGAGATGCGGTACATTCGAAAACCTCGCCTCCTTCTGCAAGGTGGCCAAATCGTACCTTCGAGGCGATGAGATCTATGGGTGAGTGTTCCTTCCAGAATCTGTCCTCTCAGCATCCACAGGTGAAACGAAAACATGTATACTGACAAGAGCTTTCTACACAGCACGACCTCGGCGAACTCCAACTCCGGTGCCTGCTATACTGACGACATGAATGCGGGCTTCGGGTGCGGCGTCTTCGTCAAGGGCGAAGGATGCCAATTGAAGGGCACGGCAATGCAAGCGTACGTCGCCTCTCCTCTTTCCAAAGGGTAGCCGGAGTTACCCGCTAACGAGCAGAAATGATGATATAGTGCATTCGACCACCTTATGGACGCCGACCTCGGCGGTTGCAAAATCTGCGGACAAGTTCTCTTCTCCAACGGCTGCCACATGCGCGTGGACTATGTCAGCGGCTGTACGCAAGACAACAACGGGCCAGCACAATTTGTAACTTTCAATCCGGACGACAGTGATGATGATGATACAACCTCGGCGACGGCGGCCGTGTCCACCAGCCCTGCAATTCTGACTGTTTCCTCGCCACTCTTGACCCGCAGCCCCTCGGCAATTCCCTGGGTCTCGGTCAATAACAATAATGCAACCATGAGTGTATAGGCTGCAGGCTGTCCGCTTGGGGTGAGCGTGAGTGGGGCTCCATGGAAGTCTTGCAGCTCATCTTTCCACTTTCGTTCCTGTACCAGTTGACGCTGGAACATCTTTTCTTCGTATAAATATAGCTTCGAGATTAAGTGTGAGATCATGTTTCAATTACTATTGTGACGGGAGCACTCGGGCAGAGAGTGGACTATCCACCGCCAGCGAGTATGCAAAAAAATATTATTCCAGTTCCGGGCATATAACATATACCAAGGCCCGTGCATCGAGAAACATACTCGCCCGCAGTTCCCTAGTGGTGCCTATAAACCACGCGAGACAGCAGTTTTCAGGTATGACCCACCTTATGGATACGTACGTCTGCGGATAGCTGAAAGTTATGGTAGGTAACCCTAAGAAGGTCAAGTTGAACCCACACAAGAGCTGTGAATTGACAGACAGAAAGGGGCTCCTGGCACTATAAGTACCACAAGCAGCGTCCTAGCCCTGGTTGACCTCTAATAATCTCTTTCACCTTCGTGGCCCTAAAAGACTTCTTTTGAACGCGGCGTACAACGAGCCATTTGAGAAATACCTATCTACTACGAGCACAGGCTGCGGAAACCATAGTACAATATGAAGAACTTCCTTTCCACGACCTTGTGGCTTGCCCAACTAGCCGCTGTTCACGGCGCCCCAAGCGGTTACAGCAGCAGCAGCAGCAGCAGCAACCTAGCAAAATGCAACGGCCCTCGCTTCCAGCACCAGCCGATAAAGCAGGTCCCACACACTGAGGTGCAGCAAGGGCCTCTCACCAACTCATCAGCATCCGAGTCTCCCTTGACCGACCAGCAAAACACCCCCTACTACTACACGACCAACTGGGCTGGGGCCGCCCTCTTAAGCGCCGACCTTGCCTCCACCCCCATCCTCACCTCTGTGGCCGCAGCCTTCACTGCGCCCATCCCCACTGTTTCCAGTAACATGGCCGGCGAGGCCGCCTCGATCTGGGTAGGGATTGACGGCTTTGTCAACACGGGAGCTATTTTACAAGCGGGAATCGACGTGGTTACCGCATCCTCCTCCACCGAAGAGGAAGTCGAGTACGTCTACACCGCTTGGTATGAATGGTACCCAGCCAACGCGGTGGATTTCTCCCCGGAGGTGCTGGCGATCAAGGGCGGGGATGTCATCGTGGCCACCGTGTATGCGACCTCCTCGTCCGCTGGGGTGGCTGTGATTGAGAACGAGAGCAACGGCCAACGGGCCACAGCGACGGTCACCGCACCTGCCGCCACCAGCACCCTGACTGGCCAGTCGGCCGAGTGGACTGTCGAGGATTACCAGAGTAGCGGGGAGACAGTGTCATTTTTGAACTTTGGGTCCGTCACATTCACGGGTGTGACGGCGGGAGCTGCGGCTGGGAATTTGACGTTTGCCGTGGAGGATGAGGAGGATGAAGCGGCGGTGGCGCTGGTTGATCTTGTGAATCTGAGTACGGAGAAATACGTGGCTAAAGCGAGCATTGTGTATGATGGGTCTGGGATTCTGGTGGAGTATGTTTAGATAATGAGGGAAGATGCAAGTATTCAAGCGTAGTGTGACTCGGGGAGACTGAATGACTGTAGCGGATAGGGTATATATCACTTAAAATCAATGATCAAGTGGTCAAGCTCTTTAGCCCAGAATGGATCCTGCGGGAAAAGATTTTATCCCAATACCAGCGACAAGGTAGTGCTAAAGAAGCAAGCGACATTCGTTATATCATTACTATATGATACCTCTGACTGCGCCGGGCATACCAGAACTTGACTTCAATGAAAACCAAGAGTGTTAAATGGCTCTAGAAAAATTTCTGCAAACGAGGCAAGCTTTGGTTCAGACTCTGAAAGTAAAAATTAAATGCAGATATATTTTCTAAAACTAGTAAGTCTTGTGCTGCGCTAGTCAAAATATCAGGAAGCCATGATTTAATTTACTGGGCGCTTATCAGCTAGCGATATCGAAAGGACTTGGGGTCTTGGTCGAAGGCTCTAAACCGGCCTAATAATGTTGTCTTCACACGCGGTCACGAAACCCTATTCTCCTTCGTCCTCTTCCTCTCTTCCTCTCTTGTTGCTTTTTTCCTTAAGTGACTTAACGCTATGCTGAGCCCAAACCCGAATGTTAGAGACCACATCAACAAATGGGGCTACTCCTTTGTCTCGACTACTGATCATTTCCCACGAGAGAAGACGGATCCTTTGCAGTATGAAACAGACAGACTATGGGATAAGGCACTGGAAAAGCTACTTGAAATTCAAATTCAAGCTGCTCATCGAGAAACTGGGAAAAGTGCTGAAGCTCGACCGCCTGTGCGAGATCTATATACCCTTCTTCGAGATTATCGTGACGCATTACCGAGACTTCGCATGTGGTTACACATAATTTCATGGAGTGCGTCACTAACATGCCTTTCCAATCCAACCTGTCTCGCTTGTTCATCAATGCGGGTAGTCGCTGGATTAATGGGGATGATATCTGCAACCAACTCAAGGTGAGTAATCCCAAATTCATGTACTCGGTCATTTTCGCAGGGCAATGCTTGCTATCAATTGAGCTAGCCTGGGCTCAAAGACTCATTCCTTTCTTCGACGATTTGTCCGTAAAGGTAGGCCAACATAATATCCGTTGTATGGGCCCCTTGGCGCGACATAAATATCTGTCCTAGCTGGCTGAGAAAAGCCATAAAGTTTCTGATTGTTATATGTAACCGGCCGAACATGCCAAGAATTGGAACATGCCGGCCAATATAAAAGACTTGGTGCACTTGCAGAGAAATATCAGGGGAAAGGCAGCGTTACTAATAGTTCTTGGGGGAATAATTAGAACAGAATATTCTTCCATGTTGATTTTCCTCTTCTTGCATATTGAGCGGGTGTAAACTCGCGTTACTGATCTACTTTTCTTCTCCATCACTACGCGATAGAAGTTCTATTTACCTACCTTCTGTCAATAAGGTTTGTGCGGTACACGGGATCTATAACTGCGACTAACAGAGATGTGTCGTTTTTGGTCGAGTGCTTTAGAGAGCCCGATGTATCTAGCTCTTTAAAGGCTCATTATCGTATTTATATCTGAACAAGGCGCAGCTTTACCTCCTTATCTGGGGACCTCGCATAACAGTGGAATATTATGCGGCATTTAGCATGTTGGATAGTAGATCTTTCTATAATAATACGTATGCAAAGTCCAAGTATTATTATCTGGTTCGTTAATAACGATAGTCACCTTGTCGCAGGTCAATTATGGTTAGATCCAGATGGGACCCTAGACGTTGGTCGGTCACGGCGCAGAAAGCAGCTGCGGCCCTTGGTGTTCTTGCACCTTCTACAACTTACATGCTAACGTAAAGCCCTATTTAATATACCATGTATCTCGACAAGTTTTTATTTACTTATGAGAGCCGATGATATTACTGTCGCAACTACTGAACTACCGACGTCGCTTCGATCCAATGTGTCCGCTTATCTGAGCTTGGCCTCTTCGGTTGCTGATATTCCGGACGGCCCAACCAAGTAATTCCACTACTCTGTGTGCAGTGGGATTCTGACCACTCGATGTCGATACTACCGCTACTGGAAATGAGACCCATGGGGGCAATCTGTGGGTATAATCCCAGAATACGACATAAGGATCGCGGTTTGGGAGATCGGTTTCGTTCCTAGAGGAGGAACCAAGACATGTTCGATTTTCTATAACCTCATCAGGCATTCGTGGAGATTGATTCTTTCCTATTTGGAAGCGGCATATCAGGGCACCGTTAGCCTGAGCAGAGATAACAAGAGACTGCAAATCCTCTTTCGCGCCAGAAGGACACACAGCGAGACCGGGATATCTCACAGAGAAACCACGCTTGTTGACCCTACCCGGAGTCAGATCCCAATGGTACACTCGTGTTGACCGCACTACCATCCATAGACAGCAAACCCTGCAGAAGGGCGGTCTCTGTGCCCAGGAGTGCATACATTCGATGCTAAAACGGCACTCTATGCGGCAACGAGAGATCTCACCCTAGAACACAAGCCATGCGAATAAACCCGTCTTCTTTCCGGCTGGTAGAGCGATGTAGTGTCGTGAGAAATGCCTGCACGACAACGCTGCACCGGTTTAGGGTTGCGATATTTTGGAAAGGCATCTCGATAACTCTTTTGAGACCTACCATTCTCCGTTCTGCCCTGTCAATAATATTGAGTCCCAGCGCTCGGATTTTCCAGCACAGGCTTCTCCCATTGGAATGCGGCGTCTAGCGAACCAGTCTGAGTTCTGCAGCTCTGTGATGGAACGATTTGGGTGCCAGATCAAGAGGCATCTCCGGGGAAAAGAAAAGGGCAGTGCGTCGGGCTGAACGCTTGGTCATATTGGTCGGTGAAGGCAGAGAGGGCGCATAAGTCCAAGATAGAGAAGTTAAAGGACGGGAAAGAAGGAAGAAAGAGGTAGAACAGTCTCTCTTTCTGTCCGGGCGATGTGAAGAAGTATTGGGACGCCGACCTAGAAACGGCAAGATTAACCAGATCGAGCACTGAAGTGACGAATGCCCTTTACATATCTATGCCCAATGATTCCCGAGATTATGAGCTCATTAGGGGCCAATAGGCTTAGTTTGCGGACCGCGGATGAACTATAAATCCTGGACTTGAACCCAAACCTGAACGTAATATTAACTATTGTTATTGACAAATGCGACGAAACCCAAATTCCCGTTCAAAATGAATGGGCTGTTGATAGTTTTTCTATTTCTTCAATATATCTCCATTATAGATGCTTTCTACGATTGTCCCCGCCCGTTGTGTGAGATATGCCTCCCTGCGCAGATTCACGATGCCCCCGGGATCGGTTTTGACCTGACTCCCTCATACGGGTGAGTAAATATCGTCTATCTTTTAACATCCCGACTTCTCTAACATTTAAAAAAGAACAGCCTCAGTACACTACTATAACGGAACTGTCGTTGAACTAGCCTATATCCATGGAAATCCCGAGTACCTTGAGCTTATGATGCGACTTGCAGGCGACCCCAGGCCACGGTTAGACAGAACCAAGAAATTTCTCTATGACACTATCCTTCCCCGATTCTCTCTATCTGACACTACTTCATGGGGCGCTTGCTGGCGTTGGCTTAACAAGAAGCTCGGTCGTCCGATCAAAGCATACAGCGATGTCGAAATCATCAGCAAATTACTCCAAGAACTGAAAGTTTCCACCGAAAAAGAAATATCTCAGCCACTTGATAGGGTGGCGGTTGCAACCCCTGATATCAGCTCTATTAGTTCAATAGTTAACGCTGCACTCGAGGACTTGGATTTACGGACATGGGTAGGCGACAGCGGCTTTTACCCGCAACGCTTAGTGGAGGCCGATGCTGTTTATGCAGCAAACGGATATGGACTGTGTGCAAACTATGAGGATCTTTGGGAATGCACAGACGAGTTTTATAATTCGCCCAATGCCCATGTTTTCTATGTCTTCTACAGTCGGCATCTTCTATACACTAGCATTATAGCCCCTATCAATGGCGAGGCTTTATCTCGGTTTAATACGGATGAAGCGCAAGTTCTGGATTTTGAAGTCGGGCTAGATAATCTTGTCCAGACAGACGAGTCCCAGGGTACACCATGGTCCCGCCTTCGTTCGCAACTATTGGCCCTTCCTCGAGAATACCCATATCCTCTTACTCATATTCTTCTGGCTGGGGAGAGTGCCACTCACCCGCGCTTTCTAGCTACTTTGAGAGATGCTCTGTCTGAAATGGTTCATATGTCGCCTGTGAATCTTCAAACACACTTTCGAGACCATGCAGATGCTGCTATTGTGCCCAGAATCATTAATCCAATATTTGTAGCCTCTCGAGGTGCAGCACTATATGCCCGAAGACGACAAGAGGTACAGGCCCACTGCACAGAGCCCTATGAATGCGAAGCGATAAGGAAAAGAGAGCGAGTACGTCTTCTCTGAAGGATGACTGGCGTTAGAATAAGTTATAGGCCCCTTTTCTCTACATTATCTTAGACGCGATATGTAAATTACTACCATTTTTAACTATATCCCCCTCCCTTTTACTACTATTATCCTATCTACGCATGAGATTTTAAAGGGGGGTAGGAGCTACTGAGCTAATCAGACGGGTGTTCGAACGAGCATCGAATTCAAAGTGGAGCAGGAGCTACTGAGCTCAGCAGATAAAGTCCTAAAACGAGGATCGAATTCAAAGAGGAACAGGAGCTGCTATAGTTTGATAGACTGTCGCTGCAAAGTAAGACTTATACCTGTCCATAGGTTTCGTATTCAATTGCAGTCACGGAGCTTCTAAGAGTCTTGTTATTCCTTTTAGGAGTCTGGTATATGCAAATCAACTGTATAGCGAATGATGTGCCAATTGTCCCTCTGACTAGTATAACTTCACCGTTATTGCCGCCATCTTCCACTGCATCCGGCAGTTACATCTCACCTCTGTCTACCGCTGTAACAATGGGGGCAATTAGCCCGTACCTCTATAGCTGCACCAAGAGACAGCAAGTATTGCTCCGAGAAGCATGGGCCGAGGCTGGGGTCCTCGCCGATGCTCACAACCAATGGTGGCCAGGAGGAAAATGGCAAGCTGCCATGTCCCTATATTTAGGGCCAAAGTCCAAAGACGATTAGTAAGTTTCAGTTTCACTCCAAGATATCTAGGTTAGTATCTTTAAAGAAGTATACTAATTCTGCTACAGCAGCTTCGTCTTCGGAAAGGGACAATTAATGAGTACGTCCTACTCTAACGAAGTGACCGACCATTTTGCTAATATAACTTCGGAACTTCTTAGAAAATATTAAGCGAGAGTACCTCATTCATGCGGGATACATAGGCCAGCCCCCCGTTTTCACCTACTAGATAATTCAATGAATTCGGCAAGGATTCAAGGACCTAATACTATGGGGCTGATTACCTTTAGTTGGAACAAATTATACCTTATAATTAAATAGGCTTTGGGTGCCCATATGACCTAACGGCGTATCCCGCAGGCGCTGTGCTCAACCCCGATCTGTCTCAATTCGGGTATGATAAATAGCGGTTATATGGACGACCGTAGTTTTGGTGGCAGATTGGTCCTTAGGTCTGGTAAATAGCGGCAGTCAACAGTTGCTATAGGATCATCATATGGGCTATCTGGTGGACTGCCGGCCGTCTTGAGAGGAAGTCTGCCCTTTTCACACCCGGCCGGGTTATGTCCCCTCGCGTCCGCTAGTCGATTGATGTTTGCTGCCTTCATTCTGACTCCATCGACTGCGCGTGGCTGTGTGAGACGGCAAAGGCATGCCCTCATCATTGTTCATTCAACCAGCGCATCAGACTAGATATGCCTGGCTTGCAGCGAGCGCGGGAGCGTATAAATGTACGTCTTCCGATGTGGTTTCCAGTATTAAGACTGGTAATTGGAGGAAGGCGAATCTTTGCGAATTGTTTCGAGAATATCCCGTAGAATGTGTAGAAATCCAACATGCCAGGTCAAAGGCATTTCGTGTGCTGTGTTATGCCATTCTTGAGACGGGGCCTCGGCGGTTTGAAGGGTGAATGCAAGATGCTTAGCGGCGCAGTGGAGACGGAACCTTGATTTGGGGAACACACAGGAAGAGATAAGTCTCCCATTCAATGGTTGAGAATGGATGTACCCCACGGTATTTAGGTTTGTGATGATAGCAGGCGCTCTGAAGTGGAAATAATGATTTATCCCACTGGCAGCACTGTATCTTCGTTACCGTACCCGATTACATGATTACATGATCCCATGGTCATGATGATCTATGGGTGTTTCCACAATTACTCTCAACAGTTAAGCTATTACCAGCTGAAAACTAAATGCTCCACCTTCCGGCATCGAGCTATGGATTACATACCAAGTAGTAGTCAAACCGCACTGGCATTACCAAGATAGGCCCCGTGACTACGGCCTACTACAGATTGCGTGTGTAGGAAGGCTTTCGCCTTTCGACTTAAAAGCTCCTTAATTACCAATCCAGATCATCGCATCACCTAATATATATACATACACACATACGCACACACACACATATATATATATATAGTCCAAGGACCCTATTCTTAACGTCTCAAGACCATGACATCATCATTTGTGCTCTCAGAATTTCACACCATCTTGGTTTCAGCGCTGGAGGTCGCTTCCTCTGCGGTGTACGTGCTTGCGCTCGGTGTGTCGCCGCTGGTACGTCGATTGCTCCGAGGAACATTGAACTATTTGGCAATAACACTGACTACTATTTTGAGGTTCTCTTCTATGTCGTAGGAGCAATTTACAGCGCCTATTTTCATCCTTTGTCAAAATGTAAGTTCAATTCATAATTTTATTTGAACGACCCCTACAATTGACCGTGCATAGATCCGGGTCCCAAAATCGCCGCCGCAAGCTTCCTCCCGCTTTGGTATCGCCGCTATACTGGAGACTACAATCAATGGATTACCTCCCTGCACAACCGCTACGGCAGCATCGTGCGTTTCTCCCCTGATGGGCTCTCATTCATATCCGCTCCTGCATGGAAAGACATCTACGGACATAGCACCGGGGGTAAGATATCCAATCTGGTAGACCCGCGTATGTATGGATCGTACGAGAATGGTGAAGACGACATAACGTCGATTCGGGATAATGCGAGACACGGACAAGTGCGCAAGCTCTTTTCCCACGCCTTTTCACCTAAGGCAATCAAGTTACAGGCGCCATTGATTCAAAAGTACGTCGAAAAACTAATCCACCGGCTCCGGATGACGGCAGAAAGCAGCCTAACGGGCGAAGTCAATATTTGCAATATGTTTACCCGTACAACCTTTGATATTATGGGCGATCTGGCGTTCGGCGAGTCTCTTGGTCTACTGGAGAACAACAACTATGCACCTTGGATAGATGCGATGTTTGGTGCAGTCAAAGCCGAAACAATCCTCGACATCGTGGCCGCATATCCCAGTCTTAGGAACTTACTAGGCTATTTCACACCAAAATGCTGGACTGCACAGGAGGAAGAGCATTACGCCTTCTCCTCCGAACTGATCAAGAAGCGTTATGAGAGAGGAAGAGACCAGCCGGACATCTGGAACTTTGTTCTTACCAAAGGAAAGGACGTGCTGAGTCTAAACGAGATGCATAACAATGCGAGCGCTTTTATGATTGGAGGAACCGAGACCACAGCGACTCTCCTGAGTGGATTGACATATCTACTTCTCACACACCCGGACAAACTGGCGAAAGTAGTGACCGAGGTCCGTGAGCTGGATGACGAGAAGAAGTTGGATTTTGCCATTCTGTCAAGTCTTCCGTATCTCAATGCCTGCTTCGAAGAAGCATTACGTGTTTATCCTCCCGCATCAGAAGGATTTCCTAGAGTGATACCACAAGGGGGAAACACAGTTGCGGGAGAGTATCTACCT